AATTGGGCCTTTTTGTTCTGTGACGTCACATTAGAGGTTTGGGCGGTCAGAATAAGGTTCAAACTGCATTTCGTTGAAAACTGAGCACAGATTTGGAATCAGCGCAAAATTCTGATTCAGATAGATGCTTAACCTCAAATTTAACTCTCAAATTGAGCATTTTTGTTCTGTGACGTCACATTAGAGGTTTGGGACGATCAGAATAAGGTTCAAACTGCATTTCGTTGAAAACTGAGCACAGATTTGGAATCAGCCCAAAATTCTGATTCAGATAGATGCTTAACCTCGAATTTAACTCCCAAACTGGGCCTTTTTGTTCTGTGACGTCACATTAGAGGTTTGGGCGGTCAGAATAAGGTTCAAACTGCATTTCGTTGAAAACTGAGCACAGATTTGGAATCAGCGCAAAATTCTGATTCAGATAGATGCTTAACCTCAAATTTAACTCCCAAATTGAGCATTTTTGTTCTGTGACGTCACATTAGAGGTTTGGGCGACCAGAACAAGGTTCAAACTGCATTTCGTTGAAAACTGAGCACAGATTTGGAATCAGCGCAAAATTCTGATTCAGATAGATGCTTAACCTCAAATTTAACTCTCAAATTGAGCATTTTTGTTCTGTGACGTCACATTAGAGGTTTGGACGGTCAGAATAAGGTTCAAACTGCATTTCGTTGAAAACTGAGCACAGATTTGGAATCAGCGCAAAATTCTGATTCAGATAGATGCTTAACCTCAAATTTAACTCCCAAATTGGGCCTTTTTGTTCTGTGACGTCACATTAGAGGTTTGGCGGTCAGAATAAGGTTCAAACTGCATTTCGTTGAAAACTGAGCACAGATTTGGAATCAGCGCAAAATTCTGATTCAGATAGATGCTTAACCTCAAATTTAACTCTCAAATTGAGCATTTTTGTTCTGTGACGTCACATTAGAGGTTTGGGACGGTCAGAATAAGGTTCAAACTGCATTTCGTTGAAAACTGAGCACAGATTTGGAATCAGCGCAAAATTCTGATTCAGATAGATGCTTAACCTCAAATTTAACTCCCAAATTGGGCATTTTTTTGTTCTGTGACGTCACATTAGAGGTTTGGGACGGTCAGAATAAGGTTCAAACTGCATTTCGTTGAAAAACTGAGCACAGATTTGGAATCAGCGCAAAAATTCTGATTCAGATAGATGCTTAACCTCAAATTTAACTCCCAAATTGGGCATTTTTTTGTTCTGTGACGTCACATTAGAGGTTTGGGACGGTCAGAATAAGGTTCAAACTGCATTTCGTTGAAAAACTGAGCACAGATTTGGAATCAGCGCAAAAATTCTGATTCAGATAGATGCTTAACCTCAAATTTAACTCCCAAATTGGGCATTTTTTTGTTCTGTGACGTCACATTAGAGGGTTTGGACGGTCAGAATAAGGTTCAAACTGCATTTCGTTGAAAAACTGAGCACAGATTTGGAATCAGCGCAAAATTCTGATTCAGATAGATGCTTAACCTCAAATTTAACTCCCAAATTGGGCATTTTTTTGTTCTGTGACGTCACATTAGAGGTTTGGGACGGTCAGAATAAGGTTCAAACTGCATTTCGTTGAAAAACTGAGCACAGATTTGGAATCAGCGCAAAAATTCTGATTCAGATAGATGCTTAACCTCGAAATTTAACTCCCAAATTGGGCATTTTTTTGTTCTGTGACGTCACATTAGAGGTTTGGGACGGTCAGAATAAGGTTCAAACTGCATTTCGTTGAAAAACTGAGCACAGATTTGGAATCAGCGCAAAATTCTGATTCAGATAGATGCTTAACCTCAAATTTAACTCCCAAATTGGGCATTTTTTTGTTCTGTGACGTCACATTAGAGGGTTTGGGACGGTCAGAATAAGGTTCAAACTGCATTTCGTTGAAAAACTGAGCACAGATTTGGAATCAGCGCAAAAATTCTGATTCAGATAGATGCTTAACCTCAAATTTAACTCCCAAATTGGGCATTTTTTTGTTCTGTGACGTCACATTAGTGGTTTGGGACGGTCAGAATAAAGGTTCAAAACTGCATTTCGTTGAAAAACTGAGCACAGATTTGGAATCAGCGCAAAATTCTGATTCAGATAGATGCTTAACCTCAAATTTAACTCCCAAATTGGGCATTTTTGTTCTGTGACGTCACATTAGGGGTTTGAATGGTCAGAATAAGGTTCAAACTGCATTTCGTTGAAAAACTGAGCACAGATTTGGAATCAGCGCAAAAATTCTGATTCAGATAGATGCTTAACCTCAAATTTAACTCCCAAATTGGGCATTTTTTTGTTCTGTGACGTCACATTAGTGGTTTGGACGGTCAGAATAAGGTTCAAACTGCATTTCGTTGAAAACTGAGCACAGATTTGGAATCAGCGCAAAATTCTGATTCAGATAGATGCTTAACCTCAAATTTAACTCCCAAATTGGGCCTTTTTGTTCTGTGACGTCACATTGGTGGTTTGGGCGGTCAGAATAAGGTTCAAACTGCATTTCGTTGAAAACTGAGCACAGATTTGGAATCAGCCAAAAATTCTGATTCAGATAGATGCTTAACCTCAAATTTAACTCCCAAATTGGGCCTTTTTGTTCTGTGACGTCACATTAGGGGTTTGGACGGTCAGAATAAGGTTCAAACTGCATTTCGTTGAAAACTGAGCACAGATTTGGAATCAGCGCAAAATTCTGATTCAGATAGATGCTTAACCTCAAATTTAACTCCCAAATTGTGCATTTTTGTTCTGTGACGTCACATTAGTGGTTTGGACGGTCAGAATAAGGTTCAAACTGCATTTCGTTGAAAACTGAGCACAGATTTGGAATCAGCGCAAAATTCTGATTCAGATAGATGCTTAACCTCAAATTTAACTCCCAAATTGTGCATTTTTGTTCTGTGACGTCACATTAGTGGTTTGGACGGTCAGAATAAGGTTCAAACTGCATTTCGTTGAAAACTGAGCACAGATTTGGAATCAGCGCAAAATTCTGATTCAGATAGATGCTTAACCTCAAATTTAACTCCCAAATTGGGCATTTTTGTTCTGTGACGTCACATTAGGGGTTTGGACGGTCAGAATAAGGTTCAAACTGCATTTCGTTGAAAACTGAGCACAGATTTGGAATCAGCGCAAAATTCTGATTCAGATAGATGCTTAACCTCAAATTTAACTCCCAAATTGTGCATTTTTGTTCTGTGACGTCACATTAGTGGTTTGGACGGTCAGAATAAGGTTCAAACTGCATTTCGTTGAAAACTGAGCACAGATTTGGAATCAGCGCAAAATTCTGATTCAGATAGATGCTTAACCTCAAATTTAACTCCCAAATTGTGCATTTTTGTTCTGTGACGTCACATTAGTGGTTTGGACGGTCAGAATAAAGGTTCAAACTGCATTTCGTTGAAAAACTGAGCACAGATTTGGAATCAGCGCAAAATTCTGATTCAGATAGATGCTTAACCTCGAATTTAACTCCCAAATTGTGCATTTTTTTGTTCTGTGACGTCACATTAGTGGTTTGGACGGTCAGAATAAGGTTCAAACTGCATTTCGTTGAAAAACTGAGCACAGATTTGGAATCAGCGCGAAAATTCTGATTCAGATAGATGCTTAACCTCAAATTTAACTCCCAAATTGTGCATTTTTTTGTTCTGTGACGTCACATTAGTGGTTTGGACGGTCAGAATAAGGTTCAAACTGCATTTCGTTGAAAAACTGAGCACAGATTTGGAATCAGCGCAAAAATTCTGATTCAGATAGATGCTTAACCTCAAATTTAACTCCCAAATTGGGCATTTTTTTGTTCTGTGACGTCACATTAGGGGTTTGGACGGTCAGAATAAGGTTCAAACTGCATTTCGTTGAAAACTGTGCACAGATTTGGAATCAGCGCAAAATTCTGATTCAGATAGATGCTTAACCTCGAAATTTAACTCCCAAATTGTGCATTTTTTTGTTCTGTGACGTCACATTAGTGGTTTGGACGGTCAGAATAAGGTTCAAACTGCATTTCGTTGAAAAACTGAGCACAGATTTGGAATCAGCGCAAAAATTCTGATTCAGATAGATGCTTAACCTCAAATTTAACTCCCAAATTGTGCATTTTTTTGTTCTGTGACGTCACATTAGTGGTTTGGACGGTCAGAATAAGGTTCAAACTGCATTTCGTTGAAAAACTGAGCACAGATTTGGAATCAGCGCAAAAATTCTGATTCAGATAGATGCTTAACCTCGAAATTTAACTCCCAAATTGTGCATTTTTTTGTTCTGTGACGTCACATTAGTGGTTTTGGACGGTCAGAAATAAAGGTTCAAACTGCATTTCGTTGAAAAACTGAGCACAGATTTGGAATCAGCGCAAAATTCTGATTCAGATAGATGCTTAACCTCAAATTTAACTCCCAAATTGGGCATTTTTTTGTTCTGTGACGTCACATTAGAGGGTTTGGACGGTCAGAATAAGGTTCAAACTGCATTTCGTTGAAAACTGAGCACAGATTTGGAATCAGCGCAAAATTCTGATTCAGATAGATGCTTAACCTCGAAATTTAACTCCCAAATTGGGCATTTTTTTGTTCTGTGACGTCACATTAGTGGGTTTGGACGGTCAGAATAAGGTTCAAACTGCATTTCATTCGAAACCAAGCACAGATTTGGAATCAGCGCAAAATTCTGATTCAGATAGATGCTTAACCTCAAATTTAACTCCTAAATTGGGCATTTTTGTTCTGTGACGCCACATTAGGGGTTTGAATGGTCAGAATAAGGTTCAAACTGCATTTCATTCGAAACCAAGCACAGATTTGGAATCAGCGCAAAATTCTGATTCAGATAGATGCTTAACCTCAAATTTAACTCCTAAATTGGGCATTTTTGTTCTGTGACGCCACATTAGGGGTTTGAATGGTCAGAATAAGGTTCAAACTGCATTTCGTTGAAAACTGAGCACAGATTTGGAATCAGCGCAAAATTCTGATTCAGATAGATGCTTAACCTCGAATTAAAATTTATAAAAAAGGAGCTCTTAAATGTTTCAGTTCAAGATGAGCAAAGTGTCCCAGAAAAACTCGTGCTTGGAAGTTTGCGCTAATTAAAAAAAGGCGAAATATTCGACCGGAATAAGAAAAATAAATTCCTAAGCTTCTTTTTCGAGTTGAGAATAGTCAATAGAATCAACAAAAGAGGAAAAATTTTTTTGATCATGAAAGCCTTTTTTTAAGTAATCAAAAAAATTGTAACACACAAATACAAGGCTTACAACTTGATCTCAAAATTATTTCATCGAAGAGAAAAAGAAAAAAAATGAAACAGATTTGACAACTTGTGCCGCCTTCACATCTAGTCTTCATCTTTGAAACATTCCAAACTTGGTTCAAATATTGAAAAAAAAATAGTGAGACCATTAAGATTAGAATCGGAGAGATGAAAATCCGAGCATTTTTTCTTTTCTACATAGTTTTGTTTGAGAAATAGAATTTCTTGAACCTCTTGCTCGCCGATAACCCTTGTTTTCGGCATTTTAACGAATTATTTCAGATAGATTTCAAGAGACTTTGAGAAATACCTAATTTCAATCTAAATAAAAATGAGACTTGTGCCAGTTTGATGGCATCGCACAGAAAGAAACTTATGAGAAATAAAAAACTATATCACAGGTTAAAAAGTTATAAAAGCGTATTTTACAGGTCCATACGTCGAGACCAGGGAGCGCGGAGTCCAAGCCGCAGACAAGGCGGAAGAGGAGAAGGAAAAGGAGAAGTTGGAACTTCTCAAAAGGTCGTATTTTATTTTTTAAAAAAATCCGTTTTTCATTTATATAACTATCCCTTATCAAAAAAAGTTTCCTTCGCATTTTTTTCAAAAACAACACTCTACAAAAAAATAATTGATCTATCGCTTTTTTTAGCAAGTGAATTATGAAATAGAGAAGAATAGATAAATATTCAAAAAAAGTTTTAGGTTACCAAAAGGGATGTAATAACCTTTTAACTAATTCAGTATCATTTCAGAGAAAAGGAAGAAAAAGAGAGGCGTCTGGAGGCCGCGACGGCCGAGAACGCAAGCCTGACGGCGAATCTGGCAAGGTCGTCGCTGGAGCTCCAAGCCTCTCTTGGAATAGGTCTTTTTACAATTTTAAACATTTCTCAATGAAATAATTTCCAGAAGAAGAGCTCCGCCAGGAGAACTGCTTCCTTCGAGCCCAGCTCGAGGAAGCAAACGAAGCTCGGAGGCGCCTGGCCGCCCAATTGGAGGTTACTTCAAAACTATAGAATAATCACTCATACAAGCTTGGGTCAGCATCTGCTGCCCCAAATACCCTAAAAAAATCTCCATGTGACATGTTGAACTCTTCAATAATACTTTTTGTCAAAAAAATGCGAGAATATTTCGTGGAGAAAAAAATAATAAAAATAAAAAAAGTGAACTATTCTGGAGTCATTCCCATAGCTCTCCAACAAGTTTCGAAATATTCAAACTGCTTGATGAAAGTTTACTTGGAAACTAAACTTTAATTTCGAAAACAAACTTTAACTTTTTTAAATTTCCGTTCGAAAAAATAGAAAAGTATTCAATTTAAATCAATTCAGGCAGCCCTCGGAGCCCTCGACATCCCGGTCGAGCCCGAAATGGTGAGATTTATTTTTGAAATAATAACTTGAGTAATAATACAGCTTGCCGTAAAACTGAGAAAGATCTATTTTAAAGTTGAGTGTCTAAATTCTGGAGTAAAATCGAAAACTAGATTCTATACTTCAAAACTGCTTCTTTCTCACATTATTCATACTAACAAAAAAAGTTTTTATATAAATATACGAACCTTTTGCTAGATAATGAAAGAAATGATTAAATTAAGGCTGAGGAAGTGCCGCCGGAAGAGGACCCCCAGGACCAAGGCGCTCTTCTTCTCGCCCCTCAGGTGAGGATTTTTCACATGAAAGTTGCTGTCGTGAGTCACAAATTTGAAAACAAAATCTTTGGGGATTTCACGAGAAGGTTCGAGTATCTGTCTCGACATGAAGTTTAGCGCTTTCAAACTCTTCGAAAATTCTTTTTATAATACCTCGAAAATAGAAAGTTTATTGAAAAATAAGTAAACTGGAGTCGCCAAACCAGCTTGCGCTAACAGTTTCTATGTATTTTTCCATTCTGAAACATGAAAAAAGCTCAATTAAAACACTCAGACAGAAACTTTCCTAAAGTATCTGGAAAGAACTTGGAGCTTTTTGAATTTCAACTTCGAAAGTTCAAGTATTGGTGACAATGAAAAACAAAAGACAAAACGGCTTCGTATCCTTTTTGGAAAAGTGATAATGTGACTCGCTTGACTGCCAAATTGTAAAAGGCGGGTTCTGTGGAGTCAAAACAATTCATTTACTCACCTTAAATCAAGTTCGCAGGTCCGGAACACCTTTTCCTCTGTTCGAATCATCTTTTCGGTGCTCTTTCAATTCATTTTTATTCGTCTTTTCACACTGTTTTCAAGATAAAATATCAATAATAGTCAAAAATCATCTCTCCAAGCGAAGTAAAACTGAAAAGACTGTTTTTAATCCATAAAAGCTTTCATATCAATTCACAGAACCAAAAAAAAAAGTTCAATCGTTTTGAATTTTGCAATAAACTACTTTCAATAACATACTTGTTCTCGCTTCCGTAATGGAATGATTTTGATCATTGATATTTCCATCGAAAATGTGTGAAAAAAATTCAAAAATTTCATATTTTTTTAAGAAATAAAAGGGGTTTCGAGTCACGGTAATGTAAAAGATCTGGCGTTGAGGTTTCTGAGAATGAAAGTTTGAAGGAAAAAAAGCCAGAGACATTTCGAACGACGACTTTTCCGATGAGAAGTTTCCGACTAATCCTTTCCCGACCTTTTTCCATATATTTTTCGGTTTCTGAAAATTATTTTAAAAATCGAAAAAGTCGACGTTCGAAAATTCCTTGTCTTTTACTTCATACCTCCAAAAACTAATGAATAGGGAAAAAAAGCTTCACATCAATTTTATATCCCTCAGACTTAAATACTTGAATAAAAAAAGTTAAGGTCGACCGGAGAAGGCGCTCTTCTTCGGAGGGGAGCCAAAGATCTTCCAAAAGATCTCGAGAAGAAGAGCCGGCCACCCCGGGAGACTCGCCCCGGAGTCGCGACGTCTTCCTGACGCCGGAACGTGGCGTTGAGCATGCCAGAGATGGCCCTGACGTCATGTCCGGCCAGGAAGACGAAGGGGAAGACGGGGAGCAGCTGATGGAAGAGGAGGACGAAATCGTTCCTGAGAGCGATGGAGAAGAAGACGCGGGAACGTCCTCCTCTTCCAGCTCGACTTCGACGAGACCGCCGCTCTCTCCGCCAACGACGCCGCCGAGGACACCGTCGCCACCGGTCCAGCAGATGACGCCGCCAGTCCTGCCAACCAGAAAAGTTAGTTTTGAAAGAATAATAATCATCGATACTGACAAGAAAGATTCCTGAACGCATTCAACCAGTGAAATTTCAAATCTCTATAAATCCTATACAGCTTCCTTCTCAAATTTAACAATGTACGTGATACGCAGTTTTTTGAACAAAAAAAATGTGAAATCGCCATTTTCTTTGTCAAAAGAAGTAGAGAACTGGGGGAAAAATCCGACATTTATAAAATGACATTCATGAATTCATCAAATTCTTTAGAAACTTTGATTTCTCTTTGCAATAGAATACATTTGAATTACTTTTAGATGAATAAAAAAATCAATAATAAATTATTTTTTTTCATCAATATTAGTATATCAAGAAAAAAGTTCAACAACAAAAAAACATTTAGATATAAAAACCAACCTTTTTTTCCTCAAACTTGAGCTGCTTATATTTCCAGCTTCTCATACTTCAATCCAATATTTTTTTGAAGAAAAAGCCAGCGCTGATTACGTTTAACAATAACATCATGAAAAAAACACTGTATCGGCAACGAGTTTGATAAAGCATAAGTTTGAACGATTTGAAATATTCTCTGATTGACCAACAATATATAAAGTTCAATTGAAAAAAATTCACAAAAAAAGATTTGGTTGGTTTTAGTAGTTTTATTTCATGAAGATTCCAATACAAACGATGTCTTTGCAGCCTCGGCGCAAGCAGGCGGTCATGGGGACGGTCAAAAGGTCGGCCAGAATCGGCAACAGGCTGCCCGGTCCCCAGCCGAGGGCGCCTGTGGCCGCGCCGTCGATACCCATGGCCGTGCTCGGTCCACAATCGGCCGCCGAGGTTCGCGACACCATCCGCGAACGGTTGGCCGACTACAACAGCGGTCGGTTCATCCCGGACTTGGGGGCGACGCTCAGCCTGGGAAGGCTCCTCACCACGGCAATCAGGCTTTCGAGGTGTCTCCCGCCGTCTCTGAAGGAAATCAGAGACCTCGAAAGTCTGAAAGATCGTCTCGCCAGACTTTGTTGAGGTCAGTGTCTCAGAAAAGAATGAAAAAGAAAAATTCAAATTCGAGCCGAATGGCTTGTTTTCGTAGAAAGAAATCAACATTTGAATTAAAAGCTCTCTGGCTTGCAACCGTGATGCCGTGTTCTCAAAAGTTCCCGCAAAATTCAAAATGGTCTTTGACTCTCCAAATTTCGGTTATCCCAGAATCACTTTGAAAAGTGCATGAACAAAAATAGAATGCCAAAAAAAATTGTCCTATTTTCAAATTACATCATATCCAAGTTTTATAAATCTCAAAACTATAGAAAAAGCTGAACAAAAACTTTTATCTCATCAATCGAAATCTGCAGAAATGTTCTCTTAAAATTAAAATGCCGTGAGCGCATTTGAGTATGTCAGTGGTTTTCACTCAAATTAAGCTTTTTTTCAGTCCTCAAAACATCCGGAAGGAAAGAGAAACAAACTAAATAAAGAATTTTACGAGGAAACTTGAGAAAAATCAGTGATAATGGACTCAAAAAAGCTGATGGTGTAACTAAAGACTACCTTTTTTCAAAGAAATACATTGACAAGAACCGAAAAATGAAAACTGGGACGGTCAAGAAAAAACGACTGGAAAACGGTGGCATCAAAATCAAAAAAAAAAAAACGGAAAAGCCGTCTTTGAAAGATCTTCAATATATATCACCTGAGCACTGAAGATAACTTTCTAGTTCAACGCGAGAGAAAACGCAGGTCGATGGTAGCACATTGACGACCTCGCAAACATGTCGCTTTGTTCTCGCGCGAAACTCAAATTTTTCTAAGCGCGATCTCGCATTTATCCCGCTTTTCAAAATCACTCAAAAAAAAACTTGAAAAACTTTCAAAATGAGAGATCGCATCGAGAAGTGCGACATCGCGCCGATGAAAGTGCAAGACGGGCACGACTACAACGAAAAAATTTTGCGAGGTCATCAACACCCAGTTTCGTGGACTATATCGCAGCGAGAGTGGCGCGACATAGCAGCGACATATCTCGCTGCCATCTCGCTCAGCTCTAGCAAACTCCCGGCGCGATATCGGCGCGAGGTCGCGGATTATTGATTGGTCACTATTTACGTGCCATCAAAAATTTTACTTGAATTGTTTTATTTTTTTCGTGTGTTATATTCTCTCTGATTTTTTTCTATGTCTATTTTTTTCACTTAATATTTCTAAAATGTTAATTTTTACAACTAATGTAACGCTCATACAGTACCGTCAGAAAAGGAAAAAAATATTTTTTTCGCTCACAACTTCCTCGTATAGAGCTCAATCTTTCTGAAACGTTTTTCAGCTGTGTTTTCTAAGTTTTTCACCACGGTGTTACAATCAACAGTCATCATATTTCCAGAAAGTTTCAAAAGGGTGAAATCCCATTAAAGAAAGTTGTGATAAAAAAAGCTTTTTTTGTATATTTTTAACGGAACTGCACACCTTTCTTGAATTTGAAATTTCTTTTTTTCGCATTTTTCATGTTTTAACCAAGAATTTCAGGTTATTAGTACTTCAAAATGGCATCTAACTTTTTTTTTTTCGATCAATCGATCGAGCCGATCGAGCCGAGGCTACCCTAGAGTGTACACGGAGTCCGTGCCCGAGCCCGACCATCACCGCCGTGCCCGTACAAGCGAAACTGCGGGATCAACTTGTGGAAGAACGAGGCGAAGGACCGTAAGATCATGCTTTCAATTCAATCGACTACACGTTTTGACTTCTTTTTCGCCAAAGGCGGTGTTAGTGCCGCTCAAAAGAGCAATTTTTTCACCGCCTAGTCGATACCATCTGACTAAAACAACCAATAAATATTGTATTGTATTGTATTGTAATAAAAAAGTCAAAAAAAGATCCGTGGGAGATGGCACTGAAGTTTTGCTTTTGGATACAATCAATAAGATTCTTGGTAAACTATTTTTGAAACAGTATATCCATTTTTACTTGAAGATATGATTTGCACTTTGGCGTCGATGGGTAAGGAAAAAAAGAAATGAGGCATGATTTCGAGAAAGCACGTACTGCTGTCTTGATACAGTCACTCCTGTGAGTTATTCTCTTATTCAAGGTTGGACTTTTTTTCAGTATTTCTCTTTTTTTAACCGATTTTATCATTTAGAAAAGTTCTTGACGCAGCAAATGAAGGATATGCCGAAAAACTATCGAGTCAAAGCTTACAGTAACATTTTTTTAAGGGAACTTAGGGCCAATCTGATTGTTTAAATTAATTTTTCTTTTTTTCAAAACTTCTTTCATTTTTCATTTCGAGCCTCCCTCCTTTATTTTTTTCTAATTTGAACTTTTTAAAAAAATCATCTACGAGCTTACAATCGGTTTACTTTTTCTGTTTTTTTATTGAACCTACTCTTTTTTTCTAGTCACATTTTTTTCCTATGAAAAATAAACGATACACATGTTTTTCCTCATATTGTCCTTTTTTATTCTTACTTGAAGCTTCACTCTTTCGCCTCAAATCAATTTTTTTTCTTCTTCAGATTTGTACATACTTTCCGTTTACTTCGAATTCGAAAATGTATCATCAATTATTTGGAAAAATTTCTTTAATGCTCTCAAGTTTTCATTTAAATATATTGTTTATATTAAATAAAAAAAGTAAAGAAGGTTGATAAAGACCGATATGTTATCATGTACAACCCAATAAAAAGTATGAAGCATAGAAAGCAAATCAAGAAAAAGCCCAATCGAGCTAAAAAAATTTTTTTGAAAGAGCGACATAGCAGCGAGATGTGAGCGACCTTGCGCCGAGAGGCGAGCGATATAGCTCGCGGCTCCCCCGCGATATAGCGTTTCTCTCGCTGCGACCTCGTCCGTAAAACTGGGTGAATCTACCGCTAGCGACCTTATTCATAAAATCAGAAACTTCGAGACGCAAAAACTGCTTTAAAAAATAATTAGTACTGGTTTGAAGCAACTTTGGCGCGCCGACAAACACGATTTTTTGTTTTGAAGCATGTTCTGTTTCTCCGATGAACACGCCAAAATTCTTTTTTTTTTCATTTGATAACTAGTTATAACTGACCTGAATAATTTCAAATTCATTATTTATTTTATTTTGAAATACTAACCTTCAAGGATTCACAACTTTCTCTGAAAATCTGGACAAATAGGCCTGACACCCTCGTTATCAAGCAGTGTGAAAAGTATTTTTTGAATCTTCACCGTTCAAATGCTTGAGGTCCCCGTGACAAAATAATTTTTTTAATCTGGAAAGGCGCTTTCAACCTCTGAAAAGTTTCTTTTCAATTGTAGAGCCAACCCGTATCCTCGGTCGCTTCCATCTTCTCTCCATGCTTCTTTTTCTTCTATCCTTTTTTCGGTGAGTTTTTCCCTTTCAAATGAGGCTTGCATTGTTGAAAATTTATAATAAAAAGTTTGAGAGTTGCCTAGCCAGAAAAAAAATCTCATTTTTTCTTCTGATTATTCAGCATTTTATGGTAATTTTGACTTTGACGCAAACTATTTTCTTCATGCCGCCTTCAAAGCGATTTCCGCGAAACGCAAAATTATCTGTGATTTTCCAGTATTTAGTTGTCTTTTTCTTTCTCTGACGGTTATTTTGGATTTCGCGGAATCCCATGAATACGGCATCGGTATCTTTCTATTTCTCTCGTTCAGGCTTTCTTCTTGACCTTCTCCGATCTTCAGCTGATATCGCCTTCTTTTTTTCCCAACTTGTAAGTTTTTTCAAAACTTACTGACCTCTTTTTTAAAATTAAAAACGACCTTTCTTGCGAATCATGGTTGTGATTGGGTTCTCTTAAAATTCAAAAACTGATTTCAGACTTCTCCAAACGTTTCATATGCCCAAGTTGCCGGACGACATCAGACCCAACGAACTGCACTTGGATTCTCGGTGAAATCGTTCGATTTCAAAAAGTCCAGGTAACAATTTTCGAAAAAAATAAATTCATTTCGGGAATCCAGTAATTCCCTTGTAAAATCAGGAAACTGAAAATGGTTGAGAAAAAATGTTTTTCAACTTTTCTTAGTTTAGAATTTATTTATTTTCCTTTAGAAGTTTGACTGAAGTTTCGAGAAACCCAATTAACTATTATTATCCTCGATTTGATGTCGTTCGAGAGAAAAAAAAACGCATTTTGAAATAGTTTATTGAGGAGGAATTAGGAACTGCTGAACTATCTTGGTCGGTATTGAAAATGTAAATAATTCTAAGCGACAATTGAACTAAAACCGCATGATATAATTTTCAAAAAAGATTTTATAAGTGGAATTTCAATATTCAGTTTTGTTGTGCATTTCAACTGTTATCGTTTTAGGGACATCCGCAGCCATTTTTGTTGGCTCTGCCCGAATGACCTTGTCCAATTCTGAAGTCGCAGAATTTTGTCAGTTCCGACAAGTGTTCTCAGGTAATGAAACTGGATGATTATGTGTGCTAAAATTAAATTTAGAATTCTTCGCGGTCTTTTGCCATGTGCCGTTTGAATTCGCGGAGAGTAAAGGATTTGCTGAGAAATATCGATTACTTGGATCAGCCCGAATGAACTTGTCCAATTCTGAAATCGCAGAATTTTGTCAGTTCCGACAAGTGTTCTCAGGTAATGAAACTGGATGATTATGTGTGCTAAAATTAAATTTAGAATTCTTCGCGGTCTTTTGCCATGTGCCGTTTGAATTCGCGGAGAGTAAAGGATTTGCTGAGAAATATCGATTACTTGGATCAGCCCGAATGAACTTGTCCAATTCTGAAATCGCAGAATTTTGTCAGTTCCGACAAGTGTTCTCAGGTAATGAAACTGGATGATTATGTGTGCTAAAATTAAATTTAGAATTCTTCGCGGTCTTTTGCCATGTGCCGTTTGAATTCGCGGAGAGTAAAGGATTTGCTGAGAAATATCGATTACTTGCATCAGCCCGAATGAACTTGTCCAATTCTGAAATCGCAGAATTTTGTCAGTTCCGACAAGTGTTCTCAGGTAATGAAACTGGATGATTATGTGTGCTAAAATTAAATTTAGAATTCTTCGCGGTCTTTTGCCATGTGCCGTTTGAATTTGCGGAGAGTCAAGGATTTGCTGAGAAATATCGATTACTTGGTCGCCGCTTTTGTCATGCTGAGCAGTCTAGTGGAAATGAAAAGTTAGATTGCAAGTCAGAATCATTGTACCATAATATTATAAAAGAGCCTATAAAAAAACAAAAACCAAAAACACAAAAACCAAAAAAAGTTAAAGAAAAAAATCAAAAAGTCAATTAAAAACCCAAAAAAATATAAAAAAACGAAAAAAATAAAAAAATTATAAAAAAATTACAAAAAAAGAAAAAGGCCAAACTAACGTGTTTATGCATTCTTGTTGTCTCACCTTCTTTTCCTCATTGGAAAAAACGCCCATTCTTCAAGACGTCATCATGCCGCTATCGATAAGAAAAACGGATAATTCATCCAAATGAACGGTTAGCTTTTCAACTTGAAAATTAATTCGACCGAAAACTTTAGGAAAATTGTCTCGGTTAAAAGTCGCCAGTTCTTCATCATTCGCTCCGATTCAAATATGAAATATTTGGTTAGTTTTTTTGATTTTTCACGATAACACAATCGAAAAATCTTTAGTCATAAATGACGCAAAAGACTGGTCATCAAACTGTTGTTCAAGTGTATCGAAACACGATTGGAATCAAATCTGATGCAGAGTTATTTATTCCGAATTTCATGGTTGCAGCGTATCTGGCCTTTTTCTCGGTCAGTTTTGTAATCTAGTCGAAAGGAGAAAATCAGAGAAAAGGTGGAAAGAAATCTTTTCAGCACTGGAATTTGGTTGAAACCAGGAGAAAATATTTGGCATACAATAGTCTGAATGTAAAAGTTTCATTGATAAAAAGACAATTTTCAGTTAAAAGCGGAAAATTTCCGGTCGGAACTTTGTATTATCGAATCTTATGGAACTTTCCTGACGGAAAAAAGAGTTTTTCTCAATACTTCTCCGAAAACTTGATCAGGTTGATAGTCTCATCTTGTGTACTGAATAAACAAATTGTCTTTCAGAGTCTTCCAAGGTCAGAGTTTCAGGAACCTTTTCAATATGATGATTATCTCTCTTATTTTATCCGTTTCGTTTCATTTTCACATGGTTCGTTTTTCTTTAAATTCTTCCTTAAAAGTTTGGGTCATTTACAGCTCAATGTTTTGGTATGAAAATTGGAAGAAGTTGGAACGAATCTAACGCTGTAAAAAGTTCATTAATATAACAAGAAGCGGATCCGACAGCCCCGTCTTTACCGAATTGCTATGGACCCTTGTAAAATTTGTCCAAAGTCGGTTAAATTTTAGAACTCGAAAAAATGTTCAATTTTTCAGATTGCGGAATAAAAGGCAATAAACCGTCAATTTCCAGCTCTAATTTATGTACTCGGCAAGGAATTCAGCTCTATTGGGACCCGATTTCCTGTTTATTCGGTTAGTTTTCTTCATAACTTTTAGAATCATTGTAGAAAGTTTTCAGATAGCTGTCGGTCAAAAGCTCAGTCCTCACAGAAAGAAAAATGATTTGATAAAACGGATAATCGATAACAAAAAGAAAGATGAAAAGCGTTTCTTTGTGCTTTTCGAAAATAAGGCCGCTGTTTGGTGAGTTATTTTGCAACTAAAACTTGATTATTTTTGAATTTTCAGACAGAAAATATTCTTGTTCAAAATAATATCAATGGTCACGCTTTTTTCGGACAATTTTCGCTTGTTTCCTCCGATTTCTTGTCGCTAGAAGCATGTTAAAATGAATTTTCCGCTTCTAAACGCAAATATTCGGTAGTTTCCCTATGGCTCGAGCTTTTATGAAGAGATTATTTCAGAAAATGCGATATAATTCGAAGATCTTTGTACGAATTTATGAAGGATTCTGCCAAATCATGAAGAGAAGTCATCATTTTCGTACATCTTCCTTCCTTTAATAAAAAAACAAAAACAAAAAAATCAAAAAAATCAAAAATAAAAAAATCAAAAAAAGAAAAAATCCCCCCCTTCTATTGTACCCCCTTAGGCATTGAATCACTTTTTGTTGTATTCGATTTTTATCAACTTTGTATGTCTTTTTCGAAGATCCAGCGTCCAAAAAACCCTTCGAGGCGCTTTCAGTGGTGGAAAGACATGTATTGAAATCAAATCAATTCCAATCGCTTCTTTTCAGTTTTCACTGTTTTGAAGCATTCTTTCGCGTTTCGATACATGTGCTAGTTTTCACTATTCAAAAACGAACTTTTCCGAAACAGTTCATTTTCCCTGATTGGGACCATTTTTGGCATTTCCAAAACAATTTTTTTTTGCTTTTCCCCTGGACACGCCGTTCCAATACTTTCTGAGCCGATTTTCTTTTTCGTTTGGCTCAAAAAGTTCATATTTCACAAGTGTCCAAGGAAAAATCGCAAAACTTTTTTTTTTCTTTCAAGTCTCCAAAAACTGTACGAATTGTCATTTTTGGAGCATTTGTTTTTCAAATTTTCCAAGCATTTGTTTTTCACAATAACCACGCAAAAACATACTGTTTCAGTGGAGTCGTGGTCATCGTAGAAACCAAAAAAAAAGTGTCTTTTTATTTTCATTTTTTTTTTCGCCACAACACGCATTTTCACTGTTCCTCATTTTTTGACTTTTTTTTTGCTTTTTCCTGGACACACTGATATAGTTATTTCTGAATCAATTTTCAAGCAGTTTCGCTCAAAAAAGGTTCATTTCATCAGTGTCCAAGGAAAAATTGCCAAAAATTTTTTTTCATCCGAGTCTCCGAAAGATGTACGAATTGTCATTTTTGGAGTCAAATTTTCCAAGCATTTCCTTTTTTGAAATGACCAAGCAGAAATATTTTTTTTCAGTTCAATCGTGGTCTTCGATGAAATCAACAAACTCTTCAAAAAAAATGTTTTTTTTTCAGTTTCTCAGAGTTTCTCAGAGATTTTTCAATCGTTTTCACCATTTCTTTGTTCACGAACATTTTTATTTTCTTATTGAAAACGTCATTTCAAAACTTTCTGGATCAATTTCAAAGAAAATTTGGTTCGAAAAAAATTTCTTTCGAGTTTTCGATAAGAGAAGAAGAACGTCTCGCTTACTAAATTGTAAATTTTCGATCTCTTTGAGCTTTATCTTGCATTTCGAGAGTTTCAGCTTTAGTTGGTCAGCTGAATTTTTTTATTTTCAGAAAAAGGCGGTTAGTTCAAATTAGAATTATTCGTGCTTTTTAGAAACTTTGATTCGATTTTCTGCTTTTTGGCGTAAATCTTTTTATAAACAATTTTGAAACATTTTGATAAATTAAACTACGCCAACCTCTCTATTTCTCACACACAAATACCAAAATTTACAAAGTAAATATAGGGAAAAATTTGGGATATTAGCACTCAAAATCCTTTTTTTGCGAATACTAAGAAGAGTTTCGAAATAAAAATCACATGTGCTTACAGTTCTACATACTGAATTTGTTTTCAAGAAGTTTCTGGAATTTCAATTTCCCAGCTGTTTTATGATTCAAATTTTAAAAAAAGTAAGGGTCACCTAGACTTTGGAAATCCAACATAAACCTGGAAGAAGGTGGATTTTCTGAACATTAATTGCAGAGGAAGATGATTTTTTATTGAATTTTAGTGTTTTTTTGATCTCTGGAAAAAGAAAATCGAGTCTATCTAAACCTTGAAAAACAGATTATCCACTTTTTTTAAATTTATGAAGCTGGAGGAGGATGGATTTTTTTAGTGAATTTTTGAAAAATCGGAGGAGGAGGAATCTTTTTTTATCGGAATATTTTTTTGTATAAAAAAATTTTTAAACACTTTTGAAATGAAAAAAACTGATTTTTTTAAAATAGACATAACTGGAGGAGGATGGAATTTCTGAAAAATTAAAAAAATCGGAGGAGGAGGATCTTTTTTGAATACAAATTTTTTTTGCGTTTTTATGGATATTTTTTTCGAGTTCCTATTTCAAGAATGGAATTGGAATTTTTTTTCCCTATTATTTCCATCAATAAGACCTTATTTTCAATAGGTTATATGGCTTGGGGAGATTTTTCATTAGTAAACTACAATTTTGGCATCTGAAGTTATCACATTTTAAAGTAGAAAGTTTTTTCTTTTTTGTTCGTTTTCGAGCCAACTGTTGAAAATTTCCGGGCATGTTTCACAATGTCTGGACGGAATTTAGACACAAAGAAATCTTCAAAAACTCTTTTCAAAAAACCATTTCAAAGCCTTTTTGTTCGAAAAAAAAACTAGGGGGCTTAGATAAAGGGGTGGGATCGAGTAGGTTTGATGCAGTTTCAGTACGGAGTCAATCGAACTTTTTTCAGACCAGATACGGTAGAATGGATCCTGGGAACGGAGGTCCAAGTCGGAAGGACTTACAGTAACGCAGTCCGAGTGCGTCAGAAGGCCGATTCCGCGTGGCTAGTTCAAATCTTCTTCAAAACCAAAAACCGGTTACTATGAGCTTGCCAATATTTTTTGAAAAGCACTGAGAATTTTTTGCTTCCAATTACTTTTATCAGAATGAAAAAATTCGGAAAAAGAAGTTTGATTTTCAGACTAAAAAATGTTATTTATAACAGATTTTTAATTTTTTTTTTCTAAATTCAAAGAGCTTGCCAATATTTTTGAAAATCACTTTTCTTGAATTTGCCGCGAGCGATATCGCTCGCCTCTCGCTGCGACCTCGCAAACGTCTTGCGCTATATCGCTCTCTGAAAAATTTTTCTTCAAAAATGTTTTTTTCTTGAATTTGATTGATTTCATCATAAAAGTCGAAAATAGAGCAAAAAAAGTTTTTCAAATTTCAAATTTTTGAGTGGGAGCGATATGGCAGCGAGACTTTGACGAGATCGCAGCGAGAAGCCTTGGCTATATCGCGTGCGGCCCGCTGCGATATCGGCAATTATGTTCGTTGAAATGATGTTTTTCAAGTTTTTTCGAATCCTTTCTACATGATTCATTGAGCAACAGAATAGTTCCTCCATACGCTTGTACATTTTTAACGCGTTAAAACCTTCGTTTTATTTTTTGCGACAAGTGAGAAAATACAGAGATTTTACCGTTTTGCAATTGCAAGAATAGGATCGGGAAGTCTCCTAAAGCATATAGTCAGTCCTTCCCGACTTTGAGAGCGATATGGACAGTGTTCAAATTTTGTGGTTTCAAAAATCCTTTTTATTTTGAAAACGATGTTTCGAATGAAGAAATCAGAAAATTTTTTGACATCGCCCCAGTTTTGCATTGCCGTCCGCTGAAAGGCATTTAAGCTTGAGATTCATCGAAAAATCATTAATTGAGGACGGATTTTCAAGAGCTTTCGAGATACAAAAGTATCATAAATGGATGGCGGATTCATTTCATACTCAAATACTTTCTATCAATTTTTGTTTTTTGTGGATCCTTTTTACATGTAATGTTTATTCATTTTTCAGTCGATTTCAAATTTTTTTATATGAAATTGAATTCCTATCAAACAATCGCCTTGGGCAAACTGATAGTTCAAAAGTGTAGTCGAGATTGATCTTAAGACCCTTTGCCTCGTTCTTTTGCTCAGTTTTTTTTTTCTGCTTCCCGACCAGCTCAGAATGCAGGTACTGTGGCTGGAGCTCGAAGAACGTTTATTCAAAGTGGAAGCCTCCGTACCAAATTTCGAGAAAAAAAAAGAATGATTTCGGACATGAGTTCTCAGAAAACAAAAAAACAATTTTGCCCAAAAATATATCGAAAAAAAGAATGTAAAAAAGAAACCAAACCCAAAAATTTCAAGTCTTTAGTTTCGGTTGAAAATATCCGGGGGTTAGGGGAAGGGGGAAGGGGGCGGGGAAATGGGGTGGGATCAGGTAAGTTTAATATATGCACAATACCAAGATTAATTTGCTTTTTTTTTCAGATCGGCCACGAGAGACGGGAGCACCTCTTCTCTACACGGTGGGCTCAAGTGAGCAGAAGTTCGAAAAAGGTAAGAAAGTTTACGAGTTTAAAAAAAAGTAGATGACTTAAGGAATTTTATCAAGAACTTATTTTCTTCAGTTCAAAATTTTATTATTAGTATTAAAGTATTCATGTTAAAGTATTCACAGTGTACCCAAAACAGACGTGTGCAGGCGGACAAAGAAATGAGCCGATCCATTTTCGAACCATGATTTTCCGAACCAAATCAGAATCAATGCTGAGGCCTTCTGCTTTCCAGAACCAAACGTTTCAATGTATCAATCTTTTAGTTTTTTGGCCATAATTTTTTTTCTTAGTGAATCTTTTTTCGAAAACTGAACTGGTTATGAATATAGAAAAATCTTCTATATCGAACACCAAAAAAAAAAAATTTTTTGAAAATTTTGGAACAAAAAAATCTATATTACGCAGCCTCGCGAATGTAGCAATTTGGTTTCTGAATTAAATTTTCAACTTTTTTTCCCCATTGTTTCAGAACTTTCAAGATTTCACATTCCCAATTGAAAAGTTCATGTAAAATTGCAAAACAAATGATACACGAATTCATTGGTTTCACAAAAATGCTATAAGAAGAAGATAAAGTTTTTGTTCTTACAAAAAATATGAGGCAGCGAGTTATTGTAAAAGCGTCGGATTTTTGAGGCAGTTTCAGATCAAAAATCATTCTTCTTTGGACGAGTTCTCGCCAGAGCATTGAGCAACAGCTTCCAGCAGTTTCCCAGCCTTTCTCATCGTGTCGAGTTCTGTGAAGCCGCCGACAAACTTGCCGCAGATGAAGATCTCAACAGAATTTCGTGAGCAATGAATTAAAATTATAAGCGAACTGCTGAAGATGGATTATTTCATATTTTTAATGAAAAAAGAAGGAAAAAAATACGAAATAAACTCAATTATTTTTGCACTTATCGATTTTTCCGTAATCATTTCGACATACTCAAAGGTGTTAAAAAAAACTTCATCCAAAAACCCCCCGTGATATAAAAAAACTTCACGGTGCTTCAATTCATTCTGTATTGTTTTTCAAATTTCAATTGTTTGCTGTATTTTTCGCAATTCGCAGAGCCAAGTTGCGAAAGAAGCTTTTTCTAAAATAGCTTTTTCCTAAATGATCTTTCAAAAAGTGACCGTCTAGTCCGGAAGTCCTATACATCCAAAAAAATTGTTAACAATTCCAGAAAATCACCTGCGGAACGGTGGTCTGATGAGTCGTGTAGACAAGTCCATTCACGCGGCTCGTATATTCCTGATCGGCCAGCTCTTTTTTCAACGTATCCAGGTTGACTTCCTGCACAATTTTGATAGTTTTTAACCGCAGAATAGCGGAAAAAATTGAAAAAAAGAAAAGCCAAGTGCAATGTGTAGAAAAAAATATATAACTAGAACTCGAGAATTTTCAGTTTACGCTCTGAATTTTGCTTCAGTTTAAGTTTTCCCTGGAAATAATCATGATTATGTCAGCTATTTTTTCCCTTAAAAAGCAGAAAAAAATATCGCGAATGACTTGTGTCGTAAAGAATCGAAAATCCAAATTTTTTTGTCATTTATTCCGTGTAAAATCTTCACTCGAAGTGGTCGCTCTCATTCTGAGGCTTCCACCTAGAGCACGGTCTCCGGGCTCCAGCTCAACATCCACTACATTCTGAGCTCGTCAAGGCGCAACTGGATGGACTACGCGCAGAAGGACGAGACGAAGGACCGTAAGACCATGCTTTCAACTCTTTCGACTACACGTGTGGACTTCTAGTTCGCCAAAGGCGGTTGTTCGTTATAGCTTTTAAAGTTCTTGTTCACCGCCTAGTCGATTACATCAGACTAAAACAACAAAATAAACGATTTGATTGATTGATTGATTACTGAATCTTTTCTTGAGAAAATAGTCGGCTAAAGTTAATCCATAAAGCGCCGATAATCATAGCACTGGCGGCTACTTTTTCCGTGAAAAAAGGGCGTTTTTGATTCTCCTTTTTTCATATTTTGAAACGGAAAAAATCTATGAAAAAAGTTAAAATAATTTTCCAAGTGAAAAACAAAGCAGGTGAAAATTGTTTTAAAAGCTGAAAATAAGCTAGCCTTCGAAACCAACCTTATACGGGATTTTGACGTCGGTCAGGAGATTTTTGGCTTTCGTGCAGAAGCCGCAGAACGTTTTCGTGTACATAACCACTGGCTCAGTTTTGACCTAAAGATATTTAAAACTTTATTTCAAAGTGTCATAATTCATCAGTTTTCTGTTTGTCCTTTGATTTTTTTGAAATATCAACGAATAAAGGCTTCCTTATTCTCTTCTCTTTCTCGAGAAAAATCTGATAAAATTTTCCCCAAAAGAAACAAAAGCACATCATTTTTCAGTTGTTGTGTCACTTTGCATTATTCGCTTCATATCACCTGCTTTTCAAACTGAAATTATGTTTCACTTTGCCTCATTTCTTACCTCCTATTTTTTAAGATGTCGATTATTGATTTCCGACTAATGAGATTTTTTCCAAGTTTTCAGATTTGGTTGAAAGTTTTTTGATATCCTCGGGGAAGATAATGCTTAGTTTAGTGCATCCCTAACCCAATTTTCCTAATAATTGATTTTTATTCCACTAGAATAGTGAAGTAAAAAAATCTTTAAAGTTTGAAAATCTCATAAATTTTATTTCTGCACTAATTTATTGGTAGCCCCTCTGCACTTTCTTATCATTTCAAAATAAAATAAATGTACTTTTCAGGTCAATTTTCATGGCCTATTTCAAAGCGATCGAGGAAAATAAATGGGTTCGAGTGATTTTCCAGATCCAGCCCTTTTTCGCCACCCCACTCTATATTTTCGCTTCGTTTTGCTTGTTAACCAAGTCTCCAAAGCAGTTGCGAGGCTACTCAAATTGTCTATTTTTGCACATAACTTTGTTGGTTTTTTTTTTCTCCTTGGACTTGAAAATTTATTGAAAACGGAACATTTTTAACAATCTAGAATAGTGAAGCTTCTTCGTAATCATTTTGATTCAGTTTGCGAAGGAAAAGCTTCAGATGCATCATAGCCGAATCGATCGTTTGCATCGGCCTGACTCCCATCTTACTAGCCCCTACACCAGCCGTTCTTCCAACGGGTCTACTGAATCTCTTGAAAATCTCAACTTATCATCAATGCGCGTTTTCGATCGAAGCCAGTTTCGGTAGGAGTCTTTCTTTTGTCTTTGAAAAAGCCCTATTTTCAGCCATGACCATCTCGCTCCTTCATTTATTCCTCTACCGGGTCATAAGTATTCTATCGCCAAAAAATTTGCTTCGCCACGCTAGAGCCTTCAGATATCTTCTGTATTCCTTGCTTTATACGATTCCGATGTTTATTTCGGCAGCGTTATTTATCAGTGAAGTTTTGCGGGACGATCAATTCATCGCGAAAAAAGAGGTGGAAGAGGTAAGTAAGTTTTCTTCGAACGTTAAAAGAAAATCGAAAATGGGAGAAATTTTTTATTTAAGAACTTCGAACAATAGAAAAAATTTAGAAAGTTTTTGAAAAGGTTTCGAAAAACATTGAAAGTGAAGTACTTGAACTTTTAAATGCTCACCAAAAGGTCCAAAAATCTCTTTGTCAGCGAGACTGATTTCATTTTACCTTTTAAGATTGTTGAAAAGCCACAGAGGTCCTAGGAAGTCTTATTTTTCACCTTAGCTCTTGTTGGACTTGGTCCATGACTATCACTTTATATTTGGTAAGGTCAGTTTTGACGTTTTTCAGGCGTCAGAGCGTCGAAAAGTTCAAAAACTGACCTTTGAAATCGAAAAATTGAGGCGAATTCGTAGCGACCAGATCTCCAAAAACTAGAAGTCCATAAAATATTAATGGATTCCTACAGGGGATTTCAAATTTTACATATAAACAATCTCGGTTCTAAAAGGGGAGTAACAAAAAAAGAAAGTTTGATAATTTGAAGAGACGTTACTGGGTGGAAAATTAAAAAATGACCGTGTAAAATTTGAAAAATGACCGTGGTCACTAATGAAACTACTATAGTAGCCATTATAACTAGACACCTGAAGTGCTCACTAAAATTTTTCCCGATGCGAATTTCCAGGCCTACGACCAAGTGCCCGATTGTCTTTGGAGCGAGAAAGTCTACGTGGTGAACATGAAGAATCCGTACGTGACGGCAGTGGTCGTCGCCGTCACGACGGTCTGTCTTCTGGTGATCGTCTTCGCGACGGCCGCCGCCACTTTTGTCTTCGCCACCTTCCAGACCAACGTCTACAAAATGTCGCAGAGGACCTTGAAGCACCACAAATCTCTGGTCTACTCTTTGATAGGAATGGTCGGTCGTCTTTTTTTTTTTCTTAAACTTGAAGCTTATAGAGGAAAGAGCTTACCAAAGTGCTTAATCGGGGTTAGCATTTTTATTGAAGAAGAAGAAAGTTCTTGGCTACTAAGCGAGAGGCGCAGTTTTTTTTTTGACATGTTGGGAATAAGGGTGACCTCTGAAGCAAATGAGAACGGAATTTTTCAGAAAATTTCCAATTATTAAGAGTATGATTTTTCCTTATTTTTGAAGAAAATAGCGACTAGTCGAGATTTCTAAAAGAAATAAACTGTAAAAAGGCATAGGTACGACTTTAACCCAACTTCCATAGAGCAAAGATGCTTACAGAAAAGAGATTTCAAAGGCCAATTATTTGCATCCAACCTCAAACTTAAATACTCAGGTATCCGTCCACGTGCTTGTCGGCCTGTTACCAGTTCTACTCGGCACGGTCACTTTCCGTTGGGATTTGGGATATCGAAGTGAGTACGAACCATGATTTTATCAATGGAGCGCAGATGAATTTCAGAGACTCTAAACGCCTTTTTATTGATATTTTCCTGGCATGGGACCTGTTCAACCTTGGCAATGTTAACGTTGACCACCGCCTATCGGAATGTTTCGATCGAAGTTTTGAAAAAAGGTGGGTTGAGAGCGACACAGCCCGAAGGTTCTTGAAAAAGGAAAAGAAAAAGGAAAAAGGGCTATTCATTAATTCAATCCTTTACTATAACTTATTATGACCTTCTTTTATTCAACACACCTTATCCTTCTAAAAAGGACCTTTCCGATAAAAATTCGTGAAAACGGGAAAGACTTTTGAAAAATCTTTTGTTTTTCTGAAGACCCGCGTCAGGTACTTTTGGACTATAGTGTATGAATCAGAGGCCAAACAAGTTAAATTATATGTTCAGAAACATAAAAAAAAATCCTTAGTTTCTGCGTTTTTCGCAATTTGAAAACTTTTCTTGAGCCTAGGAAAAACTATGTTCTATTGGAGCTTTATACAAGGACCAAAAAAACGTCAATTCCCAAAAAAACTCTGACAACTCACTAAAACCTTAATATTCTCAAGCAATTTTTTCGATCTTCTAAAAATGTTTTTTCAGGATTCACAGAGCTATTGAAGCTGATCCGAGGCGAGCCACAGCTAGTTCCAGCCTGGTTCTACCAAACTCCGCTAGGAAAACCAAGTCGTCGAATTTTGATAAGACCTCTGGCGACGATACACGTCGACATGAACCTCAGACATTGATTAAAACAAATAAAAAGGTTTTTTATTGATAAAATGACGAAAAGAAACAAATTTGACCAAAGAACCATAACGAATCACCAAAAAGCAGTCTTGAAGTCAAACACATCTTTAAAAGAAAAAAAAAGCTGAAATTCGGTGGAAACCCCCAAATTTTCTTTAACGACTACTCATCCTAGCATACCTCAAAAAAAAAAAGCAAATTGCACGAAATATAAAGAATCGACTCTCGTATTAGATCATTTCAATCCAACAAATGCCTTGTCCCGAGTGGAATTCGACCCTTTATCAGTGGATTTTGCATCTTCAAGTGATAATATCCCTTCCTGTCTATTTATTCGCTTCCTTTTGTTTGTTGAAAAAATCGCCTCCAGCCTTCAAAGCTTATTCTCAGCGAATGTTTGCTCATATTACAAGGTAACCTTTAAATTATCACAAAACTTCAGGTAGAAAACAAGCATTCAAATTGGTAAGTCGCAAAACTCAGTTCAAAATGTTTCAGCCTTTAAAAAGAGCCCTAAAAGACGATAAGTCCAATCCGCTCCATTAGGATAATGCTAGCCTTGAATCGAGTATAGCTGTTTAATCGAGTATAGCTGTTTATACTTCAGTTTAAAAAAATTTGTTAAAAATTCAGAAAAGGCATTATTCTATGATTTTTTTCCCTGGAACGCATTTGCATACTCCAAACTATATTTTTAAAAAGCTGTTTTTCTAAAGATTTTTTTAATTGTGAAACAATTTTAAACCAAATTTACATGAGCTTAAAACTTTTATCAGCTGCAATTTGGCTGAACCAAGTTTTCATGGCCTATTTCGCTTGAATGTTTTGTTCATGAAAACTTTCAATTTCTCTGAGTTTAATTTCTGGAAACTTATTTTCAAATATTTCATTTTTAATTTTGATTCAAAAATAATTTTTATATAAACTTCTACTATTCTTTAAAAAAATTAAAGGAGCCAACATTGAAGCGATGCAATGAAAAAAAACCTCTCAACAACTTTTTCAGCTGCTTCGTGGCTGAAACGAACTTCTGCGCTGGTGTGACTCCTGTAGTTATGTTACCACTTACGACCTTCTATCCCTGTGGCTGGCTCCGATTTCTGGGAATTCCCACCCTTTTCCAAATCTACATCATGCTCACTCTGTTCTCTTGTGAGTAGCTTACCCAAAGTAATGTCTCCGATTTCAAATCATCGTTTGCAGTAGCTCTATGTACGACGATACATTTATACATCTATCGATTGGTCGCAGTCTTACCAAACGGACAAAACTCAACGAACAAAAATAAATCAATAAATCGGATGATTCCTGGATTCATTTTCACAATTGGAGTTTTGTTTATTCCGATTTTCAACACGCTACTTTTAAATAACAACCAAGTCCCTCTCAAGATCAAAATCATTGAGGTTCGGCTCTTTGAGTTCAACGAAAATAATAAAACAGACAAAATGAAGAAAAATATGAAAAAGAAACAAGATCTAGTAGGAAGGCGCAAATTTAATTTGAAGAATAGAGTAAATAAAAATTAGTGATCTCTAGACAAAAGTAGAGTTAAAAAAAGTTTTGATAAGGTGAATCTAATCGCAGTTACTTTCAGAGATTTCTATAAAATATGAGGTTGAGTTTTGTTGCCATTTTCGTCTGTTTCTAAAAACTTTCCTGACAAAATAGTTGCAAAAAACTGAGAATTTGATTAAGAAAACAGGAAAGTACGCTTCAAAAATCGGTTGAAAAAGTCACGAAATTCAGGATTTGGACGGCTGTGCTCCTGCGAACCTGATGGACCCCAATCTCTACATAATCAACCTGGAAGATCCAAGAATCCAGTTGGCCGTTTCTATTCCGGTGTTTCTTTTGGCCATTAGCGGCTCATGTTGCTTCATCCTCACAATAACTTCGTCGATTCTCCTCAAGCAGCATTCCCGTCAATTTTCTTCTCAAACTAACAAAATGCAACGTTCTTTCATTTTATCATTGGGATTACAGGTTAGAAGTTTTTCTTCAGAGTTAAGTTGATTTCTTTGTCTGATATGAAGCAAGAAAAAAGTCATTCCAAATGCGACTCGGAAAAAAACCCTTTCCCTCCTACTGTATTCAGATATCCGCTAACAAGCTTTTTCAAAAGATTATTAACAGTTTTTTTGAGGAGAAAAATTATTTTCGTTTTCAGATGTGCAGTCACACGATTTTCAGCGGCGTTCCAGTTATAGTCATTCTGATTCATTATTTCAATGACATCCTAACAAAGGGTAATTGGTTCAAAATTAGATTTCTGAGGTGTTTAGGAGCTCCGAAATCGCGAAAAAAGCTGATGAAGCTTTTCCGAATGGAATATTCAAGCTTTGAGACCTTTAAAAGCGCGGAAAAAAAGTTTTTTTAAAAAATTCAAAAAAATCTGTTCATGAATTGTTGAACTTATAAGATTTTTTTCCATATAATCTCCTCTCAGAACTTCTGAACACTTGCATGGTGATTTTCACTCTACACGGAATCGTTGCAACGCTCAGTATGATGGTTTTCAATTGTACCTATAGACGCGCCGCCAAAGATCTCATTTGTCAGAGTTAGTCAAACTTATCCTATTCATCTTTTGTTCTCCAGAAATCTAATTCTCAATAATGAACCATTTACAGTGCTGCACGTTGGACGAAGGCAGCCGCAAATTGACCGAAAATCTCCCCATATTCAGACAGTTTCGCCTTCGATAGTCATAGGATAAAAACCAGAAACCAACCATGATTTGATAACTTTAAATAGGAAAGTTGTACTAAGAATTCTAACAGAACGGCTTTAAAAGCTTTTTCAAAACTTTAACAGGTGCAAAAGGAAGATGAAAAAAAAGCGTCGCCGGGTACGAAAAAATTAAAAAAAATTACTAATTTCGATGCATCTGCTAGACAAGGAAACAAATGTCACTATTTCATTTCTGATCTGAAAATGCCGTGTCCCGAGTGGAGTTCTTCTCTTTATCAATGGCTTTTACACAGCATCATGTTGATCACTGTCCCCTTGTATTTATTTGCATCCTATTGTTTATTGAAGAAATCTCCGACTTTCCTAAAACCTTATTCAAATCGGATGTTTGTGCACATAACAAGGTGAGACTTGATTTTGATAGGGAAAGAAAATTCAAGATTTTCAGCTGTATATTCACAGAAACGTTGATTTGCCTTTGCGGTGTTCCGGTCCTTTTACTACCGATTTTCGCCGGCCTTCCTGCCGGCTATCCCGCTGGTTTTACTCGTCATCTTGGCGTGCCTACTTATATCCAAGAGACCATAGAGCTCTCTTTACTTGCCAGTGAGCTCAATTTTTCATGGAAACTCCATGAAAAAAAGAAGTCTTGTCCAAAAGAAGTGATATTTTACAGCAGTAATGGTTTCAACACTTCATTTATTTCTGTACCGATTTTTCGCTGTCCTACCGACAGAGCATCCTTTGCTTCCAAAAAGCAGAAGCCGGCTATTAGCGGTGCTTTCGGCAATGTATTCGATTGGAGTTGGGCCGATTGCAATCATATCTGCGATTACATTGAATACGGATCAGAAGGCTTTGAAGCTAAAAGTCATAGAAGTAAGTGAAAACCAGGTAAAAGTTAGGCGGAGTTCTGAGAAAAAAACGTTCACAATTTTTTGAAATTTTTACACTTTTTAAATAGGAATAGTTTTGAACTAGAAATGAGCTTTTCAAGTGGCGGCTTTAGGTGCTACTTAGACCGTGAACTCCAGTGATTCATCTAAATTCTGAAAATCAATATCATCAAGTCATAGTTTATCCTTTTTTCCCAGGCGTTTCGCGCTTTAAAACCGTGAGCGCCCATGAAATATCCAATATATCAACTTAATATCCTCAATCGATAATTCATTCTATTTGTTCTCCAGGTCTACGGTTCATGTGTTCCGCCTCTTCTGATGGAAGACTACGTCTACGTTCTCAACACCAGAGATTCTGGAGTCGTAATTCTATCTTTCACCTTATTTTCAACAACCGGAATGGTTATATTAACTTGCTTCGGATTAACAATCGCTTGCTTCATTATTCTCCGGGGCTACACCAGTCACTTATCTGCCAAAACCGTCAAAATGCATCGAACTCTTATCGTATCTTTATCTCTACAGGTTCAAAAAACAAGTTACCGCTGATCTTAAATCCACATGAGCTCAGGCATTTTCCTACTCTTTGATCAGCGGAATCCCAGCCGCTATCATTGGAGGTCATTATGTAAGGGAAACTTTAACCAATGGTAAAATAATCAATCTTATGATAAACTTCATGATTTTGAAAATTCAGAAATATTCGAAAAGTTTTTCATTATGCTCAATTTTCACGGCACCGTCGCGATTCTTAGTATGCTTATTTTGAATACGACCTACAGGCGAATGGCAAAAGAATTGCTTTATCAAAGTTAGCTCCGATTTTCTGATAGAACTTTTTTGTCACTAGTGATGAGTACTATAGGCCGTTCGCCGCGACTTGACACTTTTCGAGTGTCTGCGTCTCTCTGTTCCCTCACCGGCGAGGTCAGAGAAACGTAAAATTACCACGTCAACATGAGAGAGTCGCCGAGAGACGAGGAGGGCGCAGAGAAAAAAAGAGTTTTGATCTGCGAAAAACGGAGTATTTCCAGTACTAAAACGACAGTTTTGATACAGTAATTTCACAGTACTACCACTACCTCTATTGTTTAACTTGATTGCAAAAATCCTTGATTTGCAAGGTCAAATGGTTGTAGTGACCCGACGGTCACGGACCTAAAATCAAAGGAATTTACACATTGGAAGAAACAGATAGACAGTACTGATACACACTCAAAGTTGATACTCTTCAAATAAAAATAGCGATTTTCAGTTTTCCACGGAGGCCGACTGCAAAATCAAGCACGGAGAAACTCGCCTTCTGTCATTCTAGTCAGGAGTATTGACCTTCTAGCGCGGGAATAGATTTCCGAAAAATCAAACTATTATTATTACTGTCATCTCATTTTATCACGTCGACTAGTCGGTCTCATTGCCGCTCTCTCATGTGATATAATATTCCGACGCCCGTCGGTTCTGGACAAGCTGGGCGCTGTACTGTTCCAACATGGTGAATCAGTTTATTCGCTGTCACACCGGGACTTATTGGACAACGATTGTGGAACGACTAACTCTTCGATTATGCCATGATTCAGCAGAGATTTTCTTCAGCTTACTCTGAAGACTCAATAAATCAAAATCGAAATTCAAATTGAAAATCAAACTAATAAATATATTGAATTCGGAACAACACTGGAAGTTGAAAGCATAAAACACGAATTTCAAAAATAAAAACGTCATGCCTTAAAAATTTTTTTATCACATTTTCTAACATTTACTGTCATTTTAATGTTTTTTTGAGAAAAAAATCAATATCAACTTTGCGCCATATATATATATATAGTTAATCAACACATTCTACTTTTTACCAAGACAACTTTACGGCCAGTATTTCAAAAATTAAGCTTTCATAACGGGATTTAAACGGAAACAGAAAAAAAAGTGAAGAAATAAGCGGAAAACGGTAATGAAATTTCTAGAGAAACTGCTGTAAATTGCATTTTTGGCGCAAAATCATTACATTCTTGCTCCGCTCCCACTTTTTAATCAATTTTTTTCTATAGAAGAAAGAATGTTTTTTTAATTTTTTTGAAGAAATCTTAAGACGAATAGAAGGCTTCAAAATATGAAATCGGAATCTCAAAAATCCACGTTTTCGACCTAAAGTTCCAATAATCAACCTTTTTCTTAAACTCATAAAAAAGGTTTTTTTCGTTTTTTTTCACAAAAGATTCATACCAAAAACTAAATTTTTCTCTTTTCTAATCGGAAAAAAATTTATTATCATTTGAATTGGAGAAGTGAAATATGAAAACGAGGTACGGTATGTTTGACGCATACACACAGACGCCCATTCGCACGAATTTTTCCAAAAAAATTAAGAAAATGCAATTTTTCGAGGTTTTTTTCATCGTTTGAATTTTCGCACTGCTAGAATTTTTTCATTTTTTTTTCTCAACGATAGTTTTTTGGTCGTTTGACAAAATATCAAAAATCTAGACCTTGTACAACGGGTCAACGAATCAAGAAAAAATTGTAAGTTTTCGTAAGTTTTCGCTGATTTCAAAAAACTTCCTAATATCATGTCTAAACAGTTTTCCTTTATTTCAATCATATCAGCATGCTATGGGTCAACTAAAAAAAAGTATAGCACGGCGCTGAAAATTTTTCGCATTTGAACCTCAAACTTTAGTACTACTTTGCAAGTTCAAAGTTTTTTATGGACCGCTCGATTTTTTTTATATTTAAACTCATAAATTCAAGAATATCTTAATGAATATAATGCTGAAAAAGCAAGAGTGCCGGACATGTATATTTCTGAAACTCGATGATATTGTAAATTTTGTTTAAAAATTTCAATAATTTCTTTTTGAGTGTATTTTTGAAAAAAATGGAAAAATTTGAATGTATTCAGTTTTTTTAGAACGATTTTAGAATACCTAAGTTTGGTCAAAAAAGATATTATTCAACTTCCGGGTTGAACTGCTTGAAACACTTGAAAACCGTTTTTGCAATGAAAAAAATCGTCAATTAGGTGGTGTGAAGAGGCGGGGCTTTGCGCTCTCTAATTAAAATACACTGAACGAACCTTCCTAGAATCCTTCTGCAGCTTTTCTTTGAATTTTTTTAATAAATAAAAACCTTGGAGCAGGTGCAAAAAGAATTGAACAAGCGAACAGCAGTTTCGAAATAATTAAGAAAGATATTAAATTCGATTGGATTTGAATACAGCTGCCTTACGAGCAACTTCTTTGTCATTCACTCGGTTTACAAGACTCGGAGGATGTCCTGTCCTCATTGGGACTCTAACCTTTATCAGTGGCTTTTACACGGTGTTCTGCTGATTTCTGTTCCTCTCTATTTATTCGCTTCCTACTGTTTATTGAAAAAATCATCACGCACTCTAAAACCCTATTCGAATCGGATGTTCGTCCATATTACAAGGTAAACTATGACCTTGAAAAAATTTAAAAACTTTCAAAAATTTTTCGACTTTGTTTGGTAACGCGAACCAGACGACCCGAACGTATCGGACTATTTCTAGTGACCATTTTAGCAGGGTCAGCACTTAAGAGATCCCTAGAAATGCTCAGAAGCATCTGTAGCGTTTGGTTTTCGTTGCCGAGGTACGAGTTCAGAGGAATTCTTTTTTTAAATTAATATTTACAAACGTTTTGAAAAAGTTTTCTATGATCTATGATGAATGGCTCGAAGCATCGTAAGAAACATTCGGATGTTTCCATAACTCTTTTCTATGCTACCGCGCGCAAGTAGTTTTGAGTCGGGAGCGCCTTGAAGCCTGCTTCGAGTCATTGCAAGTGCGATCAAAAGATACAAAGGAAATCAAATCGATCTTATTCAATTTTTTCAAGTTGTGTGGTCACTGAAGTGACAATCTCGTCCTGTGCGGTTCCCGTATACTTCTTACCGATTCTGGCCGGTTATCCAGCCGGATTCACCCGTTATCTGGGCATACCAACGTATCTTCAAATAGCTATAAGCTTCGCTCTGTTAGCTAGTGAGTTTTTTTTTAATGAAAGAAAAAAAAACGCCACAAGTTTTCATTCAACTAAAGCCTGGCTTGTCTGCGCTCTCTTCTCTCTACTCAGGAATTTCATTGAACGATGAAAGTTGCTGGAAAATTCAGAGAGCACAGAGAAGCCACAAAACTTAATCATAGCAATTGGGGTACATTTTTCTTTCAAACTTTTAACTTAGGCGCTGTTCGCTTCAGAGTACGTCAAAAAAAAAGTTATAATTACAGCCGTTATGATGTCAACTATCCATTTATTCGTTTATCGAGTTCTCGCCGTCCTTCCCCTTGGACATTTTCTGATCCCGAAAACAAAATTAGCCTTGCTAGCGATACCAGCCTCGATTTACACTTTCGGAGTGGGTCCAATTGGAATTTTAGCCGCGGTTGTACTGAACACGGATCAGAAGGTTTTGAAGCTCAGAGTAGTTGAGGTGGGTCAAGGCTTCGAAAGTACCCGAGTTATTCTTACTAAAGTTGTACTTTGAATCGTGATTCTTAAATGATTTCAAGATTTTTCAGCTGCTCGGGCAAATCTAGAAAAATTGAAATTCATAAATCATTTATCAAAAAATTATAATTCTAGCTTGTCTGCCTTCTTTTTTATGTTTTCAAGTTAACTCCTGTTTTTCTCTGACCTCTTAGGCAAGAGAAAAGAGAGCGCAGACAGGTCAGATCATTTTTTTCAAAGTTTTTTGATTCTGAAAACTTTGTGGCTTTGACAAAGATCCTTCAACAGCCTCACAGAAAATATTACTGTAGCCTTCTATTAAATCACTTCAAAGTAAGAATTTATGGTTTCTTCATTCTTCGATCTATGCTCGATCTTTTGATACAAACGTTTCTTTCAGGAGTACGGAAAATGCATTCCATCAATTTTCTGGGAAGACTACGTTTACGTTCTCAACACAAAAGACCCGGGAATCGAATTTTTATCAGTTTTCCACTGCTCCATCTCGGTTCTCATCGCGGTTGCTTGCATCGGCCTCACATTAACCTGCTTCCTTCTACTCAAACAGTTCACCCAACATTTATCCGCTCAGACGATCAAAATGCATCGCGCCTTAATCTTATCTTTGTCACTACAGGTGAGTTTCTAAAATATACTTCATTTCTTAATCTTCACAGGGGAAGTTTTTTTTTTGAATTTTGATAAAACTTGGTTGAAGTGTTCTTTTGGACCTACTAACACCAGCTCCTCGGCCTTGCCTTTTAAAAGAGCTATTAAGCTTCGGCAGCTTCTAGGAACTTTTTTCCTGCAATTTTCCGAATATTGAAACTTCTAATTCGACTAAAAAGCAAAAGCTGAATTTTTCTTCTTTTTCTAGAATCGGAAAGTCTTGAATTGCAACCCAGCAAAGTTTTTACAAGACTTCGGGGCAAAAAAAAAACGATGCATATGAGAAAAACCACTAAAATATGTCTAATACCTCTCATTTACACACACTATTTCGCTAAAACTTCAAGCCACTAGTGACTGAACTATACTTTTCCATATGGAGGATTTCTCAATTTTTCCAGGTCTTCGCTTATTCTGCGATTTGTGGCATCCCTAGCACCCTCATTGGAGTTCATTATTTCAGAGGAACTTTGACAAATGGTAGATTTGTTCTTGGGATTTTTTTGATTCGTTTCGCTGTTCAGAAATTTTCGAATACTCTTTCACTATTCTCAATTTCCACGGCGTCGTTTCAACTCTAAGCATGCTTATTTTGAATAAAAACTACAGAAGGATGTCAGAAGAGCTACTGTATCAGAGTGAGTTCTCGGAAAGAAAAAAAGGAGGATAAAATTATTAGAGAAATGCTGAATTTCATTCGGATGGTTCATAGAATTTATTTTTTTGAGAACTTATAACAATAACTCTGCTGTAGTACAAGAAAAAGTCAAAAAAAAAATGGAAACAATTTTAAAGAAAGTTTTTTCCTGTCATTTTTACAAACTTGAAAATTTGTCGAAATACGTTTCACACCGTGTAAATCTACTCATGAGTTTCTCCATTTTATTCGAATCTCTTACGACTGATCAGGAAAAAAATTTGGATCCTTTATTGAATGGTATCTAGTAGATTCTACTCAAATTTTAATTCAATTTACTCAAAAAAAAGGAATTGCTAAAAAAAATGACACAGATTTGTAGTTTTTTCATAAGTTTTTCAAAACAGAGCACATCGAGGGAGTTTTATTCTGGATACAATTCTAAAGTTCAAAAAAGGAAGATATTCAAATAACTTTCTTTTTTCAGTATTCCACGGAGGCCGACTTCCGCCAAAGGAAAAATCCAAGAAAACCAGTGCTTTTTTCCTCGTTACTGATTCGTTGAAAAAAGGATCAAGTTGAAGTGAGCAAAAAATATTTTGTATGCTTGGTATTATCTCGAAATAATCGCCATGGTCTGGAAAAAAAATATGCAAATTTACTATACTCCACTCAACAAAACTTCCTGCTTCCGGGAAAACGGTTCAATTTTATCAAGTTCATTCAATAAACCTCCAAAATTTCCCAGAACGCCCAATAATGCTCGACAATTAGTGCAAAAAAGGAGGCACTTAGCAGGTGTGCGTAAAAAGGAAAAAAAATAATCTTGTTACAAATGGAACAAAAAAATAGCAATTTCAATGCACTTGATTACATCTGCTCGACAGATAAATTTATTTTTCTCGCTGGAGAATTGAGAAAATGTCTTGTCCCGAGTGGAATTCGACCCTTTATCAATGGCTTCTGCACTGTTTAATGCTGATTTCTGTTCCACTGTACATTTTCGCTTCCTACTGTCTTTTAAAAAAGTCGTCGCCTTGTTTGAAACCGTATTCGAACCGGATGTTTGTCCACTTAACCAGGTAAAGAAGCTTCAAATGTACAAAATGCTTCAAAAATATGAATAATGAGTGAAATGATGAGTATGCCAAGAAAAATCTGAATTTTCTCCCGTCGTCTAGAAAAAAAAATACTTCACTAGCTCCGACTGAAAACGCTGGCCGCACTTGGAATGGCTCAAAGCGTCGCGGTTAGAGTAAAGTTTAGCAGATGGGTTTAACGCGTTTCGCAATTTCGCTTTTTTGATTTATTTGGGAAAACCAAAAATTTTAAGGTTCTATTCTAAGAAAAAAAAAAGTTGTGCCGGTTGAGCGCTCCAGGTTTCTACATCAAAATAAACTCAAACGAAAAAAAGAAAATTTCAATTCTCTATTGAGTGATATTGGTCTTGAACTTTTTTCCAGCTGCCTGATCACGGAAATAAGCCTTTGTCTTTGTGCTGTTCCTGTACTTTTCCTGCCAATCAGCGCCGGTTATCCCGTCGGTTTCACACGATACTTAGGCATACCGACGCGTATTCAAATTGCCATGGGCAATGCTTTATTTGCTAGTGAGTCTAATTATGATAATATTAACAGGGAAATTAAGTTCGGAAATTTCGTTACGTCATAGTATTTGAGTATGAAAAAAATAAGTTCAGATCTAAACTTGAGAAATGGTTTGAAAACAACATTACAGAACTAAACACTCTTGATCCAACAAAAATATGAAAGCTACATAATCGACATCTAAAAGAATAACTTCATGGTTATTCCAATTTACTCAAGTGGGGGGTTAACACGACCGCGAGTCCTCTTCCCTCCATCACCACAAGTTCCGACACATATGTTCCCAAACTCTCCCTACATCTATTTCGTGAAATTTAGTACTTGTGTGTGAGAAATAAAACATTTTGATTGATTTGATTGATTTCTGAAGATTATCCAAAAATTCCTCAAAGGTTTAGATAGAATTCCTCATATTTGCTACATGCGCGAGTTTTCCTTTTAAGGTATGAATTTTAAAAACTCCCGCTTAGCACAAATTTAGGCATGAAAACCCGTAATTGGCGCTTCAAGGTATTTATATTTTCTCAGGTTTTTGACACGATTCTTCAATTATCATTTTTTAAAAAAAGTTCAAACGTCTCAGTTTTTATTTCCGAGAAACTGATGATTATTCCATTAACAGCCCTAATTAACTTTTTATTTAAAGAATTACAGTAGTAATGATGTCCACCGTGCACTTATTCGTCTACCGACTATTCGCTGTCCTTCCCCCGGGGCATTTTTTGATTCCAAAGACGAAAATCGGGTCATTAGCGATTATTTTATCCATTTATTTAATTGGAGTCGTGCCAATTACAACTTTGGCCGTGGTGATGCTGAATACGGATCAGAAAGTTTTGAAACTACAAGTGATTCAGGCGAGTCTTTTTAAAAATGTTGGGGATTTGCATTTTCCATACAAACATAGATAAGACTTTCTGAATAATTTTTTGAAAATGAAATTTGAAGTGATTTTTTTGAGGAAGTCTAGTCAACTTTTTTTTCTGGTTTTCATAACCGAATTCGCGCCGTTTGTCTTATCCAATAAATTTCAAAGTTCCTTGTTTTTTTTCTATTTCTTGCTGAAGCTAGGCAATGAAATTCACATCGAATGAAATTTCCACATGCGCATTAACAAGGAAAAAATGAGAAAAAAAATAGAAGATTTTAAAGAAAAAAACCGTAATGATAATGTTTTAAGAAATCTTCCAGTAACATTAGCTGCATTACTCGTGAGAAAAGGAACCACCTTTTGAAGGAATTTCGAAAAAAAATATAGGAAAGAACTTATTCGCAACAGTATTTTAAAACTATTGGAACCCAAATGAAAAATTCAAGAAGAGCTCAAAATTCAAATAAAAGTTGTTCTAGGATTATTCTCCATGCATCCCACCCCTTCTGATGGAAGACTACGTCTATGTTCTCGACCACAAAAATCCGGGAATCGAATTTTGGACGACCGCTCATTTTTCGCTTTCCTTTACCGTCATTCTTGGTTGTATCGGTCTTACTGTCGCTAGTTTTATTTCATTAGTGCAATCTACACGACATTTATCCGCTCAAACAGTCAAAGTGCAACGAGCCTTCATCATATCTCTGTCCTTACAGGTAGAGGTTTTCTATTTGTGTTTACCCTTTCACAGTCAGAAATGAAGCCAAAAACCACTAAAATCAATAAAAAAGAGGATAATTTCGACTTTTTGAGATTCAAAAAGAGGCCATTTAAAAGTTTTCTGTATGCTATTTATTGATTGACAGCGTGAAAATTCCGACTGAATTTGAAAGTGCCCTCCGTTAGCTATTTTTGAGAATACGCCGATTAAGCAGCGTTCGAAATCGAAGTATCTTTTCTGGTTTTGTTTTTAATTTCATTTTATCGAATCCTCAGGTCTCCGCCTATACCATCGTCTGTGGTATTCCAACAGTTTTCATCGGAAAGCATTATTTAAAGGGAACCCTAACAAATGGTACGTATATTCTGAAGATGCTAGGAAATTTTCGATTCATTCAGAAGTTTTCGAAAACTTCAGCATAATGCTCAACTTTCACGGCGCCGTCAACATTTTAGGCATGCTCATTTTGAATACGACCTACAGACGAATGGCAAAAGAATTAATCCATCAAAGTGAGTTTCTCGGTAACCTCGGAGAATGGCAAAAAGAGCTAAATATAAGCAATAGTACCAATTAAAATCCATATTTAAAAGCGCTCCGTATGAAATATAATCCGAAAATCGGGATACCGCATGCCAGGACACGATTCGTCATGCCGAACTGTGAGAAAAAGGCGAAAAGTCAGGACTTCTCACGAGGAAAGTCGAGTCACATTTCGGTTAGGAACACCTTGAAAATTGGTCAGAAACTCTTTCAAGTACCAAAAGTAGATACAGAAAGTCTCAGCCTGCATAGGTCCAAGTCTTTGAGAAATAAGGGATTAAAGCTTCAAACTAGCCTATTTTGTCGAACTTCGAGGGTTTTCTTCGATTTCGAGGTATAAATTCTCAAAAACAATAAAGTTGTGAATATTGAGACTCCATCAAAGAGTGTTTCGGTCAATTTTTAGAAAATTCCTATCCGTAACGTAAAAAGACATTACTGGAGCATACTTTCTGGCTCATTTTCATTCAAAACCGCTATCAAAAAAAATTAATCAGTTTCGATTTGTGTTTTAGTAATTTCGAGCGAAAAATTTCAGTACTTCACGGAGGTCGACTTCCTCGTACTTCAGCATCAAAGGCGACTCGTACCGTCTTTTGATGAGAAAACGGACTTTCGCCCTTGAAGAAGTATTGGATCGAAAATAAATTCAATAAACATTTAAATTTTTCAGAGCTCACAATGAAACTTGAACGAAAAATTTCTGGCTCAATTTGACGTTAAAACGAACAAAAAAACTGTATCAACAAAAAAACTAATTAGAAATAAATCAAAACATATTTTTTACGTCTTAAAACCATTTTATTATACTGAACTTCCTTCTTTCTATGAAACGTGAGCTTGAAAACTTTCAAAGAAAAACATTTTTGAACAGGTGAAAAAGAAGAATTACAAGAAGCCGAAAACCAGTTACGAAATGAAAAAAATCATCCGATTTAAAATAAAAAGATTAAAATCTCACATATTGATCGAAATCTAGTTTTTCATCTATGTTTTTTGATTCAAAACTTCATTTTTTTACTGTTTTGACTCCAGTCCAGAATAACTTGAATGACTAGTTTCACCGAATGAACACTGAGAACTGCTGATCGTCTAAATTCCTGAAATTCGACAGGTGCAAATTAAAAAGGAATATAATTTCACAAGTATCAAAAATGTCAAAATTGGGATTACATCTGCTGGAGGGGGAAACGTCTAATTCCTTTTTCTTTGAAACTGACAAAAATGTCCTGTCCGACGTGGGACTCGAACCTCTATCAATGGCTCTTACACAGTGTAATGCTAATAGCCCTTCCGCTGTATATTTTCTCCTCTTTTGTTTTGTTGAAAAAATCGCCGCCTTCACTGAAACCCTATTCATATCGTATGTTTATGCATTCAACAAGGTAAATTTTAAACTTTTTTAACAAAAATGATCTCTCAGGAATGAGATTCTAGATGCTACCTTGTAGGACCATCTTTTGCAATTCGGAAAATATAGTTGAAATCGTACAAAAGTCTCGAAGCCTGAGCTCATGTGCATTTTCATGATTACCATTTGACAAGATTTCCAAAATATAGCATCATTACAACAAATATATTTTTACTGACAATACACCTTTAAAAATCGAATTATTCAGCTGTATTTTAACTGAAATAACCGTCTGCCTCTGCGGTGTTCCAGTGACTTATCTGCCATACCTGGCCGGTTATCCAGCCGGTATTAGCCGTTATTCGATGATACCGACGCGTTTTCAATTAGCCATAGGCAGCGGGTTTTTTGTCAGTGAGTCAACGATCTATCATCATACTGTTTCAAGCCAAAACACTCCGAATCTAGAGTTTGCGGTCAGGAAAAAAACTAAAATCGACCCTGTTTGCACGCTATGCTCTTTTCCGATGAAATCAAACGCAAGCCGTTTTGCTTCGGGGGCCAAAAAGCAGTTTTGTACGTGTTCAGCTATTCCACTTACACAGTGACTTTACTGAATGTAAAAAAAAATTTTAATTCATTAGGCAAGTAAATTAAAATCGAAGAGATGCGGAGATTATTTTTTGCCTTTGGAATGACCATACATGCTTTGAGATCCATGTAGCCGACTCAAAACGGCTTGTGCGCTTAAGCATCCCAACTGTGTATCAACTTCTATCAACTTCACACCTGAAACGATTTTTAAAACTCTTTCTAATCTTCCACCTAAATGCGGTTATTCTTCTGATAATATCAACTATTTTGTCCTAAAAAAGTGCTCTGTTTCTATTTCTCTTCCACTTTCTATTATTTTCCAGGAATCTTATCTAACCGGTATCACTCCTTCATTATTTAAGTCTACTATAGTTATTCCTGTGCATAAAAAAGGTAGTCTTTCTGATCCAAATAACTTTCGCCCCATATCTCTCACTCATCCAATTTCTCGTGTATTTGAACGCATCATTACTCAAATGATAAGATCTCGTTTTTTTCTGAAAAAGTTCTCTCAATTCCAATTCGGCTTTCTCAATCGTAGGTCATGCAAACTATCTCTAATCAGCTCCCTTTCCTCCATTCAAAAAAATCCTTGGCATCTAATCTTCCTATCGATGCTGTTTATTTCGATTTTTTTCCAAAGCCTTCGATAAAGTAGATCATAACCTTTTTACGCCTAAAGATGTCCAATTTCGGCTTTAATGATACTCTCTGTCGCTGGTTCTCCAATTTTTTTATCTAACCGTTCCTCCATTGTAAAAGTTAACAACTCGTTTTCTAACAATTCTTTTTTTCTAATCCTTCGGGTGTACTTCAAGGGACGGTCAGCGGCCCCCTTCTCTTTCTCGTTTTTCATCAATGATATTGAAAAATTTTATTGATCCTCAATCCTCGATCTCTAACTTTGCTGATGACCTCAAGGTTTATAGCTCTTGCCCTGATTCGCTTCAAAGAAGCATAAATGGTATTTTCCAATGGTCAGAACTTTGGTCTCTTCCACTTGCTGTTGAAAAGACTTTTTCTCTTCACTTTGGCTCTAACAATCCTCAAACGGTCTATTTTCTTGATCAATTTCAAATCCCACAAAGATCAATTGTTCGTGATCTAGGCCTTCAAATTGATGAGAAGCTCTCCTTCAAAGACCATATTTCCCGTATCTCTGCCTTTGCTACATTACGGTCTAATCAAATACTAAATACCTTTAAGTTTTCTTCCCCCCTGCACTACCTCAGAATGTTTCAAACCTACGTGACGCCTATTCTCGAATATTGTAGTGAAATCTTTTCTCCCTCTATCTCGTCTGAGGAATGCTTCAAACTCGAGTCTTCTCTACGCCAATTCAGTAGAAAAGTTTTTATAAGATGCAATGTTCGCTTCAGTTCTTATTCTGATCGTCTCAGCCAATTTGGCTTTAAACCTCTCTTTGTACGTCGTTGTATGAACGACATTATTTCTCTTCATTAAATGATTTGCGGCTCTGACCATTTTTTTTAATCGCAATGACTTTTTTACTATTTCTGCTTTACAGAGGAATCCACTTCGACTTCGCACTTCCGGTCAGTTCTCTAAAGATTTTTTTCCAAAAACTATTCCATTATGGAATAAACTTACCTCTAGAATAAATTTTAACGTCTCTACGGATGCGCTACGGGTTAAACTTAATGATCTCCCTAACTCTGCCTTTTTTTCGAATCCATTCCTTCCCGTTTGCTCTGACTTCCTTTTCTATCCCCGGGTCATAGTCTACTCGTTAGGGTGGACTAATTCCCGTTTTGGTTATTCTGCTGCTTTCGTATTCTGAACTATTTTTTTATTTTCTAACAGTATGCAGTGAATAAACCTATTATTATTAACTGTGTTTTTCAGCAGTAATGATGTCCACAGTTCATTTATTTCTCTATCGACTGCTCGCCGTCCTTCCGCCAGGGCATTTTTTGGTTCCAAAAACAAAATTCGGCTCAATGGTCGTTCCGGCGTCGATCTACATTTTGGGAGTTGGACCAGTTATGATTCTCGCTTTGTTTACGCTTGACACAGATCAGAAAGCTTCAAAATTGAAAGCCATCGAGGTAGGTCCGAAAAGCATCCTTTCGAAGACTTGATCCAATAGATGTTAATTTTCATCAGCTTTTTTTTTTATTGAGGCAGAAGTCTTCGACAAAAACTATAGGTAGTGAAATAGGGGGAAGTTCCCCGTGGGCGAAACTTTTCAAGCCCTACCAAACTTGTAAAATCAAAATTTTCTTATTGCTGATCATATCACCAGCGTCAGGCCTATCCCCATTAAAAAAAAATTTAAAACCGAAATCGTTTTGAAAACTTAGATGAATCTTCCAAAAGCAACTAGTAGTTTTGTTGTCAGGTCAACAAAGCCGTCATTTTTTCCAAGATTATTTACTTTTTTTCAGCGCTACGCTCCATGCATTCCACCTTCACTGATGGAAGACTTCGTCTACCTTCTGGACACGAACGATCCGGGGATTCAGGCCTGGATCTTCGCCCACTGCGTCATCACCACTTTCATTTCGGTTTCTTCCATCGGGCTCACATTTGCTTGCTATTATCTACTCAGTCAATATACTTCTCATTTATCCGCCCAAACCGTCAAAATACAGCGCGCCTTCATCGTTTCTCTATCTCTGCAGGTAGAACATTTCTATCTCTATTTATCCTTTCATAATTATTAGGTAACCGCTTACTCTCTCATAAGCGGTATCCCGACTATCTTCATCGGAGGGAATTATTACAATGGTACGCTAACAAATGGTAAGCTTCATTTTAATCAAAACTTTTTCTGAATTTTGAAGCTTTTCAGAAATATTCGAAAACTTCTTCGTAATGCTCAATTTTCACGGCATCGTTTCAACTTTGAGTATGCTTATTTTGAATACGAACTACAGGCGAATGTCTACGGAATTGATTTATCAAAGTGAGTTTGAATATAATCCTTAATTGAATGAAGAAAGACAGGGAAAATTCAAAAACTAAATGGAAGGGAAAAAACCTCCTGAATGTGCTTTATATGAAACATTCACACAAAATGAATCGGACCTCGGTAACGCAGATCGGACGTTTCTGAGCATTTCTAGTGACCAGTTATGAGTGCTGACGCCGCTGAAGTGATCACTGGAGATGCTTATTAGAAACATCCGAAGCGCGTTAACCTGTTTCAACTTCAAAAAAAAATTGAACTTTAAATTCGTGGCTTTCTCAAAGGAGCACACTTGAAGCCAGCTGTTCCCAAATTTTTTAACTGAGCTTGGTTTTGAGTAACCCTCATTTCTTGAAGAAAATTTTCTTTTTTTTTTCTCTTTCTCTTTTCCTTAATAATCAACGGTTTTTTTCAGTATTGCATGGCGGTCGAATACCTTTCTTCACACCGTCGCAGAAAAGCAGAATTTCCGTTCTCTCGACAAAGTAATAACTATGTTCTTGGTTGAACTGCATTAAAATAAAAAAATCATTGCTAGAGCATTCATAATTGTAATGAAGACGCAGAGATCTCGAAAACACAAGAAAAATGGATACGTTTCAAGATTTTTTTAGAGAAGTCGACCATGCTTCTTTAGAAACTTTAACTAGGTTTAAAAAAAGTAGAGTCCAAGAAAAACGGAAAAAAGCTTTTGACATGTTTTTTTCAAAAAAATTCGAAACTATATTTTGGTAATTTATATGTTTTTTAATTTTCCAGTAAACAATTTATTTTTCCTATTGATATACCAAAAGAAGATTCTGGAAGCATCGCAATTTTAGAGAAATAAGAATTGAAAGCTCCAAACTTGCCTATTGGAACAAATTTTGAGAGATTTCTTTGATTTTGAAGTATAACTTCTTAAAAACACGAAAGTTGTGAATATTGAGACTCCATCAAAGATTATTTCGGTCAATTTTTAGAAAATTCCTATCCGTAACGTAAAATGACATTACTTCTCAGTGGAGCATACTTTCTGGCTCCTTTTGTTCAATATCAGTATTTCACGGAGAAACGAAACGTCCAACAGAGTTTGAAACTTGTAAAGATTCCAAGAAAAAAAAATTTCAACAGGTGCAAAAGAAGAACTACAAAAAAGTCGGAAACGAGTTCAATGAAAAAAATTCCGCCAATTTATAGAGAAAAAAAAGATTAAAATTTTACTTAATAATCAAAACCGACTGTTTGATTGATCTTTTATGAGTCAAAAACTCATTTTTCACTGATTCGGTTTCAGTTCAGAGTAACTTTAATTTCTCCAAATGATAACTGAGAACTGCTGATCGTTTAAAATCACGAAACTCGACAGGTGCAAAAAAAGGAATATAATTTCACAAGTATCAAAAATGTCAAACTTGGGATTACATCTGCTTGAGGGGGAAGCGTCTATTTCCCTTTTATTCCAAACGGACAAAATGTCGTGTCCGACTTGGGATTCGACTCTTTATGAATGGCTCTTACACATTATATTAATGATATCCCTTCCTCTGTATATTTTCTCGTCTTATGTTTTATTGAAAAAATCGTCGCCTTCTTTGAAACCCTACTCATATCGTCTTTTTGTGCATACAACAAGGTAAATTCAAACTTGGAACAAAATGATAAATGGCTCCTAAAGAGGTTAGGCCCCTAGAGGGGCAGAAAAGCGTCCCCTATTTGGTTAAAACATAGGTGGTCCTATAGGGGTTCAAGCCCGAAAGCTCAAGTGATCCATATTGGGTCTTTCAATTTTTCGTTCGGATTCCAAGATTCCAAGATTAAAAGGTTCAAATAACGCTAATTAATTGAGTTTTTCGCATGGGAATCCAACTTCTCATAGAGTTCACAAAAATAATCGACCAGCATGTTCCCTATAGGGGCCGTTTCTGAAAACTTGAATGGCCCTTATAGGGGAAGGTGGAGTGGCCCTCAAAATTGGACCTTTAAGGGTCCTATATATAAAATAAATATATTTTCACGGACAATATACCTAGAAAAATCGAAATATTCAGCTGCATTTTAACGGAAATACTCGTCTGTCTCTGCGGTGTTCCAGTGACTTACTTGCCTTACATGGCCGCATATCCAGCCGGTATAAGCCGTTATTCGATGGTACCGACGCGTTTTCAACTAGCCATAGGCAGCGGGTTTTTTGTCAGTGAGTCAACGATCAATCTATCATCATACTTTTTCAAGCTGAAACACTTCGAATCTAGAGTTTGCGGTCAGGAAAAAAACTAAAATCGACCCTGTTTGCACGCTATGCTCTTTTCCGATGAAATCAAGCGCAAGCCGTTTTGCTTCGGCTGCTAAAAAGTTGTCCAAAAAGCAGTTTTATACGTGTATAGCTATTCTAATTACAGAGTGACTTGATCAAATCTAAAAAATTCAATTCATCAGACAAGTAAGCAAAAATAGCGAATGTTCGTAGACTGATTTCTTGCCTTCGGATTGACCCAACATTTAGCGACCGCGTTGCTTCGAAATTCATTTAGCCGACTCAAAACGGTTTGCGCGCTTTAGCATCGCAACTGTATTTTTTTTCAGCAGTAATGATGTCCACAGTTCATTTGTTTCTCTATCGACTGATCGCCGTCCTTCCGCCAGGGCATTTTTTGGTCCCGAAGACGAAATTTGGATCACTGGCCGTTCCGACATCGATTTATATTTTTGGAGTTGTACCCATTTCGATTCTCGCGTTGTTTAGACTTGACACAGATCAGAAAACTTTGAAATTGAAAGCTATCGAGGTAGGTCAAAAAAGAATCCTTTCGAAGGTTTCATCTAGGGGCCACAACCAATTTATTTCAAAAAGATTCAAAAAGTATGTTTTACACTATTTGATAAAGGAGACTGTCAATTTTCATAATCCGTTTGATTTTTGAAAAAAATATCCACTGAGAAATAAGTTATGGCCAAATAAGTAGCGCGCGAAGTGTTCAACGGACACTTCGTTCAACCTTAACTTGATCCAATATGTATCCCTTTTCGTCAGCTTTTTTGGCGCAGAAGTATTCGAGAAAATTCATAGACACTGAAGACGGGAAAAGTCCCTTGAACTTCTGAAAGTTTTCAAGCCCCATTGAATTTGGAAAACTAGGTTTTTCTTATTGCTCGATATATCACCGAGGTCAGGCTTATCTTCATTTGAATAAGATATTAAAAACAGAAGTCGTTTTCGAAATTTAGATGACTCTTTCAAAACCAACTAGTTATTTTGTTTTCCAGGCTGAAAAAGTCGCCCTTTTTCCAAGATTATTTACTTTTTTCAGCGCTACGCTCCATGCATTCCACCTTTACTGATGGATGACTTGGTCTACATTCTGGACACAGATATTCCGGGGGTTAACACCTGGATCTCCGCCCACTATGTCATCGCCACTTTAATATCGGTTTCTTCCGCCGGACTCACATTCGCTTGCTATTATCTACTCAGTCAATATACTTCTCATTTATCCGCCCAAACCGTCAAAATACAGCGCGCCTTCATCGTTTCTCTATCTCTGCAGGTAGAAAATTTCTATCGCTGATCATTCTTTCATATATATTTCTTTTAATTAACAGGTAACCGCTTATTCTCTGATAAGCGGTATCCCGGCTATTTTTATCGGAGGAAATTATTACAACGGCACGCTAACGAATGGTGAGATCTTTCGATCGAAATTTTCATGAAAGTTGAAGCTTGCAGAAATACTTGAATACTTCTTCGCAATGCTCAACTTTCATGGCATCGTTTCAACTTTGAGTATGCTCCTTTTGAATACCAACTACAGAAGATTGTCCAAAGAATTGATTTATCAGAGTGAGTTTCAATAAATATATTACTTTGAATGAAAAATGGCAGGGAAGAATCAAAAAACTAAATTGAAGTGAAAAAAATCTCCTGAATGTGCTTTTTATGAAGTTTTTACAACAAAACTTTGATTGAGTGATCATTTTATCAAAATATTTTTTCTCTCCTTTTTTTCTTAAAAAAAAGTCTTTATTTTCAGTGTTTCACGGCGGTCGAATACCTTTCTTCACACCGGCGCAGAAAAGCAGAATTTCCGTTCTCTCGACAAAGTAATAACTATGTTCTTGGTTGAACTGTATTGAAATTAAAAATATTCGACAAAAATGACTAGAGAATTCATAATTGTAATGAAGGCGCAGAGATCTTGAAAACACAAAAAAAATTAATTTTTTCGATATTTTTGGGAAGTCGACCATGCTCCTTCAAAAACTCTAATTGGTTTTGAAAAAAGTAAATTCCAAGGAACCGCAAGAAAGTCATATGAACCACTTTAGAGAATGATTTCACCGCAAACCTTCAAGACAACACAAATTATCTTGTCCTTAACAATATTCAACTCTTTCCAACCTTTAATTTACTCAAGTGTTCAAACTACTAATCTGTGCAAACTCGGGGAATACCCTCAATTTGTATTCGTCAACCTTTTCTTACTTTCCGAACGAAAAATAAGCTGGAATAAATTTCTTCTTTTATTTTGTCAGAAATTAACCATTGTTCAAATGATTAATTATGGTTTTCCTTCTCGAAACTCGCAGATCGATTCTCTAATAAAAAAAAATTGCTTAACCCTTAAACGATCCGTTTCAATTTTTGAATTACTGAACCGATTCTCGTTTTTTGAAAATCGATTTATCTATAAAGAACTTCTATTCTGTGGGAGCTTCTAGTGGTTCTTAACATATATTTTTAGTTTCTCTTTTGTAGTTTCACTTTTTCACCTCAAGAAATATTCCAGAAGATTAAAAGGGAATCTTCAGAGGTGTTGGGAAAGGAAATCGGGAGCGTTTTTTCCATCCATTTTGGAGCTTTAAGTGAAACCTTCTCAGCTCCTTCTGAGGGTCTGTGAAGGAACATTCCCTTCCATATGCACTTTTCACGCTGAGCACAAAAAAATATTGTAAAACGAAGAACTCTCAGAAAGAAGGTTGAAAGAACAGGAAACATATAATAGAACGATAAAAAGTTGCAAACTTCACCTGTTCCATTCACTAAGAGAAACATTTAATGAAAAAAAAGTCGATTTTCTGAGAAGTGTTGACAAGTTCACGAGGTTGCTATCTCTAAAATTGCCAATGTTCATTCATTTTATTTATTTTTTCTCTTCCATTCATTTTAATTTTTTTTTTCTCATAATGAATTTCTGAGCTGATGTGTCTATGAAAGTCAAAATATTCGATTTTCCGTTTGAATTTGAGTCTTTTTGCTTGAATTTTTTCTCATTAAAACTTATCCTTTTTGCCCAGAGCTCTTTTTGAATGAACTCTACATTTTCTTGAATTTTGAATTTTTTTTGCCAAAGTTCTCATTCCAGCTTCAATATTCCCAAATGTTCCCACTGAAAACGTTTCTGATCGTCCCGGATTGAACTAGATCTTTCTTCAATTTTTCATCTGCGTTCCTAAAAAAAGAAATTTTCATTCCAGCTTAAATGTTTTCATTAATAACGTTTCTAACCTCTTCCTGAAGAAATCTAGTTGTTTTTTTATGTTTTAATTCTAAATCTTTCTCGTCAATTGCTAAAATTTTCATTCCAAATTTCAATTATTTTTAACTAAAAATCTCTCCAACCTGTTCTAGTTTTTTTCCTTCCCTCAATTCAATCTCTGTTCTCATTTTCTTCAAACTTTTTCTTCGAGAACTCTAATGATAACCGGTGAAATTTTGCGATCAAATGACGTGTTCCACAGGTGCAAGAACGAGGAAACGAGAGGAAGATCCAAAATGGATGAAAAAAGGTTGTGAATTTGAAAAGCAGCTGCCGTCAAAGGCAAAAGCTCATTTTCTCCTATATTATACGAAAAAATGGATTGTCCTCACTGGGATTCGAGTTTTTATGAACGGGTCATGCATTGCGAGTTGTTTCTATCACTTCCACTGTATTTATTCGCCTCATACTGTTTATTGAAAAAATCTCCGTCTTTTCTGAAAGGCTATTCTCATCGGATGTTCATGCACATAACGAGGTTGGTGAACGTCCATTCATAGGATTTTTTCTGAGTTTTAGAGAGGCGCAGAGGCTCAAGACCTCTATGAATTTTTTCTAGTTGTTTCTTCAAAAATGATCCAAAAAAAAATTAATAAAATTAGATGAGCTAGAGCCTTTTAAGGCTACTTCGTTTTTGAGTTCATTCTCAAGATTTTCTTCGAAATGTTTCTATAAAAAAAGGTATAGTGGTCATTATAGGGTTTTACAAGCTTTTCAAAGGAGACTGAATACTGAGAGTCTTGAAAAAGCTTCGGAAAAGCATAAAAGGACATTTTTTGAAATTGAACTCGTCTCCGGTTATCAGGAATGGACCAGTTAAAAAAATTCCCGAACTTTTTTGAAAACATGCTTTTCGACTTTTTACTTAGGGACCGCAGGCAGTTTTCTAGAAACCATCAGATTTAAATGATTTTCATATGACCTTGTACTTCATAGTCCTGGCAACTTTAAAAAAAAGAGATCTTGGAAAAATATTGACTCTGAACGAAGTTACAGCCATTAAAGCGCGCGTTTCGCGATTTCAATTCTCTGTAGAAAAATTTGGTCGAGGTCGCGAAAAAAAGTGGGCGTTGCAAGGGTGCGGCGCGCTCTCAAAGACCAGTAAAAAAAGTTAGAGAAAAAAAGTTTCTTGTTAATTTTTTTCGCACTAAAAACACACTAATGATAGTTTTTTTCATTATTGGAAATGATAGAACAATGTCCAAAGATGAGGACCAGCAAAAATAAACACTGAAAAAGAATAAGTTGAACGATTTTCAACGGCAAAAAAAGCAAAATTAATATTTACGGAGTTTTCAATGCTTTTGATGTTCAAAACTGTTAAAATATCATTAGGAAGCATGGATAAACGCAAATTCTCCCTGAAACAAGATTCGATACAGAATTCGGAACCAATAAAAGGTTGTGAATCCATAGAAACACGAATAAATTAATTATTAATGACTTTTATAACCATTCTTGTAGCAATACAGCACTTTTAAATGCGCTCAACTCATTAAAATCCACTTTTATGTCTTATTCAGGTGAATTTCCCGACTTTGAACGTGTTTTCCAGTGGAATCCGGATAGTGGGAGTTTGGCGAGACTAAAATAATTTTTTTGTTCTGGAAAAGCATGTGAAGTTCTATTTTGTTTTCCGAATTACATTACTGAACGTTTTGACTCATTTCAAAAAAGTTTTACGCTATTTTTGCTTTGAAAACATCGCGAATTCGGAATTTTCGTGGGTCGGTGAATGCACAATTTCGCCAACGCGCAAATGCAGGATGCTGTTTTTATTGTTCGAATGAATCAAATTTTGAAAGCACAAGCAGGATTTTTTTAATTTTTGACTATGTTAAAGAAAAAAGTAAATCAAATCAAAATAAGAAAAAAAATAATTTGCCTACGACGGCTAAAAACACTTTCCCAAGTGTTTCAAAAAAATCAAAAAAATCAAAAACTTATTTTTTTAAAAATTAAGGTTGAAATGAAAGTTTTGTTTTTTTATTTTTTTAAAATGTTCTAAAAATTCATAGAGAACAGTTCAAAAAAATTTTTACGATGTTTCGCGGAAAATGCCAAAGTTCCCGAATTTCGAAAGTTGCGATTTTCCGACGCTTCGATACTTGAAAGCACAAGCAGGAATCTTTTTATTTTCACTTATATGGTGTATTTTTACATGCTTAACAAAATAAGAAAAAAAAAATAACTTGCCTACGAGCGGGATTGTAAGTATTCAACGTTTTTCCACTTTTTCGCACAAAGGCGTCGCGAAAAAACGTCATTTTAACCGATCCTTTTTTTATTTACAGCTATTTCTCCTATGTAGAATTGTAGAGCATAGCCGATTGTATGTTTCCCTCAATTTTTTCCCAAAACTGTTCAGGGAAACTGCATAAACAACAATGAAATGTCAAAAATGCAACGAAATATACGACGATTTTTGGTCAGCGAGGGGGTGTGGCCTTGCGGTCCCTATTTTTACTTGAAAAAAAAAGGAAACATTTTCTTCCAAATAAACTTTATTCTGCAGCTGTATCATAACGGAATTCGTGATGTGCGACGGGGAAACTCCAGTATTTTATTTCCCAATATTTGCTGCTTATCCAAACGGTTTCTTCAGATTTTTGGGGATTCCAACGTTGGTTCAAATTGCAACGCTGTTCTCTTTATTTACGTGTGAGTCTGTAGTTTCTTTTTGAGAATTATTTCTCATATTGAGCTACTAAACAGCCCATCATTTTGCCGACCCTGTAAACCTTTAAAAATGAACTTGTGAGTCACTCATGAATGAGCTTTTAAAAATGCCTTTTCCTGTGTATTTTTTTGAAACGCAGATCTTTGCTTCTCAATCGTCATAAGCTGTAATTTTGAGGGGCTGATTATGTGTGTAAGAATGTGTAGTAAGTAGTGAAAATATAGCTTGAACTTTTTAATCGTAGAAGAAAGAGAGAAAAAACCATTATATTTGGACTTCTAGATAAAAATCTATGACTATAGAACAAAATAAAAATGATTAATTGATTGATTAAAAAGTAGTGGTGAAGTGATCATTCAAGGGATCAATTTCGAAAGGATATTTCAGACTTATTTATGATAAATAAAGCAAAAAAAGATAACGAGGCGTTTTAAAATGGTGAAATGCTAATTTTACTTCCACCTTAAGGGTACTCAAAAAGCCGATGAAACTCTTTCAAACTGTAAAATTTCACAAAAAAATGGCAAATTAATGTGATTAATACTGGAGGCTTTTTGAAAGGATAAGAATTTTCGAACTTCCGAATGACAAATTCAATTATTTTATTACAGTAGTAATAATAACTACAATTCACCTATTCCTGTACCGACTGATGGCGATTCTGCCGGATACCCATTTCCTGTCTCCGCAGACCGATTTTGGACGAGTTATACTACCTTGTCTAATATATTTGATCGGAGTCGGGCCAATTGCTATTGGAACCTTGATCTTGCTCAACACGGATCAAGCTCCTCTCAAGCGAAAAGTTATCGAGGTGGGCTTGAAAAAAGTTATTTTCTCGGTCATGAGTCCAATTATAGAACCATTTTTAAAGAATTATTATAGAAAAAAAAAACGAAAAATCACGAAAATTGTCAAAACATTCGAAAAATTTCAAAGTTCAGTTCCCAGGTATCTGCTGACCACTTGTAAAAAAATTTATGGATGTTTTTTTCGTGATACCTGTAATTTTAAGGAAAAATGCGATATCGCTCGAGGCGAAACCATTAAAAAAATGAAAATTTTTTTCTTTCAAAAACTAGTTCTCAACTGCAATATAAATTCACTTGGTGGAAGTTTTAAAATTTCTATAAAGAAAAAAATTTCAGAAACTTTTGTCCTCTTTTCGAACGAGTTTAATCAAGTTTCAGTGCTTTTTTGTCACAAAAATTACATCTATTACTCAGTTTTTTTTTCCAGACCCACGGTCCCTGCGTTCCTCGCAACTTGATGGACCCCTACTTCTACGTCGTCGAGATCAAAGACCCGAAAGTGGCCGTTTGTGCGGTCCTGATCATTTCGCTCTTCGCGATCTGCGGCTTCTGCTGTCTCGGGCTAGTCATCGCCTCGGCCATGCAACTCAGGGGATACGCCACCAAGTTCTCAGTTCAAACGGCCAAAATGCATCGAGCCTTCATATTATCATTAACCCTGCAGGTAAATGATAATTATGGGGATTTTTGTGGGGAAAGTCGAAAATAGAGCCTTTAAGCAAATCTTTCAGTCTACTCTTCAATAACTATGTTATTTTGAGGATAAAAGTCCAAATTAGAGTCTCCAAAAAACTGCTGAAAAACTGCAAACTGAGCTTTATATTATCGACTTCAAAAGCTCTCCAAGGAATTTATATTAGTGTGAAGTTTGGGAACTTTTCATAAAAATGCTCAAAAAATAGTTTTTCTCCAAAGGCTACCCAAAAATTACCACTCTTGTCAGAGTGAAACAGCAATGAAATCCAATCTAAAGGTCCTAATATTTGAGGCCTCTTCCCACGTCACGATCAACGGCTTTCCAATGGTGACCACCGTACTTTTCTACCTTATGGGATCTTTGACAAACGGTTTTCATTCTTCGAAGACGATTATAATCTTCTATTTTACAGAACTCCTACATTGCTGCATCGTGGTCAACTCTTTTCACGGGGTCATTTCGACCATGAGCATGATCGCCTTGAATGGACCCTACAGAAACGCCGCCAAGGAACTTCTTTACAAGAGTAGGCTACTTATATCAACAGTTAGATGATATTCCTCACGAGAGATTTTGAATCTCGATGGGTTCAAAATATAATTTCAAGAAGTTCAATGATTTCTTGTCACTTGTTCATACGGCTCCTTTTTTCGGTATTTTTTTTCTAAAAAATGAGATATCCATTCCATTCAATAAATATTCGAGAAAATTGAAATCTCAATGAAGATGTTTTTTTTCCAGTCTTCCATCCTGGACGAAGGCCACCACCGCTCTTCATTCCAAAAGGACCAATGACTCGGACCGCCTGGCTCAGCTAGACAGTCGATTCAAAGAGGCGTGGCCAGCCAATCAGAGATCTTTTTTAATAGTACGCTAGAGCGCTCTTTTCGCGTTGAAATGAGCCAAAATTATCTTTCAAAGAAACTCAACTGTCTTCTTCGTGTCATATTACTTCTTCTGCCAGTTTTTTTCATAAATATTTTCTAATTTCTCATTTGATAAATTTATAGGAATGAGAAAAAAAGTTCGAGAGCGAGCGTGCAAAAAGCAAGAGAGTTACTTGTGCAGCCAGCTTTTTCTAATTTCACATATTTTATACAGAAAAAAAGATTTATCCTTTAAAAAAATTCCTTTTTTTCTTCATGGACAAAAAAATTTTTCATTTATCTTTGAATAATTAGTGAATCATTCCCACCAATTCGATATTTTATTTAAACTTCAAAAAAATCAATCCCAGAATATTTTTTGAAATGTAGAAATCCCTGACTCAGCCTTTCTCGGTAACTGCCAATTTGGTTTGATTAGTATGTGAAGCACTGAAATCATTCGAGTCCAATGTAACTTTCAATTGAGCAGGTGAAAGAATAAATGAGGAAAAGGAAAGTGGAGAAAAAAAGGAAAAGCACCTGGTCGATGCCAAAAAACGACTTTCAGTCTCTTTTGAAACTCGAAAAATGAGTTGTCCGAACTGGAAAGCGACCGTCTACAAATGGGTTCTACACGGCGAACTCCTATTTTCAGTCCCCTTGTATTTATTCGCTTCCTACTGTTTATTGAGAGCGTCCCCTTCGTTTTTGGCCTCTTACTCTCGGAGAATGTTCTTTCATCTTACAAGGTTTCGAATATCACATTTAAATAAAGGTCTCGAAGCGAAAAGCTGGTTTTAATGTAGTTTTTTTTAGCAAGCCCTTTGCGCATATATAAATCCCAGCGAAGAAAGTACAGTAGATTTTAAAAATCCATTCATAAAAAAGTTAGAATTTTCTTAACAAAAATCATGGGTTCGACTTTTTTTTTCAATTTCTAGTAGGCCAGAGAGCGTTTTTAGATAATTTTCAATTCCAAAATTTCGAGTAAAACGACCTTTTTTCGGTATAGCTTTATTCGAAAAAATTCCAGCTGTATCGTGATGGAACTCGCGATTTGCGCCGGCTGGGCTCCGGTATTTTTTTTTCCGATTTCCGCCGTTCATCCAGCGGGATTTCTAAGTTCCCTATTCGTACCTCCAACAATCCAGATAGCTACCGTAATCACTCTATTAATTCGTAAGATTATTCTCGGAACTATTATAAAAAGCCCAAAAATACAGCTTGAAAATTCGATTCCACGAATTCCAAACTGTATTGGGTGATATGGAAAAAGCAGAATTTTCTTTTTCAAAGGATACTGTATCGTAAATTTCTGAGGTGTTCCCTTTGTGTGTATACGATTTTTGAATACTTCATCACCCGAACTCTTTTCTTTAAAATGTTGTTCGTAAAAGATAAAACAAGTAATCTCCGAAAGTTCATACACAGTAAGTGCACACATCAGGATGCGGACTTTGACAAACAGTACTCCCTGGGAAAAAAATCGCTCTTTTCATAGCACCCTGAATTATCATGAGTCTCCCGAAAAAGCCTCGAAAAAGGGAAATTTTCAGCCGTAATGCTGACAACAGTCCGCCTATTCCACTACCGATTGTTGGCCGTTCTGCCCAGAAAACAGTACGCGAACAGAAATTCAACGTTTCTCGGGGAATTTTTACTTCACGGAGCGATTTATTTGACAGTTTTCGTCGCGTCTCCGATTCAAGCTATTCTTTTATTGAATACGGATCAGAATGTCCTCGGATTGGCTATTAAGAAGGTGAGACCAACTTGCATTTCATTCAAAAACTAGTTTGAGACAAAAAAATTAGTAAATTTGTTTTTTTATGAAATTGAACGTAATATGAGCTCACGTCAAAATTTTTTTGATTTTCTGAATTTTCACTTTATTGGAAGAGTTAAGTGAAATTGATCTACGATTCGAACTTTTTTTAAAAACCTATATAGAATACCTGTTTTAACATCAAAATGGCCATATTCGGTTTGAAAAAGTTGTACGGGACGAAAATATACACATTAACAATTAAAAAAACTTCCACACTTTAAGAAGTCTAGTTGAACCTTATTTTGTCGAGGTTTCAGCTTCAGGTTAGCCTCAGCTGAAATTATCATTTCTTGATAAGACTGGTTCCAGTTTTTGACGCTGATTCCGAATTCGGTCTTTTTTTTGTGAAACCGCAAACTAAAAAAATGTGAACGAACTTATAGAGAATTTTAAACATTGCACTAAAAATTACCTCTTTTTGTCAAGATCATTTTTTTATATTATTATAATTAACGAAAAACAGGAACACTATCAATCGAAAAAACTTCCCCATCTTAAGAAGTCTAGCTGAAACTTACTTTGCAGAGGTTTTTGCTTTAGCCTTAACCTTATGTCAGCTGGAATTGTCCTTTCTTGATAAGACTGGTTCCAGTTTTTGACGCCGATTCCGAATCAGGCCTATTTTGTAAAGCTTGAAGTAGGTACTTGTATCCCGTCTCGATTGTCCTATGATAGATTCTTCCATTTATCTCCCTCTTCAGAACTACGGAGAATGTCTGCCTCCCAACCTGACCGACCCTTTTTTCTACGTTATCGACTGCGACGATGAAGGCGTCAAAATTTTCGCAGCCCTACACATTGGAATATTCGTCGTCTGCAGTATTTGCTGCATCGGCTTCATTTTCGCCGCCTTCGTTCTACTCAAACAGTATTCCCGACAACTTTCCGCCCAAGCCACTCGAAATCATCACGCCTTCTTATTATCCCTTTTTCTGCAGGTAACTTAAAGGCATAGGGGCAGTAAAAAAATGGGGTTTCAGGTGAAAGCAGTATCTTATATAGTTTTTCTTTGCGAATCGAATGGTGTACTCGAAAAATTTACAGACGTGACAACTTTAGAAGAAAAACGTGATTTTACTTTCCCGCCTTTAATTTTGAAAAAAGCTTTGGATCGGTATGCAGACAACTGTTTACAGTAGCCATGCACGCGATGTTGCGGACGTGTCAGTAGACTCGCAATTTGTATGAAATAACCGGCTATCTGCTTCAAATTAAGGGTTTCTTCTCTGAAAAATTGATTAAGAAAACCGAAAACACACAGTGATAATAAAGAAAAACACAAATAATCGCTATCCCAATCGAAACCTGTGTAAAAATAATCATTTTTTTCATCAGAAAAAGCTTTTTTTGCGATCAAAGTTTGCAAATTATACATGAATCGAAGGCTTTGGTGACGAAAAAAACTCTGGTGACAACAGAAAAAATTGAAAATTAAAAGAAACGAAGAAAAAAGCGAAAATCCGGAAGATGGCGAACCCTGTTGTCCATAGAGCAAGGCGCCCTTTTCGCGGGGCGCCCTTTTCGCGGAAACTCAAGCTTTCTTTTCTCCGACTTTGAATTATTTTTTCTCCAAAACTAGGAATTTCTGTACGTTTCCAAGTTCACCGTTCGATTTGCAATGAAAAGCTCTACAAAATACTGCTTCGAACTGAAACACCGTTTTTTACTGCCCCTATGCCTTTAAACTTTCTTCTTTTAAAGTTTAAAACTACAAACGAGCCTACATAGGCAAAGTCGAACGGGTCGAAAACGGCTTCATAGAAAATTTCCTTTTAAGGTGCAAAAGGCTCCTTTTTTATGCCTTTTTGCGCTATATCAACGGCTCTTATGCTGCTTATCCCTTTTTTCACCATTTTTAAGCCTTCAAATTCTAGGAGAAAATGGAAGGCTCGATAAAGGGACTCTTTTTGCTGCCTTTCTGCAGTCTTTTTTAGCATCTTCCTTTTAGCGGTCATTAACAATATTCCGACTTTGCCCCAGTACCTGAGTAAACTTGGAAGTTTTGAAAAAAGCTTAATAGCCAAAGAGTTTCAAGCTGAAAAAAATTGAAACTGAAGAAACTTTCAAGACAAGTTACTATTAAACACCGTAAGTGGGTTCAATAAAATTTCTTCATAAAACTTCTAAGGTCGTATCTTATAAGTTCAATTAACTACATAAATGATGAATCTGAAAAAAAATTAAGTTCGTCAAAAAAAAAAGTCTTGTGGGAAGGCCTCAGCTCAAAACTTCTATGCTCTATTGATAATGTGAAATTTACAGAAAACTCGGTTTTACTCCTTAATTTTATAAAATCCTGCATAATTTTCAGTGTTCTTGCCATGGGGTCATCAGCGGCGTTCCCGTTCTCATCTCCACTTGTTATTATCTCAATGGCATCTTGACAAATGGTAGTTTGTAGCTGATATGAATATTCAATTCTCCTATCAGATATTCTACACCGTTGCATCGTCATTCTGACTTTTCACGGGATGGCCTCAACTATGAGTATGATCGCCTTCAATGGAGCTTATCGAAGAGCGGCTCTCGATGTATTGTATCAAAGTTAGTCTTCTTGATATTTCAAATGGCGCGAAAAAAAAAATGCGAAAAAATGTCTGAAAATGAGATGTCTTTCGCGACTTTTCATATACCTCCTATAAAAGACAGAATAAAAATAGAGCTCATGAAATTTGCAAACGAGAGAGCGTGTCAACTGGAGAGGCCCAAAAATCTCTCCTTCTCAGGTATCTCTTCAGTTGCCATGCTCTTTAGCTTATGCTGTTTGAGGGCTTGTATTCCCAGTACTACGAGATAGTTTTCTTGGAAAAAAAAAACATTTTTACATGATAAGTCGGCTCCATTTTATGAAGGTGCGCCCGACTTTTAACGACTTGCGCCCGCTGTGAAAAAACAAGAGTCAGCCAAAAACTCAATCTTTTAAATTAGACCTCAACGCCTCAAACCATTCTCCATGCGACCGAGCAGAAATTCAAAATTACAGTTTGCCGCCGTCGGAACTCGACGTCAAGAAGACCAAAAGCCCCAAGTCCACGGAAAGCCTGGCAAAACCCGCCTCAAACTCTTCAAAACTTCTAGAAACTGTCTCAGGATAAATGATGTATATTTTCACGCGAACAGGTGCAAAAACCAAACCAAATAAGGAAGACGAAGTTACTCATTAGCCTAAAAAGTGGCGTTTGCAAAAAAAAAGCTTAATATTGATCTGGATAAACTTGTCGTGGGTGTGCCCAACCTGGATACAAACGAATGACATTTTGAAACACCTGCTCCAAAAAGGAAAAAGCTCATTTTTCTGAGTTGAAACTCAGAAAAATGCCCTGTCCAGACTGGGATTCAACAACTTTTGTGTGGATTCTACACAGCGAACTCTCGATTTCGGTTCCTTTGTATATTTTCGCATCTTTTGTTTTATTGAAAAAATCGCCGTCGTTTTTGATAGGCTATTCGCGAAGGATGTTTCTGCACATAACGAGGTAAAACATAAATTTGTATTAAACCTGTTTTTAGGCTGTTTGAGTCTCAGTTGTGCTAAAACGGTGAAACAACGGGTTCAAGAAGAAATAAGGGACCTCAATGCATTTATTTAGAAAACCTGAGGCCTAACTGTGGTAAAAAAAAAGATCTAAAGCCCTTACAGTTGTACGTGGCCGGTTACGCACTTGAAAAGTCGCAGTTTCTACAGTTAACGTTTCGAATAACTTGCAGTTCTATCCTATCGGAAATATCTCTATGTGCCGGTGGAACTCCAGTGTTCGTCTATCCGATCACAGCCGGTTATCCTTCTGGCCTATTTCCGTTGTTAGGAATTCCGACAACCGTCCAGATGAGCATTGTTTTCACCTTATACGCAAGTAAGCTTTGTCAAGAAGATCCTGAAGTTCTTAAGCCGATTCACCTTGAAAGTTTAACCGAAATAGAAAAGAGAAAGTTTAATTTTCAATATCTACAGTAACCCATAAAAACCAGATTTCAGTGGTGATGGTAACAGTGGCGCACTTATTCCTCTACCGTCTTTTCGCCGTTCTTCCGGAAGGCCATCACTGCGTTCCGAAGAGAAAACTCGCTCAATTGTCCTCAGCCGGAGCAATGTACATTATTGGCGTTGTGCCAGCTCCGATCGCCAGTTATTTCCTTCTCTGCCCAGACGAAATTCCTCTCAAGATAAAAGTCGCCCAGGTTACCAGATAAATAACTTTGAAAAATCAGTTCAAAATTATTTTCTGAAAGACACATCAAAAAAAATCTCGCAACAAACCCCTCAAAAAATTACAAATTGAGAAAAAAACTTTAAGAAAACCCCTTCACTTGGAATTTCGTGACTAAGCGCTCATTATTGTGAAATTTGAGAATCTTTTTTCGGAATTGTACTTTTTTTCTTTATTTCGAAAATCCATTCCGAACTGTCCAAACTTTCATTTTTTTGACACAAAAGCTTCAAAGTCAGAAAACTCACCTCTCCGCTCAAAAAAACTGCAAAATGTTGCTTTTTTTGAGTCCTTAAAAACATGTTGACATCAAAGAACTTTTTAAAAATTTTCATTTCATTTAAAAATTACCTTTCTTGTGAGATTCGAACCGCTATTCGTGAGAAAAAAACCACCAAAAAAAATTCACTTAAAAATAATCTGAAAAAAATTCAGGAATACGGCATATGCGCTCCACCGAACCTATGGGACCCATTTTTCCTTATCCTCGACCTGAAAGATCCCAAAATCATACTGGGCTGCTGTCTTTTGATGTGTCTTTTCTGGGGGACCGGAATCTCGTGCCTCAGTTTCACGATCGCCGGTTTCCTACTGCTCAAAGAATACGCCAGTCATTACTCGGCTCAAACTGCCAAAATGCACCGCGCATTCATCCTTTCTTTAATTCTACAGGTGATTAAATCTTCAATCAATTTCTAAAAGTATCAGCTAGAATGCCATATATATATATATATAAGGTTTCCAAATCGAAAAATAAATGAGTCCAAGAGGAAAAAGACAAAACGGAGGAAATCAGACGGGAAATAAGTGATACGGACGAAGCAGGTCTTCTTTTCGGCCGTGAAAAAAAGTAACAATATAAATTTATCTGTAGGTTTAAAAAAAAAGATCCTAGAATGTTAATTTGCTGCGAAAAGAGGCAATTCCTGACTTTAAAAAAAGTGAATCGTAACTTCGTTGGTTCTTTTTTTCTCATCAGAGCGGAAATCAAATCTTACAAAATTAAAATTACACGCCATTTTCAAGCGTAATTTTTTGGAATTTTTCAGCAGCCATTATTTAGATTTTCTCGCGAAGGCTCGATCTAGAAGTTGAAAAGAAGCAAAAAGAATTGTTATAGCCATTTGAAAAATATGTTTCATTTTTCCTCAAGTAAAAAATTATTGGCAGGTCTCGGCCCACACGATCATCTCGGCTGTTCCAATAAGCGTAATTCTAGTCAAATGGTTCAACGACACGTTGACTAACGGTGAGCTTCTTCCTTATGATCACATAATCTGTTCAGATTTCGTGAATGTCAAGTAGAATGACGTCATTCAAAAAACCATTTGTGAATGGCTCGCTGTCTGATTAGTCTATAGCACCATTAGGACGGAGACTTGACGTTCGAAATCTGAACAGGTTATAGCCCATTTCGCGGCAACTTGCCGCGGTTTTTTTTTCGCTCCGAGCTACAGAACGCCTCCCTTCGCGCGACTTACCTCCGTGCATGAGCCTTTAATACAACCCGACCGTTTCCGATATTTTAAAAACGCATAATCAGAGGCAGGCCGAGCGTTTCAAAGAGTAGGGTTCTGTAGCTTTTTGAAAACGAAAGACAAACTGACGTGAAATGGGCTACACAAGTAAATATGTAAGCTTGTTCAAATGAGCTCTAGGGGGGCTATTTGTTATTTCAAAGTAGTTTGGGGGATTCTGGAATTTTCCCCTTTTTTTGATCAATCAGATAAATATTCCTTGATTCACCTACGTCTTTTAAAATGGCTCGTTTTTCGCCATTTACTAAATTTATCAATATTCAGATACAATGAAAATCGGCGCCATAATGATCTCCTTCCATGGCGTTGTCTCTACAATAAGTATGATCATGTTCAACGGAACTTATAGGAGAGCTTCTAGAGAGCTTCTTTATCAAAGTGAGTGCGAATATATCGTTTCAAAACGAAAGAAATAAGTCTAAACAGCTTAACATTAACTGAAAGGGTTCGATAACACCAAAAAATTCTTTCCTCTCAGGTTAGGACAAGTCGATTTCAGAGCACATCAGAAAGGTAAAAAGTACCAATTTTCAGTATTCCACAAAGGAAAACGCCCACCGCCGAAATCCACAAACGTTAGGACTAAATTAACGTTTTGAAAATATAAAATTATATTTAATGTCATTCCTATAAATCAATAAAAATCGCTGCATCACAAGCACAGATCGTTGAAAAGAAAAAGAAAAAAAAAACGGACCTCTTTGGCGACAGCCTCGACGTTGACCTTAGACTCGACAGATCCCATTTTTTGTGTCCTTTCAAATTAATTTATTTTAATGTCAGTGCAATTTTAAACCTTTTAAAAAATTGGCGAGACGATTGAGATACACTGAAAAATGAAGTTTTGGGAGAAAAATTTCAACGTGGAATTTTTGAAATTGTGTGTTCTTTTTTTGTTCAAAAACTTAACTCATTTTATTTCTTTCAATGTTTTGAAATTTTTTTGGCAAAAGATTTTTCCTAAACTACTGAGTCAATTGAATAACTTGAACTGAAAAATAAATCTCTCCATCAGAATTTTCATTTCCTTTTCATTTTGAAATACTAGGGAAAAACTTCAATTCTTCACTTTTTATTCTAATAAACAGAAAACCATCAAAAATAATTTATTTCATACAGAAGTTAGAAAATCAACAAAGACGAGAAAAACAATATCGTCCAATTTTTTTTTCGAACAGCAGAATAATTATGTCCACAGGTGAAGAAAACAAAACAGAAAAACTTCAATAAATAAGTGTAAATTAAAGTTTTGAAATACATATAAAGAAAAAGAATAAGTTAAAAATCAGCAGCGAGCAAATCACATTGGTCGCAGAAGGATCGCATTTGTTTGAGGAATATTTTAGGGTCACCAGCGGGCATTTCGTTGACGATGTCTTCCAGTTGCTGAAAAAATAAGCTAGACAAGATAATGCACACAAATTATGCAAAAAAAGAAGTAAAATGACAGTTTGATAAATAGAAGAAGCAGTTTTTGGAAAAAAAGGAAAAAAATAAATTTCGCGTAAATCAACCCCAGGCGCCCAAAAAAAGTGCGGTGGAGCGAATATGAGCATCAATTTTTTTCCGCGTTATCAACTTTTTTTCTTCTCTTTTCTTTCAAACTGCATTATTTATTTTATTCTTTTTTTATTTACCTGAACGTACTGATCACCCTCAGATTCATTCTCCGTCTTCTCCCTTTCGAAAACAACTCCAAATAACGGAATTCGATGTGGGTAATCGTGAGGGATGGCGATCCAAGCAGTGAACCTGAATAAGTATAACTTTTCACACAAAAGTGCGGAAACAAACTTTGAAGAGGAGTTTTTATCTTCAAGTTCCAGTCGATATCTTTCAAAATCATTGTATTCCTTCGAGGTGATCAGGCCATATAGAGAGGCCGGCATGGCGGACTGGAAAGAAATTTATAGTTGCAAAGTTTTCAAGTCAAAAAAGTCAGAAAACTACATTATTGAAACACCCCTCCACTAAAAATTTTGGTTTTCTAAAAAAAAAGTTCAAGGTATAATTTATTCTCATCTATGAGTTTTTTTTTTTATTTTCGCTCCAACGAGAATCGTTTCTAATTGGCTAGACACGCCCCTTTCTGAGCCAATGAAAGACATGTTTTTACCGCAAACACTAAAAGCTCATCTGGGTGAACGTCATGTACTAGTTTTCTCCTCCCTAAGGCTTACCGCAAACTCTTCCTCTTCGACAGAATCGAAAGAATTGAAATGGATAGTGATCTTAGCCGACTCGCCCAAATAATGAGTGAGAGCGCCAGCTTTCTTGACTCCTGAAACCACTCATAGAAGACGTCTCATCGAATAATCCCACTGAAGTCAGCCAACAAAGAAGTGAGGGCGAAGTAGTCGGCGACTCTTTGGCGCGTCGCAATCACCAACTTCCTCATGAGTTCAGCCAAATGAGTACTCGGCTTGGACTTTTGATCTTTATTGGCTGGATCAACACCGCCGAGTTGCTGGACGAATCGGTAAGGTCTTCCGAGTTTCTCCTCGATAGTTCCGAACGAAAGTCTGAATTCATGCTTTCTTTTCGTTCCAGAGTTGGAATTATAACTTCAGTTGCTGCAATTTGAGCTGTCCAATGGGATCGGGACACTCCTCGCCGTTGTCGCCAGCAAAAAGTCCCGTCAAAAACCGCGTCGACATTTTTCGGCTGCAAATTGATCTTCATTTTCAGAATTTTGAGGTACAAGAATGTGAGATTTGGATTCTCAGGAGCGCCAGAGTAGTCTTTAGAGGGGAAATCTTAGAAGCCCTTGAAGGATTTCCTCTAGGGGCCGCGCTATCTTCCCCTTTAGAGGCCACTAAAGCTTGCAAAAGTGACCAAGTGACCACTCTAGAGAAGGATGCTAGTGTACCTCTTTTTAGCTTTCAAAAGCGAAAATAAAGAATCCCTCTAGTGCCGCTTAAGCTTCAGGGTCTTAGAGGTCAGACTCTGGATCCTTATAGAGACCACCTTAAGTTTAGCCCTCCAGAGATCCCTATTTTATCCCTTATAGGAGCAGTTTCCTCCTGAGCCCTCTAGGGACCATCTGCTGTTCCTGAGTTCCCTCTACCACGAAAATCAAATCCTCACTAATATTTTGAATTTTTACTTCCGCAGGCTTTGTAAACGGATCAAGGTCATTTTTCTTTTTTGAGCTCATTCTTCCTGAATCCCAAACTTCTTCCCCACCTGCTCGTCTCATGGAACTGATCATCGACGACCCATCTCAACGTCGCCAACTTCAACTCGGTGAGGTACCGGAATTGCGCAGTCACATTTGTTTCCACTGGAACAGATTAGAGTGAATATCAAGACGTTGCGCGAAAATCAAACATTCCGGGATTCCGATGACGACGTCGACGCGCATCGGATGCACGTCGAAGATCCCCGACGCCATCGCCGCCACGCGCGTTTCTACGGTCGAAGCGCCGTTCGATGAAGCAATTGCAACTGGAAAAGCAGTAATTTCAACTATAAGAGCCTCCATATAATTTATTATGAAGTGATACACATTACTGGCCAAAAAGGTATTTCAAAGAGGTTATTTGAGCATAATTTCTCTAAAAGTGGCTCAAATGGCTTGAAACATCGCACAGATTTCAAATAGCTATGCAGTAACTCTCTCCCGGAAACAGAACTCGTTTGCTCGAGTCAGAACAGATTTGTGAACAAAAACCGAAAATGTATTTTTAATAGAATTCATTTTCAGTGGTGTTGATTAGGATACTCAACAGATAAGAAAGTTCTCGAAACTCCGAGAAAGAGAGAACGTGGGAGCTGCAGAGACGCAGAAACCTATCTTTCTCAAACTTCTCTCTTTAACTTCCACGATCTTTCACACTTGCCAAATTCAAGGGTTTCTTTCAACCAAATTTTGAAAAATGACCGTAGATATAATTTTTCTCAATTCTATTTTCTAAGAATATATGGTTGATCTCGAAACTCGTAATATTTTCAAAGAGTCATTAATTTCCTTTTGCAATATTGAAATCTTCAAGGTCGAAAATTTAAAAACAGTACAAATTCGAAAAAAAAGCTTTTCTCGAAAAATCACTATCCATGCAATCAGATGTTGCTCACTAGGCTCACTTGAAAAAAATTGTCTTTTTCTGAATTTCCGATTGAAATTGATAGACATTTGTTGTGAAGTTTTGGCAATACAGGAGCATTTATCGAATGATAAATTGAACAAACCATCATTTTTTCCGAACAAACCATCATTTTCCTCCCGTTCTTTCTTTCTTTTGGCGCAAGCGGCCGCGTTTTCGCTGCACTCGACAATCTTCACTTGCATGTTTTTGTCTGAAAATCACGCAAATCACCACATTTGCTCTTTGTCATGGATAAACCTTCCATGATATCTTTATAAGCGCAGGCGTGGATTTGGATCACGGCCAACATGGGCGGAAGCGAGGCGAACAAGGAAGTTTGTTCCGAAGAGCTTGATTCAACTTTTTTCACTCCCAATATTTCCTGGACCGGTTGAGCGGCCTAAAATCCGTTCTTTTCAGTAAAAATAACAAGATTACTAGTCGATTCGGACTCAAAACGCTGAATTTTGTAGAAAAATAGCTCAAGACCTCACGAAAAAGCCTAAAACTTTAAAGCTTTTCAGAGATATTCAAAAAAAATTTTGGGGTCCGTCTGCGCTCTCCCCCAGCCAGACACTATTTCATTCTTTATCGTGTCAGGACCCTTTTCTCGCTGGCTCAAGTCACCTGTGAACCCGCTATATTTTTACCTTGACAAGGGCCTCGATTTTGGGCCTCAAACTCTGCAATCGCTGTTCTTTTCCCCGAATATCACTTAAGAGCACATTTCTTCGGCCTTCCAATTCTTGCAACGTTGATTGCAACCTGGAAACACTTTGATTTCGAAGCTGAATCTGGAAAATCTCACTGTTTTCTCTGGATAACTTCGTATTCGAGCCGCGCCAAGTACTGCTCGTGTTCGTTGTTTTTCGTGATCTTAAATTTGAAAAAAAGTGTATTGAAACGAGGATTATTATTCCGTCAAACTACCAAATGATATTGAAATACTTCAAACTTATTTTGATTTTTCTGAGTGTATAGTGAAACTGCAAGAAGAGATGTCTTTACGCCCTGGGGAAGGGAAAAAAATGTGTTTGGAAGGAAGAATTAAAATGACCTTGGAAAAACTTTTTAGAAACATTTAAAATGAAGAAAGTTTAAATTTGGATAAACTGAGAAAAGTTTGAATAAAAAAACCGTACAAAAAAATTATAAAAAAATACACTTCTTACAGATTTTTTTCAAGTTATTTCGGAAAAAAATTTTTTTTCCTCTCTCTAAAAACTGGAAAAATGAACATGAAATATATTTAAAACCTGAAAAATTGAACAGAAAAACATTGATAGCCACACAATCTAGGGAAACCCTCTTTAAAAAATAATGACGTCAAGATTTACCTCAGGCTTCGAAACGCCGATCGGAGCATCCGCATAGAACTCTGGCACTGGAACAAGCTCCAAATCTTCGTCTCCAGCGCTTAAAAAAAAATTTTAAGACACTTTTCTTCTTACACAAAATTTTTTTAAAAAATCCAAGAATTCGCACCTAAACTCCAGGCATCTATTGATCTCCTTCTGAATATGCTGCACTTCACTGGACACGTTTTGCAGTTCCAGAACTTTGGCGTCCACCTTGAAAATTCCGAAATTATTCTTGAATATTTTCTAGATTATATGAAAAACGAGCTGCAAAAAGAGAACCGCCATATGAGAAGGTTAGTCTCATAAAGCATAGATTCGCTCGGATAACTCATTTGCTCAGAAAGTGGTCTAGGTTAAGCAAAGCATCGGACATAGGTGCGCTTGAAAAAAAAAAACCGGTTTTCTATAATAAAATTTTTGAATATGTAGAAATAAATACTTAATATAGTCAATCCATCTCGACTTGAAAGGCGAACGAAACGGAGAAAGGGGCGGGACGCGTACGAGTTCAAGCCAAGCGAGAGCTAATTTTTTTTAAAAAAAGCTTGGTCTCTCATCTATTCTACTATTTTTATTGAACACATGAATTTTTTTATTTTTTTTAAAAAAAGATTCAAAAAAAGCGATAAAAAAAGTCTCCAAATAGTCGCTAGCGCTTGAATTGAACTCGTGCCAAGGACCGCGTACGCACACGCTACGCGTCCCGCCTCCTTTTTTTCTGCCTCGCTCTCCTTTCAATTCGAAAAAAAGGACTATACAAGAGATCACGTGGGAGATGAGACCGCGAAAAAGAGTATAAAAGGATCGATATTCCCAGAATTTATCGAACTGTTCAAGCAACATTCAAAAAAACACAAATCTTACACCCAGTTGACTAAAAAAATGTTTTGAAAAACAGTAAACTTATTTTTGTGACTTCCTCTCTGCTTATTTTTGAAACAGTTTGTATTTTTTCAATCTTTCAATTTTTGTACATTTCTAAGAGTCCAAAAAAATAACCTCATATTCAATGAACGAAGACTATAGTCTCTCCAAAAAACTCTAGAAAATAGAAAAAAATCACTTTTCAGTCGAGATTCCTCTTCGAACTTTTTGAGAAGAAAAATGAAAATTTTACTTTTTCGAGTTGGGCGGCAGTTTCTTTGCGGAGTTGGGCCGTCGAATATTGACAAAGCCTGGCAATTCTTCTCATTCGAGCGATCCGATGCATGACGTTCACTTGGAGCGGATTTTCTTTCTAAAAATGTAGGCCTGTGAGGGGATTTCTGAAGTTATCAATGCAGAAGTATACGCATAAAGTACATGTTATATAATATAATCGGAAAAAGTAAAAAGTTTTCAGTTTATTTTCGATTTTTTTACAACGTTTTTTTGTTCCGTCTATTTTCTATTTTCTATTAGAAATGAAAGTTTTAATTTAGATTGAAAAAGATCAAAAATTAAACATCTTATCATAATCCAGTTTCCTCAAATCTTCAAAAATATGACAATTCGTTCTATTTAGAAGGAAAATTTCAACTTCGATGCATAGCTAAGCGAAAAATGACAAAAAAAAAACAACAATGATCTTTTTTCACTATACTTTTTGATTTTTCCAAACAGAGCCTGGCATTTTTAAGTTTTAAAAGTGGAGCTTGTCCTGAAAAAGGATCAAAACATACGAATTTCCTTTTTTCTTCTGAAAACAGCCAAAAACCAACCGGATCGTCGCAGTAAGCCTTAACCGCTGCTTTCAAAGCGCTGGATTCTTTCATATATTCTTCTTGAAGCTTTTGATGGGTCGTGCTGGCTGCGATTTCATCTTCCAACGCGTAGAACTTCTGAAAAATCGACTGAAACATTTTTTGGTTTTCAAAGAGTAGAAATTGCAAAAATTGGTCGCTGTAATTCATTTCGAGCTTACAAAAGGTTCGAAATTTTTCGATTCTTCTCAAAAATGGAAACCGAGAGTTGAAGTCAGCGAAAAAGTTCAAAATGTTGATATAGCTGATTCACGGCTGGTTTGAGCCATCGAGAAAAGGGTCCTGCCACGAAAAGAGACGAGACAGTGCCTGGTTGGTGGAGAGTGCAGACAGGCCACGCCTTTTGCGTCCCAAGCTAGCCGTGAATCGTTATAGAGCTCTTCTTACTCCCAATTTTTTCTTTTATCTTCTTTTTCTAATGTTTCTTGCCTTTCCGCTACTGTTGAACGAAATTTCGAACGGAGGCTCAAGATTTTGACAAGAAGTAGTGCAGAGAAAAGCTCGAGGAAAGAAGAAATACCTCACAAGTGTCCATCGCCGACTTAACCGTGCTGATTTCGGGCATTTCGACGTCGGTTGTCGTCGGGACGGGCGTCGGATCTGCCATCGTCACCATCGTGATGTGCTTCTTCTTGGCCGGAGAAACATTGGCCGTTCCGTCCGAATTCGCCTTTCTCTTCGTTGGAGTTGCAGGCATTCTGTGAATGTATTTTAGAAATTGACAAAACACTCAAAATTGAAAAAGAAATTTCAGAAACTGGGAAAATGTGTAATGGCCACTATAAGGTTTTGACGTTTCAGTGGCCGCTATAGTAGTCAAATTAGTTGGCACTCAAAAGGGTTAAATATTAGTAGCCTCTATAGGGGTCTAAGTGTTTCTACTAGACCTTTAAAAATTTTAGTGGCCACTTTAGGGGTCAATGGATCAACATAACTAGTCCAATCCGTTTGTTTTAAAATTATCAGAGTTACTGGAAGGAATACTGGATGAAAAACTACTGAAGTGGCCACTATGTGGAAAATAGTGGCCACTATGGAGGTGGGTTCATTGGCCACTTTAGTCTCCTCTCCAGGTAGTTCCTGGCGAGCCTCTATAGTGGCCACTAAGAATTTTCCCAGAATATTCTCATTTTTAAAAACTGTTGAGGTCGATGCTTTTAAGAGGGTTCCTGGAGCTTGTCTAGGCAGATCATCGCCGAAAAAGATTTTTTTGGTTGATTAAAAATCTTTAAAAAAACGACTCTTTTTGAAGTTGAAGGTGTTATATAATATATAAAGAATTTTTTTCTTAAAAAAATTGCAAATAAAACTTTCGGTAGCTCTCAAATTACTCATCACTTTCAATCGTATAATGCCAAGAAATTTCAAAATCTTTTTATGATTTACTACATTCTTTTCAACAAAAATTGGCTGCTAGAACCAGAACAAAAAAAAGAAGAGATATCTTCCATTGTAAAAACATCAAACACATACATTTTCAAAATAACAAAATAAAAAACTCTTTATTTTTTTCTGTCAGTAGCAATATACATGTTTCATCCAGTGAGTAAGTATACATCTTTTGGAACACGTTGGGGTTTTTTGACACGAATGATAATTGAATGAAAAGAAGAACTGAATTTCATTTGGAAACTGTAGAAAATGAGCATCAAGTTGGACAATCCAGGCACTTTACGAACACTTGTTTCTAATGAAAATTTGAGAAATGATTGGAGCGATTAAAAAAAGAGAAAGATGCGGGAAGGTTAAAAAAAGGCTAGAAAAATCGGAAACTCCTCGCAGCTCGTACAAAATATGACAAGAGAATATTATCAATCAGGAGAATATCACAAGAATCGACACCTAAAGAAGGACAAGGCAAAAATATCACAAAATAAACTTTTTTCGGTCACATTCTAGACAAGGAATTTGGTCCATGAGCAAATGAAACAAGGCAATTTGGAAGCACTCAGGTAAAAATACATTAATTTTGAGAATAATATGCAAATCAAACACTAGCTCTGCTACGAAATGGGTGGACGCGATTTACAAAAAGAAAATGAAAATAAATTTTTAAAAAAGGTTAAGCTCAAAGATTATATTTACATTCCGTCGAAAGTTTCGACGCGTTGTCGTGGCGCACCTCGCATGCTCTGAAAAATCCTTTCATTTTCTGAAATTTATTTTCGAAGTTTCAAACAACAAAAACAGCAAGAACCATCTGTTCCATGATATCTTATGAACTGAGAATGTTAAAAAATCTCGGATTTGGCTTTAATACGGAAAGTCACACCAAAAACATCAAATATCTAATGAAATCTACCACAGGGAAGAAAAACAAATATTCGAATCAAGCGTACTTTCAAGGAAAAAATCTTTGACAAAAACAAAAACTCATTATTTCAATAATAACTTCAGGATATTTGCGTTGAAGTTGATTAGAAGTTCAGTGAAGTGTTAGAGGTTGTAAAAAAATTAGAAAAAAATGCATGCGAAAAATTGGCGACCTCCATATCATGCTTCTGAAGTCAAAAAGGAGAAACTATTATCGATTAATATAGCTGGAGAAAGGAATCTAATTTTTTTTGAATATTACTCAGTTATATATAACTAGAGACGTTCTTCTACCAGAAAATTTTGAAAATTTCAAAAAATAATCCAGAAATCCCTTGATTTACTGGATATAGGTTCTAGAAAACTGCACTTTTTCGAATTTCCGATTTTTGAGAGGAAAAAATTGAAATTTCTAAATTCTAAAACAACAAAGAGACCTTTGAAGCTTCCGTCTTCAAAAGATACAAATTTCTGAAATTTGAGACTTTCTTGATCAACCTTTAGGACAAACAGGTGTACTATTCAATGACCAGAAAGTTCCGAAAAAGGAATTGAATAAAATTTTTGGACTTTCATAAATTTTCAAAGCCTACTGGTACAACTTTCAAGAGAATATTGATGATTTTGGACTTGACCAGGAAAAAATTTTTAAAAACGTATCAGTGACCAACTCCCAAATCTACATTCACCTGGATATTTTTGAAATTCGTAGAACTAATTTTTTGCATGATCATTCCAAGCCATGCAATCGGGAACTCCATGCTCCACCCCAACCTACACCCACCACCACCAATTGACACTGTTCAGGATGTGCATCTGAAGGCCCGACGATCCGCTTCCGTCGTCATAATCGCCAAAATCGTCGTTCAAGTCATGGGACAGCCTTCGGTCAACGACCACTTCTCTAGGGCGCAAAAACAAGGGCCGTCCGATATGGTAAGCCTCCATCGAACTGGCGCTTTTCGATTTCATCTGTGGGTTCAAGGAGTGCGAAAGAATGAGAAGCGAGCAATAGAAATGGATAGAAAAGCTTCAGGATTTGGATTAAGAAGCCGAGAAATAGTTTTAGAAGGAAGTCGAATACATTTAGTTAATTTGAAGGTATTTAGGAAACGTCAAGAAAGAAGGGAAAGATTTTCCAAAAAAAAATTACAGCAATAAAAAAAAAATTTTTTTAACGGTAGTTGACCTCATGAGAGGAATAAAGAAGGCAAAAAAAGAAGAATTAAAAATCCCTTGAATAATTATTTTCCTATTATAATGATAGCTTCCAAATCACGAATTATGACAAATTTTCTTCCAGTTGAGATATATCAAATTTTCACGAAAATAAACTAGGATTCAATTTCATAAATAACATATTTCATTGAGGAGATGAAAATTCGCATTTTTTTTTCGAAACGATGATGAAAAATCGACATTTCTTCCCTACCCACTCACCATTCGCATCGTCGAGAACTTATCCAACCCGAGGGCGACGTTTTGGGCGTGGATGACGTCATATTCGCGCGTCGCGCCGCTGTTGTCGCGTTTGAGGCCGTCGATGTCGCGTCGGAGCTCTTCCAGGTGTTCTTTGAACATTCGCGCCCGTTGAGCGTACTCGTTTCTGAAAAGTTATAATAAAAATTCCTTCTTTCACAAACTCCTTCATTCAGAAAAATCAAGATCTATGTTAGTTTTGAGGAAATTTCAAGCATTATTTTCAAATTTTTATGTGCTGTAAAGAAAAAAACCTAGAAAAAAACTTATAAAAAAACCTAGAAACTACAGTTGGCCCCTTTCTAAATTTCTACCTAAAAAAAACGTTCTTACCTCGATTTTTCGAGTTCTCCTCGGATGTTCTGCAGCTCATAAAGCTGTCCAATTGAGGGGTCTGGTGGTGCTGGATGCTGCGAAATCTGAAATAAGACTTTTCTAAAGGGCTAAAAAGGTCTGATTTCACCATTTTTCTATAAAACAAGATTGGAAATGGGAAAAACTTCGAGCCAACGTTAGTTAAATATTCTTTGAATGAAACTGCCCACCTGTCCATAATACCCGTTGGGAGGACCGATATTAACATTTTGTTGATGATTGGCCTGTTGTTGGAGATGCGGCGGCGGTGGTCGCGTCGGGATTTGCCTCGGCTGCGGCGTCATCAGAGCGCTGGTCGTCATTGAAGTCATGCCGGATCCGGCGTAGGGATTTCCGAAGGCTGAAACTTTTAGGTAGCATCGTGAAATTGAGCGCCTGGTCAGAATGCGAAAAGACGTAGTCTGCAGACAATTTTCATGCTTTTTTTCAAATTCACTATTCTGAAAATCAATTAAAACTATTCTTTTATAAAAAAAGACTATACCGTATGAATTATTAAGAAAAAAATATATTCTCAGCACTTGACAGAGTGTTTTTAAATTGAAAGTTTTTTTATCGATAAAATAATATTTCTTGAAGTTTTTTTCCAACTAAAATTTATTCAGGATCTTCCATTTTTTAACAAAATGATAAAAATCCGCACCATCTAAGGTCATAAGCTGATGATGAGACCCGGCGTTGCTCATGATACCGCCATTACCCGTGGATAAACTCGTCGGCGGTCCGGCCCACATCTGGAATAAAAAAGGGGATTAAAAGTGAATTTTGGAAAAAAAAAATCAAAAAAAAAGTTATCGTAAATACAGCTTTTTCTGCTTTTTCGCTCCGAGAAGGCTCGAAAAACTGCAAAAAAAAACAAAAAGACGATTTTATTGAAGATAAAGGATTTCTGGGAAAAAAACGTGACAAGATGGCGTGAAATTCCCTACAACTCCTTCTAAACCTTCTAAAAATACAGAATCTACAAGTTCATTGCTGATAAAACCAACCGGATCAACGACCAAGGCCGTCTGACTGGAATAATGTGGCTTTCTGTTGGTTTCCAGGCTGACGTCGGCCAAAGACATGGAAATCCTTTGCGCGTAAATCTCCGCTTCACGCGCTTTCCGCTCCATTAACAACAGCGCTTCTTCGGACTATGGAAAAATGTTTTAATTATATTTTTTCTAAGATGATTCTGGTGAAACCTTGACGTGGCTCATGCTGAGTCGATGGCACTCCGCCTCGGCTTCTGACGCCTTTTTATGGAGTAAAAGGGCCTCTTGTTCGCTGTGACGAGCCTTTTCGCTCAGTTGATCGTTCGTTTCTTCTGCTCTCCGGATGGTTTCCTTGAAAGTGAACGCTTTTTTCGTTGTTTCAAAATCATCCAAAAACTGCACCTTGAAGCAACCGAGCAAGGTTTTTGATAAAAGGGTAATTTCTAAGAGCTTCTACAACCTGAACAAGCTCGATTCACTAACAGTTCAACGAAAAAAATAATAAATTATATTATTGTTAGAACCTATTTTCGCACACTGTTTTTTTTCTAATAATGCCAGGAAAATTCAAGTTTTCGCAGGTTTTTCGGTGCAACACTGATGGATAGGTAAGTGATGCGAAAATTGACGCATAACTTTTTTTTTTGACATTTCAAGATTTTATGAAGCTGCTGAAATAATTATCTCTTTGAAACCCAAACCAAAAATGGGCAAGTACATAACTCAACCAGCCCAGAGGGGGGTCGGATTGCAGAAATTTCAATATAAATAAGGTATTAAAACAAGTTTCGATCGCAGAAAGGTAGTGTAGACAGGATGAGAGTAACTTTTAACCTCCAGACTTGGATATTAATTATAAAGACTCGAGAGGAGGACTGAAGGCCTTTAAAATGGTCTATCCGATGTATGATCCAAATTCAACGAAAACTGCTGTTTTTATGTGTTCTCAAAGCTCTTAGAATGAGTACCTGGGCCTTGTTCAGCTCCAAGTTCATCCTTTCCATCTTGGCCTTCAGTTCGTTGCACTCCTTCTCGGCTTGCAGCCGTTCTTCTCGTTCATGCAGGAGTTTGGCCATTTCCTGCTGCCTTCTCTGTCTTTCTTCCTTGGCTTGAGCCTTCATTTGTTGGACCTAAATGAGAAAACATATTTCATGGCACAAGAAGGAGGAAAATGATAACTTCTATTCAGTTTATAAATCACATTGTTTCACTCTTTTCATTGCAAATTTCAATTTATGAAAATCATTTTCTACTAATCATAACTAATCAATCAGAATTGAATATTACTGAATTTTCATCATATATAAGTATTATAAAAACACCTTGTTCTGTTCCCGCTTTTTTATGATATTTCATATCTTCTCTCAAATAATATGACTTTTCTATAAGGGCTCCTCCTCAAAATAACCTATTTAAACTAATTTTGGGGGCTTCGGGGCCATATTTTTTTCAATAAATAAAGAGTTTTTACAAATTAAAACTTTCGGAAGCCTTACCTGGAATTTTTTTCATTTATCTTTATCTTTATTATTCACATAAAAAAATTTTTTTGACCAATTTTCAAGAAATTTCCAACCACAAAATGAACCAATCTTCCTTGTCAAAAAGGTTCTTTCTTTCGCTAATTTTTATGAATAGTTTCTCAAAAATGCACCTCCAACGTGTCGGGCTGCCTCCTCCGCAAGTACAAATTGTGCGTTCCGATGCAAAGATCCAGAATCGAGGAATCAATGGAACATTCGCGCGAACGGAAAGAAATCGTCGATTTGTCGACGGTTTTCATGTGAAACTGCAAAAAAAATTTATTTATCTTTAAAAAAATTGTTGGATTTATACGTATAAATTCTTAGAACAGGAATATAATTGCGATTTCTCTTTTTTTCTACTGAAAAAGCCAAAAAGCAATATTGGTATTTCAACTTTTTTTATTCTGATTTCCAGCTTTCTGGAATCAACTAGTTTTCTTCCCATACAAAAAAAGTAATCAGGATTCAGAAAAAAATTTTTGAAAAAGAAAAATAAGTCCTAATGGTTAGTTTATGAAATATAATTTTATGATTTTGTTTCACATTCAAGATCGAAATAAATATTCCCACAACCTTATTTTCCTATTTTTCATCTGGAATCACCCCTTTAATACCAACCTTTTTTTGCTCTTAAACTGGATATTTTTGATTTCGCTCCAACTGAAAAACGGCCTCGGCGTTATCCTATTTCCACCTGCAGATAAAATATTTACCTCTACATTTTTATAACAAATAAATACCTTTATAAATACCCAATCCTTGAGCGGAAATCCCTAGGTGCAAATCCGTCTCTTTCTTGTTCTGAAAATCATTAATTCCTAAAATTGAGGTCATGGGAACGACTTGAAACTTTTTTTAAGAATAGAAAAATATTTTTGATTCAAAAATGGGGAAAATAACCAAAGCATTTTAAAAACTTAAAGAAACCGATTTTTTTATAGTTAATTTCAATTTTGAACGTAATTCTCTAATAAAAAAATTTGAAATTTCTTATCTTGGAAATTTAGTTCTTTCTGCGTACGTGGACATCCATTGACATTTCATTGAAAAAAATTCAATTTATGATAGCAATGAAAAAAAGGAATGAATCGTAAATATTTGAAGCGTTTTTCCAAACCAAACATGACCCATTTTTCTTTTAGAAAAAAATATCTAAAATTCAATGAGATTTTATTCCAAGCTTCTACATCATGATAAAAACAAAGCAATGAGGTTTTTAGCTGATTTTTGAGCTTATTCCGAGGATTTTCTTTTGAAATCACAATAGCAAAGAAATGAACTGACACAAATCGGATAGTACAAAATGCCGTACATCTCGAGGTCCTGAGCCACGCGTAGATATTCCATTTCGGCTTCTTCCCTTCAGAAGAAAATCGATAAAAATTATGAGGATATCTTTGTAACTCCAGAGTGATCCCTGTAGGGGCAACCTAAAGGCCCTTGAAGGTTTCTCTTTAGCGACCGCTTAACTCTCCTGTAGGGACCACTGAAGCTTGCAAAAGTGGCCCGTGTAGGGGACATGCTAGCCGATTATTGTTATGAATCCTGTGAGAAGGAGCATTTCCATGCGAGAAAGAATTTATTAAGCTTCCCTTTTAAGACCCCAAACCCCTATAGGGACCACCTAAATTTTACCCCTACAGGCGTTTTTCTTCCATTTCATCCCTTCAGGAAGTCATGATATGCACCTAGTCTGGCCGGCATTATTCATCCACCATCTTTTGATCCTCTCCCTCCACATGTCGGCGCTCATGTCGTACTGGTCGATCACGCTTTTCGGCAACAACTTTTCCAGATCCAAGGGTCCGACGTCGTCAGTACAATCGCCGTGCTGCAAAATCAATTTTAAAAAAAGCCTAGAAACTCAGAATCGAAAAAACTAGTCCAAAACGAGAAGCTTTCAACGCTTCTACAACATATATTTGAAGGGCGAAATTAGTTTCTCCAGGGATAAAAAACATTGAAACCGCTCAGAATCTCGGAAAATATCTCTCAAAGATAGAAAGCTTCCAAGATATTTTATAATGAACATAGAATGAAAAATATCGTTTCTCCTCGAAAGGGAAATCTAGAGTTTTTAATGAAAGTTCAAAAATCTCAAAAACTTTTTTTCGAAAAATGTTTTTCTACGGAAAAATCTCGACTATTTAGTATTTTTTTCGAAAACTCACTACAAAAATGAAAAAAAGTTGGAATTTTCCATGAAACCTATCAATAAAAAAATTTTTCCTTTCTTTCTAAAAAAATGCAGTTGTTAAAAAAATATTGATCATTCCATCGAAAAAAATTATTGAACTCTCAGTTGATTTGTAAAAATTGGCCACTATAGGGTTTTGACGTTTTAATGGCCACTTAAGGGGTTGAAAATTAGTGGTCACTGTAGAGGTCTAAGTGCTACTAGACTACTAGACCACTTTAGGGGTCAATGAATCGTCATAACTGGTCCACTCTGTTTTTTTTAATTATCAGAGTTACTGGAAGGAATACTGGATTGACTCTATAGTGCCACTAAAAATTTTCCCAAAAACTTTATCCCAAAAAATGAGAAAAAATCTTAAAATCCCCCACAAAAACAGCACGATACAACATGAAACTTACGTTTCAAACAGAAAAAAGTTGTGTCCTGTAACAAAAAATTTTCTTCGAATAAAGTTCTTCTGTTTCAAAATCAATAAAATGAAGTGAGAAAAATGAGCAAACCATTGCTTGAACGGCAAAACTGGCGAGAAGGACACTGGCTTCCGGCGAACAGTACAGATCCATCGAAAGGATGGCTTGTTTGATTTGCAGGAAGAAAAGATGACGGGTTAGATCGAGGATGAGTTCGGGTTCGACGTCTTCCGGGTAGAATTTGACGAGGAACAGGAAATGGAGGCTTCCATCCGATTCGTTGGGCACGTCTTGGCTGCATATCTGAACTTTTTTTTTAAGAAAACGAAAATTTTTTCCTTTTTTCTCTGGAAAAAATTTTCAAGACTTTTATAGGATGTTCGCCGCGACTTGACAGTTTTCAAGTGGCTGCGTCTCTCTGTTCCCTCACCGGTGAGGTCAGAGTAACGTGAAAATATTACGTCAACAGGAGAGGGAAGTCGAGAGACGGGGAGGGCCCAGAGAATAACCCCCTTTTCAAGGAAATATTTTCAGCAGAACTGAAGAGGGCTTGAACAAAATATCTAATATTCTTACAAGAACCCAAGAAATATGAAAACGGCTTTTCGCTTTAAAGATTCGAGGAAAAATAGAGTCTGTGCTCCTTTAAACAACCTAATGAAAATACTTGAAAAAAAAATTTGGAAAGTTCTTTGAATGAAGAATTTATAAATTCAATGAACTGACCGTCTTATCCATTTGCAACCAGCAAGGGATCCTCTTCTTGTTTGTGAATTGCAAGCCAAAAAACCAAACTTCCCGGAGGCCGATTATCCGACAAACTGCGTCAAATAAGTTTCTACCAGTCCAGGTTCGCTGAAAATTTCATAAAACGGATTACAACTCAAAATGATATGAAAACCTCAAGAACGATTCTGTCCAAGTCGGCTTCCATCGTGCTAACTTTTGCATAGATCGGCTTTGTCGACCGCGATAATAATGAAAACCCGCCCATTTCTGTTTCAGAAATTTTGGGCAGGTTGTAGGAACCCTGAAAATGAAAAAAAATTGATGCTTTCCATTACTAGATAGTATATTCAAAGCATAAAAAGCTTTGATTCCTAAACTTCAAATCATAAATAAACAAAAAAACAAACGCTTAATCACCTCTTAGTCTTTATCAAGAAAAAAATAATATAAAAAAACGAAATAATACTGCTCATGAAAAACATTCTGTTTTTTTGAAAGCAAGAAAAAACTTTGAACCTTTCAAAAATACTTTTTAACAAATAGGATTCACGAAATTATAGTCTTGCCGAAATTCTTGAAGAGCTTTTTCAAAGAAACAAAATTTTAACCCAGTGAATGGCTCCTCGCCTAAAAATCTTTCAAAATTTTGGCTATGCTCCTTCATGCATTACAACAGAAACTTTGGAACAGGCTATGATTAATAAAAAAAAAAAAGAAAAAAAAGAAGAAGAGACAAAAGGCACGTCAGGATTTACGCAGTGGAGAAATTGCGCGCCAATGCAAGTTTTTTTTTTCAGACTCGCCAAAAATGAAGTTTTCATGTGTTCGACGGAAAATCTATCTCGCATGTCACTGAAAAGTGAATGAAAGTTTGAAGTAAGTACAAAAAGTAAGAAAACGGAAGAGGGCAAATAATGACTCACTTAATTCGATGAGAAATCCATTAGGATCATTAAAACTAATAGAAAAAACGAGTGCGAAACGGCAGCCACTCAAAAACTTCCACTTGAAACATTGACCTTTCGAAAAGGAAGAGATCTCTTTACTTTTCTAGTCCATTCTGTTCTCATGACGTCAACAAAAATTTAGATAAATAGTTAGATTTATGTATATAATCAAGTTTGATTCACTCAACCTCCTCGAAGGTAACTGAACTTTGAGGTTTTTCAATCTTGGTCTTTTCCTTTCTTCTTTCTTCCGTTCAAAATTTTGATCCGAGTCGAAACCGAGCAAGCGTTCCGCCAAACTGTCAAGTCAACAAAACTTGCTCCGCCTCATCTCTTTTTTTTTCGGAGACGCGCGAGCCCTGGGGGCTCCCGCAGAGCTCGCGGAGCACACCTGGGCTCGAGTAGCCTTCCGCACACAAGCCTCTCATAACTCGGTGATTTTTTCGTCGGACTCTCTTAATTTCTGTAATGAGCCAGACATGAAAACGGTCTAAAATAAATCTTTTCCGGAATTTTTGGAATTTTTGAATGTTTCCGTCTGCTATAGACTTCTTTGATCTTACGGTGCTTTTTTCCAGAATCTTTACAGTGAGTTTCAGGCAAAATACTCTCCCTCCTGTAAAAAAAACCTGGAAAATTCCAAGAGGCAACTAACCAAATTCAAATAAATCTTAGTTAAAATGTTTTTCTTCTAAATATTTCGATTTTTTTACTCAGTCTTCGTTTAAAAAAACTAAGAGAAACTATAAAAAAAGTACGAGAGAAATATTTTTAAAAATTTTAATTTCTTAACTTTATCGTTCCAAAAAAATTTAGAGATAATGGGCGTGGCTTTCACACGCAAATGCGGCACGAATAAAAACGAGTTAAAAAATCAGTTTTGCTGAATCTATCAAATTTTGAAAATTTTCTGCGTTTGTCACTCATGGAGGACTAATATAGAAAAATGCAGTTTGTTGCAGTTTCAGAATCAATTTTCATAGCGCTTTCTGTCAAACCTTCTACTTAATTTCAACTTCAGACAGAAGTCGGGAACTTTTTTTTCAACTTATATAGCTTCAGACCGCGAATTTTCAATCAAGTTTGCAGACTAAAAAATAAATTAAGTTCAAAAAAACAATATTATTTTCCACCTCAGAAAACCAGCCCATTCCATCACTATACCAGCCATCCATCTAATCGTATTTTTGTTTTCTCCCTAACGAAATCTTTGTTTTCCCTTCACTGATCTATCCATTGTTGTTTCCAGCTTTCCAGACCGCCGCCCCTAAAGTTGTCTCTCTGGGATCTCTTTATTTCTCTCGACGACTCTCTTCACTATTACACAAGGTCCCGTATATATTGTCTTCCGCGTCTTCGAAGCTTCATTTTTTCCTTCGTTTCTTAAATTTGAATATTCTCATGCTTTATTAAACTCGAGAAATAGGTTGGAATAATTTCAGGTGTCAAAAAATGAGCACAAACACTGAAGAAGGCAAGGTTTTCAAGCCCGAAGACTACTCGAAAAGCTTTGATCCGGAAGCCTACCTTCAATTTTATTTCAGCAAGTTAGTTTTCAATGAAACTGTTAGTTCAAGTGTTCATATGAAGTTTGTAAGTCTACTCAAAAAAATTTTTTTAATCTATCTAAAAAGTCCATTCCTACAATTCTGACGGCAAAAAAATGTGAAAAAAATTTTTTTATGGAAAAAAATTAATCTCATGAAAAAAAGTTATTCTTATCATTTATTTTTTTGGATATCTGATTTTAAGACCTTTTTTTCATCGTCTAACCTCCCCTAAACGGTTTCATTCTCAAATAAAAGTTGGGATTTCCCATTAAAATTTCTCAGAACTTTTTTTATTTCTGAACTCTTTCAGCTCTCCCCACGGAACTCGCTGTAAAGTTTTTTTCACATTATATTTTCCAATCTTTCCATAATTTATAAAAAGTGGAAACCCGTCGATTTTTGTGACAAAAATCACGAAATTATCAAGAATATTTACTGCTTCATCGAAAAATGAAAGGAAAAAGTCAAATTTGTCCTCCGATTCTTCTTTTTTGATTAATCTAAACAAAGCTGAGTCATAACTTCAAATTAACTTCTCAAAAGTCCTACCTTCTTCAACTTTTTGCTCAACTCAGCAAACTTAAAGTCGCGAACTCCTCTCGACTGATATCCGATATGCCGGAACGAACGAACGAAAACTATCAACTCGTCTTGAAAAAAGTCAAGAAGAAAGCCGATACTTCACTCATTTACGTAAGCTTATCGGGTATTTGAAGTTGAGATCACTTAACAGGGGTTGGATGACATGTGCAAACAGCCATCCCGTCACAGTGTGTGCACTCCCGAAAAAGTAGACGAACGGGGAAAAAATGACGAGAGGAAATGGAAAAGAAAGGATTCGAGACGGATTTCGTTGCAATTTGAAAAGCTGAGACCGAAATCAAGAGGCTTTTCATAGCTCGACCTTCTAAACTCTTTTTTTAAAAGCGCATCAATCTTACACAACTGAAAATATAACAGTAACTGTTCGCTTTGAGACCCGCATGAACATTTTCCATGCTCTCTTGAACACTCCCACCGATAGACATTTTGAAACTCAAAAAGGAACAGAAAAATCGAAATATCATTATCAAATAAAAAAGCTCACCCGAGATCGGAAAATCCACTTCATGCTTGAGCTCAGGTTGACCGAAAGCAAGGGAGTTGGAAGGAAGAATGGGCGCTTGGAAAAAAGCTTTTACCTTTATCAATTCTATTGAACTTTCAGAAAGAAAGGAAAGTGGTTTCTGGAAAAGCGTGAAAGCTTTTGAAAAAAAAGCCTTCGAGAAAGTTTGTCAGAAAACAAAAAACAAATGGAATCGTATCCAAAACCTCATTTTAATCTTGTGAGTCAAAGATAAAAAGCTTCTCAAAACCCTATAAGCCTTGTTTGAAAATCAAAAAGATTCATAAAGTCCCAACCTCAAACTCAAAAAGTCCCATCCAGAGACTCGATCGAGGACGGAACTCGCGTCTCTCTTTTCGCCTTGCCCGTTTTCGCGCACCTCATGATCCAGTCGATGCGGCCGAATGAACGAGAAACTCTTCTCGATATTGGAGCCGGTAATCTGAGTTGATATGTTCTAACATGAGCAATTCGCAGGCCCGACCGTCTACTCGGCGCTCTGCTTCCGCGACGTCGCCAAGAAGGTCTATCTGTCTGATTACGTCGACAGAAACCTCGACGTTCTACGGAAATGGACCAAGGGGGAGAATACCATCGACTGGAAGCCGACTATCAAAGTTATCATCAGGTTAGTGACGTCATCAGATCAAGGATCTTGATGGAAATAGTAAAAATGACGTCGATTCGAATAAAAAAATGTCAGGACAGAAGGAGGCCATCCGCCAACGGACGCTGTCATCGACGTGGTCGAGGGAAAAGCCAGGGTTTCTGCACAAAGTTTCAATTTTCATCATAAAAATCACTCCAGGGAACTGTAAAAAGCGGCGGAATTCACTTTGCCGACGTTCATTTGCCACGTCCTGTCCCTGACTTGCCGGTGGACCAGGTTATCTTCGAACAAAAGGTTGAAAAATAACTTGATGAATTCAGGTAGATATTCTGGTGACGATTTTCACGCTGGAAAGCGCTTGCCGAAATTACGAAGAGTACTGTTCCTGCGTTAATAACATGGTTAGTTCAATATCAACTCAGGGGAATCAGAGAAAATAAATTTTAATTTTCAAAACCTTTCGATGCAAAATCGTTTTTATAGAAGTCCCTTAATTGGCGCGCCTCGAAAAGGATCTCACAAGGGAACTCTGTCAAAATTCTGTCAAAAAATCTCTCTTAACCTTCCTTTACTTCGTCATGTGAAACTTCATTCTCGTCTTTGGCAACATTTCTCTTTGCTCCGAAAGCTCATGGAAATGTCTATCTTGCTCTTTACACTGCCTTTTTTCTGCACTTTTGCCGCCAAACAGACATTTGTTCTTTGTTAATTGCTGTCTACGAGACGGAAGTGGAAGATCTGATTTCTTTTTTCCTTTTAACCTCGATCATTTCATTTCTCCTGCAATCAAGAAAAATCTTTCAGCTGGGACTTTTGCGCTCTGGGGGACGCTTCGTCCTCGGATCTGTTCTCGACGACGACACTTACAACTCTGGAAAGCAGGTCTCGTTTTACACTCCAATCGTGAAATTGGAAAAAATTCAATTTTACACAAAACCTTACAAAAAATGTGCACATTTCGCGACATATGAGCTCAATTTCTTTGCGCTAAAAGAGTGTAAAATGGCGTCAGCCGTACGAACGTTGAGTGGCAAATGAGTTCCGCATGTGTGTCATTCTTGGATTCTTTTTCACTTCACAGCAAGGAAAAAGTGTTCCGAACAACAAAACAGAGTCTGAAAGTTATTTCGAGCAAAATTTGGTGAAATAAAAATTGGCAAAAACGATTCGCAGTCAGCAGGATTCGAACCTACGCGGGCAGAGCCCAATTGATTTCGAGTCAATCTCCTTAACCACTCGGACATGACTGCTTGCGTGTTGCGAGGCTCAGTCGCGGCACATAGCAGTTGTTATAGTGTCGTGTGGTGGAGGACATTTCTAATTTTATTGAATATTCAGTGGAAATTCGCATTTTTCAGATGATTTTCCACCTGCTGAACCTTCGTGAGAACCAAATTTTGGACGCTCTGGAGAACGCGGGCCTCGACATGAACTCCATCAAAAAATATGTTCTGGAAGGCGAAGGAGTCATGTTCCTGATGGGAACCAAACTCTAAACTTAGTTCTTCATGCTGCCAATGTTAGGATTTTAAATATTCGATTTTAAATCAAGTTTAGTCTTTTTTTTTTCAACATATTCTTCTGTTCGAACCTTTTTCCCACATCTTTCCTTTCATATCTTACCCACCACCCCAATTATCTATTCTGAAATCATACTAATCCTACTTTTATATAATTTATAGCGCAGGTAGATGTTCCTATAATTACCGGTTATTAATTATAGCACTTCATTTGTAAATTCAATCCCATTTATAGGTTTTATTCTAATTTTTCCAGATTTTTCAACAGTATTGTTAGAAAAATATTGTAATTTTCAAGTTTTTTTTAAATGTACAAAAAGAGCTTAAAAAATACCCTGGCCCGAAATCCGATGGGTTCTTCAACTTTCCTTCTACGTGTTTCTCCCCTATTCCTTTCTTTTTCCTATCTTTAAATTTTTGGTAGAATGAAATAAAACTGAAAAGCCACACTTTTTATAAAAATGAAGGCGATTATCCGTATAGTGAAGAGAAACAATCAAATGTAACAATAGTTGACAAAAAATGTCTCTTTCTCAAATTTTTCGGAATGCCTACGAAAAATTTAACAGTTTACACATAGGAAATGTATTTAATTTTAATTTTTTCAGAAGACCAAAAAGAAAGTACAAAAGATTTAACACTGTGGAATAAGTTAAAATCAAAGTTCATCAGGAAAAATATTTTTTCACAAATTTCAACCAAGGCTTATGGATTGACTGAATGGAGATGAGTAATATTTGAAGGCTCTTTTTTAAGGACCTTTTGAGTAGCTTTTCAGTTCTGCCCGAGCGAAAAATGCAGCTTGAAATTATGGTAACAAATTATTAGAAGGATTTCAAACTGAATTTGAGACAATAGATTCGAACTGAGATATTATCAATCATTCTGCATTCCAATAACAAGCTCATCTCTTTCGATTTCGCGATCCAAAGGGGAGATGGTACTGTCGCGGTCGTTGTACCTGTCTGCACCTGGCGGCGTGAAGCAACGACGTTTCCGGTTCTCTTCCTCGGCTTCCAGAGCCTGGACTCGTCTCTGAAATCGGAAAATTACTGAGCTTTCTGTGTAATCTGAATCTTTTGTCGCAACAGAATATTCGAACAGAAATGAGTGAAATATATGCAATAATGAAGTCTGAAAAACGATATCAAACGGAAAAATTCTAGGAAAAATCAAAATCTGAGACATTTTTTTGGAATTATCTTTGAAAATTTTTTTGTTGTGAAGTCTACGAATGGATTGACAATGAAAAGAAAAAATGTTTGTTGGAAATTGGATCGAGAAGCTGAGAGTAGTTTAATAAAGAAAAAAAGAATACCGTAAGAAAAATTAATATTCGGCTTTTAAGAAAATTTCTTTACTTTATTTTTTTAATATGCGGAATTTCCCTAACCTGTTTCAATAGGGTTCGATGGACGTCTTTTTTAGGATTTCCGAGCTCCAACAAATTGAAGGCGATACCAATAACCCGAAGGTCCGGCGTCGGGTTCAATGACAAATGGTTGGAAAATTGATTGAGAAGCTGGAAATGGATTTAATGTTCACCAAAGTCTACGAAAAAAAAACCTGTTGAGCATTTATCGGACTCGGCTTCACAAGATCTTTGTAACTTCGCTTGAATCGCTCGAAGTTGTCGATCAACTGAAATTTCCTTTTTTCGAACAAAAAAACAAGTATTCTTAGCACTGTCTAAAACTCACAAGAAAATTGTAGAAGTTTTCAAAAAGTTGAAAAAAAAATTGAGATGTAAAATTAAAAACAAAAGTCTCAAAACCCCTTCAGGGAGCTCTATATTACTGAAATTCCAAGTCCGCGAAAATGCTTTGAGATGTTCACAGCATTTTATTTTCAACAAATTACGTTTGGACTTCTCGACTTCTCTGAAAAAAAGGTAAATCTTCACATACTTTACAAATTTTTTGCCTTAGCTCTTCATGTGCTCTCGAATATTGACGTTCTTCTTCAGTAAAATCGCGGCATTTTCTACAGAAATTCTCGGAAAAAAAAATGGATAACTCAAGCGCTCGATAGACTAAATTTGTGGTGTGAAAAGTAGAACTGATTTTTCGTCTCAAGAAATTTTGAATATTCTTTTTTTTTTAGCTAGATGTCGAATACATTTTTCTGATGAAACCTGTCTGAGTTCATCGTAGGTAAATCCGAGCTCCAAAAGGTCGAACTGCCTTTCGGCTGGAATCCGAACTTCCTCCTCAGGGACGATCGCTGGAACTGCGTCACGTTGCTAAAAACCTTGATCTTGAGTCTCAGGGAGAAGTTCAACACCAACTTCTTTGGCTGAAGTCATCATGATGATGTTTTGCAGATTCGGAGTGACGAGATAAGTTTGCGAATCATTCAACGAAGCTTGAGAGTCGAAAAGAGAAGTGCAGGAAAGTTGGAGAGACGGGCCGCTGAGGCAGTTCTGAGGCTCGAATCTCTGAAACGGGATGAATGCCAAAGAGTTGAACTTGACCAATATACATCTTTGTTGTGCTTCAGCCGACTTTTCAAAGAAGCTCTTTGAATATCGGCCGCTCGACAAATTCGGTCGAAAAAAGATTCTTTCTGTGGTCCAAGGAACTTTCCGATACTGAAATTTGATATTTCATGACAGTTCTTCACATGTGAAGCAAACGTGCTGATTTTCTTCAACTGATCTAGAGTGATCGCAGTTTTTGCGTTAAAACTCGACTCTTTTTGCTGACGAATATCTCTTTCCAGGACCTGTATTTCTCGCTCGAAATCCTGATTTTTTATGGTAAGAACTAAAATTGAAGAAGAAAACATACACTTTGCTGAGATGCAGAAAAATCGTCGGCGTTACTGCAAACAAAAATTTGAATATCTTCCTTGTTGACACCTCGTTCTAACAAAGATCCCACTAATTCACGCCTTGGCATATGACAGTTTCCGCTATTAACCAATCAGCCTTAGGGGTGAGAGAGAACTTCTGACAGTTTAATACATCTCCCAAGCGCCAGTATGCCTGTGGCAAGCACTGCGAAGGGCGGAGTCATGAGAACAGCTAGCCACAGGCAAGTCACACCTTTTCCACCGGTATAAATACCGGTCAGAACGAGCAACATCACCAGCTCCCTCTCTTCTGGTTTCCTTCCATTGGTGTCGTCGGCCACCTCCAATCGTGTCATTTTTCTTCGGTAGAAGCTTTATCAGCCTTCACCGGGAGAAATGCCACAATTGGAGGTGGCCGACTCCTTTTCTCTTATTTTTTATTGCTTGCTATTTTTTTCAGATTTTTTGCATGTATTTGAATGTCGGCCACCTCAATCGTGTCATTTTTCTTCGGTAGAAGCTTTATCAGCCTTCACCGGGAGAAATGCCACAATTGAGGTGGCGACTCTTTCTCTTATTTTTTTTATTGCTTGCTATTTTTTTCAGATTTTTTGCATGTATTTGAATGTCGGCCACCTCCAATCGTGTCATTTTTCTTCGGTAGAAGCTTTATCAGCCTTCACCGGGAGAAATGCCACAATTGGAGGTGGCCGACTCCTTTTCTCTTATTTTTTATTGCTTGCTATTTTTTTCAGATTTTTTGCATGTATTTGAATGTCGGCCACCTCCAATCGTGTCATTTTTCTTCGGTAGAAGCTTTATCAGCCTTCACCGGGAGAAATGCCACAATTGAGGTGGCCGACTCTCTTATTTTTTTATTGCTTGCTATTTTTTTCAGATTTTTTTGCATGTATTTGAATGTCGGCCACCTCAATCGTGTCATTTTTTTCTTCGGTAGAAGCTTTATCAGCCTTCACCGGGAGAAATGCCACAATTGGAGGTGGCCGATCTCTCTTATTTTTTTATTGCTTGCTATTTTTTTCAGATTTTTTTGCATGTATTTGAATGTCGGCCACCTCTAATCGTGTCATTTTTCTTCGGTAGAAGCTTTATCAGCCTTCACCGGGAGAAATGCCACAATTGGAGGTAGCCGACTCTCTTATTTTTTTTATTGCTTGCTATTTTTTTCAGATTTTTTTGCATGTATTTGAATGTCAGCCACCTCAATCGTGTCATTTTTTTCTTCGGTAGAAGCTTTATCAGCCTTCACCGGGAGAAATGCCACAATTGAGGTAGCTGACTCTCTTATTTTTTTATTGCTTGCTATTTTTTTCAGATTTTTTTGCATGTATTTGAATGTCGGCCACCTCCAATCGTGTCATTTTTTTCTTCGGTAGAAGCTTTATCAGCCTTCACCGGGAGAAATGCCACAATTGAGGTGGCCGACTCTCTTATTTTTTTATTGCTTGCTATTTTTTTCAGATTTTTTGCATGTATTTGAATGTCGGCCACCTCCAATCGTGTCATTTTTCTTCGGTAGAAGCTTTATCAGCCTTCACCGGGAGAAATGCCACAATTGGAGGTGGCCGACTCCTTTTCTCTTATTTTTTTTGCTTGCTATTTTTTTCAGATTTTTTGCATGTATTTGAATGTCGGCCACCTCCAATCGTGTCATTTTTCTTCGGTAGAAGCTTTATCAGCCTTCACCGGGAGAAATGCCACAATTGGAGGTGGCCGACTCCTTTTCTCTTATTTTTTTTGCTTGCTATTTTTTTCAGATTTTTTGCATGTATTTGAATGTCGGCCACCTCCAATCGTGTCATTTTTCTTCGGTAGAAGCTTTATCAGCCTTCACCGGGAGAAATGCCACAATTGGAGGTGGCCGACTCCTTTTCTCTTATTTTTTTATTGCTTGCTATTTTTTTCAGATTTTTTGCATGTATTTGAATGTCGGCCACCTCCAATCGTGTCATTTTTCTTCGGTAGAAGCTTTATCAGCCTTCACCGGGAGAAATGCCACAATTGGAGGTGGCCGACTCCTTTTCTCTTATTTTTTTATTGCTTGCTATTTTTTTCAGATTTTTTGCATGTATTTGAATGTCGGCCACCTCCAATCGTGTCATTTTTCTTCGGTAGAAGCTTTATCAGCCTTCACCGGGAGAAATGCCACAATTGGAGGTGGCCGACTCCTTTTCTCTTATTTTTTTATTGCTTGCTATTTTTTTCAGATTTTTTGCATGTATTTGAATGTCGGCCACCTCCAATCGTGTCATTTTTCTTCGGTAGAAGCTTTATCAGCCTTCACCGGGAGAAATGCCACAATTGGAGGTGGCCGACCCTTTTTCTCTTATTTTTTTATTGCTTGCTATTTTTTTCCAGATTTTTTTGCATGTATTTGAATGTCGGCCACCTCTAATCGTGTCATTTTTCTTCGGTAGAAGCTTTATCAGCCTTCACCGGGAGAAATGCCACAATTGGAGGTGGCCGACTCCTTTTCTCTTATTTTTTTTGCTTGCTATTTTTTTCAGATTTTTTGCATGTATTTGAATGTCGGCCACCTCCAATCGTGTCATTTTTCTTCGGTAGAAGCTTTATCAGCCTTCACCGGGAGAAATGCCACAATTGGAGGTGGCCGACTCCTTTTCTCTTATTTTTTTTTGCTTGCTATTTTTTTTTCAGATTTTTTGCATGTATTTGAATGTCGGCCACCTCCAATCGTGTCATTTTTCTTCGGTAGAAGCTTTATCAGCCTTCACCGGGAGAAATGCCACAATTGGAGGTGGCCGACTCCTTTTCTCTTATTTTTTTATTGCTTGCTATTTTTTTCAGATTTTTTGCATGTATTTGAATGTCGGCCACCTCCAATCGTGTCATTTTTCTTCGGTAGAAGCTTTATCAGCCTTCACCGGGAGAAATGCCACAATTGGAGGTGGCCGACTCCTTTTCTCTTATTTTTTTATTGCTTGCTATTTTTTTCAGATTTTTTGCATGTATTTGAATGTCGGCCACCTCCAATCGTGTCATTTTTCTTCGGTAGAAGCTTTATCAGCCTTCACCGGGAGAAATGCCACAATTGATGTGGCCGACTCTTTTCTCTTATTTTTTTATTGCTTGCTATTTTTTTCAGATTTTTTTGCATGTATTTGAATGTGCCACCTCCAATCGTGTCATTTTTTTCTTCGGTAGAAGCTTTATCAGCCTTCACTGGGAGAAATGCCACAATTGGAGGTGGCCGACTCCTTTTCTCTTATTTTTTTTTGCTTGCTATTTTTTTCAGATTTTTTGCATGTATTTGAATGTCGGCCACCTCCAATCGTGTCATTTTTTTCTTCGGTAGAAGCTTTATCAGCCTTCACTGGGAGAAATGCCACAATTGAGGTGGCCGACTCTTTTCTCTTATTTTTTTATTGCTTGCTATTTTTTTCAGATTTTTTTGCATGTATTTGAATGTCGGCCACCTCCAATCGTGTCATTTTTTTTCTTCGGTAGAAGCTTTATCAGCCTTCACTGGGAGAAATGCCACAATTGAGGTGGCTGACTCTTTTCTCTTATTTTTTTATTGCTTTGCTATTTTTTTCAGATTTTTTTGCATGATGATGTCGGCCACCTCCAATCGTGTCATTTTTTTTCTTCGGTAGAAGCTTTATCAGCCTTCACTGGGAGAAATGCCACAATTGAGGTGGCTGACTCTTTTTCTCTTATTTTTTTATTGCTTTGCTATTTTTTTTCAGATTTTTTTGCATGATTTGATGTCGGCCACCTCCAATCGTGTCATTTTTTTCTTCGGTAGAAGCTTTATCAGCCTTCACTGAGAAATGCCACAATTGAGGTGGCTGACTCTTTTCTCTTATTTTTTTATTGCTTGCTATTTTTTTCAGATTTTTTTGCATGATTTGATCGGCCACCTCCAATCGTGTCATTTTTTTCTTCGGTAGAAGCTTTTATCAGCCTTCACTGGGAGAAATGCCACAATTGAGGTGGCTGACTCTTTTCTCTTATTTTTTTATTGCTTGCTATTTTTTTCAGATTTTTTTGCATGTATTTGATGTCCCACCTCTAATCGTGTCATTTTTTTTCTTCGGTAGAAGCTTTATCAGCCTTCACCGGGAGAAATGCCACAATTGAGGTGGCCGACTCTTTTTCTCTTATTTTTTTATTGCTTTGCTATTTTTTTCAGATTTTTTTGCATGTATTTGAATGTCGCCACCTCCAATCGTGTCATTTTTTTTCTTCGGTAGAAGCTTTATCAGCCTTCACTGGAGAAATGCCACAATTGAGGTGGCTGACCTTTTTCTCTTATTTTTTTATTGCTTGCTATTTTTTTCAGATTTTTTTGCATGATTTGATGTCGGCCACCTCCAATCGTGTCATTTTTTTTCTTCGGTAGAAGCTTTATCAGCCTTCACCGGGAGAAATGCCACAATTGAGGTGGCTGACTCTTTTTCTCTTATTTTTTTATTGCTTGCTATTTTTTTCAGATTTTTTTGCATGATTTGATCGATCACCTCCAATCGTGTCATTTTTTTCTTCGGTAGAAGCTTTATCAGCCTTCACTGGAGAAATGCCACAATTGAGGTGGCTGACTCCTTTTCTCTTATTTTTTTATTGCTTGCTATTTTTTTCCGATTTTTTTGCATGATGATGTCGGCTACCTCTAATCGTGTCATTTTTTTCTTCGGTAGAAGCTTTATCAGCCTTCACTGGGAGAAATGCCACAATTGAGGTGGCTGACTCTTTTTCTCTTATTTTTTTATTGCTTTGCTATTTTTTTTTCAGATTTTTTTGCATGATTTGATTCACCTCCAATCGTGTCATTTTTTTCTTCGGTAGAAGCTTTATCAGCCTTCACTGGGAGAAATGCCACAATTGAGGTGGCTGACTCTTTTTCTCTTATTTTTTTTTGTTTGCTATTTTTTTCAGATTTTTTTGCATGATTTGATCGGCCACCTCCAATCGTGTCATTTTTTTCTTCGGTAGAAGCTTTATCAGCCTTCACTGAGAAATGCCACAATTGAGGTGGCTGACTCCTTTTCTCTTATTTTTTTATTGTTTGCTATTTTTTTCAGATTTTTTTGCATGTATTTGAATGTCACCTCCAATCGTGTCATTTTTTTCTTCGGTAGAAGCTTTATCAGCCTTCACTGGGAGAAATGCCACAATTGAGGTGGCTGACTCTTTTCTCTTATTTTTTTATTGCTTGCTATTTTTTTCAGATTTTTTTGCATGTATTTGATCGGCCACCTCCAATCGTGTCATTTTTTTCTTCGGTAGAAGCTTTATCAGCCTTCACCGGGAGAAATGCCACAATTGAGGTGGCTGACTCTTTTCTCTTATTTTTTTTTGCTTGCTATTTTTTTCAGATTTTTTTGCATGTATTTGATGTCGTCACCTCCAATCGTGTCATTTTTTTCTTCGGTAGAAGCTTTATCAGCCTTCACTGGAGAAATGCCACAATTGAGGTGGCTGACCTTTTTCTCTTATTTTTTTTTGCTTTGCTATTTTTTTCAGATTTTTTTGCATGATTTGATCATGGCCACCTCCAATCGTGTCATTTTTTTCTTCGGTAGAAGCTTTATCAGCCTTCACTGGGAGAAATGCCACAATTGAGGTGGCTGACTCTTTTCTCTTATTTTTTTTTGCTTGCTATTTTTTTCAGATTTTTTTGCATGTATTTGAATGTCACCTCCAATCGTGTCATTTTTTTCTTCGGTAGAAGCTTTATCAGCCTTCACTGGGAGAAATGCCACAATTGAGGTGGCTGACTCTTTTCTCTTATTTTTTTATTGCTTTGCTATTTTTTTCAGATTTTTTTGCATGTATTTGAATGTCGGCCACCTCCAATCGTGTCATTTTTTTCTTCGGTAGAAGCTTTATCAGCCTTCACCGGGAGAAATGCCACAATTGAGGTGGCCGACTCCTTTTTCTCTTATTTTTTTATTGCTTTGCTATTTTTTTCAGATTTTTTTGCATGTATTTGAATGTCGGCCACCTCCAATCGTGTCATTTTTTTCTTCGGTAGAAGCTTTATCAGCCTTCACCGGGAGAAATGCCACAATTGAGGTGGCTGACTCTTTTCTCTTATTTTTTTATTGCTTGCTATTTTTTTCAGATTTTTTTGCATGTATTTGAATGTCGGCCACCTCCAATCGTGTCATTTTTCTTCGGTAGAAGCTTTATCAGCCTTCACCGGGAGAAATGCCACAATTGGAAGTTGCCGCTTCATTTTACATCATGATTTATTTCATCACTGTAATTGCCAATTCAAAAAAGTGTTTTTTTAAGATCAAAAAAAAAAGAGAACTTACAAATTGCTTCCTTCGTTTTTGGCTTCTCTGGGTGCCATCGAAATAACGGATTCTTGGGATTCTTCCATAGTTGCTTTCGCGAAAAGAATCTTTCTAGGTAGATAGAGTTCAACTGCCTGCAGCGAAGTAGGGAATCGATGAGGTGGATGGTTGTTTAGAGTCGAGAATGGTGATAATGTTATCTTGTCAAATCGTCATTCAAGTCGAAATATATGTTGATGCCGCAGTTTTCAAGTCTGGAATAAAAGTTTTTATTTTTGACTGGCAAAGTAATTCCTTCCCAAGATATTGAAGTCTAAAAAAATTTTCAATAGAAACCGAATCCCACTACTGAAGTCTTCAGTTCCCACTATTTTCAATTTTCATAGAGTCAAAAACCCTTATTCCTTCTTCTTTTTTGTATCCGGTTTTTTTTTCCTATTTTTGTTATTTTACCTCTGACAACCTCTATCCAAAAAAAGTTTGTTTCAAGTTGTTATCTTATATATTTGTTGCGTTATTATCATAATGTGGCTACGCAAGATAAGAAAAGTTGCCGCATTCGTCGTGTTCGTTTTGTTCCCCAGTCACCAACTCCTTCAATATCTTTCCAATTAGGTTCGAAAGTTAATCCTTTTTCTTACTTTTCATTGTACCTAGTCATCATAGAACAGTTTATGAGCAATGCTGATAGCGATAGAATGATCAATTATTCCATAAAACAAAACAAAAAAGCTTGATAGGTTCTATTTTGCGCATTGAGAATACATTTTTGAAAATCGCTTTGTCAATTATGTATACTAATGAAATTATCAATTCACAATCTCCGAAGCCTATTTTTCATAGGATGTAACAAAACACTTTTTTTTCGTCGGGCGCAAGCTTTACTCACATTCATTTTAAATTTTTAAATTCCGCAAGAATTAGATTTTACATCTATAGTTTATATCAATTAAATGTGAAAAAAATCAGCGTTCCATCTCTGTAAGTGCGCTCTAGAGAAACGAGAGAAAAATTTTTCAAATTGGCTTTTTTTCCATTATTTTCACAAATACTTTTTTTCTCGTGTCTTTCATTATATTTCAATAATGATGAACAACTTCATAAAACTTTTTGCCGGCTTTTACGAGTTGATTTCCGATTTGTTCTAAATAAAAACTATTTTCAGATCTTTTTTCGTTCTATGTTCCTTCTTTAAAGATCAAATCAAAAGATGAGATCTCCCGTGAACGTCCGGGGCACCGTCGACTCGATGGAAGTCTTGCTGCAGGAAGATAGCGATTCGACGTTGGAAATCAACCGAACTGTTGGTTTTTCTTCATTATTTTTTTTTAAAGAAAAATGTCACAAATTTCTAACGTTTCAGGCTTCCCGGGCGACGATAGTTCCATCGATGGTGCTGTCTTGGCACGATATAACTGTAACCGTGAGTCGAATTTTCATGCTTTTTATCGCGGTGAAAAATTTTTGTTCTGGTTATGAAAGGCGCATAGAATGAATTATGATATCAAGGCGTACATTTCAGAGTTGTTTTAGGGCTTCTGTTGAAAACGATGGTTTCCGAAATTATTACGGAATTTAAAATAAAACGTCTCAACGTTCTTGACTTCTGAATTTTGTTTTTTAATGCTCATAATAACTCACAGTGTCAGGATTGATCGACCAGTCCATTAAGACAAAAATAATAGTTTCCACTGCTTGATAATGTCACGTAAATGATTTTTTTTTTTTCAAATCGCTGCAGGATGAGGACACGAAAAACTACCGAAACCCAGTTTCTGAGATTAGAAATCTCAAACTATTGTTTCAAACCGTACGCTTATCCAGTACAGAAATGTAATGAAGGAAATGCTCCAAGGCGGAATCAAAGGGATAAACATCAAAAAAGATTTAAAAAAAAAACACTTGCTGAGGTTTCCCCATATAGCCAGTTACGGTAAATTTTTTTCCGAAGTTCCTTCATTTCAAAATTATCAAACTCAAACTCGTCTACCATGCGTCTTTGAATACCATCGCACTGACTAAAAACATTTTCAGGAAATGAATAGCGGGAAGAGCTCGAAAATCTTCTCTTGCTGCACTGAAAATGAAGATGTCGAGAAAAAAAGAGGAAATCATAAGAGAAGAATTTTGGATGAAGGTTTGTTTGTACTGAATGTTTTTTTTACTTGTTTCCAACTGTTTTTTGAAGTTTTCAGGTTATTTTCGGAAAAGTACAGAAAATAACCATTTTCAGCCTTCGGAGTGGCGCAACCGGGGGAAGTCGTCGCGATTTTGGGTCCCAGTGGTTCGGGGAAAACGACACTTTTGAACGTGATCACTAAAAGGAACACTGGACAGTTGGACGTTCAAGGAAGCGTCAAGGTTTGTCATTGGAGGAAAAAAGTTTCGAATTGAAAAAGTTAGATTTGCAAAAGGCTAAGAAAGTGAACAATGGCATGTAGTGAAGAATTTTCAATCTAAATCACTAAAGAGGCGTATTTTCAGTGGTTATTTTCAAGAAATGAAGTTAAGTTTATTATGTAAATATGAACCAATACAGAACTTTCTTTTTAATGAAGAGAATTACTGACAAAAAGTCTTTCAATTTCACTTTGAATTTTATTGATTCAGCAAAAAAATCTTGTTCATCCATACAATTGATGTTCAGATCTCGATTTTTTTAAAAAAACACCATCGAAATTTTTTTAAATAAAGAAGGGCTTTTTGGCTTCCTTTTTCTTTTTTTTTTGCTACGACTAGTTAAAAAAATAGGAAGATAAAAAATTTTTAATTCGTAATTTTCGTCTAAAAAGATGGGAGAGAAAAACTAAAATTCTCCTTTTTTATGCAATGTGTGTAAGGAAGCCTTTTTTTCTGGAATAATATTGAAAATTCACGAATCTTTCTGTGCTGACTGAAGTTGATATATTTTTCCATCGTTTGTTCAAAAATCCGCGCTGAATCTGATTTGATATTCATTTGATGTTTGAAGTCGTTTTGCTTTCTCTAAACTGAAACTTGAAACGGCTCTTTGCTTCGAGACCTTCGTAAAGTTCTTCTATGCGCCTCCAAATTTCCTAGAAGGATTTTTGAAGCTTTCTCTTTTCGCATATCCAGTTTTAAATAACCAAAAATCTTTATATAAAATCCACGATAAAAATAACGTTGATTATGTCCCTAATTTCGTCGTCTCGGCTGTCTGGTTGTTGAGACAAGGTTGAATTGAAGCGGTGAAGTCAACTGGATAGGCCTTTTTGGTGTATTGACGGGCGGTGCGGACGCATACATCATCTGTACATTCGGCGACTTTTGCCGCAAGTACTGTATCCACCGGGGTTATACAAGTCACCATCTTTTGCACCAGTTTCTACAATCCATTTTCTGTTTAATCCGGAAGAAAATATTCTTGTTTCGTATACAAAAAAATGCTCAGGCGCTGGTGGCGGCGTCTCAGAAGGAGACTCGGCGGGTGTCTCTTTTCATTTTTTTTTTCTTCTTTTTTGGTCATACAAGCCGATAAGTTCCGTTTTTTTCCACATCTTTCATTATCAAGATGATTGAGTTTGAAACAGATTCAATGCAAAATACGCAGCTAAAATAAAAATGAAATCAACGCTTTGAAAGAGGTTTTTTCCACTCAAAAGGCAATAATAAGAGCCCGAGACCCGGTACTTCCCCCACCAGTTCCTGAGTGTTATTAGCCGATTCCCAATTAGCTTGAAACGCAAAGGGGCGTGGCTGGTCTGCGCTCTCCACCAACCTTTTTTTTGATGGATCCAGTTTGAATCAGCAGTATATATGCTGTTTAGAAGTCTAAATGAGTATAGACTTATCCAGAACCTTGAATAAGAGTCTTCCTACATGACTAAAACTTTTTCCAAATCGCTGTGTAATACTCAGTAATTTACTATTTCGCGATAAATCGTGTATCACTTTTTTGCGTTCGAAAGTTTGAAGCGAAACGTAGAAAAATGAGGAGAGATCTTTCATAAATCAATCACGGAACAGTGAGAGCTGAAGAACAAAACATTTGAAAGTGAAACGCAAAATGGACCTCTTTTTTTGTGTCTTTTTTCTATTTTAGCCCTCAGCCTTGATATCCAGGCTTCCAGTTAATTTTCGAAAAAAAAACCCTAAAACTCTTATTTTACCCAGGCGTTTCCACTGAAAATATTCAAAATAAGCATTTTTCAAAATCTTTGCACATTTGCCTGTAATGGAAAAAAAAACTTTGAAAAAAAATATACCTTAGTTCCGCTGGAAACCACGGCATCTTCTGTACTTTTTGCTGTTGAAGCGTCAAAAATAAAAACTGAAAGTAGCAGAATACAAGCGAAATAGTGGCTCATCATCGATTGATTTCAGAATAGTTCAAATATTTTTTGCAAGTCGTCCAAGTGCCGAACTCTTTTTCCGCGTCTACATCCCTCTAATCCGCTTTAGTGGACCTCAATTGGGGTCGTTTCTTTTTTTGTTTTAAAAATAGTTTTTAAAAAAGCTGGAAAAAAAGTAAGGAGTGCAATTTTAATAGAAACGTTTCAGAAAAACGTTCAAAAAAATTAAGGGGCTAGCAGTATGCTCAATATTCTTCTGCAAAAAAATTCCAAACTTTTTTTCGCTTTGAAAAATTAACTTCTATCATAAATAAACGGTGGCTTTCCACTCGATCTAGAATATCAAAAAAATAAACGAAAATCTTTTCAATATATCTTTTTATCAGTTTTCGTAGTCTATTCTCCAAAGTAAGCTTCCTATTCCCCTTTATGCAATTCTTCATTATTTATCCCTCGTTTGAACTCAAAAAGTTTGAATTTATCAATCGCGAAACTCTTTGGCTGATGCAATTCTTACTGTATGTTACACATAGCACAAAATGTCACGTGAAACAGAGATCGTTTGTTTAATTAATGACCTTTCTTCACAGTAAAAAGTATCTTTTTTTTTCTGAATATTCGCCGAGAAATGATAAAAATCAAAAATCAGCCGTATGAAATAAAGTTATTTTCCGCCATTTTCCTAAAAATGCAGAAGGCCTGAAACTTGCTGTTATTTTATTAAATCCGTCTTTTTCTCATGTAATAAGCTTTTTAGCGAAAAAATGTTTTCAGTGTAAAGACGATTTAAAAAAAAAAAGGTCTCTTTAGAGTTACATAAAAGTCTTCTAAAATAATTTTTAACTTTATTCCATGCGAAAGACGGTCTTTTTGTGAAACGGTATTACTAACATCAACCAAAAAGGAAATTAATTCTTCATTAAAAATAATGGTACTGAATCAATAGAATTTAGTTCCTGAAGTAACCAGGCATCTTTTGAATTTATTTTTTGCTTCATAAAAAAATACTTTCCCAGAAATTTTTTTAGTTTATATAAAAATTATTCATATTGCTAATTTTTGGGAAGCCTGAAGTCACAATTTTGTTCCTTAAGGATGAGTAGACGGAAATTTGGAAAAGTTTAACTGCATTTTTTTTTTCATAAGTTGCTAGATAATTTAACGTTTTCAGAATTGCTTCTAAATCCAAAAATAACAGAAAGAACACTAGACACTGTAATTTCGAAGAAATAATCACGAAAAAAAGGCAGTGGCCACACATTCCTAGCCTATAGAACAATCCAATGTTCTGCAGCCTTTGATAATTAATCAAAGTGCAGATGAACAGGCTGAAAATTGTCATGATGAACAGTCTCTTCTCATGTGACTTATACTTCAACCTTTGGACGTCAGTATTTTAAGGAAAAAAACGAAGAAACCAAAGTTGTACCATTTCAGAACAAAAAATCTCTCTATTTGACAAAGAGTATGCGGGCTTCTTTTTTAACGCATGATCCTAAAAAAGGCCTTAATTTATTTAAAATTGAAATGAGAATAAATAGAATTTTTACTTCAACGCGGAGTTATTTTGAGTGGTTAAATTTTTCGATTTTTTTGAGTTTTTAGACTTCTAGAACGAATAAAGGCGATAAATTATTTTCAGATCAATTTTTGTCAAAAGATCAGTAGATCATAAGAACAAGTTTGATTGAAATATATTTTTTGGATCTTTACAAGGAAAGGTAAACGCGATGCCTAAACAAGTTCAAAGCCTTATTTTTTAAATTTTTTTGAAAGTTCGAAGCTACTCCTTTTCAGACAGTTTTATAGCATTTTTCGAAATTTCAACGCTTTTAAAAGTCAAAAAAAAGCGGATTTGTTTTTCAAGCAGAAAATATTCACGCTCTCCAACTGAAAACGTCTACAACTATTCAAATTTATTTTGTGAATCCATCGAATTTTCACGGCCTCCTTGCCTAGAAATTTTCTCTTTTTTTCTCTTCTGAAATCAAAAGAACGTCCCGACAAGACAAACTTCTCGGACTTTTATCAAACCGTCGGACCCCTTTGAAGGTCAAAATTTGGGTTGATTTGTTTCCTTCTCAAAATTTCGTCGGCGACGCCAGAGAGCGGCCAAAGTCCCCACTATCGATACGGCTTCCATTCCTTTTTCTTTCCCTTATCACCAACGTCAACCAGTTCCATTCCCACCACACCATGCGGCTGACGCAACAATCTTCCAATTTTCAATCATTTTTTTGATATCAAGCAAGAAAAAAAGAGCAAATAACAATAGAGATAAAAACAAATTTGAGCAACAATAGTGAGATCAGAATTGGAAAGTCGCAGCTAGAAAAAATAACTAGGCTCATTTTCAGACCCATGGCGACTTTCATTTAATAAACCCTTAATTAGAGCCGTAAGGAAACAATGAAAGATACAAAAATACAATTATCCAAGCAAAACACGTCGCATCCGTGGCTGGAAGACGTCGTCTTCAGATTCCGACGAGCTTGTTTCGATCGCGATTGTCGGAGTACCCGCTTTGCATTTCGGAGAGCTGAAAAACAAAGAATAAATTCAGTATAAAATTTTATTATTTTCGTAATAATACAATCTCACTGGGAAACTTCAAAAAATCGGGTTACTTTCTCAAAACTTTCTCAATAAAACCTATCGAAAGGTAGTTTTGATCAAACTATGAATAATAAAAAAAGAAGTTCGATCGTTAAGCGAAAATGAACTGACCATAAGAATTGAAGCAATGGGACACGGTATTTTCCACAAAAGTCGACGAATTTGACGTGCTCAACGCGAGCATCAAAGTAGACTCCTTTGCATTTCGGGTTGACGCATTGACACGCTGATTGGAGGTAGTCGAGGACTTCCCTGTAATTAACAATACTGTAGGTTACGGTCGTAATATTTATTTTTATTCAAGAAGGGAGTCCAAGTCTAAGTTCTTTGAGAGGTTCTCTCCATTAATTTTCAAAGGATACGGTAGCTTCATAGAGTTTTCTCTGTTTGGCTGACAAACAAAGAGACGTTTTAAAGTTACGGTATCTTGAAGAGACAAGTAATCGAGCTATTTCAAGGTGACTTATACAGTAACCGAAACGTAAAAAACCTTACCTCGGCATGATATCCTTCAACGGGAGCTTGGACATCCGAACTCGGACGACCCTTCCGGCCAATTCCTTCAAAGTCGGTGGCTCCAGCTCCATATTGTGGACGAAATGATGGACCAACGGGTTGTTTCTCAAGGAGAGCTGCTGGAGGTTCCTTAGATTGATGATCTCCGTGGGCAACGTCTGCAGAATTGATTATTAAATCGAGCCTAAACGAAGTCGGACCAACCTTGAGATTATTATTGTGCAAGGACAAGCTCTCGAGGTGCTTCAGCTCGCCTAAAGTATGTGGAATCGTCTCCAGAATGTTGTCGCAAAGGGCCAACGAGGTCAGACGCTCCAGACAGCCGATAGTGGCCGGAACTTCTTGTAGACGGTTTCCGCCGAGGTACAGGATTTCCAGCCTGGAATTGAATCAATAAGATAATTTTAAAAGTGATAATTCTGTTGGATATATTGGATCTTTTTTTTCGGTTCCTATTTGAAACTACTATCTATATATCTATGATGGATTGAACCTTTGATAAGACTGTGAGCTTACAAAAGTAAAAACTAATTTTAAAGTCAATGAAGAAGCCAATGTAGGCCTGTAGAAACTCACGATGTAAGGGAGCCAATGGCGTAAGGGAGCTGATCGATGAGGTTGCCACCGAGGTGGAGAACCCTCAACTTTGGCATGTTGAAGATGGCGTTGGGAAGTTGTTCGATCCGGTTGCCGGACAGGTTGATGTTCTCGACTTCGGTGAAGGAGCACATCGTCTTGGGCAGTCCATCGAGAAGGTTGTTCCTCGCGTCGAGGTACCGTAACTTAGACAAACAGCCGATTTCGTCTGGCAGCGACGTCAGCGAGTTCGATGCCACGTTCAGGGTGATCAAATTGACAAAGGCTGAGATTCCGGAGAGTTCGAAGAAGGCGTTGTGGCTCAGGACGAGCTCGCGGATGTTCTCGGGACTGTAGAATGTCGTACTGTGGAGGTACCGTAGAGGAATGTCAGCGAGGCCCAAATCGCACAGGACCAGGTCCGTCATTGTGCTACTGAAAAAGTTCATTCAATCTTCACTTCTATTTGATTTCCGTGATATAAATAATTTTTGTCTAAAAAGACCGCTCTCGAAGGTTGGGTTACGGTAGAAACAAGAAAGTTTGGAGAATGTTCAGTTTCTGTATCAATTTAGAATAGCCGTATCAAATATTTTGAATCCTACCAATTTTTTCTGATTTTTTTTAAATCTAGAACTTGAGCTTTGAAAACAGCGGCTTTAAAATCAAAGTTGAAAATCTTCCATTTTCCTTAAATAAAAACATCTGAAACGTATCCAAACCTGGAAGGAAATTCCTCCGCGTCTTCAACATCTTCAATTTCTTCAATGCCTTCTTCTATTTGGGGCAGTTTCTCAACTCGAGAAGTGTCCATGGCTTTGATTCTGTAATAAAAAAATGAAATTGGATTATTGCATGATAGAAAGAAATTAATTCATGAAATGAAGGTAAAAATACAATTAAAATTTCAACTGATAAAATTAGTGAAATAGATGAAAGCGCCCGATGAAATTAAAGAAAGGTGAAAAAAAAAATTGGAAAGAACATTTTGCATCACTGTTTGGTTTGTTCTTGCATGACTTTGTTAGACGAAAAGAAGTCATAAAATGAGAGAAATCTACGGCGAAGCGAATAAAATTGGGATGAATATACTAGAGGGTTCTGTTTTAGAATTTGAGAACAATTTTAAGAGAGCCAGTCACTGTTATGAAATAAAATCTGAAAAAAATTATTGAAAAAGAGAAATTTTTGAAAAATCGAAAAATAGAGCCATTGGAAACCTCCATACCTAGTAGCATATACTAGCGGTAGTTCTAAAAAGAGAAAATTGAAATAAAAAAATAATCCTTCTAGACTCGAAAAAAAAAAAATCGTAAATTGGATCAGGAGCCAAAAATTATTAGCGATGGAGCGCAAACGCCTCGACACGAGATGCGTCTGTTCTTTTGGGGAAGCCTCGAGCGATACAGCGCCACTTAAGAACGACAGAGGCAACGATTTGTAGGCGGAGCTTGGCACTCTAGTCATTCTGCGCGCCAAAAATGATGATAAAAGGTGGTTGATAAGGCGTGAACGGCACGTGACACTCGGCTGATTATTGAGGTCGATCGGTATGGTTTGTAGACTGTAGGCAAGGGTTTTGTCAGGCTCAGGGGATTGGATATTCTTCCAAATAGCTTCATCGTCCAGTTGATGGTAGGTGGAATGTACTGGATGGTCAGTTGTTTCAGCTGATTTCAAACAATCTTTGGCAAAATAGGGATTCAAAACTCTAGTTGAAAGCTGCGGTAGTTTTTCCCGAAAATTTATAAGACCCGAAAAAAGTTCTCCCCTTTCCAATCCGTTTTTTGAAGAAAGGTTTACAAAAAATGTCCATTTTTTCGAGCTCTAAAAGCTCAAAAATCTCTTTGAAACGACTAACGCCTCTGATTGGCTGATCTGCTCTCATTGTAGATTTTAAGCGATCTTTCAAGTCGCAGTAGAAATCTAGAAATCTTTGAAAATCTGAAAAGGATCGTCACAGTATAAACTAACTATTCACAAAAGGCGCACGGACAGTTGGTGTAATCATGGATATATCAACAAATTCAGTTGAATATCAAGAGATGAAAGACCGAAGAGCAATGCCAGTTTCGGCTCTTGCGAACGAGTCATAAATAAAGGTCGCGACCCTCGTTTGGTTCAACGAGTGATTATCTTGATAAGGTGATCGAACGAGGTTTTCAATGACGACAGTATCAACCTTACTACCGTTCTCATCCAGCTTTTCAAGCCTTCAAATTTCTAGATTATCAGAGCTATTAGAAAGGCGTCGATTTCGTTGAAAACTTCTTCCTCTGGGCGTTTTTTTTTCTCTTCCGATAAATTAATTTGATCTTCAGCCCAAATTCTTCGCGGAAACTATCTTTCTCTTTCTGAAGCAGTTAAGCGGATGAAATGTTTCCCATATCATTCTTCCGTTTCTAAAGTGTTTCTTTGCTATGGTTTCGTTTAAAAAAAGGCTGAGGGAATCGTCAAGTCTAAAAAGATTTTTTTTTTTTCACAATTATTTTCTACTAACCTTCATTTTACTCCTAAAATAATCAGAGCATCGCCTTGAAACTACACAAGAGTTAGACTTTAAGAAGGAAAAAGAACTCAAAGTACAGGAAAGTGTAACTTTGTTCTTTTGAACGCTTTCACGTGAACAAAGTCCATAGAATAGAAAATAAATCAAAGAACTTTCATAGTGAAAATAGTCTGGATTTTGAAAAGTTATAGTCAAAAAGTAGTTCAAAGAAGATGAGATGGAAAAAATAAAAACAAAGAAACTGGATTTTCCGATTTCTAGGCTACTCGAAAGAGAAAAACAAAAAGTGCAAGGAGTTTCTGTAAATCTCGGTACTCATAGAACGACTAGAGATTCTTTTCTGAGCCAAAATGAGTAAATCTCACCTTTTTTTTTTTGAAAATTCCTCGCACTACAAATAAAAACGGAATAGATGGTCGCACAGTGTAAAGGATGACAAAAAACAACCCGTGAAATTGTCGTCATGATACAAAAAAAGTTTCCTCTCATTGTCTTTTCTGTTGTTCTGGGGAATACCCTCGTAGTTCATGTCATGTACCCAACAGAAAATTTATCATATGACTATTTTTGCTGCCTTATACTAGAGGCGATAAATATTTGGACCGATGATGGTAAATATTTGGCCTGCTCCTTTAAAAACACAAGCAAAGTGTTGATGAACGCACTATGAGCAACAAGGAAGTTACAAAAACGAAGCTTGAAAATTACGGAAAACGAGAACTGCGAACTCTTTTTTCCCAGGCCAACTTATAAACCCTTCTTATCAAACTTTCCTGGCTGATGCAAATTTGATATGAAATGAAACATTTTGGTCGAGATAATATCACTTTCCCATGTTTCACTCTAAAAACAAGGAAATAGACGTCGAAACAAACACTTTGCTCAATAAACTTTTAGAGGAGAAAAACAAAAAAGTGATTTTTGCAACAAAAAAAGTGTCATTGAGAATAGGAGGATGGGTTTTTGGAAAATGAAAAAATGCAAGGGTTTTCCCGTTTCAAAATAAGGTGAAATAAAATTGTGAAAGGTGGTCCCTTGAGGGAAACTTACAAGAGTCCCTAAGGTTGAACTTCTAGTGACCACTCTGGCGTTCCATACTCGAACTATAGAAAAATCAAGAGTTTAAAAAAAGAATCAGGTCATTCATATTTCCAATTTATGTTTCTTAGGCAATTTTTTTGAACTTATCTCTGTAAAAATTCAAATATTATTTTTTTGTTTACTTGTTAAGGTCAATGGACTTCGCGCTACGCGGGACTACATGAAGAAAGTTTGCGCCTACGTGCAACAGGATGATCTGTTCGTCGGAAGTTTGACTGTGGAAGAACATTTGCGATTTATGGTGAAGCTTTTTCCATTATTTTTTTGAACGGAACCGTCACAACTTTAAAAAACACTTATTGTATATTTTGAAAGGTAAATAAATTGCTCAAGTTTAGCTCGAAACACGAATAGTGTCTCTCACTTTACCTAACTCGCCAAAATCCTTCTTATTTATTGAGAAAACCTTCTTGACATGAGCAATGAGATAATGTACATAATTACGAGGTTTTACAGTGACCAGAGTTTTTTTTGTTGAAAGTTTAGCGTTGAATAAAAAAAATCAATATGAAATATTATTTCTATCGTAGAAAAATTGATAATTTTTGAACTATTCACTTTTTTTTCAACGAGGAAATAAAATTTCTAACCGACAAACCCTGTTTCTATTTTTAATTTGAAAATATTTTCAAACGCGTGCAAAAAATTTGATCGATAAACTCTTCGTGACGTATGGCTAGAAAAACAAAAACTGCAAAAGTTCATTGAGGAAAGTGGGAAAAAAACGGCTTTTCTAACTAACCGTCGGATAGTTTTCTTTTTCGAAGTCCTATAAGATTTGAAGTTTTCATATCTTCAAAAAGCTGCATTTTCATGACCGAAATTGACTGTAAAAGTGAATTTTGAGGCCAAACTCCGCATGGGCCACAAGTACAGCACGAAGGACAAGGAAAATCGCGTCCAGGATGTTATGAACGATGTGAGAATTATATTCAAATATACAGAATGAATAGTTTGCTTTACAATTATTTTTGTTTTCGTTGTTTTTTATTAAATTTCAGTCTTAAATTTGTACTGTATTCGAGTTTTTATATCATTTTTCGGAAATTTATCATTCCTATAATAACCTAAGTTATTGAAAGTCGTTTTGACCGACTTGGACCGTCGTGGTCGCATTTGGAATGACTTGAAGCGTTGCGGTACAAACTGTTCAGCGGCTATTTTCAAATAATTTAAGGTGCATCTTTGCGCGAGTCTTTTTTTAGTCGGGTTATTGGTTTCCCCCTTCGAGTCATCCCACGTGCGACCATCAGCTTTCTAACATTATTATCATCGAAAAATACTTTTTTTCTAGCTTGGACTGAAAGATAGCGCAAAATCCTTGATTGGAACCAGAACTCGTCGTGGGATTTCCGGCGGTGAGAAGAAACGGTTGGCTTTTGCCAGCGAGGTTTATGAATTTCATCATCTCTTTATAAATCAATTGAAAATCCAGATTTTAACTAGTCCCCCAATATTATTTTGCGATGAGCCGACGTCCGGTTTGGACGCATTTTTGGCTTTTCAAGTCATTACGGCAAGATTATTATTTCATAAAGCATGAAGTATAAATATTTTTAGGTTCTCAAAAGGTTGGCCGAGAAGAAGCGGATGACGATTTTGCTCACGATTCATCAGCCTTCGTCTCAAGTTTTTGAGCTTTTCGATAGGTTCGTCTAAATTGAACTTTTGTTGAAAAGGTTAAAACTATTTCTATGAGTAAATCTTCCCATAATTGACTTCAGCCAGGATCTTCCAATTTTTCGAGCAAAAATGTTCGGCAACGAAGTTTTCGTAGTGATATTTATAACTGTCAAAAAGCAGCTTGTTTCTTTCATTTTTCTCATGAATTGGTAAATTTTGAAAGCAAAAGGAGTTCATTTTACATGAGGGCTGAGAATTTCCTGAAACATGGCCATAAGGCTCATTAATGTATCAGAAAAAGATTCTAAGTGTCTCAACCTGCATAACTTTTTAGTTTTTGAGAAAAGACCCCTAAACGTCAATGAAAATTATAAAAGTCCTTCAGAGTAGGAAATTTTGAAACTTCGAGCCCTTAATTATCAAGATTCAGGAAGTCATGCAAGTTTGGACTTTTGGGATCCTCGCACATACATGAAGGAGTGTTCTGACCAATTTTCAGGACATTCCCAAGTAAAATGACCTCCTTGTAAGCCTGATAAAAGAACTGTTACGACTATGAAAAACTTCCAAACTATCCAACTTTCTCTTATCCAGAATCTACCTGTTGGCTGAAGGAAGAGTCGCGTTTTGCGGAACTCAAGCCGAGGCTCAGGAAATGTGGACAAAGCTGAAATTGCCGCCTCCGAAGAACTTCAACCCCAGCGATCACTACTTGACGACCTTGTCGGCCAAACATCTCAAGCAGGAATACTCTGACCGGCAGCGGGTGAAGGCCATCTGCGACTTCTACCGCGACAGCGAGCTGGGCCAGGACACCCGGAGAGAGTCCCGCGGGCATCAGTTCATTAGTGAGTAGGAAACTGTCGAAAATGGCTCCAAACTGCAAGGAACGTATGCGTGAATTTAACATCGTTATTAAAATATCAGGAGAGACAATTTGAAAACACCCGGACTCCGGTAACGAAAATCTGACGCGTTCCGGGCGTTTCTGAGAATTTCTAGGGGTCACTCAAGAGTGCTGACGCTACTAAAGGAGTCATTAGAAACGCTCGAACACGTCCGAGGCGCATTCTCTAGGTCCGAGTGAGGTTTGCAGATGAGGTAGAATTCATTAAAATCAAGGAAAATGACAAACCTGAAATCACTTTATTCAAAAAATCAAAATTTAATTTTTCTCCGAAATCTAATTTTAATCGCGGAAATTGATTTTGACTCGAGACCATAAGAAAAATAAACTCACCACTCTGAGATCAGAAAAATCAAGTCAAATTTCAAAAAGTGAACAAGTCTAGATGAAAATTGTAAGCCAGACCTGTGAAAGAAAAAGGAAATTTCGATTTGTCAATTTTTTCCAATAAATTTTTATCAATTTGTTCACGAAACTTTTTCATTCATGTCGTTTCGCGAAACGCAAAATTATCTCTGACCCTACAAAATTTAGTTACCTTTTCGATTCTCTAACGGCTATTTTGGATTGCGCAAAATCACTTTGAAAACGGTACCAAAATCACTAAAGTTCTACCCTGAAAGAAACTCCATCCGAAAAATGAATTTAAAAATTTGGAAGCGTGAAAAATTTATTCATCTACTTGGAAAAGTTCGATGAACGGCGAACTCGAGCTCCTTGAGGAAAACAGCGAGATCGATGGAAAGTTCCTTGCAGATCCTGACATGGTCAGGGTGAGCATCCCTCAGCATCACCGACATTTCCGTCTTGATCTCTTCGATCAACTGAAATAAAATCCATTGATATAGTCTGTTCAGATTTTGAATGTCAACCAGCTAACTCCGCCCCTGCTGAGACGGTACCTTTTCGCGTCGATGTTTCATCGCGCGGGACTAATTTTGATCTTTTTCGATCAAAAAGATAGAAAAAGAGGTCAAAAAAGCAGCCTTATTAAAGGGCCATTGGCATATGTAGATAAAACATTGACGCGAAAGATATTGTAGCCTTGGGGGTGGAATTAGCTGCTTGACATTCAAAATCTGAACAGACTATAGTTACGTTTTGATTCATCTACCTTTCGATATTGCTGAATTTTTCGCTCTCTGGAGATTTTGACCCGATCTGAAACTTCCACTCGCTTCACTTCATTTCTTGGTCCGACGAGCGCTTCAGTCCAATCTGCGAAAAAAAAAAACTGATGTCGAGTAAAAATAGTATTCAACCTTCTTCGTCGCTTTTGTTCGCATCCTCATCAAGATCTATCATAATTTTTTTTTTTCTGAAATTTTGTTCATTGCGTACAGTTTCACTGAAAATTCATTGTCGAAAGCGACTGGTTCGATATTGGAAATAAATTTATGACAGTAAGTAATTTTTTTTTATTAGTATCCCTTGATTGGATTGAACTATTTATTATTGTAAAACTTGAAAAAGAAAAATATTACTTTCGAAGAAATTTCTGAATTTAAATTCAGAGCCTGACTTGATTTAACACTTGTGTGGAATAACTGAACCTTTTGAAAATAGCAACAACAACAAAAAAAACAGCAAATCAATGGAAAATTAATAAAAAAAATTGTTGAAAATGCAAAATTCAAATGAATTTTTTCGCGCCTTTTGTCCTTAGAGCGCGAGTAGCGCGTTTTTAAAAATTGTGAAAATTCTTTTTTTTTTCGATCAATAAAAAATGGTATTCTTTCTAGATGAAGACAGCAGTTCTTCGAGTAGCGAGGATTGGCGGCGAAGACAAGACATTTCCGAAAAAAAGTTTCACGCAAGGTAGTTTATCACAAAAAAAATGACGAAAAAAAAAATTATAGCTTCCCCGTCCAAGTTTCAACTCTATTATGGCGAAACATGATGACTGTATTGCGAGAACCGACTTTGTTGAAAGTCCAGTTGATGCAGAGTATTGTTAGTTTAAAAGTTTTTAATCATTTTCTTGCAGTTTTCTCGCGAAGAAATTAATTCAATTTTGGGATATTCACACCCTTTTTATTAAATTTGATTTTTTTGAAATTTTTTGCCACTAACGTTTTTTTTAAATTGCTGAGCTCAATTTTGAAGATCGTGGCTCTTCTGACTGGGTTGGTTTACCTGAATAACAATGTGGAACAGAGAAAGGTGATGAACATCAACGGCGCCATGTACACTATGGTCACCAACATGGCTTTCATGTTTCAATATAGTACTGTGCATGTGAGAAGTTCTTATTTATAAGAAACAATTAAATTTTTTTCAGCATTTTTGTTTCGAAATCAACACTTTTTATCGGGAAACGCAAGGAGCGCTCTATAGGGTCAGCGCCTACTTCATCGCCAAAAATATTGCGGAGGTGAGTTAGAAATAAAGGTCGATTAGAACTTTGAAAAGCCATCAATTTTTGAACTCATAAACACGAAACTTATTTTTTTATATGAAATCCTGTTTTTATCAATTTTTTCTCGTCAATCAAAAAAATTTATGATTTTATACAAGAAAATAGAATGAGGCGATTCTTTCAGTTGCCTTCCTACGTCCTCTCGGCCGTTGTTTTCACCACAATCCTCTATTGGATGTCTGGATTGTACGCCTCTTGGGAATCTTTCCTGATCTACGTCCTCGTTGGTGTTCTGATACAAAATATCGCTGTTTCAATAGGTTTCAGCATCAAAAAATGAAGAAATTGATAAAAAAATTTCAGGGTACATGTTCTCGTGTGTTTTCGGCAGTTTGCAAGTAGCCGTAGCATTTTTGTCCATTTTTGTCATCCCGATGATGGCTTTCGGAGGTGGAGATTTTTATGCTCGAACTTGAAATAGGGGACTTTTTCTGAAGTTCTTGTAAGAATTATCATCATTAGTTTGTACCTTATTTCTCTTTTCATTTTTTTCATTTTCAATCAGAAGTCGAGGAAAGGTTTCAAAACAGGTTCATTCCAATAATTTAGGCCCTTACCGTTAGAGTATTTTCTTTGAACCTAGAGAATCATATGGAATATCACAGTCTTTCATAACCCAGAAATAATCCTTGAAATCCTTTTTTATTTCGAAAGTTATATAAATTTCTCATTTTTTTTTTCAAAGTAGTTGGTCTTTTTTTCTTCTAAATAATCATTTTCTCAGGCTTCTTCATCAATCAGGCTTCTCTACCGGCCTACTTCATCCCATTCAAATACGTATCCTACTTCGGATACGGTTTCGAAGCGCTCGTTGTGAATGAATGGTCACATATCGACGAGATTCCTGGTAATCTTGAAGAGTTTTCGAATTTCAAGCCTTCAAAATGACTCAGGTTGCACGAAACCGGGAACCCATGGATGCTACGGATCCGGCAGTGACGTCATCAGAATGTTGAGTTTCAAGGAGCGCAATTTGTGGCCGGACATTGGCGTAATGGCCGGCATGATCCTGATTTTTCGATTTATCGCTTTTTCGGCCCTTTATATTCGTGTCAAAGTGAGAAGATAATCGTATTTATTGAAACTTTGTAATAATAATTCTAACGATGTAATAAAGATAACTTATTCATCGATTTGTTTCAAATTCGAAGAGTTCGGCTGAGAATCCCACCGGCTGTGTCGCTTTGCCCTGAAATGTCTTTGAATATCGAAGTGTTTCAGGCATTTTTGATAGGAAAGAATACACGATGTTGATTGCTATCACTCGTTTCCACTCTCCAGGCTATAATTTTTTTTTGAAATAATGAATAGGAGGTTTTTTTTTTTCATTTTTTTCATTTCTAATCGATTTTATTCATAAACTGAGTTTTGGAAAGTTTAGATGGTGTTTTAAACGGCTTTTTGATTTAGTTTTTGAAGTTCTATTGCATTTTGAAACACGATGATCAAATTTTCCGAGAAACGGAGATTTCTTGGAGGCAAAAACTTTTTCTAACTTTACAGTCTTGATTTTTCTGACGAAATTATGAAACTTTTCAGGAGAAAAGTTTTTTTTTTGGTTAGGCAGGAAATAATCTAACAGTTTTCAAAAAGTTAGCAACTATAAAAATTTTTACAAATAAGTCGGTTTATGCTGGTGTTCTAGATGTTTATAACATAAAATAATCATAAAAAAACGTAGTAAAATAATGGTTCACCTGCTGCTTGACTGTTGATATTGGAAGTAATCCCGCCGCTTCCAATGGGACCACCGTAACCTGGATGCTGACCGTCGAGACCGACTCCGGTGTTCAGACCAAGACCGATTTGAGCTTGAGCCAAGTCGAGAAGCAGAAAAAAGAGGAAGATTCTGAAGAGAGTCGAGAACATAGCTATTGACGTCTTTTTCACCGATATGCTACCTTTTAATGTTTTCCTTTTTCTCACAATAACAACAGGTGTCGTACTCGATGTGTTCCGATGTTCAGTGACCAACGTCGACGTCTTCTGGTGTGACGTCACTTCGAGAAAAATGGGCGGAGTTCGGTGGAACCGTGAGTTTTTTGAAGTAGAAATGGAAAAAATTAGGTTTCTTGCGTTTTTCGTAGGATTTATTTGAAAGAGGGAAATTATTTTTCAACTATTTAGCTAACTAATGGAAACAGGAATAAAATAATAGAGGAAACAGGATTTCAAAAATGGAATTTTGAAGAAAAAATCAAGAATTAGAGAAATGATAGCTATGAAAATAGAGACGCAGGGAAGAAAAAAAAATGTTTTGAATCTAAATCAGAAAAAAATTGAAGTTCATGAACTTGATGAAACCCGATAAACAACTTCTTTTTTCTATCAAAAATTCATTTTTCGGTAAAAAATATTAAAATCAACCGAGAAAAAGAACTATAGAATCTCTCAGATTTTTAACAAAAAAAAACCAAAGCCATAAAAAACGATTTTTTTTTGTTGGTAATGGAAGAAAGGTCGTGGTTCTTCTTCGGAATAAGTAAGAATTTAGAAAATTCGAAAATTTTTCAAGGTCCCGGAAAGTCTTACAGAAGTAGTTCTTTCATTTTCCTCTCGAGAAATATGTTTCTCTTTGACTTGTGAACTTGTTTCAATGAATCAGGGCCAACCTAGAAGGGGTTGTTTTCTTGTTCGACGTAAGGTCGTCTGTGTTTCCTTTTTCAATCATTCTCTGTACTTGGAAAAATCAGAGAACAGCTGAGAATTCGAATTCTCATTGAGTTTTGAAAGGGTTTTCCTATTTTTTTTTTCGGAATTGTTAGATTTTTGAGAGTGTTCACCAATAACTTTCCTGTTTCATTTACTATTTTTAATGATAAAGGCATTGAGGAACATCACTCAAGTATCCGTTGACTTTTTGAATTGAATTGAAGAAAAAGTTTTTTTCTCGTTGGCGTTGGAAAATAAGCCGTTCGAAGGAAAAGAATGGAGAAAGAAAAAAATTAAAATTCTCTTTCCTTCTGAATAGGTACAAAAAAACGGTTTTTTGATCACAACTTTCTTGTATCGTGTTCAATCTTCCTGAAACTTCCTGGAATTGTGATGACTGGTATTTTTAACACTCTGGTAAAATTTCAGTTCGCAGAAAAATGGCGTCTCAGGAAGTTTCGAGAGCTCCATACAAGAAAATTGTGAGAAAAAAATTTCGTATATTTTCTTACAATTTGAAGGCAGCAATTATTTTTCTTGTTTTTTCAGATGTTCATTTGAAACGAGATTCGAAGAGTCGGGACTCGGGAAGGTTAATTTCGGATTTGCGGTTTCAACTCTAGGAACTCGAAACGGCATATAATTTATTGCATTGGGTTCAATTTACATAGTTACAATTTTTTTTTTTGTGAAGTCTTTTAGCCGAGAAGCCCGCTAACGAGTCCAGGTTGTGCTGAAAAAGTTCGAATCATTTCAATTATTGAACAGAAAAGCTTCATAACTACTTGACATTTAAAAAAAAGGCCTCACCTCCAACGTTGGCGCCTCCGTTGACACCGTAGCCGCCACCGTAACCGCCGTTATAGCCACCGTATCCAGGCTGTCCGCCGAGGCCGACGTTCGTGTTGAGACCAAGGCCGAGTTGGGCCGTGGCGAGGCCGAGAAGGGCGCAGGCCAAGAGAAGGATTCTGGCGATGGCTGAGAACATTTCGAAGGAGTTTGGAAGATGAGAAGGGTTTGGGTTTGAAATGTTCCCGATGGGTTCGACTTTTATACAGACGGCGTCTGATGACGTCGGCAAGACGTCACGGCGACTATTCGCTGATCGTCCCGTGGATCTCTGACCCAACGTCGCGTGCGTAAATAAAACTACAGAACGGATCAAAAAGCAGCGTTTCGAAATGGAGGGTTATTTCGAAGATCTTAGTGTCTGGTGTAAATCTTGGCGGCTACTGTTCCGCTGAAGATGAAAGCTTCGAATTTCGAAAAAATGGATATATGAAGGATCAGATAAGAGAACACTCTCGGATTAGCAGATTCTTTGGTCGTTTAAAAAAGTAAACTGTTCTGATTTTACACAAAAATTCAGAAATTTCTGGGTACTGGCTCTTGAATGCATACTAAAGGAACACCTGACGGTGTACTCGCAAGATTGTTTTTTAATATTCGAGAAGAACTGTTCTTTTTTGAGCCCTCCAGTCGATCTGCAACGTATCCGTTCCGGGAAAAAATAAAGTCTAGTTCAAGTTTGAAAACTTGATTCTCCAGCGACATTGTAGTTGTTATCGTACTCTGAACCTATCAAAACATTCTTCCATTTCGAAACGCTGCTTTTTGATCCGTTCTGTAGTTTTATTTACGCACGCGACGTTGGGTCAGAGATCCACGGGACGATCAGCGAATAGTCGCCGTGACGTCTTGCCGACGTCATCAGACGCCGTCTGTATAAAAGTCGAACCCATCGGGAACATTTCAAACCCAAACCCTTCTCATCTTCCAAACTCCTTCAAAATGTTCTCAGCCATCGCCAGAATCCTTCTGTTGGCCTGCGCCCTTCTCGGCCTCGCCACGGCCCAACTCGGTCTTGGTCTCAACACGAACGTCGGCCTCGGCGGACAGCCTGGATACGGTGGCTATAACGGCGGTTACGGTGGCGGCTACGGTGTCAACGGAGGCGCCAACGTTGGAGGTGAGACCTCTTTTTGAATTTTGTTGCGAAGCTTTTTAACTTCTGTTAAATAATTGAGATGATTCGAACTTTTTCAGCGCAACCGGGACTTGTTGGCGGACTTCTCGGCTAAACGAGCTTCACAAAAAACTTGTATTTATGTAAATTGAACCTAATGCAATAAACTTATCCTACTTTGAACTCTTGAAATGTCCAAGTAAAAAAGGGAAAATAATTTGGAAAAACTGGATTCAACTTCTCCGTGCTTCATCCACGATTGTCCTAATTTTGAACATTCACAACGAAAAGAGAAAAAGAATAGCTGTTCCCCAAATGGACTAGGGAAAATGGTGAATAATTTGTTTTTGGAATGTCAGTAATACATTTGAGTGGAACGCGTCTTTTCATTGGCCATTTTGTTCGAAATACCCTTTCCTACTTCTATTTTCTGAATACTTAACTCTGAAAGTTCAACTTTGTTCTGTAATTCGTTCTTCGTAAAATGAACTACCCTGGTTGCACAGGGAATGGCTCAGATTGTCGATTGGAATCGATTTTATGGTCCACTTAAAGCTTAGCAGCTCTTTTTACAGATTTTCCATGTCTGGAAGCGAAAGTCGTTTTGAGTCTGTTGCAGAAGCTCTTCTTGCGTAGAGCCATTCCAAATGCGTCTCGGACTTCCAAGCAAGAAATTTTTTTCCAGTTGTCGGGCTTCTGGGCGATTTTGGCGCTGGAGAGCGTCGCGGCGACGTCGGCCGCCGTTCTATGCGTCTTTGCCGCCGTCGTCTGCATCAGAACTCGGAGTTTCCATGCTTATTTTCGGTTGGATTAGAAAAAAGGCCCTTTTCTCCATTCCGCGAAATTCCAGAGCCATTTTGGTTGGACTTCTAGCAGTCCTTTTCCTCTACGTGTTCGTCGACGTTTTCAACCCGATAACTGCGGCTTTTCCCGAGTTTGTCGACTCGATATACCTGAGTAATTCTTTCGTTTCGATATGATCTGTTTTATAATCTTTGCCGGCGGGTTCGAAACATGAAACACTTGGAATAATCTTGAAAACGGCTGTGTGCATTTTTAAGGGGCCATTTTAGGGTTTTGACGTTCTAGCGGCCAATATAGTAGTAGAATTAAAGTTTTCACTTAAGGGAAAAAAATGTGATGGGCTCTTCAGAAGTGTAATTGATGCTACTAGACTATTAATAAATCCTATAGTGGTCACTAAGATGCGTAATAGTGGCTTCCATAGAGGTGGTTTTAGTGGCCACTTTAGAATCCTCTCCAAGAAGCCCTTGAGGGGCCTCTTAAGTGGCTGCTAAAGTCTTACCCCAGTGACTAATCTTTTGACCTGGAAAAAAAGGTTCTCAAAAGATTGCACAAGGAAAAAGAAAATGAATCTTCCGGCATTAATAAACTGTCTCAAACGATTTTCTAAAAAAGGAAGTATTTTTTCAGATCCGATCCGATGGTGGAGCCAAACGACCGTTTTTCAATTGCTAACAGTCGTTTTTCTCTTGATTTGCCTGGAAAGATTAGCCGCTGTCGCCTATTTTGAGTCCTACCAAAAATTCCAATCACCCTGGCCCGTTTTTATCGCCTTTTTGATTGCGGTAAAACTTTTTTCTCAATCATTTCTTAAATTAAAAACTTCAGACCGTTCTAACTGCCATCTTTCGCCTGCTCTACAAGCTCTGTGAGTTTCTTTTTTTCATTAAAATAATGGAAAAAAAGAACTTTTACAGACAAAATCCGGACCCTGTTCTCCTGCGTATTCCTGGATGCTTTTACTCTATTGGTATATTCGAAAAATCATAAGAAAAAAATTTTTTGCACAGGTTCTTCTCTACTCGAGACATAAAAATCGTCAATTATTCAGTCAAAGCATTGGAAATACATTGTCGACAAAATATCAGGTAAAAGTTTAGAAAAGTTGAGCTAAAGGAACAGAATAGTAAGAAAAAAGCACTTGGGAAATTTAGGCCGTACCGAAAGAAATCTAAAGACGTCATGTATGCTCCACTGAACACTAAAAAAAAGAAGTTTGAAAACTTGAATTTTTTCTAGTTTTCTTTCAACAATAAACAGACAGAAGTCGTTAAATATTGAACTTAGCCAAAATTTTTGAAACTGAACTGAAAAATTATTTTAGATGAATGGGTCCTTATACTTAAAAAAATTCAGTGAAATCATCATTTTTTTTTGAGCTTTTTAAATTTAAATTTCAGGAACCGCTCTCAATTAAAAATTCGTGAGCATTGAGTTTATTCGAAAGGTTCAAAAGTTGACAGGCAAAAATAATTTTTTTGAAGTTTTTTTCCCTGAAGATATCATTGGTTTTGAAACGAAAAATAGCATTGGTTTTGAAAAAAAAAATAGTTCTAAAGTTTTTAAATTAATACTTACAGTAGAATTAATTTTAAAATTTTTTTCCTACATTTCAAGTTTAACTGTACCCACAAAAATTATATAATTTGAATTTTCAATTTTCAGATAAGTGAGAACGCCAGAGTGTCGCGCCTTTTACTGCCATTGATCATCTTGGGCGTCGTTATTAAGGTGAGTTTCTTTTTTTTCAAACAAAAGGTGCAATTCCCAAGTTCATTCCAATTCAAAAAGCATAAATCTCAAAAGAAGGGACAGAATAAATACAAAAAGCGAAAAAAACAAGAAATATGGACAAGAGAAAGAAGAAAACAGTAGAACTATATCTGGTGAGTAGGGAAATTGACCGAAATTTTAAAAGGTCTTAAAAATACTCTCTACCCGGCCAATCATTGGAACAATAGAACAGACACAAAACCAAATAAATGGGGTACTTGAAAATGGGAGAAAAAACAGCCGCGTCGTAGAAAGAAAACCAGAGACTAGTGGTAAACTTTGGTAAACTTCAATAAAAATATCTTCTGGGCAAGTTCGAAATGGGCTTCAAAAATTGATGAGTAGATAAAACTTTGAGAAAGAAAAATTACCTAGCCGCGAGGAGAAAAAGCATACCATTTTCAGCAGCAAAAGGAAAAAAATACACATCGATTCGGGGGAAAATCTCATAAATACACAAAAAAGACCGTAATCTCAACATTCACCGTGACTTGCTTTTATAGATTTTGGTGGGAATTTTATTTTTTGGAAATGCCAGGAGTGCTGCAGCTGGGGCTCGGCGGAGCAGCGATTGAACTGAAGGAAGAGCTTCGGAAAGTCTCCAAGGAGGCCACCGATCCACTGAAAAGTTGAAAATTCATAACTTAGTAGTCAGCGTCTTTCGAATTAAAATAAAATATAAAACATAAGTTGATGAAGTTTGTCTTTTGATTTCTCAAGTCTGAACAAGAATAAATAAAAAGACCTTACAGGGACAACTTGTGCTTTGGAGGGTTAGTGGCCACTATAGGGACCACGTAAATCTAATCTATTTAGGAACTGTTTCTTCTCTAATATATACTGGCGTTCCTTAGTACGTTCTCCTTCAATTTACGTACCGGAAATCGGCCGAGTTGAGGATCTCGTAGTAGTACATGAAGCGGCATTTGTGAGATCCGAAATCGAAGGCCGAAGAGTTGAGAAGAGTCGTTTCCGGGACTCTCCACTGCAGGATGTAGGTTCCAGCTCGGGAGCAATAGTGTGAGCCCTGAGGTATTGATTGATTACTTGATACTTGGGGTTTTCGGAACCTGCATGGAGTCTCCTTCATGGAAGACGTTGGCTTTCTCTTCGAGCTGGAGGTCCTGGCCGAGAGTTAGTTCTGGGGCAGCTGCGACGGTCGGCTGGGGATGTGAGGAGCCTCCAAGAGCAGCCGAAACTTTCTCGACGGGGTTGAGAGTTGGTGAAGAGGGCGCCGGCGGCTGTTCCACTTTCTATAAACCCGAGATTTCTTTAGATAGAATTCATCAAAATGAAGCTACAAAATATTTCAAAAATCGATCCAGTTCGAGTTCCCCGCCGAAAAGCCGCGTCGCGTAAGCAACGCGTCACGTTTGCCATTCTACCTATCTCGCCTTTTAAGCCGGGAAGGATCGACTATATTTCACATTGATTTCTGTCACCCGGCCGCATGTAGAATGGCTCGACGCGATTTTTTTTTTGGAAGGTTTTTCTTTACAATTTTTCATAAATATCGCTTTTTAGGATCAAATTTCATCCCCTGCTAAATCTATCTTCATTCGAGACTTTCAAAAAAAAAAAAATAATAATAAAGAAATTCGGAAAGAGCCAAAAACTAAAAAAACCTTCTTGAAACCATAATTTATCGGTTTCATCGCATATTTATATTATTAGCGTTGAGAATTTTTTTCAGTAGAAAGGCTATTAGTTTTTTTAAACAAAAGATACCTTCTCCGTGTAGTAAACGACAAATTCGCATTCGCTCTTGAGGACGTCGAAGTCCCAAGTAAGGACACTTCCCGCCGTATCGATTGCTATCACAACCTGAAGGAATTTATAGATACAATTTGATGGAATTCCCACTCAAAGCATCCAGTTTGTCTAAATTCTTCTCTTCAAAACTTCGAAAGTCTGTTTCACAATTTTAAAAAATTCCATTTGTTTGAAAAAAATAGTTTTTTTTTAAAAACGATATTTTTCCAATTTTCTATTTTTTTCATGATAAACCACAGATTACATAGTAAGGCGCTTCTTTTTGCTACATTTTTTTCTTCCAAAAAAATCTCTCATTCTTTTTTTGGAATTAGAACAGTTCCATGTAAAATTCAAAATTCTGCTATCATTACCTTTTTCCGGGTCAACTTCTGCTTCACTAGTTGACAAAAAAAGAAAAACATTTTTCTTTATTTTTTTGAAAAAAATACATTTTTTTTTTTTACTTATCTGTTCGTTCATTCACTCATATTACTCATTCAATTCGAACTGTTTTCAAAAGAGAACGAAAGAATGTAAGAAAGAACCTCGACAGGACATCCTTTGCTCGTCGAGGTGCTAGTGTACATGGAGTCAAGGACGTCAGAAGACGTCGCCGCGTCGACAGTTTCCTCGACCGGACGGTAGAGCGTCTTGGGGACGTGTCCTCCGAATCCGCAGTTGGTCAGACAAGAGCCTCCTGCAAATGTTCCCTTCTGGACGTCAACTGATGATGATCCCATTCCCAATCGGAATCCCATCACGAACCCAGGAAATCAGGAAGATAAGTGTCGTCGATGTGTCTGCGGAGCTCGTCGCGCAACTCGCCGCCCCCGACGCCGCTGATGAAGAACTTCTTGCGCGTGCGTTCGTCGATGAACGGCGAGACGAGAGTCCACATGACGGGGAACACCCGGGGAGCCCGGACGATCAGAACCTGGCCCATCGTCTCCGGATAGTGGGCCTCGACGATCTCGATGATCCGCAGCAGACACTGAACGCCTGGCCGCCACAGATGTCTCATGCTCAGGCCGTCCAGGTCGACGAGAAGGCTCCACGAACTGAAAAATGGATTTTAATGAATAATAGTTTAAGTATCAAGTTCATATTGAAATATAGGTTGGACGAAACAGAGAATCTTCTATTTTTTCTTCATTTAGGACTTTTTTTTGAATTTGATCTATTTCTAAAGGTTTCATGGTTATTATAAATCTTTCAAAGCTCGGAATTTGAAGATTTACTTTGATATCCTCTTTGGAAGCTATGAAGACAGAAAAATGATGCTTAAAGAAACAGGTTTTTTCTTTATTTTCTACCTTCGGTTTCTACTTCCCTATGTTTCTTTACTCATAAAATCAACGTTTTCAGCCATGAAAAGGAAAAAACCCTACCTGATAGGAACTCCGAGTCTCTTTGTAGCTTCGGCCGTCTTCTGAAGACCTTCCTCGCAGACGGACAACGTCAATTTCACGATATTTTCGACGCCGCAGGATCTCAAAAGGCCTTTCGTGTCGAGTTGACCCAGTCGAAGCAAGTAAAGTGGGCGACCCGACTGAAATGAAAACAAAATGAAATAATTATTTTTGGAAATTTCGAACCTTGTCGACATGATGCCAGCAGCCAGGGAAATAGTGTGTCATCGGCGACGGCGGCTTCCATTCCTAGAACAGAAAAGAATAGCGAGAAGAAAAAGCTTCGTTTAAAAATTTGATGAAACTTTTTTTTTGAAAATATTCAGGTTTTTGATCTAAATATTCTCTAAAGTTATTTTCCAACCGTCGGGACTATACCAAGTTGGTTAGGCTAAAATAGAGACAGAGACCAAAATTACAATAATACTTTGAAAATTCCCGCGAAATGAAAAATTATTCCTTTTTCTCAATTTTCCTCTATTCTTTTCACAATTATAAATTCTTCAAAGCATAAAAACTGAGCCGAACAGTTTTCCACTACAAAAAGAGACCTCCAAAAGTTTGTCGAATATTTTTACTGTATTCGAAAAAAATTTTTTTTTGGGAGTCTCTTCAGCTTCTTTATGCCGTTTTAAGAGGAATTCCCGCGAAATGAAAAATTATCTCTGACTCTCCAAAATCTAGTTATTTTTTTCCTTCACTGACGGCTATTTTGGCAGAATTACTTTGAACACGGTATTACCATTCATACCCATCATAATTCTGAAATCCCTTTAACCATATTAATTTTGATTCAATTCATGAATAAATCAATAAGATTTCGAAAAAAGGACTTCTACAAGTTTTTCGAAGATTTTTACTGCAATCGGGAAGAATCTTCGAACATTTTCACTTTTTTTACTTCCGGAACTCCACCTACAGTTTGTAAATTCTCTGACTTCTAAATGTTCGAATCAACTCATGAATGAGCCATATAGTCTTCTACTACAAAAAAGGACCTCCAAGAGTTTGTCGACATTGTGCTGCTTGCGCCAGATGATGCTGCCGTGGACCATGTCCTTGGCCTTGGCGACGTCGAAGTCGCGGGCCCGCAAGAACCGCAGCAAATGCGCGTCATTCGGCAGCTTTCCCTTCAAATCAGAAGACTCGAAAGCTGGAAAAAACGCGAGGAAACCTTGTGCTGGGTCTCCAAACTGTATTTGAGTTCGCAGAGACGAGATTCTTCCAGGGGGTTGAGTTGGCCGAGGAAACGTCGAATGTACTCGGCCTCGAGCTTCGATTCAGCTGTAAGAATTAGTATTTTATTCTCCGATAATAGCGATTTTTGTAGAATATATTTTCTCTTCAAGGCCTAGTTCTTGTCGAGTCGTGTCTTGTTCGTTTTGAAGTTTTTTTCCCATTAAAAAAAAGTCAATTTCAACACTGTAAAGTCAATTGAAATGTAAACAGCAGTTCGTTTTTTAAATCCAAAATCCGTCAAAATTTTTCGAATTGGTTCTTTTACCCATCAAAAAAATCAATTTTTTTCTTCTTTCTTTTTGTTTCTTGACGCTTATCGGACGTCAATACTTTCATCAATATTCCCCACTACCCATATTTTTTTATTTTTATTTCATTTTATAAATAAAAAAATACTTTTTAAAAATAATTTCCATCATTATTCGCATACCTATCGAGAGAGCATCATTGTATTAAATACAATTCTTCAATTTCTTGCTTTCTATTCAATAGGAAACTCTTAGTTATCTGTATATTGTGAAAAAAATAAGATTGTGTACTCAACCACTGTCGCAATATTGAAGAAGTTTTTTTTTGCCTTCTATAATCATGATGAAACAGGAAAATCTGCTTTGAGGAAAAAAAAAATAGTGCATGAGAAAAAAGGACGAACTCATTTTCTCGCGATTATCGGAAGAAATATGAAATTTGAAATTAATTGAAATTGAGGCAAAGAGCTATTTCAATTGTTATTTTAGGAATAACACGGAAAAATCGAAACAATACAGAAGATTCTGGAGCTTTTATTTAGTTCTTAAAAATGTCGGGAAAAAGGCGAATGTTAGGACTTTTTTTCCAAAGGTTCTTTTAGCCTTTTTCCGTGTAGGGAAACGACTTCTACGTCTTTGAGTATATACCCCAGAAAGTGTTCCGGCAGAAAAAATTAGAAGAATCTGAAGAAATTCTCGAAGGTTCAATTTAAACGAAATCCGAAAAAACTGATTCTCTATCGAAAAGTGCAACAAACCAAGGACAAATTTGACGCTCCGCCGCTGCCGACCACTCTTGTCGTACTTACGATTGAGCATCAAGTCACAATAAAAGACTACAGTTATTTATCGGGTGCAATGAACGAACAGACTTTTCTAGCAGAGGAATAAATCGATCCTAAAAGTGCAGACTAATCGGAGAAGGAGCAGCAAAAAAAAGAAAATAAGAAACAGTGGCGCCTGAGGCGTCAGCGAGAAGCTCGTGGCGATTTTCTGCGTTTTCTCTTCTCGCCGAGTCCCACAATGAGCCGCGATCCCTCTGCGCAAATAATCTCAAGAGTCGTTTTCATGGCGGCGGCCGTGCGTATATGTTTTTTTTTTGTTGCTTCTTGTTGCGAAAAAGTCTAGTCATCCTTTGGAATATTCAAATTTTGGAAATGGGCTGAAAGATGAAGCTTATCTTCCAAAATTGAGTTCACAATTACGCGTCTTGAAACCTCCTGGTCGCATGTAGAATGGCTTAACGCGTCGCGAAGTGGATTGAGTAATACTTGCAAGATATGAACCGCTACGCACCTGTTTTTATTATTTGAGCCATTCTTTGAGCGACTCACTAATTATTATCTTTTTTTAGAGTAGCTCAAAGATTTTGTAGGCGCAGAACGGAGCTGAAAAAAAAATGAATAGATCTTTTTGGAAAATATTAAACCTAAACTGAAAACAAGAAAAAAAAATTTTAAAAACAAAACAAAACAAACTCGTTTTCTCTAAGCATACAGTTATCCGTAGAGCGCAAAAGTTGAGCTTTACCGCGGCTATTTTTTCAAAGAACTTTATGCTCAGCTGTACTTTTTGATTTTTTAAGTGGGTAACGGATCTCTTTCTACTTAACTAGTTCACAGACCAAGATAGCCTGTGAAATAGCGGTGCAACACGTTTCAACAATTTCTTTCAAAACGGTTCATCGAACAAGAATGGCACAAATCACCAAAAGAACAAATTGTGAAACGATTGCAAAAAATAACAGAGTGAGAAAATTGCATAAAAATGAGAAAATAACAAAAAGATGCATAACAGTTTCCTACACACGTACAATTTATCACAGTGCGCAATTGCGAAATATTTCTGGTAAATTGCTCTAAAAATGAAGTTCCAAGTAAAAATATGTAAATAAAGCCAACTTCCGAAAGGCTCATTTTCCATTTTTGCTCCTCCCAAAGCACACGAAGTTTACAGGACACCAGGAAATAACTAGTGAGAATATTGCACGAAAAGTAAACAATTTGAAACATAAAAATTGGTTAAATTCTTTGGTTTTCCAGGGACCAAAAGCGGTGAGAAGAATTTGATAGCGTAGGAGATTTCTTTTTTTCTTGGCGACAAACTTCCAAAACCCAAAAAAAGGGAAAAATGCATGCAAAAATAGTCCAGTAACTAAGAATTAGCTACGAAAAACTGCAAAATTTTTTTTGATTTTTACACTTGTAAAATTTGACGTTGCCGCCGTTTGAAAAAATATACTTTCCAAGAATCTTTAATGGAAAAACGCCTATTTTTTTCTTTCACATGATTTAACCTTCACGCTCTTTTTAAACATGAAATTCAACAAATTCACCAAATGAACCACTTTTTTTCGCTCTTAAAAAATAAAAAAACTTGTTTTTCTTGAAGTCTAAACTATAAAATTATCAATAGAGCACAGCTGCTCCCCTTTCTACAGCTCGAAAATTCACCAAAACCAAATCGACGAATAGGAAAGGCCTAAGACACGAACGAAAGCCGAGGAGAACCCAGAAGAACCTAAGACAAACCGTCGTCGAAGCTGCTGGCGCGGACGGTTCGCGGGACGCCGTCGTCCTCGGCGGACGCCTGGGCGGCGATTGGCGTCGCCGACGTCGCGGTCGTCGAGGTTCGCAGCGACTTGCGACGCGTCGGCTCCTTCGCGCCGACGATGACGACGTCGCCTTCAGAAGTCTCCTTGCACTCGATCGCCGAATCTGCGACTGAGATCGTCTCGTCGATTTGGTCGTCGTGTGGCGGATCTTGGAAAGGCGGGATGTACGTAGTCTTCTTCAGGAGTTCTTCGATGAAAAACTCGAGGATTTCCTTGCCCTGGAAGAAGAAAAAAGATGAGGTTGATCAAGTTCTTCTGATAGTTTAAGTTGAGGAAAATGATAAATTAAAACATCGAAAAATTCGTCAACAAACACAGAAACTTCAATAAAGAGTACTTATCAAGTTTATATATATTTAATCTTATTATAACTAAAATTTAAAAAAACTACATAAAAAAACTCCAAAAAAATGTTTTTTTCCTTTGTACTTTCTCCAAACATTTATAGCTCTAACCGTAAATGATCAAGAAAAACTTGAAGTGGTCACTTAAAGGTTGAGAAGTTCCTCTAAAGATGACGTCTAAGGTTTTTTTTTAAACGTAGTTGCGTAGCCATAAGGGCTCTTCCCACTTATCGTAAATATTAAAAAAAAGCTTTTGAGCCTCTCAAAAAGATAATAAAACTCTTAAAATGCAGAAAAACTAGAAAAACTAGAAAAATCAGCGCTTTTCAAAGTGAAAAATTCTCAAAACCTATCCAAATTTTGTCCAGAAGAATATTTAAAAAGTTCACAACTTCAAGAATGAGAAACCTTGGCAAGATTGGCGGCGTACTGTTTGACGGCGAGTTTCTCGACAGTCGTTTCGAATCCGAAGAAGGATTTGACGTCCAACGAGGCCGACTGTTCGAAACACGTCCAGTTGGGGTTCTCTGCGTGAACCTGGAAGATAATCTTTGAATTTTTTTAGGTAAAAAAAAAGTTATCAATAGTTTAGGAACACTTTGAAGATCAAAAATTACTGACGGAAATGTGAAGAATAAAAAAATTAACTTTTTCGGGAAACTTTTTATCCGAAAAAAAGTAAAAATATTAACAGGGGAGATGTGTTCATGTCATTTTCAAAGAGGGAGAATATAAAGGATAATTATGTTTTGGAAAGTCAGAGGTAATTTTTAACTTTGCGGAAACTATTTTGAACATTACAGTTTCAGTATAAACTTCAGTGCATTTAAACATGAAAAAAAGGCGCCAAATCTAAATATTTCTACTGTCCTCCTTCCTTTCAAACGGTTTCTCTGTACCTCGAAATTAATCTGCCACGAACAATTAGAATTTTATAAAACTTATTTTGATCTGACGTTGAAACAGGAAGTTCTGCCAGAAAAAACCTTTTTTTAATTTCGAATCTTCTTTTTTTTCTCCGAATTTCTCTTTCCTCAAATGGATTGATCCAGTTTAAATTTCTTTTTTCCAATGATTATAATCAAAGTTTTTAACTCTTCGACCCTTGATAGGACATTTTTTTTCCAACTACTGACATAATAAGTGCAGTTTTCCTTGACGACGATTCTGCTGGCGAAGGAAATATTCGAAGCTTCGATGTCCAAAGTTCGGCGCCGGCGGTTCAGAGAGTTCTTCTGGGTGAAATAAACGTAGTCAACTCCGGCAATCTGTAAAAAATGTACCTTATTTAGATTCATTTGATCATTTTGGCGTTTCTGTTCCTTTGTTCCATAGGTCTCGACATTCTCATTGGATTTTCCTGTTCTCCGTTTTTTCGAAAATCATTGGTCATGTTTTCAAAAACGCCGCAATTCACTGGCAAAAAAAAACAATAGAAGCTTTTCGCTTCGAAAGTTCTTTATAAAAGTCCGTCCATGCTCCTTTAAGAACCTTAGCGAAGGTCCTTGAAAAAAAACAAGAGGTACAATGATTTGGAAAATTTTAATGACTACCAAGCCGTTGAAAAAATAATTAAAAACGCATTGTTTGAAACTGGAATGTGAGGCTATTTTTCCGATTATTATTCCGAGGACTCCAGCTGGAAATTCCTGCTGTTTCTACAATATATCAACAAAGTGTCAGATATTTCAAAAAAATTATATCCAAATTTTTTTATTTTTTTCTTTATTCTATTTTTTTAAAGTTCAATATACATGCACTTTGCTTCAATTTCTCCTTAAAAAAAGTTCAATACTAACTTTGAAGAAATATGAACATGATCTTCATCTTATAGAAAATTCTAAAAAAATCCTAAATGTCCTTTCTTGTCAGAACTTTCCGATGAAACTCATATGTTTTGATCATAAAATATGAAAAGTAAAACTATTCAGTAATTAATCCAGAAAAAGACCTTTTTAACGAGATACGGCGCGTCGATATTCAATTGGCATTTCCGTTCGATGACCCACTCGGCGCCGTCTTCGCTTTTGTACTCGAAAGCCACCTCGGAGCCCACGAAAATCGGGATTTGCGGACACGTCGGGAACCTCATCTCGTAGGCCTGCAACATTCGTTATTTTCAAGTTTTTTGCATAATTCTCCCGTTATTTCTTGTCATTTTTTTCAATGAAAAAAAGCTCTGGAGAACGTTTATTCTGAAAAATTAATATTCAATATTCCTTCAACTATGTAAATTGTAATTAAATTTATACACGGTTCAAAAAAACTATTTCGAACGAATTCTCATTAAAATGCCTTCAAAAAAAGTTTATTTTTAAGTAAGCTCTGAGCACCCCTTTTTCCATGTCAACAACAATCTTCTCCAAAGTTTTATCTCAAAAACTTGTTTTTTTACTGCTAAAGTAACTACATCGCTTCCTCCCTCTGATACCATGAATTTAAAAAAAATTGAAACCGTAATCTTAGCTCGAAATTTGAAGTTTCAACACTTTCGCATCAGGTATTCTTCTTTTTCAGAATTGCTTATGGAATAGCGTGACGTTCATCAATTTCTTTCTTCTCCTTTTTGAAATCTTTTTCAGTTTCCGTTTGTACTTGCAAGTGATAATATAGAAAAAAGACGCTTCCCAAGAAATTTTTACAAGTTGAAGATTGATATTAAATTATAGTTTTGCAACTTCCGCATATTATTTTTTTATTTTTTTGTTTCAGTTTTTTTATATCTGACTAATCTAATCATATAGAAAGATACGCAAGTTTTAACATTCAGCTATTATTCAGCAACTTCCTCAATTCATTTTTTGTCATTTTTTGGTTTTTAGTTTGTATTTCTAACCGTGATTAATATGGGAAACAAAAAAATGAAGATTGACGTCAATCGTCATTTTTTTCGTTTCGGAAAAAGTATTACATATTTTTCCTACAATAACTATATCACAAATCATTCAGAAAAAAAATCTGAAAAATCGCTGGGAAAATATTTTTATATATTATGTGAAGAAAATTAAAAGATGTTATGAAAACTCTACTTAAAACGAAAAAACTCTTAAGAAAATTTTATAGTATCATAAAAAGCATTTTATTGAAAACTCATCTGCGAGTAATGAATCACTTCAAAATATTGACTAGAACTCGATTTCAATTTGAAAAAATCCTATAATGAAATAAATCACGAAAGTTCCGATATGAAGGTGAACAAAAATTGCAGAATTATATTGAAGATATCCTTTTTGACGCTATTCCACATTTTCAAAGATCCACAAAAGTTTAAAAAAAAGTTATTTTCATTTTGAAATGACTTTTTACCGATTCTCGACAGCTGAAACATTAAAGTAATGAAATAACATAAGGAAAAAACCCACAGCCATTACAATTTCGAACGGATGTTTATAAATGCGGACGGGAGATCTGTAGGTTTGTACCATTTTGAATAACTCTGAAAAAAGATTTTTTTTTTGAGAAATTGTAGGAATTACGAGCAATATAAAGCTTTAAAAACGCGTTCAACAGTAATTCTAGATAGAGAAAGCAAACAATATCGATTTAACAATAATAAAGAAGTGAATAAGTCGAAGAAAATACCGTTGGCGCAGTTCAAATGACAAAAAATCTTTCAAAAATATCCGATCCCATAAAGAAAGTATTTTTTGACGTGGAAATTGGAAGAATATGAGAATTTCGCTCCAAATATGACGTTTAGGGTGCGTTTGCACTGTAGCGCTCATTCACATGATCTCGAGAAAATGCATTTTCTTTTCCAGAATTCGAACAGCTCGACAGTTCAAAGAATCAGAAAACGCTTTCTGATTCACTGAAAGCTTCAAACATGTTTATTCGAAAATTCACTGAAGAATGAAAAAAACAGGAAAGATCGAGAAATTTTACGATTTAACTTCAATAAATTCCATTAAAACATAGTTTTGAAGCTTTTTAACACAGCATCGATTTAAAAAAAAACATTTTCTGACTAGTGAGAGGTAAATTGGATAAAAAAATGATTAAAATACAAGGTTTTATGTATAGTATGGTCTACTTAAACCTTTTTGAAGTTTCTGATATATTTCTTAACGATCTAAAGGCGCAGAATCGTTCATATATATTTTTTAAATAACAAGGAAACAAGAGAACTTTTTTCGTTTCAAAAAATACAGCAAGTGACAAAAATCCAAAGAACGATTCATAGGAGTAAAAAGAACTAGGAAAATCGAGTAGAACAGACAAAAAACCAGCTGAGGATGTACTTTTCGTGGCCCAACACCTGAAAAGTTCATTTCGGAGCCCTCATTTCAAAGTGCGGCTGTCCCGGGGCAGACCACGCGACCAGTTGACCGAACTTTTACTCCGGCATGAAATTTCAGCCTTTGGAATTTTTCGGATTCCGAGTTTTAATGCAAAAAAGCCGACTTTGATGTCAAAGTGACATGTGTAGTTGATGGCTAGAACATTTCGTGAAAGATAACTCGAACTGCAAGTGATAGAGCACATGGACTGATAAGAAATTGAAAGGAGGGACTGATTGGACTTTGGAAGCTGAGAAATCCCCTAGACTACAACATACTAGGACATAAATTAATCAGAAGAGATCCGCATAAGAAACAAACGAAGTTGGACATTTTCAAACAGGAAATGATTTGGGTCAAATGAAGCCAAAGAACTAAAACGTTACTCGAGAACACGAAAATTGACGCGATGAGGGAAATAATTAATTTAAAAGATTTCCGTTTGTTCAAAAATCCTTGCTGGAGATTTAAAAGAGGCGTCAACTTTTCTTAAGGTCTCGAGACGAAGAGCCTTTTGCCGCGTTAATTATAGTCTTTTTGCGCCTTTAAAAACGAATAAGGACCATTGAGAAGACGTTATCCTTTTTCCAGGTATTTTCGAAAGTTCACGGCAATTTTTCGCATAAACCAGAGACTTTCGAAGAAAATATGAGAAGACCCACGTAAAATGACGCTTTGACGGACAGGTGGCGAGTTTTTTCTCAACAAAAATGTCTCCAAAGGCCACAAAAATCGACAAACACCGAGCTATTGGCGAATCAAAGAACACCGGTAAATAAAGACGTCATTAAAAGATTGAAAACTTAACAACTTCGGACAAGTTGTTCCAACCTTCAAGTGAAAAAAAGATGTTTCAAGGATTAGACCGCTTATCACTGAGAATGGAGAAAGGGCGATAATAATTCTGTGATTTAAACTCCTCAAAGAGAAATTTTCCAGCCGAAACGCAAGTTGATGAGAATGTATTCTTCTAACCTTCGCTCGGAAGAAAAAGAATGAAAAAACAAGGCGAGAGCCCCGTGAGAGGCGCGTGATGGCCGCAAATTCGCAGTCATTGATCGGTCGACGGCCAGATCGGATCTACTCGATCGGCATCCTATCGTAGTTAACGTATCTGTCAAGGCTATCCGTCGGAAAGTTTGCCAAAAATGTAGTGACCTTTTTAAAGAATGCATAAAATTGGAGCCGAATAATAGTAACAGGATGACTTTAATTTCAAAAAGTGAAAATAATCCTTCAAAAGATGAATCTACTAACATCTCTTGAGGAGGTTTCGAAGGATTATAGGAAAAAGGCTTGATGATTTCGAAGCGAAAATTAGTTTTACGTATCTTTTCAGGAGATACAAGTCTTCAGCACCTTTGAAGTTCCAGAAAGAATCTTGGGACATAGTTTTAAAACAAGCGAAAAAAATTTAACAAAAGTTATTTTATACGCATTTGAAACGCCCAGCGTGTCTTAAAAGAATCATAGAACAATTAAAGTTCACAGTAATCCTGGAAAGCCGAAAATAGCGCCTTGTTTTTCATTCACTTTGACAACTTCTTGAAAATTAGGCAACAAGAGGGTTTGGCATAAACAGAAAGTGGAAAACTTAGCACTCATGCGGACATTGATTTGTTGGAAAACTGAAGCCCCCTTGGCTTACATCCGCGGCATAACTTCCCTTTGTTTCAGCCAAATGTTCCAATACATGAAAACCGGAGGTATGCATATGGTACTCGCAAAATAAAAGATATTATACTGGGAAAACTACGTTTCTCGGGCGCAACGAAAAAAAAAGAAAGAGAAACAAAGGTGAGTCGCTCAAAGTGAGCGACAAGACAAAAAACACTGGGCTGGAGTGAGAATGAGCTCATGAGAAAATGATGTTTGAAAAAAAAAGTGAGCAGGCAACTATTCACACTCTCTCCAAAAAAGCACGACTTTGGCAGCTGGACCAATTTTCCAAGAACCAGGAAATTGCCTGGAAAATTGTTTTAGTGCTGTATAAAAAAGACCTTTGCTCTGCTCGAAGCTGGATTTTCGCTTGTAATCAAATAAAAAAAAAATCGATGAAAAAATGAAGATGAATTTTCACAAGGTTGAAAGCAAAATGGAAAAGGCAATTTATGTATCGAAAAAAGTCTAAAATTAAATGGAAGGAAACAATTTTAAAAATTTAAAGAAAAAAAGAAAGGTTATTTTTGCGCGTCATTTAAGCTGCTTTGCGTGTTTGGGAAGGGCCATTGCACAAAACAAGCTGACAGTAATTGAAAACTACGACTACTCGAGGAAAATGAAAGAACTTTTTTGGTGATTCAAAAAACTTTGACTTTCACCTCTCACGGTTTCCTATAAACCTTGTAAAGAAGATCGTTTGATGTTGTCTTCCAAATGAAATGGTCTACCAAAGCTTTTAATAACAAAAGATTGAACAGGACTCATTTATGACATTATGTTTTGTCATCATATGCCTTTTTCATGGAACCCCGATGTCATTCTTTCACACCTGTACTCGGAATTTCTTCAAAAAACTCGGAAATTAGACGCTTTTCAAGTCACATTTCCTTGGAAACACCAGTAAAATTGCAAGAAAAGCGGCGAGATAGATGGAAGCGGAGGGGCATGTCACGAGTTTTTTTTCCGGAGGCTCGCCTCCTTTCCTTTCTGGGACTCACGGCGTTCCATCAACATGTTTGTGTTTTTCGAGTCGCGGGGGTGAATCGTGGGCAGCCAAAAAATGAATGGTGGGCTTCTATCTCCATTGTGGTATTAGGACATATGATAAGAAGCTTGTGAATAGGAAAATAAGAGAAAAGTCGGCTGAAAAAACAGCCACGTGGGTGAGGATTGAGCGCTCCATTGATGATGACAGAGACTCATAAATTTCGCTTTTTTGATTATAAAAACGAAAATGAAGACGAATAAAAAAACTTGACCCCAAAGTTTATTCAGGTGTTCGCATCTTCTCTTCTCTGGGCGAGAACAACTGTGAATGCACTGCTCCCTCACAAAATCCTCATTCTTCATGTCTATCACGTTGTTCGTTTTTTTTTTCTTTTCTAAAACTGGAACTAATGAAGGGGTTGCAAAAAAAACCAGAGCTCAATCCGAAAATCCGAAAAGCATCAAAGCAATCTTTCAACTTTCTCATGCAGCTCACGTATAATTAACCGAGGCAAAATTATCTAGCTTTTTCTGGAGCTATGTTTTATGAAGAATGAAAGAATGAGAGGCAGAGCGCAGAACACAGGGAAGAAGAGACGGAATATTTTTCAGTCCTTAAAATTTCAAATAATAGTATGGAAGGGCTCAAAAAACTACGGTATTCAACTAAAACCTGCGTCCGACTTTGACTTAAACCCAGATTTTCACTGATTAAACAAAATTGCAGCTCATGAATCTATATGGAATCGTGTTTCCTTGCCTTCTTCTCAAAAGGCATCCTGTATACTGGAGTGAGGTTCAAAAGTTCGTTTCGTGGGCCTCTTGTGGGAAGTTTGAGCATCATCGAGAACCTACAACTCAGACTCCAGAAAAAAGTGAGTACAGATAGGAAAATGTAAATGGAAAAGGTTTTTTACGTTCTCCTTACTATGAATATTATTAGCTTTCTCCTTCCAAATGGAGGAAAAAACTCTTTGAAAAATTATCCATGGAGCGCACTCGAGCCCCTTCTCAAGGCTTTTTTTCACCATTCTCCTGCCGCTGTTTTTGCTCGGCTCTCCTGTGAAATAAACCATTAATCTCCATTTTACAGGGTCAAACGACGCAGAAGCGCATTTCAACGTTTTGAATCGCCAATGGGAATGCTCCGTGGCTGATTTCTTCGGAAGCCAAGTGATTCTCGAAGTAGAAGAAATTTCTTCGAATGAAAATCGTTTCTAAATCTCAGAATAAAGTCCATGTTGAAGCAAATTTCAGGGTAGAGCAGGGGAAAGAATCAAAAAGAAAAACGCCACGAAAAAAAAATCTGTCTTTCGAAAGAAAGCTTTCGGGAAACCTGACTAATCATGCCCATTCAGCTCTCTCTCTTGACGTACTATCAAACAGGATAATAGGTAAATCTAGCACAGGGAATGTGAAATTTTGGAAAGTTCCAAAGGTCTACATTTCGAACCTCTTCCTTTTGATTTTAATGGTGAGATACTTCCGTCGATTTTGAATCAAAACAGTTCGAAAAAATGGATAGAAACAAGAGAGGAATGGTAAAATAGTGTATTAAACACTTGATTTGACTCAAAAGTCTTCAAGTAACATCTTGATTTCTTTTTTTCAACCACTAACATGGGAAAACAACCGGAAAGAAGTGAAAAACTGAAATTTTTTTCTCTCACCCTACTCGAAAGAGAGAGAGGTGAGAGAAGTCGGTGAAGAGAAAAGGGCACGGGAAAAGGAGAGTATGCAGATTGGCAGACGGCTGCCGCGTGCATTTTGCCGTCGGAAAACTTTCTTTTTTTTTAAATTTATTTTTTATTATTTCCTGTTTTTGTCAATTTTCATGCACTGATTATTGTAGTGGAACTTATTATCCGTCTGAGAATTTTTTTTTCTTGAAAAATAGAAAAAAAAGTGTAAAAAAAGGTTGCGCCAATGTTGAAATCGATTCGCTTTCTTTTTGCATTATTATTGCTGTCAAATGTTTTTCTCTTTCTTCTTTGTTCGTTCTTTCGTTTTTCCAATCAACGTCACTACTGGGATATGGAAATGAGATTGGGGATGTGAAATAAAGCTTATTGCGAGAGTTAATGAAAAAAATGGATAAAAAAATGTGAAAAAAATATTTCTGTGTTCATTTTCTATTTTTTTAAAGCTCCTTTATTTGGTAATACATTGAAAAAAATTAGTTATCTTTGTTTGCATTATTTTTTGAGCTCTCAAAATTTAACATCATACTTTATTTAAATTCTGGGCTTTCACTTCTGTCTTAGATTTTCTAAAATTATAAAAATGTATAATTATTTTTTTCCTTTTTCAGTTTTTTTAAAAAAAGATTATTTTGTGCATTGAATTTTTCTCTTCTTCAGTTTCCTGCTATCTTTTTTGAGTTCCGAAGTTCAAAAAAAAATTTTCCGACTCACTGTATATTTTTTCTGAAATACTCAACTTTTGAGGATCTTTCTTTTTTTCAACTTTCTATTTCAAGAGGTTCTTTTTGGTATAATTCCAATCTTTTGTTGATAAAATATCAAATACTTGTTCAGAAAAATGGTCCTGGAACGGATGACCGGAAATGGGAACGGAAATAAAATGAACATGAGGATCAATATTCTCGAAGCGATTCTCAACAGTGAGACAGAAAACAGCAGTGACGGCTCCTCGGCCAGAGTATTTTTTATGAATTTATCTTTCATCTAAATTTGATAAATTTCAGGTAAACTCGCTGAAGCAAGTCATTCGCCGGAATAAGACGGACATGGCTTCTGACGCGGTTTCTTCTCTTGACCTTATGCGACAGGTGAAGCAGGAAAAAGTACCAGAAGGGAAAATGGAATGAAAAAACATGTTTCGCACAAAAAATTTATTAATAAAGTACTGACAGGAACTTGAGGGGTTTCTCAAAGACTTCATGGAGAGGGCACTAAAGTGGCCACTAAAACCACGTTTATAGAAGCCAATTTTTTGCGCGTTAAAGGCCACCATAGTCGTTTTTAGTGGTCTAGTAATGTCACTTAGACTTCTCAAGAGGCCACTAAATTTTATTCACTTAAGTGGCCTCTATTTGGACTAATATAGTAGCCAGTAAAACTTCAGAACCCTATGGTGGCTACTAAGAACTTTCATCGATTATTTTTTTGGCAGAATGATTTTTTTTTCCGCCATCTTTTTTGCAGTTTCTTGGACTTCACCCTGTCCTTCATGTTTCCGTGAGTCATAACGGTGAATTATTTTAGATATTTCAAAACGAAATCACTCGGGAGTTCCACCAGGTGATGGACAGGTATACGCGGACGACTTTCCTGCCAGCTATCGAAAATCTCAAAAGAAACGGCCATGTTTTTCAGCTTCATCTTCATATTTATAAAGATAAGTTCAGGACGTAGATGAAGACGTGATGAACTCGTTGTACGTCAGCATGTTGGAAGCAGCCAAGAAGCCGTTTCTGAAGGCGCCGGCGCCAGTTTCAGAATTCCCAGCGGCGCCAACTTTGCCTGGACCTTCTATGACAGCTCCCAACGACTCGATTAATGAACGGGATTTCGACGCGAATTTTAAGGTTTTTCTGAAAGTTCGGCGCCTTAAGAAAATGTATATTTTTAGAGAGGCTATGAATCGGATGGTTCTGACGTCAGTGCCATCAGCACTCACAGTATTGAAGCTAAAAGAAGACGAGGAAGGCCGAGAAAGGTTTGAACAAGTGAAAAATGTCTTCTGGAAACGTTTACCATAGAAACTTGGCAGGGTTGACAGAAGCAAACACGTTTTGCAACAACCTTTCATTTTTCATGCTTCTGAAAATATTTAAATGAACAAATAAAGTTATAAAAATCAAAAAAAAAAACTTATTTTTCTTTACATTTCTCCATCAAGGTCGTGTCTAAAAAGCCGCGTCGCGCACGCAACGCCACTCTTACCAATCCACCGATCTTGACTTTCAATTTTGGAAGGATTGACTATATCAGTTTTTTTCAGGACGAAGAAGCTTACCGTCTCGAAATGGCCCCTCCAACGATGCAAGACGTGCGAAGATGGAGTCCGGATCGGATTCATTTCGGCACGAAATTCGTACCAGCTCTCAAGGTTCTTCATTTTGTTTCGAATCGACCAAAGTTCTCTTCAGAAGGAAAAGAAAAATCATCTTTTGATTTCCAGGTCGCAGCTCTTCTGAACTTGCCTGTTTCCATACTTTTCAACAAGTTTCCAAGAATGTTCAAGGTATCATTTCAGCGATATTTATTGTTTTGAAACCTGATTAAGTTGACAAATTGTCGAAGTTAGCGATGAAGCTCAATATTGAAAAAATTTCTGGTGTAGTTTGGAAATAGAGCTTCTCAGAAAAGTTCGGCTCTTTTTGAATGTGGTTAAAAGTCAGACCTTTTCTATTTTTTTCAAAAAATTGCAAAAATAATAGGAGTTTTATATTCAATTTTTTTTTTCTAGAGTTTCAAGCTTTCTCCAAATCAAACTAGGGCATTATTGAAGATTCGTGTATCAACTTCTCATTGAGAAAAAAAAAATCACAAGGGTTTTTGAGTACTCGTGCGACGAAGACGACAAGAACCAGCTGGCCGACGAGAAACGTGTGATCCGAGCACCTGGAAGGTGTTACCTCGTCATTGCCGATGACGCGAAGAACATCATTCCGCCCCACACAATGTTCGTATTTCAAAAACAGAACAAAATGTGTTTTTTAATTTCTCGAGCCATTTTTTTTCAAGTTTCCAACGAGTCAGATTTTTTAAAAATTTCATTCGAGACTGTAACTGTCAAAAAAAAATTTTTCAAGTCCTTTTTTTGATCATATTTTCTAAATTTTTCTCCAATTTTCAAAGCTATAGATATATACATCAAATCTTCAACGAGTCTGGTTTTTGATTTTTTTTTTTCTCAAACTCTTCCCTCGAAATTTTCTTATTTTGAAAACAGAAATATGTAGAAGAAAGAAGAAACTCAGAAGGGCGCTAGCAATTATTCTCCAAGATTTTCTCGCTTCAATGATTTTCTTTCTCGTTTTCCACATACACCCAAAAAGAACGTAATCACCTATAATACCGAGAAATGTGAATTTTAAGATTTGAAAAAGAAAAATTGAAATTGCTCAAGATAAACGATTTTTTAAAATATGATTCTTTGAATATGTTTCTGACAGCCTTTGCAGCTGTTTTTGTTTTGGAGAAAAACCTGAAAAATCTGAAAAATTAAAATAAATATTTTTCAAATCAATGCTCTAAAATAATAAAAAAAGGCCTTTCTTTAAATATTCGGTGTTTCAATAGTTCATTTAACAGTTTTTCCAAAGATTCATTTTTCTGAAAACTCAATTAATTTTTTTGCAGAGGCGAAGTCCAGATGCACGCATTCTCCCTGAACGAACCGATGCTATCCAAAATCCGTCAGAAGGCCGCGCCGATGTTTGAGAAACTCAAAGCCTGTCTACCTCCTCAGTCCTACTTCTGATCTCTCTTTTCTTGGTTCATAAAATTCTTTCTCAAGACGAATCTATGGGAGAAAAAACTAAGAAAGAATGAATAATGGTCAGAGAGAAAAATAAGACGAAAAAAAGTTAATAAACGTAAAAAATTATTTTAAAAACAAGTGAGCGACTCTGAGGCTCCTCTGGGTTCTCGCGGAAGATTGGACGCATTGAAAAAGAAAGTAAGAATGACCGCATTTGGAATGGCTCAAAGGGGGGCGTTTGCGTTGCAGTTTGAGATGAATCCACGGCGCGTTCATCAGTCAAAATATGAAAAGATTGCTCCAAAATGGAAAAAAAAATGTACCGTAAACCCAAAAAAAAAACGAATCGTAGCAATTGTGAAGGGCCAATTGACACAATTTTGCGTTGAAATTTTTTCAATGCTCGTTTTCAAATGAACATCAAGTTTTAGTCTTGCCGAGAAAATGAGCCGCTTTGCGCAGAGCCATTCCAAGTGCGGCCTTGACCCTTGATGTTGAGAAAATTTGAGCGTAGGAGCTTGATACGTGTTCAATGGTCTTTCATTTTCAAAAAAACTATGATAAGATATTAATTTCGCGCATTAAAAGTTACATATTGTGTTGTATGACTCATTTTTTACGGCTATGGACTTCTAATCTTGCAAAATCATTTCAAACAAATAATTCGTCAATTTTGAAATCTCCGAAATTTTTTCGAAGACGGTATAAGTTTTTTAGAAGCTCAGAAGATTTATTGCATAAACCGACACGTACTTCGAACATTGATGAGGGAAAAAAGAACACAATTTCTCAGGTGATAAAACGCGACGATGGTGTTTGAATGAAAGCAAACCTGTATAATACCTGACTGAACGCCTCGTTCGAACCGCCAATAATCCGATTGCTCGTGTAATTATGTGCCGCTACAAAAAAAAAAGCGTGTCGTCTTTGCTGCTTTCTCCAGGTTTGTCAGTCGTTTTCATGCTGTTTTTGTGGATTTTGTGCTTTTTTTTCGAAAGTTAAAGCTTGAAAAAGGATAATTTCTTGAATTTTTTGATTGAGGAAGTTAGGGGAGTTCAGAAAAAAAATATGAAAAAAAAAATTAAAAATTTGGGAAATCTGATTTCTCTTCACCCTATTTTCCCTCTATGACGCTCTTGTGTTTACTTGATATTTTCTCGGTTCTCGATGATTAGGGAAAAGAGACGCAGACAGGTCAGACTGTTTCAAGTCGTGGTGAATAGAGTATGAGCCGAGAAAGTTTTTTAAATTATAGTTTTTTCTTTGGGCGCGCCATAGCGCAACAGGTTGTGTGCCTGTCCACGGTCCACAGGGTCACAAGTTCGATCCCCGCGCCTCGAACCAACCAAGGGGTATAAGAAATTTTGGTAGTTGGAAACCACGGCTTCGTAATCCCCAGTCGTCACACATAAGGACGGATATGTCACTAGAGTCCACTGATAATCACATGTCAAGATAGGACCTCGGCTAATCGACTTTCTTGAATTTTTTTTCTCTTTTGGTTCTATATAGCAAGCCTAATCAACCGACAACTTTCGCAAGAAATTTTTCAGACCGTCAAAAATGATTTTGATAGGAACATGTTAGATACTCTTTCCGCCAGTTCCAAGCTTCCTGAAACCCGAAAAAATAATCTTGGAGAACGACTGGAACATCTCAAGACTCCCTTTGGACCCGAAGAACCCAATCTTTTTGTTGGCCAAGTAGTAGCAATGGCCCTCAGCTGGGGGAGCGATACGGAAAGCCGCCTAACAACGGTTTTCCGGTGATTATGGCGCGCCCGGGGAGCTCCAAAAAAGGTTCTGAGACACTTACAAGACATATTCCCGCCGACAGACATGTATTCCCGAAGAACGGATCCTCGCTCCGAAAAATCTCCCTTCGCTACATTCATTTTTGATCTTTTTTCTTTGGTCCTTTCAGGGTTTTTTATGAGTTTTTCCAGAAAAAGTTGGTTTTTGTCATCGGATAGTGATAGTACTGTCTCTTGTTTCTTTGTCAGTTTTTTTATTTTCAAAATTTCTAATTGGGCTTAAGTTCAATCTAGTATCAGTCATGCAAAAAATCGAATTTCGAGCTTAAAAAATTTTTTTCATTCAAAAACTTCATTCGAAACAGTCTTGGAAAATAGAGAGTGTCACGGTCGGAAATAGATCCGCAGACGATTTTTTTGACGACTCTGAAAGCGCAAGTCGTTTCAAGTCCGATGCAACTTCAAAGAAACCATTTTGTAACTGCGAAGCCTTGAGTCATCCCAGTACAACCACAAGCTTTATGATTAGTTAGGAGTTTCCCAAATAACAATTTAGACGCTCTAATATTTGTTAGAAATCAAAATCCTCCTTTTAAGACATCATAAAAACGCTCTCAACGTTCTCAAAATGGATGAATGACAAATGTCCTGCCAAATGTCTCTTTGACAACTAGAATCCAGATATTCCCCCCGGCTAGCAGTTCACCTTCTTCCCATCTAGGAGAAACAATTCAGAAACCCGGGCCAAGCTGGCGTTCGAGGAATAACCGCGCGACCGCCACATGCAACTTCTCACCGCCGGTGAGCACTGTCGAATATTATCTCCATATTTTGATCTTGAAAAAGAATAATAGCTATACATGAAATCTTGTTGATAATGGTAAAAAGTGGAAAACGCGTAGATGAGCTGGACGAGGAGTGCCATCAGAACGGGCGAGTCCGGCAGCCGGAGGCCGACGTCGACAAGAGCACGGTCAGGGAACAATGGTCTGGAAAGGTGGGTGGTTTAAAGGCGCAGAGGTCCGATTAGACCTGGGCAATAAAAAATAGAAAAAAGGACTTTGGAGCCTTCAGAGGTCACTTGGCCCAGTGGCCACTTTAGGGGTCAATTGATCAACATAACTGTTCAAATCTGTTTGTTTTAAAATTATCAGAGTTACCGGAAGGAATACTGGATGAAAAACTACTGAAGTGGCCACTAAATAGAGAACCTTTACAGTGGCCACCAAAAATTTCCCCAGCACGAAAGTTCTGTATTTCTTAACCTTTGTTTGAAAGTAGGGATTTTCTTGCCGTAGAATTAGCAAACTACTTTTTTGGTAATTTTAAACTTTTTTTTTTCATGTTTTCCAGCTTCATTTCTGATGCTCAAATGTCTTTGAAAAAGACTCTACATAGACGGTTTTGAAAGTTTCGCTCTTCTAAAAAACATGAAAAAAGTTATGCCGTGTTTAAAGTAATTTCCGCGAAATGCATTACCCGTTAGAGAAAGGAAAAGATCACTAAATTTTGGAGAGTCAGAGATCATTTTGCATTTCGCGGAAATTACTTTGAACACGGCATTACAATTTCATGTCCATCCTTCCAGCTCGACTTTTTATTATCGGTCGTCGGTTTTGCCGTCGACTTGGGAAATATTTGGCGATTTCCTTATCTCTGCTTCAAAAACGGCGGAGGTTTCTACTAAAAGAGAAGAAAGTTCGAAAATATTTTTAGGAGTTTTCCTGATTCCCTACAGTATAATGGTGCTTCTAACTGGAGTCCCTCTGTTCTACATGGAACTCTCTCTTGGACAATACTACCGAAAAGGCGCCATAACGACTTGGGGAAGGATCTGTCCGCTTTTTAAAGGTTCATAACATAAGTTCAAGATTAATTTCGTTTTAAAAACAAGTGAGGCTCAAAAAAGAAAATGTCAAAGTTTCAAAGAAATACTACAAAGTTCATGCACAGCAGGGTCAATCGAGATGTAGTTTTTGAAAAAGAGACGAGAAAAATTGCAATTTTAATCAAATATTGACATTTTTGTCAGAAAATTGTCTTAATAAGAATGTATTTGGTCTCGAGAGGTCGAGAAATTTTGAGACCTAGGAATTTTACTTTGAGACGAAATCTCGAAAGACACTGCTACACAGGTAGTATTGGCTGAAGTTCAAAATCAAGAATATTCCGTTTGTTTCCAATTTAAAGACGCTAAATGTTTTTTTCTTTTCTCACAGTATTTGATGTAGACTTCTCCTCTCTTTTTTCCCCAATTTCGATCTACCGCTTAGGGATCGGCTACTGCGTCGTAATGACAGCCTTCTACGTCGATTTCTTCTACAATGTGGTCCTGGCGTGGGGTCTTCACTTCCTCTACACTTCCTTCAGGTAAATTCCCTACAAGAATACTTTATACAAAATAAATTCCAGTACAAAGCTGCCGTGGGCCTCCTGCAACAATTCGTACAATTCCCCGGCTTGTTATGAGCCACAGTAAGTTTTGAAAAAAAAAGAAAAAGAAAAACTGATTTCATTCGCCAAGTTTTGAAGTTTTATGACATCTCTGCGTACTATATCCCTCATCGGTGAGGTTCAATAGAAAATGAGGGAGAACAGAAAAATCAGGCCTAGAAGCTGAGCGCGTTTGAGTCAGATTTCGTTAAATTCCCGGGAAAATCCACGAAAATTCGCCTTGTCGGAATCTTTAAAAATAGCATGAAAACTCTTTCATGCTGTAGTGAATGAAGTATATTTTTGTCAGAACCAAAAAAAAAAATAGAAATTGAGACGGAAATTTAAGCTGGAGCGAAGATGGAACAGAACGATGTCGACTTCCAAACGAATCCATCTCCTCGGAACGTATTTCAGCCGCTGAAGAATACTTTTAGTTAGTTTTGACTTGCAAGAGGTACCAAACTGTCAGCCCGTTGAATGGCTCTAGTTTTTAGCGGTTGCTCTAAGATTTGCCCACCTCGAAACGACTTGGGCACAGAGGCATGAGTATGAGTGGGAGAAGCCTTGAGGCATAAAAAGTGAAAATTTTTGATTTTTCTTCGAAAAAAACAGGTTTCTGAACAAATGAGCAACTGAGACGTTTCTGAGGGATCCCTATAGGGGTTTGTTGTTTTTGCGGCCCCTATAGGGTTCAGGAACTGACCCCTAAGCCTTATAGGACTTCTGGGATCCTTATAGAGGTTCATCATAGGGCCCCTATTTCAATCCCTATAGGGACCCCTCTGCTGTTTTTTAGAAAGGTTATTTTAGATAAAGAGCGACAAGCTTATAAGTATAGCATTTTTATTGAATTTTAAAGTAGGTAGCTGAATTTTCGAGTTTCGTTTGAATATTTCGACTATACTTACTTTCCGGCAGAATTCCCTGTTCAACGTATTCCGCTAAATTCAGAATAGCCGTCTGAAAGCGGAAAGATAGCTAAATATCGGAGAGTCAGAGATAACTTTGAAGTTCTTACTTTAAACAAGACATGAGCTTACGTTTCAGTAAGGGATTCCTGGGTCTACACGAAGCTGGATCTCCGAATTCGCACGTTTATCGATCAATCAGCAACCTGGGCGACGTTCACTGGGACATCACTGTCAGCTTCTCCTTCCAAATTCATAACTTTGGACTTTCTCGAATTTTCAGCTCTCACTGTTCGTCGTCTACTTGATTTGCTACTTCTCAATGTGGAAAGGCATCCAAATGAGTGGAAAGGTGGGAAAATATCATTTCCATTGGATTGAACTCACTTCAAGGTTGTCTGGTTCACTGCACTGTTTCCATATGCTGTTCTGGGAATCCTGTTCGTCAGAGGCGTCACGTTGCCCGGCTGGCAGACCGGAATCGAATATTACTTGAGGCCCAACTTCGAAATGCTCAAGGTTTGGTTTGAGCAAAAAATCCTCTGGTAAAAATGACACAGATTTTATAGCCCTTTCCACAACAGCTTGCCACGGTTTTTTTCCCCAAAAAGACCACTCACCAAAAATAATCGATTTTAACCACACTTCGCTTCAAGACCTTTGTTTTTTCCTGTCTTTTTTGAAGTTTTGTAGAGCAAAAGTACAAAAAAAGCTGTGTTTACGGTAGCTTGTTTTCTGCTGTGCTTTGAAAACGGCCAGTGTGAAACGTACTATAGAAGAAAAAAAAAATTTAATTGATACAGAATCTGGAATATTTTTCAAGAGAAAAGTGGCCTGCTCAGTAACGGCGCTCCATTGCAAATTTGCGTCTCCTGCGGCTGGATTTAATTTTTTTTTTCCTAGTTTTTTTCGCGTTCAATGAATTTTTGAATAGTTGTTGAGTGAAGATTTGTCCTAAGGAATCTTACGCAACTTACAGTGAAAATTTTAGTTTTCTGTGCTCAGAATCACTTGAAGAGAAAAAAAAGAGAAAAAAGCTTGAAATTTTTATCCTTCACTTCAATGGAAAACGATAATGCCGTGTTCAAAGTGATTCCGCAAAATTCAAAATAGCCGTCAGAGAAAGAGAAAGATAACTGAATTTTGGAGGGTCAGAGACAATTTCGCATTTCGCGGAAATTACTTTGAACACGGCATAATAGAGATCATTTTTTTGCGTTTTACAATTTTTTTTTCCAATAAAATCTTGAAAATTCATTCTCCAAGAAAGTGTAGACCGAATGGAAAAACTTTTTTTAAATCAAAATTTTAGAAACCATCTGTTTGGCAAGATGCGGCTACGCAGGTCTTCTTTTCACTCGGCCCTGGATTCGGCGTTCTCATGGCTTTTTCTTCCTACAACGACTTCCACAACAACGTTTATGTGTATGTTCTACTAAACAATATTCTCCTTCGACTTTTTGTGAAATCTGCAATTTTTTTAATCATAAATTGAAAAAAATTTATTATTTAAGCGACGCTCTTTTCACTTCGTTCATCAACTGTGCAACTTCCTTCCTATCCGGCTTCGTCATCTTTTCGGTGATTTTCAGTTCTTTCAAGAACTGAATAACGATTCAATCGTTCAGGTTCTCGGATATATGTCCTGTAAGAGCGGAAAACCGATAGAACAGGTGGCCCAAGAAGGTCCAGGTCTCGTTTTTGTCGTCTATCCGGAGGTTTACTACAAAAATACATAAAAACAATATGAAAAATGTATTCAGGCTTTGTCAACCATGCCATATGCCCCGTTTTGGTCGGTCCTCTTTTTCCTGATGCTCATGACCCTCGGCCTTGACAGCTCTGTGAGTGAACTAATTTATTTTAATTCAATTGTTTCGAGTTTGATTTTGTTAGGTCTATGGGAGCTTTTTTTGTTTAAAAGTACCTTGGTTGTTAATTAAAATCACGGAAATGGACTTGAATATAATTTCAATAAAAAGCTTCAAAAAAGCTCCTCTTTTGTGATTCATGAACAGCGATGTTCCAATTGAATTCCGAGAAACGTTATCATCTTTTTTTAGAAGCTCCTCAGTAATTTTTCTCGGATTTTTTCAAGCTCTCTTCGATGATTTTTCTGTCTTTTTTTTTGTTTCATCGTGGTTTCAAGTTTTGAATATCGTTCTGCAGTTCGGAGGCTCCGAAGCCATCGTGACAGGCCTGTCAGACGAATTTCCGATTCTGAAAAGGCATCGTGAAGTTTTCGTCGGTCTTCTTTTCAGTCTCTACATGGTCATCGGTATCGCCATGTGTACTGACGTCAGTTTCGAGTTACTTGGATTACAAAATTTTTTCAATTTCATATTATTAATGTTAAATGATCTTTAAGGATGACGATGAAGAAAAAGCTTTGAAAACTTTTTATTATTTTTTATATTTCATCATGTTCGTCAGCTTACAGGTTTGAGGGAACCTTTGAAATTGTTAGTCTAGAATCATCCTAATGAAGTACAGAAGTGATGAAAATAATGCCAAAGGGCTGTGCGGCAATCGGTTCTAAAAATCGTCGAATTTCGCCAATATTTCAGTTTTAAATGGATCCTTCTGCCTCCTCACTTTTGCTGTCTCTTTTAAACCGCCAGAAACGGACTGATTATTTCATGTTTAAAATTTAGCTTATAAATGCCTCACAAAGACAGGAACGACGGTTATTTTGTTTCAGGGAGGGATTCTGATAATGGAATGGCTGATCGTCTACGGCACCACCTGGGCTCTTCTCATTGCCGTTTTCTGCGAAGTCATGGTCGTCGTCTACATTTATGGTGATCTTATGAATTGGTTTTCTATTTCTGAAGGTTCATTTTTTCTTCTTGGGTTTGCAGAAAGTGAAACAAACTTTTATTTGAAAGCTTCATTTTTCTTTCGACTCGAAAAAAATTTTTAAAATTGTCAGAGAACTCTAGACCGCTTTTTACAGAGAGACGCAGACACCAAAATACTGTCAATCCGCGGAAAATGGACTATATAAGAGAAAGAAAGAAGACTAAAGAGATGTCTTATATTTCTAAACTTGGCTTTTGAAATTTTTTTTTCCGGCGAAAAATTTTTTTGAGCGTATCTTTAAGTTAGCACAGGAATGTTTTTATTATATTTAAGTTTTTTTATATTGATAAGAGACAAAAACTTTAGGGATGCAACAATTTGTACTGGACATGAAGGAGATGATGGGATTCCGGCCGGGCGTCTACTGGAAGTTGTGCTGGAGTATCGCCGCTCCGGTCATCTTGCTTGTGAGTCTATATTCTGTTCAGATTTTGAATGTCAAGTCGTCGCTCAAGCTCCGCCCCTAATGGTGCGATAAACCAATCAGAAAGCGAGCCATCCACAGAGTGTTTTTCAATGACGTCATTGCACTTGACATTAAAAATCTGAACAGACTATACCGTTCAAAAAAAACCGGTGAAATCATCTTCAGTCAATGATTCTGTCCAACTTCATCAATTATCAGCCCCTCAGCTATCAGGACTACAATTACCCTCCAGCCGCGAACATTTTTGGTATCATTTTTTGAAATTATTTTTAGAAGAAGGCGACCTATAATGACAAGTTCCTCGAAACACTTCCTAAATATTTTTCAGGCCTTCTTTTTGCTCTATCGGCAGCTTGTTTCATTCCCATCGTTGGAATCTACAAATTCGTCTCAGCGCGAGGAAATACGTGGGCTGAGGTATGTTCTTTGTGAATCTGTTCGAAGGGCATTTTTTTAATTAGGACCACAGTATATTTGATATTGCGTTTTCATTCAGAGATTTTCTATTTTCTTTTTCGACGATTTATCAGTTTTCCTTACTTACTCAGTCTCTTTTGAACTTGACAACAGGGGCGAAATACAGAAAGATATAAGAACCACTGGAAAAAAAGACCTCACAGGCTCCTTTAAAAAAAGAGAAGCTGAAAAAAATTCAGAGAAAAATTTTGATAACTTTTTGGGAGCTCAAAAAGGAGCTCCAGATTCTTATTTTTGAGCCTTTTTGAGGCCGTTTGGACTTTACCCGTAGAGGTAATTGATCCGCAAGGAACAAGTTCAGTGAATTTAAAAAAATTGAAATTAACCCTTTTAGTAGGTAGGTTAATATAATAGAGCTGATAATTTCATTTTTAACTTTTTGAAAGTTAGCTACTCAAAAAAAAATTCAAATTACAACGTGAAAAAGAGAATCGTCACGAGCAGCTGGTACGGAAATCTGTTAAAACAAAAAAAAAAGTTTAGTTTAGGAATTTCTAGCTCATGCAAAAATTGGAAAGAGCAAAAGCCTTACATGATCTTGGATAACTAAAACATTTGGTTATTCCCTTGTTCACCTTGAATTTGGTCGGTCATCCAGGAGAAGGAGGAGAAGAATGAAAAAAAAGGGTTTTTAAGCTGGAAATTCCAGAAACATAAAATTCATCTCTTTTCGGTTGAAGTTCATCTTTCTTCTTCAAGAATGTGTTCTTAGAAATGGCGACGAGTGACGATGCCCTACAGAAGAAGGCCCGACCAGACCGAGTACATGCCCATCGCCACCAACAGTCAGACCGCCGACGTCATGCTTTGATCTGAACTTGATACTTTCCTGATATGATGCATCTCATATCAGTTCTTCTTTAGAATCTCCCTTCGTTAGATTTAAAACAAACCATTTACCGAAAAAAAACGGCGTTTTGAAGAGACGTCAGAGAAGTCCGATTATTCTCGCTCTTTGGAGTCTCTTCAAGCCACTTTTGATCTCCCCTTCCTCCTTTTCGGTTACAGAAATATCTTGATTTAAAACCGGAGGTGAGTAAGCCGAAGCAAGAGATCAACGGAGCTCCGAAGAGACCCCGCAGAAAAAGATCTCATTGTCTAGCGTCTCTTCAGAAATCGTCTATCTTTCCTGTCTGGTTTTCTCTTCCCGAGTTCTATCGTACCATCTTTGTATTAATATCGCAGTTACTCTAGTCAAAATGAATATTATGACTTTTTTTTTGCAAACTTGCCGTTTGATTTCATTCATCGTATTAATCAGATTCTAGAAACTAGAAAAACCCCTGTTCCATTCCTTTTTTTGCTTTATCAGGGTATGCCTTTCATTCTCTTCTAGCTAGATTTTTTTTACCTATTTGGATTTTCTGAATTTCTAGAAGCATAATGGTTCCAGTATCTCATTTCAAATATTCGCTATAAAATTTTTGTTCCATTTTTTTTCTCCAACGTGTTCGCTTAGAAATAAAAATTGAAAATATTGCAGAATTTCTCTACTACATTTTGGAAAAAGAATAATAATTTTGAAGCGGAAGCAAGAGATGAATGGTAGCCTGAAGAGACGTTAGAGATATCAGAGAGTTGTCTGGGACCTCTTTGAAAGCTACTGATCTCTCGCTTCCTTGTGATTTCAATGACTTTTCTCGGTTCGAACCAAAAAAACAAAAATCGTACAGAATCTAAAAAAAGACTCAAATCCGCGATGAGACATTTGCATGGTCGACATTTTCACAAAATGTTTATCACAAAATCTAAAAACGTGATCATATTTTTTTTGTTCTCGCAAATTCCAGACATCTAAATGCGACGACTCCTGAGTCATCCATCCGATCGGAGCGCGCATTATCCCGTCGTCTTTCTTCACCTTTTGCAGCTCCCTTGTCTCACTTTTTCATTTTTTCTCATTTTTTCGTCGTTTAATGTTGAAAATATTAATTTTTTTAGGTTCTCCGAGATGACTGTGCCTCCTTTCAATGCGGTGAGTTCTCTGAAAATTGAAAATTTAGTTTGGCTCATTTTTTCTGGATTTTTTTTTAAAGGAACATTATAGCAGGGTCCTATCTAGCGCCCCCGGAAGCTCAAAAATATTTCTTTCAAAAAAAGAACTTTTTTTATACTGAACGGAAAAATATTTAGATTGAGGAACGCTCAGAAGAAGAAGAACAAAACGTCGCGTTGCCGGAACTGCAAGGTGGACAGAACTACGACCCCGTCAGTCTATTTTTCTCAATTCAATGAAATAACCTTCAGAGAAATGAATTGATTGATCTAACTACGAAAAATTCTTTTAGGATTCGCTTTTCCGCGCTGAAAAGCTCATTCTGGACCATTCTGACTTGTCTGCGCTCTCTCTTTCTCTCAAGAACGTTCTCTGAGAAAGGCGCATACAGTTTTTCCATGTGAAATTGTGTAGAGACGAATTTAACTTTATTTCTTTCGCTTAAATCAATCAGATCTCTATGCACTTTCTCGTTCTTTCTCACTGCCTGTGACTGAGAGAGAAGAGAGCGCAGACAGTTAGACAGTTACAAGTGGAAGCCAATAGATCAAGTGAAGCTCAGCTTTTCTATTCTATTACTCACCATGACTGGAAAATCACTTGATAAAAATAAAGAGCAGACACAATCCCAAGCGGTGTCAAAATGATGAAACTTTCAGCTTCCCAGACTTCTTCATTTGGGGGCCCAACAACGTAGGAGCGGATTCGTAGCCATTAGGGACACCTCTTTCGGGGCCGCATGGCAGATAGAGCTCGACGAGCTGCCTCGTACAATCCGGCGCAGAGGAGTGGGTTTTTTTGTGTTTCATATGATCAAGTGGCCTGAACTTGAAAACCAGCCATTGGAAGTTGCAACAGACCTGAAACGAGTTGAGCGCGATACAAATCCTTGATTTTACCTGAGTGGAGTTTCGCAACAAGTGACTCCTGGCAATATATCGCCTTTTGAATCGAGGATAATTGACTTATGCTCACTTCGTTCCCACTTGAAAGCACTCTTTCTAAGTTGCAACCGACCCAAACGAGTTTCGCGCGATTCAAACTACCTAGCCTTTCTCCGAGAGTTCCAAGTCAAAGTATACCAAACTCCTGTTCAGAATCCACATTTCAATGCTGCCGCTCTCGAAATCTACCATTTTAATTTGGAACTGGCGATCACCCTTGAGAGAATGTTGAGACGCGCAATCGAGGTTGGTTTTGATTTTCTAGAGGAAAAAAAAACCTTTTCTAGCGAGTAAAACGTTCGGATTTTCATTGAAAAATCTTCAGAATCATTTCTTCCGCCATGAAGGGCGTCCCCGCGGCCAGATTCTTCCTCGATTCCTCGTTCCAGTGCCGCGAAACGTCCACGGCCATCAGGAAAATCAGCCTGAAAACGGCTACCCTCAGGTATCGTCACCTTGAAAAGTGATCGGAGGATTTAAGCTTTTTCGTAAAACCTTAAAAATTTCAAGTAAGAGCTTTAAAAATTCTGTCTCGAGGAGATGTTTTTTTAACTTTAGGGGCGTTAGAGTCAAATTTGAAAACCAAAAAAATCTCTGTGATTTTTTTAATAATAATCTACGAAATTATTAAGTTAGGCACTGAAAAAAATTAAGAAAACCGATAAGTCGAAACTTGAATCGATAACCCCCTCCTCGCTAGTCGCTAAAATTCCACCTAAAGATTCTCTGAAATTCCAGATTTTCGTTAGATTAGTTATCTTGCGTCAATAATTCATTTTGCTTTTTTTAAAAATTCACCTGAAAAAAACGGCTCAAAACCGTTTAGCCTGGGGAAAAAGCTAAATCAAGGTCAAATAGCTTTTCATAGAGTTCAGTCATAAATTTTTCGCCTAAAAAAAGCCAAATAGTGAGAACTTTTCAATAGATATGAAATTTTAACCCTTTAAAAAAAGTTAACCTAAACCTGTACCAAGCTCATCGTCACTTCTGTCATTTTTTTTTTGTCAGAAATAATCAAAAAATTTTGACATTCAAAGGAGCTTATATATTGCTACGAAAGAGATTATGACGCTTTTATCAGCGTTTTTGTTCTCCTGTAATGAAGGTGGTTTCACTTTGGGTTTTGGTCTTTTTTGGAAAGTTCTTTTGTTGTATTGGATGGAAATTTGAAAGTCTCAACCTAGAAACTTCTTGAGAATGGACACCTCAATCGAAGAAAGATATCAGAACCTCATAAAACGGTAATTACATTTCATTTCGAAACTGAAAACTATGAATTCAAAGTTTGGAAGCAATATATACATTTTCAGGTCGTTCCCAACATCCAAGAACCTGACCACAATAACAACGGACCTAATAATGAGTATCGCAGAGAGTGAAGTTCGAAATCAAGAGCCGGAGATTATATTTTTAATTTTGTACGCGAATTCTGAAACCTTTTTGTTTTTTTATTATTTTTTTACAATTCTTTTTATCAACATATATCATCTTTTTTTGATCAGCATTCCTCGCTCTGAGAACTGTTTGATAAAGCATCTGTCTCTGGAAATCGATAACATTTCCTTCTTTTGCAAATTGTTAACCTTTCTCTCTTTATTGATTAATTCAGTTATTCTTTGACAATCGAACTATTAGCTAGTTAGAAAACATTCAAAACTACAGAAAAAGTAGCGAACCAAGGGAAATAAAACTCTTCTTCTTCTGATACTCTACAAGCCCTTCTTTCATCCCGTCTTTTTACAGTAATTTATTACATTTTACTACAATTCGATTATTTGGAATTCAATCATTCAAGGCCTTAATGAAGTATTATCGCGCATTGCTTTTCTTTTTGCTGGTCGATCCTTCGAGAATCATGTCCAAATTGAGAAGTTGGAGCAGAAGCGAGTCCAAGTTCCAGAGGTCGAAAAATTCGATTTGTCGGTGACTCACGACGAAATCCAGGCCGGTTGACTCAAAATCGTCATTTTGAATATTAATATGAGTTGAAACTGACAAAAATATTGCTCAGAAGAAGGATTATTGAGCCGAGTCGTTCTGCAGCCGGTACTCCGTTCTGAAAATATCATTCTGAAGAATTCTGTCGTTTCTTTGCCCTCTCTTGCTTTTTTTTATCTTTCGACTATGTTGAGGGAAAAGAGAAGCCAGACTATTAGAAATGGCGATGATTGTTCAGAATCTATAAAAAAATGTTCTCAAAACTTGCAAGCCCTATTTCTTATAGAAAGATAATTAGTTTATTCACCACTAGCTTAGCCAAGAAATAAAGAATCGATAAAATTTGAAAAAAAAGTGGTTTCAAAACGACTAAGAATATTCTCGTGATGACAAAATTTTGATAAATGGAGTATGATTTTCTAAAAAACGCTAGAAAACTTCTGATTACACAAAAAAACTATCTCTACCATTTTTAAAAAATTTTTCACCTTTTTCTAGGAAAATTGGAGCGAGAAATTATATCTGCAACAAAAACTTTTCGGAACCTTTTTGTAATGAGAATGAAGGGAGTTCGTGACGGCGTCGAGTTGTCTTTTCATGACGTCACGTTTCTCCACGGAAGTGTCAGGGAGGGCTGAAACGGGAAAATGGAACATTTTTTTCAAAAATTTTATTTTCCACAATTTGAACATGGTCGCACGGAGAATGGGCTCACAAAAAAAGTTTACTAAACTGCGTTTTTCACGCTGATTCCGAATATCTGAATTAAATCAGCCCAGATGGCTTTTGATGAAAAGAAAACGCCCGAGTTGAGAAAGGAATTCTCAAAACGAAGAAAAATCTTATTTTTTCGAACTGTTTCACCTAGGGTCTTTTTCGGTATAAACTTGACCTCCGGTCGAAAAATGTTCTTTTCTTTATCAGATATCATTCTTATCGCGTCAAAAACGCGTACATAAAGAATCAGAGAAGCTCGATATGACTTAAAAATTATTTCATAGAAACGACGCGCGATTTTTTTTTTTTACCTCCTAGGGCATTTCAACCACCTTTTTTATCTTCCTTTTTCTTCGATTTTGATTGTGAATTTCCGTCGTTTTCTTGAATTTTCCCTGTTAACATTTAAACTCACCGCCTTGCCAACTGACAAAAGCTTTGAGGGCCACGAATTCCTCAAAGGAAAGGTTCAGCGCAATCATCGGCGGGATTATCTCCTCCATAATTCGTTTAAGTAGCGGCTGGTAGATTCTGGAATAAGTTCCTAAATTTCAAAAGATTCTTTTGAGGCCTCTGCTCATCATCATGATCTTTGATCTTCTCAACGTTTGGCAAAAGCTATTTAAGTTTGAATATAGCTCGTTTCTAACCTTACTTAGTCCAGAGCCATTCAAGTCTTATCTCATTTTTCATGTTCTAATTTTTTTTTTGTATAAGTGCATTGGAAGGATCATAGACCATTACAAAAGACAGCCGCAGTAAGTGACAAGAGAGAACAGACCGGCCAAGTCATGCTTATTATGTGAAAAACTTGTAAAAAATACTCTGAATTTCATCATTTTCAAACATCCAGAATACTTATTTCTACACTTCTTGATTCCCACTCACAGCCGTTTATTTTTCCCGCTGATTTCCTTTTCGTCCTCCCATCCTTCGTCACAGCCGTCAATGCAAGACACGTAGCCTCCATTCTGCATCACAAACCTTTCTGGGTATCTGGAAAATGGTTAGACCTTTTTTGCTCAATGGGAGTAAATATGCTCTGACGCACTACTTTGATTTTCATTTGGAAAAAAGCTTTGATATGGACGTGGTAAATTAACCAGATAGAGAAAAAAATAACAAACTTTAGTCAAAAATTTTGAAAATTTCTTTTCCGGTTTTCTTTCAATCAAGTTTTTTTATTTCTCACACACAAGTGCTAAAATTAACGGAATAAATTTAGGGAAAATGTGGGAAATGGCGTGTTCGAAACTTGTGGTGATGAAAATAATTGCTTGAAGTTATTCTTCTGGTTTTCGATTATATAGCATTCATATTTCGTTGGATCAAAAGTATTAAGTTCTGTAGGATTTACTTCAAACCGTTTTCCACGTTTATACCTAAACTTATTTTTTTCATACTCATGCCGTGTTCAAAGCGATTTCTACGAAATCCGAAATTATCATGACATCAAATACTATTTTTCTATCTTTGTTTGAGAAACGCGAGATTTCAATTCGAAAAAAAGGCCCCGTAGGCGTTTATCGTAGGCGTCGATAACCCAAAAGGATTATTTTATTTGAGGAAGTTTGATAAGTTTTTTGAGCTCATTTTCTGGTCTAAAGATGGCGGCGTTAAAAACTTCCTTTTCAAAAAACACGATCTGAATACTGCTGAACAACTCAACTTTCTAATCAAAAAAATATGGGATGAACTTTGTATTTATTTATTTAAACGCATGAAGCTCTTGTTCTTAATTTTCTTCAATAATCTGCATTTCGAATTGATTTAGAGATTGATTTAAAGCTTGTGCTTTTAAAGATCAAATCAGTTTATAACCAATCAACTAAACTCACCCAATCTGAATAGAAATGTACACCGGATCGAGAATCGTGTGGAAAAGGACGCACTTTCTCAAAAAAGACACCTTGAACAACTTTCTCTATTAATTTTCTTTTCAAATTTTGATAACCTTATCATTATTGTCAAGCTCTTGGTAGCCCGGCCAGGCTTGGAGCCATTCATAGATCAAGAGAATATGTGTTCGGATGCTTTTTCGGAAGGCTCTGAAGGAGAGAGGCCGGAGGTCTTCTTTGGTGTACGGCTGGAAAAGCGTCTTCAAAACACCTTCGAGACCGCATTTGGACTTGGTTGACGCCAGGCTCACTCATTCCATGTATGTATGAAATTATGAATCGGCTTTCGATCATCGTTGTTTTTTTCTTATTTCTTCCCTCTCTAGTTTTCCCGTTTTCTTTGACTGCATCGAGTTTCAATCTTCAGCCATTCCAAATGCCTCTAACATAACAAGCAAAATGAAGCAAGACAAACACAATTCGGCGTGAGTCCAAGGAGCTTCTCGACAGGACGTTCACAAAACATGATCCGACGTCTCTCGTAGAGCTTCATCTCTTCGCGAACGAGACATTCGAGGACGTCGGGTCCTTCTGGGCCCAGATATTTCGGCGTTGAACAACGGGGCGACGACGTCTGCGAGCAGTTCGGCGGCAGCCGTGGGCTCGGCTGAAAATAGAGTTTTTGGTGTGTTCATTGCAAATAAATGACCTTAATAGCTGAATTTTCGAAGACTCCGAAAATTTTGAGATTTCTAAAAATTTTGGTACTACTATAAAATATTTTCCTTGTCACCGAGTTTCAAAGTTTTCTGGTTTTTTTTTTTGATATTAAAGGTTTTACTTTTGCTTCCTACAAAAGTCAATTTCGAGAACAATAAAAGAGTTGCGAAAAATGGGATTAAAACGAAAAAATTCAGACTATCCTTCCCGATTTTTGGAAAAAACTTCCTAAAAAGTATAATTTTTCAATTTTTTAGGAGTTTTTTTTTTAATTTTAAGGGGTTCTCAGCTATCAAGACGGAAAAAAAAGGCGTTTTAATAACCTGTGAAGAGGAAAGTCTGGGACTGGATTCTGCGGTCGAAGGGGCCTCCAATTCACTCGCGGTTTCTCGGCTTTCTCGGCCTCTTTTCAACTGAAAAAAATATTCTGCTATTTTCGGATGCCAATACTATCGACGGGAGCCCTGACTCACAAATTTAAAAATGGGAAAAATGTATAAATTGGGTATGAAAATCAAGAGAAAAAGGCTTTTTTGACATTGTTATAACTTCGCGTGTCGGGTCCCCCCAGGGCGACCCGTCTCATTCGTATCTCTGTTGAATGCGCCCGACCTAAAACGATTTCCGCCCGGGACAAGTCCAAAAAATGGCACAATATCAGGTCCAAATTAAAAATGCACAAAAAACTTTCAAAAGCCATCGAAGCTTTTCAAGTCGAGACGAATGAACATAATGAAAAAGTCTGACCCCTTGGACAAGCTGCTCCTCTTTGTCGTTGAGCGCTTCGACCGCCGAGAACATTTTGTTCCTTTTGAGGCCGGATTTCGTGAAGAAACTCCGTCCAGCCTCAGGCGTTTGTCTTTTCGGTTGAACACCTGATAAATTCCGCCTTTTTGCAACTTTCAAAAAAAAGAGACCAACTTGAAGGTTTCATCCCATTTTCCGTACATTTGGTGACTCGACAGCTCCGACAAATTTGATGCATGGCTGAAAACAAAAAACTTCCTTCTTGATAAGACATTTTCCAAAAAAAGGCGAGCCTAATTAGGATGAACTCTTTTTTGAAGTCTAAAACTCTTCCTTGAAGCTGTTTGTGATCATATTTTGATATATCCATAACTTATTCCCTTCTTCAGTAAATATCACTTTTTTTTTTGCCTTTTTGGTAAATATTCGTTATATGTTTAAAGTTTCTCATTGTTTTTTCAAAAAAGTATAAGACTAAATATTCGAGAAAACTATATGTTCCATTCCATTATCATATTTTCTAATACCACAAATAAGATTGTCTAACGAAAAACAAAGCAAAAAGAAGCACAAAGTAAGAGAAATGACCTAATAAAAATATTTAAATGCACTCACTGTAGTGGACAAGGCAATCGTCGCGGCCGGTTATGCAAACAAACTGTTTTTTCATGGAAACTGTTCTTCTTCAAAAAAAGATTTAGCCAAAAATAATTTCGAAAAAAAACCTGAAGAAAGCTGCACAGGCGGAGCAACTTTGGGCGCCAAAATGGAACCCCGTCGCCTGAGCTTCACAAACGAAACATCGCAAGTTTTGACCGAGTGTTGCATCTGAAGGAAAAAAGTTACTATCTTTCAATAAAATTTCAAACAAAGTGAGATCAGATATATTTGATGGCTAATAATTCAAGTTTTGCATTTATTTAAATAATTTTATGAAGTTGTTCGAAAAAAATTTTTCGATGAGAAAATCGATGACTGATAAGATTGATAAAAAGACACTGCTCTCTAGAAAACTACCGACTTGATTCAATCAAAAAGGCTTTGATCTCTCTCGAGAGGAGTATACTCTGTTCAGAATTCAACTAGCTAACTCCGCCGTTTCTGAAACAGTTTCTTTTCGCGCCGATGTTTTATCGCGCGGGATGATTTTTTTTTTTTTCTGAAAGGAAAACAAAGAAGTCAAAAAATGCGGTCATATTAGAAAATTCATCGTCATGTGGAGATGAAAAATTTACGTGAAAGATATTGTAACTTTGGAGGCGGAATTAGCTGCTTGACATTCAAAATCTGTACAGACTATACGGCCGGCCGGTATAGTCGCGGCTGCTTCAAACAGGCTTGATGAAAAAAAAAAAGTTGTTGCGCGTATAATTATGCGTAAAGCGTGAGTTTGCAAAAGGTGAACTTACAGTAAGATTCTTATTTATAAATAACGAATAATTATTCGTTTTTTTTGTTTCGAGACACTATAGTACTATTTTTTTGAAGTTGTTCTTATATATAATTATATTTATCAACAATATCCGTTAAAGATAAACGATACTTCATAATAGTGGTCGATAAAACTTTTCAATGGAAATAGCGAGCCCAATGAAAATTGAGGAAATTGCTCAAAAATGATCGTAAATTATTGAAATATTTCATTTAAATGAAAACAAAGCAAAATAATATAAAACCCACCTTCCATTGATGGCGAAGAAAAATGTGCAACAGCGGGTTAAACCTTCTAATCATTTTCTGATAAAGCGACCGAGGAAATCAATAATCGGTCTTTTTTGAAATTCTTTCAACTGCGGGTAAACCGCTCTGTTAATATTTTATTTTTTTCAAGTCGGAATATTCAAGATTGCTGTTGATATAACAGGTGAAGTCAGAAAACATTTCGATGAACTACTCTGAACACTGCAGAATACCTTATTCAAACTCAATTTTTTTTCGTATTTTTCATTGGAGACTCCTCGTTTTATGCATTATGAAGAGAAGTTCGTAATTTTATTTCTCGAAAATTTAAGGTCGGGAGCTAGACCAACTATGGGTGATTGCCTAAAAGCCGACCTCGAGACTCATCCTTTGCTCGACTGTCCCTGCTGTTGTCGACGATTCGGTAGGTTTTGAATGAATGATAAGTTTCAATTCGATTGTTTTGCTCTGTAAACTTTTTTTGCAATCACTAATACTTGCTGTCCTGGCTCAATACTTCATTAAGAATTTTTAGAGAATTATTTTACTTAGTGAATTTCAATAAGTTTTTTTTTCGAATCTACGTTCAAAGAGAAAAATCAGAAACAACTGGACAGCTTTTCTTTTTTTTTACAATTTTAAAGGCTCAAGAAGTGGTGGAAAAGGGAGAGGCAGCAAAAAAAGGAATATTTTTTTATGGAGCCTTTTTTTCCACAACTTCATCCGAATTCGCCTATGAAATTATTAGTTTTCTAATCTAAATTAGTTGTGGTATTTTATCGATTACCATATTTTCAGAGCTCGAAGGAAAGCAACCGTGTCTCTTTGTACAGTGCGGACATTCTGTCTGCCTCAAATGTTTCAACGCAAGGTACGGTTTAAATACAGTGAGTTCAATTTACAATATTAAAATACAAAATTGAGATGAAAAAAATGGAATCAGAACCCATTTTATATTTATCATTTTACTTAACTGTTTATTTATATTTGATAATTACTTAATTATGATCACGTTTATCACAGTCTTTATGTAGTTTTTTTTTCTATAACTCGGACCTTGGTAACGGAAACCGGACGCGCCCGGAAGTTTCTGGGCAATTCTAGGGATCACTTAAGAGTGCTGACGCCGCTTAAGTGATCGCTAGAACTTCTCAGAAGAATTTTTCTTTTTTCAAGACCAGTGGATTTTTGTCTGGCCTAAAATACTGTATAAAACTTCATCTGTTTTACAAAATAAAAATAATGAGTAAAAAAAATTTGTTTTTTTAGTTTTATCAATACAATTTTATAAGTCTTCTTCGGCAAGTTATTTTGAAAAAAAAATTTGAGAAAATGTCATTTTTTGCTCTTTGGTAGTGTCTCTGTTGTATCTATTTTAAATATTTGAAACTTTCTGAAATTCCTGCCCCTTTTTTCTGAGCGGGAAACTCAGAAGAGTCCGAAAAAAGTTTGTGAAAAAGAGAGAGTCGCCCCTATGATTTGATTTGCAGTGCACAATGCATACAATGTAAAAACGGAGTGCTTCAAGACATAATCCGAAACCAGCAACTTCTCGGTAAGAAAAATATGAAACTCTCTGTAAAAAAAATTGAATAATTACTGTTCAGAGTTTCTGAAGAACTCGCGGAAGCAAAAAACGGGGAAATTCGATTTCCGAAGTCTCCGAGACCGTTTCCTCGGTTTTGGCAGGGAACTGGCCCAACTTGGTGGAGAGTTCCAGGACAAGAATAATGATCCCTGGAAACTGTTTCTTCTCAGTCTCTATGAGGCATTCCGGCTCGTTCCGGCTTTCACTTTCAGTAAGTTTTCCATTTTTCGTCTTTTTTTCTGAATCTCTACACTTTGTATAGCATTAGGAAAGGACCCGAATAACCATATTTAATTAGAAAATAAAAGAAAACTCGTCGGCAGTTTTAAAAGTTTAATCGGAACGGCACACTCAAACTACAGGCGCTTAAAATTAGACGAAAAATAAATGATTTTCCCACTTTTTTCTGTGATAACTTCCGTTTCGATCGTTTGGAGGCCATGAAAGTTCAATCATTAAATAAAAAAATTTAAAGATCGAAATTTCAAAAAAAGAAAAAAATGTTTCCAAAGCGATCCAAAAATTCGTTCAGACAAAAAAATTCCGTTGTTAAAATCTTGTTTTTTTGTTCATTTCTCCGTTCGAATAGTTTTTAAAAAGACTGCAAAGAAGTTTGCGAGAAAAAAACTTCCCAAAAAGGCCAGTAGTAGGAATTTTCAACTCAGATTTTCAATTAATATTTTTTTATAAACTACACCTACACGAATTTTTTTTTGAAAAGATCCCTATTAAGAAGAACTTTCGCGCTGTCGCAAAAAAAAATGTGTTCCGGCAAACTAAGTACCAAGTCGAATTTTAAACTTCTTTTCAACCGCAAAGCTTCGAGCCATTCCTTTTGCAATCACTGTCTTCTTTTCCCGCATGTCAATTGAGTGTTCAAAGTTTTCGTTTTTGCAAAGTATTGCTCAAGTTTTTTTCAAATGTTCAACCAATAGTGTGTAGCATAAACTACAGTGACGAATTCCATAATATTTGATATTTCCCGGTTGCGAAACAGCGAAGCCGTGTTATCTTAAATCGGAAACGGCGCTCTTAAACTTCAGGCGCCTAAGATTAGACGAAAATTACATGATTTTCCCGCATCTTCCTGTGATAACTTCAGTTTTGATTTTTTGGAGGCCATAAAAAATCAATCATCGGCGAAATATGTCAGATTATTCGAAAGAAAGGATTGAGCTTTCTCTTTATAAGCTTCGAAATCAGCTCTAGGTTTACATCATTATTATTTGATGAAGGGGACCGGAATACACGCAAACACGCACACATGCACTACTAACACCTTATTTATGACAAAAAAAAAACAAACCTAAAAATCTGCTAATTCTGAAGTTCATCCCGAAAGATTGAACTCTCATTATTTTCATTCGTGTCTAGACTTTTTGTTAATCTTTTATATCATATCGAACCACAAACTTATCGAAATTCAACCTATCGATGAGCAATAGGCCAAGAAATTGTTTGACTCATCCTTCGCTTGAGTCTAGTCTTATCGAGTTCGTCATGAACTTTCGAAAGTGAAAACGCCCGAATTCATTGGATGAGCAAAACGAAACTGGCTCCTGCTGTGAAAAAAAGTGAAAAAAAAAATTAAATTTTTTTGAAAAGAGAGAAAGCTTTTTGAAAAGAAGCCCTTGAAACTTCATTTCTCAACTTCTTCCCCGTGGAACTTATCGCTTTAATAGCGGCCTTTCTTGCGATTGAATAGGTCGATTTTTCCTGTGTTTTCTATGGTCTTTCTGATTTTTCAGTATGTAAATCAAACTAGAAACAAGCCGAAGACCATCGAAAAGACCGTGATATTTAATCGCAACGAAGTAAGGCGCTTTTATGGACCTATGATACATGTATGGATTTTTTTCTCTGACAAGGGAAGTTTCTGAGGTCAACATTGAAGATTTGATTCATACTTATGTGATAGGTAGTTCTAGGCATGAGTACTTGAAACTAAAAGGAATTATCTGCTAAGCGTCAGAGGGTACTGAAAAAAAGCTCTTCGAAAAGGAAGGGAAAAAGTTCAAAAACCAATTTTCTTCGGTTTTTTTCAGTTTCTAAAACGATTACTAGAATTTAAGATAGGAACACAAGAAATAAAATGTTTCTTCAAAAACCCAAAGAAAATCAATTTTCCAGTCTTTACTGTACATTTTCGGTGGCTACCCTGTGACGAAGTGCAGATAGTTCTTCTTGTTTTCGAGAAATCTTACCTACCTACCAAAAAAATTTGGATCAGATCTGCAATTTTGACCAAACAATTCCCTTGTAAAAGAGGTTTACGTTCAAAGCCGACACAAATTTTCGTTTACGACAAGAAAAAAAAAATCGAATTTTGAAGGCTGGCAACGCTACGAGTTTGAGGACAATCAAATGCACTGCTCCATCGCCGGACATTCCGATGTAAAGTATTTTCAGTTTTTGAAAAAAATCTTTGAAAAAATAATATATAATTTTGAAATTCTTTGAAATACTGCATACATCATTATTGGCTCGAAATGCAGGCGGAACGGCCCGAAGCGTCGCGGACGAAACAAAAAAAGCTCTCGATGGCCTCAACGCGCAAGTAGTTTTAGGTCGGTCGTGTCCGCTAGGCGTCCAGCCATTCTATATGCGATCAAAGACTTGCTAGGCGTAGGCTGCGACTCGACAGTCTTTTATTGTCTGTTTTTCTTTTTCCCTCACCGGCGAAGGCAGAGAAACAAGAGAAAAGCTCGTCAACATAAGAGCGTTGCCGAGAGATGAGGAGGGCGCAGAGAAGAACAGCAGTTTCAACAGACTATAGAACGTTTTAAGACTTTCCTTCTACGGTAGATTTTTTTCACACCTGTTTTTTTTTCCCGAGAAAAAGAACGACTTTTCAGGCAATGACGACAGACCGCATAATGATTTTGGTCGTCTGGCTTCTCTCGATCGCTTTCTCGCCGGCGTACCTCATTCGTCGGATAATCGAAATGTTCCTTCCTCAAAGGTGAGCACATTTTGAAAATTCTCTTTTCAAAAAAGAGAGAAATTTCACGAAAGCAGCATGATAAGTCGAAATTCGTGTATATGACTCTTAAGAAGATGAGGGTGTAACCGCAGTGAACTTGGACTTTTGGTTGATGTTTTCGGTGCAGCTTGCGTCGGACATGAATCACCCCGATCAAAAAAAAAAATCTTATTTGACCTCCCATAACAACCTAGGACAAAACCATAGAAAATTTTACGTTTGAGAAATTAATTTTTTTCAAATAGTCTACGAAATGAGGACCTTGATAGAAATTTAAAGCAAAACGGGGTACACCCCTGGTTAGACTTCGAGGTGTACCGAGAAATCAAAATAGGTTGCACCGAGACTTTCGTTAGAGAACATATCTAGGCAAAATGCACCGTTCGAAGGCGATATGGTGTGAAGTTTAGGAGCCTAGAAAGAATCTTTAAAGGAATCTAGAACTCCGAAAAAAGCTTCATGGGTTCTGAGAAGGTTTTCTTATCACAAACTTCCTTTTTTATTGCCCATTGGCGACAAAAATGGCTTCGAAATAACTTTATTTGCTGAAGTATTTTTTATAGAAGAAATTGGCTGAAAGTGGCATGCTTGATAGTAGAGATTTTCTCCACCGTTCTTCTGTTGGCGACGATTGTCTCGTTCGGCATCAACAGCCAGTACGACTGCTGCGCCTTGCCTCGAGAAACTTCTCCAGTCTGTGAAGTACTTCTTTTCTTCTCTAATAAGAATTTCATTAGGCTGGTTGAAAAGCAATCAGCTTCGTTGGTTGAAAAAGCTTTTTCACTAAGTTTGTTTTTCCTTTTCATAGCGGAGAAATGTTTTTATTGAGCACTGTTTCAGTGGTTTTTCGGTCTTCTAACGATTAAGGTCACTTTTTTTGCGCTTGTAATTTCCTGATAAATGGCTTTATTAATCCTTGATGTACCAAAGATGCTGAAAGTTTTAACCGGCACAAGTTTCCTCGTTTTAAGAAATGAACCTAGAAATAAAAGAAGTACATCAAATTCCGTTGAAATGAGCTATTTAGTGGCTTTTTGGCCCTTTTTCTCAAAAACTAGCAATTTCCACAGATTGAGAATTTCAGTAAAGTCTCAATGATAATAAAAAATTTCAATCGTTTTTTACCGATTCAATATAATCAATTTTTCAGCTCGGCGTCTCGTATTGGCTGGCCGTTCTATCCGCGGTCGGACCCCTTCTCCTCCTGATTCACCGGCTCAAGGCTCTCAAAACCTTGGCGAGTAGCTATACACTTTCCAAGGAAAACGAGAAATCGGAAATGATCAGCCTGAAATCTTCCGTCAGCTTCAGCAATGTCGCGACGATCGAAGTTGTTGGAAGAAGCAAAAGCCCCAACGGAGCCAGCTTTTTCGTCGAGCTCTCCCCAGAAGAACGCGAGGATTTCAACCCTGCCTTGGATGAGCCTGGTTCATTCAGAAGCCCTCAAGATGAACCTTCCTTTTTGATCAGCAAAAGAATTTTTAAAGCAAGGAAACGCCCTAGCGGAGATGACACTTCCAAGGTATCCTCTTCGGAAGGGGTTCAAGAGGAACCAACATCGAGAAAAAGCTCCAGGATAGACTTTATTGACGAACGATCCCAAGGAGAATCCTCCCGAAGCCCTGAAGATGAAGCTCATTCGTCAACTAAAGAAAGAAAAGGATCGAAATTGGCACACAGCAAGGAAGAAGGACCATCAGGTCTTAAAACTCAGTCTTCCGAGTCGAAAAACCCTTCAGCTATTGAAAAGGAACCTGAAAACGATGTTGATTCTGTCAACCGAATGCCAAGTGGCACCTTGAGTAGCGAAAATCATTCTGATTCTGGATCTATTGAATACTTCGGAGGCTACACTAGTTCATCTTCAACGACTTCACAAGATGCCCAGAATCTGGGGACCATCGCCACGATAACGCCGCCCGAATCAAGGAGAGCCTCACAAGACAATCTGTTGCCAAGACCTCCGCCCGAGAATTCCATCGAAACCACACGGTTTTTCGAAGCGTTTGAGAATTTATTAATGAACTCTGAACCATCTACATTATCCAGCACAACATTGTCGGAACTTCTACAAAGACATTCAACGGTTTCGAGTCTCCTGTCAAATATCAGCACCTCCGCTTCGATTGAGAGGAGTCATTCAGAATCCAGAAGAACGTCTCGCAGTGGCAGCAGTATTCCGCCAACGTTCCTGCATGATGTCAACTCAAACATGGGTCGAATCGGCAATCGACGCTATGAGAAACGGCCTTCGTTTGAAATGAACCGTCGGACGAGATACCAAAGACCAAGCTCCCAGTTGAGCTCGAGCAGTCCAAATTACTTCGAAACAGACTCTCCCAGCTCAACTCTGTCTTCGACAAGACTTGAAGAACTTCTTCAGCTGGGCAGGTCCAGTACGATTCGTACGGACAACTCTTTCGAGTTGAGATCACAGCGAAGTGAGATTACTTTTGAAATGGAGCCTACAGTCTCAGGAACAAATGTCATGGAGCTTCTTCAGCCGTGCGCTCCGACAATCGCTAGCGGTTCCTTCGGAGAGACACAAACAAACGTCTCCGATTCAAATCGAAGGCGGCCTTTAAGTTTTTTCACAAACGAAGCAGACACCGAGCGACGAGAGGATACCAATTCGAGCAATCGAGATGTGAATTCCGTGAGAAGACCTGAAATTTACAGTTGGGTTTTGAGATCACAACCGAACTCAAGGCTTGCATCCACCAGTTCGACGCCGTCATCAACGAGAAACTTTTTCGGGTCTAACAATTCATCATCGACGATGTCGGAAGAAATCCTGAATCACGAAAGGAACAATTCAGTTCGGATAGACACGACACAGGAGGTTCGCATCGAAATGGAGCCTCCAGTAATGGAAATCCGCTCTGAGCAATCGATCTCTTCTACCACGCGCTTATCCGAACTTGTCCAAGAAAAGGCAAGAACCATCTCAGAATCAATTTCTGATATTTCTGATGGGAACCGATCAAATGACGGGGAAGTTTCCTCAGTCGACCTCGACGAGCTCATACCAGGACCCTCTAAAGAATCTCGTAATTCTTCCCCGCTAATATCTACCGAAACAGAAGAGCAGGGCGACAGTGTAGACGAAGAACTAGATTTCTTTGGAGAAACAGAAACTCTATGTCAAAGTCCGCCGGATTCGCTTCATGGAAACGAGAGCGACGATACAATTGAAGACGAACCTGGTCCCGCTTCTGAACATCTTCGAAATGAAAACAGTTATTGGGAAATCGAGAATGAGTGCATAGACAAAAGCCGGTTTACGACAGAAGGCTGGGTATTGGAATCAGCTTCTTCCTATGAACCACACCGTGTTCCAGTCCTTCCTTATCGGCCAGGAAGACGTGAACAAAGACTGGCTTTGTCGGTTGTGAACGAAGAAGACGAAGGAGCTTCAAGTTCAGTCAGCGCTGGAAAGGAGAATGAGTCTCATAACGAAGAGAAAGTCAGCGATTGGCAAGCTGGAAAGTTTCTGACGGTTGATCTTGGAGTCGAAGCTTCAGAATCGACGACTGGAACTGGTTCAGAACCGCCAGAAGGCTCGAAAAATTTGTCCTACAAAGTTACACGCTCTTCGGATTCGAGTGAAACATCGGTGGAGGAAAGCGAAGAAGAGAACGCCGTGCAATGTGATGAAGAACAAAGGTATTTTTCTGAAGATGCTTCGGAAAGCGAATTCGGGTCCGAAGGTGCTTCAGAAAGCGATGTAGAATCCGAAGGAACAATAATTCCAGAAGATTTTGAAAATCTATAGTATAAAAAAAAAGGATTGAGTATACTCTGTTGAGATTTAACTGTTTCACTGTTTATTGCATCTTCAATGTAAGAATACATGTGCAATCGACTTTCATTGGTTTAACTGTGTTTAAACGGCGGCAAAAGCTGTGGCTTAGGCAGAGAAGTTGTGAATTTCGCTCGTAGAACATCAGGTACAAGAGCGGTCGTAGGAAGAAGTACGGTGCCGTCTTTCCAAAGGCCGATGCCAGAGATTGAGCCTTTTCTCTGCATGCAGCTTCCAATATTATCTACCCCGGAGGGAAGAAAGGCTTGGTCGACCTCGGGGGGACTCGAACCTACGACCTCGCGGACGTTAGAAATGAGTCTTACCAGCTGAGCTATGCCGCCCCTGAGATTAAGTTGTGGATAATCTTGCTCATGGATTATATCAACATCCAAAAAACAAAATTTCAAAATAGAATTGGAGGTTAATTGGAAAATATCCAACAGAGTATGCTTCAATTTTTCCATGTCATTTATTATTCAATTCATAATAATATCGATCCATCTTTTTTTACTTGCTTTAAAAAAGATTGTTAAAAAAATTATTTTTTTCTTTTTTTAATTTTTGGTGAATATTATCATTTTTTTAAATATAATTCTATAAATGTACTTGCCAATACAAATGTGTGCTTATATTGGTTTTTTTGATTCTTTGTTCAAAACAAATCCCGTCACTTATAATGTACCTCGCTGAATAGCTTCCCATTGATCTTCAAATGTAAATTTTTAATAATTTTCTCTCTTGTGTGCTTAATTGAAACAAACTTGCTTGGAAGTAAATATTTCAAAGAAGTTGCCATTTTTCGAAGAAAAAGCTTTGAAGACAGCTGTCAGCTGATGAAATCAATGTAAGTCAGTCAATTTTCAAATCACGAGAGAAAGAAGCGTTGCAATATCTTAAAATAAGTCAAAAAATCAGAAAGAAAAACTCTACGGAACTTTCAACGAAGCTCCATTTGACGACTGTGCGATGGAGCGATCTATCTTCGCTATTTGGTAACCAAGGATTTTTCATGTTCTTTTTGAATTGAAACAATTTTCCCCTCCATAATCGAGAAAGTTTTCTTCAAATTAATCACGAGTCGATCTCTCATTATGCTCTAAACCTGTTGACTGATCTCTAATACAAATATTGTTGCTTAGCAAACCTTTGTTGAGACATTTTTCATGGAAGCTTCTATAAAATGTCTCTAATTCTGAGAATGAGAAATGAAAATGAGATGGCGATCTTCTTGAAGGAAATAAAGTTTTTTCGCCGGAAATTCAATTCTAAAGCTTTCAAAAGTGGCCCCTATAGGGGATATGAATTCTATGAAGGGATCAAATTCGTCTATTTCCATTTTAATTATGGAAAAATATCAAAAGACCTCATCCTATTAGAACCGCTTGAACATTAGGGGCTCAGGGGTCAGACCCTAAACCCCTATAGGGACCACCTTAATTCCACCCATATATTGGGCACTTTTAATCTTTTGTGGAGGCTGTTTTTTCCAGTAACCCTATAGAAACCACTCTGGCGTCCACAAAAATTCCGGATGGTACGACAAAATCTCAAGTCCGCAAATCTCGATGACCGTAATCTTGTGTACGCAGATCTAAAGTCCCATAATCTTGGAAACCAAAATCTTGGAAACCACAACCTTGGAAAGCAAAAATCAACGCTTTTGCGAACAGATTTTTTCAGAAATTGTATTCGGTGATCCAAACAAGAGAATATAAGTAGATAAAGTGCAATAAAGAAGACTAAAAGGGAAGATTTTTGCTTTCCAAGATTGTGGTTTCCAAGATTATGGGACTTTAGATCTGCGTACACAAGATTACGGTCCTCGAGATTTGCGGACTTGAGATTTTGTCGTACCATCAAATTCCGTGCTATTAGGATAAATATTCAGAGTTTACTCTAGCGTAAAAAAAGAGTTGAAAGGAGATTTCAACCGAGACGGAGAAGGTGTTGTGTTACCTGTTCACCTACAGGCTTCAGTTTCCGAGAGAAACTCTCTCTCTCTCGATGAGAGACGCAGAGAAACGCCTCTGGCCGTGCCCGTGGAGCACATTTCCAGCCGTCTCCCCTCTCTCACTCTCTCTTCTCCACCTTTCACTCTCGGTTTTGCCCTCTTGCTTCGGGAGCTTTTTTCTCCGTTTTGGCCTGGCCTCAACCTGACTCATTCCGTTTCTTTTCTATCTTTTTTTCTCTCTGAAGATAAATTGCAAGTTTTATAACATTTTTCACTCGATTCGATTCAGTTCAATTCAACTATCAGTAAAAAAAGTCAAATTTTGCACAAAAAAAAAATTGCACAATTCTTCTGTTGTCAGTTTCGTGGTTTTCCTTGATTCCTTTCAAGCTATTTTTTAAAGTGAATCAATTAATTCTAAGAGATTTTTATGCCGTGTTCAAAGTAATTTCCGCGAAATGCAAAATGATCTCTGACTCTCCAAAATTTAGTGATCTTTTCCTTTCTCTGACAGCTATTTTGAATTTCGCGGAAATTACTTTGAACACGGCATTAGAGAATAGCAAAACCAAAAATTCTTCAATTTCGCTTCAAAAAAATAGAAATAATTTTTGAAAAAAACTTATTTTTTTTATAAAAAAAGCTTCAAAAGAGGCACATTCGTGTAATTTCAAGTAATTCGATGAGCCGAGGTTGTTTTTAAATTTCCAAAAGCTTCAAAAATCTACAAAAACTCGGCAATTTTTTGTAGCAGAAACTTTTACAATAAAAAATATATCGAAAGGTTTTTTTTTTAATTTTCTCTCTCTTCTTGTTTGATGGCTCTGCGATGGCGCGCAGTTTTTTGTTTTTTTTTTCTCTGAAAAAATGAAGATTTTTCAAATTTTTCGCGCTTATTCTACTCATAGTTTTAATATTGTACTAGCTTTTCATAATTTTAATCCTACCCAGTTGAGGAATAATAGCGAAAAACTTCAACTCAAAAAAAAACTTTTTTTTTCAATCTTGATCTGAGTTTGAATATTAGGACAATCTTGATCTCGATTTTTTCAACCTGAACTCTCGAACAAATGACGTCATCCACATTGGCACTGCGCCGAAAATGAGAACCAGAAGGTCACGTGTTCGGTCTATTTCCGACCCGAATTTTTCCACTCTTTACTATTTCCCCTTGACTCTCGTTTCCGCCTCTCCTTTCTCACGTCCCTCTCAGCACCTGTTTATTTTCCCATTCGATGTTTTTTTCCTTGAAAGCTTATCTCTTTCCTGAGAAAACCCGCTAATCCGAATTATTTATAACGCATTTGGTTCTTGGGACTTGAGACCTTAGAGAGGCTGGAATTTGTAGGAAAACTCTAGAGTTTGAAGCTAAACGGAACATTTTCCCATATTCTAGACAATTTCTTTTTAAAAATTGCTTCAAATTAAAAATATGTTTCATTGGGTTGATTCTCAAAATGAGATTGATAGGATATTGGAAAAATTAAAAAAGTTTCTTTTGTAGGGCTTTGAATGTATGAAAAAGAAGAATTTTTGACCAATTTTCTCGCTGAAACTTGCAGATTCACTTTTTTTCTTTCCTTCTCTGCGTCTTTCCGTTAGCCATAATCTTTCACTTGAGCTCATTTGATTGGAAATCTTTTTTTATAGCTGATTTCTCAATTATCACGCCATTTTAAGTAGATTATCGGAATAAACGTGGAAATCTGTATAAGCTAATACCCTTATCTCAAGTTGACGCCTTCAGATTTATTTTAGTACGCTTTCTAAAGTAGTGTTTCTCCATCGAGCGCTTTTTCATACTTCAAGACCATATTTTTTTTCGATATTGGAAATTAAAAATTTTTTTCGAATTTATAGAAAACAAGGACAATCCTGATTACTATCCGTCTTGGGTGAAAGCAGGCTTGTGCGAGGGCCGGCCCGTCACCCTCCCGGCCCCCCGACCAATTCGTAAGCCCGGCCCGCCCGGCCCAAAAACGCGCAATTTTTTTCCGACAAAAATTACGTTTTTTTGCTCAATTTTTTTCACTTAAAGTTTAACAAAAAAACTATGATTTCAAAAGTAAAAGTAACATTTCGGTGAAAATTTTTTGAATGAAATTTTAATTTTTTTTTTTTTTGAAGCCCGGCCTGACGCACAAGCCTGGGTCAAAGTATCAGAACAGAAAAAAAAAATTTCAACAAGACTCCACTGTACAATTGTGCGATGGCGCGCACTATCTCGACTTGAAGGTTTTCTCGGAAATTTCGAAATAAAAATTCAGGTCGTGGCTTTTTGTTTAAAAATAGAATTCGAAATAAAACATTTTCCAGCTCTATTGCCTGTCTGAAGCGCATTTTTCCATCTTTAAAAACAAATTTTTTTTTTCAAAGAGCTCAATCGATCTCTTTTTTGAGCTCTCGCGCTCTCTAACCGGATTTCGTGACCTTATCGTTGCAAAATTATGAAATACCGATCGAATTTTTCCCTTGCCCGCTCTTAAATAGCCTGTTTGGAATGAAACCGAGCCAAATTCTTATCTTTTTTGGCGCTTATCGCCTTTAATCGTCTCTTTCGGTTGTTTTGTGCCCAATTCCGTTTGTAGGCGTGTATTGACAGCCTTGAATTACTTTTTTTTTCTTTCCAAACAAAGGAAATTCCAATGTTTAATTGCTTAGCGTCATGAAATTTGAATTTAAAAAATGAAGATTAATTTTTTTTTAGTGGCACTCCGGCAATAATACGATATTAATATCACTATGGAAAAGTGTAAGAGAAACCGTGAAATTGAAAAAAAGATATCGGGCAAACAAATCCTCGACGCGATGCTTCATCCGATTTCTTTTCATTATCATCTCAAAGTGGATCTCGAGATTTGAAGCCACAATTTGACGTCATTTTTCGCAGGAAATTTCCAATTTCGTGAAAGTTTTGCGAGTTAAAACAGCACTTTCCATTTGAAATTTTGATTTTTCTTTAATTTCTACACAGTGAATGTGAAGCGCCAATTTCTTTTTTTGAATTTGCCGATTCATTTTGTTGGACACGTTGTCAAGAAAGTTGCGTGTCCTCAGGTTGAAGCTTCTAAAAAACCCCTTTTCTTCGATTTTTCGGTTTTTTTAGTTCTCGATTTTTTATAAGAAAAATCGTCAACTTTTTTTCAATTTTTTTTTCAAATCATTAAAACCATGACTTCACTTGGGAATAAAGAAAAAAAAGGAAAAATGAAAAAATGACTCTAGTACTCTCCCATGCTTTCGCGCGCAAGTCGTTCTAAGTCGGTTGCTTTCTAGTTCCAGATTCGGCGAAGGAAGTATAAGCTTGTCTGTTGAATAATGGAAAAATATTAAAATTAAAAATCCATTCTTGTTCGGTCAATATATTCTGATTTGACCTAAAGAGCTCCGAAATGAATATTTTTTTATCCATGGAGCAAAGTTATGTTGAATCTTTTTTTAATGCCAGATTTTTTTCAAATGCTTCATGGATTCTTTTTTTAGGTTTTTTTTAAAAGTATATTCCTTCTTCTAACAATATGCCCGTATTTTTGTTTGAAGCTAGGAAATTCGAAAACTATACAACATTTTCGCTGTTTCTTTCAGTTGGGAGCACGCGTGATGACGGGTCTCTCCTGACTCACAATCTATCGATCGGAAAAACTGTTCTTTCGACCTAAAAGACTGTATATTTTTCAACCGCAGCCCACCTCATTCCTGATAAAGAAAGTGTGAAGCGAATATCAATGTATCTATTTATCAAATTCATTTGATTCCTTCTTTTCCGCAAAAAAGGCTTGAAAGTTCAAGTTCAAATTCTCCGTTTGTTTCTTTTTTCTCCTCCGCGGATGCGTCAACTCAAACAACATCTTGCAATCAATGTCAACATGCTTTTTTACCATATTTTTTCTCTGCCCAAAACTTTTCCGAGCTCTTTGAAGGAGCTGTTAGGTTTATTTAATCGTTCTCTCTTGAAAGTGTCGCACTTGGAATGGCTCAGAGCGTCGCGGTCGCTTCAAAATTGATACTGGAACTTTAAAAAAATCTTTCGAATAATCACAACCTACATGCTTTTTCAATCTTGAAGCTAAAGGAAAAGTTGTGTAGTTTTTATTTCTCAACTTTTTTTTGTACTGCTTCTTTAATTAGCATGTAAAAAGTTTAGGTATGGAATGAATTCACTGGAAAATTTTCAGGGGATTTTTCGAGGGATCTTTCGACTTTTTTTTTGAGTTCTTCTTTTTGCTTTCCTCCATTTAATAATAGGTTAAAAATAAAAAAACGTAATTTTCGAATTTTCGTTGAAATTTTGGGAGTTTCTGGAGGTAGTAGAAGCTTTATTCAGTGTTTTCTGAGCCCAAAAAGCAGGTTTTTTTTTCTCGAGAACCAACGCAACGATCCAATTTCTCCTTGCAGTTATGAATTTTGAAACGGCTCTCAAAAATCGCCAAAGAACATGCATTTTTATGATCCGAATTGTCGCTTCCGTTTCATTTTTTTTCGGAAGTTCTTATTTGAAACGAAAATTTCGCAGCCATAACACTGTAAAAAAATTGCAGTTTTTTTGATTTTTTTAACTTCCGTTTTTTTTCTGAAGAAGTTTGTAATTCAACTTGAAAAGAAGATTTTGCAGCCACGAAACGTAGAAAAAGAGAAACGTATGGATCTGGCGCTCAAGTTGTTCGGCAGCGATAAGAAAAAGAAGGATAAGGTGAGGAAAATGATGATTTTCCGTCATTTTCGATTTCTCATAGTTTTAAATTTTCAGGAAAGTGGAGAAAAACGGGAAGGGAAACGAAACAACGTCAGGCCGGAGGAATTGAAACGACCGTCCAGTGCCGCCAGCTCACACTCCAACGGCGATGAGGTTCTTTCTTTCACCATTCAAATTTTTTTCGCAAAATAAATGATAGGTATTTTCCATAGATAAATCTAGGGCCAATGAGGTCCTTTTACTCATGACGCTTGCTTTTCCAAGTAAACACTAAAGTGGCTCTGACGCCATTTTAGTAGTCACTAAATGGTTCAAATTGTCCGAAAAAGTTCCATCACAGAATCTGAGAGCATTTTCCGATCGAATTTAACTCTTCAATCTGAAACTTCAATAATATAATTTTGCGCTAACTAGAAATGTTTTAGCCGCACGTGGAATGACTTTGAGCTTAACAACTGCGAAGAAGTCGCATTTTTTTTTGCAACCGACCCAAAACGACTTATGCATCTCTACGTAGATGATATTTTAATCTGCTACGCGACCGCTACTTTTTGAGCCATTCCAAATGCGGTTTTGTCCAGCAACATCAATTGCTCTATAATTTAATAATTGAGTGTCTCTTTTTCAGCTTCTCTGAGCTCAATAATATTCTCTTTTTCCGTTTCGAATTTTCAAGTTTGGATTTGATCCCCTATTGGGATATCTTTTAGTGGTTACTCTTCTAGTAGCCCTTGAGGAGCCTCTTTAGTGGCCATTAACAATTCTCCCTCTAATAAACAAGTACATTTCCCCTAGGATATTATCCGTAGCAACCCACAGAAAAAACAAAAATGAAAGGGAGTTTGCCAACCTGTCATCATCACAGACTCGCTTCCGTCGAAAAGCAAAGTCTGCCTAGATTTTTAGCCGATTGTATTCCGATCTCTTTCTCACCTCGGCTGAATCGTAAAGTATGAAGCTTCCAATTGAAAATCATTTCTTTGGCAAATTGAATTTAGCTGAAAAAAGTTTAATCACTGACAGTTTTCTATATTTGTTCCACAGTAAGACCTTCAAAAAAAAAGCTTTTAAGAGTCTATTTGGACATTTCTTCACAATAAAGCCCCAAGTTGTGTTTTTCGCCACGTCACTCCGAAATGTTAGTATCGGAGGCGAGAAAAAAATATTTTGTCTGATTCACCTATATTTGGGCGTCGTAGTCCATATCGTGAAGGTGCGTCCGTTCTCAGCAATAGAAATGTCAACTCGAAGACTATTTTTCAAGTATACTATTTGGATTTCTATCCGGCTCTCATTCTCAGTTCGGAAACTTGATGAATGATCCGGGAGTTTCTCGGGTTTTCCTTCTCTCGAGAGCCATTTTGTTTGAGTTTCCTTTTTGTTTCTGTTTGCGGATGTCCGGCGACGCGGATATTCTCCTCCTTCGGGCCGCCGCTCGAAATATCCTAAATTTGACCGAGGACAACCCCGTATTTGGGGCTGTCCTCTCATCCAGGGCCTTTTCCAAACCGGTGACCCCACTTCTGGTCGTTTCTCTTGGGAAATTGGACTTTTCGAATCTCATTATGAATTTTTTTTTAGTTGATCCTTCTCACTATGAGAAATTTAGAAGAGATTTCTTTAGTAGAAGTTGGAAATTCCGGAAAAAAAAATGAGGACCATTCTGGGAGTTTTCAATTTTTGAATCTCATCATCAGGTACTTAAGGAGCTCATTCCGACTAAAAGGGCTGTCCTTGTTCTTTTTTGGAAAGCCCTCGTTTAAAAGAGGGTTTTTTTTCAGGTTTTAGAATTTTTTTTTTGACCTTTCTTGTGCTAATTTGGTATTTTTTTTTGAAAGTCTTTAAGTCATCTTGAGTGTTATTTCAGGTCATTTAGGGTATCTCCGCTCTCAAACACCTTGGGAAAGATGTATGAAAATGCTTTGATTAATTAAACATTTAGGCAGCCATAAAATGATTTTTCTTGTCTTGTAGGAAGTGTTGTAGAAACGGTTTCGAATTGAATTGCCCAACGGCATTTTCCGGGCGGAAGTCTTCCGGTCAGGCTCGTGCCGAGTGACACCTAATCTCCATTGTTTCCTCCTCGTTTCTTCGATGGCCGCCGCTTGTTCGCCCCGCCGTTTCCTCATTTCCCGTCTTGTCCACTCCCCCTACAACCTAAACACTCGCTCAAACCTGTGCTTCTTGGGAAAAAAAAATTGTGAAGTTTTTCCCTCTTTTGAGCTTGGTTTTTTCTTTCCATTTTTTGAAACTTCCCTTACAAAAACTTTTAGGAAGAGCTTTGTTCTGCGTTAGTTCAGGTCTTTTTAAAAAATCCGGGAGGCTTCAAAAAAACCCGGGACGGTTCAAGAGCTTGACTTTGCGCACGGAAAAAAGCTCTTCGCCTCGAGACCTTTTTTTCAATCTGACTCTGCTTCTTTAAACTTTCCAGTTGAGAACTTCCAACGCTGAGTTCCTATGAGAAAATTTTTGAGAATAGCCTCGAAAAAAAAATTTCAATTTTTAAAAAGTTCAGGTTCGCAGGTCTATTTAAAATCCTCATGAATTCTCCGAATTTTTTTAAAGGTTCATACAAATCATGAAAAATAGTAAAATCACCTTTTTCTGTATTATTCTGGTTTTTTTAGATTTATAAGGCCTGTATACCTTCTTGTTGAATCAAAGCTGTAATTTAGACCAAAAACATGAAAAGTTGAACAAATCACTTTTCAAAGTAAAAAAACTACTCCTCTCTCTAAATTAAAAGTTTTTGTGAGAACTCGGAATTTAAATTACTACCAGTTGGTACTCTTGATCTAAATTTTCAATTTTCAGTGTCAAATTTTCCCCGATTCTTCAAACCTATTTTTCACGTTCTTCCTGGATTTTCCCCTTTTTTGACTCAATTTTTCGGTCGTCTCTGTGAATCCCCCCACTTCTGAGGTGTTGTCAGGTCCGGAATGAGGTGCAAGTTCTCCCGAGGACGGATCCGCGTGGCTCCGACTCGTGGCGAGCCCATCTTCCAGCTCGCCTTGTTTCTCCCCAATAAGTCTGACTATTCTGAAGATGATCACAACGACGAGAACAAGGAGAATCGCAAGATTTTCGTGATTCCGCCGTCGGTTGTCCTCGTATGTCATCTGAATATTAATTGATTGATTGATTGATTGATTTACTGATAAATCTACAAATTTTGAAGTTTGAAAAGAAGTAAATGAGAAATAAGAAGATATAAGGTTCAGAATTGAAAATTTAAAAGGTCTTTTCATAATTTATTTGACTTTCCAGCCATGCGACTTCTCCCAATACGTCAAAGTCCTCGAAGATTTCATTTTCAACACGGAAAAGTTGGGAATCGATGGACTTTCCAAGCAGTACAGGTACCTTCATTGAATAAAGATACAAAAACAGGATTTTATTCAGGAAACTCGACACACAAGTCGATCCCACGTTGTCATTCGAGGCTTTTAAGCAAAATATGAGCAAGAATCGCTATTCAGGTTCAGTTTTTTGAGTGTATTGATAGATTTTGAATGAATGGGTTCCCGTTTTGTGAGGCTATGGAAAATTTCAGACGGAATAATGTCATTCCAAAGAAGCTGGAAAAAAATTTTTTTTTGCTCTGTACAAAAATCGAATATGTCTATAAAGAGTGATAAAGATTGAAAAACGCTTGAAAAAGTTTTCGCTTCCCTAAAAGTTTCAGATTTTCGAAAATCGTAAGAGAGCTGTTAAATATAACATTTGTTTCTGACTTGCTCGACTATTTTTTTCTATTCTTGAGATCTCCTTTAAAAAATTTTTATAATATCTGAGAAGATTGGAATTTTTCTGTCCACAGAGCGCGCAAAAAAACTAACACTATCTGAGGCTAATTTTTTTCTCAATAATTGTTTTTTTCATCTTATAGCAGTTATTAGTACACTTGACACGGACTATCGTGTTTCAATTTCATTTCTGGCCGCGGCGGGGATCGAACTTGTGACCCTGTGGACCGTAGAAAAGCTTCGTCGCGTCGCAATGAAATGAATCATTATCTCCCAAGCAACCTTCAGGCCCTTTTAAAAAGAAAACTGTATTTCCAGACGTCCTGTGTCGCGATTCAACACGAGTGAAGTTGCACATGGACGCGACTCGCAGCGGCGACTACATCCATGCGAATTACGTCCGCACTCCCTACCTCCATAACGCGTTCATTTGCACACAGGTTGGGTAGAAGCTGATTGAAAATCGAAGATTAATCTTTTCAGGGCCCTCTACAGTCGACAATCAACGACTTCTGGAGGATGGTCTTTCAAGAGCGTGCCAGCTCGATTTTGATGCTTTGCAGGTTTTTTTTTCCGACGAAGATTTGAAAAAGTAGCGTTACTGTCAAGTTGGGCAGAGTGGTTTTTTCTTTTCTCAAGGTTTTTATAGATTTTTAAAGAATCAGTAAACTTATTTAAGATGTTGTTTGTTGAGAAGTTTCCAGTTTCTCTATCTAACATCAAGGTAATGGAATTAGAAGAGTTAGAGCGAAAAAAAAAAGTTTGGTGCAGAGAAAGTTATAAGGTTCTCCCATTATGCATTACTTTGCCAGTCAAAATGCGCCCACGGCCGTATCTAGTTCCAATTTTCGAATTTTCTCTTTTGATTCCAAAGCTAGGATTATAATTTTTGGGGATACAAAGTATTTTTTGATCAGTATATTCGAGAAACTTTGAAAAAAGTTTTGAGACAGAAACGTGCGCAAATAGTTACTCAGCAAGTCCGGGAGGAGAAGTGAATTCTCAAAAATTTTTTTAAAAATAAAGTTTAAGAATATTTTTTAACTTCAGGGATGTACTAGTACCGATTTTAATTTTGAAAAAACTTGCGAGGAGGAGATGGAATTCATCGAAAAATATCTGCCCAACTATGGAAACAAGCACAAATTGTTGAAACATGACCGCTTCGCAAGCCGCGACGCGATCGCAGGGCTGTCCTGCGCTCTGAATAAAGCTACCCTTTTTTCAGACCCACGGAAGACGGCCGGCCAAAGTGCGTAATGTACTGGCCGGAGCAGGAGTCGAGCGACGTCCACGGCTGCATTCGCGTCACAAACTGCCGGGAAATCGTCGACGACAATAATTGCTTTGAGAAAGTCGACCTCCTCGTCGAGCTCTCCGAACTCTGTGGTTAGTCTCCCGTTCCCGCCTCTGACAAAGGAAGAAGGACTCTAAAAGCCAACCTGGATTTTATTTTAAACTTCTCCAAACTAAACCCAGAATGTTTCTACTGGTTCCAGATATTCCGGAAGCTGAAATGCCTGAGGACCGCCGGCCGCTCAATGTAACGCTCATCAAGTGGACAAAGTGATTTTTCTTTAGGCTTTTTGAAAATTTATGGGAACTCAAAAGAGGAATATAGAAGGACCGGCTCTGAGAACTTGCTGGGAGTTTGGAAGATGTGCTTCAAAAAACCCTGAATCCAGAAAAAGAACGATTTTATCGCTTTTCAGAGTTACAGAGCCTCAAAGCTTAGCTTGAAACTTCAATTTCGAACTTTGAAATAATATAACTTTACTGGACGATAGAACAGGAAAACATTTTCGAAATTCAGATTCTCCAAAGTCTCAGCCAAGGCTTGCCATTTTAAAATTCCCTGGTCAGACGGATTGAAAAAATACGAAAGTTTTGAAGCCGCAATAAGTTTCCTGTTTTACGCTCCATCAATTTTTCATTCTTTTAAAACGAAGATAATCTTGTCACAGATGTCTTCCTAACTTTTCCACACCCCGTTTTGTAGTTGGCCGGATCGTGGCGTGCCCGACGAGAAATGTCACACAGTTCCGCAGAAAGTTCTGTCGATGGTCCGACACGGTCCCTGCGTCATCCATTGCTCGGCGGGCATCGGTCGGACCGGGTGTATGGTCGCTCTGGAGTTCGCCCACCGTCTTCTCAGTCTCGGACGGCATGTCGACTTCGAGAAGGTTTCATAATCGTTTATTTTTGAAAAGATACAGAAGAACCTTTAAGTTCCCTCGATGTTGTTCCTCTAGGTACCACTATCCCTTTCCTAAAGTTGATAAGCGTCTAACCGAAAAGCCTCAGATCGCAGTGGAGCTCCGGAAACAACGAGCGCAGTGTATCCAGACGGAGATCCAGTACCTCTACATCCACCGGGTGATGGTCGCCTTTGCCGCCGGCGAGAACGGCATTTCTCAGAAGGCTCGCGACGCCGCCAACGCCTTCCTCAACTTCTACGACGATCACATGAAACGATGAACTTCTTAGAAACACCCTTAGTATTGGAAGAAATGTAAAAAAAATTAACTGCAAGTTGGAAGTTTGTATTGATCGCGTGTAGAATGGCTTGAGCCCGACCTGAAACGACTTGCGTCTTTGGACATCCAAAAACACTAGAGAGACGCCTTGAGCCATTCAAACTGCGGTCAGGACGTTCCAAATTTTTCTCTTTAGAAGAGAAACTCACTGTGCCTGGGTCTACGGTCGTTGGGAGAAAATGATCCAAAAAAGTATATTCACTGTTGGCTTGTCCAAGAAAATAGTTCCTGGTCCTTTTTTGGGATTGTTTCAGTGTCCTTTCAAGGTCAAAATGTAAGGGTCCTGAAACGACAAAAAAGGGCTAATTTTTCACAATTTAGAAAAATGTATTTTGCCTGGATGTTTTTCAATTTTATTCAAGAAAAGTTTTCTCCACTTTTGTGTCTGCGGACTATACTCAATTAGCAGCTACAGTACGCCAAAATTTTTCCAATTTTTCTTCCGACCTCCGTTCCATCGCCTTAACTTATCACTTCATTATATAGTGCTCATCAACCAGTGGACTTATTTTTTCAGAGACTTACATATTCTATATTTTTCAATTTTTCAGAAGTCAGATGCTTGCCTCATTTATTTTCACAATTTATGTATCCTTATATATTTACTCCTTGAATCCAAATTCTGCTTATTTATGTACTTTACGGCCCGCAGCTACGTTACAAATCTAGTCGTTTTTTCCCATTGCCTCTTCTTTTTTTTCGTTTTTTTTTTGGTATTGATTGTGATAATGTGCAGTTTCTCGTCGATTTCACTTAATAAATCCTTAAAATCTGGAAGAAAGATAAGAAAAAGAAATGATGAAAGCGGAATCTTTAGCAACACTTCTGTGAATGAAGTATGAACCGAACTGCTATGTAGAATATCATTATATTGAAGATTTAAAAAAGGTTCTCCAAAAATTTGAATCGGCAAAAGAGATTTGGCACGAGTGGGGTTCGAACCCACGCGGTTTTCGCAACCAGGGGAACTTAAGTCCACCGCCTTAACCACTCGGCCATCGTGCCACAGGGTCGTCAGCACTCACCGTCAACAATATACCCCGTGCGTGTGTGGGGCGCTAAAAAGGGTTTAGTGTTCTTATGGGTAAATCTCAGCCGCACTGCAAGGCCGGAGCTGTGAACTGAGCCTCGCTGAATTGAGCCGCGGCTGAGTTTTTCATTTTATTTTCTTAGTATTATCCAAAAAAGCTTATTCCATAAAACCCAACAAAAGTCGAATCCTTCTTCGGTGTAATAGTCTCAATGGAGCGCAAAATTGCCATCTTTTTCTGCTGTTTTTGGACTCATTTCATTTTCCCCGACTTAATAAGAACCAGAATGTCTCTAAACGCAAACTTCACGGAAATTAATTAATAATGATAAAAATTCAACGTGACTAATCTTCTTACTTTTTTCTATAATCAGTCTGACGAAAAAACTCAAAACTCCTTTATTTTGATTCCAAACAAAAGAAAAACGTAATATTAAAACTTTTTGAGAAAACAAAATCGTGGTGAGAAAAATTGCCAAAAAAAAACAAACTAGTAAATATTCTGTTTACTAGCCGGAATACGTCAAGAAACAAACTACCTCGCTAACAGACATTCTGACAACCACTAAAAAACAGATTTGATAAATCTACGCCAAAAAAACTCTGTAAGCGGCAGAAGTGCACTTTTCGCAGCTCAAAGAGAGGTCCGATAGGAATCGAAAGGAACGAAAAACAAAGGACAAAAAAGACGGTTGGATTCATTGAAAAGAAGAAATTGAAATGAAATGAAAAGAGAAAAAAAAAAACAAAAATTGGAGGACGAATTTATTTCTTAGCGGCGGCGGCGGCAGCGAGCTTCATGAGGCCTTCGGTCGAGTGGGACTTCGGGCGCTCGAGGGCGAGCCCCATTCCGCGGGCCCAGATCAGCTGCGACAGACATCCGAGAGCGCGAGAGACTCCGAACAGAACCGTGTAGAACGACATCTCCGTCATGCCAAAGTATTGAAGCAGGACTCCGGAGTGAGCGTCGACGTTCGGCCAGGGGTTCTTGGCCTGGAAAAGAAACGATTTTATGGTGAATTGTTAATGAGATGAACTTGAAGTGCTCAGAGAAGAGATAAGTCAAGTCTTGAGCTTAGAATTTCGTTAAGTTTTTCATTTCAACGAAAATTATTGATTTTTGATATATGAAGCGATAAGAAAGGATCATATCCTTTGAAAATGAACTCATTTTCACAGAGAACGCTTCAAACCTTCACATCTTCGAAACAAGAAGGAAAAAAACACACAGTTTGCGTTTTTTTTTAAATATGAAACGTTGAAACTTTTATTCAGTCTTCAGAGAAGGTTTCTCTGCTGAATCATGGAATCATTGAAGAGCTGTTTGTCGGTTCGCGAAACTGTCGTTGATCAAGAGTAGAGGGCGCGTAGAGCATCTCGCTCTTCTTGTGAAAGTAGTAGACGGTTTTCGAGCTCTCCGGCGATCACTGCTTCTCCATGTAGGAACAGTACGGCGCCCAGCTTGTCCAGGGCTGGCGGGCGTCGGATTAAGGTAGAAATGAGATAATAATAAAATATGGATTCCGAGAAAAGTATTCGCGCGAGATTGCAGAGAATTCATAAACAATATCAAAAATGCTCATTTTCAGAGTTCAAATATTAAGAAAACTGAAATAATCCTTTTTTAAATATATCCATTCGGAGTGAACGAAAATATTTCGTAGAAACATTTTTGTACTCGATACTGAGACTTCTCAAAAAAAACTTTCGGAAAGTTTCCTCTATTATGATATAAAGTTTATTTCGGTACTCCGGTAGTAGATAATGTATATAATCGCAAAAAAACCTGTCGAAGGGACTTTTTTTCCGAATGAAAAAAAATTCATTTCCTTGAGCTTTTCTACTGTCAGAAGTCGGATAAAAGGCTCACCTTGCCCTGCTCGAGGAGGATGTTGGGGGTGACCTTGTAGAGAGTGGAGACGAGCTTGAACAAGTCGTCCTTGGGCAAGTGCTTGAGGGCGAACTCGCGCTGGCACTCGTACCGGGGGTCGGTCTTGCGGAGAACGGCGTGTCCGTAGCCGGGCACGACTTGGCCGCTCTTCAGGTGCTTCCAGACCCATTCCTTCAGCTGCTCCTCGCTGTAGTTGAACCCGATCTCGCCGACGATCTTGTTCAAGAAGATGAGCACCTGAAAACATAGAGGTGTTGAGGAAGAATGAAAAAATCCTCCGAGTTTTCTATTTTCGTTTAAAAAATTGTCTGCTTCCAAATTTTCGTAGTATTCAAAAAAAAAGCCAGAAAAAATACAGCCAACACATTTGAGATAGAATATTTAGCCGTAAAAAAATGTTTCTTTTAACGTTTAAAAAAAAGTTATACTGTTCGAAATAAAAACTTCAAAAGAATCACACCTCCTGGTTGGCGAGGCCGTGAAGAGGTCCAGCAAGACCTCCCATGGCGGCGGAGAACGAGAGGTAAGGATCAGAGAGGGCAGATCCGACCAAGTGAGACGTGTGGGCGGAGACATTTCCTAAAAATTAGAAAAAACTTAGGGATTTTCGAGGTCCTTTTCGAAGAGTAATTTAAAATTTTGAAAAAGCGTTTTTCTATTGATTACCGACTTTAAAAACTTTTAATCGCGATCATGATAACTTCTAAGCTTCCAGTCGTATTTTAAAAAAAGTTTACGTAACTCGTTGAATGTTACAAACTGATATCGGATTCAGATGGCCAAATAATGAAAATTTAAAAAGGCCCTCAGTTAAAAGATTGATCTTGACGATTTGAGTACACACCTCCTTCGTGGTCAGAGTGGATGACCAAGTAGAGACGCATGAGCTCGGCGAAGAGCGGGTCGTCGTATCCGAGCATGGAGCAGAAGTTGCCCGACCAGTCCTTCTTCGGGTCGATGACGCCGACGGCGGATCCGTCGCGGTACAGGTTGCGATAGATCATGGCGGCCACGGTCGGGAGCTTCGCCAGAAGGTCCATCGAGTCCTCAAATCAGCCAATTTGTATAAATTGGCGAGAGGATATACTTTAAAGGTTATTTTTAGATCAACGAATAAAAGAAACTTTCAAAACTGTTCAGGAACCACTCACGAGTTCTAAAAACTTGCAAAAAGCAATTTCTTCGATCTAAAAAGCTTTGCAGCTAAAACCGAGATCCAAAGATTTTTTTTTACAAACTGCGACTTTCAGAGGCTTGTACAGCACAAGAGTTTTTCAGCTAAACTTGAGAAAAACTTCAAAAAAATGTTCCCTTTTTTTGATTTTTTTCACATGATTGAATAGATAATCAAAAAAAGAAAAAAATTCTAAAACAATAATTGGATTTAGAACCAGAATCACAAATTACAGTTAAAAGCTCCTTTTTCCATTTTTGATGCTCAAATTCTTAAAATATTTTTATATTCCTCCTCGAAACTTTCTCGATTTTTAGATCCTATTTCTAGAGGTCAAAACCAACTTCGTAGGCGTACTCCCAGTAGGAGGCCTTCGGGACACCGCGGGCGTAGGCTGCCGCGAACTTGCTCTCGTTGTTGAGGGCGGCGATGGCGGCGACAAACTGAGCCATCGGATGGAGGTTGTCCGGGAAGTTGTCCAACATCGTGGCGACGTGGGCCGGGAGATCCGCGCGCGCGTTCCATTCCTTCGTGATCGCCGTCGTCTGAACAAAACTGATTCATGTCGTTATTTCGCATATTTTTTTAAGGAGACAAGTAAACTCTGCTTTTAATGACTTTTATGACTTTTATGTATCTATTTCAGAATTTTATGATTTACTGTGATTAAATTTGTAAATTCTGAAAAAAAAAAACCGGTCGGTAACGAGCCGAAAACTCAGAAGTTCAAATACCAGTTTACCGAATTAAAAAAAAATCAACTTTGCAAGCTTCTCCTTCTTCTATCTCACATGTAAATAACGAGCCTGGAGATAACTTTTTCCACTTCAATTTCAACAACTTTGGTTTTTAATACTATCAAATGACTCTGAAGTGTAGAAAGAACATCAAATTTTTTTAGCCCTTTGTTAAGTTTTCGAAAAATTGCCAAAAAATTGGATCCAAAACTCATGGATTCAGAAACAGTTTTATCCGTGTTTCAAATATGCGCCGCACCTGAGCATCAGTCGGGATGTCTCCGGTGCAGAGGAGCCACCAGATTCCTTCAGGGATCGGCTCTTCGCCTCCCTTGGCCTTGGGGAGGACCTTCTGGCACTCGGGAATCGAGTATCCGCGGAATCGGATTCCTTCTTCAGGGTCCAGGACCGACGTCTCCGTCACCATTCCCTTCATCGAACGCATACCACCGTAGATCTGGAAAACATTGTATCGTGAGAAACAAGCTCATTTTGTCCATTGATGAGATTTTTTTGAAGTAGTAATATTTTTGAGCTGAAAAACATCCATTTTTTCCAAAGCTTCTTCTACAAATCAAGTTTTTTCCGAACACCTTGAAAATCATCATTTTGAACTATTGAGCCTACAAACAAAGCTGAAAAAAATAATGTTCCGAAATTGAATATTGAACCACTTCCCACAAAAAAAGAAACGTTTTATTTCTCTTGATCAGTACAGTACACCTTTTGTTTTCAAATCTACCAGTATTTCAATTTCCATACTCTGAAAAAAATAAAACCATTCGTCACACGAAATAAACAATTTTTTTCTATAAAACTCGAGTTCACACCCAACACTTCGTTTCAATCAAAAAATTCAATTTCATGTTTCCAAATAAGATTCGAGAAACAGTGAAAAGAGATAAACAAGTAACCATGTCGATGGTGACGTTCTGAACGACGGTGTTAGCGTGTTGGGAACGGAATTCCTTGACCTGGAAAAGTTAATCATATTATTTTCCCTTTTGGAGTTTTTCTGAAACCTTGGCGTTGTGAGCTGGGATCTTTTTCGACAGGACTTCCTTCAGGTTGGTCGATCCGTCGGCCGAGGTGGCGAAAGGAGCCACCGACTGGCAGGGGAGGACTCCCTTCAATTTATTATGGTTGTTATTATTTTTTATAGTGTTTTCAATGTGGCCGTTAGGAAAACCGCGTAACTTGCTAAAAGTGATTTCAAAGTATTATTTTTTTTCTAACCATCTAAAAGAGAATCCATTCTTCCAATATCATGACACTATTTTCCTCTTTCTCTCAAAAAAATTGATCCCAACTCTTTAGGAACACTTTTGAGAGAGATCAATCGAGCAACTGTTTCTGAGAAATCCATCAAGCCGCTTCCACTAACTCTTGCAAACTTATATTACTACGAAAATTTGAAAATAGCCTTTTTCTATTGAAACAGTTTGGCTAATTGAATAGATAGATAAAGAAAAACTATTTCATACTACTGTTTCTAAAAAAATTGAAAGAAAGTAAGTTTATTTTCAATCACTTTCACTGAAAGCTTTTCGTGATGTTTTCTCGATAGATCTATCACCCTGAGGTTTTTTCCTTTTATTTTTCATTTTCCAATTTTTTTTTTGCTTTTCAGAAACCTTGGCAACAATGCGACGGAGCACAGATGCGGACAGCGACATTATTATCGGCGACGATGGAAATGAAGCAACACGACCCAAGTTCCTGCAAATGAAATTCGATTAGACGTTATATTCAAATTTCGAAAAGGTACGTGGAACGGGCGAAAGAAAAGAGGAATCGTTGAAGAGAGAGAAGATTGGAACCGGAAACAAAATAGAGTATAGTTCAAAGAAAGACGGGGACTGTTCAACCAAAAAATTCTCTTTTGTTAACTTCTTTTTCCATTGGAGCGCAAACGAGGCTATTTATATTTCGCTTTGGAAAATGAGGGTAAGAGAATCTTCCTCAATCGTTCAAATTGATCGTAATTTTCAAAAATAAAAACTTTTTTAATGGTGTTTGTGAGGGCTTTAAAAATATATATTACAATGGAGAAACGAGAAAATCAATGATTTCATACAAATAAAATACGCAATTTTCTGTCTGTTTCATTTTTTTCTCAAAAAGTCGCGAAGGACGATTCTCAAAAATTATGATTCAGTTTAGTTTCGGCTTTAAGTGAGATTTTCGAAAACTTGAAGTCTGCTATACCCTTTAAAACTAAAATTCCATTATTCTTTTTTTTTTTACTAAAAACTTGAATTTTGAAATTTTTCAAAATTACTCTTCCGAGACCTTCATAGAGACAGTTGAATTGAGATGATACTATCTGTATTTGCTTTGAAAAGTGAGATAAGCAAGTGGAAGTCATGAGTATCAAGAATATATAACTAATAACTTATAACTGGCAAAAGATGAATTCTTCCAAAAATGTAGGAATTTTAAACGATTTTCAACCAGACCTTTCAAGGACAATGAGACTATCTATATTTGCTCCAAAGATTAAGATAAGAACTCCATCGACAATACCCAAAAAAGTACTAAATCATAATGCAACTGTGAAAAACTTGCCTTTCGAAGGAACATGGAAAATGGAAGACTTCTTCTAATTTTTTGAAAAACTTGACAAAATGTAATTTGAAGCTTTAAAGTCATGAGAACTTCCGAAAAGGTTCAATAAAACGGCAATTTTTTGAACAAAGAGGAGCGATTATTAAACTCTCGACGAAAGGAGACCTCTGGGAGGTGCCTCTTCCGACGGGCGGTGCACACGGACGGCTGCCGAGCGAAGGACAGAGATCAGAGAGCGTCGAATGACGTGGCGAACAGTGGAGAGCGCCAGACGCAAAAGTAACGCTCCCCTCGCAAACTCAATCGGCAACTTCGCAGTAAAAAATTGCGTTACGGATTAAAACTGTCAGAGTTTCCTACTGTTAGCTTTGTTTCCCCCTCTAAGTAGTCTCATTTTAAATCTGGATGTATGGAAACGTTGGTCGAAGAGAGAACAATTGAATGAGGCTTCGAAAAAAATTATACTCTCAACTTAGGTTTAGGGTTGTCGTGATTCTATTATTTGAATAAATTTATGAGTTCGATATATTTTTTTCACTTTTCTTTTTGAACTATGATACATTTATTGAAAAAATGGTCGAATGAAACTTTAAATTTTATATTTACTTCACAGCTATCTTTAGAAATAATTTTAAAAAATTGATCTAAAAATAGGTAAGTCTAAACGAAACCGCAAAAAAACCCTTTTCTTCGTTTTTTAAGTTTTAATAAAAAAATCTAGACAAGTTACAGGAAAAAAAGCGTTAAAAAACTTTACGACAACGGCCTCAATAAATCAATTACTAAACACCTAAAAAAAAAGGTGGTAAAAAAAACTTCAAAGTCAAGTAAAAAAAAAAGGCTTACAGCTTCTAGAGGCACCTGTCAACGGTAATATTTCGAAAAACCTACTCTCATCTCTGTCCGAAACGACTTCGGAAACTGATAACACGAAATATAGCGATCTAAATCAATGAACGATGAGGAGACGACCGTTGTCGCCATAGGTCAATGTCACATTGTCGGCCGCACTCTTTTCGAACTTTCTTTTTTTCATACAGATAAGGAGGAAAGAAGTTTCTGGAATGCTTCAAAATCAAAAAATAAAATGAGGTAGAGAAAATAGGAACTTCCTGAAGTTAAGATAGAGTGATTAGAAAGAGAAGAAATTTTAAAAAAAAAACTATCCGATTTTGAATCAAACTTCCACATTCTTTGAAAAAGTTTTTTTTTAAAATGCAGCAAAATGAAACTCGTGACTTTTGGCAAAATTTCCACTCAGATACGATCTCTAATGACGTTAGTATTGGCTTTTTCACCATTTGCTCCGTGATTTGAGCAAAGAAAGCCGCAGAGAACGCCCTTCTGGAACAATACCTTCACAAAGAACGCTCAAAATCCGAAAATCATATGATAGAAGGTCAAAAGCAAAGTCCAAAGAGCCTTTTTTGTAGACCTCATACAGTTAATATGTGTTTCTTCAAAATTTTCCTCGAACAAAGTGCAAAAAGCTTCTTTCCACTTTCTGTTAGTTTCTTTTTCAACTCCTAACTTCTGGAACAAGCGAATCCGAATGGGTGCTAGGAAAGCTTTTAGGCATTTTTGATAATTTTTCTATCTTTTCTCGATATTTCCAGAATAATATTTATCAAATTATGTCTCTCATGAAGCAAAAAAAAAAACTATCAAAACAGATACCATGTTAGCATCGAAAATACTTCGATTTCAAACTTTTGCATAATCTTCGACTCATTTAAAATTTATCAAACAGTTAAAAAAATTGAAAAAAATAAATTTAACTACTTTCACAACGTCTTGAACTCCTGTTTTTTTGATTCATCGCCTATCGTTCAAACAGGACAGAGAAACAGGGGTGAAAGTACAGAATAGACGGTGCGAGAAGGCCACGTGGGCCGCGTCGACCGCTTTAAAGAGCGATCAGTTTTCGGCGCAACTATGACCTCAGAATATGCAATAAGGTAGAAAATACATTCCTGTTTCAAATTGATGTTTTTTTTTCACTGAAATCAGTTCTTCCCGATTTTTGTTTTCTTATAGAACCTGTTTTACATTCGAAAGAGCCAACAATAATGAACTAATAATGAGTTTCAGGCCTTCCTTATTTTTAAGAAAATGCCGGAAAACGATTCTCCACTTGATTGCATACATAGTATATATACAGCCTCGAAACTGATAGCTTTGAAGTCGGGAAGAAAAAACCGTAGATTTGGATACAGGTGATAAAATCAACGTGACTGTCTTCTTTTTAGCAATAAAAGACTTGGCGTTAAAAAATGCTTGTTTTAAATAATTTTCAATAATTCTGAACAAAATCTAGAAAATTTCATGAATAAATCAACGAAAAATAACCATCAAAGAGATGTAGAAATGGAACTTCGACCAAAAAAAATCAAAAAATGACACTAATGAAAGAAAAATTTATTTCAGGCAAGATTCACATGAAAATAACTAAATTATCTACAAAGGTTTATTAGTTAGTCAGAAGCAACAGCATAAACTCGTTCATCGGTTTCACCGGACAACGATAATCATTTAAATGGTGAGAATGTGCAAAAGAGCGGATCGAGAGGCATCTTGCCGGGCCAATTTCTCATCCATGCCTTCGCCGCCGAAGACTATCTCAGCACTGTCTTCTTCGCGTCGACGTTCACGTCTCTCCTTCTTTTCCTTCTCGCGCACAGATTCTTCCGATTTCGAGAACTCAAATTTGAAGACTTTCCTTCTTTATTAAAAGAAAATAGGTTTATACATAGAAACCATTCAATTTCGTCTACAAGGCTTCAAAAAGAAATATATCTTTTCGCAGTTTCAAAAAAGGAGCGCAAAAAGCTTCTCTTTTTTTCCCTTCTTAGTCACGTTTTTTTCAAACAAATTTTGAGCTATATTTTTTTGACGCTTTTAAACATTTTAAAAAGGCTTTTTTTTCTACGTAGACCATAAAAAAAGCAAAAAAATCAGTTAAAGAAAGTTCTTTTTCAGGTATTTTAAATCAAGCTCGTAACTTTATTTTTTTAGTAAAAAAATAGCAATAAATTATGAAAAATGAGAGCTCCTTCAAGTTAATATGAAAATTCGAGAAAAAAAATCCGGAAAATGGCAAAATCGCGAAAAATCCTTCTTTTACACAGTCATTATTCTCTATTCAAAACTGGTGCAATTTTTTTAAGAACTATGAAAAAAATTTTTCAAGAAGGTTTTCAGTATTATTTCCTATTTATTAAGACTCCAACATATGTTTTGATCAATATATTAAATTAAATTAAATCAAATAAATTAACCCTTCCTAACTTTTTTTCAAATAAAAAAAACCTCATTTTTCTTCGACGGGAAGTGGGGTTAATTCCAGTTTGGCGCACAGGATACACTGTGTTGTATCTGGAAAAAAAACGACATGAGAATGAATTTGGAATCTTTCTCTACCGTTTGTTGACTTAGATGTCAAGAAAGAATAATCGAGGTCGAAAGAGGCGAATTTCGTCGTGTCGGACAGAATGGACCTCAACGCGGCTTCGTAGTCTGTTGGCGTGGAAATGACGGCGTCCGTTTTCTCGACGTCAACTTGCGATTTTTCCGCACCAGGTAGAACATCTGTAAACAAAAACCTGATTTTCGAGGTGATTCCGAAACTCTAACCAGGGCTCTCGTCAAGGGCGTCTCTGTCCATGGACTCCAGATCGTCTCTCAATTTTTTCGACATCAAATATGCAGAAATAGTCTTGGCCGTTTTCTTCGTTTTCGCACGTCCTTCGGTGACCAATTTGTTCACCTTTAATAACAGGAAGATACTATGGAACAGTAAATAAATAGAAACCGTGCACTGCGCGATGAAAATTTTCTCGTTGACGCCTTCTTCTGTGAACTCGTAGTTAACCGATATTTTATTCTTTTGACATCTGAAAAATCCTCTTCTTCTGAGAAAACTGTTGGAAAATTACAATTCTTGGACATCGCCAACCCAATTCTTATTCGCTTCTTCAGGAGGAATCGAAGTCGCTGAAATGGGTCCGACGGTTTTTTCTTCGACCGCCGAGCTTGACTTTTGTTCTGGGAGCATCGCAGATGGTTCGATCAACTTGGCTCTGTGGAAAAAGTCCTTATGAAAATCTTCAATAATAATCCATACATATTGGCCTTGGCTTCTTCTTCCGTATCGCCTGGAATCAAAAATTCCTTGTGACGACCGTTCTCGACGACTTTGTACAAGAAATCAATCGCGGCCCGGTGCTTGGCTTGCTTTTTATTCGAGCCGACCCCTTTCGCAACAATGGACATCATTTTGCCCGTCATTTCGAACTGAGTTTCCTGAGAAAATTCTTAGATGGTCCAATTCTAAGAGCTTACACACATTGCCGATAACATTTTCGGCAGTCATTATCCAGTCAAGTTTGGTTTGATAAACCGCTTGACATCCTTCTTCGACAAGGGCGGCTGGGGTTTTCTGAAATTCTGTATTTTTTAAATACCGCTTTCAGGATAATGGATTTATGCTACTGAAGAAAAATTCTACCTGGAGGAAGCTTTCTAATGAGAAACGGCTTTTATTGACTTCTTTGGTACCATAGAGTTTCGGTTGAAAATACGACGGTTCTAATATTCGAAGCTCATCAATAGATTTGAAAAAATCATCAAGTTTCGACATCTCTGCAAAACAAAAATAAACGAATTATGGACAGGGAACTAGGCCAATAATCATTCGAAAATGTATCCAAAACTGAATCATATCAAAAAAGCATCATATGTTTTTTTATCAATAAAAAAATATATATAGGAAAAATAACAATTTATGCCGGTTTAAAGTATCCGCGAAAATCAGAACAGCCGGCAGAGAAAGAAAAAGATAACTAAACTTTGGAGAGTCAGGAATAATTTTGCATTTCACGGAAATTACTTTGTGCCGTGGTTAAAGTAGGTTCCGCCAAATTCAATGTTATTTCTGACTTTTCAAAACTTATGCCGTGTTCAAAGTAATTTCCGCGAAATGCAAAATACCCGTTAGAGAAAGAGAAAGACAACTAAATTTTGGAGAGTCAGAGATCATTTTGCATTTCGCGGAAATTACTTTGAACACGGCATTAGTTACCTTTTTGAAAAGAGAAAAAGCGGAAAAAGAGCGAGATAGTGGCCTAAATTAACACTAAAATGGCTCTTCGTGCCAAAGGCACAGACAAGAGTTAACCTGCGACCCTTTAATTTATATAATTTTTTTTTACATTTTTTTCTTGTTTTGATTGCTTTTTATAAAAGCTCGTATCGCATTACTTATTTTCCCTTTCAGTTGAATACACTGATTATTATTCGCTCTCAAAGATCTGTTAAAGTTTTCTTGAACATCCTAACTGTTCAAAAGTCTTCAAGGAAGCCCATTGGCGCCAATGGAAAAGTAAAAAAAAAAATTTGATTTTTGAAATTTTCGAATGTTTGAAAGCAAGCAGAAATGAGCAAAACTGCTCCCAGGAGAAGGGAATGCAACACGGTAATGCCCGTTCCAAGTGCATTTCGCTTTTTTTTTCTCTTCTTTTGCAATTATTTCATAAACAATAAAAAAACATGAAAGTTAGAAATTCTAATAGTATTTAATAAAAATTACTTCAAAAAAAGTTCGCTATTTAGTTGAAATTTTTAACTTTTTCTTTCCTTTTTTTAACCAATTTATATCTTCCAGTTTCGTTTGATGTTTTTGTCGCGAATTCAACTTGCGGCCAGGGTACGAGAAGATCGAAGGCCGCTTTACCGTCGAATCTTCACTAATCGGCGATTGGACGTAGCTCATAAAAGTTAGTTGATCAATTAAGTCTTAGTTTTCCGAACCTTCCTGATCTTCCAATGACTTAAAATTTCAATTGTTATTGCAGCTTTTGTACGATCAATATTGGGTTTCATTGTCTTCAGTACCTCTTATTGTATCGTGAACACCGCTATTTATTACAAGTGAGTTTTTCTTTTCAAATTTTATCAAAAAGTAAAATATAAGATTTCCATTATATTTCTGTAGTTCTATGAATTTGGTTTTTCAGGTACGTTCGTCCACTACGACAGGAAGAGCGGGAAATTTTGGAAAGAGAATTGATTGAAGCTGATCGTGCCGGTTTCAGTATTAGAAAGTATGAACATGAATGCATTTTATTTCAATTAATCACCTTTTTAGATGAATCGGCCTTTTTTTCTAAGCTTCTCGCGAGGCTTTCCTCCCGTTGGGAAGGCATTTTTTTCTCGTTGGTGCCACCGCTGGAGCCGGTTTCGAACTCTTCAAAATTTACTTCTCTTTCAATGGTTTGCGATTTTCTTTTACTTTCTAAGTGAGATAAGTTTTAGATAATATTTCAATGGAAGAAGATAAGCAAGACTTTTTTTTAAAATTAATCCTACTGTTGTTCATTTTTTCTTTTGAGTTGGTTTTCGCTAAGCGGGGTCTCTTCGAAATGAAATGGATAGGTATGCAAAAACCAGGCTCTAATCAGATTTTTCATTATCAGAATTTCGTAGGCGGGAAAACTCGATCATTACATTTCAAATTTGATAAAAAGGAAAGTTGAAACAAGGCTATATATTTTCGAAAAATATTGTTTCATTCTAATTGTATGTTTTTTTCGTATTCCTTTGGAAATGAAATGTTTATTTCGCTCACAGAAAGATCTTTGGCATGGAGGAAGAGAACCATGAAAGTTATATTTGCTTTTCAGAGGTTTATATGAAAAAAATATCATGCTTCAATTTCTGTAAAGATTATAAAACGTTAGGATGATTTTTGAAATTCATCATGAATTCATTCTTTGAGTGTAAAGCGATTGAAAAACCGAAAAGCTAGAAGAAATGAATCAAACCTTTTCGAACTGTAGTTTTCTGTAGCAAACCTTGTAAATCAACCGTCTGTGAGAAAAAAATTTAATGAAACTATTCCGTGATCAGGAAAATTGCCTAATATTGTTCTCTTTTCTTGGATAAAATGACGAAATTCCGTCAGAAAAACACCGAAAAGTGGTATTTCTGTTTTAGATCGCTTCCAGTAGGATATTGTATAGGAAAAAAAGATGAAAGGTTAAATTTTTCTTACAATGTTATTTATGATCGATCTTCAAGTTTAATAGAGTAGAAAAAAATCAAAACTACTGTTCATTTCAGGATTTTTGGTTATTTCTCCGCTTCTTGAACATTTTTGAGCTCAAGGATATTTCCAGATGTGACAAAGAAAATTAATTAATTTAAAAGTTTTTATGAACCTTATATTTTTTCGGAAAAAACGCTCTCTGAGCTTTTAAAAAACGGAATATAATTTATTAACATCAACTTGTCTCAAATTCATTCTTCTCGCTTCATCTTGAATAATGCTTCTCGAATGATTTTCAGTGTTATTATCCGAATTTCAGGCGTCAACTACTACAGCGTGTTCAAAAAGAAGCAGCTGCAGAAAGAACTGGACGCCTTCGAGCGACAATTGAAGGATCTCGACACGATTATCGCCACCGGTCGGCCTCAAACGTTTTAGCTTTTTTCCTTTCCTTTTCTTTTCTGTTTTTTGCCTTTTCGCGCATTTTTCAGTGTGTTTTCGTGCTCAATCGTTTGTCAAATTCAACAATTTCTTCTCGAAAAAGTTCTTTTTGTATCTAATTTATTCATAGTTGTTATGTTCATAGAAATATATGCTTATTCCTTTTTAGAATTAGCGCCTAGGCTTATCGATTTTTTTGTTAGAAAAATACGAAGTTGTTTCCTAAATCTCAGTTATTTGTTTTTTTCTGGACGATAAAGTTATCTCCCTTCAATCTCATAGCAGATAGTTGAAAAAATTGATAACTTCAAAAAATAATTTAATGAAATAATAACAATCTTTATTAGGTTGAAGCAAAAAAATTGTAAAAAAACACTTCATGATCAGAACCAATTAAATATGTGAAGTTGAGCAGTATCGCTGTTGAATATAGAATGAACAAAGACGAATATAAATTATAGTCTATGAAATTATGCAGCTTTGAAAGACAATCAAACAATAATCAGAGGCAATAGGCACAAGGGGGGTTTCGGAGATATTTGAGGAGAAATTGAGCCGATAAAAAAAACATCCGCGGCTCAGTTTTCGAGGGAATATGTGATATCGAGGACTAGAAGGGGTCAGGAGAACCGGAAGCCTATGAGAGTTGGGACAGAACTTTCAAAAGTTTGTAGGGATTTTTGTAGAATCAGGACAAGACATTTGAACACTTTTTGAACTTTCAGGGTAACTATGCCTTAATCGATTTCTCAATATAAAAAATGGGTTTTGAAATCAAGGAAGAGGGGCGAGTTGCTGAAGTTGCTGGAACTGGGACCGCAATTGGCGTTGCTTTTCTGCTAGTCGTTCCTGGCGTTCCTCGAGGTCTTGTCTGCAAATGACGGACGTTTTTCTTCAATAATTCTACTTCTCATTTTACAAAACATTTTTGAGTGTCACTAGTTGATAAGAATGATAATTCAACCAGAACTTGCCGGAGAAAACTATTAATCGCGATTCAAAGTTCCATTAAATCGAAAGCACTTTCATTCATTTTACTAGTTTAACTGATACGGGAACATGATTTCTCAAGTACTTTGGACTGGAAATGGGAGGAAATTTGAAAAAAAAGACCTGCTATTTCAAAATTCTGAATCAGAAGCTTGAAAAGGTTTTTAATTTCGTTCAAAGTCCAAAATCAAAAATTGTATTCACGTAGCGTAAGGACGATTGGGCTGAAAAGAATACGTTTCTGGTTGAATTTATAGTGAGTTTGTTCGTTCAAAGACCATTTCTTTTCCTAATTCCTCACACAAATTCGATACAAACTGAAAAAGCTGAAAAGCTGGGTTTTGATTAAACATTTAAATCTTTACAATTTCCTGAAGAACGAAAAAAGTTGTTGGTCAAGTTTATTAATAGATCTTGCATTCTTCTGTAAAAACCGTCGATGGGTGTAGGCCGCACCCCGAGGTGGGATCCAGCCGACGTATGATTTAGTTTTAAAAAAAAACCGTGACTGCTGAAAGAGTGAAAAATTTCTGAATTTTGATCCGATTCTTTTTTTCTTCTCAAAATCTTCACGAAAACATCTGAACGATATGCACCTCCGATCGGCCACAGCCGACTGATCCGGCGCCGGAGAGGCCCTTCTCGCGACGTCTTCAATCAAACTTTTGATCTGCTCGGGAAGTTCCGGCGGCTTTGTGAACTTCTGCCGGACGTCCTGCACCGAAAACCGACTCGGCGGCCTGGGAGGCTGTCCTGGTTGGCCGACCTGAAGTTCATGTTCCCGTAAATCGTTATTTTTGGAAGAAAGTACTTGTTAAAAAGCGGTCTGTTAAGGCGATTCTCAGAAAAAAAATCATAGCTATTTTTTATTAAAAAGTGAAAAAGCAAAGGATTTGGGATCACACACATAAGTACATGTATTTAGAAGCTATTCTAAAAAAAAATAGTTAAAGTGAATGGATTTCAGAGAGTATTGAAAGAAGAGAGACTCCAGACCAGAAATTTTCGCTATCTTTCTATCCAGCGCTCTCTAACTAACTTCTCATAAAATAAAAACTACCGCTATGAAAGAAAGAGAGAAAGAAAGAGGATAGATTACAGAGAGCTAAAGAAAAAAGCGAGTTGTCTCGTTGCTCTCCAACTTTATTCATCTCGATGCTCTAGAAACGTTCTGCGCTCTCTCAACTCAGTGGCGTTTACGTGCTGTTTCCATTCTCCTATTGGAGAGGGAAAAGAGAGCGCAGACAAGCCAGACAGTTTGATTTCCAACAAAGGCTTTTAATGAACTAATTTCAATACTAATTTGCGGCACACAACAGAGGGATCGAGCTGAACCTCTTGCAGGACTCCGTCCAAGGCGTCGGCGGGCGTGCGCGGGGTGTCGTCGGGGATCGGCGGCAGAATCGGCGCCGCGTTCCTCGGCAGAGTCGGTGTGAAGGGCGCGGCGATCTCGCGTTCCTGCAGGCAAGAACAGACGGTTAGCGATGGGGCAGAGAAGCTTAGTTGTGCCGCGGCCGTTTATGCAACAAGAACTTTGACAGTTGGCGATACAGAGGATAGAAAAGGGGAGAATGAAGACCTGAGCTGGTGGAGGCGGTGGTGGAGGAGGCGGAGGTTGGCTGGCTGCCAGAGGAGAAGGTCCGTGGACCTGAGCGGCAGGGTACTGGATGGCTTGGGACGGATGAGGCGGTAGTGACGGTGAAGATGGCGCTGGCGACGGTGCGTCCTTCAATAGACACTTTTTTCGTGAAAATTAAAATAAAGAGTACCGTCAGAAAAGATACGAAAAAACTGAGTTTTTGTCACAACTTTCTTGTAAGGAATTCACTCTTTCTGAAACTTTCTGGGGTTGTGATGATCGTCATTTTTAACCCTCTGATGAAGTTTCAGTTCACAGAAAACAAAAAATGCAGCTTTAGAATCTATCAGGAAGATTGAACTCCTTACAAGGAAGGTTTTCTCGTATCTTTTCAGACGGGACTGTACTTCCCAACCGCATCTTGGAAAATCTGAAGCCGTATGCTCCAAAGTTTACGCAGAGAAAATTCAAACCCGTAAATAAGTTCCCAGGAGCCAAAACTTCCATTTCTACGTTTAACTAGCATTTCCAGCTTAAAAATTTGCGAATCCGTGAAATATTGAAATTTTTTCTTCTCGAAGCTCATTTACATTTTTATTAACGTTCATGCACATTCCTCTAGCTTCTCTGCGCCCTCTTTTCTCTCACCATTTCGATTTCTATAAGCAGTTTCTAGTTTAATAGACCATTTCAATTAGACAAACGTTTGGAAAGGATACTTTTTCTTTTTATAATGAAAGAAGTATAGAAAAAACCACACAAGAGTGTGGAAACTAGAAAAAGGCGAAAATTGAGTTTCGGAAGTCGATTAAAAAATGGGCCATTATTAAAACCCAAAAAATGTAGACAAAGGTGTCCGTATACATTTTCAAGGTTTCAAGGAATTTACTTCCAATCGACTGTTTGAGAGTTTCCATAAGAATTTCTATTTTTGAAATCAAAGAACTATCATTTTTGGAATCTTTTTTTTTGGAACCGAAATTTTAAGCTTTCTTCGTTTCTCTCATTTGCTCTTCACCTTTCGCGCTCTCTGGATACTCGGGTCCTGGACCATCGCCAGCTTTTTCATCGTCACCATAATGTTAGCCAAGGCTTTGCACCTGAAATTCTCTTTTATTCATTTTTCCACTGGAACGGACCTTCGAAGGCTTTGGTCGACGGCGGCCGTCTGGTCGCGGATGAACTTTTCCTCACGAACGACACGTTCCATGTCTTCTTTGATCCGCTTTTCAATGTTCTGTTGGATTGGCGGGAAGTCAGCTGAAAGATTTGTTTGTTATTTTCGTTTTTCATCTACAAGTTCATCCACAGTTTCGTAAACCGAGGAAAATATTTTTCATTAAAAGACTTAGCAGAGAATCTTCTCTGAAGACTGAATATAAATGATGAATGTCTAAGTTCATCCAAAATATCTTTTCTGAATAATTAATCAAGACAAGCTTGATTGACCAATTGTCTCTAGGAGAATAAAAAAAGACATGAAAACGAAGAAAAAATCAAAGTATGTGAAACCGTTTCGAGTCTTAAAGTTCATCGAAAAAACAAGTTTTAATAATCGGCTGGTCCAATAAAAACTTTCGAGTTGAATATCAAAACCAACTTTTGAGAGCCGCGGCGAGCCTGCCGATTTCGGTGAGTTTCTCGGTAAGTTGTTCGACTTCAGACATTCTCAGCTTCTTGTTGTTGGTGAGGACACTGCCGCGGACGTTCTCGACGTTCTGCTCGAAACTTCTGAAAAAATTTATTTCCACCTTGATTTTATGAAATTTGAATTTGATCAGAACGGCTTCAGATACACAGAATCATGGCAGAAGCTTTGAAAAACTTTGGAAATAATAAAAAAAGGTCTTTCTTTGATTTTGATCAGAACCTTTTGAACCAATTTAAAAAAACAATGAAAAACGTTCGAACAGGGGCAGAAAGGCTGTAGAAAAAAATGATCAAAAAAATTAGTTTATTCAAAAAAATCATCTACTACTTCAAATATCTCGCATTTTGTGATTGAAATTAGATTAAAACTTGAAATCTTCAAATGGAATCCATAAGCTCGTAAAAAACAGTTTTTTTTTCATAAGGAAAAACTCTGAGGACATACAAAGCTAGATTGGAAAAAGGCCACCAAAAATTCTTCATTTTCCAAGATTTTTACAAGTTTGTTTATATGCTCATCAGGTCAATACAATTTTAAAAAAATCTGCAAAATCCAAAAAACCGACGTCAACTCATTGATAAGGGAAGCGAGACGAGCGGCGTGTTCGATCCTCGGCTGCTCCGAAGCTTCTTCCAGACGATTCTCACGTCTTCCAAACGTCGCCGACTGAGGACCGACGGCCGTGGCGCCGCCGTATGACATCCGGTCGGAGATGATCTTCTCGATCTTCTCCCCGGCCTCGCGGATCAACGAGTTTGCCGCCTGGGCATTCGCCTGGAATTTTTTTCGATTCTGAAGGAAAAAGAGGAGGAGAGTGAGTGTGTCCAATGCAGTGGCGTTATTCTTAGTAGTGCTGGGAGTTTTTTTTGCTTCTAGTTTTGGCATATTTCGAACTGAAATAGGAACGAGCGGGAGGAGAACTTTAAAACGTTCTTTCATGGAGGATGAACTTTTCAGCTTCAATCTCTGAAGTCCGAATTGCTGGATTCTAAAAGACCATTGGAGAGGCATCAAGGGGTCACTTGAGTGATTAGGATCTTATTCATTCTTTAAAATGAGTTCGTTTTCTCTCTGGTGTCTAAGCGTATATGCTAGACAAAACTATCGCCGATTCATGGCGTTCAGACGCCAAGGGGCGTGGCCTGTCTGAGCTTTCCACCAACCATGTAATATTTCTTCATTCAATCGTGTCAGGACCTTCTTTTTGATGATATCAGAAATAAAAAAAAAGCAAAACAGGAATTTTCAAGATTTTTCTCCACAGAGCGCACATGAGCTACTAATATTAATGAAGCGATTTTTTCGTGCTGACTGTTATTCTTTCACCTTAACCTGTGTTTTCAGATTCTTCCATGAGTTTCGATGCAAATTAGAGGATGGATAATGAGAAGTTAATAGTGGATTTCTGAAAGATAAAGATAGAAGTCATTCCTTTTTTTCACCTTCTCAAAATAGCTTCGATCTTCGAATGAGTTCTGAAAAAGGGTTACTCTGCTTATTATTCAAAAATGATCATTATTGAATTTTTCGTTAATATAACAATCTCATTTTCTCTCTTTTTCATTCAAACCAAACTTGAAACTGCGAAGTTGTCCAATTCCTAAAAATGAGGGAAGTCGAATGGAGCACTGTTTTAATATACTCTTTCAATTGGAAAAGTCTATCAATCGTTGAATAAAACATTTTCTGAGATTCAGGTTTGAAAGGAACTCAGTGAGAGACCTGGGCAGTTCTCTTGAGCTGCTTGAGGTCGGTGTTGGCGAGCTGGACTTTGTTCCGGATGGATCCGAGCTGCATGGCCGTGTGGGAGGAGACCGACTCGGGCAGGGACGACGGCGGCTCTTCAGAGACCTCTCGCATCGCTTCGGGGTGCAACGCCAGGATCTGCGAATTGATGAACCAATGACACATTTTTTATACAGTTTTTCCAGCTTTTTATGTTTATTTTCTGCTTTTTTTTTCACATTACCGCCCTATTTTTCTCAAAGCCTACATTATTTTCTGGTTCTGCATAAATTAATATATTCAAAAACCAAATTTTGTTCTCAACATTTAACTACTAAATTTCACTAAAATATCACTTCCCCTTATCGTAGATCAAAAAAAAAAATTCTAAAATGAAGTTTATGTTTATTTTTTTCCCTGTGTAGTAAAAGTCAATACTGCTTTGAACCACTAAAATTATAGAATGAAGCTAACTTAACGTTTCAGAAGCGAAGTAGAATGAATTAGGGAAGCAAAAAAGATGTCGCATAAATCGACAAAAAATGAAAACTGAACGATTTTAAAAGAGTTCGAAAAGAGAATTAAAAAATGAACAATCTGTACATAATTTCGAAAAAATTCTTCGATTTCTTCAAAATGAAGTTATGATACCTCTCTTCGAAGATCAGCCATGTCCTTCTGGGTGCTTTGGCTCATTCCCTTGCTGACGAGAGCCGAGTGGACCAAGGAAGAAAGACCGGCCAATTGCCGCTCCATCGTCTCCATTCTTACCCTTGAATATAGTCATTGTTTCCAAAAGATGATATAAAGAATACAGTTTGACAAAAATGAAAATGGTCAGTATTTTTCAACTCTCCAAGAATAAAAACAAAAATCAGACAAAGGAGAAAAAAAAGAGAAGAATCTATACGACTGATGCCAAACAAACACCACTGTCGTTCATATTTTCAACGACTCGGCCAGATGTTTTCCATTTTGTCGTTATTATTTCATTTTCATACGTCGTGGATCAGTCATTCTGTTGTAAAATGAAAAATCTCCGAAAATCGAAAAAATAAAGTTGAAAATGGCTAGTGAGAATTAGAGAAAAATTTTATTATTTATCGACTTTTTTCCGATTGGCTAAAAATTAGAATACGATTGAATAAATGAGAAACAGATTTTTAAAGTGTTACAAAGAAAAACCGCGACCGCACTTGGAATGGCTCGAACGCCGTGTTCAAAGTAATTTCCGCAAAATGTAAGGTTATCTCTGACTCTCCCAGACTTAGTTATCTTTTTTCACTCTCTGACGGCTATTTCGAACTTTGTAGAATCAATTTAAAAATGGCAAAATTATAATATTTGCAAGTCACAAAAATTGATATCCGCACCCGACTCTTAACTACTCCCGCCTCCCTGTATTTCGCCTATCCTAAATGTTTTCTGGCTCTCAAATGACAATTCAGATAATTCTTTTAACAACCAAAGGAAAAATTGATTTTGCAAAGGATGAAGTTTGAAAAAAAATAAAGAAAAAACCAGATAGATCTAATAAGCTTCAGGAAAACCTGAACTACTTTTTTTTTTGGAGAAATTCACTTTTTCATCAGCAAGATAACCTCCAATTTTGACTCTCATTCTGAATTTTCATAGAACCCATAAAAGTTGAAGTTTTCACTGAAAAAAAAAAACCTAGACTCGCGGTCAATGACCGGCGTAGCGGACCCGGACCGAGTGACGCTTCGGCTGTCGTGGCTGCTCGTGTCAGAGCTGTAGGGGTCACTGTAGGGGTCGAAGGCCTTCTGACGCTTCGGAGGACCGAAATCGGCCGGTGCGGCCATCGCCGACGCTGGCCGTCCCAAGGAGACGAATCTGAGTCGGAAATCGATGGATGAAGGAAGTTTCAGGCAGACCGACGGCCGTCGTCGTTCTCAGTCTCGGAATGGTAGTCAGGATGATCAAAGTAGGGTCGAATCGGCGACTGGACTCGTGTGTTCTCCCGCAAACGCAACACCGACTTGTTCTTGATGTCTCTGAAAAAAAGACTGATTTTTAAGGGAAGCCTTCGGTGGAAATTATGATGATACCTGCCAAATATACCTCAGGGCCTTCTGATTCCAGAAATAAAGAGAAGCTCTGATAATAGACCTTTTTTTCCAAATTTTGAAGCTTCAAACTCCTCAAAAAAAGTTTATTTCATTATTTCTGCAATTTGCGATTTTTAAAGTTTCCTGTTATATGGAAAATCCATTTTCTTTCAAATCATTCGTTTCCAAACTGTTGATAGTTTTTCTAGTTTTATTTTTTTCCATTGGACTGGAAGTTTCAAACCATCGAGAAACTTGACGAGAACAAAAATCACCCTTCAAAATCACATAGTCTCAAGAAATACAGTTCTTGAAGTTCAGATATAAATGACTGTATTTTTCGAAACTTCAGGACGCATATTTCGGAAAAAAAGGAAGATTTTTTTAGATCTATTTTTTTATTTTTTTAAAGAAAAAAACTTCTTTCAGATTGATAAATCTATGAATAAATGACTATTATCAAAAAAAATCCAACTTTTTCCCCGGATTCTTCAAAAAGTGTTTGAAGGCATGAAATCCTTGCAAGGCCAAAAAAATCACTATAATTCGGAAAACAAAGAAAGATTATACCGTTGGACAGCCTTAAAACCTGTCATTTCCTATTTTCTACCTTTACTTTTCTGGAAATCCCTTCTCAACAACAGCTATGAAAGCTTTATGAAAAAGCGTTCTCATTTGAAAATTACAAAATCTTCAAAAAATCGTCAAAACCGTACCCCAAATCTTCCAGCTCGTAGAACAACGCGCCTTTGCTCTGTTCCTATAAAAATCAGTTTTCTCAAATTTTCTTCGAACTATCACCTGAATGTAGATCTTGACGTGGGGCTGTTCGATATAATGTCGGGTGATATTGGGAAAAGCCCGGACGAAAGCCATTTTGATTTGCTCCAGGGAGTGGATCACCGGCGGCAGAATCGTCCGTTTCACCTGCACAACTTCTTTGGAACTTCTGATAAAAGTAAATCTAGCACCTCATCGTTCGCTTGAAGGAAAATGACGTTCATGTCGTCGAGATGTCGCGTCGCTATACTCGAATAATAATCGTCGCTGAGAAAGTTTACATTTGGTCCATTTTTTGAAATTTTAAAGCTTACTTGAAGCCGTTCTCCCTCGCTCGCGTCGGCGTTTCGCTCTAAAATCCTTTTTTTTGAGAAGTTTTCAAGAAGCGAAGAGCAAAAGTGCAATTTTTAAGATTTTTCTGCGAAACCTTTGAGGAAAGTGTCTGAGATAAAAATCGGAGATCTGTTTTACGAAAAATAACGTCCTATATTTGTTGGAGGCGCGCCGTAGAGCAACAGGTTGTGTTCTTGTCTACGGTCTACAGGGTCACAAGTTCGATCCCCGACCCAACCAAGGGGTTCAAGAAATATTGGCAGTGGGAAACCACGGCTTCAAAATCTCCAACCGTCACACACAAGGGCGATTATGTCACTGGAGTTAGTCCCCTGATATCAGGATAGGACCTCGGATAATCGACTTGTGGCGCCGACGCCGCTCAAGCGGTACAAAGGCGTAGCAAGAAGAAGAAAGCCCTATGTTTGTGAATTTGTCAGAACTTTGAGAGCTTTTATCGTGTGTAACCGGAAAGCACTCTGCCTTCAAACTTTGATGACATCAAAAAAAAACTCAGTTTATGGATCCCAACTTATGATTTATTTATAGTGTGAGTTCTACCAACCACAAAACTCGAATAAATTCTCATTGTATACCTCAAATCGCCCTTAATCAATAGATTACCTGCTGCCGGTTGATAGTCCCATAGGCCGGCGGCCGGAAACTTGTAGGAGTCGAATTTGCCGGCAGTGTGCTACTCACCTGCCGCCGTCGTTCTGAGTAGTCCAGGTGGTCTTTCTGGAAACTTTCATCTTTGTCAGGAGAGATAAAACAATCTTTGCTCATGATGCTAGTGATTTCAGACTTCTTGAGGCTTCTATTTCGAATCAATTTAGAAAAAGAGACTGTCCTGTTCTTTCTGTTATTCAAAGGTATTTTTTTAATATTTTTTTACCTGTTCCCGTAAGCTCTGCAAAACAGTTCCAGCCCTCGAAGGCGGCGCAAAACGGCTGCGTGGCGCGTCTCTGAAAACCTTATCTAATCATTTCGATACAAAGCTCCAAAACAAAAAAGTCCTCGTATTTTTCATGAAAATTGGACTTTTTTTGTACATCTTCTTTGTTCATGAATTCTTCAAAACCCCAAATTTTGTTCAATCTTCTGGCATTGCAAAAATATGTCGTTCGCTTTCGTCGCTGATAAGACTCGAACTCTTGACCCTTGCAACAGTAAAACCAGGAACCTCGGTTCGTCGTCGATTTCGTTGGCGGCGAGCGGAGCAACGGTGACGCGGACGTCGTCTGCGTACTGCCATTCTCCAGCTCTTTGGTCGGCGACTGGTCGACTGCTTGTGCCTGCAAGTTCCCGTTTCTTCGTTTTATAAATTGAGAAAAATGCTAGATTTTATACTGCTTTATAGTCATTGATGAGCCCAGCGAGTTTGAAACTTCTTTCAGGACTATTTCTTTCAAAACTTACTGATCCAGTTAGGTGCTGACTGGCGCTAAATAGAGTATAAACTTTATTTATTTCGTTGTAGCCGTTTCAGACTTTTTTTTAAAAATTGTTCTGGTCCTTCAAGTTTGGCAAACCACTGTAAATCGATTGAGTTCTGGTAATCCTTCAACATCTTTAAGAAGCTTTGATTTTTAATATTTTCTTTACTTTCATAAAAAAAAATTCTTTCAATCGGACTTGCAGTATCGAATACCTTCTCCTTAAAGTGAGAGAAAAATATTTCCCAAAATTCGAAAATCCGAAAACCAAAATTTCATCGAATGTAAAAATTCCCTTATTTTCAAACTACACGTTGAGTTCGCGAGACCTCTTAAAATTTTCGAAAAAAAAACTTTTAAACTTCTAGGAAAGGGTCAACCAGGGACAGTTGTTCGGTAAGGTGAGAAAGGGTCGAATTTCTTTGTTTTCTGGGTTTACTGACAGCTGAAACAGCTGGAAATCCTCGTTTTTCCCAACTATTCGGAAAGTTACAACGCAAATTGAACTTGAAAAAGTGACCTATATTCAAAAATGATAGGCGGAGTTGAAGTTTATATTTTGAGGTCAGTATTATCATACTAGATTCCCCGTTTCCGGTCGAGTAAAATGAAAAAAAAAGTGCAACAGGGGTCAGTTGTTCCACTGATGAACAGATTTATCAAAACAACTGTTCTTTTTTCCTCTCTGATACTACGAATTCCTTGGCATGGGGCCATCGTTCGTGATAGTGGACTGAGAATGAACAGAAAAGAGGGTTTCTGGTGCATATAACTTTCGCTCAAAGATAAAAATAGATGACTAGACTGTTTCGAATAAAAAAATAATTAGCTTCTGAACAAATAAATCTTAATTTTTTTCTGAGCGCCTGCAAAATACTGAAAGCAAACTCTTAGCTTTCGGAGCTATTCTGGTGGCTGAAAAATCGTTTTCAGAACAGAGGATTAAGGCTAAAAAAACGCTTCCTAGTAAGCTTCATTTGATAAAACAGCCTCCCTCAATAAGAAGAGAGCGTTCTTTTTAAGTTCAACTCCTTAAATTCCTTGAAATAGTTCGGACGCTTCAGAACTCAAATCTCTGTAAATTTTGAGCTACTCATGTGCTGTTTGAATTGAGAAATTCAGATAGCTTTGAAAAATGATTATTTCTTTTCAAACATAAACAGATAATTATTTCCATCTACATTTGTTCTTTTTCTCAGAATGTCTTCGTGTGGAACAAACGAATCGAATAGAATAGTCAACGGACTGGGAACAATGTTGATGGTGCCGGTGGGACGGACAGAGCCGATGACGCGAGCCTCGCCGTACTGATTATGCCATTCTGGAGGCGAAGGTTCCGCAGGAACCACGTAGTTCTGCTGGAGAGTGTTGCGTGACTCGTCGAATCGGACGTTTCTTTTTGGTGGCGGCGGCGGTTCTTCTGCGTCGATCATAGGGTCATTCGGCAGTGTGACTGTGACGGCGTGCGACGGCTCCGGCGTCTTCCTTCCGAGCAGCCGATTTTTCCACGCCGTCAGGCTGCTCGGCATTTCGAAGACTTGGCGGCTTCTGGACTGGAAGCGGCGATGATCAATGGTTATGAAAGCTATTGGCGGAAAACGCACAGAAGGGAAATTTAAAGGCTATTTGTGGTCGGGGAGGAATTTGAAGTTCAAGAGGAGACTTTGAAGCTCAAGGTCCTCTGAACTTGAAAATTTTTCTCGTTGGGAATGGAAAATTACAAAAGAAAAGACGAAAAAAATTGAAGAAATGACTACACCCTAGTACAGCCGAATTGAAAGATATAAGTGAGAAAAAGTCTACAAATCGGAGCAAAAAAAAAAGGAAAATAGAATGAAAAATCTGGGTAAGACAAATTCGAGAAAAAATCTATACTAGTATCAAAAACGAACTTGAAATTGAAAAGAAAACCTAAAAAGTACTTACAAGTTTTACTCGAATACCTAATCAATTAAATAACTCAAAAACGGAGAAGAAAGTCGGAGTTCCAAAGACTCCTGACTGTAATTTTAAATTTAGAGTTCAAAAAATGTCTTATTTTTTTCGACATCTCGGAATCCAAATAGGTTTGAAATACTTCTGGATGAGCTCAATAAACTAGACTTTTGTAGAACACTTTTTTGAAATAGACACGCTCTTTCAAACAAAAAATCAACCGTTTCGAAACAGAAAAAAATTTCAAAAGTATCTTCTGTGTGTCTCGTGGATCACATGAATTTTGCCATTATGAGCGAAAAAAATGAAAGCCGAAAAATAAGAAAAATTTTCAAAACTTTAATATCGAAAAAGTGTACTTGACACCTAAAATTCTTGCTGATGGACCTAGAATTTAAAAATAAACAAATAAATTGGAATCAAAATTAATACCAGATCAATAAACAGTTAAAATCACAAGGATGAAACTGCAAACAAGCCTACGGATCAAGGCAACATTGGACTACAAGAAAAAAGGTGAGGATCCCGTTTAAAAAGCGACAAAAACGACGCGTGCCGTCGAACAACATTTTACGCATCGAAATGGGGTTCAACGTGGACGGAGCCTGTCCGACGGCGTTGTAAACGTTCAAAACCGCGGGAAAAGTGCGGCCGCCGAGAGTTTGAGGACGAGCCGACAAACTATTACAGCGACCCGGGACTGGACAGCCGATATCGGCGAGGCTCGGCGAGCCGGCTGCCGCGCGGCATTTCCTGCCACATTGATCCAGGGATGGACGTGATCAAACTCTATTCAATCAATCAGGATACTTCCTTTCAGCCCTATACGGAATCCAAGTTCTTGACGATGAAAAATCATTATTCGTGATTTGAAAGAAGAAATCAAAAGAAGGCTATATCAATCTCGGAACTGGAAATAAAACGGTTCATATGAACGAAAAAGTATGAAAAGTCCCATCAAACAGTGAAAATATGAAACAATTGAACTGATAATGTTAGAGAAGGAATAAAATGAGGCATCACTAAATAATTGAATGGAAATAAAAGATTTCAAAAACGCAGAAACAACTTATAAGCAATTCTTCAAAAAATTAGAAAACTTTGTCGATTAAAAATTTGGTCAAAAGGGTGAAAAATTTGCGACCTTCCAGCCAAAACTATCCAAGCAGTGATCCAAATCGATACAAAAATTAGACCATCCGAGGTTTAATTATTTCTGTTTCTGTTATAAATTAAATAGCCCAGACGGAAAAAAAATCGTTCTACTTTGTTTAACACTTTTCTGGAAATTTATCGGTTTTTTTTAATATTTGAAAAATCTGGTCCTTCACATCGCTTTTCTGCGCACAGTTCTTCCGAAAGAGCCTTCAAAGAGCTCGTTCTCAGAAATAATGGAGCCCGAGTTCGAAGACAGACTTCTTTTGGTCGGAGCCTTGTTTAAGCTTCATTGTTTTTAGTAAGCTTTTTGTTTCCTATTATTTACAGAGTGACCTCTTTGCCTTAAAGCATATTGGAGAGTCGGTTTATTATATTTGGAAACAAAGCTGAAAGCTGGTAAGTCATTGTACCTCTTCAGGACTTTCTACAAATTTCAGAAACTCTTGAAAAGTTCTTTACTCACAAATTACCAGTTTACGAAAAAGAAAAACTCCAATTATTTTTTTCTTGACGGCGACTTTCAAGAAGAAGAAGAAAAAGAACAAACTTTCATTCAAGAGATGACCGATCCATTTGTCGAGGCGCTTCATGCCTTTTTGCTTTGGAGGCGTTTGACCCGAGAAGGACATGGCCGGTGGCGTCGCTGACCGCTCTTAAAAAATTCCATTTCTTTTTTTTTAGAGACATTCTAATATAACCACCGACCGAAACATATTTTTTTTTTAAACTTGACGATAAGTTAAATCATATTCTTGGAACCATCCAAAAAAAAAAATCCAAAAAAAGTTTGAACTTGCATGACTTTCTGGTTTTCAAGAAAGAAAACCTCTGTCAAAAAAAATCTAAAAATCCGTGAAAATGGATCATTTTACGGCTGTGAACCGTCATATGGAAAATTTTATATAATCAAAGAGAAGAAATTCCCAAAATTCTCAAACAGAATCAATTCTCGAAGCAGAATAACTCTAACTTTCAGATCAAGATGATAATTTTCTACCTCATTATACAAAATAACCGATTTTTATTTTTCTGTCTAGTCAGGGGCTACTCTACTAGTTTTCTTGCGGCAATTTTTTAACACCGAGATGAAAAAATAAGCGAAAAAAACGTGGAGCAAACAGAGGAAGAGTGCGAAAAGCTAAGTGGACGGCGCAGGACCATCAGGAACGTTTCTTTTTGTGTGCGAAAAGAAGCGAAACAACACAAAGTACAGGAGGAGATTATCGTTTAATCAAATAAAAAATATTTTGGAAAAATATCGAAAACAAAAATAAGGAGAAACTTTGATGTTAAGACCTCTCCTTATCGGAAAAAGACTTTATCAGTGTTTGTCTTGTAAAGACTTTGCTAAAGAGCTTTTTCGTTAGATAAGGTAAGACGTTGTTTTCCGCCTACATAGGTGTTACTAAATACAATATACTATCGGAAAATCAAAACACCTTGACCTTGATTTCGTGGAAAAAGAATAATAATGTTTGAATTCGGGAGAATGTTGAAAGCAACTTTTTTTCAAAACTTCTGTTATATCATCATTTTGAAACATAACTTCAGCTATAAATGATGGAATTGAAGAACATTCGTAGATTTAAAAGCACCAATTAACGGCATTTCTTTTTTCCTGTTTTTTATAAACTCAAAAATCAAGCTTATGGTTATTCTAGTCTACCAAACTGATAAATGCCGATATTTTGAACTTTCGAAACCTTTATTATTCACAGTTTTCCCTTTTTCAACGCCACATTTTGAATTTTTCTTCAACAGTTATTTCATCCATTCACCTTATTCTCGAATACTGTGAAATTTCAACATAACTCCGATCTATAGCCCCTGTGAAACGAAAAAAATGATATAAATCTGAATGAACCCCTCGTATTTCTGGCGGACGAGGGCCGCTGCCGTTGCATTGCCGAGGAAGGCCGTTGCGACGCGAAATGAGGCTCGACATGGAACTCCCGCGAGTCCTTGAACAATTATCATGTTTATCTTACGAATCCCTGGGATCGAACTTCGTTTTTCTCAAAAGGACAAGGTAACCGAAAAAATTCACGCTTGTTAATTGTAAGTCCGAATCGGATATTTTCAACCGAATCCTAGAAAATTTCCGAATCGGGTGCTCAAACCGAAACAGTCAAAATTCTTATTTTTACCTCATCATTTTTCAATACTGACTCAGAGGCTCGGGAGGGTCTCAATCGCCTTTTATTTATTTATTTCAGGCTTAATTGCTTATTTTTTTTCTTACTCAAACCATTTTTACACGTTATTTTGTTCTGCCTGTAAACAAATAAATATTGTTATTAACCATGAAAACAATTTTTTTTAGACGGAATCAATGATTTTTTACCTTGAGTAGTACCAAGTTTTTCATCTGTCTTTGCGGCATACTGGAATTTGGACTGACCTCCCACTGGGATTTAAGCTACAAAATAAGTTCGGACCGATTCAAGTTTAGAAGGCTTTTTGCCATACTCAGTTTTTCTATCCCAGGCGGAGTCATACTCAAATTTCTGAGTAAAAAGTACGTTTTTAAACGTTGAACTTGACCGACTCGAATTGAAAAATCGAGTCGGAAGACTTTTTAGGGTTCGATTGAAAGTATCCGATTCGGACTTTCAATTAACCGTTTCGGAAAGAATGGATCCGCTTTGAAAAAAAAAGCCAAATAAAAAGTGAAAACCTGTGAATTTCCGCGAGCCAAGCCGCGCGGCGGTCGATGTTGCCGCGGCGGAGCGATGCACCCGAACATTTTCAACAGCCCAATCTTGGCCTCCTTGCCGCTTTTTTCCTATCGATCTGAATTTCATTATGAAGCTCAAAACTCGAATTTACTGTCGAGAAAAAACAGTAAATGGAACTACTTTCGTCATAGTATAAAGACAAAGTGGCTCCCAACTTTTTTTTAAATGACAAATGAGAGAAAGGTGATAGCAAATATGAATTTGCAAACTCTTTCAAATCCCTAAAAGACACAAATATCTTCAGTCAGACTTTCTATTTAAAAAAAAATGGTATCCTTGAAAAACTTCCAGGCTAGTTTTGAATTCAACGAACAGCTAAGCCACATTTAAAATATTCTAGAAAGTGAAGGATACAATGGAAAAATTGTGCATGAAAGTTTAAAACATCAAATTTGACTTCACAATTCAAAAAATTCTCGTTGTTTTGATTTTTTTTAAAGCGTATTATTGACTATAATGAACTGGAAATTGTTGTCAAATTTCCATGAAAATCAAAAAAAAAGTGAGAAACATGAAGGTTTGAGGTTCAATTTAAAATGTGCCTTAAAATAATATAATTGGTGATAGAAAATTTTCAGAAAAAATTCAACCTCCGTCTTCAATCAATTAATCAGTTTTAACTACACAAAAGAAAGATAAATCAAAGTTATTGATTGAAAAAAACTATATATGAGACGATAATGAAACAGAAATGAGTTCTAAATTAGAAAAATATGATCAGTTCAATTTGGAAAATGAAATTTTTTTAGTGTTTCTGTATGTAAAACCTAAACTAAAAATTCTCAAAAAACAAAGTTTGACTTTTTCCAGCATCTCTTCGAAAATCAGAGCAGACCCTAACTGATTCAGTTTTTAATGAAACTTTGCATTTTTCTTGGTCATGCATAATTTTTTCAGACTCACAAAAGAACTTCAAAACCTTGTAAAAATGATGAAACCGGAAACTCGTTCTGCAGGCTACTAAAAAAATCGAAAAAAGGAAAACAAAGAGGGGAGTTGCAAGGGAAAGGACAAGAAGCATTCACGAGGTGGGAGGAAAAGCTGCGGACAGTAGTGAAGAGAAAGAACGGACGATATTTGGGGGAAAACGGACGAGGCGCTGAAGATGAGGGTCAACATTTCGTCGCCGAGTCCTTTTCCTTCGTTCCTCCGTGAGCTCTGTCAATTTTGAGGGGTCCCCTAATTGAGCTGAAAAGGAAACAATCGACGACACCGATTCCTATCATAACTTGACACGCTTCATGGAAAAAGGGCAATTTTTTAGAAAAAAAAAATTTAAAACGGGATAATGCTCAAATTTAATGTCTATTCAAAGATACTTTGTTGGAAAAAAATTTGAACATATATTAAAAAAAACCTTGCTGAAGGTTGTATCGCAAAGCCCCTGTGAAAAAAAGAGTAGAGAAATAGTAAGTCAAAAAAATTAAGGAAAAAGCAGAAAAACTCACAATACCTAATTTTTCATTATCATTCGCTCCCATATCGATCCCGTCTCTTTAAAACGAAAGAAAAAATAAGATCACGATCATCTTGATATCTGAAAACAATCAAAAACTTGAAAGCGCGGATATCCGGAGGAAAAAAACGCTGAAAAACAAACAAATTCGAATTTTTGACTTTGTCCATAGGGAAAAAAATGGAAAACGTTCAAAAAAAGATGATTCTATCAGAAAAAAAAATTCTCTATCATTCAATGAAGCCGTTACAAGAAAATTATTTGCAAAAAAAAGTACGAATTTTTTTTTAAAAATAAATTTAAATGATGCGCGTCAAGTGTGATGCTCACAGTTCTCTTGAGTGTTTGCGTACTAACTTGAAACTCTACCCTCCTCAATTGGAAATTTATCTTTTCTGGCTGAAAAATTTATTACGGATGTTCTCAGCATAAACTCTTTTCCAACGTTTGTAACGCTATTAAAACCTATTTTCCTTATTGCTTGAAGACGAAATTCAACAAGATAATGTGAAAATATTCATTGTTCTGTGGGCAAGCAAGAGAAGAGAAGCGAGATCGTAAAAGACACCGGGCGAAAATATATTTTCAGGCAGAGCACCTCAATAGTTTCCTATGACCAAAAGACAACAAAATGGGCAAGTTAATCAAGATTATTAGTGTTGGAACTCTTTAGAAATTGTACTAAGATAGAAGTAGATGAGCGCGGTGGCTTGGGCGACGACAATCGGCGGCAAGACGTAAGAATGGACGATGCGGGACACGTCTCCAAGAATGACGTCATGAATAACGTCTTCTGAGTCCAAGACGACGTCTTCAGATGCTTCCACGCTGTCACAGGCGGCTTCGAACTCGGAACGAGAGGCGAAGATGCGATCGGCGGCAAAATGTTGAAACAGAGCCAAGGGACAGTGAGCAGATCCACGGCATGGCGGCAGCTCGAGCTCATGAGGCTCTTGTGACGTCACGTTTCGGTAAAGGACCTGGAAAATAAATTTTTAAACTTCAGGCTTCTTTGAAATTCGAATAAGAACATCTTAAATTTACTCAACTTATGAAACTAAAGAATCTAAATAAAAAAACCTTGACAGTATGAATCCCCTTAATTTCGTGGAGTTCGAGGAAAACGGCGGCAGCATAGGGAGGCAGTTGGTTGTTGGAAACGCCAAGGCTGTACAGAAGTGACGTCACGGTCGCGTCATGCTGAAACCATCATCCATTCTTATCAGTTGTTTTCGACAGGCTGCTCACCGACGCGAAAAGCATCAATTTTCGTCTGGAAACCCCAGCGACCTTCTCCCTGATCTCGCGATCCATTTGTCCCAGAAGAAATCCAGTCCGGAGTCGAGCCTTCTCGTCGCTGTTGAACGCCTCAAGGCGCGACTGACGTTTCAGCTCGACGACCTCATCGAAAACTGTCCGATTCTCACCGTAGGGCGCAAAAACCCAAGACGGTTGCGGAATTCCGTTGGCGTGCTGAAAAAATAAATCAAATTGAAAGTTGTTTTGTGAATTTAGGGATCATCGGGCTGCTCTATGATTATCTTAAACTATTATATCAAGAAAGACATCAAACTATCGACTTTGATGGACCTTTGATACTTCCAAAGCGAGTTGATGAAACATTTACTCTGTTTTTTTGACAGAAATTCATAAAAAAAATATTTTTTTGATTGAAGCATGCTGTACAGCGTAAGTACGCAAGCACTCGAAAGGAGCCAAACACCTCAGTGTACGCGCATTTTTTTAAAAATTTTTTTCTTTAAAAATTTTTTTATTTCTGTAAGTTTTTTTAATTAATTGATTGAATTATGAGCAAGCAGTTTTTCATTAGCAGTATTTAATTAGGAACATATAAATTTGTGCCAAATGAACAAATGAAAAAAATTGTCCTATTTTTTATCGTTTTTTTTTTCGAGAAGTAAATTTCTTTATAAGCATTCCTATTCCAACTTCCGAAGCTTATGTAAAGTTTTTTTTTTTCAAATCTGTGATTTAAAAAAAACCTTTCGATAGATGACATTGAAGACATCTTCAATATTCGAAGCATCCACTTCCCAGCCAGTTTTCTCGGAGAGGAACTCGAAGAGCGTCGAATATTCACGATTCATGCTTTTTCTCATCTCCAGACGGTCTTTTCCAACCATTTTCTCAGCCTTGGGGCATTTCACACTGTTCGGCTTGAGCAACTGAAAAATTCCATTTATTCTCGATATCTTTCTTTATGGCTTACAAGGTCTTCATAGTGATTTGAGTAGGTGTGAACTGGGACCAGTTCGCCGGGGAAAAGCTTTGAAGCCACGCCCATCGCTGTTTCAATGCAGCGGTCTTTGTCGCTGGAGCGCATCACAACCTTGTTTTTTTATTTAGAGAGGCCATTTTTGGGTTTCGCCTACTTCTTTTCTGTCGAATCGGTCCACGAAAGAGTTCCGTTGCATGTATCGATACCGGAGGTACTCTCCCAGCTCTTGAGCTTGTTCATAACCTGAAATTGGTTATTTTATGGAACTAAAATTTTTAATGAAAAAAATTTTAATTCTTTTTCAGAATATGAACATTTAGGTAAACGTTTACGAAAAATATTTAGGATTTTTTTGAATAATAAACTTGATTTGAAGACCAAAAACTTCAACTTTGAATCATAAAAGTTGAGGAGCACAGTCACTGATAAAGAGAAAAAGTCTTAAAAGATCAAAATAAGTTTTGGAAAACAAACTTTGTGATGGAAATAGGAACTTTGTCGTTGATGTCCTAACACTTCAGAAAAGGTGATTCATTTCCTGTTTTCGTAGGAAAAGTCTCAAAATGCTCGAAAAATCCTTTTGTTTTCCATGTCTACTAGTTTCTAATTCATAAGAAAATAAGAACCTTGAGCGGTAAGTTGGGAAAATCCTCGAGGGAAGTCGATGGCCGAGTGATGTTCGTCTTTTGGGTAGGTGAACGAGGGCGCTCGGTCGCCGTGTCTAGAAAAATGTTATGAATTTCAAGGATTGGACAAGCAAAAAATTAGGCTTTCATTTTCCGAGGGTGAAAATACCCAAAACATTCTCAAATTACCTTATGAGACCTTCTGAAAGTTTTCAGACACAAAAAAAATTTGAAAAAAAGTTTTGGAAATGTTAAGAACGTGGAAACTTCAAAAAAATAACAAAAAAATAAAGGCCGAAAAATGACCTCAAAACTACCTTTGACCTGAACAAATCGAAGTAGATTTTGGTAATGCTGATCTTACATTGAAAATATCTCAAAAATAGATCAAAAAAAAGCTAGAAAAAGTTAAAAGTGTACTAAAAAACTTTGAAACCAAAAAAGCCTACTTTCAAAAATACCCCAAAAGCCTACTTACTCGTCCGAAAGAACTTCTCCCGAGAAACTCACCGAAAAAGGACTTGAACGAGCTGAAGTTCGGCGTCGACGACGCCAAAAACGGCTGCAAACACGGCGAACACGTTCATTTCGTGTGGTTTCTTCTGGAGACCAGGCGAGCGCCCGCCCCGGTTTATTTCGTCTAGCGAGGTTACTTCTGTAAAAAGTACATCAATGAGAAGAAAAAAAAGCAGGAAAATGTGGCGTGAAATTGGTAAGCACTGTTAAGGCGTCATAATGAGGGGAGAGCTTTAAATAGAAGGAAAGGGGCTGATAATCGCTGATAAGCGTCGAAGGGATGGCTCGTGTCCCAGACAAGGCCTCCGTTCGCCTGGAGACTCCGCCTTTTTTGGACTTGGCGGACGAGGCACAAAATACTCGGCTATCAGCTATACATGTCCTTTTTTCCGTGTTGAAATAGTACAAGAACTCCTTATTGTCCCCTTTTTATAGTCTGGTCGAAGATTCTTGCTGTAGCTTTCCTGATTCAAAGAATCATTGAAAACCGATCTTCGCGTTGAAATTTATTATTATTACGCTCATCAGCCTTTGAAAAATCTCAGTGAAACTTATTTACAAAAGCAAAATAGCTTTGAAAAATGAAATAAAGTTATCAAGAACCATTTTTTTCATTTTATTCAATTTTTGTGCATTTTGTTCACGTGGCGTGCCGCTATCATGGGGCTTTGCACTTTGAAAAAACAATAATTTGTTTGGCCCCTAAAGTTGGCACTAACAATCTTCACGTGTCTTCCAGACGTTCAACGACCAATTTTTCGTTTTTTTTTTTTCTAAGGATTCCCTTGATGATGAAAACTTCTCAGCTTGTTCAGTAGAAGTAAAATTCGAACAATTATTGTTTTTCGAAGTGCTAGGGTGAAAAGACATTGAAAATGGATAACAAACCTTCGTTCTACCAAACTGAAAACGCCGTTGCCGAATCCGGAATGGCTTTAAGCGTCGCGGTCGCATTGGGTAAAGAACTGATCTTTTGACTTTCTTCAGAATAATTTCGCTTTCGATGAAGTCCAATTTTTGTACTGTCAAGTTTCTAACAGCAATCTCCACCTGTCAAAATGGAGCTGATTGGCGCCGGATCATAGTATTATCACGTGCCCAAAAAGATAACATATCAACAAATATACAATATAACAAAGGCAAAAGAACATCGGAACTAAATCTTCAACGTGTCATTTTAAAATGTTTATTATTCGCTATTTCAACCTGTCAAAACTTGGGAAGATAATGATGAAAAGGCAATTGCAATTAGGAGGACCCGAAAAAAAAAAATCGGTCTGGGATATTCGAATTATGCGTTTGTATTAACACCCATAAGTGAATCAAAATAAAGCAAAAGCGGTGTTTTCAGGAAAATACGGTAAAAAGGAGAAAAACAGTTTTGAAAAATTGTCAGAGAAGCAAAAGAAATAGTTACAGCGTTTCGAAAAACTGAGTTTTTATTTGAAAAAAAGGGCTGATTTCAAAAATTCGGTTTTTCCAATTTTATCCGTAGAGCGCACAAGCTTATATTCAAAGTAATTCTCGCGGCTATTTTTCACTTTTTTCGAATCATATTCAAATTGAGCTATCTCTTTTCGACGCATGGATCGATTTGTTATTCGACAAGAAATGAATTTTAAAACTAAAATCTTCCATGAAATATTGAACGGGAATTTTTAAATACCAACTTCAAGTTAAAATTTCCAAGTTACAAGCTCTCTAAAAATCATATTTTCTCACTCACAAAACTCTCAAGAAATGATCCCGATTCTGTAGCTGATAGGATCAGAAAGCGATAGTCCATTTCGAAGGTTGTTGACACTCTGTTGCCGGATCGTCAGGACACATTCTGTTGAAGGTGAGTTCGGGTCGGAATCCGAGAATCTCGCGGTCTTCCTGGATCCGGAAAGAAAAGGTCGACTCGCAGCTTCCGGTGAAGTAGATCGCATGGGAGCAGATCCACTGAAATCACGGGAAATGAATTTTGAGAGTGCTTTTGAAGGGCCATAAATTGGTTTGAATAATATTGATAATGATCAAAAGTTTATTCTCTGTTGGTCCACGAGATTAAGGAAACTCCTTTGAATAGAAACACTGGTGGCTATAAAAAGAACTTCTTGAGCAACTCAAATCCCTTAAGAAGTTTCTAGAAAAATTCTGAGAGAAAATAAAAGATAAATTCGAGAAAAACTTTTTTAATTTCAAATAGCTTGGATAGACTGGAATTATCGGTTCAGCACATGTCGTACAGTAGATGAAATGTATGAAAAAGTTCATTTCTATACTTGAGCCACTCTGCAATCATTTCATACCAAAAAAATTATAGAACCGTTCAAATTCCCGCAATACCTGATAAGAATGAGAAGAAAAAGTCGAAAGATGTTATATTGATTTTAAAAAAATCCTCGTCTCCACAAAAAGAGCAAAAAAATATAGGCAGATCCTTAAATTGTATAAGACCAGCGTCCAAAAACTACAAAGTTTCAGAAGAAGAACGAGTACTAAACGGATCTAAAAAAACAGTAAAAGCATTTTTGGTCTTATGTTAAGAGGAAAACCACTGTTTCTATGCAGCCAAAAATCTCTATGTTTCGAAGGTCGCTCCATTCAAAAAAAGTGAGGAGATCGCGACCATTTTTAATTCATATTTCAGTTCGGTCTACCGTATTGATGACAATAAAAATTTCAGCGTCCCTTCGGTTACTAGTACAGTTTTGGAGGACGTTTGCGTAGATGAACATGTGGTTTATAAATGTATGAAAAATCTAAAAAGTTTAAGCTCTTCAGGCCCAGACGGACTTTCGAGTAAATTATGTAAGAAATTAGCAGTTCCTTTAGCGCGCCCGCTCTCAATGATTTTCAGAAAGTCATTAGATAGCTCCTCGTTACCTCTTCTTTGGAAAAAATCTATTGTTTCTCCAGTATTCAAAAAAGGAAACCCTTCCGCCGCTGAAAATTATAGGCCCGTCTCTTTAACCTGTGTGCCATGCCGAATTTTCGAATCTATTGTAGTGAGAGCTTTAAGAAATCATCTTTGGCGTAGCAAAAATTTTTTTCTAAAAACTCAGTTCGGATTTTTTTGAACAATCGGAGTGCAATAACTCAGTTATTGGAAAAACAAAGATATATTTTTGAAGAAGTTTACAATAAAAAAACAATGTTGACTGTATTTACTTGGATATATCAAAGGCTTTTTGACACAGTCAGTCACCGTAGACTTTTTAACCATACTTGAAGCCTACGGATGTAAAGGAAAAACTTGGTAACTGGATTAGAGCTTATTTGACTAACAGGACTCAAAAAAAGTAAAAAGTAAATGATAAATTTTTCGGGAGATATTGAAGTCATTTCTGGGGTTCCACAGGGAAGCTGTTTAGGTCCTTTAATGTTTCTTGTTTACATTAACGATTTGGATAAAAGCACTTAAATATAGTAAACTGTTGATTTACGCAGATGATTGCAAAGTAATGATTAGCAGTTCTGTTCCAGGATATCAAAACAAGCTACAAGAGGATCTCCATTCTATTGAAAATTTTCTCGCAGATAGACAACTCATACTTTCAGCAAATAAAAGTCTCCATGTTAGTTATGGGAAACGAGTTCGAAGTGTTGCGAGTTACGAGCTTAATGGTACAACAGTGAATAACGAGGATTGTGTGAGAGATCTCGGAGTTATTTTTTCATCTAACCTCAAAATGCATAATAATATTGAAGTTATCGTCAAAAAAACTATGCGTATTATAAACAACCTATTCCGCTGTTTTAGCTTCTCGAAACAAAAACTTCTTGACATGCTATAAGGCCAAGGTACTTCCCATTCTAGAGTATGGTTCGGAACTAATGTGTCCATTGACAAAGTCAGATATTGATCGATTAGAATCGGTCCAGAGGCGTTTCACGAAGCGCCTTTCCCCAAGAATGGAATATAATGAACGGTTAAAACTATTAGGTCTTCAACCTCTTTGGTTTAGGCGTTTAGTTAAGGATCTGGTATTATCACATCAGTTTTTGCATAATAAGTGCTGGTCAGACTCTCCCATCCAGGTACATAACATCTTTGACCGTCCCAGTCAGCTCAGAGGAAATGGTTTTAAATTAATAAAAACGAAACCTTCACTGGTTTTCTTCAATTTCTTATCACATCGCATTACTAATGTTTGGAATGGCATTGAACATGAATTATTGGCAGAGGAAGACAAGAAAAAATTTAAGGACATGTTTTTAGTGTATGCAGAAGATGTTGGCGTCGAGCATATTCTTTCAAGTGTTCACAGATTTGTGCCATGATCAACTTGGTTTTTAAATATCTACTTATTATGGTTCTATGTTTCTTTTCTTACACAAAAAACTTTTTTTTTTCTTCACAGGTGGGGTTAGTTAATCCACCTAGTGGTCTTTTTCCCTCCCTGCAACATCACCATACCATCCCGATGTTGCGAAAAATAAACAAATTGAATTGAAGGCTCGAGCGGGGGGTCGAAAAAAAAACGGAAGGATCTCAAAACTCTTAAGAAACGACCAAAAAATTTCTCAATTACTTCTTCAATCAGCCAGCTTCATAAAGAAGCTCAATGCTTCAGTTAACACAAAAATTTAAACAAAAATAAAAACGTGAAATAGCATCCTCGAAATAGAGAAGAGAGACCTGATTTCTGAAAAAAGAAAAATGACCTCCAAAAATGACAAATTCAAAATCGCAAATCTCACTATTATTTTATTTTTTCATCCTCAAAATCGAACCTGATCAATGATCGCGATGGCGCCGTCAATAAATCTATCGTCTTTGAACTGAAATAATTCGGCGGCGTCTCCAATTTCTTTCCGGAGCTCTTCGACTTCAGAATCCGGCGCATCGGTTGCCAGGAAGATTTTCTTCACTTTGTACTTCTTCGTGAGCTTGACGAGCTGGAATGACTTTCGATTGGATCTTTCAGAGAAAAAATTCGGAAACTTCTGGATAAAAAAACACTAAAAATCCTGAAACTCTTTTTCAGAAGTTTCAATGTTAGTTAAGAATGGAAACTGGTAAAATTATTTTTAATTTTTTTTTTTTCATAAATTATAAATTTCCTGACATATTCCACATGAAGTTAAGGCTGAGGTTGCTAATATTTTCTAGAACTTAAAAATGAAGCCTTTTATGAAAAATTACCAAACTTATTGATAAAACTGCCCATTGTACTCATTATACGCGCCAATCTCGAAAACCACACCCAAATTTCTCATGAATCATCAAATGGAGTAGGCAAGAATCAGCCATTCAGAATACGAACAGAGACATGAACAAAGACCAAAAATTCACGAGTTGATAAGAGCCAGTCAATGAAAAAAGAAGAAAGAACGGCGATAAAAGCTAAAAATAGAGTTCCATGCTTTTTGTGACAAATTTCCTTGTTCTCATTTTCGTACTATGGACAGCCTCTCACTTTATAAGAACAATAAAAAAACAATAGATAATTAAAGCGTGATAAAGCAGAAAAAGAAACACAAAAGTGAATTTCGAACCCTTTTTTTTGTCGAAGAGTAAACAACAAACATAGACTTATTTTTTCAAAATGAGAAGGGAAAAATGAATAATCTGACAGTTCTCTGTATCATAAACTTGTAAAAAATGATTTTCAACCTGTATGGCGGTCCCATTGATCGACGGAAGATCGGCTTTTCTGGAGCGAAGAAAATCGCGGCGTCGCCAATGAGTGCAAACGAAAGGACCTCCTTTGGCGTTTCTTCTGAACTTCTTTTCGATTTTTCCTTTGTATCGGGACAAAACCTCGGCTGATCGTCTTGCCAATTCTCTTTGATTAGAGTTTTGTCTTTCTCATCAGTCGACGACAGCTTTTCTTTTCTAAAACGGTAAATTTTTTTGGAATTAGATAGATAACTAGTGTATATCAAAAATTTACTGTTCCGATATCAATTTCATCTCCTTGTAAGCTTCAAAATTTTAGTACATAGGCAAATTCGGAAGGGGTGGAAAAGTCTACGTAGAAATGTTCCTTTTTCGTTGCCTTTTTGCACCATTTTTGCTGCCTCTCACCTTTTCATCTATTCCTGGAGCCTTCAAAATTCTAGGGGCTCGATAAAGGGACTCTTTTCGCTGCCTTTCTTCGGTCTTTTTTCAGCTTATCCCTTCGAGCGGCTATTATTTACAATTCCGACGTTGTCGGTATAACATCAGTTTAAAAATGGTTTTTTTTTCCATTGAAGGTTAACAAAAGAAAGCTCAAAATAGTGTATTAATTTTCGTATTCACTTCGATTGTTAAATAAAAATCCATATTTCTGCTCACCAATAGCCGACTCACGGTTATAAAGGGGCGTGGCCTGTATGTTCGTTCCACCAACTAGGCACTCTCTTTTTTCTTTGTGCCAGGACCATTTTTTCTATGGTTCAAGCCAGCCGTGGAACAGTTACATTTCAATATTTTGGTAATCTTTCGAAATTTGGTATAATACTCGTTTCAAAATGACTTTTTCATTGAAAACCAACAAGGAAAGCTCAAGAGACGTTGATTGTCTTCCATATTTACTGTATTTATCGAATAAAAAAATCGATTTTCCACTCACCGGAACTTGTCGGCGGCCTCCACGAGTTTCTTACTGTATCTCATGGATCTTCTGGCCTGCCAATAGAACTCATCCCCGTAGTTATCGTGCAGAATCGTTTCAGCCCGATCGATAAATAGCACTTTTCTATAAAACAAAATAAATATAAAAAGCTAAGAAAGGGAAATTCAGATTCCAACCAAGGAGCTTTTCAAGAAATTCTCAAAACACTCATGATTAATCCAATAGTTCAGTTACCTGATCAATCAATTTATTAATATGGACCCCAATTATCCGTTTATCTCTTCAATTAATAATCATTCTACAACTTCGAGCTTCCTAGAAACTTGAACGAGTTTAGAAATACTGTTAAACCAATCTTGGAGAAAAATTCGATTAGAAAGTGATTGAAAAAATTGACAACTCAAGTTTTTCCTTAATTTTTATAGTCTGTTCATATTTTGAATGTCAAGTCAAGCTCCGCCCCTAACGGCGCGATAAACCAATCAGAGAGCGAGCCATTCACAGAGCTTTTTCGAATGACGTCATTTGACATTCAAACTATTAAAAGATTATAGGAAACTACTTACTTATGACCTTTCAAAAAAAAAAATTCCAAATTTTTAAAAATTAACTTTTCAGCGCAGCTATAACTCATTCAGTTCCCTTCATGAGTCTGTTCATTTTATAAAAAATACGTAATTTCATGAAAACCCCACGATTTCTTGTAATCTTTCAGTATAAGATCTTTCAGGGTCGCCGAATCGCCTTGAATCGAAACGCATTCGAAATTCTTGGCCTTGAGCTCATCGTAAGAGTAGAACCATCCCTTCCTGGAATAATCTTGATTTTCTTGAAATTAGTTTTTCTGGAACCAAAAATCGCCGTTGCGTTTGTAGAACTTCTCGCCGGACATACAGGGTCTTTTGTCGAATTTCCTCACAAATTCGGTTCCCCAGCCTTCCGCGTAATGTTGAAGGTAGACGACGTCGTCGATCAAACCCGTCGGATGAACTTTAAATTGAGAAAGGTTTATCAAGCAAGTGTAAAAATACAAAAAAAAGTAAGGAAAATGGTTCAAAAATCTATAAAACTGTAATTCTTCTGTTCGAAACTTTGAAAAAAAAAAAAATGGGTGGAATGATTTTTTTCTAGTTGTAGGAAAAGGAACTTGAAAAACTTAAAATTATGAGAAAGTTTGGAAAAATTGATTTTTGGAAGAAAAATATTATCGATCAGACTTATAAAAAAATTTCTATAATATTTTTTTTGCCTAATATTTTTTTAAAATATTCAACCGTTTTAGACAAAAAAACAAATTTTAAAAAAATGAGAAAAAAATTTTTCAAATATCCCTCTGAAAGATGCCCAGGCTTCAAAATAACACCTTTTTCATAATTTTTTTTTTCCCGGAAAATCGCTTCATATCAAAATATCAAGTTTCAAAAAATGACTTTCGATTTTCAAGCAAGAAGCATCTTTACAAAAATCTTTGGAAATATCGTCCCTTGCCCTTTTCGACGAATTTCGAGAAACCTTCCAAAAATACTTCTTACTTTTGAGGAAATCGTCCAACTCGATGACCGGAACGAATCGATTCAAACTTGGGACGTCGAAAAACTCGCCCCAGGGCACCTTGACCGCCTGCCTTTGCCAGTGGTAGAGACCTCCCCAGGCCGGCAAAACCAATATGAAATTCTCGCCTGAACATTTTACAAAGATATGTGAACTTTATTGGCATCCTACACGTTTAACCTCGATCAAGTTTTTAAATTATTTATGCAAACCAGTTGAAACGTACTTTCTTGGGCTTACAATTTATGTCTTTCATTTTTTTCAATAACTGACAAATCAGGGCGAAAATTAGTTTTTTGGTCTTTTTAAAGAAAAAAGATTGATAAAAAGCTGATAATGCATTTGAAATTCATTCTTTTCAATTTGAAACATTCTGAATTGTCTGCACTCTCTTCTTTCTCATATTTAGGTCATAGAAACATCAAAACAGCAGGTGAAAAGAAGATAGTTGCCAAAAAAAAGATGACACAAAGAAGTTTTGTTTTTAGAAGTTTTTTAGAAATGAGGATATGTCTGTTCAGATTTTGAATGTCAATTAGAGTGACGTCATCCAAAAATGCTCTCTGATTGGTTAACGGGCCGTTTGGGGCGGAGCTTAAGCGACGACTTGACATTCAAAATCTGACCACGCTACACTTGCTATTGGTAAAGAAATAAAAACGACCAGACAAACTTTTTGTTAAATTTTTAATACTCTCTGATGCGGTAACTTCCTTTAGGGGCAAACTTTCAACACTTAGAATAATTGTGGGAGCTCTGAAAGTCCTTTCAAGAAGGTACCGGCAAGACGAAGAAGACGTATAGTGTTGGCGACTCTCATGTAGACGTCACGTCGGAGGTTGAATCCCTCGCCGAGGTTGACGTCGAAGAGCAAAAAACGGGTGTCCTTCGCTACAGAGTACTTCTCGGGGTCCACCTTAAGCTTTCTCCATCGAACCCAAGAAAGAAGGTCATTTTTGCTTGAAAATGATCTAAAATCATCCAAAACACTCCTCGAGGAAGTCTGAAAGTCAATCTGAAAAAAATTCAAATTTTCAAAATCTGCAATTTTTTGTAAGACTTATAGAGAGGTGACCTTTAAGCGGTGTCCAGAGTGAGTCGGCAAAACTCAAAATAGCGGTAAGAGAACGAAAAAAACTAATTTTTTGAGAGTCGGAGAAAGTACTTCTTTGAACACGAAATTAAAAGTTCAATTCAAAACGTCTTTTTTCGAAAATAAATTATTTCAATTGCTTTTAGAATCTTTCTCTATGTGATAAGAGAACATAGAGATATTTTCAGAAGATTCAATTTAGGTAAAACAAACCTTGGAAAGCATCTCATGACGATCTCCTTCCTCTTCAGAATAATCTTCAACCTCAGATTCTCCATTTGATGTAGAAAGAATGATCGATAAAAATAGAAACACCAAGAAAATATTGGATAACCGTGGCTTCATGATTTCGCTGAAAAAAATTGAGGCTTTTTCATTTTTCAAAGCTTTCCGAAAACGTTTCAAAAAGCATTTTCTAAGAGTTTTGTGAACATTGAAAAGCTCAAACTGAACAAGAAAACTACAACAAAAAACGGTATTTTCTCAAGTTCTTCTAATTAAAAAAACTTTTTTTCGATGAAATTCGAGAAAAAAATAGCAATTTTTATGAAGCTTCTTCCCTTTAATGATTGATTGAAAAAAATTTGAATTATGGAAATTTTGGAACTTCCCACGTTCCTATCATCGATTCAGAATAACAAGCGTTGCATAATTTTATTTACGATTTTCGTTTGGAATTTCAAATTTCTTCGAAAAATTCAGAAAATAGAACTCTCCTTCGTAAAAGAACAAAAAGAAAAACAAGGAAAAAAATTTTTTAAAAATTTTTCCTGAAGTATATAAGAAACAGCGAATTCATTTTTTTGTTCTAAATAAATTCATAAAGTCTTCAAAATTCGGGCAAAATATTTATTCCAATGATGATATGTGCCAAGAAAGCACGAAAAAATATGTGACAGGAGAGCATAAAACTGTAACTTTTGTCTGGGAATTTCTCACAGATGACATGACATGAAAAGAGGGTACATTTTGTATGAAATTGTGACTAGAGAGAATCACTCGTTTTTTTCTTTCTTTCTTACAAATACCAATTAGGGCTTGAACAAGATAATGAAGGATCGATAATTCTGGATAAAACATATTGCGCCGCGCGAAAACAGCTGAACAATCGAAAAATTCTCATAGACTATGGGAAAAAGTGTGTACTCGATTCTTTGCCAGCTTGTCAAAAATTTTCGAGGAATTTTTATTTTTTTTTCAGAAAAGTTAAAATAGTGCAATAGTATCTGTCCTATAGCTGATTCCGGCTTGAGTCATCGAAAAATGGGTCCTGACACGATAAAAGAAGAGACAGTGCCTGGTTGGTGGAGATAACAGACAGGCCTCGCCTCCTAATGTTTCAAGTTAGCCGTGAATCGACTATAAACAGGAAATCATTCCGCCAAAAAAAAAAAGAAAAATTTGACTCTCTGCGCTCTCCTTTTCATATGCTATTTCACCTTTCTGACCTTACCGCCGAGGGAAAAGAGAGCGCAGACAGGTCAGACCATTTCAAACCCTATCAATCAAAATTTAATGACAAGCTGACAAAAAATCGAGTAAAAGTTCTACTAAAAATACGTAAAAAACCTAAACCTTGTGGAGATTATTTTTTTAAGTGACCAGCACATTCAACATGAAGTAAATATGGTTAAAACGTATGTACAAAAAATGAGATTCAGAGGAATCGAAAAAACAAATCAATCAGATCTTTTTTGATTTCGAGAAAGAAGGGAATTTGGAGGAGGCCGAGCCGGGAAGGATGCTCGTCGATAGATGGAGAGGTCGAGTCAGCGACTGGGAGATGCTTGAGGTCGGACCTGGGGTCAGGCTCTTCGGCTTCGTCGGCGACATCGACTCGTGCTGTAATTTGCGAGTTGGTCTTCCTTTCCTTTCAACATCAGGGTTGCAGGGAAGACGACATTTTCAAAAAGGATGAAGAAAAACGGGTAAAGAAAGAAGAAATCTATGAGGAAGACGGGTAACTGAATTCCGTGGAACCCTGAACACCACCAGAATCAAGTATTCCAAATACCGTTTTTTGCTATAAAACTTCAAAGAACAGGGTCAAAATGTGAAAAAAAAAACATTCAAACTACCAAGAAATGGCGAAATTTTTGGTTTCTTTTTTTAAAAACTTTTTAAAACAATAAAGGTTGAAAAAGTTTTGACGTTGACGTATTTTTCACAATTCCAAAAATTGCTATCAAACCCGAAACCTTTTTCATTTCAAGACAAATTTGTTGAAGTTAATAAATGCCACAATTCTTTAAGTTATCGCTTGGGGCAAAAGCTAATGAGCCCTGGTTAACAAGAGGTTCAAAAGAGAAAAAATGCTCTGTAATTTTGGAAGGTTCGAACTTTTTCTGCACTCACATGACTCTGGCTCATCATAGACGGAAGTCCATTCATTGTATTGTAATGTGACGGATCGGCCATTCCCAAATCCGCGTCGGTCGTGTAGGAAACGGCTAGAAGAATGATTTCGACATTGGGAGTTTATCGGATGAAATAAATTAGAAACGAATCATATTTGAGTTTTTTTACATGCTTTCTAGAAAAAGGCCGATGACTTTATCAAATTCTAGAAATATTTTCTGATTCATACGATTCTCTTGAGCCATGAAGCTCACAGAAAGTTTGAAAAGACAAATAATGTAAAATTATGAAAACCCATAAAAATTCACACATAGAAGAGCTCAGTGAAGTTTTCACGCATTTTTAATGAATTTATAGGTTTGATTGCAGCTGGAATGTCGTATAAAGTAGTTCAAAGCGGATCAACGGAAAAATTATATTTTTTTGACATTTCTGGACTATGAATATCACACTTGCTGCAACATCATCCAAAATGATAATTTTCCCTGTTTTCCAAAATTTTCGAAAAAATAATAAATCGAGATAAGAAACTGACACTGTGACATAACGCGCTGTTGGGTTTCAGAAAAAACGGCCTTGGCGAAGTTGATTTTCTGGACCCAGCTGGAAAATCAACATTCTCTCATCAATATTTCCGGAACACAAGAACCTTTTCAAATCAAGGGCATTATAACAGGAAAAATGATAATCGGTGGTTGGAGAGGAGACCCGGAAAACACTGAAAATCGTTATTGAGAAGGAAAATCAAAGGGAGAACGTACAATCTTTTAGATGTTTTCAAATCGGTGTTTTCTGAGATCGAAGCTTTCGCCAGGTTTATTGAGATATCAGCTCGTCGGGTCTGGAAAATGCAATTTTTTGACTTTATTTTTCTATGTTTGAACCTATAACACATCTTACAACATTACTAAAACATACAACAACAAAAAAATCTATTTCTAAGGAAAAGTATTGAAATAAGTTAATAGTGGATCATTTGAGAAAGGATCTGTTGACACGTTGAAAGGTCATCATTAATTTGATTTAACCACGATTCAATCAAGTTTATTACAGTCAAGAAAGATAGATGGAAAAAATATGAGCTAGAGATTAACGGAGGCCTGAAGAGACAGTCGAGAAAAATATTACTGTGTAATTCAGTATATGAATTTTTTTTTTTGGGAGTCCCAATCTTAAAGTTCATAGCTCAGCCTAACTCATTTACTTCCTTCCTCTTCTAAAGAAAATCTATAAAAGATCTCTAAAAAAAAACTAACATGTTGATTCTGACAGAGGAGCAGATAAGGTCCCTTCAAGCACATCCAGCACTTTGGCCATTTATTCGTCACTTCTTTCAGCTCGGCGCCTGTTTTTCTGAAAAAAGTATTTTTAACTGAAATATTCATATAAATGAGCAAAAAAACCTTCTACGAACCCATCCTTCGAAAAATTTTCTCGACTCCAAAAGTTTTGGGTGAATTTGGAGCTGCTTCATCGCCAGAAACCGGCCATTCAGTGATGCTGAAAAAGAAAAACTATCAAAATTAAATGAGAGCCAAAGAAATGAAATAACTTATGTTTTGAAAAAGACTGAAAAGATCTTGTTCAATAGTAAGAAATTTTCGAAAAGGGTTCAAAATTATTTCTCTGAGAGAATTGAAGAAAAAAGGATCAGGACAGGAAAGTTGGGTAGGGGCAAACAGAACTCCCAAACATCAAATTTTCAGTTTTATTCCAGTGAAAAAAAAAATCGACTAGGCTTTTGAAGGCCTTTGGCGAACTAGAAGTCCAAGCGTGTAGTCGACAAGTTAAAATCAGGATCTTACCAACTAAAAGTAAATTCCTCATTTCATTTTCTTCATCATTAAACGGTTTGAAAAAATTGAAACTCTATTGGAACCAAAAAAAAACCGTTGTTCGAGATCTATCTTAAGGTAAAATTTCTCCGTCCCAAAATTTCTCAATCTCGCGAGAGCTCCTCTCTAAGTAGTTCTTGAGGTACCTCTTAAGCGGCCACTAGAGTTTTTCCCAAAACTCGATCTCACAAAACTCATTGGAGCTCGTTTGAAAATCACTTCTTTACCTTTTTCGCAGTTAATTTCCGGTATTCATTCTCCCTGTACGTTTCAAGGAAGGTTCTTATATTTTTCCCTGAAGATATTTGATATTCTTCTCGAAACCTCGTAGACATAGATTTGAAGGGGGCGGGACTGCTGACGCTGTTCATCGAAGACGTGGAGGGACTCGGAAGGACTCCGCAGGGCGAGAAGTCATCCATCGATGACGTCATCTTGCTGGAAACGGTGGCTAATGAGAAATCGTTTTGGTTGCCTTTGGAACTGTCTTTCTAACTTGTTCCAGAACCTTCTTTCAATTTCTCGCATGTATTACGTCATAAGACGTCATCGTAACCTTTGTGGTTCTACGATATTCCAAACCTTCCTAAAGAGGAAGATCATTTTACTTTGCGGTTGGGAGTTCTCTGAAAATTGGTCAGAACATTTGTTGATGCACGAAAAAAGGTTACGAAAGCCTCAACATGAACAGCTTACCCATTTTCGAGAAAAAAGGGCTCAAAAACCAAAAAAGGCCCATTCTAGTAGACCTTGAAGGTTTTCTTCGATTTTGGGGTGTCCTTTCTTTAAAAGTAGAAAGTTTTGCAGGTTGAGAGTTCCAGGACCTTCATCCAGTATATCAAGGAGCGTTCTGGGCAATTTTCAGGAAATTCTCAACCACAAAGTGAAGTTACCTTCCCTGTAAGCCTTTCGAATTTTTTCTGGAAACTTTATAAATTCTTCAGGGAGATACCCAAGCCTCTGGAACGTTCTACCTCATACTATAACTTCTATATTCTCCAAAATCCACCTCTCATCTAAAGCCTTCCATAATCTTCGAGATATCTTCTCCTAGCACTGAGAGTCCACGTGATAACCAATTTTTTAAAAAGGAGAGACAAAAAATTTTTCTTCAAGTGCTTCAAAATTAGAGAGAAACTGAAAACGATACATTCGAACCTTAATCGAGACCTATAATTTCCTGCAAATCCGAACTCACTTAGATGGCGTTGGGAATCGCGGCGATTCAATACTTAAAGCAGAAATATTCGAATCTCCCATGGGCGCTCTGTAACTCTGCGTCGCGAACTCCTGAAACAGGAAATATCGTTACAAAAAAGTGTGAAAAGAAGCTGATTCTGTCACTTATTCTAACAAAATATTATATGCTATCAACTCAGACTGGTTGAGTATGAACAAGAGAGAATAGGAAAAAAATTTCATCTGCTTTTAATCTCTACCTGAAACGGGGCTTTCCACTCGTCGTCCGTTATTTTCGGCTCAACCAAGTTGAGCTGCTGCAGCTCGTGAGGCTCAACCACGGCGATTTCAGCGAACTCAGTCGGGCCTGAAATTATCAAATTGGCTTGGAGGATCGCAAGAATATGAAACTTGGATCATTTTTCAGAAACTTTTTCAATAATTTTTAAAAAAGGAGCTGAATAAAGTTTGATTGGTAAAATCGCTCTTTGTTAAAAATCGCTCAAAAAGGCTTCGGGAGAACATGAAAAAAATTTTTTAAGACATTTTCAGAAGTTAGTTCAAATAGACGCTGCTATCCAGCTAAAAAATAAACCCACACTTGACGTTGAAAGGAAGTTGGTCGGCGACGACGTCGTCCTCGATTTCGTGAACCAATTTGTTGTCGATGAACGAGCGGACGTAGCCGTCGGGCTGATGTCGCATCGTTCTCGCCCGTTTCACGATCCTTGTCGGGTCTTCCACGGGTTTCGGTGGCCTGCAAGTCATTTCCTTTCAATTTGAAAATTGAAATTTCTCATAGAGTTCATAACCATGAAATACTAGCAAGCTCCCCCTAGAGTGGTCACTTACAAGATCTCTAGATTGGCGTCTAACTATAACCCCTATAGTGTTCCTGAGTATATAAAAACTGATGTCGATCCCATTACTGAATCATGAGTTCAACTAACGCGATTAACTCCAACAAATCCCAAGGTTCGCTGGCGTCGACGGCATTCGTGTCCACCGTCCGGTTGTCGACGCTCGTCGAGGCGATCGAAGCTCTTCTTGATCTTCGCAAAGATCGACTGGAAATATTTATTTTCTTCAGGAAGAATGTGAGGATTCACTTTCGCTGTTCATTCATATTGATAATCTCGGACATCAAAATGAGGGATCGCCGTCGGATGAGTGGATAGCCGACGTTCTGGAAGAAAAATAAACAACTTTATGAAAAATTATTTTTGAAAAGGTCTCATTTCTTCGTTAAAAATGCGATAGAGAAAGCAATATCGAGTGGGAGGGTCTTAAAAAAATATCTATAATCTATTGAAAAATCCATTTAGAATGCTCAAAAATATCATTTTCCTGTTTCTCGAATAACATTAAAATTCTGACTTTTCATTTCGATTCGTTGAAAAAACTTGAGAAGATTAGGAGATAAGGCATTTCATATTAACTATTTCAATAATCGAAAAACAGTTCTTATATATTAAATTTACAAAATAATCTCGCAGCTTTTATAAAAAAAATTTCAGGATTTGCTTGATTTTCCTGCAGAGACTATTTCATGAGCTTTCCGAGCTCTTTTCAAATGTCGATATGTAAATTCCTACTAATGAAGCGCCTAGATTTTGAGATGATTAGTTTAAGTTTTGCATAAACACTGATCCAAGATGTGGAATAATTACGCTAAAGCCTAAAAATCAAAAAATATTAGGAAAAATGTTTAGAGAAATCTAAAATATAATCTAACCAGGGAACGTTTTTCATGCAATAGACCTTGTTTCCAAGTTATGGAGCTTCAAAGTGTGCAAAATACGCGAACTAGGCCAAAAAAACGCTATTTCGGGCTTTTGAAATGCCCTAACTTGAAAACGAGATCTATTGCGAGAAATTTTCTTTGGTAAAAAACGTTCCCTAGTAAGCCTACTAAATCTATCAACAAGAAATGAATGTTAAAAAGGCCGTGTACGTTAGCGCAACTGGTTGTGTGTTCGTCAATGGTTCGAAGGGTCATGAGTTCGATCCCCCGGCGCGACGCAACCAAGAGATTCAAGAAATGTTGGTAATAGACACTCCCACACAAAGGCGGATAGGTCACTAGAACCAGTTCACTGATATCAAGACAAGACCTTGCTTCACAGACTTGGTTCCCAATCAGTATAAAGGCGTATGAAAAAGAATAAATCAAAAATGAAATAATCCCTGACCACGAAAATGCTGCCGTCGTCAGCAGTTGCCTGACTCCCGGGCAACTTGGCCAGAGGACGCGCCGACGTCTTCGGCGTCGGCTTCATCAGAAGCGGCGTCGTCTCCCGCGGCCTTTTGTTCAGCATCAGCTTGAGTTCCGAGTCTCCAGAAGAGGCGATTCTCTGGGCGACGCTCGTCAAGTCCCATCCGATCACCTACAACTTCACGTTGATGATAAAGTGTTTTACAGCTTCATTATTCATTCGAAAGTTTGCTGGGATCTTCAAAGGGGATGACTTCTATAGAAAACCTCCTGCCCTTTTGAAAACTTTAGTATGAATTTTCGCACAGATGAGATTAATTTTAAGAAAAAAAAATCCGGACGTTTCTGAGAAATTCAAGGGGTCACTTAAGAGTGCTCTCTATAAATTCCCCAACACGTCTGATTTGGGTCCGAGAATTGACGAGAAAGTTACCTCTTTAATCGATCAAAAAAATGTAAAAAGTTCAAAAAAGAACTAAACTTTTTATGTGCTTTAGACTCCTGAAACTTGTATATTTTGAAGTAGAATCTTTAAAAAAATAATCAAACCTTTCGAAAAAAAAAATTTCAAAAAGTAGCGACCTCAAAAAGGTCTTACTTCTTGGTTCAGAAAAAAATTTTTCATTTTGAAAAAAACTTCTCAAAATTCCTCAACAGAATTAAAAAAATGATCAATTTGAGGAATAGTTTTGATTTCAGGTTATGGTGAGAAACAAGCACTAGGAATTCGAAATAAAAAAGCGACAGAAATTTGAATCATCAATTTTTTCAGTTTTCGAAAAGATTCAAGAGAAAAGCTTACAACTTTCCCGTTGATCATCATGATTTCGTCGCCGGCGTCGATTTTCGAGCAAGAATCGGCCGGAGATCCGACTTTTATCTCGCTGACGACGTGAACCCCTCGGAAGGACGACTGCAGATTTATGCCCTAAATCGAGAATAAGTACTGAAAAACAGAAAAAGAAGGAAAAACCCAATTTGTAGAATGGTCTGGGCGTTTCAGAACGGCCGATTCGACATAGGATGTGCACAAAATGAGCGAATCTTCACTTTCAATGATGGCCCGACACTCGTCTTCGAGGTCGTCGGCTATCTTAATTTTTCAATTCAAAATTTAGATTTCTTATAAAATGTTATTGAGGTTCGAAAATCTTCTAACAGCTTCAATGATAATAAAATCTCGAAAAAAAAGGAAAAAAATTTTTTTACGGGACTCAGTAAAGAGGATTACTGTTTCAACAAATATTTTTATTTTCCCCATCATTCCTATTTCCCTCCATTCATCAACACCTTGACAATTTCGGCCGCAGTTTCGAACAAAGCCTTCGGTTGAACGTTGACATTCCGCACCAAATTCCAAATCAAATGAGCAATTTTGTTCCGCTTCTCAATGTAGGTCACTATCTCGTCGAAGGGACTCCTTAAGCAGTATTTAGAAAAAATTAAAAACCCTGTAAGAAACGCTGAATGAGCTATTTGAAGGAATAGAAAAAAAGGACGCAAACAAATTGAAAAAAGAAAAAAAATAAAAATTTCCCAGACTAACTCAAAAAAAGGTCAGAGGCAAACATTAAAAACTTGATCACAAATACGAAATTTTTCTTGTAATATTTTTTTAAATCGAACATCAATTTTTCAATGTCCTACTTTGAAACTGCAATTTGGTCTTTCTAGACCTCAAAACTGTTTCGAAAAAAATCCTTTTATTATCTTTTTACCGATTTTTTCAACCTACTTTTTCAAATTTTTTTGGACAGATAACAAATCAAATTTTTTATTCAAACTACACGTCAAGTTACCCTCTGAGCTCATTTTTAGAACTACTGAGTTTTTTATTGCGATTTCTCGCAGAAGATAAAAAATGAACCTGTCGAGCCAAAAAATGAGCTTTTTCGTCTGTTCGGCGGTACTCGAAACGGCGCTCGTCACATTATTCAGAATGGTTACGATTTCAGATCTTCGCATCGCCTGAAAAATGAATCTTCATCCCAAAAACTTAAGTTCAAACAACATTTTCCCGCATATGAAGAGCATTGAACATTTCCCGAGCCACATTCCTACAGGCGACGACGACATTCATCGCCAAAGTCTGCAGATTTTCGTTCGGAACTTCGTGGCACTGAAAAATTCTTAAAAATTCTTGCAAAAGTTGAAAAAACTACTCACAAAATGAAGCAACAACTGAATGGCCTGAAGAATAATTTTCCTCGGTCCGACACCCGAAATCCCAATTTTCATCAACGTGTCTTCATCGACGAGCTCCAGATGCTTCCCGCTGCGAATATCGTTCCGAATCATCCCCAAATACGGATTCATATGGTCTCCTAGGCCTGAAAATATGCATCTACTATGAAAATAATGAAAAATCCACTGAAAAACCTCCAATCCACTTGGAAATCTGCTTTCCTGACCATGATTCAACGTACTGCAGAAAGGAAAATTGATTGAAAGAGCTGACAGATGTGCTCGGTTGAAGTTTACCTGAAAAAAAAGACAATTAACTCAAAAAAAAAGCCAGTTAACCTCCTATAAGAGTTGACCGGACGAGTGCCTCTTTCGCATCTCGAGGTGTCACGGTCACTGTGAAACCTATGTGGTTTCGCATCGCTTTCTATGGCAGCCAGTGTTTTTCAGAGCATCTGAAAACTTTATGAAAAGCCAGTATATTAAAAAGGAAACGAAAAAAGATTCAATTAAAAATTCATATGTGAAAATTTTTAATTATACCCGTCGTCATATATGTCCTTTTCTACGTGATGTGGGCGCACGATGGGCATTTAAGCTGACGCCATAAATTTGTTTTTTTTAATGCTTACAACAATTAAATTGATTCATTTAATTTTTTAAAAACATTTGCGTTTTTAGTTGTTCTTTTTCACCCTACTATTTTTTTCAGTATGGAAGAAGACAACGGGCATGACATATTAAAGTCTTTCGCTAAACACAATTCAGAGGATGGTTTCACTGGCTTTGCAAAAGTTTCATTCAAAGGTAGCTCATATGATGCAAAGGTTGTGAAATTTTGTTCTTCATGCGCAAAATACGTATTTTTATTTCAGATTTCAATGCACGGAAACGTATTGTGCGTTTGGGCTTCATCAACGGATACAGTTCAAGCGCCGTTGATTTTCGTTCTCGAGAGAATAACTATCAAGAAAATGGAAACGGAGGTTACATCACTGATGGATAAATATTCTAACAAAAGTTTCAGGAAGCCGAGAAAAGAGCTTTCTCGGTGGAATTTGTGGATCCCACGGAGACATTGGTCCTGGCTGTAGATAGCGAGGAAATTCGGGAGCAATGGATGGTGAAGGTGGAAAAAATTGGAATTTCCTTCACAACTTATATTATTGAGATGGCGACAAGTTCGCATCAAATGGCGCGGGCTGAGCTGGACGAACTGGCCTACAAGTTCTTCACAATGTCGCCATCGGCGGTTTATTTTATTTTTCTTAAGAAAGCCCAAAAAAGATTTTAATAAATTAATAAATTATTCATGTTCTAATTGCCTTTATCAGTGTTTTTTAGCTTTAGAAATGCTTTTATAAAGTTTCTCTTCTTCCAAAATCAGTATAATTTTTCATAATCAATTTTTTTTCAGTCCCACGAAGCTTCTCCGACCGACGCTTCAACCTCAAGTTTTCAAAACTTTTACCTCACTTCTCCGTTGCGAATCACCCATAATTATGCAGTTTCTCAGGTGAAAATTTCGATAAAGCAATTGGAAAAAAATTTTCTCCAGCAGAACAACCTGCCAGCCCGACGAGTGGTTATCGACGAAGCCATGTGGGAAACGAAATTGTCGATGATTGTCCCGAAAGAAATGGTCAAACTCTACCGCAAATGGGTCAATGAGTACGGTTTGATCATTTGAAGAGGAAAAAAATTGGAAATTGAGCTCAAAAACGAATTTTTGTGAGAAAAAAAAAACAGATATTTCACCACTAGGAAAGAAACTGTTGCGACTTATTTTCCTATCCTGTTTCAAAGTCTTTGTAATTACTCGCTGAATATTTTTTATCATTGAATGTTTTTGACAATTAACATCATCAACAGCTAGCATTGAACGGGGAAATCTGTCTGTGCCCTCCATCAATTAGGCACTCTCTCTTATTTCATCGTGTCAGGACCCTTTTTTCGATGGCTCAAGCCAGCCTTAAATACTAAATTCACCGAATAAGCTACATCTTCAAGTTCACTTTTCAACGACATCTTTTTATTGTGAATGGAATGGATTATTGATTTTCAAGGTTGGCGGCGCTGCTGGAATCCAGACAATACAGTTGGCCGTCGAGTTCGATTCCCGCCTTGCACGAAGTTTTGCGGGAAGTTCGGGAAGTGTACGAAACTTACGAGATGTGCTACGAGTTCGTCGACAATTATTCAGTTAGTTTTCGAGTTTTTTTTTGCTGCTTGATCTGTGAAATTGATATTTCCGTAAAAGAAGCTCACAGGTGATCAGAGAAGCCGCATTAAATGTTCTTTTAAACCTGAAATTTTTTTTGTTTCGATTTTTCATCGAAATTTCGCAATAATTTTTTTCAAGTTTTTGATTATTTTTGGAAAAGTTCTTCTATTAATTTTCAACAATACATTGGTTTTCCAGGGACCTTCTTTCCGAAAATCGACCGAAAAACATCGAGTTGCTTTTGGAATCGTGCCAACGAATTTGCACGTTCACGGGTTGGTTCATCATCATTACTTTTCCCCCGTTTCAAGTTGACTGATAGTTAATATTGAGCGCTCAAAATAATAATATGCTTCGTTAATATTGTCGAAGATATTTTTTTCTGGTTTCAAGACTTTTTTTCGAAGCATTTATTTAGAAAAACTTTCAGTAAGTTCATTGTTTTTTTATAAAAAAATTTATTTCAAAAATTTACTTGAATGCTCCCTTTCTTCGAAGTATATTTATCTCAACACTTATAGTTACGAGATCAACTCGACGGATCATCGCGACTTCATCACGTGTGGGACGGCTTCGGCGATTCCCCTACGGTTTCAGGTACAATTGAAAGACTTTGAGAGAAAAGTTGGAAAAAAATAATTTCGATTTTTTTCAGTCTTTTTAATATTTCTCCTTTTTTATTATCTTCCAAGGAAAGGTCATTTTACTTTGCGTTTCCGTTTTTCCTGAAAATAAGCCGGAATATTCCTTGATGTACTAGGAGCAGGCCCTGAAATTTTCGAGCTTTTTTTTTTCGAAAATTAGGCGCTCAGGGCCCTAAAATGGTTTATTTCAACGGATTTCAGGGGTTTCCTTCGATTTTGAGATGTCTTTTTTTTTACAAAAAAATAATAACTTTTGCACTTTTTGGATCTTCCTTTGGTACACCGAGGAATATTCTAGCCAACTTTTAGAGAATTCCCTACCACACAGTAGGAATACCTTCCTTGCCAAAGACCAAAAATTTGTACTCAGGAACTTTTTTTTCCAGAACGGCGGAATCTCTCGCCTAACGTCTTCACTCGAAGTTGACCCTTGTCATCACGATTTCGCTTTTTGGAGTAAACGTCAGGTTTTTATGCCATTATTTTTCGAACGTTTTAAGATTTTTTTTCTCTTGCAGAAAATAACTGAATTGAAGAAAACCATCGGCGAGCTGAGTCATAAGTAAGCTCTTTATAAGGAAAGTAAACCCCTATTTTATAACTGGGTTTCAGAATTGATGTCGAATGGAAAATTGCCCAATTCGGAAAACCCGACAAAGTTTGTTTGGAGATTTACGCGGGAATCAAACAGGTGAACATCCAGTCTTTGATTAATTTTTAACGAATCTTCTCTAATTGAAATAATCAATTTTTAGGCTTTGAAGTTTGAAGAAAGTACTTAAGCTCATGAAAAATCATCTAATTCTGATAAGTTTATGTCAATCGAGTCACAAAAAGGTTTTAGTATAAGTTCAATAGGGAAAATCAGACTTTTATGGGGAAAAAAAAATGCCTATAGGCGTTTTTTCCGTCAAAGAGTTTATAACAAGAAACCCCTCTATGATGAGGCAAAGTGGTCCCTAGAGAGGAACCTTCAAGTGTCTCTAACGTTGACCCTCAAGGGATCACTCTGTAGTCCCTAAGAAGTTTTGTAGGTTTTGAAAATGAGATTTTTATATTTTTTTTTGTATCCCAAATTGTCGAATAATCCAGAAATCACTTTTCACGTTAGATCTTCACAATGAAAAATTTAACTTAAGGTATGATTGAAAAAAAACTTGATTCTTTTGAGGTCTACGAGAAGCTGAAAGACACGTTATCGACAATTGGAGACGTTGAGCGGTCGGCCGAGATTTTACTCCACGAAGAAAGAAGAAGGTCCGAAATCGGCCAAAAGGTGCTTTTCCCTCCGTTTTTCCTGTTTCAATTGTATTTTTGAGACGGAAACGCGAGTCGGCGACAGCATTCAGAATTTGCTCGACAGCGTCGACGCGATGATTCTCAGTTTGAACACGAAAATCGCGGTTATCGATACGTTGGATGATGATCAGGTTAGAAATCGAGAATAGTCGATCTGATGAGAAATTGTTGAAAATAAGAAACTCTACGAAATAGGTGAAAAAAGAGCTAGGGAATCCGGGAAAAATCTCACTCGGACTTCGAAAACGAGTCCCGGAGCGTTTTAGTGACCACTTCAGTAGCGTCTTAAGGGATCACTTGAATTGCTCAGAAAAGTCCGGTTCTCACTACCAAAGTTTGAGCAATTAGCCGAGGTTTGAACTAAAAAAGAACGATTTTAAGCAAGTCTTATCGGATTGGAAAAAAAAACAGTCTCAAGCTCTGGATTATTTCTGCCCCGTTGGCATTTTAATAAATCTTTTTTCGAAGGCTTTCACCAATGATCTTTGTATTGATAAAATTTTTGAAATTCTCTCGAAATAAATTATTTTGGACTTTTTGAAAGATGTTTTCCTGAAAAAAAGTTAAACTTGAAGTCCGCTCGAGCAGCCTACGAAAAGAGCGCCCGAGAAGCGATGGTCGCCTCTTTGGACCTCCTCTTGACTCTTTCCAACGCAGTTCTAGAAGCTCAACTCTTCTCCCTCGGTAATTTCATTCAAAAGCAAAATAAATATTTCCAAAATTTAGTAAGCGCCCTCCACAAGACAAATGCGACCCACGCCTACTTCCATCTTCAGATCCGGATTGATTTCACTCTTGCTCATGTTCGTTTTTTTTTGAAGCTCCAATTTTTTTTTGCTTCAGGTAGTTACGATAGCGGCCACGGCTATTCTGAACCGTATCCAGAAGAAATGGACGTTGAAAAATGATGGTGAGGTTTATAATGAATAGTCGACTTTTTGATTGCGAATTTTTTTTTTGTTTGAAGGATATAATAGAGACTATAGTATTTTAACGATAATTTTCAAATAATTTCCATAATATACATCCTTAAACCATTCTTAAAAGCCGCTAACTCTTCCTTTCAAGCCTTCCTAAAAGTTAAAATTTTCGAAGCTATTCACTGATTTCTTTGAGCCACCGTATCTCAAAAATTAGTTCAATGATGATAATTTTTTTTGTGAAAAGCTCGCGTTCTAGAACATATTTAATTTAGAGAAAAAAAATAATTATAACGCCCTTTTTTTCTAAGCCTAACTATCCCCGTCTGTAAGAAAACTGTACTTGCCCGTGTACATTCATAAACATTTTCAACGTCTCACGAACTTCGTTTGTGATTGTACCTCTATTTGAAATCTTCATTTGGTATTTTCTTCCATCACCGGAAATGTTCAGGATCGCCTTCTGAACTGATCCTGGTAGTTTTCTCGTTCCTGTCTGCGTATGGAGATGAGCGAGGGATGGTGGAAGACGCCTGGGAAGCCTGGAAGAACCTCGAAAGCTGCGTCGCTTTTCGACTGGTTCGAGCTCCGTCGGCCGTCTGTAGAACCTGTATTCCCATCGTTCAAGGTTCTAGAAATGCTCTTAAGGTAGGATTATCGATTGATCTGACCATAGGCTCGAAAAAAATATGAAAGATTTCTTTTAGCTCCGTTATTCTTCTAGGGGCCACTATAGAGGTTCTCTATTTAGTGACCACTTGAGTAGTTTTTCATCCAGTATTCCTTCCAGTAACTCTGATAATTTTAAAACAAACATAGTGGTCCCGTTACGCTGATCCATTGACCCCTAAAGTGGCCACTAAAATATTTCACAGTCAGAAAAAAAAATCAAAAAAATGTTTTCATGTTTTTTTTTGCATCAAAGGCTTTCTGAGCTTCTTCGATTCAGGTCTCCATCCCTCTGCCGCACGACGTCTTTGACAACCTTCCGGAATCCCTCCGAGAAGCCGGTTACTTCACGGTCAGAACGGCCTACTTCAGCATCGGCGTCAATCACGAAGCGACTTTCGGACAGTCGTTTGGAGGAATCGCCTTCGAATCCACAATCAATCAGGAGGCTGCTGATCGGTTCGACAAACCTGTAGATCTTGAACCTGGGAATTTTCCAGTGTTAACGTGTTCGCGAACCGGAACGAAGCTCCGACGAGGGCTCGAGAGGCCGTCATGGAGCTGGTGAACGAGGTCGTGACGGAGGCGTCGCGGAAGAATCTGGCGATATTCGAATGCGCGATGCAGGCCTGCGAGTTGCTCGGCGGCGAGTCCGTCATCTCCTGCAAGAGCGGAAAAGACCGGACCGGCATGGCCGCCACTCTCGAACAGGGCCGCGTCCTGCGTCAGACCTGTGGGTTCAATTCCAACCAGGTGAGCTCCATTATTGTGATTGGACACATTGGGCCAAGTTTTGATAGCTCTAGAATAGGAAAAATCTCCCTTGAGGTATATTAAAAGGTGCCTCTTTACACAGTTTTCAAGTTTTCACCCCTCTTTTTCCAACAACTTTTTCTCCTTTCAAAAAAGAACCTTTTCAATAGAAAGATTTGAAAAGACGCTACATTTACCCACTGTTATAGACGATGTCGCAGAAATCGTAACGCTATGTCGCAAGCGATATTGCTCGCCCTTCTCTGCGACCTTGCAAACGTCTTGCGCTATATCGCTCTCTAAAAAACAAAATATTTTATTTCTCAGTAATTTCCTTCTTTTCAAGGTCACTGAAGTGGTAACTTCGCTGCGTCGTGAAGGCGTTCGACGTGAGAATTGCCGGAAAAACGTCGGTCGGGCCGTTTATTCCTTCAGTCCCTTCCAGATGCACTTCTTGCCCAAGGTTGGAATGTTTAGGGGCAGTTTGAAAGAAGTTTAGTCAGAAAAAGTTCTCTTTTCGATCTCTTTAGTATAAGGTTTCCGTTCTAGGTAAGATTGAAATTTAGAAATAAGTCAAGGAGTCCAAATCCATTTTCAAAGTTTACAAATTTATCCGTTTTCCTATTTTTTTATGACAAAAAAATATAAATTTGAATATCCAGTCAAAAACAGTTTGATAATTTTTTTCAAATATTCAACAAACCAAAAATTTCGAACATCTTTGAACTTTTTATGATTTTCAGGCTTTCCGACCGCCGAGTGGTACCCATTCTCAATCCGTTTCCAGCTAGATTTCATTTCCTGTGATAATTTTTTTTGGCTCAGTTTCATGAGCCCATTCTAACTTAATTTCATAATCTTTAATTTTTAAATTAATTTTTGTTCTTCTCCGGTTCATTGGATTTCTCAATTCGACTGGGTAATTTTTTCTGGGTTTGAACGAAGGGTCGTCCTGTTTTTTTTTTGCGGTGAAAAACGGTTCCTTAGTTCAGATGATATTCAGCTAATCAGTTAATTTTTTTATTTCGAGATTTTAATTATGGTTTTAACTTTATTCCATTTCATGACACAATTGAATTACTGTATCCCTTAATAATGTTTAAATTTAACTTGAAAAGGCCTTGATCGCACTTGGAATGGCTGGGAAATTTACAATGCGTCCGACTAGAGAAGACTTGCGCGCGTGGGGATTAGGAAGCATTAGAGCAACTTCTTGAAATTCGCGTTTGGACCGCTGCGCGACCGCGACGCCTAGATCCATTCCAAGTGCGACCACGGTGTGTTTTCCTCCCTCCTTTCAAAGAAGTACTAACTAGTCTTTAATTTATTTCTTTATCATTTTTCTTTTTGAAGATTGTATCATTTTTTTCAGTACCCCCTCACTTTCATTCTTTCCTTACCATACACATATTACGGCATCTCACTTTTGAAAGTAACCCAGTTTTTTTTTTTAAATCCTCCGGTATTTTGAATAATTTGTGATTTTTTTCAATGTTCTTGTCTACCCAGTGATACTTTTCGATTTTTTTGGAGGTAAAGTGATCTTTTTTTCAAAATTGCGACGATTCAAATTTCATGCATCATGAATAAAAAAATTCCCTTTTTTTGAATTTTTTTGAATTTTTTTCTGTTGCCTTGGTTCTGAAACTATTTTTGATGAGAAGAAGTGACTTTTTTTCAGGATTTTCAGAAAATTGAAGATTTAAGGAAAAATGTCCTGGCTCATTTCCGAGTGGTGGGCGAAAAGCGTTGGCCGTTTCCATGGGAACGGGCTTTGGCTTTGAAAATTGCAGGTAAAGAGAAATTATGTTTTATTTATAATTTATTAATTTTCCTTGAATTCTTAGATTGTTATAACGTTTTTTTAGGTCTTCTATGTTCGTAAAACATCTTGGTGTCTCAAAAATTATGAAGTTCGATAGCAGATTTTGAAATTTTTTGAAAAACTAGGTTTTTTATTTTCATATATCAACTGATTTGACGTGAATTTTTCGATTATAGAATCGTTTTTTTTTCCGGAGTCAATGCACTGGATCGCTTTTTATTGAGAAGTGTAGGGACGCTTTGAATTCGAAACTAACTTGCAAAATCAATTTTGTTGAAAATGTCTTTGAAAATTTAAAAAGACTTTTTTCGCTTCAAATACGAAGAATTCTAGTTTGAAATAACTTTTTTTTTCTCAGAAAGATCTTTCAGAAGAAGAATTTGACGTAAAAAAATTGATATTCATCTGACAAAAACAGCCAATAAATATATTGATTGATGATACAAGAAACAGGTGATTTTTTCAAAATTCAATAAAAACCGCTTCATTATCGAATATATTCCCCTGTTTCTATATTCTTCCTGATTCATCTTTTTTTGTGGGCTTTTTTCAAACCTTACACTATTCATTAAAGAAATGACCAATTCGGAAAAAGTGAACGGCGAGGACATCTGGCAAGACCGCGAGATTCGTTTCGACGTCGATCACAAGTTCGTTTCCAACTCAACTCAAATAAAAACTATGATATTTTTCGATTACTCCGATTGATAAATGGAGAAGTTCAAGTCGAGAAGATGGAGCACGTCGAGGACACCAAGGGAAACAACGGAGATAAAGGCGAATCTTTGAATGAATTGATGTTGATTTTTCGCGCAGAAATTTGTCTTTATTCCTTTTTCAGTTTCCTCTGAGCTCCTTAGGAACGGCAGAGAGGTCCCTAGAAGGGTTGGGGTTGGAAAAAACCCCTACAGGGGACAAAATAGGGATCCCTAGAGGGCTTTGATTTAGGTGGTCTTTATAGGAGTTCAGGTTCCGATCCTAAACCTCTAAAGTTCAAGCGGTCCCTTTCCTTCTAAATTTTTGTTCTGTTTTGAAAAGACGTACTAAAACGACTTATAGGGAAAACTAGCATTCTCCCCTTGAATGGCCACTTTTTTAAGCTTTAGAAAGCCCTACGGGAAAAGGTAAGATTCCCTGATTCCAATCTGAGAGAGCCCTCAAGGTTGCCCCTCTAGTGATCACTACAAATTAGGTGGCCCCTTTAGGAGTTTTGGTTCTAGTCCTCTCAACCTTAAGTGGTCCCTATAGCGGCCTTTTGAATTTTTTTCAATAATTTTAAACCAATTTTTCCTTTTTGTTCAGTGTTCCGATTTTTACGTTAGAAAAAAATATGGAGGCCAAAAATTAAATAAGACATTTCTGCACGAAAAAAATTGAGACGATAAAGTGAAAATGAAGTAATTTTCTAAGAAAAAAGCGAAATTCGAGACTTTACAAGCTTTTAAGGAGGAACTTTTATTATTCTGTATAATTTTACTCATTATTATAATCCTTCTTAAACAGGAATCATGAGAGTGACGAATTTGCGACTGATTTGGCACGCCTCCAACATGCCACGAATCAACATCACCATCGGCTGGAACTGCATCACAGGCGTTCAGAGTCGCCAGGCGTCCTCCGTACGTCTTCGGATCATCTTCTCCGACTTTCCGAGTTTCAGAGAGTCCGCGGATCGGCCTGTGAAGCCGTCTACGTCCTCGCCAAGGTCGCCTCCTCGGCCACCAAGTTCGAGTTCATCTTCACCACCACGAATACTTCGGTTCGTTTGAATGTCGCCGAGGGGGCTTGTTGCGGTCGCGTCGCGGTTTTCCACGCAAAGAATTAGAAAAAGAAGGGGTTTTACTTAGAAATGCCGGAGTGGTCCCTGTAGTGCGACCTAAGGGACTATTTGAAGGCTCCTCTCTAGGGACCACTTTACCTCTTTTTATAGATGACACTAAAGCTTGCAAAAGTGGCCACTCTAGGGGTTTTAGCCCATGCTTCCTTTTATCTTTCTAATCACAAAAAAAAATAAAGAGACAGTTTTGGACTTATAACTGAAGTCAAACGTCAGCCAATTTTTTACCTTTTTTTTTCTTTAATGGTTTTTTGAAAATTTATTAATTTTTAACGGTTTTGCACCTTTAGCTAAATTGGAAAAAGATAAAAACTATAAATTTTGCCGAAATTTTGTTTGATCCTAAAACTTCGTCAAAATCCGCAGCCACGCTAATAAAAGAAACAATTTTTTTCATTTCTCCGTTCTCAATATTTTCTGAGAAACAAAAATTCCGATTTTTTGATATTTTTCTTATTTCCCTCAGTTTTTGAGCCATTTCTTGATTATCGATTCTTCAACGACAGTTTTTCTGGTCAATGAAAAAAATTTTTGTTTTTTTATTCATTAACCTTTGGAAACAAGTTGTTTAACAACAAAATTTTTCAGACGCATTCTCGCCTTTTCACCACGATCAACTCACTCCACCGCGCTTATGAAACGACAAAACTTTACAGGTTTTGATTGAATCCTAAAAAGTTAAAATGAAAAATAGATTTGAAGAGAATTAAAAATGCGCGGCTCTTTGATTGAAGACGACGGAAGTCTGAGGCTTCTGCCCCAGGAATACCTCTGTGAGCGGGTCAAAGGCGTTTGGAACCTCTCGACCGATCAGGTTTCTTCTTTATTCATTCCTTTTTTGATATTTTATTGACAAGGTTTCTTCACTTTTCCCCGCAAAACAAATTCCTGAACATTCTGCCAGAATTCTCGCAAGTCGTTTCTTCTCCAATGTTGAAATATTTACTAGCTCATTTTACAAGGCGTTTTCCGCCCTAAAGAAAACGGGACAAGCTGGCGCAGAATCGGCTATATGGGACTTTTCAGGGAAATCTGGGCGTTTTCGTAATAACGAACTGCCGAGTCGTGTGGTACGCCGAACTGAACCCCCTGTACAACGTCTCAGTTCCCTACTTGACCCTCTACTCGTGCCGAATCCGCGAATCCAAGTTCGGACTCGCCCTCGTTCTGGAAACGACTTCCTCGGTTCTTTTTTCTCTTTTGATCCGAAAGATAAGTTAAAAATCATATTCCTAAATAGGACCTAATCACTTTTTCTCAAGCTTTTTAAAATCCTATGAAAAATTTTACATTAATGTGTTCATTTCTAACTGAAACAGACCTCAAATTTGAAGTTACTGGGAATATTTCCAGTGAAATCTCTTCTCGTTAGTTCTAGCTCAAGAAAAAAGAATGAAATAATTGCGAATAATTTCTATATAAATAATCCAGTTTTAGGACTTCTCGTTCATCAAAAAGAAGTTTTAATCTGATCGGATTTCGGAACTTTCAAGGCTCTTTCGGAAATTAGGAAAAAAGTTTTTTTTTTTTGAAGCAACCGTAAATTTATTCAGTTCTGTTGCAAACTTTGAGCAGAAAGGCAAAAAAAAAAACGTAAAAAGTTTAATCAATTTTTTCTAGCCTGAACTATTTTTACCTTCTTATAAATTTCCTGCACATGATTCCCGTTTCACGGAAGCCTTTTTTTTTCAAAGCCAACAAGAATTTCGTTGAATATCTACAAACGAAGGGTATGCCGTGTTCGAAGCGATTTCCGCTTATTTTAAGTTATCTCTGACTCTCCAAAATTTAGTTATCTTCCTCCCTCTCTAACAGTTATTTCGAATTTCGCTTTGAAAGTTCATATAAATTATAAAAGTCGAGTTTCGATAAAACATTTTTCTCAGAGCGGCGAGTACGTCCTCGGCTTCCGGATCGACCCCGGCGAAAAGCTGCAATCGACCTGCAAATCGATCCAAGCTCTTCATAAAGCACATCTTCTTAAGCCTATCTATGGTGTTTCCTATGTTCGGGAGCGTGGGGTATCTCGTGAAATTGGAAAATTCTGAATATAAATAACGAAAACAGGCCCCGAAAGTGACGGAAGTGAAGAATCGAGAAGAGGAGCTTCAGCCGGACAATTTGGAGGACGACGTCGAAATCGAGACCCACGGAGTTCGGCCCGACGCTTTTGCTGTTCGTTTCGCTGATTTTTTTGGTCCCTCGAGGGTTTTATTATTTCCGTTCTGGTTTAAAAATTGGAAATATAAATTATATCAGTTCATTTTCTGTTGATATTTGGTTATCCACATGGAAATGCTTCTCATAGGTTCATTAAAACTGACTAGCATGTCCCCTATAGGGGCCACTTTCGCAAGCTCTAGTGTCCCCTATAGAGCGAAGTAAAGTGGTCCCAAGAAGGGCTTCTAAAAAAAATCAAAAAAAGGTGTCAAAAGACGCCCCTGTAGATAGTGACCCCTTTGGGGTTCCGAGGCAGGCCTAAAGGCTTTTTTAAAAATTCATAGACAAAATTCATTATTATGCGTTGAACAGCTTTTTAAAGGGTATTTCAAGTTCCTCAAGACTTCCTCACCATTAAAAATCACAGAAAAGTTCAAAAATATGACTTTTTCTCAAAATTGAATCAAAATTCAGGCCTACTTCGACGGCGGCTGGGCGCCCTCAACTGAAGAGAAGAAACTTCCCGTTTTGAGCTCGGAACTCGGACTTTCCATTGAACCTCTCCGTGAGGGCTTTTCCGTTCGAGACCTCTGGGAAATTAATGTTGAATAAATCTTTCTATCTTTTTTGAAATGATCCTTTATGTTCTGAATGTCATCATTCAATTCATACCAATGAAGGCATTGCTGTTTTTTCCAGGAATTTTCAAAAACTGTAAAAATTAAGTCCAATTGATGGTTTCTTTAACGGACCGACTGATGGTCGTTTTCTGTGAGACGGAGGCCGACGATTTGCTTTTCCAGAAGGCCCTTGAATGGACTGAAGGCTGTCCAGATGACGTCGTTTTCTGGGTTCGTCGGAAGCCGATTTGCAAGTGGGTGAAGAGAAAGAATTAGTGGGATGGTCATTAAAACCCTAAGAAGTGAAACTAGGACATTTTAGGACAGTAGTGTACCTTAGAACTTAGCCGACATTGCTAAAAAAAAAAAGATATTTTATGATTTTATTAAAATATTCCTTCTCTTGGGCAAAAAAGACGATGTTCTCTCGAGAACCGGCTAAATTCAAAACTTAATATTCCAGAATCCCGTCGATCCCGACGTCATGGGCAGCCAAAATTTGGGTCTTGAAACAATTACGCTTTCGCTACGCAGAAAACGTCGCATTGACGTAAGAAATGCATTTTTGTGAAGTTTTTTATTCATTTTTCTTCAAAATGCTTTTCAGAGCGGCAAGAATCGCTGGTTCTGAGAAGTCCCTGGAGGATGTTGCTGCCATTTTTGTAAGTTTGTTTTTATTTCGATTCAACTGCAAGATAAAATCTTATACTTTTCTTGGCGCGACATCGGATTGAATGATGTTCCTCAGCATAATTCCATTCTTCCTTTTTTTTTTTTCAAAGACTTGACCCAGCCCTGAACCAGCTATTCTGAAAAATAAAATCATATTTTTTCCTCTTTCCGCGTTCCCTAGAAAAAAAAAAATTTATTCCGCTTTCCGCGCTCCGAAAATTCGGACCGATATTTGAAAATTGACCTTCGCCTATCTTTTCTGCTGTGATTCAAAATATTTTCCGTTTTCAAAGGTCACAGTAGACGGTGACGCGGTGACGACTGTCGGTTTCGCGACTTTACTCGCCCTTCTCGCCCAGTTTTGCGTCGCCGCCGAAGCAAGGGCCGTGGTTGCCGTGAATGTGTTCGGGCCGGCCAAAGAACTCGAAAAAAGGCCTGAACAAGCCGAAGAGGACACCTTCGATCATCTCGATGAGAGCTTCTCGAGTTGGTTTTTTCATCGAAACAGAAAAATGCAATTTTTACGAAAAAAGTTTCATTTTTGCATCAGTTTGACATTTCCATCATAAATTTAGCTTCGAGAAGCGTTTTGGGAGAATGAACTTGAATTTTTAGTTTTTTCCCTTCTAGGATCCAAAAAGATTTTTTTCCGTCTTCAAGCGAAATTTCATTTTTTTTTTTTATAGCCCAGTTTGCCCATTTTATCTACAAAAAAGGCTAAATACCAGATTCGGCCAACTTCGCTTCAAGACCTTTTTTGTTATTTTTTCGCAGTTTTGTAGTGCAAGAAAAGATGTGGTTACGGTACCTTTTTTTCTGCTGTGCTTTTGAAACTTGACTACCCTTATTGCAGAACATGAATCGTGTTCAGTTCAACCAGAAACGACGCAGTTATTTTGGAATCTTGACAACGATCCCGAGTATATAGCTCTCGGTGAGTTTTCCCGTGATTTCAGATGCTTTATAATCAGAGACGGGTCGCCCTGGGCCGACCCGAAAAGCAACCAAATTGTCAGAAGAGCCTTTTTTCTTAATTTCTCACACATTTCCTACATTTTCATATTCCATTTTTCGAGACTTTTGTTTTTCTCTGCGCTCTCTTCGTCTCTTGACGATCTTCTCGTGCTGCCGTGCTATTTTCATGCTTCTCGGAATTCACCGGTGAGGGAACAGAGAGACGCAGACATTCGGAAACTTTGAATTTCGCGGTGCGGGCCGACCCAGGGCGGCTGCTTCAAATCGCGGGCTGTCCCAGCGCGCCCCGTTTTCGGCTTTCTGATAATAATAATTTCTTGATTCAGTGATCATGGAGAAGTTGATCGATGACGTCGTGGCCGCCGAAAAATCAGTTCCAGAGGCCGATGGAGCACAAAAAGGTTCTTCTTGAACTTTATCACACAAAAAAAGCAAATCGAAAGAATCCGCTGTATTAGATTTTTATGACAGTCTTTGAAAAACATATTTAATCTATCAAGATTTAAAAGAACGATTAAAGAAATTTTTCAGAATATCTTCTCCCTGATAATTATTTCGCTGAAATGGATCCTTTGACTCGTGAAGGTTTTTTTCAATCGTTTCAATTCCAATCAAATTACATAACAGGTGCCAAATCGCCGTTTTGCAATGCAATCGAACCAAAAAGTCAGGTAAAATTTAACTCAGAAGAAGCGAAATCACATATTTCTCGTCTCAAGTTGTTATCTTCTATGTACACTCGCTCAATATGTCGCTTTAATTGTGATGATGGAGGAGATTTAGTGGCTTTGGTATGAAATTGATATTTACCATTCTTATCTGGTCAAAATAATCTCAGGTTTATATCACTTCTTAGGAACTTAAGAGGGGTCTCCATTGGGGCTACCTTAGGATCCCTTGATGGCTGCCCTCTAGGGATCACTTTGCATCCCCTATAAGGCCACTAAAGCTGACGTGGGTTAAAAAAACATTGAAAGACCCTATAGGGACCCCTTGAGCTTTAGGGGATAAGAAAACGTTTCCTCTACAGGTCTCTTTTCCCTCGGACCCCTATAGAGGCCACTCTGGCGTTTCTAAGTCATTCTAACTCAGGTTGTATCCTTTTCTATATATTCTCTGTATTCGTACTCACAATTTAAACTGTTTTTTCGAATTTTCAAACAGAATGAGAATTACAAGTTTTATAGTTAATAATAAAAATTTAGCAATGAAACGAACAAGAATGGTGAAAAAAAAACTAATTGTGCCGCAAGCACAAAAAATAATGGGTGCAACAAATACATATGGTGCTTTTTGAAAAATTATACATTTGATTTTTTTTATAAAACAAAAATACAGAAAAAAAAATAGGAATAAGTTCGAATCTACTCGCATATATGGACATATATACAGTAGGTGCGGGAAAAATAGAGGTCTATAAGGAATCTAACCGGTTGACCAACAGATCTCCCATATAAAAGTCTTTGAAAAACTAGAAACACAACTATTTTTGCGTGAAAAAGTACCTGAATGGTTTTGGGGTGAAGAGGAGATTTCAAACAACAAAAAAAGCAAAAGGTATATGCGAAATATTACAAGTGAACTCACAACGCTTCAAATTTCTTTTAATTAACAAAACTAGCGAATGAGGTCAAAACGAACATGTTGATCATGAGTATTAAGCAGTGAAGAGGCTGGATGTTTCAGAAAGAAAAAAAATAATATTCAACCAACGTTTAGCCGTAACTTCACACTGTGTTGAAAAAGGAAAAACACCGGGGAAAACTAAGGAATTGTTTCGAATTTTATCAAAAAAAAAAACTATCATATTCTTGAGGAATAGCGAGAAAAAAAATACAAGCACCGTATAAAGAAAGGTTTGAGAGCCGTAAATGATGTTACGAATGAATTTTGAAATTTCTAATCCATTATAGATCTAACGTGGTCGGAAAAAAAAAATCCATAACCTCTCAAACTTGTAACTTCGTTCGCGAACTCTCAACCTTCCTGAACACAACCTTAAAATTAAAGAAAAATGAACGATAAGACTGGAATCACGATCAAAAGAGCCAATGAAAGATCAGAAAAAGTCAAGGGTGCTATCGACAAATCGATTGGTCCATGATTTCAAGAAAAAGTAGCTGAGAGAAGAGATTTGAGCTTTATTGAGAAGCAAAGAACAATGGGCTCTACAAGCTGCCGTTCCCGCGACAGTAAAATATGGCAAACATCGGAAGAAAATGAAGGAAAGGGGTGGGTTTTTGAGCTAGGAAACGTCGATTCGGATAATAAAAAGTGAGAGAAAAGACAGAGATAAATGATAATGTTATGCGGCCGCACAAAAACCAAAGATTAAAAATTGGTACGATTATTGAGGGAATTTTACATTTTGGGCCTCTTCATTTGCATTCCATTGTGGAGACCGAGGCCGTTGATCATCAGCTGCTGCGTGTCCTGCATGTACATCCCGCGGTGAGGATTCAGAATGTCCAGCTGAAATTTTGAAAAGTTAGATTTCACAAAACAGATTTAAAGAAAATTTTATCAGTTTGGAAAAATCTAAAAGCAAAGAATTTTTTTCGGACGAAAATTCAAAAATTAATTTTTCTACTTTTACCATAGCATAGAGAGCATATTTCTTTGTTTCAGAGCCTTATTTCAGCTCCAGAGAACTCAAATACCACATATAAGACCTTTAAATCTTTTCAAAAACGGAAAAAAAAACTACCGGCGAGCTGTTGTCGTCGCTGAGAGGCATTCCTTTCAGACAGACGCACCGTTGTTCTCTTTCTTGCAACAGCGCCGTCACTCGTTCGAGTTCTCGTCGCAGCACTTGGTTTTGCGTCTGAAAAATGTCTTGGATTGAAAAAAAATAATCAAGTTAACTAGAATTATTTTAAAACAAATTTTCTCACAGGAGAACGACTGAATTTTCGAGATAAAAAGGTTCTCAAATCAAAAAATTCATTTCAAAAAAAGTTTCCTCTTTGCGACTGACGTATAAGGAGGAGTATCAATAAAATCACACAAACTTGAAATCTACTTTTCTCCCTTTTCATTTTAATGTTTTCCGTAACAATCTTTAAAAAAACTGACGGCTAGGGTGGCTTTGTCCTGTTCGAGGCCCTGCACACGACCGATCATGTCGTCGTGCTCCTCCTTCTTGCGCTTGCGGTACCGAACCGCGGCGGCCTTGTTCCGCTCCAGAATCGTCATCCTGCATTGTGCACTACTATAAGTTCGGGTTGATCAAACTCAAAGTCGTCGCACAAGCAATCAACAAACACAGAGATAGTGGGGGTACGAGGAAAAGGAAAAAATAATTTTTTGAAGAAGGATTGAACTGATGGAAAGTTTTCAAGAATACTTTCTTAATGTCAAAATAACTTAATTTCAATGGAAAATCAGATTCAAAAAATTGATGAACTGCAAAATTTCATTAACTAGGTTAAACTTTGAAAAACTTGAAAGTTAAAAAGTTCAAGATTTATCAATAGCGCGCCAATGCTCAAAAAGTTCTAAGCCAAAGGGTAGTTTTTTTCTAGTGCTTTTTTTACAGTTAATTTTTTTGTATAACTATAAAATATAAAGAAATTCAAAAATTTGAGAAAGAATGAAGAAGTTTTGAACCATCACAACGACTAAACTCTGTTCACCGATAATTTGAACCGCAAATTAGATTTTTCAAACAAATAGTATCTTTTTTTCAAGCGGTTTTTTTGTCTCAAAAAAATGGAGATTGTTAAAAATTCGAAAAAAAGATAATATAGGTACAAAAAAGCGGCGAACAAACTACATAGAACACAAAAAGAGGACATGGAAGGAATTGCGGCGGACCTTCGCTCATCGGGCGGCATATCGGCGGTGGTCGACCGACCACGACCCCGTCCGCGTCCTGGAGTAGGCGTCGGTCCGTTGCTCGTCGTTGGGGTCATCTCCCGTTCGGATCCGCTTGAGCCAACGCTGCAAAAAGTTGCGAATTCGAGGGATCATTTCTACGATTTCACGGTTTCAGGTTTAAATTTCAAGAAATAGCTATACTTGAACATCAATTGATCAGACGACATTTTCGTGAAGTATGAAAAATGGTCTTCAAGCTCTAAAAGAAAATTTTTTAGGGCTTGGATCAAAACAACAAATTTCTTGAATTTTCAGCTTTTTGATCTAATATTCAATTTCCAAGCTAATTAACTGGAATTTTCCACTTCAAAAGGCTATTTGACTCTAGAAGTCTTCTTTTTTCCTCTAAATTACCATTGTCGGTTGCGGTCGGGCTTGAAGTCGTCGAGCTGCATCAAAGAGCCGCCATTCATCCCGACTTCGCCAAAGTAACCAAGTTCACTCTGAAAAAATGAGGCCCGATTAATAGATAAATTTTGGAAAAAAAATAGAATATCCCTTATTCGTCAAGTAGGTGAATTTAAAAAGAGAAAAAAAAAACTTAAAAAGATCAAAGTCTCGTTTGTCCACTAAAAATGATAAGAAACCAATGATGGCCTGTTTGATTCCCCTCTTTCTTGGTAAAAAAAAAGACCAACCTAGTTCGGCAGTTTGTTTTCCTAATAAAGCGACATACGATAGGAATATTCGAAAATTTTTTCGATTTATCCTGCTTCAATAATATAACAGGGGAAAACTGATTGATTGATGTTAAATTTTTACTATTTTGGATTTCTAGCGAACTTGTTGTTTCACAGCAAGTTTTACAGCGACTTTTAAAAAATTTCAGAGCAATTCTCACGAAAATGCTTGAAGGAAAAGCTCTGACCGGCTTAGAAACCGGCGGTTTGACGTCACGAGGATCCCAGTCGCTGAAGTTGGCGTTGCTGCCTCGGATGCCGGCGAGCTCGAGCAGGTTGGGGTTCATGGAGGCCAGATGAGCTGCAGCAGCGGCGACACTCGACTGAGACACCGAGGAGACGTCGGACCCGGCAGGCGACCTTTGCGGGTGATGCAGCGAATGTCCGTTGTGTTGTCCTCGAGCCCTGTAATTTTTTGCTGGTTAGCGTTTCAGAGCATCTCTTGTCATTTTGCTCATAACTCCGAGAATATCACCCAGTTTCCTACTATTGCCATTTTAAAAATACTTTTTCCTTAGATTTCTTATGACTGATGATCGCCGAGCAACGTGTTTTCATTTTTCCTTAGATTTCTTATGACTGATGATCGCCGAGAAACGTGTTTTCATGCTTGTGGTGATGAAAACTTCAGCAAGGAATTTGATTCTTCTCTTTGAATTTTTGAAGACTCGAGTATTTTACAAAGAGATTTTGCTCAATTCCAAACAATACAAAACCGTTTTCAAGCTGTGGCTCGGAAGTTCTAATTTTTTTTTTACTTTTAAGAGAATTGTTACCAACCAAGTCTGTTCTCTGAAAGGTCCGGTAGCCTCAATTACTATTTATTCTTCCCATTTCCTAATTTTTCCTTGATCCTACGAACTTACTCGGCGCCGTCTCTCGGCGAATGAGCTGGCGTTGTTTTTGACGGTGGCGCTAATAATCCTAAAATGTGAATAGTGAGATATGATTCAACTTTTCCATTTCGATACCGCCACTGGTAGAAGGTGCACAAATCGCGTTGCTCAGTATACTCGCCGAGTTCGGGGCCGAAGAAGAAGGATTCATAAGAGCCGAAAAGTCCGGTCTGAAGAAAAAAAGTCGATGAAATCTCAATTATTGAAGATCCAATGACTTGTTGATGTAGTTGATGGTGTGTAACCGGTCGGAATGCATGTCGAGGACAGCATTTAGAACGTCGGCCGTTCTTGGCGCCTGTCCAGCGGAATCGCCGGCCTTTAAATTGATTGCTAAGTTGGAAAGGTTGAGAATGAACAAAACACGGGTTTGGGTTGCATGAAAGCCATTCACCCTTTTTTTTAAATGCATTTCTTTTTCTTCCCACGATAAAAAATAGGGCAAAAAGGAATCCAAGTTATCGTTTTTGGACCTCTTCCTCTTATTTTTATTTTTCTAGCTTGAAAATAGACCAAAAACTTGAATTTTATCGCTTGAAAAGGATCTCTTCCCACTCAGTTCAGACAAAAATTTTTCGAACGGTCGCATTTGAAATGCCCTTTCGATTCGCGATTCGCCGCATTCAAAAATATATTCTACCCGTTTTTTTTTCAACGAGAGAAAAAAAAAAGCTAAAAGAACCATTTCCAAAAAAAAAAACCGAACTTTATATTCTTTACGAATGCGATAAATTAAAATTTTCAGCGGAAAACCACGTAGAGAACTCTTTTTTTGGAGAAATTTTTTTCGATACACCACTCCTCACTATTTTGCATTCTCGGGGTTCGCAGCAACGGAGGAGGTACGACACAAAAGGTTGGAAAGCGGTTTTATCAACGCCATAAATGTCATTTTCTCGGCCAGAACCCGTGTTAAAACAAAATAAAAGAAGGTAAAAAAGCAAACGTTACTGACAGCACTCACTGCGGACAGCAACTTGGAAATGTCGGCCGTTTTGAGGTTTTCATGAGTGATTCCTTCGTGGTCGTTTGTCGCTGCCAATATACTTAAAAAGAGAAACTTGACTTTCTGACTGGGGAAATATTTCTTGCCTAATATTGGAAAAAATCCCGGGCGATTGTTGTAACGTCGACGGTGGCAACTTCAGGAGGAGATCCGTCACTGAAACTCTAACTTTGGAGAAAGTCTCGAAGTATATTATCTGGTGAAGAAAGAGTTGATCCACTTAAAACAGAGTCCATTTGAGTCTCCGAAAACCAGTTTTTGAAAGGAAAAATGACAAAAAATTAGATAATTTTTTTTTGAAAGTCTAAGCTTATATATTCAAATTAAGAATCAACTTCTTTTCGATAATCTTTTTATGAACTTTCTACGCTCAATAAAGGGGAAAACTACTACTCGAAACATGATGATCCGTGAACGTTTCTCTAGGGCTTTATTATTAAGATTCAAATCCCAAGCGTCTTGTAACATCTTTTATATTTGGTGATATTTTCCAATCAAAAATCTCCTCTTCTCACCAACAACTCCCTAGTAGCAGTAGTGAGAAAATTGTGTATTTTCATACTTTTTTTTCGTTTTCCAACATGAATAACTCACTAGTGGCGCTAGTGGGAAGACAGCCGCTGGCCATGGGAACCAGGCCGTTGGCCTCCATCGCCTCCAGGGTGCTGTTGGCGCTGCTGACGGCCGCATTCAACGAGCTCGAGTTGTTGATCCGTTGGTTGGCCTCGCGGAACTTGGCCTCGAACGGGTTCACGTGCAGACATCGTTGCATGAGTTCGGCGGTCGTCGGCAGATCCGAAACTGTAATGTTGGCTTGGGCCGCTACTCGGGGAATGTCGGTGCAAGTGCAAAACCAACACGTGAGTTCATGCAAAAACTAAAAAGGGGAAGGGGGGTGACCTTTAATTTTGAATCAACTTTTTTGAAATCTTGAGGACGATGAGGTTCCGAAATTTACATTTTTTCAAAAGTTCAAATGAGAAAAGGTGCTAAAAACTTGAAAAACACAGGATTGCAACCACATTTCACTGCACACGACATTCAGAAGGAAAGACCAAATACCTAGAGGCGTGAAGAGCAATTTGGGATTTGGCGTCTCCAGGCCGTAGGTCGGCGAGGGGTTGTCCATGATTTGGACGCGCTAAAAATGAACAATGAGTTAATGAGAAATGCCCACGGCGCCAATTGTTCAAACATCTTCACGTAATCTCTGTATTTTTAAAAAGCTTATTGCTCCGACTTTTCCCAAAAAATTGTATTTTTGAACATTCTTCCTCTCTTTTCTGTTAAAATTCAAGTTTTTTTTCACAAACTCTTCAAAGAATTTTCTAAAAACTGATACTAGTATAACTTCAGCCAATTTTCGGATTGAAAATAATTTAAGAATTCTCGCGGTAGATATATTTACCATTTGCTGGAGTAAATCCCGCAAATATCCATTGAGTTCTGGCGCATAAGGATTCGCCACTTCGTTCATTTCGAAACTTAAAGTAAACTTCTGTATAAACGAGAAATGAGATCTAGAATCGACGAGAAATAGAAATAAGAAATGTTTGCAGATTCTTCAGAGCGAAAGAATGAAGATTTAGCAGGGACGAGAGGTCTTCGGAAAGGTCTTGAGAAGAGAAATCCTACAAAAGATTAAGGTAGAGGAAGAAGAAACCTATCAATTATAGTTGAAAACTTTCATCAAACACCAGTTTCCAATCAAAAATGAAGGGTTTCAAAAAAAAAAGTTCTGTTTCAATTGCACCTACGATTTTGACGTCGAAAGGGAAGTCTCAAATTTGAAAAACTTAAAAAAAATCATGATTTGGGAATGTAAAACCAAGCTTCTCGTTTTCCATTATTTTAAATGATGCTCAAAAAAATTTTAAACTTTCATTAAGGCGTACAAAAAGTTTAGATGAACGGTGAACCTTTCTTGTAGGAAGTTAGAACTTTGCAAAGAAAAAAGTGATGAAAGTTCGAAAAAAGAATTATTGAAGCGATTTTTCACCGAAGTTATCCGGATTTAAAAACTTTTACCGGGATTAATGAAATCAAAGTATATCCATTTGCAAAAAAATTTAGCAAAAAAACATTTTTTTGTATGGATTCCTTAATCTTTTATAAAAAAAGAAGCCCGCAAAACTAACAGCGTTGGTTTCGAAAAAAAGGCTCAAAAATAGTTGGATAAATTTTAATCTCGATAAAAAACATGGTATCAACTTCAAGATAAAGTTTGATCTTACAAAAAAAGCATAGTCCAAACTAAAAATCAGAAAACTTGTGCTTAGAGGTTGAAATTTCACAAGGTTACCCACGAAATCAACCACAATCTATCAATGTGTCAGAGTAAAAGCACGTGAGAGACCAAAGTTGGGCGAATGAAGACGTCGAAAAAAGGGTCACAAAAATCGTTCTTCTCTCTTTTTTCGATCATTATTTTTCCGCGAAACGAACATTTGACGTCGTCGTCGCCTTCTGACGTAGAAGATCGCAAACAAAAATCGCCCAGGCAGCTGCTTTTTTTTTTCAAACCAATTAAAGCTGTCCCAAACCGATCCAGCAAAATGTCTATTTTTCTCTCATTTCTATTTTACGTCACGCTCTTTTTTACTCTTATAAGAGTTTTGACCTTTTAAAAATCCTTGTAAATTCGCACACAGGTGTACAAGTTTAGAACGGATTCAAACAACAATTAGAATTAAATTTCGCCTTGGGAATTCAATAAACTCTCTATGTTCCTTTAAAATTTGTGCAAGGATTTTTAAAATGAACTATACTTCAAACAGTGAATTCTGTTAACTGCAAGCCGTATTTCTTGAGGAATTTTCCGAGAGACTTGCTTGAAAATAAAGCTTTTGATTTGATTTTAAAAAAAACAGCTAAAAAAAAAGCTAGGGAGTCGATCTTAAAGTTATAAGGAAATAATTCTAAAATGGCCACTACAGTAATAGAGAAGGAATCATCAAGCCAAAAAATCTTGAAAAAATGATCTCGATTGACCGGTGAAGATACCAAAAATCGAGGGAGATCCAATCGTCTTGATTTCTCTCACCAGTTGAAAGAAAGAAGAAAGTTCTTTTCGTCGTAATGGGCACATCAGATGAACACAACACACGGCACACAGCCTAGATTTCACAGTTCAAGAAGCAAAAACATTTCGCCGAAAAGTAGAACGGAAGATCGTCGCCGGTTACGTCATTCTTCTTTTTTATCGTAACAAATTGATATTCGAGCCATCGAAATACATAATAACATACTGATTGCCACAAGAAACTTTCTTGACCCTGTAAAGTCTTCTAGTTCTACATCTAGTCAACTTCTAAAATAAAGGCAAAAAACATACTTTTTGGTAAAGCTTTTTTTTCAACTTTTGGTTTTATCTATTGAATTTTCACAACAGTTCGATAGAACTGAAAACAATAACTATTTCTAATATCGAATTCCAAAAGATGTAAAGCCTGATCATTGATAAATTGCCAACTTACTGCTTCATGGGTCAAAACTATCAAGTTTTTTTTTAACAAGATGTTTTTGGTACCTTGAACTATTCCTAAAAAATTTTTAACATTTGATCCAAAAGGGGGAAAAAAAGGAATTAAAATCATTCGGCTAGAACCTTTCGAGAAAAACAAAGTGGTAGAAGGAGACAGAAATGAAAACCGAGAAAGTCTAGGACATTTTCTAGACATTTATACGGCTTTTTGAAGCAAATTTCATTCTGAAAAAAACATCTGCTTATTTTCACTACTACGCACGCGGGTGGAAGGCTATTCCGATCTTTTGCCAATGTCTAAATGTTGCAAAACTTTTCAGGTGTCTGAAAATTTAACTTGTGCGTCATTAAAAAGGCGAGCCACCCTTTCAGATTATTTTCTCTGCGATTATATATGTTTATATCTGAAGTTTGAGTTTGAAATAATCGATTCTAATTTAGAGCTTTCTTTCCAGAGAAATGTATTTTCCAAAATTGGTGAAATTTCCGGTTGAGACAAATTTTTACTGCGGTTCACTTTAAGGAGCTTTTTTTAATATTCTGGTGTTCATATGACCCAAACTAGCTTAATATTATTTCCATATTCAAAGTGACTTTTTTTTAAATTTTCCACAAAAATGTACCTTTTTGGTGGATTCGGTGCCGGTTGTCGCAGTCGAAACCACCGACATGTCGACCTTGCTCAGAAGGTCGCGTCTTTCGGTCCACAACTGGTTGAAACCGGTATGTGGGGGTCAGCACATCCTGTAGTTCCTCTCGATCGAGGTCCCACAGTCGAAAAACGAGCGATAAATCTGGAAAAGTGGATTATCAGTCAAGTAAATAGTCAATATTGAAGATACGACAATACTTGAGGAAAGAAAATAAATATCGCCTGATCAATGTAAGAATAAAAAAAATAACGATAAAAATCGGAGGACCTAAAAAAAAATGAATTTCTCGAGAAAAAGAGCTGTTCAAGCGCAGTTTTTCGAATGAAATGACTCACTTTTCTTACAAAATCCTTTTTTTGTTGTTTACTATCAATTGTTTACGAAAAAAAAAGTCCAGAAAATGTTTGGGAATTCAAGAGCAAACAATTTAATCCAATTAAATTCCAATCAAGCTTCGAATTTTTTTCTGAAAGGCTCTGAAAGTTTCGAAATATTCAATTGTTGGTCACTGAATTCTTGTTCTTGAAAATAACAATCATGGACCTGATTGGAAGGAAAAACACTTTTTTGCTATTTTTTTGAATATTGTTAATTTTCGAGTTAGCGAAAAAATAGTTCATATTTCTATTTTTGAACAAAATAAATCAGCTACTTTTTCGAAAGCTCGACCTGAAAGCTGGTTTTTTTTGTTGGAAAAACCTAATACCCACTGAAAAACCATTATGATTGTCGTATCGCTGAATATGAAAAAATCAAGGAAAGTTTTCAAAAATATAAAACTGTACGCCCTGAAAAGGCAAACAGATGATAACCACAAAAACGCAAGATATTTTTTTTCAAACCTTTAGCGAAGCAACAATCGAATTCAACAATTTAAAAAAGTTCAAAATCAGCGTGAACAAAAAAGAAGAAAGGAGACTTCGAACTGGATACTTATTTGAAATGAGAGGCTTCAGAGGCAAAAATAGAAAATAGAAAATAACGCTCTCATAAAAAATAAAAATCAAGATTCAAAGTTCCCGTTCAAAATTAAAGATGTTAAAAATGACGTCACAACAAAACAAAAACAAAAAAAAGTCACGCGAGAGAATACGAAAAAAGGAAACACTGGATAACTGATTATGAAAGCTTTCAAACACACGAAATCAACACAAAAAGAGGGTGAAGATCGATTTGGAGAGAAGTTGTTTCAAAATGATAAGAGGGGGAAGAAGCAAGTAGAAGGAGAAAAGATTCTTCGTCAGGGGGAGAGAGAATAATCCGAAAAATCAGGAGGCAAAGTGATAAGACCGGAAATCCAGGGCTCATCCAGCTCAGTAGGGAGAGCGCTCGTCGTCCGGCACACGGACGTCATCAATCTTCAGAATCATGCGGACGACCTGGAAAATTCGCAATATTCATGATTCAGAAAAAAAACCAAGAAACTTTCGAAATTAAAGCTCATGTTGAGGTGTCGGTCAAACGATTCCTTTCATAGTTCAAAATCATGTATTTTTGCCCTTTTATTATTCTCAAAAAAATATTCATACTGTGAAAAATAAGTCAAGTTTTGTAAAATATGAACTTTCTCAAATAATTTCTTTTTTTATAAGCTATTTTTCGCCTCATTTGATCTTGAAAAAAATGACAAAAATTAAGTGCGACTATTGAATTGATAAAACTTAATGAATGTACTTGAACAACGGGAATTTTTACCTGAGTTGCCAACGAAATCTGCTCGCGTTTGCTGAGAAGAGTCTCGATGACCTGAAACATGACTGTTTTATTAGAGAAAATAGGTAACTTTCCTTTTCAAAATCTTCTTAGAAAAAAACCCACTTTCTGTTGTTTCATGTCGTTTGTACCAGCAAAGACGGCATCGACACCAAGGTGTGGATTTTTGGTCTCGATTTGCTTCGCCTGCAATCCAAAAATAGGCTTCAGTCGATCACAATAATACAATCTCTTTGCTTATTATCAAATTACTCTGAATTGCGAAAATGAATTGAAGGAAGAAAACAGAAAAGAAGCTTCATTGAATTTATGAATCGACGCTTCTTTTTAACATCATTTGAAACTTATTTTTCATTGGTTTCTAAAAATGAACAAAAAATTAAGAGAGAACTTTAAAAACGCGCCAAAAAGACTTTGAGCGAAGATTTTACAGCTAAATTTGAAGAATTTTCAGATGAATGAAGTAAATTCAAAACTTGGACAGTTCTAGAAAGCTAAAAATTAAGCGACCTCCTTAAAAACTGGAAAAGGGCCTTTTTCTTGAGACGCTCGAAATTTTCTCTCTATGCTTCTTTGAACGAGCCATCAAGTTGATTTGAAGCAAGTTTATTCTTTTTTTCTTTTATAGGATGCTCATTTTCAGCGCAAAAGTGGAAAGACAACGCGCCTTCAAGTCGGAAAGGGCGTCGATCTGAGCAAGTCCGCTGTTCTCAGCCAAGGCCATCGGGATCGACTCGAGGGCGTCGGCGAAGGCGCGGAAGGCGTACTGCTCGATGCCCTCGATCTTGTCGGCCTCCTTGGCGACTTCGATGGCGCAGGCCAGCTCCGCGGAGCCGCCGCCGTAGACGATGCGTGAGTCGCGGACCAGGTTGCGGATCACGCACAGAGCGTCGTGCAAGGCTCGTTTAGCCTCGTCGATTATCTAAAAATGAAAAAATTTATAATTAGTTCTGAACTTCAAACATCAAATTGATGTCAGTTTAGAGGAAAAACAACGTAATTAAACTTTAAATAACAAAAGAGAAAAAGGAATTTTTCACTGAAAAAGCAAAAATTTAAACTACTTGGCTATTGACGAGAAAAATTCAGATTGGAAATAATGGATCAATTTTTGAACCTAACTTTGAACTTCAACGTTTTTTTTCTTCACAAATAAGCTTCCAAAAAGTTTTATCTTCTTAAATTTAGGTTACCTCGAGTCTATTCTCCGGAAATACATTTACGATTTTCTCTCTTTTTGTATTCTAAACGCCGTCAAAATACAAAATATCCGTGAAACGCGCCATTTTGTTGCCACCGCGGACGAAGATGGTGACGGCCTTGTTGTTGGGGCATTGTTCGATGGAGAGCATACGATCTTTCGCAGTTCCGAACGTGATCTCACGGACCAGTCCGGCGGTTCCGAGCTTGGCCTCGGTCAGTTCGGAGAATCTGAAGCAATCAGAAGTTATTTTTCAAGCTTAGAAAACACAGGCTAACCTAGGAACAATTCGAGCATTGGTGGCAATGGCGAGAAGCTCAATTTCCGGGCCGCCGACCCATCTGAAAAATCAAAATTAACTTCCCATTCAACTTTTGATGATTACCGAACAGCTGGAAGATCATTGGCTTGAAGCAAATGGTTAGCCTCGTCGTCGAAGCCCCATTGGCAGATCGCCAACGTGGCGCCGCTGTCTTTCACCTGGAAAATGGCCTAATTCAAAAACAAGTCCAAACGGGAAAAAAATTATATATTCTTTATTTCCCTGATCTTCTACTTTTATTCCTCATTTACTAATTTTTGACATTTTCGTTGCCTAAATTCTGACTAAATAATTTCTAACTTTCTGAAAACCTTCGAGGTTTCAGAGATTTTTCAACTAGCGTTTGAATAATGTTCCTTTTCCCAAATCTTGTAATTAATTTTAGCTTATTTTTACTATTTTTCCGATGGCATCATTTTAGAAGACGTTTTTGAACTATTCAAGGAAAATTAAATGATAAAAACTGTTGAAAACTGAGTTTCCGTTCTTTCGACCTTTAAAATTCCTTAGAGTGTCTGTGATTCTCTTAATTCCCTCTAAGTTCTCGACTTCAGGACCTGCTTGATCATGGTCTCGAAAGTCTCGCGTTCGTATTCGCGGAGCTTCTGGAAGTCCTCCGTCGAGGTGATGTCGAGCTTATGCTTGGTCTTGGGCTTAGGTGGCTCGAACGGGCAGGTCAGGATAGCCACCTGGAAACAATCTTTCTTTTTGATCAAGACTATGAAAAAAGCTGTTTAATGTGGTATATTGATTAAAAGCCACGAGAATATCCAATAGATTATTCACCTTAGCGTCCTTGAGCTCTTTAGGCATCTGAGGGTGGGACATTGTCTTGTCGATGATAATTCCCTTGACCAGAACCGTGTCTTCCAGACGTCCACCAATCTGAAAATGAAAACCATTAGAAGAAGAAAAAATTCAAACGTTGACAGGTGGTATTTTACAACACAAAAAAAGATATAAATTATTTTCCTTATTTTTTGAATAAATTTACCTTTCCTTCCACCTTGATCATTTCAAAATTGACATCCTTCTTGTCAATGTCGGCCACTGAAAGGACGGCATCAACGGCGATTTCAGCGAATTGACGGCACGATCGGTTCACGCTGAAAATTAACTTTTGCTTTCTTTTTTTCAGTAAATCAATATTTAGTCGATTTTTCTGATATTTTTGCTCAAATTCATTTGACTTTCCAAAACTCAAAAAAAAAAATGTTTTTTTGGAAAAGCTTGCCCTAGTCTATTCTCAGTTCTGTGACAATTTTCATCACTCAGAAAAAAAAAAAATCACATTTTGCTTCCCAAGCTCGTTTGGGCCGTTTCGACGAGTCGCTCGCGATCTTCAACCGGAAAACGGTCGGAAATCGCGTCGAGGGTCTCCAATGCCTGGAAAAACAAATCAATCAAACGGCATTTCGAAGTATTCTCCAACGAACCTTCTTGCAAGCCAAATCGAATCCATCGGCAACTTTGATGGGATGGATTCCACGGTCAATGAGGCGTTCCGACTCTTCGAGAAGGGCACCAGCGAGAACTGAAAAAAAGGTTCTTGAAGAAAAAAATTAAGTTGGAAGAAAGGCGATCATCAAAAGAAAACAGCGAAACATCTTAGATGACCTAAAGATATTTTCAATATTTTCACCTCTCAGTGCTAAAAAAAAATTTAACTTTTTTGAAAATTTCGAAAAGAGTCTTTTTCCTTTTCCTAAGTTCCACAAAACGAAACGAAAAAACAGAAAGGAAAGAAAAATTTCCATCTCAATTATCCATTCCGAGAAAGCCCTTGACTCATTTAGTGTCACACAAGACTGGCATGTAATATGAGTGCTATGGAAACGTCAAATCAACTGGATTCAATTCCAATATGAAAATTTCTGCATTTTCATTTCAAAAATTTTTTCCACGGTTGGGAATTCGGATGTTTCAAGGATAGAAGTGACAAAATTTTTCACAAAGGACAGTAAGAAGAAATTAATTCAAATAAAAAGTTTCTCAGAAAAAAAAATCTATAATAAATGTGAAAGGAAGTATCATACGGCTTAATGCAAGATTGACGCACTCTTGGATAAAGGAGAAATCTGAGAGAGATTATTCCCCATTATGAAAAAGCCGACTTCACTTTTGGAAGATTAGATAAACCTCAATGAAACGGATTTCCACTGAAATATGCCCTGAAAGGAAGTTGACAAGCCTTTTCGACGAAAAGTTATGATGTACCATGTGAAAAATTTCAAAATCACAAAGAAAAACTTTGATTATTCACTAAACTGAAAGCTCCAAAAACATGAGAGAAAAAAAAACTATTCCGTAGTTTATAATCACTATTTACAAGTATCCTCAGAAAAGTTGACTCATTCTTGTGACACACGAAAATTATACACTCAATTCAGTCTGCGACAAACTGCAAAGCCTCGAAAAACAAGAACGTAGAATATAATGATAAGGTAGGATCCTAGTGCAAAATGCTTTGAAATTCAAGCAAGAGCAAACGATTTAAAAAAAAACAATGAGAAATTGAAAATACCTCGAAATGAATTTAGAAAACGAGTGGTAAAACATGTAAATTTTCAATCTTTTTGAGGCTATTTTCCATGTTCTTCACAAATAATAATGTTAAAATGAGTGAATTCGAACTTTCGACTCTATATTTAAAAAGATTCGGTCATTTTCTTCTCTTGAGAACGCGCAATAGGATCACACAATGGTCGAAATCGAAGAAAACATGAAAATCGATAAAATGGCATTACAGCTTTTCGGACACCAAAGACCACAGGCCGATGGCGTTTCGGTCTGTCGCCACACCTCAAAAGCAGGTTATTTCAAATTTTCCAAGACCTATCAAAATAAAAATCAAGAAAAGCAGTGAGAAATTGAAGCTTTTTACAACAGTAGTAGTTATGTTATTGCTCCTTCTCTTTTTAAAAAAATAAAACAAACAAGTTTCATATCGAAATCGACTCCCCATAAGTTCTTTTTCCGGTTTTGAGGTCAAAAGATGTGAGACCCTTCAAAATAAAGTGATAAACTTGAGAAAATAGGCCTGAAAAACAATTTAACAGCTAGAACTCGAAAACTAAAAGAAAAAAAGAGTAAAGCTTCGAGAAACAAAGGGTAAAATTGAAAATTACAGGAACACAAACTATACCCAAAAATAGAAACTTGGCCACTTCGGTGACATAAATCTGAATTTTGCATCAAAAAAACGAAGCCATTCTGACTATCAGTGATTAAGAGGAAGCCACTTTTCAGGTTTTCACTACACTAGAGCAGAGAAAAAAAAGTAGTTCATACAAGCTAACAATTAGATAAAATATGTGTTTTTCTCAAAACCGATGAAGCTTGAAGTTTGAGAAGAACCGAAAACCAAATTGAAAAAAGACTTTTTACTCTTCTTACCTAAATCTGGAAAAATCTCGCTTCGTTAACTGCTCAAAAATTGTTCAATTAACAACTTTTACGCTTGACTACCTCCATATAAATTCGTCCACAAGATTAATTAGTTAAAAAAAGCCTTATTACACTTCTTTTTCACGCCCAATTATCACTCTTCTGAAAACGCTTTCCAGTCACTTTCAACACAAGAAAAAAAAAACGAAAAATGTGTGGGAAAAGTTGAAAAAAAGAGAGTAAAGGATAGTTGGATAAGGACGAGTGTCGAGACGAAAGATTGGCGCCGGAGAGAGGCGGAAGAGAAGCGAGACGCAGAGACTAGAGAGAAAACGGGCCACTCGCCGCCGCCACGTGATCGATATTAAGTAGCGAGAATGAAAAAAAAAATGAAAAAAAAAGAGAAAGAAATAGGAAACAGCAGTAGACCCATTCCAAATCCACATTTCACGAGTTAAATGCCCCTCAAAACGGCAGCCGGGAAAAATGAGGTTAAAAGCCTATTCGTCCAGGCATGAAAGTTTTTTTCTTATTTTTTTTTTCAAATTAAAGGTCTAGACAAGCTACAACGTTCTAAAAGTTCAAAGTTGAAGCTGTTCGAATTCAAACGTGAGAAAGGACAAAACATTTACGTGGGCTAGAACAAAAAAAAGAACCCAAAGAACTGAAAAGAACGCAGACACGGACACGTAAACAATTCGTTTCGACGCCAAGTTCGTGGCCCCTATTCTTCGTCAAGACACAAAAACAGGTTAACAAAATGTAAAAAAGCAAAAAACTACAGGGTAATTCATCAATTTTTTTTTCTCAATTCAAGTGAAATCAGATTCTAAGAGACCAAGTGAATAGGTCTAAAGTTAAGTCCGATCTTATGTTACCTACCCGAAAAAAAAGCTCAAAAAAAATTCAATTGATGGAACATGGTATGAGCGTTTCATAGCTACTTTTTTTGACAAAGTTGAAACATTGTTACACATTATCAACCTTACATTGTCCTAATATCAATAACTTCCAATTCAATAAGTTCTTTAGGATAATTTTCCTTTTTGAGTAAATCTCCATTTAATCAAGTAGTCAACTCGCGACTCCCTTTTCCTACACTCCCTACTTTGAACCTTATTATTTTCCTACTATCTTCGTTGAAAATCAAGCACATCATCCAGTCAGTACAAGCTACTGGTAGGATATGTGAAGAGGTGTCTCAATGCGTCAAAGATTCGTTAAGCCTAGCCGCTTCAAAAGCCGCTCTTATCTGAGGCTTTACGCGCAGGTTGTCGTTTCCCGTAAAATGTTAATTTTAACTGAGAAAAAAAAATAAAAGAATCATGATATCGACAAAATGATAAAGTCAAGCTGAGAGGAGAGACAACTGCGCTTGTTTGAACATACGTGTGTATTGAACAGACTATGACGTCCACAAGGACCCTAACCCAAAACCCACAAGTGCTACGTAAAACTCTCTTTGTTCATTTTCAAAAAAAGTTCTGTTGAAAAAAAGTTGAGGTTAGGAGAAGCTTTTTAAAATTTTTTTATTAATACTAATTGAAAAAATCAGAAAAAGGCTGAAAAAAAGAGCACTGAAATTGTATTCCATCATTTTTTTCTTGTCGGTTTTTCTATTTCTCAAATTGAAAAACTAAACGAATTAAACCATCCTTTTTCAATGAATTAACCCTTCTTTTTGAATGATTATTCCTGAAAACTTAGAAAAAAATCTTTTTGTTTTGTTTTAATTTTTGATAATTTATTTTTTTGATGTTGAAATTCAAAAGTTTCCAATATAAGTCTTATATACTACTGTAAAGAAATGAACATGAACGAAATCTCTAGACACAAAAATTAGGCCGACACAGTGTATCTACCGTGTGGATCTTCAGTGAATTTGAAAGATCACAGTTGCGTTTCACTTTGAAATGCCCCAAGTCACGTGAAATACAAAGAAAATATTGCTTTTTCGTATTCAAGAAGAAAGTCCATACAATTTTTGTATGCCGACAGCGACAAAAACATCAAATTTGTATCCTTTTACCAAGTAAAAGTTGATGGCCTGACGGCCGGAGCAGGGAAAAAAAGAGGAAAAAAGAGCTCCCTTAATCCCCAATGTCGACGTGTATCAAGCGGATTCAATTATCGCCGTCTCGTCGAAACACAGCGCAACTCACGCGTTCATCAAGTTCCAAAAGGCCAATAATGTTAATGGGGACCTCATTCGAAAAACTGAGCACGTCAGGAAAAAATGTCTATGTCTAGGCAACTGAGAAGAATGAAAATTATAACTCAAAACTTCTGACAACTTATTTTCTCTGTGAAAACCCTTTAAAAAAAATTTCTAAAGAGCTGATTGAAAGGGATGGAAATTAACAAAATTTCGATTTATTAAACCTTTCTAAACCTATATGGTTTATAATTGCCTTTAATTAGTGTGAAAGATGAGATAATTATCCTTTGATTATCTTATTTCTTATTTGAAGAACTTATTTCAGTTTTTAATGCAAGCTTCCTCTTCATAAAACTACTCAGAACTCGTGCAAAATTATTCATTCTAGCGGTTAGATTTAAAAAAATCTCTGCAAGTTGCGAAAAGATTCTCGCGCTCTACTACTACCATGATGAAAATTTAATGATTTTATAAAATTTAAATTTTCTCTTCTCAAACTTCAGTTTTTATGATAAAGTTTCCTACGAACGACAGCAGCCCAATCAAAAAACTTTAATCGGATCTTTATGACCCCAATTAAATTTTTTTTTTTCTAACGTTAACCCAGTCACCTCGAAGAGGCCAAAAAAGGGGGAATCAAAACTCCGAAAGTCAAACGGACGAGAAGAAAGAATAGATTGCGACGCAGTTGACGTCATATTAGACGTTTAGGAAAACGACAATGAAAGATGTGATAAGAACCCCGAAACACTGATAAAATGCGCGCTAATAAAAATTTAGGGGAAAATTTTGATCATTTTCAGATATTTTTGTTTTGATTCTTGTAAACGTGAGACAGATGGAATCTCTTGCAAAAAGCATTTATGAATCTTCAATGAAGCTTTTCAAAAAAGTTGCTCAGTAAGCAAGTTCGAGATTTCTCAAGAGCTGTATCTTAGAAGATGGAAACGAAATTTGAAAAAAAAAAAAGATTTTCTCGGCCAACAATTTGTTACTATATCTGATGTGAAAAAGCTTGGAAGTCTGGTTCACTTTTCATGAACAAAAAAGGATTATTTTTAATTTTCATTCAGCATGAGCATCCACAAAGAATAATTCAAAACAAACAACTTTGTCAAGCCAAAAACTGTTGTATTTTGGAAACCAAAACTGGTAATTTTTAATTTGTTTTTCAGAGCGTTTTTTTTTATAAAACCCAGCTATCAGTTCTGAGAACACATTTCCAAAATAAAAAACAGTAAAAAAAAACGGAAAACAGATGTCTTTCTGAATGGCTAATCAACGTGAGGATCAAAAGAGCTCTCAATTTCGACTAAGAAGCTTTCCCTGCGCAAAAGAGAAAAAGGTAAGACAACAAGATTCCCAAGGGGATTTGACGTGACTTCCGCGAAAGATCTCACCACAGGCTTATCTAGCAATAGCCTTTCCTGAGCAGGAACTACCATATAACAAAAAAAACTTTTCCTCTTTCATAACATTAAATGGAATAAGAAAAGCTCTCTTTTGAGCTAGATTTAAAATAAAGCGATGCAAAGAAAGGGTTCTTTCATTAGGTATTCAAAAGTTAATATTTCATTCTACACTGCCAGCGAAAAAACCAACATTTCGATTTAAAAAAAACTCCGGAAATCGCTAAATTATCACACTGTGACTAAGTCCATTGACTCACTAAGCAAAGAATAAAAAATTTTTTATCAAGTTCCTTTATGAATAGTGGGAACCGGGGACTGAATGAAAAATATATTCTCAGAAATTACCGAATCTAATGACCATTCACAAAGTTTTTCACTGCGAAAAGTGGAAAAGCAGTGAGAAAACGTCTTGACTCATACGTCACCTACTAAATAAACAGTAAGAAAAGGTACGAAGCTTGCTCGATATGACAAAGAAAAAAGTCACAGTTAACTATTTTCTTGAGGTGAGTAATCAAAAATCAGAAAAAAAAGATAGAAGATGAGTGATAAAATCCATCTTTTATACCCTTCCATTTTTCACTTTCTGGTATCTGATTTTGAAACATATTCATGTAGAGTCATATTTTCAAGGCCAAAAAAAGAATATTTGCAAATTCTTCAGAAGGGTACTGAGATCCTTGAGGAATAAGGGTACCTTCAAAGTTTTCAGATTCGAACAAATAAAAGCCGTATAAAAATTAACAATTTTTCAAGCCATCGGAAAAAAAGTTGCTATTGAAAAATGAATAAGATTGCAAAATGCAATTATCGAAAATTAACAAGCAATAAAGACAAAGCTTTCAAATATGAAACGGTAAAATGTTCAATTTTACATTTTAATCAGATACACTCAGACCTCGCGAAGGGTAGGAAAAGTGATTTACGATTAAGTGATCACTAAAGAAAAAAAAAACTCAGTCGAGTGACTCACGCGCATGTATCACTAAAAAATTGTAGCATAAAATGTTTTCTCACACGCAGTTTATTCATTTAAAAATTCCCTAAAAGAATATTTTTGAAAAAAACTTCGAGAACCTCTCGTAGCACTTGAATTTTTCCGAAACGGTAAAATAATTGGTTATTGACCTTTTTGACGAAACGGCTATTTCTGGAAAACCACAACTAAATTTTCTCGAACTTATATAATTGCGAAAAAAAACACTCTTAATGACACTTGCAAAAAAAAAAAATTTTAACAATTTCAGTTATGCGGGAACGAATGAAAACGAATATTTCCTTACCAACGACACCAGTCGTTCCATCACCAATCTCATCATCCTGAGACTTGCTCAGTTCAACCATCAAACGAGCAACGTGATGCTGAACGTCCATTTTCTCCATAATGGTCGCTCCATCGTTGGTAATCGTCACGTCACCGTCCGGAGACACCTGAATTTTTTTGAATATAAAAATAACAAAAAAATGTATAAAAAATAAGATTCTTTTTCTATTTTTCTTTATAAACTTACAAGCATTTTGTCGAGTCCACGAGGACCAAGAGAAGTACGGAGAGTTCCCGCAACAGCACGAGCGGCCAAAATGTGGCTCTGAAGACAATAAAACATAGAAAAAAGTTCCCAAAAAAACAAATTCTGGAATGAAAAAAACTCACCTTGACAGCTTCAACACCAGTCATACGCTTTTGATTTTCTTGCTCTCGCATGACGATGAACGGTTGCCCGAACTCGTCGAACATTAATTGCGCCATGGACGCCATTTTGATTCTACCCAGATGAGTGTAACCTTAATATTAATAAATCCATTTAATTTAAAAAAAGGTTACTCAAAATGAAAATATGAACGTTGACAGAAAACTTTCAAAATTTTTGTAATTGACGCGCTTGAAAAAATAAACTCAAAACTCAATAAAACTTTCAAAACAAATAATTATAATGTTTCGAAACACTAATAAAAGATTCATTTTCAAAACTTATTCGATATCTCAAGTAAAAATTCGACGTCACGAAAACATTGGATTTGCAAAATTAAAAAAGGCAACAGAAAAGCTTTCTTTTATTTCTTTCAAGATTCTTCATTACTTGTGAATATTTGCAAAAGTATCTTTACAGTCTCAAATAATTGCGAGTTTTTTTCAGAATCGGGTGAAAAGAGCAAAAAAATTGAAAAAACTTTTTTTAGATATTATTTCATTCAGTTTTTAAATTTACTTTGAAAGAGTATATTATTTCTCAAACTTTTTTTAAATTCACTCAAAAAAACCCCTAAATATATTTGATAATTCAAGAAACAAAAAGAAAAATTCGTTAACGGAAAGCGCTCTTCTCGAAGATATTTCAATTTAAAAACGGTTCGGTGCAGGACCAACGCTGGGCAAGGCATGCGCCTTTGAATCTTAGAGTGCAATGGGGCAGATATTCTGCGTTTTTGCGCTTTTCTAGTTCATTTCGCTCGAGTTCCTCTCTTTTTCACATATTAAAAGTAGACGAAGATCGCTGCCTAGCAACTTTTAGTTTTAAAATTGACCAACGAAGATGAAGTTTGCGATTTTTCTACTTGAACGAATAAAAAAAGTTTATTTCCAATAAAAAGTCAGTGATGAGAGAATATTACCGGTTAATTTCGAGAACAAATATACAAAAAATAGAATAAATAGGCTAATCGTAGTCGTCTGGAATGTTGAGAAAGGTGCCGATTGTCGGAAAATGAACGGCACTGAAGCCGGCGGTCCCTCCAACGCCTGCAGCGGGAACAGCCCAATGGGCTCCATATTGCACCTGAAATAAAAAAAAATTTGGAGGTATTCAAATCGATTTAACCTGTCCATTGAGCCAATCGACGCCGACAGATTCGGGATGGTAGTACCATTTGTTGGCCAAGTCACGGTTGTGTGGATTGTCCGGATTTGGTTCCCAAAGACCTGTTCAAGATATTGTTTGGATAGAAGGAATTCGATAAATGCAGATTTTAATGAAAAATAGCATTTTTAGCCAGAAAACAGCCTTTTTGGATTTGGTAGAAATTGAAGTCATTTTCAAGCTCATTTCTAGATTTGAAAATATTGAGAAAATTCCCAAGCCTCTTTTCGACACGGGTTTGAAGCTTTTTATAAGAAATGTGATGGTCTGTTAACTCTTTTGAAAATTCCCTAGATAATAAGATTTATTTCGGATAAAATGAGAAAAATCATTCTTCAAGCTTAATTACGGAGTGCAATCGGTAATGCGCAAGTTCTAGGAATTCTAAAAATTAATTTTCAATTTTTCAAACACACGCAAGGGTTCTAGTTCGTTGAAGAATGTGTTACTACTAATGAAAATGATTTTCTTTGAGTTTTTCAACTAATTTTTCTGAATTATTGCAAAATGAATGTTATCCATATTATTGAAAGGAAAAAGGCAGTCCCAATAGAAAATGATTGCGAAATATGGATCAAACCAGGCTTCGAGAAGGGACTGCGACTTTTAGGACGATGGACGATACCACGACTGTCCGAAAGAGCGGAAACCGCCTTGAAAGGATCGTCGCCGGTGGCAGCGCCGTAAACAGCGTCCGATGGTATCACCGGAATCGTACCTTGCAGGGCTCTAGAAGTTTCTTCAATGATATTGGGATTACATTCGCAAAACAAGCTTTTCCATTCTAATAATATGACAGCTAATAGAACGTATATCGTTAATTTTTATCTCAATTCTACTTCATGAGTGGTCGGTTTTCCTTTACGCTCTCCTCTGAGATTTAAGCCGACGCCCGTCAGCCCTGGACAAGCTGGGCGCCGTACTGTTTCGCCATGGTGAGGCAGCTGAACGTCGGAACGCTCGAAACTCCTCTACTACTATCTCAAGAAGGGCGAGATGCTCTATCTTGGTCAACGAGATCCCGCAAATCTACAAACAACTCTTCGATTTTTTCACGATTCAGCAGAGAATCTTTTCTGAAGACTGAATGAATGTGTAAATGTGTTATCTGATTTTTTTTTTGTTACGAAAAGAAAATTTATTGGACTTACCGTACTGGAAATATCGTGTCTTGACATATGATTTGTCTTCGTTTACTTTGCCTTTAAACGAGAAAGGGCTTTCACAAAATATTTTTCCGAAAATTCAGTTAAGTACCTTTTCTTTAGTGATAACTGAAAAAAAAAACTTTTTCGACAGATTATCGCCCTTTTCTAAGAGCAAATAAGATATATTTTATTTTTGTTTTTGCTCCTCTCGAAAAAAGCGCTTTCCTTATTAGCCATTTTATAACATCAAAGATCAATTAAAGAGCTGAACTGAGCCAGAGGTTTAAAAGTTCCTAAAAACACTTATTCTCAACTTTCCACACATATTGAATACAGATTCTTTTCTTTTCTTTTTTGTTTCGAATCCGTGTATTTTCTTCACTCGAAGTGGTAGCTCTCTCAATCGGCGGAGGCTACCCTAGAGTGTACACGGCGTCCGTGCCCGTCACCTCGGCCGATTGAGAGAGCACCATCCCCGCGGTGCCCGTACCCGCGAAACTGAGGAATCTACTTGTGGAAGAACGAGGCGAAGGACCGTAAGACCATGCTTTCAATTCAATCGACTACACATTTTGACTTCTTTTTCAAAGGCGGTGTTAGTGCCGCTCAAAAGAGCAATTTTTTCACCGCCTAGTCGATTCCATCTGACTAAAAAAACCAATAAATATTGATTGATTGATTGAAAGTTCAGAAAAACTCAAGCAGTACATTGGAAATGCAAAAAATCCTTTTTTCACTCAATCTTGACCTCGGCCGAATTTTTCTACTGTTGGCGGATTCTGCAGCGGCGTGACTATCTCCCTCTTCTTGGCTAGAACTTTCTTGTTCCCCAGAATCTCCAGTGACTTCGGCAGCTTCAGGCTTGACTGCAGACGGTTCCTGGCCAAATAAGGCTTCGTTGGCATTGGAAAGCAGACGAGCCGGGTCTTTGGTCAGTTTCGCCGGCTCGATCGTCAAGTCGTTGATGGCTCTGAAAAAAGAAAGACTGTTTTTTTTTAAATATTCAAAATCCTTCGACCATTTTAAAAATTAGCTCTTTTTGGAATGAGTCAAAAAAATTTTTGCAAGAATTCACTCTTCTAGGGAAATAAAATCTGGCTTATTTGACACTTTTTGTTTATTTTTCTCGAAGACATACAAAAATCAAATGGAAATATCGAGACGAACAGATTTTTTAGTTTCTTTTTTATTATTTCTATTCTGCAATGAGATCGTAGCAATAATTTCTGAACAAACCATGCCAGTTTCAAAAAAATCATTCATATACAAAATGGGCGCAAAAATCAGTGTTTTTAGTTTCAACAAAAATATTAAAACTTTTCAAACGAGTCATGGTTTTTCTCTTTCCACTTCACTTCAAAAAGAAAAATGGAATTTCAGGATTTTCAAACTCAACAAAAAATAATACAAACTTGAGAGCGTTGTAGAGCTCCTTGCGAGTCGGAGGCCTTTTAGTTGTTGGCGCCTTTCGTTCAGGGGTTCTGAAACAACATTTTATTATGGTTTTGAACTGATAATTGTTCATTCTTTTACGAACTAATTATTGAAAACTGAGAGCATCCCCCACCACTAAATTTACCTGAATTATGAGCTCACCACGTTTCTCTCAAATCTCAAAGTCTCTCAAATTCTTGAAAATTGAATTTAGAGGGTTTCAATCAAGTTTTTCGCTTTCTAAGGCACAAATAGACTATTCATGCATGCATATATGTAGGTATAATAATTGAGGAAAACAAACTCCGAAAACTGCGTCCGATGCCTTCTTCGCCGTAATTTTTTCTTCGTTTTGGCTGCGTTCAGATTTCGTCGATAGGTATGCAGAAGATCTCTTGATTTTTCCAAAGAAAGTTTGCTGTAATTATCAAGTTTTTCTGTACGTAAACTCACTCTTCAGTTTTTCATTAATCATTCGATTTCAGCGGCGCGCCGTAGCGCAACAGGTTTTGTGCCTGTCTCTGGTCCGCAAAGTCACAAGTTCGATCCCCGCTGCGATCCAACCAAAGGGTTGAAGATATGTTGGTGGAAAACCACGGCTTCGAAATTCCCAGCCGTCACACACTAGGACGGACATGCCACTAGAGCCAGTCCACCCATTACCACTAATGTCAGGACGGACCTTGGGGTGCTCACGCAGTACAAGGCCGTGAGAAGAAGAGAAGAAGTCACATTTGAAAAATAGACACGTTTTATACCTTTCCTGCGGCAAGTTTTCATTTGGGGGAGCTCCGAGGTCGGCCAGAGCAACTGGTCGAGGCAAGTCTGGAGGTATCACAAGTTCTCTGCAAATTTTGGCGCGAAAATGAGACGATAATATTGAAGTGCTTTTACTCAGAGTTTCAGAACATGATTTTTGAAAAACCGTCCAAAACTGTAGTACAATGAAAAGTCTTCAAGACTTCAATCTGTCTAATTTCTTAATTTTTGAGAAGAGGACGGTTTGAAGAACGTCTTTCCAAACATTGCGCGTGGAACTAGAACTTCGATATTCTTTAACTCGAGAAGCAGAAAACTTCACAAGTTGAGATATTTAGAAGCGAATTCCTCATTTATCTTGTATTTTGAGATCATCTGAAGGAGATTTTTAAAAACGTTTTTGTTTTCAAATAAAACTCTTTTGAGAAATTGTCAAGCTTCTCTAACTCTTACAATGGTTCATCAGCATCTCGACGAGTTCTTCGAATCGGAGCCAAAGAAGCCGAAGGCGAAGGAATGTTGTAAGGATTGATGGCCTTGGCAGGAGGGGCTCCAGCTAAAAAAATCAACACACTTCCGACTTTTTCAGCAAATTTTAGCCAAGTATAATAAGCAAGATTTTGTGTTAAACTTAGATAAGCAAAGTTACTTTCATCCTAGTTTCCTAAAGGTAAGTTCATGATTGTTTTTCCACATGGCTTTGTATTCTACAAATAAGTAATTCTGCTATTTTGTATAGCTTTGTATCCTTTTTAATTTGTATACCTCGCAAAAGAAAGGGAAAAAGGCAAACTTACGCAAGATTTTGCCCTTCTCGGCTTTGGAATAAACAAATTGAGAAGCGTAGTGATAGTTTTCGTACTTGGGACAGCCGTTGTACCATAACCTGCAGTGAAGAAAAAGTTTGGAGCTGTTCTACCTGACAAGGTAGGTAGAACAGCTCTTTTTTTCGAGTGTGTTCTTTAAAATTGGTTCTCTAAAGGCCTACAATGAAAATCGCAGTTACGTGTTGAATGCAAACATTTTAAACTGACATCTTCAAGAAAAAAACTTTTTGCATGTAAAAACTATCCGTTAACTTCATCGAGACCTTTGCAAGTTATTCGGGGAAAACTTATGAAAAATTCGAATTTGACCACTGAAAAAACCTTCCTTAGGAGCACTCTCGTGCTAGGGATGGCCTCTCAGCTTAAAAATTTTCGAGAATTTTTTAAGCCCGTCTAGGCCCTACTAAACCCTCAAACAAAAACGGCCGGCTTACATAAAGGCGCAAATTTTCTTCAAGTCAAATATCAGACTTAAAATGACTTAAATAATTCTCTTGACTTTTTTTTCCTTCATCAAATTCCAATAGAAACTATGATCCCACAATAAAAATGATTTTTCGGGGAAAATTTTCAGCCAGGATAGGTAAAAAAGAAAAAAAGCTTGGAGCTGAACAAAGGGATTCATCGAAAAGAAAATCCGAACCGACACGTGTTGAGGAAGAGCGGCAATGGCGGAGGATTGCAAAATCTCTGGACTGTCGGGTAAATGTAGTCGCACTTGCAATCGGTCGTGCAGTGGGGGAAGATCCGCGGGTCACAGTCGGGCTTGCAGGGATGTCTCTTCTGGAAATTACTAGAGTTCAAGCTTATTGTCCGAGACAAAAGACCCGAAGCTCAGCGTAGTAGATTTCCTCTTCGGCAGGGACGTCATCATCTTCCGTAGACACAGGAGCCGCGGCTCTCGGAGCACTTCTCTGCGGAATCGTCGTGATCTTCTTCTCGAAGGGGTTCGAAGGCCAGGACGTCAGCGAAGAAGAGGAAGAGGAAGGAGTCAAAACTTTAGACGAGTGGATTCGGTCGGGACAAGCACGACGAAACGCGTTGCAGAACTTCGAAAGTTGCTGGAAACTCGTTTTTTTACGAGTTCGAAATTGATACTTACCGCTGTGATGCGGCCGGTGTCACCGACGCAATAAAAAGAAAAGTGTTCGTCGTACTTTTTGCAGTACTCTTCTTTTTCTCCCTGAAGTTAAAAAGGAATAGTTCGTTTTCAGGGTTCCTGTGAAGGTCTGGCAATTTTTTTCTCCAGAAGGTTAATGACTACACAAATTAAACAGCTAATTCAAATTTTAAAAAATTCAAATCAGTTGAATCGGCCAGTATGAACGTCAACTTTCGTCATCAGGTGTTTTTTTTTTCTTTTACGAAAAACTTCTACATTCTGGTCAGAATAATATAAAATTAATACTCTAGCACAAATAGCAAATAAAAAAAACGTTTTGCATGCATTTCCGCAAATAAAAAAAATTTTTTGCAAGTTTACAGTAAAGTTGAAGAAAAAAAAACTAGAGAATTAGTTAAAGAACAAAGAAAAATGGAGCGAAAACCTGGAAACTATCAGAACTAGGTTCAGGACGAGGCGATTCAGTGGTTTCTGGCTGCGCGGTGACGCTGGCCGTCGGCTTCTTCTGTGTCTTTGAACTTTCTTCTTCGATAAACTGAAAAACAATAAATATTTTATTAAAGTTTGTTTTTATATGAACAAACTCCTTCGACTTCGTCCTCTTTCTCTCTCAAATCCGAACCCCCACGGCCAGGATCATCCCGAGATCTTTGCCGCTCAAACGGATTTCTCTTAAATCTGCAACTTACTATTATTAATGATAACACAGGATGGGAGTTCTTAAAAGCTATAGTGAAAAACAATTGAAAAAGAAAACAAAAACTCTTTCAAAAAAATTAGAAAAAAATGCGAAAAAAAGAAAAAAATGAATATGCGTTTTATTTTATTTTTTTGTCACGTTCTACGCTCTAACGGACTCAAGCGAACAGAGCTTTTTGATTTATTCGTTCCGCCTCAAACGAGAAATTTATAGTGTAGAACGTAGTTCAAAAAGACGATTCCAAAATATATTAGAAAAAATGTCAAAAACATGCGAATTTTAATTGAAAAAAAAATTCTTCTGAAAAGTTTTCGTAGCTACCCTTTAAAGTTTGGACTGCATGAATCACGAACCTTTTAACGGCTTTTGCGATATCGATTAGGTGTCTTCGCTCCTCATCCGTCAATTTCTGGCCCTCTGTTTTTAAAATAATTTGCGTTTAAAAATTGAAAAAAAAATTCATCTTTGTTCTCTCGATTCAAGATTATCATAATTCGACTCTAACCTTCAATCTATTTCATAAATGTCTTCGAAAGTCAAGCGAAAAACCTTTGAAAAGGGCAAGATCGCGAAACCCGTGTAAAGTCCGGCGCAAAGATTAGAGGACCTATATAAGCGCGAGTTTGCAGTGGGCGGAGTCAAGGGTCGCTCCTTGTCACGCTTTGCATTGATTAGTATGACACCGATGCGAACCCTTTGCTTTTTTTGTTTGTTGAATTCCTTCGATTCGTTTTTTTTTGCCGAAAGTCAACGACTGCATGAGGAAAGAAGACAAATGCGAATAAACAGCACTATAAAATCTCATCTTTCTTTTTGGTTTTCAAAAGCGAATGAGGCGTTTTTATCAATATATTTCGATTTTTAAAAAATTAATGAAAAAAAAACCATATTCAGCTGCACAGAATGCGATTAGACACGCTAAATAAAGCGTGAGACGCATTCAACCGCCCCAAAGGCTCGAAAGGTGTGATTTTCTGAAAAATAACAAAAATCACGAAAAGTTTCAAACATGGCAAAATTAACGAGCGATAAGGTTTGGCGGAATAAGAGTTCGAAACTCGGATTTTAAAAATGAACAACTGAAATTTGTGTATGACAGACATGAATAGAGAAAAAAAAACTCAAGTCTTATTGAAGTTTTGGATCCATTACGCGAATATCGTCATCAGTAACAAAAAATTTTCCAAAGCTACAAAGTGAAGCCAAAAAAGGATTTATACTACAATTTGATGTTTCTGATGGTTCTTATTCTCCTTTGATTACTCAGCAAAGATGGCGCACGGTGCACTCTGCTTTTTTGCACTCTACTCTAACAAAAATGAGGGTTTACCCCGCAGTGAACCCCGAAAAAAGTGAACTTTTCGTTGATGTTTGCGCTGCACCCCGCGTTGGACCTGAATGGGGTGAACCCCTGGGGCAATCGGTATAAAAAGTTGTTTTTGAGCTACCGTAACGACCTAAGATGAAGCAGTACAAAATGGTGATATTGGGAAACAAACCACTTCGAAATCGTTTACGGAAGAATTACCTTAATAGGCATTCAAAGCTAAACGGGGTGCACCCCTGGTTACACTGCGGGTGCAACGAGAGTTCGACGTGGGGTGCACCGCAACTTTTGTTAGAGACTGGTGCGTAATTGGGGTCAGCACCGTGCGATTTTCTTTCAATATTTTCTTTGACAACAGGGACTTTTTTCTTGAATTTTCTGCGTTCGAAGATTTCGAGCACTTAACTAAAAATATAGCATGGGGGAATGGCGTATCGCGTAGCGGCTGCAAAGCGTTCGGTATGAATTTTAGCCCGACCACAGAGCGACCTACGCGTTTCGACAAAATATCAAAATCGGTATTACAGTGAGTGAAGAAATCGAGCTCGCAGCGCGACCGCGACGCGTTGAGCCTTTCTAAATGCGGACTTGAAACTTCAAGTCGTTGCAGAAAAAGAAAATTAAGTTTTTTTTCAGAACAATCAGCACAAGTGGACACGACAAAATAGGAAAAAACTTTTTAAAAAAATCAAGAGAAAAAAAAGGAAGCAAAACCGAACTATCGACCAAATTGCGCAAGCAAAAGCCTAATCACCAGATTCCCATCAAATACGATGGCAAATCGAAAAGAAAATGCAGCGGCGATATCGGCGAAGAAAAAAAGGAACTCGTCACTTTCGCCGTGGGGCATTCACCTGCCCAAATACGGGTTTCCCTTTCTTAACATCACCGATACCGTTCGTTTGTTATTTCGAACCGAATGGCTCTTGCGAAGAAGGTAACCTCTATTCTTGAGTAAATTTATCTGGCGGCTTTACTCAAAAATAGAGGATTCCCAATAACTTTTCGAGATTTTATTAAACACAGGACAGCGTTTGAAGTGAAAATTTAACACGATTAAAATAATTGTATTGCTGTTTTCATATCTGTTTGAAAAAAAATATTTGAAAAACAAAAAATGAACACAACTACAGCAAAATAAGACGTTTCACTATTCATTTAGTGCATGGAGATCAGGTTTAACCGATTTCTAACGAATTATGACGTTTTTAATGAAATTAGTCATGAGTAACATGATTAGGCGCAGACTTGTTCAGCGCTATTTGGGTTTAGGCTGGGTTTGAAAAAAAGGGTGTAATGATGAATTTTTCTTCAAATCAAATATGTTGTAGAACACGATTTGTAGGACTTTATGAAAAAAAAACTGGATAGCATCATTCGAGTGGTTTCGAGATACGGTAGCTCAAAGGATTACGGTAAAAACCTTCGAAAACCTATATCTCGGCAAAAAATCAAGGAATCTTGATCAAAGTTTGTCACAAGGTGCAAAAATAACTTTACTCAAATTAAAACTATATAAAGTCTTGATCTGTCGTTTTTCTATAGATTCTTTCAAAACCATAGAAAAAAATACTCTATCTATTGAGCTTAATTTGGATTAGGCAATTTTTCCATCTAAGACTCGGAAAATTCAAAAAACTTTTTGTTTTGAGTAAAATCTCTGAATATCTTCCTTTTTTGACTTTTTGGATTTAGCTCAAAACTAGCAAAATCGTAATCAGCACGCATTTTCACATCTAATAGGTCATTTCCAGAAAAAAGAAAACAAAATTTTTTTTATCGAAAAAGTTTCATGTCTGCGAACCGAAAAAATTTGTATGCCCTGGCATTCAAATTTTCAAAATGTTTGATTATAACTTTTTTCAAGATCAAATTATCTGGTCAAAACAAAGTCTTTTGTTGTCTTTACGTAATCCCTGGCTATTTCTTCGTGATTTTTCTTGTCAAAACTTTTCAATTTCTGTTTCAGATCGAGGGTAAATTACTTGTAATCCCATTTACAGCTTCATGACACTAAGTTCGTGCAAACTCAGATTTCTCATCTCCATCTTCTCATAGAGCGCGAAACTCGATCGCCACGGCTTATTCTTCTAAAAAAGGCAATCATCAGCACCGTGTTTGATCGTTGAAAGATCATTCGAACAACATCAGGTGACGTGATTAACCACAACGAAAACCGGAAAAAAAAGTAGAAAAACATATTTCTGACAACCCTAAAATATCAAGAAATGGAAAACATCTCTCCAGAAAGAATGAAAACAGATAAATCCTAATTTAAATTTTAAAAAAAGATATAAAAAAATTAAAAAGCGGTGGATAAGGATGAAAAATCTGAAAAAAGTTCTGGAAAGATGAAAAATCGTTTGGCGATCTCTTTAATACCGTAGCGAAGAACTATATTTGGCTCATGTTCTTCTTCTTTTTTCTTTTACACAAACCGTCTGCAGCCTCTTCGCACCGCCCACGTCCTCCGTCATGTACTTGGGGTTCAAAAGATTAATAATGGGAGATCTTTGCTGCCAAACTAATTGGTACGCCAGTTTGAAAAAAAATTCGTCTCGGTTTGAAACAAAAAAACGGTCGCACAAAGAAAGGGTCAAGGCGTTGCGGTTTTACGCAGAGAAGCTTGACTTGTTACTTTCTGGAGTTATTTCGAGTATGGATTGCCAAAATAAACTGCTTATCAGCCGTCAGAAGAAAGCTTTTTGCTTCTTCTTCGAAGCTTGAAACTAAAATTCCTAGCCTTTCTCCATAGAATCTCTTTTGAGCCTAATACGAAATGTCAAACTTTTTCGCCCCCGTTTTCTCAGGACTGTATCCTCAAACTAATTACCATTTTGACTATTATTTTTCCTCGAAAAATGAAAAAGAAAAAAAGCAGACTAATTCTCTCAACTCTTCTGATCCGGATAAATTACAATTCGCATTATTTTCGTGCCGAATAATGATTCAAAAAACTCAGAAAAAATGGTCCCTGAATCTCAGACACCTTCCTGTCCAACAAAGATCGAAGACATCTTTAAAAAAGATGGACACATCGTCAAACGGATTTTTAGAAGTTCTTTGAAGGACTGTGAAACGTGTTTGAGAGCGTCTGCAACTGTTGCGATCTTCAGCAAAAAAAAGGCGTTTTTGCGCCAACCTGACACGGCTCATATGTCGATTGTTGTTGTAATAAATCAACTGAATCATGCCATTCCCTTATGAACATACCCCTCTATAATATGAAAGTACTGGTGAATTTTACCTCAACTTTTATTCGCTCAACTCTTCGAAAAATCTAGAAAACTTGCTATTGTTTCAAAATAAATCTTTTTTTCAAACTATTTTTGCAATAATTCCTCAAACCTTCCACTATTTTTCTGAGAAAAGAATCTTTCTGAGTGAAGAATCAAAAAAGAAAAACTGTGTCAGTACTACTATCGTTAAATCTTCACAAAGTTTGCAGATGTCCCTAACAAACTGTCGTCATTCACAGTAGGGGGATCGAACCTGCGACGCGAGGAAGGCAGGCAGCCGATTTCTCACTGCGCCACATGGGCCGATCTGTCGTGACACGAGGAAGCGCACCAAGTCCCCTATGCGAAGGCTGCGTAATGTTTGAAATTGATAAAAGCTTTCAGCATTACAACGAATGAAATATAAAACTCCCGACTTGATGACTATCCATCGAAATAACTTGTTAATCATGCATTATTTATGAAGTTAGTAAGATAATTTACAGTTTGAGTGCCATATATTAACATGACTAATTTTGATTTTCAAAAAAGTGAGTTATGACTGGAAAAGCGTTTTTCGTGCGGGAGTTTCGACAGACTCGCCTGGCGGACAAACGTAAGGCAACTCTCCAACGCAGTCAGGAGCCTCTCTGGAATTAAATTCATTTAAGAAATTGGGGAAGGAGAATAGAACGAACCTTCTGCGGTTGGGGCGTTCAGGACGTCCAACGAGGCAAAGAAGGTCGGGGTCGACAACTGGCGAGAGAAGACGGTAACCGGGAATCTGAAGGAAGTCGTATAAAAAAAAAAAGGTATTTTACTAGTTTTTCAAGTTCACTAAACGCCTACACGCTTATTTTTTTCGAATAATAATCTGATTTTTAGTACAGCACCGAGCGAAAAAAAAAATACAAAGTTTTTGTTCAAAGTTTAATCTTTCAGATCTTAAAATCATGAAAAATAGTTTGTTAAAAACACAATTTACTGATTTTTCTCAAAAATGAGGAAGAAAGCTATTCTTGTTCAACATTTGATTTTAAAAAAAGCGGATGAAAATGTTTTTCTTTTTTTGTGATACTTTATAGTAAACTTTGAGTACATTCGAACCAAATTTGAAGTTATTTTTTTCAAGACCTTAAAGTTCTATTTGAGTGGCGTTCCGGTTGATTTAATCTTTAAAGTTTAAAAAAAGTGTTCCAAGTTTATTTCTTGGTCAAATTTCGAAACGAATTTTATTTCCTATTTTTTTAGTATAAATTCATAAAACTTTAAATCTGTTATCCACTAAAAAAAAACTTTGATGAGACTTGCTTGATAAACCCACCGGATTGGTCAAATCATCAAGGAAAAGACGATTTGATCGGTCTTCAAGCCACCTGAAAACGTAAATGAATGAAAACTGCACGAAAATCTTCATAAACTGCAAAATTCTTGCTTGTCTGCGCTCTCTTTCTTCAACCAACTCTCATTTTCCTCCCGGTGAAAGAGAAGAGAGCGCAGACAGGTTAGAACTGTTCAATTCATGTCAAACGAAGAAAACCTCTCATAATCACTGTCGACCTCCCTGATGTTCCCAATGAAATCGCGGAAAAAGTAGTTGACTACGCGGTGGACGAAAATGTATTGCATGGGGGTTTCAATACTGAACGGACGGTGCATTCGAAGGAACTGGACAGCTTTTTGCACTGGGTACTGGAAAATTTCAACTCCTTAGAGCAAAAATTAATGAGTTCCTGAACCTTGTAAACGGGGCCTTTGATCATGTTGCAAATGGCGATTTCAGCCGCGACAAGACACGCAGCACGTGAAATTCCTTGAAAAAAGGATTGTTTCAAATTTTTTCGAGATTAAACTATAGCTTTTCTGCTTTCTACAGTAATGAATGGCTTTTTTTTTCCTAGAACTAAAAATAAAAAGTTTTTTTCTACGACGAAGATTTCTCCTCAAAAAAACTAGCTTTTTCCTAGAACAATTTTCAAGATGAAAAAAATGATCCGTTCAATATTTCTGCCAATTGATTCACAGCCAAAAATGATTAAATATAAACCAAGACAATCATGAACAACGACAGGACGCGACGAGTTTCGAAGCATGCGCAAAACGTTCAGCGGCGACATCAAATTGCTCGAATTGTTCATCTCCGCTTGCCAGTGCTCGACCAGAAGCTAAAAAAACTCAATAAAGCAGGGCTTCAATTTGAGGAGTTTTGACAGCTTTAAAAAGTGGTCTGCCATGTTTATTTATATGTTTATTTATGAAATTTGGATCGAATTTTTTCCGCTTCAACTGAATCAAGTTTTTCCATTTCTCAACACGAACCTCTTCTCCAAACGGTCCCGTGATTTTGATATTTGTGACACGGAATAGAGGATCCGGCGAGCTGTGAACTCCGCAATTTTCAATGATTAAACCGCCGCTGATGCTCAACGCATCCTTTGAAGGGTATCTGAAACACAAACCTTGCTTGGAAAAAAAAAATATATCCCTGCGTTCAAAAAAGTTACGGTATTTCCTTTACATTGAAACTATGGAGTTTTTTTTCTAATGAAAATAAATCGAAGTAACAAAATTCATAGCACTTGATTAAAAACTCCAACGCCTCATATTATAGTCAGACTTCGAAAAGAAATCTAAGACGTAAAAAATAAACTATTTTTGGTCTTTCGTGAAATTTGAATTTTCATGGACTCGCTTGATCTAGCAGACTCTATCAATGGAGCGTACTTTTTCAAAACATTTTCAGTCAAATAATTCATTTATTCTTTAATAAAGGAACTAATCAACCACCTTGGCCAATAATTAGCACATCGACTCTCATTCTTTCGGCTGACAAGCATCACAATGTACGGACACTTTTCCTGCCAGACCATTCTCCAAAACGCGTCTGAAAAATGCTGTTTCCTTCAGTAAAATGGCAAAAATTTGGCTGCTGGAGCCTGTTCGCAGCGACTTGAAAGTTCTCGACTGTCTGCGTCTCTCTGTTCTCTCAGCGGCGAGACCAGAGAAATATGAAAACAGCACGTCAAAATGAGAGAGCCGCCGAGCGAAGAGGAGGGCCCAGAGAAGTTTCGCCCTTTCAAGTCGCGAAAAACGGACTATATTTTTCTCATTCATTCACCGATTGTGTTATTCATGGGTGCCTGGGTAACAATAAATTCGTTGAAAAGCGGTCCTGCGGAAACGCGATTTGCGTGGATAAAATCGTTGGTTGCCCCTGAGGGAAAGTTCAACGCCACTCGGGTTTCATCTTTGCAGCGAACGCCTCAAATCGACAAAATCAGTGAAAAAGTACAGCTATTTTTTATTTCAAACGTGGATTTCGGAGCTTGTCGACATTTTCGTCAGAGACAGCATGCGTGAAGGGAATATGGTTGACCGAGTTGTCCAAGATTTCAAATCTAAAAGATATTTCGCTTGTTCCGACTGAGAAATCCGTTGAATCACTAAAAGCGTTGCGTTTGGGAATTTTTCTAGAGCCAAGGTTAAGTCCAGAAGGGAGTTATAACACATTTGCATGCAGCCGCGCGCAAGTTATTTCAGGTCGGACGCATTAAATCAGCAGTTTTGCAGTCTTGAGCCATCTCAAGATCGACCAAGCAGAGTTCAAGCTATTTTATAATACGAATATTCGGTCAGATGTGTCTATTTTTCCGTTTTTTTAGATTTCCTTTTTTTTTACTGTCAAACATTTTTAATCCCGTCAGCACTCCTCCAATTTTTTTTTCTCATTGATTTCCTAAAAATTGAAAAAAAAAAACCGAGAGAGTCTGCTTCTTAAAACCTCACATAATCCTTCAGGTTAGCAAATTCAAGACATTCCTACAATGAAAAAAAAAATCAAGAATTGAAGATTGAGGAACTTTTACAAACTTGACCCTTCAAAAAATTTTTCTATTTTACTGCTGATCTTTTAGTTCTAACCTTCTTTCCATGCCTCCGATGATTGTCGAAACGACTTTCTGCTTTCGCGCCGCTCCAAACATGCGCTTGCCAATGCTGATATTATTGTAATCTAGAAATCTGCCTCGATTTTCCGCACGAAAACTGTTCCCTACACTGTCCAGAGACCCGGATCTCGTCTTTGTCGGCAATCATCGTCGCCTTGTAGGCCTGGACACGTTGTCCCATCGTATTGGGGTCGAAGTCGTGCTCCAGAAAGTGGGAAAGAACGCCGTTCCTAGAGCATTCTCTAACCAAAATGCCGATGTTTCAATGATAACTTTAAGATTTCCGGATTCCTAGAAGCACACCAAGAAGTGGAACTCTCGATGGGCATTGAGAGACGCAGCAGCATGACCTGATCTCGTGCCGTTTTCAGCTCCATCCGTTGATTTGTGAAGAACGACGAGTTTATATTGAACTGAAGAGTTGAATTTAGATATTTTCTTTCTTCTCAGGAAAAAAGGAAAAACTCCTCAGAAGCTTTTTTTCAAAGAAAGGTCTTCTAAGGGTTCCCAGAAGATCTGTTTTATTTCACTTTTGTATACTTTTCACGTCCTTTGATATAGCGATGCTGAAAAGGAACTAAAAAGATTTCAGGGCATTCAAAAAGAATCTGTTAAGGCTATGAAAAAGTTGCACAAAAAGTTTTTTTTCATTATTTTAGGGACATTTAGCGGAACCTTTCCAGGTCCTTCTGAGGGTGATGAAAAAAACCTTTTATTTTTACCTATGTTGTAAAAACTTCCTTTTTTTTCTAAATGCCATTTCATAAACAATTTTATCATTCTGTTTGCTTGATCAGCAGAACAGAAAAAAATGAACAAATTATTTGAAGGAATGCGGAAACTGGATTGAGAAAGTGTTATTAGCAAATGAGAAATAGACTCGAAATCGCTCTTTTTAGACGCACACAGCACATTATAAGTCTAAAAGACTCTTAAAAATACTACTTTTGAAAAAGGCATTTTTTTATTTGCTTTTTCTCTTCGTAGCCTTTGCATTTTGAAATGTTCGCTATTTTTTTTGTACGGAATAAATTTACATTATAAAAAAATGCTAGCGTTCTATAGTAACCCAGACTGAAACACGCGAAAAATCCGACTTTCAAAAAAAATTTTTGAGACTTTTGAACTAAAATATGAACAAGAATGTATGATTTAAAAAATAGAATACTGTTCAAAAAAATTAGAAAGGTTACGAAGTTTCGAATATTAACATTATGAGGACTTATTGAATTATTCTTTTTTTTTATCATCTTTTTTTTGGACCATTCTTTCCGTATTCTACTCCCAACAAACCTTGGCGCACATCTCCTTCAAAGGCGCGACCCATCCCTGACTGTTGATATTTCTTTTCGTTTTTTTCCCGTTGGAATCCGTCCTGGCGAAGGTTTTCGTGTGCTTCCACTTCCATTTGGAGTCAAATCTAAGGATTATTTCCAAAAACAAGTTTTTTAATTGAATATAATAGATAAACCTGGGATTGAAAAGGATATTTTCAGTGAGAGTAGCGTCGTTAGAACACATTCCCACCAAATTGTTCATGGCTCGCGAAGTCACGGCTTCTTGTTGCTTTACTCGGGCACGATCCTAGGAATCATATGTCGAGTCCAAAAAATGACCGAAAAAAAGGCCACGATGACTTGTTTTTTTAAGCTTTTTTGAAGTAATTTTGAACTCAAAAAGTATATAATTGACTCTAAAAGTTGTTTTGTGTATTGATTGAAAAAGAAAAAACTTCAATTATTTTGAAATATCTTTGAAACAGTTTGTTAAGATTACGCGAATGCCTCGCAAGTCTCGAAAATTCGCTCCAACAGACAACGCCTCTCATTGGCTTGTCACACCTTTTTTCAGTTATTAGGTAGGACAACTCTATCAAAATGTTGCTTTAATCACCACCGTAGAGAAAAAAATTTTTTTTTTGAGAGCCTCGAATCATTTTCTTTTCGCACCTTCCTTAGCTGTTTATCTGAAGGCTGTGATTAAATATTTTTTCAAGCCAGGATAATCGAAATTTCGTAGTTCATCCTGAATATGAATAAACTAACATTTTGGCACTCAACCCCGTGATTGAGAACAATTTGAATTTCTCGCGCAGGGTCTTGGCCGTCAACTGCCAATTCTTCCTGAAAATGTTTCCTTTTGTCTTTAAAAAAAATCGCATACTTCCTCTCCGGCGACTTGAGTTCTGGTGCGTTCCACCAACTTGGGCTCCACATGCATTGCTGTTCTTGTCGCGAAAATCTTCATTCGAAGTTGCTAAGTTTGAATTTAAGCGACAAAAAGAAATTTAAGTCAACTTTTTGCTGAATTTTCGAAGTCACCAAGTCAGTGCCTTGTCGTGGAACTTCAGGTTCTCGAATCAGATAATCCAAGGCCTGAAAAATAAATGTTTGATTCAACAAAAGTTCGAGAAAAGTATGCCACACAAAGAAAGACCATCCTTAAAACTTCAGAACAGACCTCAGGCTTGCGAATCCGATTCTGCTGCACCGGAGCACCCCGAGGAACTTCGATATCGTCTTCAGGCAGAACTGAATTGGCGCGAGAAGTTTCCCCCATCTTTCTTAACCCGACAAAAATCTTGGAAACAAAATGTCTCGTTACTTTTCCCGAACAGCAATCTGCTTGATTTTGCGTTGAACACTTTTTGTCAGTTCACTTTCGCTGTTCCACTTGCTCAGCGGCATGTTTGGCTTGCCGTGGCTGTTTTTCGGATAATCGTGCATAACTGCTCCGAACTCATATCTGAAAACGGATAACTTAAAAATATTCAAGTCATAAATCGCAAACTCATTGCTTTCGCTCAGAGAGTCGTCGTATGCAGAGTAGAAACTACGAAGAGATGAAGTACGGAGACGTTGAGAGTTTACAGCCTTATAAACGAATTTATACATACAGAACTATTTCTTTTAAAGGAAAAGTTAAGACAACAAAAAGTTCCTTAAACAAATGATCCCTTCGACGAAAGCCGTACTTTCTGATAAAAACTTCACAAAAAGTAAGGTAAAACGCAAATGAATAAGAAAAAGCTTGAACGAAATTGAAAATTTTCCAGATCATGAGAATAAGCGTCGACGTACAATACACTAAGCACATACCAACTTACGGCTTTTTATTTATTCATGTTTCTTTTAAAATTTTTTATTAAAATTTTTCAATTGGTGGTTGATGCACTTTCTAGCATTTCAGTGAAAGTAGATGCTGCTCGGAAAAACTTTTCACTATGAGTTGAAAACACGCTAAAACAGTTTAACCTTATTTTGATTCGTTTATTAGCAGAAAGGTCTTTTGATACAGCTTTATGGAGAAACTTGAGAAACAGCCTCACCGTAGGAACTTCGACATACGTGGAGAAGTTGAAAGCCATGAAAACTCCTGGAATAATTATACGTTTTCACTAGAAAGGCAAAAAATTTTAAAGGAGGTCTTGAAAGTGATGGTTTGAAAAATATAGGAGGAAAAAAAAATAAAACTTAATAAAATTCAATCAATTTTGAAAACTATTAAAGAACAGACATAAAGAAAACTTTCGCGCTACACAATATCTGAATTTTTTGATCTGCAGTTTGAAAAGTCAATGTTTTGCTCTTCTAGGTATGTAATTTTGTCTTGAGAAATTCATCAACTTTTTCAATTTAAACCCTAATAGAGAGTTTCTGTATGCCTGATTGTTTGTAATGATCCCTCAAAATTTTCAACTCTTCTTTTCCTTCTCCGAAAAATAAAATTTTCGAAATTACAGTATCCACTTCTTCTGTTTCTTCACGCTGCCGTGTTTGCATACCCTTTGCGTGGGGCATTTTTTCCTTCAAAATTGCTGTTTTATTTTTATTTTTTCGTAGCTTTTCCGTTTACACTAAACTCTTCCATTAATTTTTGGTTTTCCACTTTGTAATTAACACTATTGCTAAGCGACGTTTATATAGTTTCATATTCTATTTGATTGTTTCGAAAAAAAGGATCAATTGATATTCAAACGAAAGGAAATCTACGTTTTCTAGTTTAAAGAATTTTTCCTTGATTGATTATCAGTTATGAAAACAGTAAAAAAATATATAACTTTTTTCATTCTGTAAACACGATTCTAATAGATATATTTTGCGGGGTTCATCTTTCCTGTTTTCTACACTAAGAATAATTGACGAGATAAACGCGAGGTCGGTGGCGGTACATGGACGAACTCGCAAAAATGTCGCTTTTTTCTAGGCGCGATCTCGCATTTTTCTCGGCGCCATCTCGCATTTATCTTGCATTTCGGAAATTTTCAAATTGCGAGAAAAATGCGAGCTCGCGCCCAGAAAAATGCGAGACCGGCGCGAGAAAAAAAGCGAGATGTTTGCGAGCTCGTCAATGTACCGCCAGTGTCTCGCGTTTATCTCGGCAGTTATTCTTAGTGTATGTTTCGGGTCGCACTCATTAAGCATTTTCACAGTATCTTATTTCTTTTAGATATGGACAATCTACTTACTTATTATCCGGACAGTGACGAGGAATCACCGCGGAGAAGGTCAAATGAAGGTTGGTTTTTTTAAAAATATTCCTTGCTCTGTTGATGTCATTTTCTACAAGTTTGGTTTACTTTTTTTCTCAAGCGTAGGTCAGGGAAGCGCCAGAATCCCAGCTTTTATTTTGCCCTTTTGAGTGGGGAAACAATTTGTTTTTGATATTTTTATGATACTTGTTACTATCCTTGCCCACTTTTTTTTCATTGGAATTTCTTCAGTTGCCCAAACTTCAAGGCCGGCCTCTCCTGGGGAAGATTCGCAAAGTAACGACAGTGATGATCGGGATCAAAGACGGAAACGTCAAAATTCAGACACCATGTTTGACGGTTAGTTAGCTTGTTTTTTTTTGGAAAAAAACGCATCAAATGAGCTTTTTAACAACAAAACCCTTTCCCTTTTGGGAGGAACTTCATGGAGTGAAATAAACATATTCATTTGTTTGTAGGAACTTTCAATTAAGCACTGCAAAAAACAGAGAAGACAGAAAAGTAAGATCGAGGGAATTGTTTGAAACTTTTAAAGGAGCAAAAAAGCAACATTTTAGTGTTTGATCAGGGGAAATATTTTGAAAGTGAATATTTGAAATCCAAAAATTTTCATGCAACAGTAGTTATCTTTTTTTATTCTATGCTTTTTAAGGGACAAAAATAATTCTGACTTTTTTGTTGTTAAAAAAATTACGAGAGACCTCGAAAATCAGTAAAATTATTTTCCACTCGTTCAAAAAGGCAAAAGTCTTTCAGTACCAAGAAGAACGATTATAATGATAAATTCTTCGATATTTAAACAAAAAATTTGTCAGTTCGCCTTTTGAAAAACACAGACAACATTTCTGAGCAAAGAATGAGTTTGAAAATGTATTAGATGTTCAATAAAAGTTTTTTTCAAAAAAATATTTTTTTAATAATTTTGAAACTTTTAAGCTTTTTTTAGACGATGAGGGAGGCAATCGATCAGATTACTCGGATCGAAGTCAAAGTCAAAACTTTGTCGAACCACCTCCGCCACAAAGAGTCGTCGACCATTCCCCTTCGCCAGCTTTTAGAACTCCAGCTTCTGCTTTTCCTCAGGTAAACAGGAAAAATTTTGAATTTATTTATTTGTTCATTTTCCAGAACTCATCACAATTGTCTTTAGTATCGTATGGAGGCGAAGAAGAGGCTTTTCAAAGTTCCTTTCTCTATTATCCTATTTTAATTGAAGTTTCAGGCGATTCGGAGAATACAGGTCAGAAAAGTACCCCACAGTCTGAAGCATTGCATGAGCCGCGACCGCCAGGAAGGCAGAGTCAAGTAAGTTTTCATCTTTTCCTACTATATTTATGAATTTTTTTCAGGAAAGCGACGAGGAAGAGGAAGAACGATTAATCGATCTCGCTTTAGAAGAGAGTAAAACGCTTTTCATGGTGAATATTCCCAATAAAAGCCCCTTATCCAAATTAATTCCAGGAACAGGACGAATCTTCTTCGCTGGACGTGACGCCAACCAGAGAAGATGCACTAGATAGTCCTATAGGAGATGCTACGGTTCGATTCATTCTGAGAAATCCCGAAAACTTGATACTTTCAGGATTCTCAGTCGGCGGCGGCTCCAGAGTTTGCCAACGAGGATGAAATTCAAATACCTTCAGCGCCTGATAAGGAAGTCAATGAGGATCTACAAGTTTTTTTTTTTTTATTTCAATACTAATAGAAAGTTATTGAACATTCAGAACAAGTTTGAAAAAGCCTTTTGGCAGAAAGATCAAGGTGTGAACTTGAACAAAGCGATCCAAAGTCGGCAGGACTTCAGCAATCCCATGAGTTATGAAAGATTCATCGAGACTTTCGAAATTGATGAGAAAGGTAGGTATTTCCATAAGAAAGTTATTTACGCTTTCAATCAATATCAATCAATGTTTATTAGTTGTTTCAGTCAGATGGAATCGACTTCAAAATAATTTTGAGCCGTTTATAATGAGAGAATCTTAAAGATTTGGTAGATTTTGTAAACATTCATATATTGCTCAAAAATAATCTTGAACATATTTGATTTTCAATCTTTTTTTCTTCCATAAATGTTCATTCCTAACTCTTTAGGAACGAATTTCGAAAGCCACTTGTTCGATCCGCACTGCATCTCGGAAAATTGCTTCTACGACAAAATTGGTAAGACATGAACTAAAATATTGAATATTTTTATTTTGTTTTCAGCGGAGCTACAAAGAAAGCAAATGGAAGCGCATACTGTTGCGAATGCGAAAAAAAGTGGCCGTGAAAAAAATTTTTTTTTCCTTTGCTCGAACTATAAACGTTTATTTATTTAATTTTTTTATTCTTTAACTCTCCATATACAAATTCATAGTACAGGAAAATATACAAGGCATGTCTTTAACTACAAAAAAAAAAAATAGAAAACTTAGTTATTCTTCAAATTTCTGTTAAGCATCCGACCGGCAGTTGAAGTAAAAAAACAGGTGAATCGATTTTCATTGTGCATGAAAAAAATTCTCATCAACCTTCTTGATCGTTTTCACCGCAGATCTGAGTTCGGTTCCTGCCCTCGACGTGAAAATAGGCGATTGTCTTTTTTCAACTTCTATTTGCTGCAAATTCAACTTTTTTTTTGTGAAGCTAAAATGCTTTCTTACTTTCAAGAGATTTTGTGCACCTCTTTCAGAATCGCTGTCTTCTCCATCACTTTCAGGAAAGTCTAACTTGAGTTTGTTGACTTCCAAGAGTGTTATTTCTGAATTTAAAAAAATAAACACGGAACCTTGACAGATTTTATACCATTCTCAAGGTTCAAAAAAGACCCATTCAAACTGTTGGGTGTCAAAATACGCCGTCGTGGTAGAACAACACTCTTTGACTATAAACGACAGTTTTAGAACAAACTATATAACTTCAAAAACCTCTTGCAAGGGTACCTGCTTCTTCAAATTTATGTTCGTCTTCCTTTCCATATCAGCTGTCAATTGTTTTCCAAAAGACGAAGTGAAAATAGGAACTGAAAGAAATTGATTGAAACTGTAAATTTTAATCTTCCGAACCACTGATTTCAACAGGCCTGAAATTATCAATTTGTGGCTCATTCGGCACTTCTTTCTGGGAAACTGAAGCGTTTTCATCTGACTTCTTCTCTTCCAAAAACGAATAATCGCCTTTCTTGACACGACTGCTCAGTTCTGAAAAGCTAAATAGAAATGAGAGGGAAAAATAATCATTTTTTTTTCCGACCTGTATTAACTTTCAGAGAGGAGAGAACTTTTTCCGTAACATTGCTCATTGTTCGGGAGTAACTCACTCGCGAATTCTCGGCAATTATCTGAATTTTCTGTGTGCTTTTTTATTTTATTCGATGTCACCTGCTTCTCAATGTTCTCGTTTCTTATTTTTAGAAGTAGATTAACTTGAAGCATAATTTGCTCCATCACTTCAAATTCCTTTTTGGCCAGACTCTGAAAACGGGAAAAGCTATTTACTGAAAAAATATGAATAACCTCAAATTGCTGCAAAGTTAGTCTATCGACGATTTTTGAATCCCTCATTTCCGTCATCTTATTCATCCGCTCGTTATACTCTTTCGCTATCATTTGTAAAAGCTTATCGGTTTTCTCGTTAGTAGGCATTCTGAAAAAAATATGATAAATCGAAAAAAATAATAATATATATTTATAAATTATATATATATACATCAAAAATGCAAAAATGTCGCCTGCCAAGAATTTGAAGTGCGCGCCAATTGAATTCGTTGCGCGTCAACTCCTCGATACGTGGTGGCGAAATACGAAGAATTTTTTTACTTTTTTTATTTTTTTGGCCTAAGGATTTTTTTAATCCTAATTGGGTGGTAACATATCCTCGATTAATTTTTCTAGTTATTTGGCCTTATATAAGAAGTCTTTGCAGTTCCGTTTCTTATGCCGTGTTCAAAGTGATTCCACGAAATGCAAAATTACCGTCAGAGAAAAAAACATAACTAAATTTTGGAGATTCAGAGACAATTTTTGAATTTCGCCGAAGTTATCTTGAACACGGCAATAACAGCCCTGCTTTAAAAATTTTGTTTAATCATATTCCAGAAATTTTTCCAATATAATATCCTTTCCTTTTTTTAATGTGTCAGGGTTTTTTTCTTAATTTAAAAAGTCTCTATAAATGATGTTTCGCTTTCCCTTTTTTTTTGAAGCTTACATTCATGCTCTAAAGAAAATTTTCAGTTCAGGTAACACTCATCGAGGACTCTTGCTCTCAAAATGGCCGAAGCAGGAGGGTATGTTTTCTTTCCATTATTGAAAAAGCTTATTTCATCATTTTTAGAAAAAAATAAGGCGAAGCAGTTTTTTTCTTTTTTTAAAGGTGTTTTTATACGGTATATCGTCTTTTCCATACATTTAATAACATTTTCATCTCAGTAAATAAACCAACAATCATGAAATAAAGTACTTCCACAAGGAAAAATTTGAATTTCCTTAATTGTTTGGAACGAAAGGAAAGCTTCTTGAGGTACTCAAATTTGTTAGTTTTTTCATAATTGGTAATATTCAAATTGAAAAATTTTTCAAGTGAAATGAAAATATCGAATTTTTTAGTTTGAATCAGGGAACAACTAAATTCAATAATTCTCTAATTCGCATTAACTAGAATCAAAATTTTTTTTTTTCTAGCATTTAGCATATGAATGCTGTTTGTTACATTTTGATTACAAACTTGTATTTCAAATGCTAAAAAATCAGGTCTTCCTGCCACACGTGAGTATGTTCAAAATGCTTGTGTTCCAAAGGAGTTCCAACAAGTTTATATAAATTTTGAGCTTTTTTTTTTGTCTTATTTCAGTCTTTGCATAATTATAAGTTTAGAGATGAAGTCAAGGTCGAGCCCGCGGCAGCTCCGGTCAACGCCCAAATGGACGTCCAGACCGCGTTGAAGGCTGTTCTTCGCGCCGCTCACTACGCTGACGGTCTTGCTAAGGGACTCCACGAGGCCGCTAAAGCGCTTGATAAGTAAGGAAGATTTAAAATAATGTTTTTTCGCGCATGTCAATTGTTTTATACGTTATTGTGTAAAGCAGGTCGTAGTGCGCAAAACTATCAAGGCTTCCTGCCACACGTGTGCTTGTGATCAAAAGCATGTGTTCCAAAGGAGTTTCTGACAATTTCAATCTCAGTTTTTCAGGCGTGAGGCTCACTTCTGCGTTCTTGCCGAGAACTGCGACGAACCTCAGTATGTGAAGCTCGTCGAGGCCCTCTGCAACGAGCACAACATCCCTCTGATCAAGGTTGCCGATAAGAAGATCATCGGCGAGTACTGCGGTCTTTGCAAATACGACAAGGAAGGAAAAGCCCGCAAGGTATTATAATTTTTATCTTTTTTGAACTTATTTCAAATTTTTAAGGTTGTTGGCTGCTCCTGCGCTGTTGTGAAGAGCTACGGTAACGAAGAACAAGGAAAGGCCGTCCTTCAACATTACTTTGACTCCAAGAAGTAATCGTTTTTTTGTTTGTTTCAAATAAATTGTTATTGCTTTTTACTCTATTTGATTTTTCACGACAAATGGGCTCCTAATCGTATACCCTCGGCAATCTTTATTGTTCGATCGTTAAATATACATTCACAAGTCGCCGAGTTAGGAAAATAGATTTCTTATATTAGTTCAAAAAAACGTTATGCGGAGTTCGGACGTCTTGCAACCTTCTTGCTTCTAATCTTCGTGTTGATCTTAGATGTCGCGCCGTTGTATGTCATGGAGACTGGATTCCTAGGTGCATTTGAATTCTATATTTCAAAAGAATTTTCCACGATAATTTTTTTTTTCTTTACCTGATTTTGAAGCTTGACTAGAAAGTTCTGGATCATAAATTGAAAATTTTTTTTAAAAATTGGTTTTTTTTTTCCTATATGGTTTCTCGACTATAAAAAAAGAGCCAGAGCATATTAGCGGATTGTTATGACTAAGAGTGTTATCAATGACCCTGGAAGGGAGAGGTGGTGGTGGATAGTACCATTTTCTCTATGTAATGAGCGTTTCTAGGGAACATTCATCATTATCGAAGTTCATTTTCTTCCGAATCTTGTTTTATGCTGTTTGAAAATCTTCGTAGAAAAACTAGAAAATACCTCAATTTCTGTAGAAGTTGAACACCGTTTTTGCATTAATAGAATCGGGAAACTGTATTCCTTTTCACGCCTATATTTCGTGTAGTCGTTCGGTGAGAATGGAATATACATGGAAATTTTATCATACACCTAGGCATGACTCAAGAGCGAGAAACGCACAGTCTCATGCACATCCACAAGGTATTTCTAGTAGAAAGTTAAGAATTATTGATAGAAAATAATGAAAATGAGGCTGAGAATTTTGCGCCGTTACAAGTACAGGGAATACGCGCTCTATCTACAAAAATACATTTTTGCTAGTTTTGAATGCAAACTGAGAGCGGAAAACTTTTGAAAAAAATTCAAATAGTTTTTTTAGAAAATTTTATAAATGGAGCTCGCCAAACGTAAAATGGCAGTAGCTTTTTTTATTGTATGGAAAGAAAAGAAATAAGAAAATGGGATGTATTGTGAATTAATTCCTAGAATTCTGAAAACTACGCTTTGGAAAATTTTCATGCTCTGTTTGAACAAATAGAGTGTAGCAAACATTCCAGCCACGATTAAGGGGTTTTGAACCATAAATGTCTTGTTTTTCCTGGAATTTTTGTATATTTTGATCTATCTGAAACTTTTTACAGGGTATAAACCGCCTGGAGATGCTTCCTAGTCATATAAAATCAACTCCGACACCAGTTCATTTGCTAGGCTTCGATATAGCTCATTTGTGAGTGTTTTCTCAAGTAAAAAAGGGTGATAAGAATCAGATTTGAACATTTACGCTTCAAATTGTGATAATTCCGGTACCAGAAATTTTTTAATTAATAGGATACAGTAATTTTATTTAACTGTGGCTTGAGTGATTACAAAGTTTCATAGTTTTCCGAAAAAAAACGTGTAAAATGACTCAAGTGAAAATAAACTAGCTCCAGTTCCAACTTACGTGCCGAAAATTTGTATTTCAACAAATTTAAAACACTCACTTTGAGAAAAGTTATGAAAATCCTACCCTTCAAGGCTAAATTCGGGATTTTTCTGGTTTTAGGCCAAGATGGATGCAGTTTATTTTGCTGTCGGCCTCCGTTTTCGTTTTCTACGTAGGATATGGCTATATGCAGGTAATTGTAATATTCTTTAAGAATTTCAATAAAGATGACACTTTCCAGGAGCTGATATTCAAACTGCCGGGCATGAGACCTTTCGGTTGGTACTTGACACTCGTTCAGTTCATCATCTACAGTAGCTGTGGATATGCTGAATGTATCCTGTGGCACACTACCAAAAGAAAGTGAGCATTTCAAAATTCGAAAGGGGTTCTTCCCACGAACTCATTAAAACTAATGATGAAGAAGCGTAGAAGTGAGAAATTGGTAGTTTCTTTTGAAAAATATACAATTTAGATCGATATAAATCTCTTTTTTCAGTTTATACATGGTTAGAGGACGTGAAATGGGGAAATAAACCTGGAAAAAGAGAAGAAAAAAAAAGCTTCTGTTATAGTTTTATTTCTTGAAACTACCAGTTTAGCTTCAATCAAAGAAATAATCTTGTTTTTTTAGATATCGAATAAAAATTATCCGCAACAGATTCAATAAAAATCATTATTCCAGAAAAAAACTCAGCTTCGAATTGAAGCAATTGATTGCTGAAGCGACAATTTTTTTATAATTAAACATTTTTTTCGGTTTAATCTCATATATCATTGATTACCAAGCTTGAACCGTTCTCCAAGAAAAAATTTCTGAAATTTTGGAGCTTTTTCTTCTTTTTTTTTGCATTCAGAAAAACGTTCTCTTAATTTAAAAAAATTGAGATTTTCAGCGTCCCTCTGAATGTTTATGCGATGATCGCGTTTTTCACAGTCGCCACTATGGGACTGTCAAATGCTTCAGTTGGCTACCTGAACTATCCAACACAGGTAATCTTAATTTTCTGTTTTTTTTTGTACTCGAGAAGCTACTTGTAATTGTAATTTCCAATTTTTATGTTTTCAGGTCATTTTCAAATGTTGCAAATTGGTGCCGGTACTCATTGGAGGCATTTTGATACAAGGAAAACGATACGGATTAATCGACATTTGTGCTGCGCTGCTCATGAGTTTAGGTAATTGAAGTGAATAAGAAAAAGAAAATAGTTTTTGAAAAAAAAAAACGCCTTCAACTTTACAGTTTCTTCCTGAACTCAAAAATTGTAATTTATTTCGATTTACCATTTTGATTAGGTTAGATCTGCTATAAAAAGCTCATTTTACGTGGCGGTTGGGAATTTCCTGTAAATTGGCCAGAACGCTTCTCGGAGATGTAGATTCTGAAAGTCTCAACCTGTAGCATTTTTTAGTTTTTGAGAAAGGGAATCTGACGTTCGAAGGGAACCTTCAAATTCTGTTGAAATATGCTTTTTCGGGCTTTGAGCCCTCATTTGTCGAAAACCAGAAATTTTTTGTTTTGGACAAGTTTCAGCAAGTTTCTAACCGCAAACTAAAATGACCTTCCTTGTTAGATTTTCAGTTTGGAAAAAGCGATCGTTCGCAGCTTTTCTTCAATTTCTTCTGAATAATTTAAAAAAAATCAGAAATAATATTTATGGATAAAATTATATTCAGAAGTTTATAAAAAAAGGTAGATAAAATTTTTGAGTGAAGCTTGTAGGAATTTACGAAAGTAAATTTGAAAAAAACAAGCGTATACATTAAAGGCATAGGGGCAGTAAAAAAATGGAAAGCAGTATCTTATACAGTTTTTCTTTGCGAATCGAATGGTGTACTCAAAAAAATTACAGATGTGACAACTTTAGAAGAAAAATGCGATTTTACTTTCCCGCCATTAATTTTGAAAAAAGCTGTGGATCGGTGCTCAGACAACTGATTACAGTAGCTGTGCACGCGATGTTGCGGACGTCTCATTAGACTCGCATTTTGTGAGAAATAACCGGATATCTGCTTCAAATTAAGAGTTTCTTCTCTGAAAAACCGATTAAGAAAACAGAAAACACACATTTATAATAAAGAAAACACAAAATATCGCTATCCCCATCGAAACCTGCGTAAAATCATCATTTTTCACCAAAGAAGCATTTTTGCGGTTAAAGTTTGCAAATTATACATGAATAGAAAGCTTTTGTGACGAAAAGAACTTTGGTGCCAACAGAAAAAATTGAAAATTGAAAGAAATGAAGAAAAAAGCGAAAATACGGAAGTTGGCGAAGCCTGTTGTCCATAGAGCAACTTTACTGCAAAGCGCCCTTTTCGCGGGAACTCAAGCTTTCCTCTCTCCAACTTTGAATTAGTTTTTCTCCAAAACTAGGAATTTCTGTACGTTTCCAAGTTCACCGTTCGATTCGCAATGAAAAGCTCTAAAAAATACTGCTTTGAACTGAAACACCGTTTTTTACTGCCCCTATGCCTTTAATAGCTCAAGCTTTATACAACCGAGTGGCCAACTTAGGGAAAATGATTTTGATTGGAATGGTTTTGAAGCCTTTTTTATTGTTTCTGTGCAAAAAAGAGCTTTTTTTCCCCTCAAAAGTAGTTTTTATCGTTTTATTCCAGCGTTTTCAGCTGTAATTTTTCTAGCTGTTTCTCTCTGAAATTTCTGATATGTTTTCGTGATTTTCCAGGGATCGCCCTGTTCACTCTGGCCGACACCAAAGTCGCTCCCAACTTCGAACCCCGTGGCTATATCATGATTTCTGGAGCTCTTCTTGCCGACGCCGTTATTGGAAATGTTCAGGAGAAAAGCATGCGGAAACACGGAGGGACTAGCAATGAAATGGTCCTTTTTCGGAGATTTTGAGAAATTTATTTTGAATACTAATTTTAGTTCACCCGTCATAATTAAAATACGAAATCCATTACGATAATATTTTCTCTTTTTCTGCGAAATGAAGGCCCTGAAGAATAATTCAGCGAAGTTTTATCAAAAGATCAACCGGGGGCTCAATAACAATTTTCTTGTCAACTTATCAAAGTAAGTTGTTTTTTTTTCAGGTTCTCTATTCGTATGGAATCGGCTCAGTGTACATATTTGCGTACACGGTTTTGAGCGGCGAAATTTTTTCAGCCGTCTCTTTTTTCTTTGAGGTTTCGTTTTCCGACTGAAATTGACCATATTATGAGTTCCAGCACCCTTGGGAAACGTACGGCTACGCACTAATTTTCGGTCTTTTGGGTTATCTTGGCGTCAACGTCGTCTTGACTTTGATTCAGGTACGTTTCAGATGTTTTCAGAGGGTAGGATAAGAAAAAACTGTATGATAGATATCCTCGAAATAGTAAAAACAAAGAAAAACACAAAACTAATGGAAAGAAAAACTCTTCATGGAAACTTTTTATCTCTGATATCTTCAGTTTTTCCTTTTTTTCCTCTTACTTTTTTTATTGAGCTCAGAGGTTCTCACAATTTCATAATTTCAAAAAGAAGTACAAAACTTTCGTTAGAAAAAAATGGACGCATTTAGAATTATTTTTTTATAACAAGTTGCATTTAAAAAAATTAAATAAAGATTGCGAAAAAAATTTTTTTATAACAAGGGATTGCGAATAAAGTTCTCATCGAAAAAAAGGATAATTATGGATTCCAAAAAAAGTAATTTTTTTTCTTATATGTTATTTTACTGTTGCTCTGGATGTTCAAATTATAAAACCAGTGTGCGTTCATTGCTGCTTCTAGCGGTGTTTTTTCGTTAAAATTATTTTCCTAGCAGTCGGTTCCGAACTTTCTTTTTCGGATTGCGAGGAAACACCAAAATCTTGGTGTGAATGTCAATAACTATTTTTGTGTTAACTGTTATTTAACTGTTCAAATAACTTTATTAATCGATTCACCTGTTTTATCCCTTCACTTCTTGGAAAAATCTTCATTCTAGGTGTTCGGAGCTCTCGTTGCCGTGACTGTGACAACACTAAGAAAAGCGCTGACAATCGTTTTGTCTTTCGTTTTATTCTCGAAACCTTTCACCGAGGAGTACGTCTGGGCGGGACTCGTCATTTTGTTGGCGATTTATTTGAACTTGTACAGGTACAACCAGATTTCTTGAAACGGTAACGCTCGATTTGTTCCAGCAAAAACAAGTCGAGTTGGGACACGAAGCTGAAGCAAATCACCGCCCGGATTCTGGGCTATCGGTTCAGTGCCGTCATGAAAAGCGATATGTTGATGGTGTAAAAATAGATGTTTTCTCAAAAATCTATAAATCTATTTCTCTAATGTAGCTTTAAAACCGGTTTCTAGAACATTTGATTTCCACTTGTGAGTGTGATTATTTCCTTTAATCTATCGTGATTTAAAAAAAAAGAAGAAGGTAGAAAATAGTTCCGTACTGCTTGAACTTTTGCGCTCCGGAAAAATTTTGAAAAACAATCTCAAAAGTGAGCGCAAGTTGAGCTTGTGATGCTTTTTTTTTAACTCGTTTCATGATGAAAATAGATTTTATTGTTTGAATTTTTTCTATATTGAGCTTTCAGGTGTTTGGAAGGACTATGTGAGAGAGAAATGAAGTTTCAAATTCTTCGAAATTTTTCAAAAGTAGACTAAAAGTTTTTCAAGATGGAAAAAACAGCGGAAAAGTTTCAAACGAATTTTTTAGAGAATTATCAATTTTTTTCAATATTCTTCCACCAAGTAGTCCTTCTAGGCACCCAAGAATTGATCTTCATAGTTCATTCCTCTAATTTAATTGCATTTTCCCTCAATCAGTTCATTCCTTCCTGTCAATTTCTTGTTTAACAACATTCCTTTTAGAATTAACAAATTTTAGCGGGTTTCTTCGGTTGCAATAATTTATTTTCCTGTATTTATTTTCTTTTTTAGTTTTTGTTTGGGGCATTTTCTTTGAAGATAGTTTCTTCAGGTTTTAGAATTTTATTATTCGATTAACAAACAAAATGGGTGATAATAAAATGGACATAAATTTTTTTGAAACTTTTCGGTTATAAAGTGTACTTAAAGATTTGTCCAAAGCTCAGTTTTACAATTTCAAAGGAAGTTAGTAATTTTCTCTCTGTGAATGGGATATATCAAAATAATGACTTGAGTGAGAGAGACAAGATGATAAAGTTGACTAGGTAACAATTATGACAAGCAAAAATTGTTGGTTTTCAAATAGGATGGATGATAAATTTGTCAGTTGTTTATACATGTGGGGACCTCGTAGGTATTTCGGAAATATTCAATAGAAATCGGAGCCGCAAGGAGGAGGAGATTTGTGATTAAATTTCTTTTGAAAAAGTCAAAACAATGATGAGAAAAAACAGCCGCGGCTGAAGTTACACGGAGAAAAAAGCGTGAGTGATAGAAAAGTGAGAAAAATTAGAAGGGGGATAAAAATGACATAAGAACAACGTTATGAAAGATATCAATTATAAATTTTGGGCAAAATTGATGGAGCAAAGATATAGTTGATTCACCGCTAGCTTTAGACAAGGTGGGATAAGAATTAGCGAAAAAGTGTGGAAAAGAAGAGGCTGAGACGTCTCTTTAGCATTTGTATCTCAAGGTGCCGATGAACATTCCCGCTTTTTCTCAATGTAACTTCAAAAACCAAAAAAGGACAAGAATATGGAAGAGAAAAACGGCTACTCGTTGCCGTTGACGTCATCCTCATCAGAAGATGGGCGCGGCGTCCGTGGCATCTGAATGGCCGACGGGGCGTCCAAGGGCGTCTCGCAAGGGTGCACTACAATGGTCGGCGTCGATTCGTCGCCATTGTGGACTTCGTATCTGAAATTTCTTTTGAAGTTTCTTGGAAACTTGAGTCTGAGGTCATGATCAATGTGATTTCGCCGCGGAATTCAAAGTCACCTTCAGAGAGTGAAAAAGAATTTTTTAGAGTCAAAGATAATTTGGAATTCGGCTTTAAGTTCTAAAAGAATGGAAAATGACAAACTTGTCGTCTAGGGCGAAAGACGCGAGGCGGGCCATCAGGTCAAAGTTGCAGACAACAGGAGCCATTTCCTGAAAATCCAAATATAATTTATGTTTCTCTAGGATAAAAATCCGGAAATCTATCCCATTATACTATTTAAATGAGATTAATTGCAGAATTCGTCAACTAAAATTGAAGAAATCACGGCGATTGAAAAGAAAATGAAGTTGCTCTTAAAATGAAATAAAGAAAATTCTTAAGTGGCCACTAAAGTAATTTAGCCATTTTTTCTTTGAACTAGCCGTTTCTGGCCATTTTGAATCGCTCAAAATAACTCGAAACTTCAGGAAAAAGGGAAAAAACGGACCGTGGTCTGTTCCCAGCCGACGGGCGGGGAACACGGCGGCGAAATCAGAAACTGTTTCTCGAGGGGCGGTGGCGACAGAAGCGTCAGCTTGTTGTTGCTCAAGAGAACTCGCTGAAAAAATAGTCCGAATGAAGTGGACAAGCTGGAAATTTAGAAAAAGGTGAAACGGTACAGCAAGTTCAAATGGCTTCTTGTTTTCAAATGAGCTCGAATTCCTACGTTGGATAAAATTTTTTCTAAAGCGACCTTACTAATTAAAGAAAAAAAATTGACAAATGGTCGATTACCTGGGCGAAAAACGCTTTGAGCTGCTGGCCGTGGAAGGAGAAGCCTTGGACGATAAGCTTGGCGGCGGTCGCATTTTCCGGAGTACTGGAAAACAGATTACATGAGTTTCCAGCAACGTTCAAACTTCAATAGATAATGAAATAACTTTTCTTGCTACAAAAAATCACAAATATACCTAATGAGAATGAAATATAACTGGTTTAAGGACATGTCGAAATCAAAAAGTCTTTGAAAGCAATTCGAATACTTCTTTATGTTGCGAATATTATTTCCTAACTATTAAAAAAATGTGAAAAATAATTCAAGATTCTGAAAAGATACAAAGGGGAAAAAACCCAAACCTAAAAATAACGCGAACTCGTCGGAAGCTCTTCAAAAAGTCGAAATGAATATTTTCTTCGATTTGAGTGAAAAGTTGCGAGAAATTGGCCTTGTCCGATGGGTTTGTGAAGACCTGGAAAAACGATAGAATTAAATTAATAAGCTAATGAAGATTGAAAAAAAGTTTATATTGTTGTATCGGAACAGCCAACTGAGATAATTGATCGCTTAACAATTGTTTAAAATTTTATTGGCGCGAAAAATTAAAAAAAAAAATTCATGAATCACACAATTTCCTTACTTGCATCTTCTTACATGCGCTATATATGATCGATCAAAACTTTTGAAACAGGGAAAGTTCGAAAACTTTGGCACCTGGACCATTGAAAAACAGGAACAATCCCATTTCTAATTGATCAAGATCAGAAATAGTAGAAAATTTAATTTTAATAGAATCCTTCGAAAAAGTTCACTAGGAGGTGATTGCTTTTTAAAAATCTATTTTTGACTATCTTCTGAAAATTGTGCCTAACTTGATTTCTTTTTTTTTGCTTTATCCTCGTTTTCCTTATGGTTTTATGATCCTTAGTAAAAATATTATTTATTGCGAAATGAATAAACTGATGATTTTCATCAAAAATATCGCAGAAGTAAACTCTGTGTTTTTTTTTCGGATTTCACACGGAATTTCAAGCCCAATTACCTCCTCGGGAACTTGGGTCACGATGATCGAATTGGGAAGTTCGTCCTTGCATTTGACTGTGCTGATCAACGGCGAATTGGCCTTTCCATTCGTCTGGTTCTCAATATTGTCGACCACCATCTTGTCTATAAATTAACAGATCTAAAAATCCCCATTAAAGGAATATATTGGAAAGTAATCATGGACATTTTAACTGGCCCATGTTTTCGAATTTCGAAAACAGACAATAAATCCTTCGAAAGAGGAAAATAATCATAGTTGTTTAGAGTAAAAAAATGGCTTTTCAAAGGGAATAAATAACAAATAAGATTGATATAATTGGTCCCGAAGGGAAAATTACAGTCTTGTTTTTGCAATTACTTCATCTTAAACCAAGGAAAAATAGATAGATTTGAGGAGAAAATATTTGATAAATAACAAAATTTTCAGACTTTTTTTGTTTCAAATTTTCGATTCTAATAAAAATAATTCGCGATGAAATAGTTCTTGTAGAAGAGGATATAATTGAAAAAAATCTTTTTTTATTGCTTAGAATCGCGGTTAAAAAAATCCCTTTATTGATTCCAAATTCAAGTTGGGATAGAAAAAAATATCTAATAAACTTCTTATCAAAGAATACTTCTTACTTAAATTTGCTGAAACCGAAATGTGAGTTTGGCAACGTCAGTCGATTCAGATGCGAAAAATTGTAAACTCCAACGGAAGAGAAGATTAAAACGCGGAGGAAAAGAGGGAAACTGGATTGACTTATAAATAGGAGAAAAAAAAAGATTAAATGCGAAAAATAACGGGTGCGAAACCTTCAAAAGACCAATGGGCAAGCAGAAAAAAAATGACTCTTTAACTTTTGTGTTTTTCCGTTTTTTTCGTTTAAGAAAAAGGCTTGGAATATCAAATTTGTTTCAAGAAACCAAAAAAAGCCTAAATTTACATCACTATAATCAAAAAATCAACGAAATCCAAGGTACATTTTTTCTCTTTAAATGGCCCCAAAAAGTATTCCTCCGAGAAAATAAATTTTTTTTTTCCATCTTGAGCCTTATGAAGAAAATTTGAATGTTTTGAATGCTAAAAACTTTTCATCAAACATTCAACAAAAATCCAACATAAATCTTTATTTCTCTTCTTTTTACTCAAAGAAAAGAAAAAATGACTGCACAACAGGAAATCCTGGTTCACTCACTATGCAGTGGAAGTAGAATCGGGGCTGAGAAAAACGGAACAACTGCTTGACGAGCTTCGAAAAAAAGAGGAGAAAAAACTCTGAAAATAAATAATAAAATGAAAGAAAAATAAACAGTTTACTTGACGAAGGAACGCGGAAGAACACGAAATTATTCTCGAGAATTGGAAAATAAGATGTTCTAAATGAATGAGAAAATAATGTTTAGCCACAATTTCAAAACCAGGAAAAAAATCCTTCAATTATTGGAACCAAACACGGCTGGATTCGAAGTTTTTAATGAAATTCTAGAGCGTTAAGCACAATTTGGAAATTCACTAAGCTTTAAAAAAAGCGAAAGTTTTTCTTTTTGGATAAGAAATCTCAAAATGAGCAAGAAGGACGCTACAAAGACAGAATAACGATAACTTTAACATTAAAGCAACAGTTGATTCTTGAAAAATTACATCAAAAATAGCTTTTTCATTATTGAAAATACATATCAAAAAAAGCCTATCGCTCTAGTTCAAAGCCGAGAACTAGTTCAAAAACTGAAGTCTGAAAGAAGCTTCATTAAGAAAGTACTGGAAAAATCGATGCATAAAGAGAGAGAGAGGGGAGATATAAATAGCAGCGGTTACGAAACCTAATGACGCCCCTTGGCGAAGATCAAGTGACCACTTGAGTAGTTTATCGGGAAGCCTATTTCAATGGCGTGTTCGACTAAGTACCGGACCATGTTTCGAAAGTCGATGGAGCTGCGAAACAGTCAATTTTTAATTTTGAAGCAATTTATTATGTTTTGGAAGACGTTAATTTGATATTAGATAGGCACACTTTCCATACTTTTTTGCTCTCAAAGTGATTTTTGAGAGTCAAAAAAATCAAGTTACGTTTCCACTTTAGGGAGCCTTCACTCGTCATTTTTAGGGTGAGGCCCTCTCAGAATACCTTTTTCTAAGTGGCTACTTAAGGATTTCATATTTTTAATGATTTTCTAAGGGGTCATTTTAGAGGTTAAATCCTTTTTCAAATCCGATGCTTCCCCAACCTTCCCAGGAAAAACTCCAGAAAAATCTACCAAGTGAAGAAAAAACTCCTTTTCCTCGACTATTTCTGGAGATTGTCTCTGCAACACATCAATTAACTCTTGACGTCTTTTTAGCTTCTATCTCTTCTCTTTTTTTTTCGACGATGTTTATCTTCCCAGATGTTTGGTCGGCTGTTTTTTCATTCATTTAACTCAAGGCTTGATAGGAAAAAAGCGCAGAAAAGAAACATCACAAAAGTAGTGTTAATTTGGTTCTTCTACTCGAAAAAAAAGATCCAAGACTTTTCTTATCAATTTAATTATGAACACAGCTATGAGGAAATTTCAAGTTTCTAATAAGAGTTTTGAAATTTTGAAAAAAATTCTAATTTCAGGTTTCAAGTCTCAGCGAAGACTTCCAATGCAAAAAAATGTTCCATCAAAGCTTTTTCTTTTTTTTTCTTGAAATCACATTCATCATTCAAAAATTGCTCAGAGAGCGAAAAAAAAATCAGAAATTACAGTGAACTGTTAGGAAAATGATTATCAAAAATTCAAAAAGGAAAAAAAATCCTCATATTATTTTCTCAAGTTTCAAGATTAATGCCCTGTTCAAAGTAAGCGAAATGTGAAACTATATCTGAATCTCCAAAAATGAGTTATCTTTCTCCCTCTCTGACGGCTATTTTGAGTTCCGTGGGATCACTTAGACATGGCATGAAGCTTGATCTGAACAAACTACGTCCTCTACCTATTTTTTTTCTTTTCCTCCTATTTCGATGTTGTTCGAAACACTCGAAATAAATCAAACTAAAGTTACAAAAAAGGCAAGAAAAGCAAGGCAAAGGCTGGACGAACGCCAAATTGCCAAGAGAGGCGAAGGGGCCGTCGTCGTCGCTCAATAAATATAGCACGCCTTCCGTGCTCGATTTTTAATTAAGGCCTGTTCCGTGGCAGAACCAAGGAGGAAAACTTTTGTGCGCTTCTTTTCTATTGGCGAGATTCTTATTTGTCCACATATCTCTAGAGAAGAATCACTCAGAAGCCGTACAAGTAGCCATCATATTTTTTTGTGTACCAAATTATTGAGTTCTAAAACGTAATTTTGGCATGAAAAATCTAAATGGCCATAATTTCAAGCTTTGTTAGCCTAAAAATGATTAAAAGATCAAAAAATAAGGTTATCAACAAAATAAATCCGCATTGAAAAAAATCTAAATGTTCTAAAAAAATCTTCTAACACGTTGAGAATACATCGCACAATGAATATCTCCACGCAAAAACGGGAAAAGTTCAATATCTTCAAAAAACATGAACTTTCCGTTTCAATGGAGAAATCGCGCTTTTTTCAGTCTGTAAGGCATTTCAGACGAAGCTGGCTTAACGAATAAATACACTGAAAATATCTCTCTTTTCGCAACTTCAAAATTAGCTCAAAAGCGGTTTTTTCTTTATTCATGACGTGAAAATTTAGTGAAATAAGCAACTTGGAAACAAGTTTTTTTGTTTTTTTGAAAAAAACTCTTCCCTTTTCAAAAAGATGGTACTTCAAAATTACTCTGGGGATCAGTCAAAATTACTCTCCCAACGGCTGAAAACTAGAAAATTTAAGGGAGGAAGACTTAAAAAATTTCCGTTTCCTGATGCACTCGTTGAAATTCAGTTTATTTGATTAAACCCAATCTAATGAGAAGAAAATGAAGAGATGTTTGGGCTTTAATATTCGAGCAACGCATCGGCAAAGACTCGAACGAAACAAACAGAAATAATGAGCAGATTGAGGAAAGAAGAAGAAAAAGACCTAAGAAGGCCGATCAAAAGCCTAAGTTCGCAGAAAAACCCGTGTAAATTGCGTATCGAGTTTGCTTTCGAATAAAAAAACAAAAATATAAACTAGATACGTATTTCTGCATAATAGGTTTTCAGGTTGTTTGAATAAAAGTTATTATTAATTGGACATTTTAATTAACGGCTGAGGTGATTCAAAACAAGTCACTAATATGTCCGATGGAATAATAACAATAATGAATAGCGAAAAGCTTTTTCAGGGTATAAGGTATAATTATGTCACGCGACTTCATTATTTTTCTTCGCCATTTCAAAAGAAAATAGTAGAAAAGCTTGTTCTAATGAAATTGAGTAAAAAGGTTGCTTAGTTGATTCAGAACAGCTTGATTTGATTCTTAAAGAAGCAGGGGGAACTTATTCCTCATAACACTATAAACTTTTTTCGAATAAATAATTTCCCGTCCTGCGCATTTAAATAACCCGCATAACCTTGATGAATAGAAAAAATTTTCTGGACAAGTAAAAAAAAAATTGGGTCCTATATACAAAGATAATAATGATTCCACCAGTGTCAATTGAAAAGAACTTTCAGTTCAAACTGACTTATATAGATGCACTATATTTCAGTGTTATTTCAAGCACTAAAGCAATAATAATATCAGCATATAAATTCAAAAAAGAGTTAACTTTTTTTTAGGGTTCACAGTCTCTAAAAATCTTGCTGAAGTTTAAAGGAGCATGGGCAATTTCATAAAAGTAGCTGTTTTAAATGTTATATTGGGTCATGGAATACTTCTGCTTGTTCAAAAAGCTTCCACAAGGTCTCGGGCCTCTGTAAAGCAAACCGGACGTTTCTGAGGATTTATAGTGGCCCCTTTAGTGGGTCGCACTTATAAGTGATTACTAAAAGTGTTCAGAAACACCCGAGAGGCGCTTTCCTTAGCCGAGTTTTTTTTCTCTAAAAAAGATGACCCAACACGGAAGTTTTTCAAAGAGTTGCTATAAAAAGTTGAACATTGAAAATTCCGAATTAAAGAAAAATCTGAAAAGGCAAAGGAATGGGCCCCGAAGAAAGACACAAGACGGAACACACAAAAAGCATAAACAGGGCCGACGTTTTGCGTCACACTCCGGAGCGAAGGGGGCGGAGTCGAGCAAAAGTTTGTTGAGGAGAAGAAGAAAAAAAAAGGTTGTTCGTCATAAGCCGATTTCTTCCGTCGAACGGCAAAAATTCTCGTTGATATTGGATTCCGTAGAAACAAAAAGTAGCGAAAATTCACAAAATCAACACTTCCAAAAAGGAATCCTAAAAATGAATGTCTGATTTTTTGGATCCCGAAGAGCTTTTTGAAGTCAGTTTAAAAATACACTATGAGGAACTTGAGAACTCAAAACTAGGTATGACTTAAAATGACACTGAGAAACAGCTCTTCGGGTCAAGACCGTCAGTGTATTTCTATATGCCTTTCAAAACCTCCGTAACAAAATGGAGACGTTCCAACTTTTTGAGCTGTTAAAAAGGTACTTTTTCTTCGGTTATTCGTCTTTCTCATCTCAAAGAAGTTTGCTGGAAATAAATGAGTGATTTTGAAACAAAAACGATTAATTTACAGAAATTTTCTGGAAGTTTATCATATAAGGCATACGTTGTAGGCTTTTCGTAGGCTCAACTAAAAAAAAAAATTTGGATTTAAAAAAAAATTTCTCAATGGTTCAATGGAAAAGAAAAACTTCTGTTTAAATGAAAAATTTTTTGTTCAAAGTTGAAAGAATTTCACTCATTAAAACGAACGATACTATTACCAAACCAAACACTCGTTGAAAGGTTTGTCAAGCAAATAACTTTGTGAAACCTTAAACCTACCTCAAAGACGTTTTTTTTTAAACTAGAGTGTATAGAAAAGTTATGAAAAACTACTGTCAAACTGAAAAGTTATCCTTTCTTTCAAATAAAAAATCCATGACAGCTTCAAAAAAAAAGCTATCTTATGAATCAACCAATCAAATTCATAGGAAAAAGGTCAAAATGTTGAGAAATGGGTAAATATATAGCGTCGAGGGATATTTCATAACTGAATCACCAGGCTATTTTTGGCTCTTACGAATGCAAATAATGGGCCTTTTCCAGAGAACAACGGAACCAAAAACTACTTCTTCCAAGAAAGTTTGAAAAATTAAGAGAAAAAAACAAGATTCTCTGTAAGGTAGTCTGTTGATTTGTTGGCTGGTAATCCGTTTTTCTCGTCAACCGAAAAAAAAATCTTGAAAAAAGGCAATCCTTCTTTATTGATATATCATAGCCTTTTGAGGTCGAAAAACAACGCGAAATAATCAAAAAATAATATTCTTCGGAAATAATTCAAGAGCCCTCTGTTGAATAAAAACTAATCAAAAATATTCATTTTTCAATTTTTCGAAATGGTATAGGCAAAAAACGGAGTTAAAATAACTTCGGTCTTCTAACAATTCAAAAAGAAAATCGCACACATTTTTTTTTCGACTTTAATACAGATTCAAAAGCTTTTTGCTGACTAATAAAACCAAAAGAGCACGTACTGTCAAAAAAAAAAGAAGAAAAAACCCTGAAAAGGGCGAAAAAAACCGTAATGTCTGTTTTGGAGGAAAAAATAAACCGTAAAACTATTCAAATAGCAGAAAAACCTTGGTCTCAAAACGAAGAGCCAACTTTTCGTGTTTTTTGAGGTATTAGGATACTTCTGAGCTTTCAAACAACTCCATAAATTTTTTTGAGAAACTGCGTTTCAACGACACGTTTTTCCTTCCAAGCTACAGAACCCTTTTCTTCGATACGCGCGGTCTGTCTCTGTTCATGCGCCTTTAAATAATTCTAAAAAGATCGCCGTTATATTAAAGGCGCATGCAAAGAGACAGGCCGCGCAAATCGAACAAAAGAGTTCTGCAGGTCAGAGAAAACCAAAAATCGTGACAAGCTGGCGCGGAATGGACTATATTGAAAGAAGTCGCAACGAGATCCATTGTTTTAATTCTGATTTACGCGAGTTCCCATAAATCTTCACCAAAGCAATGTCTAGCGAGGCTCCTTCAAGAACTCTGAACTGAACTCTCGTTCAAAGAATGGAATAAAAAAGGTTGGTAACAGGTACATTTGGGTTTATTTTGCGGAGGAGGCGAACTATGGTGAATGGGGAAGTCGAGTGCTATAATAACAGTCGGAGGGGCGATGACGCAGGCGATTTTGGCCCCTTTGACGACAGTTCCCACCGGACACCCGCCACTTTTCTCTTTCAACTTTTACGCGCGTAAAATAGAACTGACGTAGGTGCGTGGAGTGTACATAGTTTACTCAGGACGGCTAAGAAAAGTTCAAAGAGATTCTCCAACTACACAGGCGTCTGAAGAAACAAAGAAAATTAGCCTCGGCGCACACAGGAAAACCTTGACCATGTAAATTTAGTTATTTCAGCAATATAAATTTTTTCTTCAGCAAAATTTCAACTAACCCTCAAGTCCTGGCTATCCTTTTCTTCATTGTCAGCTTTAATTCTCAGTATCTCCATCATTTTTGTGTTGGAGGAAGTTTTCGCCTAGGGGCGCGATTGTTACAAAGATGAAAAAGATACGGCCGGCGTCTTTATTTCAGAGCGAACCAAAATAGCCGAAACGAACGAGGAAAATCCCGCTCGGCTCGTGTTTCACGTGGCTTTTGCCCTTTGCTCAGAAAAGAACGACTCGGTTTCGTTTGACCACGGGGAAAAATGATGAGAATAATTGTGGGGGCAAGAAAATGGGTCTTTGGTTATTAAAACCTCCAAAAATAAACTCGACTGGAAGAAGAAAAAAAACTCTCATTATTCTGAAAAAAGCTATTTTTAAAAATAAAGTTGTAGTCATAACGAGTACAAGAAGGCTCCTAAAATAATCCTTCTTCAAGTACAAAAAACGAAGCCAATCTTAGCCCCATAGTACAACCTCACATACAATTTTGCAGAAGAAAGCTTTCTCGATTGGATTTTCTTCTCAATAACAAAAAATTTTGCAGAAAGTGAACTTTCAAATAGAAGAAAGCTTTAAATATTATAATTACTTCTGAATAACTTGAAAGCAATCTCAAAAAGACGAAAAGTAAGTCTCAAATGAACACAATGCGGCGCTGAAAAAATTATTGATACCCTATTTCAAAAGCTTAAAGTAACATTAAAATTACTGAAAAACTCTCGACAACCAAAAATCTTGAAAATGACTCACTGCACTTAATTAACGAATCTTTTGATTTTTGGCTTTGAAAAGTTAACTTTACACTATATGACGTAACATCGGATCTCAGGTTCCACGCGTTATGTGATACCTTTTTTTATCGTTCCAAAAAAAGTTATCCGATACCCAAAAAGAAAAAAAGCAAAAAATGAGAATGAGAACCCTGGTTTCGATTTGAAAATAATTCTCCACTGATTAAATATGAAACTTTAAAGATTATTTTGCACATAATCATATTAAGCAAACCTATGGTTTTTTTTTGCAGTTGAAAAGAATTTTAATAAGTTTAAAAAATCACAAAACGCCACGAAAAAAAAAATCGAAGCAACCAGCAGCGTTGCTGCAGCAGTTCCCATGTAAATTTGAAGTTCTATGAAATGGTTGCGCTCAAAAGCCCAGTAAGATTTATAACAGTCCATAACAAATGAGCAAAACTAAAAAATAAAATTTTTTTTTAAAACGGAGAACAATTGAAAAACCGCCAATGCGCGTGTTTCTTAATGTTTATTGTTCCTCAGAACACGTCAATACAGTATCGAAAACTTCATAGAAATTTTTTGCTCGGTTTTGAATTGGTTATTTTCATTCGTTTTCTCGTGCTCAATGTTTTTCTAGCTTCAAAATACTGCTATGCTTCACATACTGAACTAGTTTTTCTCCCAAAAACATGGGAGAAAAGAAAGATTTGCGTAAAGCTCGTTTTCTTAACACGATGAACTCTGATTTCCCCAAGGCGAATACAATTCACATCTTCTCGTTTAAAAATAGAGCTCGTTTTGGAGTCGAACCAAAGCTTTTTCGGGAGAGAGGGAACCTATGAGAACCTGATGACGTTCCAATATAAAAATAGCACCTTTTCTTAAAGGAGATACGAGTTTCACATTTATTAGCGTAAGTATTTATTTTTTAAATTTTGTTCCCTCTGTCCAATAGTTCAAATGTGCTTTTTTGAGCGAAAAACGGTGTTTGGGCAGATAAATTGTCTTTTTTTTGTTCCCAAGAGGATTGTCTTGAAATAGAAATGGGTGCAGGAAATTTAATTTATAAGGCGAGTCCTGCGAATTCGTCGAAAGTGCTTTTTTTTCTGGAGGACGAATGTTTGAGGAACCACGGGTTACCGCCGTTTCGAGGATTACTTACGATGATGAATTCGAGTGTGGTTTCGTGGGTACCCATTCCGATTCTTTGATTTATGACATGAAAGACTAGGAAACTTCGCAGAAATCCAAAAATTCAAACCGAAAATGGTCGAAAGAGATAGGTTGAAGTGTGAAAAAGACAAAAATCAGGAGCTAATATATCTTTCTAGGCCTATAATTTTGTGAAAAATTATCGGTTGAAGCTGAAATTCAGGGTTTTCTGGGTTGATGACAGATGAACTTCATAGAAAATGAATGTCATTTCGATCTAAAATTCTACTCTACTTTAGTCAATTTTTTAAAGGCATAGGGGCAGTAAAAAAAGGGGTTCCAGGTGAAATCAGTATCTTATACAGTTTTTCTTTGCGAATCGAATGGTGTACTCGAAAAAATTACAGATGTGACTATTTTTGAAGAAAAACGCGATTTTACTCTCCCGCCTTTAATTTTGAAAAAAGCTTTGGATCGGTATGCAGACAACTGTTTACAGTAGCCGTGCACGCGATGTTGCGGACGTCTCATTAGACTCGCATTTTGTGAGAAATAACCGGATATCTGCTTCAAATTAAGGGTTTCTTCTTTGAAAAATCAATTAAGAAAACAGAAAACACACATTGATAATAAAGAAAACACAAATAATCGCTATCCCAATCGAAACCTGTGTAAAATCTTCATTTTTCACCAGAAAAGCATTTTTGCGGTTAAAGTTTGCAAATTGTACATGAATAGAAAGCTTTTGTGACGAAAAGAACTTTGATGACAACAGAAAAAATTTAAAAATGAAAGAAACGAAGAAAAAAGCGAAAATCCGGAAGTTGGCGAAGCCTGTTGCCCATAGAGCAACTTTACTGCAAAGCGCCCTTTTTGCGGGAACTCACGCTTTCCTCTCTCTGACTTAGAATTATTTTTTCTCTGAAACTAGGAACTTTTGTACGTTTCCAAGTTCACCCTTCGATTCGCATTGAAAAGCTCTACAAAGTACTGCTTTGAACTGAAACACCGTTTTTTACTGCCCCTATGCCTTTAATTCAATTTACGAACACTGTGAAACTTGAAAAAATTTTTCTGCGAAAATATATAAAGCTTGGAAAAAAAATACGAAAAAAAAAACTATCAAGTTGATTGTTCTCCACTTCAGAAGCGGAAAAAAAGTTAGAAGAAACTGAGAAATTTCAAATAATTATTTTTTTTCTCATTCTTAAAAATCAAGAGTTTCTGCCCACAATTCTTCGTTATTCGAAACTTGTTGGTCGCATGGAGAATGGCTCAAGGCGTATATAAAGGCCCAATTGATAGGAAGAAGCGCCCGACTTGAAACGGCTTTCGCGCTGGTGTTAGGAAGCGCTTAAGCAAGCGGCCAATTCTCTAAAACCCTTGTCAGAGAATCTTTTCTTTAGGGTTCAAGGTAGAAACAGCACAGAAAGCTCTTGAACAAACTGAAAGTTCACTTTTTTCCGATGGTTCCTTCATCACCACTGGAAGCACTTTTGCAGAGGAAGTGAACTAAAAGGGAATAATCTCAAGAAGGGCAATGATTTGTCCTCCGCGAAAACAAACGGCGAGAAGAAGATGAAGAAGAAGTTTTTTGAGTGGTGGCAGAGGAAGAAAAGAGAAGTCTGCATGGGGAATGAGGGGATGACGCACGGCCCGAAACGCTGTCAAATTGCCTGGTTCCCAGAGTGAATATTAGGTTTGTAAACCTTCCCCCGGCTCTCCTTGACTAAACAAGGAAGTTGCCTTCGTTGGTCAAAAAAAAAAAGAACTGAAGAAAAAAGAGAGCCAAGATCGGGTTTCTCGAGCAGCAAATACACTTTGTTAGAACTAACGAGTCTTGTTGCAGCTTTGATTTCGATGCAACATTGCCTTTGTTGCAAACGGCTGCAAAAAATCTCGCAGGGAAAACTCCAGAGCATTTAAAGGGCGTTGTTCTTTCAATTCACAAAAAATTTCAAGTTTTTGAGATCAGGTTGACAATGAAGGAAATTGGTAACACCCCAGGAGCGCCTAAGTGGTCCCTGAAGAGGTTAGGAAAATCAGCCTGCTCAAAACAGCAAAAATAAAAAGATAAACTGGATAAATTCATTCTCTGTTGATATTTTCCATTCAAATGAATAATAACTTATTGTTTTTCGCATGGTAATGCTTTTACTCCTAGAGCTCATAAAAATAGACCACTTTGCCCTGTAGGGATCACTTTAGCAAGCTTTTGTGACTTCTATAAGAAAGGTAAAGTGATACCTAGAGGGGAATCATCGAGAGCTCTTAAGGTTTCCCCTCTAGGGACCCCTCTGGAGGTCCTAAGGAATATAACACTCTGTTTGAGGTCAAGTATTCGTTTCATCCGTGTTTCGTGTGCTAGTTTTTGAGGAAAACCGGTCTTTTCAGAAATAAATAGCTTTACTTCACTAGTTCTCAAAAACTGAGATTCAAAAAAAGGGTGACATTGGGGAAATTTTATGGTTGAAAATGTGGACCAACTCACTGGCCAGACTATATTTTCTGTTTTTCTTCGTACTTTTCGTTCGCTGTTTTCAATTCTAATAAAAACTATATTTTCAAAAGTCAAAATGATTTGGTAGCTGCAAGCTCCTGATTCTATTGTTTCAGCTACCAAAAATATTCAACAATAGAAATTCCAAAAACATCTCTAGAGCCCATTTTCTTATTCTTCAAAAAAGAGGGAAACCTTTGGACGTTTTGAAAGCCACTCTAGCCTGCTCTGCAAGGCTTAGGAAAGACAAAAAATCGTGACACGAAGGTTCGAAAGTGCGAAAAACATGAAATATTTGCGCCACTCAAGGAGGAAGCAAAAAGAAAAACGTAGAAGAAGAGCCACGGCGTTGCTTTTTTTTTTGTCTCTTCCGATTATTCAAAGTGGGAGGCCTTCTTTTCGGGGTTTGCACATTTCCAAATTTATTCAAAAAAAAAGGTTTGCAGCAGAAAATCGAGAAGAGTGATCTTTTTTGGTTATTCCAGGGAATATTTGCTACAGTTTCTCAAAGGAAAATTCAAGAATTCTGAAATTACTCAAAAATTAATTATTTCAATCAAAGAATTCAATGAAGAAAATTAAAAATCGTAAATTTCTCAAGGCTGTCAATGGAGCACACAAGGCTCAATAAGCTGCGGCTATTTTTTCCAATGTAAAAAAGATATCCTACAGCTCTTCTGGTACCACAAACCAAAATCAGAATAACCAAAAAATTATGAAATATTCTTATCAGCTAAGTAAGTCAAATTGATCTTTATGAAAAACTGTTTCTCAAGAAAAGTCAGATTAATTTTTGGCACCTTTATTATTTCGTTGAAATTAGGAACATCAAAGTAGTCACTGAAGGGGCTGGTTCCCCTCAAGGGGCCACTTCATCTACTCCCATAAGGGGTTCTGAAGTGAATTAAGGGAGTTTTAGAGCATTATAGTGGTCTCTAAACGTTTATTTAATTTTCAAATGAAAGGAAAAAACTTAAAGACCATCTGAGTTTTAAGGGGTCAGCGAAAGACTCGGAACCCCTAAAGAGACCACTTAAATTTTTAACCCTCTAGTGCAAACCCTCTAGTGCACACTCTGGTGCTCTGTATTCACGGTGTTCAAGACCTTCTAAAAACGTAAAAGACACAAAGAACAACGGCTGTCCCGACTCCTCATATCGTCGATGGGAATCATGGCGGCGATATCTGCCTCGATGGTCCACCAGGTGTTGTCAGGAGATGGAGATTGGCTCATTCTCACCTTTTTCGGCAACGTCTTCTTCTTCTCTTTCTGAAAATGCTCCTCTCTGGGATCAACGTCATTTTTATATTCTCAGGAGTACTACTGGTTTTTGGCAAGGTTTGTTCTACATTCAAAAAAGCAATGAATTTCGAATTTCACTTTGTGTTCATTATTTACCTTAATAATTTTTACCATATCAAAAATATTCTCATTATTTTCCTTGAGGTCGTTTTATTTTACAGAAATCCCCTCTCTCCAATATTTGCAAGTCTACAGAAGGTATTTCCTGTACCTGCCACTACGATTTCCGCCAATTACAGGTATTCACCATTAAAATCTTGGGTTTGCATGATTTCTACAAGATCTCAAACTGCACTCGGACTGGAGAATGGTCAAATTGGAGCGATTGGTCGCAATGTCGTCGTGGGGAACGAAAAAGAAGACGAATTTGCCAAAATGCTATAGGTTTCTTTATGAAAATTATCACTATTCCAAAGGAGAACCTTTATTTTCAGGTTCACAATGCTCGGGACCTTCTAAGGAAAAAGAGCCTTGTTCTGGGAAAAAAGAAAAGAAAAAGGTGGTTCCGAACTATTTATGGGGAAGTTGGACCGACTGGCAGCAGTGGTCCGAGTGCGACTGTGGCCGGGATTTGACCACCAGGTACACAGTTGTTTTGAAAAAGTTAGCCATGATGGGAATCATTTTATGAGAAATTTTCAAGTAGTGTCAAGCAAAATGATGGGAGGAGCTATTCTCCTTTATCCAAAATTCCGGGCTTTACGAGGCCAAGATTGCATACAAAACTTGTTGAGTCCTTTTTTCTTCCCGTAATCGGGTTACGGTAGGCAGATGACCTGCATGCTCAAGAATTGAATAGTTTCGAAACTGAATGAATATCAAGGAAACCGGGGGTCTTTGAACCTTCAAACTGTATTTTTGACAGTTTCCATTCGAAAATTCGAGAAATCCTGTTTTAAAGTTTCAAAAAAAACACAAGATTACTTCTAATAACACTATCAATCTCAAAAAAAGTTTTGTTAGGTGGTATTTTTTAATCAGTTTTAATCAAAACCTACACGCCTGTCTGACTTCTCAGGGCCTTCTTTTCTCTCAAAATTAGACCATAGAAACATAGAAATAGCACATAGATACGAGAGCGTCGCGGAGAGAGCAGATAACACAAATAAGTCCGACTTTTTCAACTTTAGGCGAATTAGATACAGCTATACTTCATTCGTAGTCGCTTGAAAGTGTCTGGCTTCTCTGCACCCTCCTCATATTTCTCTGACCTTGTCGATTATTAAAAAAAGACGCAGATATTTCATACTTTTCCGAGTTTCATTGAGTTTTAAAACCTGAGATTAAGGACGAGAATCTGCCGCGGAGAGTCCTGCGAAGGTTGCGCCAAGGAATACGCGAATTGCGGCGAAAAAGCGTGTCCGTCGGCCAAAAAGTGGTCTCCTTGGACTGAATGGTCCTCTCAGGGTTGGTATCACTGGAAAAGAAAACAGTTTAGAATAGTTGATTAAGGAAGGAAAGAAATAAGATACACAGCGTTTTGCTCGACTTCGAGGCTCAACTTTGCCGAAGTCGGCTTTCGGACGGATGAACGCTCGAAAAACTTCAGCGGTGAGCTTTATTTGTACATTGCATATTTATAGAGACGGTTTTTCTCGAATTTTTGTTTTGAAGTTCGAATCTGGCCTGCGGCATTGTCAGTTTGTGGGCGAAGCGGTAGAGATGCGTTTTGGCGCCAATTTTTAGATTTCAAGCATGTTTCCTGATGATAGTTAAATCAAATACTTTTAAAGAAGGCGCCCGGTATTATAATAAACGAATAAAGATGATTTGAAGAAAAAGTTTCCATGATGCGAAAAATTTTGAATTGGCGCCAAAACGCATCGCGACCGCTTCGCACATGAACTACAAATGCTTTCTAGAAAAGTTGGATCTTCGTTACAATTTCAAGTAAACTTGGTCTTTTCAGCATTTGAACATAACTACTTGAAATTCAAAATCTGTACAGACTATAACTTGATACACAATGAGAATTTCTTCAGAATATCCATAACAATGGCTATATCACCCCTATATTTTAAAGCGACCTGGTCGTCGTGGTCCCTGCGAGCCGGCGTCGCCTTTCGACACCGTCTGACGTCAGCCTCCGACTTCGAGGTCGACTACCAACTCATCTCGAGATCGGTCCGCGACTGCGTTCCTCTTAACGTCGTCGTCGTCGTCGGCGTCGTCGCCACCGTCTGCGGATTTCTGGTCCAATGCATCTCGGCTCACGTCTTCAGAAGAGCCTCCAGGACACGTACCGACTCTTTTCTCTACCACTGTCGTTCTCCTGGCTTCCCATCCTTGCTCTCAAGGAAGTACTGACTTGTTGTCACAAAAGTTTTAACAATAACCACTGATTTTTTTTTCATTTTGTTCATTTATTTCCGATTCAATCTACATAAATAAAGTGTATTACTCGATTGTGAGAAGTTGCTCAATAGGAATGCTTGGCAATGAAAAGAGACTCGGCGGCGGCTCCGGCGGCGCCTTCGCCTTCGTACTTTCCGACGGCTGCTTGTCCGTTGGCCTTGAAAGTCAAGTTTTGAAATGTATTTACACCTTCTTTTTTCGAGCTTTACTGAACAGGGGAAAAGGGGGGGGGGCTTTTCCAAATACTCGACGCGAATCGGACGTGTCGGGGCATTTCTAGTGACCACTTTAGTAGCCTCAGAATTCTTACGTGATCCCTATGATCGCTCAGAAACGTCCGGAGCACGTCCGTTTAGCGTTACCAATGTCCTAGTATTTTTGTCCAATATTTTTCTCTCAAAATTGAATTTGGAAGTCATTTTTCAGAAAACGGCTCTTTCAAACAAGTTCCTGTTGAAGTTACATGGAAAAAGGTGTTTCTAATTATTTCTCTCCTAAAGAATTCTCCCATTTAAAACCCTAAAAGTTGAGATCACATATCTTGATTTCCCCTTCTTATTATCTTTCTTCGAAGCTCGAGACGAAGAATCCCCTTGAAGTGATAAGTTCTGACCTTGGATCGATGGAGAAGGACCTTCTGGGCGGCCTCGACATTCTCGTCCTTTCCTTGCCACGCCTTCAGGACCGAGGCTTGAAGAGCTCGGCCATAGGAGAAGGTGAGCTTCCAAGGCTTGCAGAGCTTCACCTGAAACAGAGGTTGAAATTCTCCAGAAGACGTCGACTTGCCTGGTTGATGGCGTTGAGGTTGGCGGTGGCGTCGAGTTCGGACTGGCCTCCGGAAAGGAAAGTGATTCCTGGGACGGCTGCTGGGACTCCTCGGCGAAGGGCCGTCACTGTGGCGAGGCCGATGTCTTCGTGGGAGGACTAGAAAAACAATCTCTTTGATTTCAATCTTTGAAATAATAAAAAAATAATAAAAATAAAAACGGAAAAAAAAAGAAAATAAATGTGCTCAATTTGAACGCATTCTAAGCGTACTCTTCAAACTAATGAACTATCTTTTTTTGGCTTTTTGGCTCTCAAATGAAAAAAAAAACCGAAGCGATGAGCACATATACATCCCACAAATGAAAAAAAACGAACAGTTTTTTTTTAAATTCATCCATGGGCTCTCCCGAAGTTTTGGATTCTTTTATTTAAGACTCAGAAAACTTCTTCAGTTCTACCTTGATCTTGCAGCTCTGGCCAGGGGTGACCATGTTTGGCTTGAGAAGAGTTCCCTCCAAATAAACGTGATGGTCGGCGAGGGCCTTGTACACGAAAGCCAAAACTTGTTCCGTCACCTCAAATTTCCAGAGTCATTTTTGAAATCGCAACGTTTTCAAAAATTGGAATACACACGTGGACTATAACCTTCGGTTCAATCCTGACCAGTAAGTTGGTCTAAAACTAACAAAACTAAAACTTTTTCCCGCGGCTTTTTTTTTTGTTTTCTCCATACATTGGCAGAACATTTTTTAAAACTGCCAACCCCACCTCCCGAGTTTTTAAAAATTAAAGTCTGTGCTACTTCCCAAATGAAATTTTTGCCGACACTGCCTCCCTGGGCTCGAAAAATTAATTTTTTTTACCTAGTTTTTTAAAAAATTTTGAAGTGTCAATCCCTTCTGGGCCAGTTGAGTTTTTTTACTTGCCCACGTATGGTTTTCTCTCACAAAAGTGAACATTTGAAGACCTTATGAATGAATCATTATCATTTTGGAACCTTTTGAGCTCTCGCCAAATCGTGATCTCCGTCGCACAAGACCTCAGGCTCAACAATCGGAACCAAACCGGCAGCCTGGCAAATCGTGGCGTATCTACAAAATTTATTGATTTTCTATCATCATTTTGAAGAAAACCTGGCCAGAACATTGGCATTTTCCAGCATTCCGAGGTGGGAAGGCGTATGGGTTCCAATGTTCAGGACGCACCGCCATTTCGCGAATCCGCAGCCTCCCTTCAAGTTTCAGAAGTTACGAGAAGGTGGGTGATTTATGATTCAGACTGGTTCCAGATTTAAAAGCTTTTTTAACACTGTCATTCCTCTTTGGAATATACTCTGCTCAAGATTCAACCCTAACACGTCTACCACCCGTTTCAGAAAGTTTCTCGACTCGCTAAGCAAAGATGAACTCTTTTCCAATATTCCCTTATTGTCTACTGTGATCAAAAATCCTTCCACGTGTTCTATTCCCTATACCGGTAAATTCGCTCGTTTACTCCCATATAATTCTTGCTCAAACTATGCCTCTTTCTTTGTAACTCATATTTCTTTATTTATTAGAGTGAAATAAAGATTCAAAAAAAGAAATTCATGAGAAAAATTAGTCTGAAGGATTTCTCATACAATCGAAACCGTAAGAAAAAACACGGAAAGAATGTTAAGAAAGGAAAATTTAGTAGTTAAAAAATTTGATGAATTTGTACTTATTTCTATGAGGGAATGAAAAGCAACAAATTATCTCTAATTATGATATCAAAGCGCAGAAAAACCCCGTAAAATGAAATTTCCGTGTTCTAAACTTTTTTGAGCTGTTTTTTCGATTTTTCTGAACTACAGTAGCCTAATCAGAAAATCAATTTTTTTTTTTTTCCTGGGAAAAAAATCACATTCGAAAAATTTTTTTACATCTGTTTTTTTCGCGCAACAATTTCTGCTTCTACGCGTATAGAAAAATTTAGGAAAAAATTAATTAAGAAAACCACTTTCCCGTTAGGCGCATAATGTTTTAAAGATCTGAAAAAAATTTAAAAAAACGGTATAATGTTGTCTGAAGAATATTTATTCTTTCAACTGATCTATTCGGGAATTCGACTACTTTTCATTGAAATTTCTGATTATAGGAAAAAAAAATTTTCACGTTTTGAAATCGTCTGACTTGTCTGCGCCCTCTTTTTTTTTTACTCTGGAAAGCGAGAGAGCCTCGAATAAAGTTAACGAAGGTACAGGCAGAACCAGGCTATTGATTTTTGAACGTTTTCTTTTTTAAAGGTGCTTTTTTTAGTCGATAAGAAGAAATACTAGATCAGAAAAAATGTTTGAAAATGGAGATGAACCTTTTTAAAGTGAGCGGCACGCTTGGCGAGGTCGTCGAGACCCTGAGTGGTTCCTTCGCCGAGGGTTCCGGCGAGAGGCACGACTCCCAGGTCGAGCTTGATCCCGGGAACGACGCCTTGTTTCGTCAGCAAGTCTACGAACCGTTCTCCCTTGTCCGTCGACTGGAAAGAATCATTTTCGTCTTATAAAGTGAAATATTCGGCTGGCAGGTCATAGTAGGTAGTTTATTTCACTGAGAAGTAACAATATATTGCTTCAAAAGGTATTTTCCACCTGAATCTATGATTTCTAACTAATGTCCTTCTCGAAACCTTGCTTTTGAGTTGAAAGAAATCGACAAACTCCGACTTCTTTTCCAATATAATGTCAAATATTACTCAAAGACCGAAAATTGGTAGTCGAGACAAATTTTAAGTGTCAAGCTTCAACAGAAAAAAATCCCTAAAATTTCTAAAAATATTAAAAGTTGAGTTCACCAAAACAGCTTAAAATTGAGCACAAAAAAAGTCCGAAATTTCGATGAAATATCAAGTTTTGCCCGTGGAGCGCACTTGTAAGTGACTAAAGCGCTATTATTTTGTTCTAAATCTTTGCTTCATTTATAAAACAGCTAGGAATTTTCAACAAGCTTTACGTGCAGAAACTTTTTCTATTTTTTTATTTGAGAAAAAAATTTTTTTCTATATTTTTTTAATTTTCGTACAAATTTTTTTCTTTCAACACCATGATTAACGAAAAATTTTCACCTAAAGTCCAGAAAAAGATGAAATTTTATAAAAGTTGCAGTTCCTAGTTATGAATGTTTTCTGAAATTATCCTGGACTGTTAAATACCTGGTTGAAGGTTTCCTCATAAAGAATAACTCCAGAAATGTGCTCTCCAAGGTTGGGAGTCGTGAACAGAAGCTGTCTGAAACCAATTATTGGCATCACTTCGACAAATCTTCAATAAATACCTGTATTTCCTTCGATTCGTCTCATTGTTCTCAAGGTTGATCGAATCGAGACGTTTTCCAATTGTTCCTGAAAGAAAGAAAATAAAATCCAAGAGAAACAGAAAAGAAGAAGAAAAGAAAGGTTTGATCGTTCTTTGGATGAGCGGAAAGAGGAGAAAAACAAAAAAGGCGCCACAAACAAAACGTGGACGATGATAATGAAGGGCGATTGAATCGATCGCCAAAAACTTTGCCCAAAAACAAACTTCTCTATTTTCAACTTTTTTTCGGCTTGAAAAACTTTTGAAAGTTTTCAAATCATGTCAAAGTACGAATCAAAACAGGAAATCACTATTTTTGGGTTATGAAAAAGGATAAAAATAGAACGAACCAGTTGATTCGTCGGCGGCCAAGATTCCTTTTCCGTCGGCAACAATTTTCTGGGCGATTTCGCGCAGTTCGTCTTTCTGAGCCTATAAAACAATATTTCTGATGAAATATTGAGAAAAAAATCATGAAATGTAAACATCATTAATCATTTTTCCTGAAATAATCCTCAAAAAAATAATTTTACGAGGTTTTTCTTTCAAGTGGAACTATGCTTGGAAACAATCATACAAACAGCAAATTAATTGAAAAAAAAAATTTGGGTCTGATTTTTGTAACAGTGTAGAGTGAACAATGAAAGAGCAGAAGCATTTTGAAAAAAATCGAAAAATTATTGTAAAAAGCGCTCGTAAATTTTCGCGAAATGGCAGAACGACGTAAATTTGCACTGTCACGCGCAAATTTAAATTTCGGCTTTGAGTGCTTTTTGAGCATGGAAAAAGATTAGTTGGGGACTACTTAAAGGGTTTTCGAGTACAAAAAATTCAAAACGAATCTTAAAATTGCTTATTCAGATATCGATTTAATAAGCGCTTATTCTATCATTTCTCTTCAAAAAAGGTAAAATTAAAACTGAAAGGCAAAGTTTAATTTAAAAAAAATTGCAGAAGTCAGTGGTCACAATAAAAATTATTCTTTTTTTTCTTTATGCGTTTTGAGATCATTATGAAAACTGTAATAATGAATTAAGAAAACCATTTTTTTTGCTCAGTTTCAGCAAAAATTCCTGGGAGTTTTCGTTCTGGAAAGATAAAGATTTTCATGAGTCCAAATTTTTGGAAACTCAAGAGTTCATAAAACTATAAAGGTTGAAAAAAGAGAAAGCGTTTGACCACAGTTTCTGAAATATAATAATAAGCTGGCAAACCTGAGAAAGAGAGTCCTTGTAGGAGCCGCCGACCTCTGCCATAGTTGCTTCACTTGGGGGAATGGATTCAAAAGGTCGGCGGCGGCGGTGGACGGCCGCCGTCAGGCTCCGCCCACTTCGCTTCGGCTTTTTGGCAAACAATCGGCCCGCATTCACTGTTTATGCTGGCCACGATGTTGATAACTGCCGGTCACTAATGGCGAAAGTTTAATTAGATTACCAAAAGAATTTTTCTATTTTGCAATACAACTTTTTTCACAGAGACTTACCTTTCTGGGCGAATTTCAGAAAGTCTTTCGAGATATTAAAAATGCTTGAAGTAAAATTTAGCTTGAAATATCTTCTTGTCGATTAAAAAAGAGTGATTCCAAAAAAGTTCAAAAAACTAAATATTCAAGAACAAATTCTTGTTAAAGCTAACAACAACTGTTTCAGAAAGAAGCTTCGAGTGGTTTCAAAAGATTTTACGCCTTTTTTAAAAATTCTGAGACCCTATTAAAGTCATATTTTCGCCCAATTCACCGCCAGGTAGTCAGAAAGTTCGAAAATCCGGTATTTTTCCCCAAAAAGGCCTTAATCAAAACAGTAGTCTTGAAAAAGATGGCTTCAACTTTTCCTATGAGAAATTCATGTAAAAACCTCTCTGACCTCCCTATTTCTATACGTTAGTTGAGAATCGATTTCTCTCTCTTATCAGATTTTTCGACCCCGTTCAGGGCTAGGAAATAAGTACTAAAACTCGGTTTCCACTATCTTCTGTGATAAAACTGTAGTTGTGTTCCTAAACTAAGGGTATTTGACAAAACTTTTTTTCTGGAAATATTTTTTTCGAAAAAAACATAGTTTGAAAGAGTTGATCAAAAACTATCAAACACGAAAGTTGATTTCAAAAATTCTGTTAAATTATAAATTTTGTATCTCAAAATTGAAAGGTTTTTTTTTCAAATTCAAGTCAGAAATAAAGAAATGTAGTTCATCTTCAAAGTTCATAATGAATTAACCAATCGAGATAAGAAAAATAACTCATGAGTTAATTAATTTTTTTTCCAAGACCTTTATTTGAAATCAACTAACCCTTTGAACTTTCTGACAAGCCGTCATTGAATTCAAAGCTTCTAAAATAATAAAAAATATTACTTTGTGTTTTTTTCCATTATTTACTGTACTTTAAACGTCGAATCTGAATGGATGCTCATCAAAAGTTCAATAGAACACTCACGTTGACGTTCTATGCTCATTGAAATCTGGCCTCGTATTTCGTTGAAATTTGGCGTTTCGTTTCGCCGAACCCGTTTCACGTTTCTCTCTTTCTCTCAGTCATGATACCACCTTCGACGGTGTTTTTGGGCACAATCACGAGATCGATAAGGCATTGGGTGAAAGAGAAAGATTGCTCCAAAGTACCAAACATCTTTGATCGATTTTCCGCCAAACGGGCAACTTTATTTCAGCAAAAATCATGAAGTGGAACCAATAGGGACGGAGAAAATCAAGATATGTACAGTTTTTATGAAAATTTAAAAAAACCAGATAAAAGGAAAATTTTTTTTTGAATCATTCACAGTTTTGGGAAGTCAGGAGCATAAAAAATCAATGTCAATTTTACCAGTTATCGGACTGTTTTCGAAAAAGTATAGGGAAGAAATATCAGTTTTATGGAATCACAGAAAACAAGACAAATGAGAAAAGAAAAGTAGAATGCCATAAAAAACTCGTAGAAAATAGGAATCTGCAAGTAAAAAAAAAGGCGAGGGAAAAAATACGGTATTGAGTCAGAACGGAAGCTGGGCCTTGAACAATCAAAAAATCATCAAAAAAGACTTTTGCATATTTTCTAGTCTTTGATCTAATTAGTAAGAGAAAAATGCTAGGAATGAGAAATAATATTCTGAATGAAACAAACTGATTTTTTTTTAAGATTTTAACTTTTTAGTTTTTGAATTATGCAAAAATAGAAAAAGCGATTCTACGCATGGGTAGGAAAAAAAAGGGAAAAAGATATGAAATTCCATCGGAAAAGTTCAGTGATGGAAGGCAAGAAAAGGATTTGTCAAATACTACAAACTTGCAGACAAATGAAGAACAAAATATCGGGATCACCTTAGAAATATTATAGGACCTGACCGGAAAAATCGTTTCTCAAACGTCTTTTAAGTTGAGGCTCAAGTCGCTCTCCGAGGTGAGGGAAGCCGAGAGATTCGAGTGTTCGGAAAGGGTCTTCACCATTCGTGGCGACAGCGACGGAATGTATTCGCGTGGGATCAGCCACGTCGACAGGTTGAACAAGTCCAGGAACACCTTGTAGCGGTCACTGAAACACTTTGGTTGAAATAGTCTTGGAAAATATTTCGCGTTGTTCAATCATTGTTTTCACGACTTATTTGAATTATAGTCAGTCCTCCGCGGCTTCAAAGTTTCCAAGTGTCTCCGTCTCTTTACCTTCACCGGAAGCTCAGAAAAGCATGAAATGAGCACGTCAAGATGAGAGCGTTGAGACTAGGAGGGCGCAGAGAAACTTTCAAGTCGAGAAAAACGGAGAGGAAGAGAGGAATAGAGAAAGCAAAAATAAAAATTTCATTCAGTTCGATTTCAAATATAGAAAAAGATAAGGCTATTTCTTTATTTGAAACCCTAAGGACGCACGTGGAATGGCTTTGACTTGTGAAATATTGGTAAAATTCTGCTTTTAAGAGCGCCCGACTCAATACGACTTGCGCGTAATGACTTATGGAAAAGTCATGAGGAAAACTAATACTTCTGGCTAACTAAAAAGAATATTTATCCACTGGAACAAAAACTACAGAGACGTCTGAACATCTTCTTTCAGCGCACTATTTCTTGTAAGGCCATCAAAAATATTGAAACAAGTCTTCAGTGAATAAACTTTAAAGTGGGCTGTTCTCAAGAAGGTTTTCAGAAAATTCTTAGAAAAAACTCAACTGTTCTTCTCGCTATAAATTCATCTCAAAACTGTAAAATCTTGTTAACCTGACAGTAGTTCTGAGGTACATGTAGCCCGAACTTCCGCCTGTTCCTTGCTTGCTTCCCAACATCCTTTGGACCAGCAGAACGTGGTTATCTGAAAACTTTGTTATTATTTTTTAAATGAACCTTTTGAAAAATAAAAATAAATGAAACGAACACCGCCACTTGGTGAAGAGACTGTCAATGTCCATGAGATAGGTCAAAATCTGGTAGGGGACCGAAAAACGGGGCATGTCTCTGAAATTATTCTTTTTTGGGATAGTTCTAGAGAAAAAAAAAACGAACCGATAAAAATAAATCATGAGGGCTCCCTTCATCGCATCGTGTGAGAGAAGACGATTTCCTAAAATTTTTTGTTTCGATTTTCGTTTTCAAACTTTTTTCCATTTCAAAAACAACCCAGAAAAATTTTTTTAGCAAACAGTTTGTCTCATTTCTTTTCAAAACGAACCCATTTTGATCTGGCCTTCGTGTTGGCGCGAATCCAAAATCGTTGCGAAAGATTCCTTGGTTTTGTAGTATTCGGCCAACAGCTGCTGTCGCACTTCTTCTGAGTGACTCTCTTGCTAGAAATTAATTTTTTTATTTAATCAATCAATGCTTATTTTTTTTGTATTTAGTCACAGGTTTACTCGACTAGGCGGTCAGCATCAATTTTGTGAAACAATAATCTTCAATTTCGCCGAACTTTTCAAAAGGAACAGTACGGGTCGGCCAATGTGAGTTTCGAAATAATTGTACTGAACGAAGTCGGAGCACACTGTGGTCACTATGAAAATTTAAAAGATAACCGGGAAACTGTAAAATGAAAAAAAAGAAGCAATGAATCGAAGGAAGTCCAGTAAACTTCCAATAAACTTTATTTTCGTTCAACTACGTTTTTTCAGCTTTTTTCCACTTGTCTTACTTATTCTTCATCATTTTCTGTAATTTAACAACAACTTTAAATGATCATATTTACACGAAGAAGAACGCAAGGGTGGAAAGGTGTTCTTAAACTTTTCTGCGCCCCGACTACAGACTGACTTACGCGTTTAGATGTGAAGTAGAGAGTCGATATTTCTATTGTTTTTCAATAGACAAAGTAACAAGTTTGAACTTTAAGAAAAAAAGCGGTAGAAAAAAATTTCGCCGCTTTTTTTATTAACATTTCCAAATTTCTACATTTTTTCAAGTACATGATGGATACTCAAATAAAAAGAACATGGATTGACTTCATAGCTATTTGCAATGTTCCCTTAAGTGAAGAAGCTCACACAAAATGAAAGAATAAAATGAAACAATAGCTTTCGAAAAACTACGAATAATTCAAACTTTGCATGCATCTACATTTTTTTAAATTTCACTGAAAAAATAAGCTCGAAACTCACATTAGCCGACTCGTACATGTCATCCAAGAACTGGCGGACCGCCCGTTCATATTTCGGCCAGAATCCTTCGTCATTCTCATCGGAAGGCTTCAAGCCAGGTGTTCTTTCGAGCCAATTCTGAAATATTCGAAAATTATCTTTTTCAGGGAAGAATTTCGACTTGAATCAAGATGAGGAGACTCGGGGAACGTTCCGATTCCAACAAAGCTTCTTTGTCTTCGTCGTCGAAAACGTTCTTGTAGTGCTGCGCGTTGTACTGGAATTCATCGACTAGTTTATCATTTTTGATTAGAAACAAATAAATCAATACTAAATTGAGTCATCAAAAATCAAATGATCAAAGAAAGATCGAAGGTCGAAGAAATTCAAGATATAGCTGATTCACGGCCAGCTTGGGACGCTAAAGGGGCGTGTCCTGTCTGTACTCTCCACGATCCAGGCGCTATTTCGTGCATTATCGTGTGAGGACCCTTTTTCGATGGCTCAAGCCATCCGTGAATCAGCTATCAGAGCAAAAAATTGACAGAACTTTCTTCAAGGTCAAAAAGAAAATTGGGACAACCGCCCTAAATTTGGAACTCATTGCTGTAGATCACACCAATTCTCAATAAATCGATCAATCAATATTTTTCTAGTCTCAGATGTAACCAACCATGTTTTTGAACGTCCGACAATAACTCAACTTTTGGATTTTTCCAGCTCTTTTTTTACTTTGGTTAAAGGGATTAAAGAGAGAAACTTCAAAAATGTCTCACCTTGATTCTTCTTTCCAAACGCACTCCAATCTTATTTTCTAGCAAACGGAATTGCAAAGACTGGAAGCCGGAAGCCGGCGTCAAATACTTTCTAAAATTGAAAAAAATAATAAAAAAACATATGATTAGTTAAAAAAACTTTCACGAAAAAAATTTCAAAAAACCGCCGCATTGGAAAAAAAAAATTTAAGAACGTGTTTACAAACTCTTTTGAAAAAAATTTAGAAGAACATTCAGTGGAATTTTTTTCAAAAGGTTATTTTTTTACTAAATACTTGAAAAAAATAAAACTCACTTAAATTGACAAGAGATTTATCATTGGGGCGCAAAAAAAAAACGTGAACCCCGTGGCAAGGTCATTTTATTGATATCGAAAAAAATAACACTTAAAAAAACCACGTGAAAACGTGTCATTTCTTTTTGTATGACCTGGATTCGAATCTCATTTCTCCTTCCCTAACGACTCCGACTTGCTTCTGCACTTCAACGTCAAGATGAGTTTTGAGCCTCCATTAAACTTTCAATTTCCAAAATAAGTTTCTGAGTTGTAAGCGCTAGTAGATTAGGCCCGTGGGACTCCCGGAGTGCCGATCCTTTTTGCTTGCAAATTGGATACGCAAAGTCACGCTGAAGCCCATTCCAGTGGCCGAGGCACAAACTGTTGGCAGCGCGATACTGACAAAGCGATGATGGGACCCCCGCGGAAAATGCCGTCACGGCCTTCGGCGTCTGGGATTTTCTTAGATCTGACAAGGCCGAGCGGAGCTCTAGCGCACCGCCTAGTTAGTTCTTCTGAATGTACAAAGCTTTTTCTAGCTTACTTACGGCTTTAAATAGCTAATCAGTTAAAAATTGCGATTCGAATAATGAAATTGAATTTCTTTTCTCAATGTTGAAACTATTGCAGGAAGCTCTCAACGAAAGTATTCTGATCAGTCCATGGAGATTCGACAGCAACGTCAAATAAAGCAGTTTCATATCGTCAAAAAAACTCTTTTAAATTATTTTTCCTTCAGAAAGAACGTGTGGAGCATATGATTGAAAGTTGGAAACGAAAAAACGAATTGGAAAATATTGATCGACTACTACCGAAAAATTGATGTGAGGTTTTGGGTTTTACATGGAATATCATTTTTGCGTAGGGTTTGGAATTTTCTGAAAGTTTGCTCAAACACTCTTTGATGGACTGGGAATCGATTCCCCATAGCCGCTATCTGCGCAAACTTTTCGTTTTGGAGATATGATTTTTTAAAGTTTTTGTCCCTGACAATGTTCGGAAGGAATATGTCCGCAGCACAAGTCATTGCATGGCAGCTAGGAGCGCGGTGCAATGGCTAGCGCAGTAGCCTGCGAAGCCTATTATGAAGGTTCGAATCTTTTTGCGGCGATCCATTTTTGCCATTAATTTTTTTTGACGGATCTTGATAAACATGTCGAAATTTCATAAATAAAAAAGTTCTAAAACCGCTCGATGGCTCTTCCAAAAATAACTTTTTCAACAAAGATTTTTTTTTGAAAATTTCTTGAAGTCATGACTTGTGCTGCAGACACATTCCTTCCGAACATTGTCACGTGTTAAAGGACAAAAACTTAAAAAAGGGATGTCTCCAAAACGAAAAGTTTGCGCAGATAGCGGCTATGATGAATCGATTCCCAGTCCATCAAAGATTGTTTGAGCAAATTTTCAGAAAATTCCAAACCCTACGCAAAAATGACCTTCTATGTTAGTATCGAAAAATTTTTATAATGAAGAAAAATCTTATATCTTTGAAAGTTCAGTTGATTGCGGGGACAAGAAATCATTGCGAAGACATTTTCGAACGAGATCCATGGCGGACAGAGTCCGATCAACTGCGAAGCCGGCTAAATAATACCAGGTACCAGCCCGATGTTCTTAAAAGCAGCGGAGGGCTTTTTTTGTTCTGTTTTTTTTTTGCAAAGAACGAATAAAATAGCAGTTTATTTGAAATTGCGAAATCGCTCCTCACTGTCAGACCACTTTTTTGAACTTCGCGGAATCACTTCGGAATGGGCCACGAAAAACTTCCAAAAAGAAGAAAAGCTCGGACGTTGGTTACGCGAAACGGACGTGTCCGGGCATGTCTGGCGACCCCGTCAGTAGCGACAGTATTCTTAAGTGATCCCTAGAAATGCTCAGAAACGTCCGTTTCGCGTTGTCAATGTGCGAAAAGATCGATGAGGTGTTAAAAAGAGCGCCTCAATGATGAATTTCTTGTCAATTTACGTGATGTCGTGTTCAAAGTGATTCCGCGAAATGCAAAATGACCGTCAGAGAGAGAAAAATATAACTAAATTTTGGAGGATCAGAGATCATTTTGCATTTCGCGGAAAATACTTTGAACACGGCATGAGGCAAGCTGTACAACTGAAACAAATGCCTGCCTTTCATGAATAAAAACGACATGAAACAAACTTAGAAAAAGAAATAAACCTGAAATCGACAAAATCCAACGGACTCATCGTGTCGAGAATCGCAATTTGATCGACAAGAAGCGTGAATATTCTCACTGTTCGATCCAATCCGGAAACAATTCGCAAAGACTTTGTCTCATCCACAATCTGTTCAATTTTCCTTCTCATTTTATCCCCTCTCAAAAAATGATATACCGGGTTATTGAGAAGCCTTCGAACAATGTCGATATCGAAGAGGATTTGCTTGAACCACAGTTCGTGGGACTAAATAATCAATTAGGAAATTTCCGGGAGATTTTCAAAACCTGGTGAACAACAATGAAAAGATGTTCATCGTCCACTCGTTGGCCGTTGAGTTCCGACTGAAGAGTTTGAGCAGAAAGAAGCTTATCCAACTAAAAAGTTTTTATTTGAACATAAAGTTCAGAAAAATATTTTTTTTTTGATTCACAGTAATTATTGAAAAATAAGATTTATCGTTGTCACAGTAAAAACCTAGAATAAATCGAAATAATTTATTTTTAACGGGATCCCGCGGGAAAAAAAGAAACGAAAAAGCTCGATTTTTCAAAATGAAAAAAATCGTCGTCGAATCTTGCGTACAATCTGTATACACCATTCACACAGATAACGCAACTTTGGCCACCGTATTTTTAAAAAGAAAGCCGGTCTTTTCGCGATAAAGACGTAATAAACAACTTCTAAATGTTATAAAATAAGTTTACCTGGAGATACTTGGTGTAGGTATGACCGAATCCCATCTCGACCTTGTTGACGCCTTCCTGAGCTTCGTCGTCGTCGTTCATGTCGATGAAGCTGACGCCTCGCGAGTAATTCGTCGCATAGGGACACGCCATTCTCGCCTTTTTTGATTACCTGAGTGAGGGGAAGTGAAACACGACTACTACGGCTCGAGGAAAAACGCATAGTTATGGTTTCTGATATCAGTTGCGGGTATCAGGCGACCTTGGATTGCGTAAGTGACAACGTCTGACCAGTCAATCTTCGGAGAAAGTATATTTTAAAGGTTAGGCGGAGGAGAGAGATAGATACTTGATAACTTTGAAGATCCGAAAGATAAGGAATTTTGAAAAAGGCAAACGTTTGGCCTTACAGTATCTTCCATACGGTCTGAAAATCCCTGGTTTTTGGATACATTCTTTCCTAAGAAGGATTTTTCCAGAATTTTCAGAGATAGGGTGGTCGCACGTGGAATGGCTAGAAACGCAAAAATCAGCTGTGCTCAAGAGAAGCTAAGAAAATGATCAAGAAGCCATCGTTCAGGTTCAGACAGACGTGGAGAGGACGATATTCGAGTCGGACAGGACGGGGCTGTCCCTCACCAACAGACATAAATCAAAACGTCGGTCTTGGGGAAACACACACGGCCGCTAATGATTTCGACGCCGTCATGCACGACCGCCCCATCGTCTCTTCTGAATATTCTTGCACGCCTTCTGGCCAAAAGCTCTAGTCAAGCCGCAGACTTTTCTATCAGCCAGTAAAGAGCGATCAAACGGATCTGAACAGTTAACTTATGTTAACTGAGGAATCATGTTTCAAAAGGTATGTAAAAGTAATAGAAGCAAAATTTTCACGATTACGATTCTTCAAAAAAAATGGAATGGGAAAGTTTGAATAAAAGAAAAAGTCTTTACGAATTCTGTAGTTTTACGAACGATACTAGGTTTTTTTTTCAGATTAAAAACTCTCTAACGGGATACTTTTTTCTTCTTCTAACTGACCCGACGAAGAACACATTCCACCTCCATAGATCAAATATTCAAAGTTCAAAAACGGTTTTTTCCTGAGAGTTTCAAATAAAAAGAACAGAAGTATGGAGAAGCCAAAAAATATTAAAATTATGCATTTAGAAAGAAAATCAGTAGGATATTACTCACTGCCTACTAAACCGCTTGGCAAGAAAAAAAAAGTTGTGATGGGACAATGAAAATGAAATAATTTGTTTGAAATTCAAAAAGCAGCAGATAAAAACTGAATAAAGCTTACTCCAAGGTCTTGGAATATTTTTAAAATCTGTTGAGAGTTCAGTTAATTCTGAAGAAAAAATAACGGAAATTGCTATTTTAAAATGATTGATTGACAGACAAAGAGATGAAGTTAAAGCGAAAGGTTTTTCTGATCGATAACCAAAACATTGAAGAAAAGTCTTTAGAGACCCGTTCGGCTCAAAAAGGTTTCAATTGACGTCAGAGCTGACGAATAATCAAGTTCAAAAAACGGAAACGAGAGATCAGCGACGGCATGAGAAACGGCAGAGAAGCAGAGCTTTTCTCTTTCTCTGGCCTCTCCTCGGTCTCGGTTTTCGTTCATCAATGAAACAAACAGAATCGACGATCACGACAATCATCGAAACCCGAAATCTGAATTGAAAGTACGGTAGTGTTCTCGAGAAAAACGATGTTTTTGAGGTCACGGCAAGCGTTCGCCAAGCATGTGTCCACCACGTGCCGACGGGTTTCAACGAAAATCGCAACACTTCTACATCGTTTGTCTATTTGATCACCATCATCAGAGAGATTCTCTGTTTCCTGCCAAAAACGATGCAGAAGGTGATGGTCGTCTGCAAAAACCCTTTTTTTCTTCTTTTGGTGGTTTGGATTCTTTATAGGTGTTTCTGGAACGAACTTTGAGCCGTTCGAAACTTTTCTGTCGTTGACAAAAATATCTGTAAGTAACAAAAAAGTGAGAGTTTTTTTTTGAAGATCTGCGAAAGGTACAAAAGATTTACAAAAAGTGCTGCGGTTCCTTTTTAAAGAGCTTCTCTTTAATGTGAGATGAAAAATCTTTTTTAAAACGACTTCAGTCGCATGTGGAATATATATCGTTGTTTCAAGGCGCATCCGACCTGAAACGACTTGCGCGGGAATGTATTGGTAAGAATAGAGAAGAGCTGTTTTCACTAAAACCGCAACGCGACCGCGACGTATCAGTCCAGTTTATAAAGCATTCATAACTTTCTTTTTAATCTGAATAACTCTTTTTTCTTCGAAATACTGACCTGTCCACTTCAAAGATCACACGATTCGTCAAATTCAAACCTTCTTGAACCAATAAAACAATCGAAACTTGACGAAAAACGTCTCTTCACTTCTGGTCTGTTTCATTTCATTGAAATAGGTATATCGGGTTCGTCTAGACTTTGAGTGCAAAAGATTTTTTTTCAAAGACTTCAAGCGAGGGAAAAAAGTTCGACCGGTACGGAGACCTTCGACTTTGACCAAAACTTTGGATGGAGAGACGGAATTTATGGTTAGCGATTTGGAGTAATGCGAAAAATTCGCACTATCAAACGGTTTGGTCTGATGACCGTCAAGGTTTCCGTTTTTTTTTTCTGATATCAATATATAGTTGCGAATGTTTTCTGAGTATTTTTGTCAACAGAATGAAAAAACTAAGAAAATTTAGGTTTTTTAAGTTCGAAATTTGAAAGTTATTATCTCATTTCATCACGTCGACTAGTCGGTCTCATTGCCGCTCTCTCCTGAGATAATATTCCGACGCCCGTCGGTTGTGGACAATCTGGGCGCCGTACTTTTCCAACATGGTGAAGAAGTTTATTCGCTGAAACTACCAACGGGCCCAAATTATTTCCCAACGCTAGCTGTCACGCCGGAACTTAATGGACAACGATAGTGGACCGCAACCCGTGCCGACGACTAACTCTTCGATTAAACCATGATTCAGCAGAGATTTCTTCTACATCTTACTCTGAAGACTGAATAAATTGTAACTTGTAATTGTAATAAGACCAACGTTAGGAACCCTTGGAGGTCCCCTCTAGGGACAGCACGAACTGAATTATTGGATGTCAATAAGGATTTTTTTAATTCAAAAAAAAGATTTATACATTTAAATGAAAAGATATATAGGATCAGTTTCAAAGGGATAAAAACCGAAAGAAGACAAATTCGTCGCAAAAAGACTGTAACCAGCGCGAATTCGGTGACTCAAGACGTTCGCGAACTCTTTTAACCAGTTTCCAACCAAATTTCTTCCTATTTTCATTACCCAATCTTTGAACAATTGCACTAAATTACATGATTTTGCAGTGTCGTTTCCGAAAAGCGTCAGATGGACGAATGGAACTAAAAAAAACCCCCGAGGCGATGACTTGGCCATTTCGACGACACGGTGTAACTTTTTTTTGCTTCCCTTTTCACACTCTTACAGATGTTGCGATTGAGATTCCTTTGGAAACAAAAAATAAAGATTTCATTTACAAGAGACAGTGAAAATGAGATATAAAATGCAAGCTTAAAAGAACACCCGTGACAACCAAGTTAGTTGGAAAATGAGGCCAATAATTAGTGATACGGTGGGTTAAAATTAAAAATAGGGAAAAAGAGCTGAAAATTCACATTTTTTTGATTTCTCGCTTGATGAATTTGAGCTCCATAGAAAATCATTTCGAAACAAAAAAATGATCGTAAATTGGAAGAATACTTGAAAAAGGTTCGTAGGAAGCTTGAAAAAATTTTGAGGATAAAAAAATTTTTCAGGAATGAGACCCGATTTTTTTATTCTTGCATTGATTTTGGTCTGCAATTTGATTTTTTACTATATTTATAGCTTTTTTCGAATTACTGCAACGAAATTCCTAAATTTCAAACTTTTCTTTGAATGTGATGTGTTTTCTTTAAAAAGCATACTATTAAAAATTTTTTGAGTCTAACATGGTCAAACTTCTCAGCTCCTTTTTCTTATACTTCATAACGTATCCGTCAAAACTCTGACCTGTCTGCGCCCTCTTTTCATTGGAAAAAGTGGAAAAAGGATGAAAAAGAGAGCGAGAGCAAGTGAGACTGTTCCAGGCTACTACAGTGTACCAATATTTTTCCGTTCAGATTTAAATCAGTTCCAAACAAGAACATTGGTCTCAGAAAGAGCTACAAAAACGAGGAAAGTTGCGTAAACGGACATGAGAACGACGGCGTGAGGCCTTCTGAGGTAGTACCGCTGTATGAAGACTCCTGAACTCGGAAACAGTCAGTGGATAAGCTTAAGTTTGGAGAAAAGTGGGATAAGCTGTATTTGTGAGTTATTCAAAATTGCAGGAAGAAGCCTTTTTTTCGTATTTCTAAGCGATTTCTACAGCTCTATTTTGAATAAGATATGTAAAATATGTAAATTTCACCGTTTCAAACTTAAAAAAACGTCGAAGATTCAGTTTGGTACTTCCTACATGATTTTTGATCTTCAAAAATCATGGCTTGATCAAAAAAAAACTTTGGAACTGACCTAATAAGGTAGTGCCAAGTGATATGGTGAGGAATAACATGAGAAGTCGGTAGATCGGGTTGATATTTAACTGAAAAATTGGTTACAGGATTGAATTTGAAGGGAAAACCAACCGGGATATATTTTCCACGAGCCCTTGCAATCGTGAAAGGTAACCCGAATCCCATTAGAAGATCTAAAATGTTTATTTTACCTGTCTGAACGCTTTGAGTTAATTGGAATTTAATTATTATTATTCGTAGCTCTCTGATGAGAATCAAGATGTTCGGAAACTGAAGCTTAAAAACTTGAGCTGAAAAGTCCGGTCAAATATTTATGCATTTTTAAAAAAAACCTATAACTTTCTATCGATTGCCATTTGCAGCACTACTACGAATACACAAAAAGGAAATAGAAAATCAATAAAATCGAAAAGAAACCTGTGGTTTTTGAAATATCTAAATTTGAAAGAATGACTCACTAAAAAGAGGTCCTCCAATGGCAGCCGCCATCGCCATCCTTGGATATCCCTGTTTCACAACGGAGACGTCAGCAATCAGGTCGCCGATACTGTTGGACCAGGCCAAAATCGTCAGGCCAAGGACCTGGAAACCGAAAAATGAAACGAATAAAAGGGAACTCCAAATTATTACACTGCCCGGTTAGAAATGAGGCTTGGATTTTTCGGTCCAGAATCCATTCTCAAGTTAGGGGCATTAATTTTAAAGACACTTAGGGTCCTTTATTTCGAAGACACATGGCTAGCTTGAGAGGCTGAGGGGCGTGGCCTGACGGCGCTCTCTACCATCCAGGCCCTGTCTCTTCTGTTATCGTGTCAGGACTCTTTTCTCGATGGCTCAGCCTTGGATCAGCTATAAAAGCCTGTTACAAGAGTTACAAGATAACCAGATCATTTTTTTCGGTGAATTTTTCCAAGTTGCTAGTTTTAAACACTACAAGGTTCTCCCTGAAACCAGTACCTCGTGAGAAATCTTCGAAACGACTCCCAACATGGTGACGACGTTGACGACTTCCGACGAAATGAGGTAGATCCATGCGATTGCCATCAAAAATCCGGCATACGAATATACTTCCTTCAAAAATAAATGTATGAAAATTACGATTGTTCTTGATATCCTACCTTGTAAAACTTCGGTTCCTTTCCCAGGGTGGTGAAAATTGAGACGAGAGTGATGAGAATGACGGAAAGACCGAGGGCGTAGGCCCAAAGGCCTGGACTGCCGTCGAAAGGCTTCAAGTTGATCACTGGAATCGATTCAATAGTTTTTGAATGCCTTTTCAAGGTTTTTCTCTCTGAATCTCTTACAAAAAGGCCGTGAAAAATGAAACGCTAACAAATGAGAATCCCTCTAATTAATCTTCCCCAAACAGTTCAAACTAATGATGAATCACCCGATCAAGATTTATGCAGTAAGCGATAAATTTTCTTCTGCTGTTTGCGATAAAAATCTGTCCTCCTTTTGATAAGAAAATATTCGGGGTTGCTTCCCAGATGATGTTTCTCTAACACGTGTTTGGTAACAAGAGTCTAGTTCACTTGATTGCTTCAAGTTTTCAGATACTTTGGAAATTCGACTTTTGATTTATCGTGAGTTGAAAAACTTTTGTAAGGACAATTTTCTGACATTTTCGAGCTCTCTCATTTCTGAATAACGGAATGCCTTGAACCTTTAATCAAACTTTTTTCAATATATCATTGGCTCAGATTATCGATGGTAATCAAATGTTCTCATTTCAAGCGTTGGAAAAATCTCATCACGGCCTGCGCGCGCTGCGAATGTGTCACACCGTCGATAAAACTGCGCCCGACTCGTGGCGGCCTACGCTCTATCGCATTGCACAGCATGACTGCGGACTGTTTGGCTCCAAGCCAACTTTAAAGCACTATTACACAGTCGAATTTGATATTTTCGGCGAATTAAAATAGATGGAGGGTTGAATAAGAGTTTCAAAACAATTACAGTGAAACATGAAACGTTTTTTCGTAATATTGAAACCATTATTTATGATTTTCTTCTTTCACAACCTTTGAAAGATTATTTGTCGGGTTTTTCAGAGTCTATCACTTTTAAAGCCAGAGGATAGAGGGAATTTGAAAAGTAAAACTAACTTTGAACAGCGAAAAGTAGGAATTGTGGACAAGTGGCGCATAAAATCATGGCCATCGCCTTGGACCAGCTTGTTTCGTTCAAAGGGATCGTCAGCTTGAATAATATCGTCGGAATTATCTAAAAAAATAAATAAATTAGTCAGTTTCCAGTTCTGATAAAAATCAAGCATGTACAGAAATTTGATTTGAGAAAAATTTGAATTTTTTACCAGAACCAACTGAAATTTGTGATCCGTCGGCACAAAACCGCAGTTATTTTCCACTTTCAAACAACCCGAATTTCCACAAATTCGCACGTTTTTTTTATGTAGCTATGTGGTTTTTGAAAGCCTGTAGTTCAAAAATATTGGTATCGAGAAAAAAAAATGATGCAAAATTAGACGAAACAGCCGTCGACGTCATTTTTTGAACTGAAGATCGATTTTCCTCTTTTCCAAAGCTTTCCGCTTTTCTTGAAATGATGGGAATTGTTACTTGTAGTTATACTAATTATGAAAAAACAAATTGAAATTATGATAAATATGCAATTTTGAGTGAAAACCTTAACAGAACAAAATAAAAAAAAACTTATAAAATGATCCGAAATTGATTGCAAGTCCAGTCTGATTCTCAAAAGTTAAATTTTAAGTATTACCTTGACAACTGAAAGCGCCTTGAAAACGATATTCGCTTCTCGGAACTCTTCGGGATCTGGCATGGGATTCAGATGATCGGCCACATCGGCCAGCAGCTGCTTCCAAGTGTGGACTTGTCTCGGCTCCGGGGCTAAACGAGGCTATTTTCGAGTGGAGACTGTGCTCCAACGAACCGACGCTGGCTGCACGGCTTCTGGCTTCGGCGCCGGTGAAGACTTGGTGATGAACAACGACGAATTCTTCGTCTTCTGCTTCGTCGTCTTCTCCTCCTGAAATTTTCAAAGTCTCAGTTTATAAATAAAGTTTTTCTTTTTCAAACGGAAATGTAGTTTTGAATTTCTATCTTGTACCTGGGGTGACCACAGGAAGAGGATGAAGAACAGGCCCAAGGAACGGGGCGATTCCATTTTTCATCGAAAAAGTCACCGAAGCCCTTTTCATGTAGTTCTCATTGGCTCCAAGTTCAGGAACATGTCCTAAACAATTTATTGATAAAAAATCATTGCTTCAAATGAAAACCTTGTATTTTGCCGACGGCCTCGGAAATGATTTGGATTTCAGGAACGCCAGCTGAAAATGGGAAGATTAGAAAAACTGATTATACTGTTTTATTACACTGCAAAGTATTATATATTTGCGAAATACAAGCATGAAACCCTTCTTTCCCTGAATATCTATGGGACAAGAATCCATCTATTTATTTCAGAAAAAGAAAAAACACAGAATCTATTCAAAGAGGGAGTCTATTATTTTTCTTCTGGTGCATTGACTTGAGGATTTTCTAAGATATTACTATTACTGAGAATAATGGTCCCTGTGAGAAGTCAAAGCAATTCAAAAATTTACAAAAATGTTTACGTTTTCCAAAGCGTACCGAAAAAGGAGGCGTGGTGAAATTTTTCATCCAAACGCGCGCTATCATGATAATGCGATGGTACGACAAAATCTCAAGTCCGCAAATCTCGAGGACCGTAATCTTGTGTACGCAGATCTAAAGTCCCATAATCTTGGAAACCAAAATCTTGGAGACCAAAATCTTGGAAACCACAATCTTGGAAAAGCAAAAAAATCTTCCCTTTTTAGTCTTCTTTATTGCACTTTATCTACTTATATTCTCTTGTTTGGATCACCAAATACAATTTCTGATAAAATCTATTCGCAAAAGCGTTGATTTTTACTTTTCAAGATTGTGGTTTCCAAGATTTTGGTCTCCAAGATTTTGGTTTCCAAGATTATGGGACTTTAGATCTGCGTACACAAGATTACGGTCCTCGAGATTTGCGGACTTGAGATTTTGTCGTACCATCGATAATGCAAAACCCTTTAATGGGCTACGATATAGCAAAGAAAAAAATGAGTTGAAAAAAATACAATTTAATTTCGCTTTTCAAGACATTCTTGTTTTTTTAATTCTCTTATGTCTTGTTGAAGTTTTTTCAAGTTAATAAAAATTTTTCATTCAGGTAAATTACGCTGCTCACGAATCATAACGCTCTGGTTGCTCTTAAAAAGGTCAAAGGCTCGCGATGCGGTTAGAAATTTTTTTAGCCGACTTCTAATCCAGCAAAAATTAGTTTCAGATCCTACATCGTTTTGAGTTGAACTGGCGTAGAGTTCATATCATAAATTCACGTTTCAATCCTGATTATTGAGGCTTGTTCAATCATAATTAAAAATAGTTAGAAATATATTTTTAAAGAAGAAAACACAAACATTTGAAAAAAAAAACCAACTACTATTAGGAATCACAGTGACGGCCCTGCTTCTTAGACTTTTGCCAGTTTCAGCCCGTTTTCTCTTCTGTAAAATGATGGTTTTCAGAAAAAAGTTATGTTTAAATCGTTTTACCTTTCTTTTCTGATGAACAGCTTGAGCAACAACTACAGTGACGACATATACCGCATAGATTCCAAGCATACCTGTAAATTTTAGTTTTTCAAACGAGATTTGCTCAAAAATCACTCAGAGGCATCCAAAGGTAGACTTGACTTGAAAACATGAAACAGAAAAGAAGAAAAGCGATGGTGAAAAGGTAGAAAACGAGGTCTCGCACTGTCGAGAAAACCTGGAAACTTTATCAACATTTTTTAACAGTGAATGGATTCTTTAAAAAAAAAACTCGTGTTTAAAAATGAGGAAAAAATCAAAAAACCTCGACTTTGAAGGGTTTGGTGAGAATTATGGTTGAGGTAACCATGGTTGTCACAAAAAGACCGCCTCCTGAACAATTTTCGGAATTATTTTCTCCTCTAAAAGGGATACCAAAAAGCTCTCCCAGCGCCAAGCCTGCCTTAGGAGTGGGGCTACTCAAAACTGAGGCGATCGAACCGAAAACGTCTGGCGCCCCGTTTCCGAACGCCATGAATGTCACTCCCTGAAAAAAGATTGGATAGAAGGGAAATTTTCAGAAGAAATAAGTGGAGTCTAACGAAATTAAAAATATATATCTTGCTGAAAATTCTAACTAGTAGTGTAGGAAGAACTGGCTATTTCTGGCTTTGAGCCCTGAGTTCTCGGAAACTAAAAAGTTGTGCCGGTTGAGAATCTCAGAATCTTCATTTCGTTCACTAAGGAATAATCTGACCAATTTTTTTAGGAATTTCTGTACCCCAGAGTAAAATGAACTTCCTTGTTGGATTTCTTTTTGGGCTGTCAAAGAAGGGGTCATAATTTGAGGATAACGATTAATAAACAAGTAACAGTACCGCAACGCTTTCGCTGATCTTGAGATGAGCGACGATGGCGGAAACGGAGGGGGAAAAGAAGTCGTCGGCAGCCGAACTGACCATGACGAACAATACCAACATGTAGATCACCGCCACAACGATCAGAACCACCTGAAAATTAGGTTTATCCTCGGATCAGAGCTTCAAAAAATTGAAAAAGGGAAATTGATTTTATTCCGTCTTCAAAATAATTCCAGGATATTTAGAATAGTCGTCAGGAATTAGGAATAATTTGATTTTTTTCGGGATGTTCTTTAAATCATTTTGATGAATTCAGGAATTTAATAATAATCTATGAATGAGCAAAATTAAAAAGCCCTTTTGTAGGCTTTCAAATGGCTAAAAAGGTTGGTTTCAATTTTTACAGTCTTTGAGAAAAGCTGATTGGACCAAAATGGTTTAAAAAAGACTTGGAATCTACAAATTTGGAATTCTAGTTTGCCAAAGATAGGGTCATTACAGCTAGGAAGCAATGTTTAACCTGGAAAAGTCGATTTTTTCGAAAAAATTTCATCAGTAGTTTGACTTGCCTTGATAGCCGTGCTCCCGGCGCATTCGACGTACTGTGACCATAGAAAATAGCCCCCGCCTTCGCAAGCGTCGTCGTTGCAGTTGACGAAGCAGCAGACTTCTGAAAACAATTTTTTGAATGGAAATTGCTTTTAGAAATTAATAATAAAAACTATTAGGCACTTAGTTTTGCATCCTTTTGGTTGATTCATCAATAGAAAACTGAATCGAACATTCATTTCATAGATTCTTTGGGGAGCATTACAAAAAAAAACGGATCAAAAATAATCTTCATAACCACAAGTGATAAGCGAGAAAGGGTGTCAATATATCAAAATGGAACTTTAGAGGTTTTTTTTTCCGTCGAGTTCCTGGTAGAGATAAGAAACAAGGTGTTATACTTGGTGTCTCAGAATTTGGAAGCTTTACCAAGAACATCAAAAGTCGATAATTTGCCTCTACAAAAAACAAACAAAAAAAGAATGGATACCTGAAAATGCCACCGATTAACCTCTATAAATTATTTTCAAAGATCTCTTTTTTTTAATTATTTATCTTTTCGCTTGCGTACTGATGATAATTTTCGCAAAACTCTATAATAGGAGCAAATACTGTTTCGCAATTATTATAAAAACTGGAAGATTCGGTCAGCTTCATTCTTCCTTGAAACTAGGTTTTCGCACTCTACCCCTCAATAAATAATAAAAAAAAAGACGAACGTTCTTGCGTCCAGTTTTTGCCGATATTGCAAACATCGGTGTTGCAGACGCCATCTGGAGGGCAGTCCGGGGGATTCGCGATCCAAGACGTCTTCTGATTGGCTGGCCGTCTCAGACTGGACCTCCAGCCGGCTTCTACCGGGCCGGCGAAGCAGGCCAGCAGCAGCACAAGCAGCGGCGCCACCATTCGCGGCTCGAAAACCTTGACAAGTCAGTTTCAAGTTTATTTTTTGAGAACGGCTTTATTTGAAGTTTTTCTTTCACTTCTCGGCGGTCTTCCAACTGTGCAAAAAAAAAAATAGTGGGGATAAAAATTGCATTTTCAGATAACCCAAAAACAATGCGATTTCATGCAAATTTAATATGAATCGTTTAAAATTGAAAAAGGAGTAATTCTAAACCAAAAAATTTTTTTTTAGTAAAACTCTTTCTGACCTGATTTCTAGCGCTCTGACGAATTTCCCAATGAAGTCTGGTCTCGAATCTGAAAAAAAGACGAAAAATAAACGTTTTTTTGGTAGAAAGAAAATATCTATTTTTACAAACTGGTCAAAAAAAGAGTTCAGCGGTTTTGGATCTTTCGATATCGATGGTATGCATTGAGGTACATCAGCAGTTCTTTGATCAAATTTGTAGGGAAATTTAATTGACTTTCGAACCATGACGCAATAAATAATCTTATCAAGGAATGGGTTGAAAGTACGAAATGAAGGAAAAAACTAGTTTTAAATATTCCTGGAACGAAATTTCCGAAGAGAAATGTTCAAAATGTAAACTGTGAATAATGAAACAAATAATTCCATGTAGAGAGTCAATAGAGAAAAGAGAAAAATTGATAATTTGATCACTTATTTCTTATCGAAAATTCCGATCTCAATGGAAATTTTTGATGATTTGAGCAACTATTCCTGTAGATGTACTGCATCAGTTCTAGATTTCATTGAGAAGACTATGGAAGGTTTCAAAACAAGAAATATGGAAAATAATTGATTTTTTCAAGAATTTCGAGAGTTTTCGAGCGTTTCAAAAATTCAAAGGGTTAGAAAGAAAACACGGAGAAAAAGAAAAAATAATTATAAAATACAGCAAGTTTCAGGATTTTATTATTTTTAAAAGTATGAAAGTTATCAAGCTAGAAAGAAATTGGTATTTTGGAAAACTTCAAAGATTTTCGAAGAAATTATGCTGGGAACAGCTTTAAAAAAGTTTTCTGCGAATAAAAGAGTAGAAAATCGAAATTTCAGTTTTTGAACTTCCAAAACACGCTGATTCGTCAGAGAAACATTAACAATTTACAATAAAGCCTCACAATATTAAAACAGCTCCGAAAAACTCAAAGTACCAAGGCAAACTCAAATTCAAACAGTTTCGAGATAAATATAAACGAAAAATAAACTATAAAACCTAAACACATAAACTAGAGGGACCGTAAAGCACTGATAGAGCCTCGGGAAAAACTCAAATAAAACGGCCGCTGGCAAATAGATCTCGATAAAGATCGGACCGTCGCCCCAAAGACCCTTATCTCCAGTGGTGAAGACGTAATTACGACGTCAGCACGCGATTCGTAAGCCTTGAGAACTTTTGTTTGCTCCAAGATTTATGGAGCATTCGCAGCTATTCTTGGTGGCGCTCAAATGTCGTCTTTTTGATCTTTGCAAAGTTCGAGAAATCAGCCGTTTTGAAACAGCGCTGATGGGACCATGTCATTTGAATTATTTCCCAGTATCGCTTTATAGGAATTTGCATTGTTCAAATTTCCCGAAAGAGGTTTCAGCCTTTCTTCCCGTAAACGGACTATGTTTGAGAACCTACCTCATTGTGAAATTTATTGCTTAAAATATGCCTGAAGCCTTCACTTTGGTCTTTTCATTTTTTTTATCCCACAATTTTTTCTAAACTTAATACTCTTGTCCACTCATTTTGTTGATGGATCCTTGATATTAGCATGATAAAATAGCTCCAAATATCTTTGATTTTTCAAAATATTAAAAAAAATTATTTTCTTGCCAATAGTCTAACAACGTCTTTGAAAATTTCATGGAAGTTCGAAGACCAACCTACAATTTTTTTTATAACCATGAATTGACCGCCTTAATCTTTATGACCATGACATTTTGGGATATTTTTAGGATCGGACAAAAAGTTCAACTCACAGACCGTTTATATTTAGAGATTGAATAAAAAAGGTTTTTTTATTAATATTAGTTTTTGTACAAATCTCATCATAAATTATTGTTTATTTTTATTTCGTAAATTCCATTCAAAACGTTTCAGCTTTCCCACAAAATCCCTACATGAGTCATTCTTAAAGAGTGTAAAAAAACTTTATTTGCAAGGAAAAAGTCAAAATGACCGCTTCAATATGGAATTTCAAGTCACATGCCAATCATCTTCATAAGTGGTTTATAGAAATCATCAGATTTTTGTCGAGACTAGTTTTCGTACAAAAATCATTTATATACATTTTTCTAACTCTGATTTTTTTGGTTTGAAACTTCATTCAAAACTCCACAAAAAAAAGTTTACATGAATCATTTTCACACAATTTAGAACTTTATTTGCAAGAAAAAAGTTGAAATGGTCAGTCGCGCAACGTGCTGGGAGTGTGGCAAACGAAGGAGTTCTGTTGGTCCTCACAAAAGGCTCCCTGGATTCCAAAAGCCGACATCTGAAACATTGAATTTCATCGATTTTTTCAAAGAGCAAAGAAGAAAAAATATTAAATGACATTTCGAGAAACACGAGAATGAGCTTTACAAGATACTGCTTTTCTCTCAAAGGACTTTTTCATATCCTTCCACTCTGGACAGAATAGTTGGAAACTTACAACTGTGCAGCGTTGGAAGGAGTTAGGCACGTTCCCGAACATCTTGTACCCGACCGGACTTCCGTCAGCGTTGCTGTAGTTCTTGCCATCCTGACGACTCAACCCCAAAAGAGCCTTTTTAGGTCCAACGAGTCCTGAAGATCCACGTATCAATGGAAACGTCATAGAAGGAACTTCGCAAAAAGTGATCTTCGGCTCTCGAGTGAACGGCGGCGAGTTGAGCTCCACCACGAGCGCAGAACACTTTGGCCTCCAGGAAGTTGGCCGACTCGCTGAAGACCTTGTAGCAGAAGCCGAAGTTGGTGTTGTCTGCGGAGAAGAACTCCCAGCCTTGCTGGCACGTCAGGCTTCGGTACGGCTTGCCCTTCCTGCCGTAGTCTGAATAGGAGGCAGGAGGTGGATTACGTCTTCTGTTCCTCTCGAAGCCTTTGAATCCATCAGTCTCTGTCAAATCGAATCCTTTCTGTTGGAATTGGTCCCCGATGTTCTCGTGGAGATGCGACTGCGACCCTGTCATTCGCCCCTGCGAATCGACGTTACTGGTCAGGACTCGCGAATCGCCGCTCCCGACGACTTTGTCGCCATCGGAAGCACGATGGCTGTGACTTGCGACGTCGAGGTCGGAGGCATGCTGAAGCTGTCCATCTTTGTAGCTGTCACTGTGGCCGCTCCGAGAATGCTGATGGGTACTCTGAAACTGAGGAGGACCTCCGTTTGAAGAGGAGAAGGAGGACGAAGATGAAGAAGAGGAAGACGAGGACGAGGACGAACTCGAGGAGAAGGAGTCCTTCGGGAACGACGGGATTTCGGGAATTTTAAATCTTCCGGCTTTTTCGATACCGTTTCATCTCTGCCTTCAAAGCGTCGAATTGAGATTCGAAGCTAAGGAAGTTGTTCATTTGACTTCTGGCGGCCCCTGAACTTTTTCGTTGATTTCTTGAAACAATCATTGATGCCCACCAGCCATAAAAATGACAATAAATGTCGTCGAGAATAAAAAACGCCTTAACGACATCATCAACTGTTTATTGTCCTGAAAAAAAAACCAGGAAGAAACAATTTTTTTCGAAAGATTTGAAACAAGATAAAAAAGATGATGAAAGAAGGAGAAATTGTGGAAAGAATGGCGTTCTACGTGTGCCGATCGGCAGGAAAATAAAGAACGAAAAAACGCCTCATTTTCACACAAGCTCATATGATTTTCCGACGGTTTTTTTTTCATCTTTTTGAATATATTAAGCCAGATGCCGCCTTTATGCTGAGAGTTTGGGAAAATGTGTTGAGATGGAGGAGATGCGTCACGGGTTTTCCAGTGGGGACGTGTTGAAACGCAGTTTGACTCAGAAAAAAAGAAAAATAAAAAAACAAAAAAATTCGTATGTTCAAAAAAAATAGTCTCTCAGGCTACTTCCAAGGTCAATTTTGAAATCAAAAAGAAAAAAAAAATAAGAAGTCTAAATATTGAAAAATATTCAAAAACTTCGAAAAGAATATTTTATAGTTTTCGCTTTTTGAAAAAATTCTCAAAACCTAGATAAAGTTTTGATGTGCCGACAACAAAGTTTTGATGCAGGAAAACAGATCTTCTTCCTTTTTTCTCATATAAAAATTAGTAGTTATGAAATTCATAAGAATGACACGTAACTTCCCAAATCAATCAATTCTATTTTTCGTTGTGAAAAAGAAATGGAATTTTTTTCTGAACAACAGTTTTCTCCCAAAAAAATATCTATTAGTTATTCCAAATTTATGCAAAAAAGAAACTGATAAATTATTAATTTTGCTCGTTTCAAAGTTTTGGTGGCCTCAACTCAATATTTCAGAAAAAGGTCAAATCTTTGTGGTTAGAATCGGGTAAGCAGACTTTTCGACGCCTTGTGCGCAAGTCGTTTTAGGTATGACGTGCCGTGAAGCAACCGCCTCGCAGCGGTTTCTATTCAAATTAAGCCGCGCAAATTTTGAATATTTAGCTTGAGGTACTCGAGAAAATGTAGAGCTTTCAGTTTTCTCGAGAGGGAACCGAAGTCACCTCAAACATTTTACAGTTTGAATCGTGGATGACTGACAAATAACAGAGAGAAAGTTTTATTTTGATGTTTAAATTATGCAGAAAATGGTCTCAGGGCCTTCTAATAATCCTGTGCTTGGTGATGATGTGCTCACGATTATCGTGGGCGACCTTGTGGGAGTTGGCAGCGAACGAAATCTTAGTTCTGTTGGTGGCCCGACCAGCGGCGGTTTCCGCGACAGCCACAGAGTTGGCAGTCTCGTCGATATCCTTCTTGATTCTCTCGACGACTGTATTTGTCTCTTCGATTTCTATGGGCTCAGAAGTTCCGTTGCGTCGATGTCTGTGTCGTGGAAGGACGATGATAACTGGGCGCTCAATGTAGGGAGTTGTTGTCATGGACAAGGTCGTCGTTATTGTTGGCGAAGGCCTGGCCGTGGTTGTAGTCGGCTTTTCGGTGGTGGCTACTTCCTCAGCTTTTGGTCTATACTGCTCTCGGTTGTGAGTTCGGAAATGATCCCTGTCCCGATCATCTGAAAACAATTTTTGAAAATCACTTAAAGCTGAGAAAAAGTAAAACATTTTGATAGACAATTTTGGTTTTGAAGGTGTTCTTAAAGTCAATTGAGTCGAATTTGAAACGCAGCGGTCGCATGACTACCGTAGTGATTGGATCTGGTTTTAGGTAATTACTCCACGTTCTTCTCCATGTAGACGTTTACTGTTATTCATGTTTTCTCGAATTGATATTTCAGTTCAGTTCAAGTTAAAAAAAAATTATAATCACATGGAAAAGGTTTTTTTTCGAAAAATAAAAATAAAATTTTTTTCAAATCAATACTTTTTTCGGATCTTTTTTTCGCGCCACAGAGGCTGTTACGTCCTACATTGAGAATTATTCGATCGTAGAGCATAACTTTTTTTTTTCGAAACCTTCTAGATGATAGCGACGGTGTTCGTATGGGTTTTTGTCGCTTCTGCCCGCAAAATTCCATTGGCGATGCCGAGCCGGATATCTCCAACTGTGATGGCCGAAATGGTTGTTCCTTGATTTTGATTAGGGTTTTGAAAAAATCTTGTAAATCGTGTAAGTACTGGACTTGAAGATAATCATCCTGGGCGATTTATTTTTTGCAAGTCCGAAAACGGTTCGCTTTTTAAAATCATAATAGGATACAAAACGAACCCATTCGTGGAGAAAACTGTGAAGAAAACATAGAAAATGAGCAGCAAAAGAACTCTCATGCCGAAAAATCTACAGAAAGAACGATTCAAGCTTGCTGGTAGAAGTTTCCGACACAAAAAGTTTTTGGAAAAGGCTCATATTTTTTTATTTTTTTACTACCAACCCATGATTTCTTAAATTTTTTTGTCTCCTTGGACTGAAGCATTAAGGAAAAATAAAAACTTTTTTTCGAACATTATAGGAAAAAAATTTTTTTTGATACATACGGCTGCTCCGATAAGGAGAGTTCAATAGTTCAGAAACATGTAATTCGTCCCAACTTTGACGCAGATGGTCGCACATGGAACGTCTTGACGCGTAACTCTTTCAAGAGCTTTAGAAACTTCAATGTTGAACTCAACTCGTTGATATTGTCAATGAGATATCATCTGAATTATTGTACAAAATATGACCGCTTCGATTACGGCTTCTAGTGCTCAAAAACAAGTACAAATATTAGATGTTTGAAGAAGATGTATGTATATTGTCTTCACTCCATTTCATTAGTGTTGGGAATAACGAAATTTTCTTCTTTTCACTCGCGAATTCGTATATTTTCTGAAGCCTGTGGTGAATGAACGATGGATTTTCTAACAATTTAAAAGATAGGCTTTCATTTCAGTTGCACTTTGTACAAAGACAAAAAAATACCACATTTTTCACCTGCTTTATATCAAACAAAGAAATGCAATGAAACGACAGATTATTTCTTAAGCCTGCGCAACAGGTTTCCCATTTGTGGCTTTCTTCAGCTCGATGAAGACTTGAACATTAGTGTTTCCTTTTCCTCCGTTTTTTCCATTTCTTCCATTTCTTCCATTTCTTCCATCTCTTCCATCTCTTCCATCGTGATCATGATGGTGATCATGGTCATGATCATGGTCATGATCACGGCCATGGTCATGGTCATGGTCATGATCACGTCTATGGTCATGATCACGATGATGGCGGCTGTCGGAACTGCTATGGCTCCTGTGACCGCGCCCTGAGCGAGTTGTGTGACGTGGACGTCGAGTTGTAGTTGTGGTTGTAGTAGTTGTGGGAGGACGTCGTCTGAAATATAAAAAAGTACTCGACACGTTCAATTCAAAGTTCTCTTTTTTTTTAAAATTCTCTTCAAGATTTGATTCCAATTCGCACGGCTAGAACGGTTCTAATTTTTTTTCTCAAAAGTTTCCAATGAAAGCGATTTATTCATAATAAAATATAAAAAGTACCTTTGAAATCGATGAAATATTTTCATGAGCTTAAAATTCTTTGGTGCACGAATTGTGATTGTCGCATGATTTACAAAAAGCTTTGCGTATCGATGTGATGCAGAAAGCAAGATTTTTCGAGAGTCGAATGATTCTAAGGGGCTCAAACTTTGTTTTCATTAAAATTCGTGTTTAGCTGTTTGCTTTTAAATCGAAAAAAAAAGAATCAAGCAGATTCATCTATAGAACTTCAAGTATTACTTGTCAGTCGCTGAAATTTGTTATGGAAACTTTTTCTTATTGTTAAGTTCTTAGAATAACTAAGTCACGGAATGAATAACTTTTGATGAGACTCACCTTGGTCCACAAGCCAAGGCCACGGTCGTGATGCACGCGATCAGAAGTAGAATGGTCAGAAGTTGCATTTTTTGAACCTGAAAAGAAGTTGAATTCGGAAAACTTGAGAGAAGCAAATTTAACTGAGAAGAGGCCCGCCTGACGACAAAACCACAAATACCTGTTGCTGGCTTTCTTTTGGCTTTTAAATGCATTTTTTTACGATCCAAAGTTTAATTCATCTTTTTTTAATGATTTTTTTACGATTTAAAAATTTTTATCACCCCTTCTCTGTGAGGATCAATGAAATTTCGACGATGGAATGAACGAACATAACATTATTCTTCGATTTGCTTCAAAGTTTAATCACAGGTTTTTTATTTCTTTCCATTCGGTTTTAGGTGGCTTCGTTTATCGGAAGGTTAGTAGAGATACTAAAAACCCCACAAAATTTTCAGAAATAAAAGAACACCTTGATATAGTCAATCCATCCCGACTTGAAAGGCGAGGGAGCGGGTCGCGTAGTGTGTAGGAACGCGGTCCTTGGCACGAATTCAATTCAAGTTCCATCGACTATTCAAAAAGCTCGGTAACCGCTCCTTTTGAATCGATTCCTCTATTTTTTAATGCACAAATGAAATAAAAAATCAAGAACGGATTTTTAAGAAAATTGAACTGAGCGATAAACGAGCTCTCCAAATAGTCGCTCGAACTGAACTAGCGCCAAGAACCGCGAACGCCAAACTGTCGTCGTTTAAGAACGGCGCGTAGATCATCTCATTCTCCTTGGGATAATAGTAGACGTTCCGAAGTTTGAACATTCCGACGGTCCCTGTTTCTTCATGAGAGAATAGTGCGGTGTATAGCTTATGGCCTTCTATTCGAAAGAAGAACTGGTAAAACCTATCTTAGCCATTCAACCGACGGTGAACATCAACTAGAATACTTATCGACTTATATCATCAGCCTTATTTCAAATAATCAGTAGTCTTCTAATTTCTGATGGCATTTTTTTTCTTCAGCGTGAAAAAAATCTAGTTTCTCTGTTACGTGCAGTAGCAAAAATAGGTATTTTTTCGGATTTTCGTCCTTAATTTTGTCAAAAACAATTACTTTGACTTGAAATTCTAACCAACGGACGTAAGTGAATTTATGTTATTGACAGTTCGAAATATTGGTTTGAACCGAGTCCAACAAAAAGTAAACCACTACAGAAAAATTCTAATTGAAACACAGGTCTGATACTTCGTAGCATAGCCTTTGGATTCGATATCAACCTGCATCTTCTGGACGGCGACTCGATATGTGTGTCCGACACGCTAATTGGAACCTTCTCACAAGCTTCTTCGAAACTTCAAGTCAAAGCAATCGTTTTCATAACAATTCCGTGTATTTTATTCATTCCGCGTATTTTCTTCACTCGAAGAGGGAGCTCTCTCAGTCGGCCGAGGCTGCCCTAGAGTGTACACGGCGTCCGTGCCCGAGACATACCATCACCGCCGTGCCCGTACCCGCGAAACTGAGGGATCTACTTGTGGAAGAATGAGGAGAAGGACCGTAACCCCATGTTTTCAATTCAATCAACTACACGTTTTGTCTTCTTTTTTCGCCAGAGGCGGTATTAGTACAGCTCAAAAGAGCAATTTTTTCACTGTCTAGTCGATTCCAACTGACTAAAACAACCAATGAATATTGATGATGGATGATTTACAACAAACTTCTTCGGCTACTGTATCGTATTTGTGTGTGGAAAATGATTCGATTTGTCTTTCAAATATTGTTGGTAAGACCCGTGTGCAAGTTTTAGGTGTACGTCAAGGCGAACTCACTCTACTCGTGAGCTCAGAGAAAAAAGGTTTCGAAGAGGCACTTGAAAAGTATTGCTTCCCAGACTGTTGGTCAAAGATAGTTGTATCACTTTCATCGGTTTCGTAGAAAACGTTCCCTTCGGTTTTTTCCTGTACAAAAGATATACGACGCCATGTTTATTGCCAAAAAGTGAGAAGAAGACGCAAAACAGTTCTTTATGCTTGTACAAGACTGGATTGGTTTTTAGCCGCCTTCCCGTCATTTTCCACAACGACGACGACCTCGACGTTGGTCTTTCCTGTTTTCCCGTCTTTTCCATTTCTTCCATCTTTCCCATCGCGACCGGGCCGACCGTCGTGTTCGCCGTGGCCAGGTCGATGATGGCGACGAATGCATGTGTGGCGACGATGGCCTGAATGGTCACGATGGCCTGAATGGTCACGATGGCCTGAATGGTCATGATGGCCTGAATGATCAGGACGGTGATGGTCAGGATGATGGTGATCATGATGGTGATCATGATGGTGATGGTGATCAGGATGTTCTGGACTGCTTGTAGGGGGTGGGGTAGTTGTAGGGCGTGTGGTGCTTGGGGGTAGCGGACGTCTTGTAGTGCGTGGAGGGTGCGGACGGACTGGAGGGCGTGGGGGACGTGGTCGTTGAGGAGGAGGGCGTCTGAATTATACTAAAAGTTGTGAAATGCGTTCGTTTGAGTTCTCGGATCTAGATCTCGAACTGCTTCTCTTATTCAAAAGTTTCTTGGGTCGAAATTCATTAAAAACAACCACAGTAGCTTTTGCTATAGTCAATTTTTTTTTTACTTATCAAAACCCTATTTTTCACCAAATCTTTCAAGTTAAAAACTTTGATAAAATAGTTGCTTGATTAGTTCCAAGTCCAAATCAGCAAGGCTCAACAATTCATTTTCTTTATCCGATTTATAACTGTACAACTAAATGTCACGCTTCGACTGCTCAGTTTGCAATTCTCAGAGTACACTGAATCTATTTTTTCCATTAGGAAGTGAATGAATGAACTTAAATTCACCTCACTCCAAGACAGGCCAAGGCCACGGTCGCGATGCACCCGATCAGAAGGAGAATGGTCAAAAGTTTCATTCTCCGAACCTCAAAAGAACTTTAATTGCAGAAGTTATGAAAAAAAATGAATCCCAACTGAAAGGAGGGCCTACCGACGAAGAAACCACAATGGTTTTTCATGCCTCTCTTCTGACATTTAAAAGAAATTTTTTACGATTCAAAGTTTTATTTATCCATTTCTTGCGAGATAAAAACGAAAGCAGTATTTCAATCATTTTTCAAAAGAACTCGCGTGATCGAAATCGACAATTTCAGTTTCTCTAAACATTTTGAACATTTTTCAGACTTTGTTAAAATTTTCGTTTGAAGTTTTTTTGTCCAATAAACTTTTTCCTAGCTTGTCCCGGCGTGACAGCCAGCGTTGGGAAATAATGTGGGCCCGTTGGTAGTACCAGCGAATAAACTGCTTCACCATGTTGGGAAAGTACAGCGCCGAGATTGTCCACAACCGACGGGCGTCGGAATATTATCCCATGAGAGAGCGGCAATGAGACCGACTAGTCGACGTGATGAAATGAGATAATAACTTGCGACGTTGAAAACCTTGTGTAGAACTTTGGTTGAGACTCGTTGAAATTTTGCCGATAAAATGAATTTCTGAATTTTTTTTACCGTAATCCTTTGAGTCACCGTATCTCGAAAACTAGCCGAGTGAGGGTATTTGTTTTATTTGTGAAAAATTCTAAAAATTGTTCTCTAAGAAATATTTTATTCAGAGGAAAATTTATCATGAAGGGGCACAGAACAAGCCTGCATCTTACTGACTTCGTTCACCGTAATCTTGAAAAAAACACCGAAAATCTACTCAAAAATCTTGTTTTTGCCCACTATTTGTGATGTGCAGCGAGTCTTCGGAAAAAAGTGAATTATCTCTCATTTCCGCTCTTTTTCTGCACAAAGAAAAGGAAAACGCCAACAAGTCGAAATGCTTTATTTTGAACAAGAAAAAAATTTCAATTGGATCACAGATTTATTTTTACGACTGTTTCAATATGTTGGGACTTATTCGCCAGCCTTCTTGGGTACGACGAAATTCAGTTTTTGGTCTTGTCTTCTCTGCTGCTGCTCTCGTGATCGCGATCGCGGCCGCGAGTGGGACGGCGACTGTCGTCGGCTGAGTGGCTTCCGCTGTGGCTTTGGCCGTGGCTGTGGCTTTGGCCGTGGCTGTGGCTGTGGCTGTGGCTTTGGCTGTGGCTGTGGCTTTGGCTGTGGCTGTGATGTGGTTTTCATTGAGAAAATTGTGAAAAAAGAAAGATAGTTTCATTTCCGGTTATTAATTCTCATCTTTTACTGAAAAGAAAGCCTTTTTAGTGAAGTTTCTGATGACGTCTCTGATATGGAGCGCCAAAAGGGCGACACAACTCTTTCTCTGACACACACCATTTCCTCGTTATCTAGCTGCGAGAAAACGACGAAATAGTGTATGTCAGATGAAGAGTTGTGGCACTCTTTTGGCGCTCTAGTTCGAGAGATGTTATAGTCGATCCTTCCCGGCTTAAAAGGCGAGATGGGTTGCCTGGCAAGGGAGACGCGGCCCGGGTTTTTGCGTTAGTTTCGAACTCAAAGCGTCGTTTCCCTACTTTTATAATAGTTATTCAAAAATTCAAAATGTACAAGGTTTTGAAAGCATCCAGTTGGATGAATAATATAAAACCTTATTGTTTTCTACATTTTTCCATGGTTCGACTTCGAGTTTCCCATCAGAAGCCGCCTCAGCGTTTCCAATCTACCCGTCTCGTCTTCCAAGTCGGGAAGGATTGTCTATATATTATCCTGAATTGGCCTGAAGTACAAAACAGTTACCTCTAATTTCTTTTTTCAGGATCAACTCATTGAATCAAACATTTTTGATTAGACTCACCTTGATCCGCCAGCCAACGCCACGGCGGCGATGCATGACAGCAGTAATAGAATTGTGAAAAGTTGCATTTTTAGAACCTGGAAATTTTTTCAATCTTAAGACCGAGATAAGAAATTTAATTGAAAAACGGGACGATCGAATGACAACGAAACCACAAATGCCGGCTTTTTGAAGAAACGTTAAAGTTTACGACCCAAAATTTGATTCGTTTTTTGCGACCCAATAACTTTTATGATCGGAATGAACAGAGCCGAGCGATGGCCTCTGTTTCCAAGAAGTTCCTTGGGATTTTATTCACAGAATAATTTTCAATCGCACCAGAATATTATGCTTTCAAAAAGAAGTTTGCGGCTTCAAACCCTGGAAATTGAATAAAAAACTGAAGCCTCCACTTTTCGAAGTATATTTCAAGACTTTTCAAGAGATTTCTTGGAAATTCTTTTCCAAATTTTTGACGTTGGCAAATGTGTTTGCATTTTTTAAAGAGGATCTAGCGATATTCCAAGAATTTAGCTAGCCTTCTCGAAGTTATTTCTACTGATAGCCCATGCTGGATAACTTTTACGAACTTGGATATTTTTTCAGAAAACAGCACACCACGAAAAAAAAAATTTGGAGTCGAAATCTAGAGATTCTCGAATATCCGTTTAGGTCTGATAATCATACAAAAGCCTGACCTTTTTTTTTTCCATTTGCAAGTCGTTTCATGAAAAGTTCGCAAAAAACATTTGCAAAAAAAGATTTCCGCAATTTTCGAATCTCAAAAAAAAATCGACACTTAAATTTAACGGTTTTCTACGCGCTACCAATCATAAACACTCATAGGTCGCCAAAAGACGAATAAAAATCTGGATCGTAAAAATGACACGATGAGCTTTCTGTAAATTTTATTTAAAAGGAAAGACTCTCCGTGTGGCGTTCGTGGTCTCTTCTTCAGCTGGACCACTTTCCGATTAAGTTTCCCTGTCTTCAGATTTCTCAGATCCAAGTTATTTCAGGTCCACAAAATGAAACTTTTCACGATTCTTCTCCTGATGTTCTGCATCTTCGCTGTGGCGATGGCCTGTAGAAGGTGAGGGAATAAAACTATTGAACTAAAATTTTTTGTTAGGATCGACTAATAGATATAAAAAATTGAAAAATTTGGAATGACATTGCTAAAAAGAAATCAAAAAAAGAAATGAAAACTACTAAATTCATTAAAAATTAAAATGATTAAAATGACGCATGCGAAATGTCATGAGTTTAACGGATGCGATGCGGTTTTTTTGATTCCGAAAAAAATAATATGAAAGTCAATTTCTATATAGTTGTGATAACGGTGACGCGACCTCGACGCTTACCCATTCCACGTGCGACCAGGCCTTCATTCTAGTTTTTTTCAGAACTTGTCATAGCGTGTTTAATTATGTAGAGAACTGTAAACATTTTATTAGATGAGAATATCATTTCTTAGAAAGCAAAAACGTTCTTCCCTAAATTTCTTTCTTTTTGATAATTTTTTTGCTGGTCCGAAAGGTGATAACTTATTGGGTTTGTGAAAGTTTCAAAATATATATAATCAAAAACCGAATAATCAATTTCAAAATGATGAAGGAGACATCGAACTACTACTCACCGACCGCGTCATCCGTCATCGCACCATGACGACGACAGCCGTGACGGACGTGTTAAACCTGGACATGGTAGACCTGGACGTGATAGGTCAGAACGTGACGAAAGAGATGCAAGAAATGGAAGAAACGGAAGAAACGGAAGAGATGGAAAAGACGGGAAGAATGGAGGTCCCAATGTCAGAGTCGAATTCAAACTCATTTTGAAAAAAGGCGCTAAAGAAAACCGTACCGCAGACTAAACAGTGAATTCAGGACATTTATTTTCTGGATATGAATAAAGTGAACTTATTGGTGTTTTTTTTTTTTTGATTTTTTACAGGGAAATAACGGAAAAGTTTAGTTCATTGTAGTTGATCAAGTTGCAAGCATGTCCTTACGGTCGTTCGCCTCGTTCTTCTGCGCGCAGCTCATTCAGTTGCTTCTTGACTAGCAGAAAGTAACGGATGTTGTAGCTGGAGCCCGGAGAGCGTCATTTAAGTGGAAGTCTCAAAATGAGAGAATCGCAGATTTGAGAAAACATACTAGAACGTGTTTGAAAAGAATGAATTCGAATTTCTAACATTTTTTTCACAAGCTTCAAAAGAAGGAGACCAACCGTTTTCTACACGGACCCTGGTGAAGTGAAAGTTTTTTTTTAATGGACGTGAAGAAATTTAATTAATCACTGCTGACTTGAGACGACGTTTAAAAAACGCCTTATCTTCAAATCTCATTTGGGAGCCCAGTTGAATCGCCTCGAATTGAAACAAATGATTTTTGCATCCGACTTGGTCGAAAGCGAGGGGTTCTAAGAGTGTTATATTAACCGTTGGTTTGAAAGTTTTTGAAAAGGTTCTTGACACGACTAGCGAAACAGTGAGTGAATAAAAATACTCTGTTCGACGGTTCTCTTCCTTTTTCTTGTATTGTGAATGAAGTGAAGTATAGAGATTTAGCAAGTCACAGATCATGTGACAAAATGAAAGTGAACCTAATAATGCCGTGTAAAGATCTATTGGAATTCACTCCTCCAGTGCAAGTTAGAAGTTCCAAGTTTATTCAGTCCTTAGAGAAGATCCTCTGTTGAGAAATTCACTAAGCTAGGATTGACCAAGATTGGATCGTAGATAATCTTGTCCTTCTTCCCATAGTAATGATAGGAAGTTGGTCGCTCCGATGATCACTGCTTCCTCAGTTGGTCTCTGTGGCGGATTGAGTTGAAATTTCAATGACTTTCAATAAGTTCATCCTCCTCTGAACCGTTTATCCCAGATGCGTAAGTCGTTCAGAGTCGGGCATATGAAAGATGTGACCTGTGGATCCATTTCATCCAAAAAGTTTTTAAAAAAGTTCATTGGCCGTGAAAAAAGTCTGATGACCTTTTTTCAAGTGATTCGGTTTTCATTTTGTGCTCTCTGCATTTCGGGGTAATTCAATTGTTTTTTATCTGCGATTTTGAACTCACCATTTTCCGACAGAAGGTATACATCTGGAACTGCTACGATTTTTCGTCTTAATAATTTTTGAAACAAATGCTCGTTTCGTCTAGAAGGCTGTTGGCAAGAAAAAAAAAGTGTAAAAAAAATCCATTGGCCGTAAAAATGATAGGGAAACTTTTGGAAGACTTTTTTATGTTGAAACATCTTGTGAGAAGGCCGGAATCGTTTTTTCAAAGGCGTTTTCGGCATGAGAACTCTTCTTCTGCTCGCCTTTCTTGTTTCCTTCACTGTTTTCTCCACGAACGGGTTGGTTTTTGTTTCCAGTTCCAGAAAAGGAACTTTTATTGAAGATACTTTGAGCATAATCTTGAATCTTTATTTTTTAAATGCGAACGGTCGCCATGGTGCTCGTTAGGGTACCATATGACCTTTTTAGCTTTGTTGTCTGTTCAACGTTATATCATTTCCTTCCTATCTGTAACCTAATTATTTGCTTTGTTCTGATAATAAAGAAATAAACAAAATAAGGGTAGAACTATCTTAAAATTTTTTCCAAATTTTTTTTCTCTGCGAAAAGTTTGTATAATTTTACTTCCTGGTACATTCTGGCCTTGTTCAATGGCCGTTAAAACTTTCTACAAGGAAACTTTTCAATCAGACGGGCATCTCGTGAGAGTGACGACGAAAGTCGACACGATAGAAGTTCGGATCGAAAGTCTTCTGAAGATACTGAAGAGAAAAGCGATGAAAAAAGCGATGAGAAATCCGCAGAGGACCGCCGACATTATGAGAGAGGTTTCCGAAGAGGCGTCTTCTTGAGTTTGTTCGTGTAGTTGTAATGGTTGATCATTTTTCAATATGCTTTGAGGAAAATGGAACTGAAGTTTATACAAAACTTCATAGTTTTTTAACGGATATACACTTACTATTAACTACAGCAATTCACTGAGACTTTGAAAAAAAAAAACGAAAAGCTAGGCCTAAATTGCTATCCGTTATTTTTTTTTCGAGAAACTGCGGCGGTGGAGGGTGCTACGACGAGAGCGAGTTTTCCTTTTCCGATAGGTACTGTATGTGAAAGTCCGTAATTGACGTGTGTACTTTGAGTGTTTGAACATTCGGAGTGGTCCCATTTCCGCGTTTTTCCATATTCATTTTAAAACTTTGATTTTTTGTTTTGTATCAAGTCAGAATGAATGATTGATGATGCAACCGTTCCCTTTAGTTGCAATCCATTCCAATTAAATTGAGAACAAAACTACAAAGGGAAAACGCGGAGATGGGGCCACACAGAATGTGCCAATACGCATAGTGCACACACCAAATGCGGACTCTCGCATACAGTACTCTCCGGGAAAGGAAAATATGAAGCACCCAGTGGAGCTCTCGTTCTAGCGCACTTGACTTTACCGAAAGTTTCTCACAGCATCCGAAAACTTTTCTCGTGCTTTTTTCTATTCTTACTAGAGAATGCTTCCAGAGAGCCGTGACAGAGATGATTCTCGAAGCAGCAGCCGAGAGCATTATAGATACAAAGCTGAGGAAGTAACCACCACCGAAAGGCCGACTACAACGACGACCACGCCTTTGCCAACAACAACGACGACCACGCCTTCGCCGACTACAACGACGACCACGGCCAGGTCTGTGCCCACAACCTCCGCCACTTGGTCCTTGACGACGCCTGCCGACAATGAGCGTCCAATCATAATCCTCCTTCCACGACACCGACATCATGTCAATGGCACGTCTCCGCCTATAGAAATCGAGCAGACGGATACGATCGTCGACAGATCCAACTACGATCTGAACGAGACGGTTAGCTCTCTCGCCGTCGCGGAAACCGCCGCCGGAAAGGCCGCCAACAAAACCAAGATTTCTGTCGCCGCCAACTCCCACAAGATGGCCCACAACAACACTGAGCACATATACACACGGCACCGGATCATCAGAAAACCCAAAGGGTAACCCTCAAAATAAAAATTTTGAAATGAAGCTTTCTTTGTTTTTTCTGTTCTTTGAGACTTTCCCTGGCAAATGGAGCCGTGGTAAAATTACTTCTTTAGAACTGCTCGATCCAAAAATTTTTTTTGAAAAGGAAATAGTTATTCTACAAGAAGCCAAGAACTCTTTAGCTTAACCCAATCAAAAAGATTTTTCATCCTTTTTTGAAAAGTTCTGAACTTCTGAGTGGGAGAACCACCTCTGAGGAACTATTAATTCACACAATTTTCGAAGCCTATCGAGCTTGACAAGGAAGGTCAATTATATAACTTTGAGGTTGGGAGTTTCTGGAAATTGGCCGGAACATTCTTTGATGTACCAGAAAAAGAATCTCAAGTTTTCGAGAAATACGGGCTCAAAATGGCCTATTTCAACAGATTTTTAGTGTTTTCATCAATTTTAAGGCGTCCTCTCTTAAAAACTAGAAAGTTGTGCAGATTGACACCTTCAGGATTTTTGTCTGGTTCATTAAAGGCATAGGGGCAGTAAAAAATGGGGTTTCAGGTGAAAGCAGTATCTTGTATAGTTTTTCTTTGCGAATCCAACGGTGTACTCAAAAAAATTACAAATGTGACATCTCTAGAAGAAAAACGCAATTTCACTTTTGCGCCTTTAATTTTGAAAAAAGCTTTGGATCGGTGCTCAGACAACTGATTACAGTAGCTGTGCACGCGATGTTGCGGACGTCTCATTAGACTCGCATTTTATGAGAAATAACCGGATATCGGCTTCAAATGAATGGTTTCTTCTCTGAAAATCGATTAAGAAAACAGAAAACACACATTGGTAATAAAGAAAACACAAATTAACGCTATCCCAATCGAAACCAGTGTAAAATCATCTTTTTTCACCAGAAAAGCATTTTTGCGATCAAAGTTTGCAAATTATACATGAATAGAAAGCTGTTGTGACGAAAAGAACTTTGGTAACAACAGAAAAATTTGAAATTTGTAAGGAACGAAGAAAAGAGCGAAAATCCGGAAGATGGCGAAGCCTGTTGTCCATAGAGCAACTTTACTGCAAAGCGCACTTTTCGCGGGAACTCAAGCTTTCCTTTCTCCGATTTTGAAGTATTTTTTCTTCAAAACTAGGAAGTTCGGTACGTTCCCAAGTTTACCGTTCGATTCGCAATGAAAAACTTTACAAAGTACTGCTTTGAACTGAAACACCGTTTTTTACTGCCCCTATGCCTTTAAGAAGTGTTTTGACGAATTGTCAGGAATTTTCCAAAAGCAAAGTAAAATGACCTTCCTCCTGAGGACTGCGAATAACTTCTGATATCGCTTCATTCCAAAAAAAACGAGAAAATCAACACTTTGCTCAGTTTTCTTTCCTTTATTACGAAAAAAAAAAACGCAAAATAGGAAGAAAGTTATCCAGAATGGAAAACTTTCTTGTGGGCCTTCTGGTCGGCCGAGTGGGTCTGCGACTCGTTTCCGCTGTGCTGCTCGGCGATCCGGATCTTGCCGTCGGCGGTTTCCTGGAGGACCTTGCTGTTGACCCTGGCCTCGGCGTGGGCCGACTGCGACTGCTTTCCGCTCTCCGCCTTCTCGATGACGACCTTGGCGCCGTCCTTCTGCATCTTCTGGTGGGTGGCCGCCTCAGAAGCCTTGTCCGACTGGGAGTTCTGCCTGCTGTTCGACGACGTCAGCTTCTTGCCGCCGTAGATGTCCTTCTCCAGCTTGTTGGCCGAGGCGTGTGCCTCGGCGTCGGTGTGGCTGGATTGAGCTCCGCTTCGATCTTCCTGCAGGAACACCTGCAAATCGAATCAATTATGAAACGGGCTGCCAAAACCTGAGATAGTCTATTTTCTGTTTTTCTGAGTCATCATTTGTTTCTGAACTATTTTCATGTTTCTACAACCTTGGGAGTGAGGAAACGAGGTCGAATGACAGGTCAAGCTTCAGAGTTTTCAATATCAGGTAGCAAAAGATTTCAAGATGATTCTGAACCATTCATCTTTTCAGGTTTTAATATCTGGAAAATTGGAAAAAAGTTCGTCTTTAGGAAAGTTGCTGATTTTTCAGAACTGTTTTTTTTTTTAGAAATAATCAAGTAATCTTAGAATGGCAGGAAAAAGCTTCATGAAATGCCTTCCGACTCTCATTTTCCCTTTCTTCAATACGAATTACTGACTTTTTAAAGCTATTTTTTCTTTTGAGTTTTTTGAACCCAATAAACTTCAAAATAACCTTATCTCCATCCTTGAACAATCTCTTGCTGGAGGCAGAGTTCGAAGCCTCCTTCTTATGCGACGAACTGCCGCTCTTGTCTTCCGAGACGACGGTGTTTCCCAATTTATCCTTCTTGGCACTGCTTCTGATGGCGTTGGTCGAGGCTCCAGAATCGTGAGACTTGGCGCCGCTCTTCTGCTCCTTGTAATTGATTTTGCCGTCGACTCCAACACTGCTGCTGGTCTTGCTGGCGTCGCTGTTCCGAGTGCTGTCGTGGGATTCGGCGCCGCTCTTCTGTTCCAGAACAGAGGAGCTTCCATCAGCATTCAGGACGATGCTTCCTTTGGCGGCGTTGTTGCTGGCCGATCTGTCCCTCGACTCTTTGTTGGACGCGGCCTCATCAACGGTGACGGTGCCATCGGCCCCACGGCGAGTCGTTTTGTCGTTCCTCTTGTCGTAGGCTTTGCTGTCCTTGGATTGCGCTCCACTGCGAGCGTAGGTAGTCTTCACGTTGCCGTTCTGGTCTGCGACGAGGTCCTTCGCGATGCTTTCTTGGTTGGCAGTGTTCACGCTGGAGCCTTGCTCGCTGTTCTTCTCGTTAACCGACTCGACACCGTCCGCACTTCTCTGGCTAGTTCTCTTCGAAGCCCTGGCTAGAGCGTCGGCCTTGTGAGAGGACGCCTTACTAGCTTGCTCCTTTGAGACGACCTTTCCACTGGCGTCACGGCTGTAGTCCGTAGCAGAGGCGTGATTTTCGGCATCAGAACTCGAAGATTTCTTGCCGCTCTCGGCGACCGATCGGGTGACGCTGCCGTCAGATTTCTTGATGAGATCGGAGCTTCTTGCAGTTTCTTCGGCGTTACTACTCTTCGACGAAGCTCCGCTCTTCTTCTCGATTTTCTTGATGCTTCCGTCGGCTCCGATGGCTGCGCGCGAGTCGAGGGCGCTCTGGCTGGCCTGTTTGTCTGAGCTGCTTGCGCCGCTCTCCTGTCTCGTGTTCCGGACGTTTCCATCGGCATCACGGGTCAATAGCTCAGCGGAGGCCTTGCGGTAAGCGTTCTTGTCAGCGGAGTTTTTGTGGCTTTCCTGATGACTGATCGATTTGCTGCCGTCGGCGTTGAACTTGACGTTAGAATGATCCGCGTCTTGGTGAGCCTTATTGGAAGCTGATCCTGCCTCGCTGTGTTTTCTGCTTGTCTTCACGTGGCCGGTAGCGTCGATCTCAGTGACTGTGGCAGAGGCAAACTGCTTGGCCGAGCTCGATTCGCTTCCCGAAGAAGAGCTGCTCTCCTCAACCGTCATGCCGCTGGTGTCGACTCCCAGAGCAGCGAGACTGCCGAATCCAGCATTAACAGCAGAGTTGGCATTGTTGGAAGATTTAGAGGGAGCCGGATCGGCTTTAGCCTGACCGCTGTCTGCAGCTGGTAAGACTGCTGCCTCAGGTTGATTGGTTTTAGCTGGAGAAAATGGATTTTTGGGAGAGGCAGGAGCGTCTGGCTTGGAAGGAGCGTCTGGTTTGGCAGGAGCTGAAGGAGCATCCGGCTTGGCGGGAGCGGTAGGAGCATCTGGCTTGGCAGGAGCTGAAGGAGCGTCTGGGCTCGCTGGGGCCGATGGAGCATCAGGACTTGCTGGAGCCGATGGCGCATCTGGGCTTGCTGGAGCCGATGGAGCATCTGGACCCGCTGGAGCATCGGGACTTGAAGGAGCCGAAGGGGCATCAGGGCTGGAAGGAGCTGATGGAGAATCAGGACCGAATGGAGAGGATGGAGCAACGGGACGAACAGGCTTGAATGGAGCATCAGGCCGGCGTGGAGCAGTTGGCGCATTAGGCTTGAGTGGAGCTGTTGGAGCATCAGGTCGGCGTGGAGCAGTTGGAGAGTTGGGCTTGAATGGAGCAGTTGGAGAGTTTGGCTTGAATGGAGCAGTTGGAGACCGAGGCTTGAAAGGAGCGGATGGAGATCGAGGCTTGAAAGGAGCCGTTGGCCGCCGAATGAATTCCTCCTCTTTCTCAACTGCTTTCGATTGTGCGCCGTCGATGTTGAGCTCGCCGATGGCTCCGTGTTTGTCCAACATGCTGCTCGGGCTCTTCACGTCGAACCTCCCAACGACGGGTTCGTCGTCAACTTTATGCCTCCGTGGCGCAGCTGGAAATGATTAGAGTTAGACTGCTACAGGTAGAATTCAGTCACCTGTTACGGAAGAAATGGCTGTAATAGCCATGGCGACGGCGATCTGCCAGACTACCCGCATTCTGAAGTCCTTCGATGAAAGTTGAATGAATAAAAAAAGAAACAAAAAAATGAGCAAATAGTTTCCATGATTGCCTTATATATTTTGGTTGGAAACATCGAGGAACTCAGGAATATTTTCTGATTGATACTTAAAAACGTTTGTCTAAGACGCCTCGATGCCAGCAGTCGCAAGCCGTTTCCAGTCGGCTGCAATTACGCTTCAACGATAAAAAAAAAGCAAGTATTCTATTCACAGCTGATTTTAGCTTTCTTTTATGAATTTTCTGAAAAAGTTTTTTTTCGAACTTCGGCTTCCGACTTGTTTTAATTCAAAAAAATCCAACTTTGAGTTCGAAAAAAGCAAAACGAGGATACTGTACCAAAGAAACAAAGGAACCATGAAAAAGGCGACAAAAATTTTTTTGTATCCAATCTTTTATACCGGCAATAATTTTTAAATATTTCCTCAATCGTAAAATTTGTCGAAAGATTCATCGTTGAGACATCTGCAAAAAAAAAGTTTATCACCCATTCAGACCAAATCGTGAGCCTTTATTTCAGGATCGTAAAAGTTTAGAACCATTTCTGGATTTTGAAACGAATCAAGAAAGCAGGAAAAATGATGAAAAGGCGGCATTTTGATTGTGAATCGCGTTGTAATTTAATTTTTGGGAGCTTGGAAAAATTGGGGAAAGTTAGAAATTTCTCGAATAAAAATCAAAAGTTTTGTAGATTACAGAAACATTTTCGTATGATGTATATATTTTTCAACCTCATTATTCGTTTCTGAATAAATATGAACACATCAAACCGATCAAGTGACAATTTTATTTTATTTTTTGATTGAAAAATTCCTTTTTCGGACTACTTTAAAATTTAAATTTCTGACTGCTCGTAAAATCAAAAAATGAAGTTATGAGACTTTCAAAGAGAAAAAAAAAATTCATTGAAAATTTGAACTTTTTTGATTGTCAGCATTTCCTTGGAAGCTTGAAGTTTGAACAAAAATTCTATCCTTCTTTTTGTGACAGGACGCTAGTTGACCTGACCTCAATGCCATATGTACTATCATGTAGGCGTGCCAATGGCACGCCGCCTACTTGTATTGTCACTCTTGCGCTCAGCACGCATACCAACTGGCGGTGCTGAGTTGCTCTAATAAAGATCCAAGAGCAATGTCGGTTCTACACACATCTAAATAACACGTCAAGGCCCGGTGAAGCCTTGCGCGGTTATATGGAGGTACCACCGTAGAATCCGGCTGCTTGGACTAATTCACCTATTCCATATGTTCTACCTCGTCCATCAGCCGCCTGCAGAAGCTACAATCTTCTGCAGGGAACTCGACCTATTCTATTCCGCTAGCAGTTTTCGCATATCGTGTTCGGGTTTCCAGCGAGGCTACAACTTTCTTCTGAAGCCGCTCCAGTGAAGCAGTGCACGAGTCCGGTCACAAGCAACGTCGACTCCTCCACATTGACAAGTTTTTGAACTTTTTCACCGCGATTTTGACCCCTTTGTTGGTACGCGATACACGGTTGGGATGGTGGGATGTGTAGAGTGATATATATCGCCTGGCCTGTGAGCCCTTTTCTCGTCGATGACGACTTCAATCGCTAGTTCAATTGTGTTGTGAGTTTTCCGTGCTTGTCTCGTTTTATTTTGTTGTAAGCCCCCCGATGTAGTTTACAAAACTTTTCTTCGATTTCCTTTTCTCATTCAATCTTTGACCGGATACGTCCTTTACCTTGTCTTTTGATTGGGTTCCTAGATAAATAAGTGACGTAGGAATCGTTGTATAAGAGTCTGCTAATGCTTAGAATTGTGTTGTAGAACTGATTTAGAGCGCAATTGTCCTCTTGCGTAATATCTGTATTTTTGTTAGACCGTCCTTGATTGCCTAGTCCTTAAAAGTTGTCTTAGTTTCACTAATTCACGCTTCGGGACGAAGCTTTCTTGGAGCGGAGGGATGTGACAGGACGCTAGTTGACCTGACCTCAATGCCATATGTACTATCATGTAGGCGTGCCAATGGCACGCCGCCTACTTGTATTGTCACTCTTGCGCTCAGCACGCATACCAACTGGCGGTGCTGAGTTGCTCTAATAAAGATCCAAGAGCAATGTCGGTTCTACACACATCTAAATAACACGTCAAGGCCCGGTGAAGCCTTGCGCGGTTATATTTTCTTTCCGGGATTTTCCGTGAACCAGTACTGATGAGCCAGGGGTTTCATTAAAAAAACGAGTAAACTTGGGTTCTCATTAGATAAAACCAAGTTTCCTTTTTTATATTTCAATTTTTCCCACCCTGTTAAAGTTTTAAGGAACAACATAGTCGTCAAAATGGAACCGTTTATCGATCAGGTATAAAAGATTTTTTGGTTTGATGTGTTGGAAGCGCCGATGTCTCCCGAGTCCTCTGTGTAGACGCGAGACGAAGATCTCGAAGACGACGACGATTCTTGGTGACTCGAAGAACTTGATTGGAAGGATCCGCTGAAGCCGTACCCATTTCCAGTGCCGCTGCTGCTCCCGCCGGCACCGCCTCCGTATTCATACTAAATAATCAATCTTCAATTGTTCTAAAAAAAAAAAAGAAATGGTCCACTTGCTTCCTGGGGTCATACTCATAGCTTCCAAGTCAAAATTTCAAAAAAAAAAAATTTTTTTTCACGGGTTCCAAATGGTTTCAGTTCTAATCAGCCCCAGTTTTCAAAAATCTTCTGTTCTTTGGAACAAAACCGCATTAATAATAAGGAAAATAGATTAGAAAGACTAACTAAAAACCTTTGATTTTTCGCGTGGTGAAATTTGCGGCAATGATGCTCTACGGGTCATATTGATCTTTCTCTTTTTTAGTCAAGTTTCGTTTGGTTTTTAAGTTCTGTGTTAAGTTTATCTGTGCTGATTTTTCAGAAAACAAAGCTGAGAAAGAACCTGCTGTGAACTGCGTGAGTCGGAGTTGCTGCTGCTGTCGCTGCTATAGCTGTCTTCTCTTCGAATTAACCCACGGTTGCCGTTCTGTGGGTTTTCTTTTCATTTATGGTACATATGTAGTTATTGAATCTAGATTTTTTCTAAAGTTTCAGAAGCAATTTTCAGAATATTTCTGAAAGCTTCTATATCTTTTCACTATTTGAAGTTTCTCCAAACGCCTAGCAACTCGGGCGAAATAGAAAAAAAACTTGAAAGCTTTAAAAAATCTTCATATTTTCTGACTTGAAAAAAAAAAATGCTAAAAGCGAGTTGAAAGATTCCAGGAGATTCAAAAAAGATCCTCTAAGGCTATGAAAAATAAGCTCGAAAGCTTTTTGCTGCCATTAGGAGTTTTTGAAGGTATCTTTCCACTTCTCTAAGATAATCTTCAAAGGAACTTTTCCGTTTCACTTTTTGGATTTTATAAGCTCTAGTTTTCTAATTACAAATATGGAGGATCATCTTCAAGTACCTTTTTTCTCTCGAAGGAAATTTTTGACGAAAATTTCCATTAAAACTCACCAATAACTCTCCTTGACCGTTCCCACTATTGCGGCCGTTGTTAGAACTACCGCCATATGTGCCATACGAGCCATTAGAGCTTGAACTGGCTTGTCGAGAAGTTTGACTGCTATCGGCCTGCTGATACTGGTACTGTCCATTGTTCTGCCGAACTTGCTGTCCTCCTTGAGTCTGGCCGTACTGCGACTGTCCATTATTCTGCCGAATCTGCTGACTCTGAGAGTTCTGGGAGTTCTGGCGGCTTTCCTGTTGAGTCTGGCCGTACTGCACCTGTCCATTGTTCTGCCGAATCTGCTGCCCTCCCTGAGTCTGACCATAATGAGAGTTCTGCTGTGTGTTCTGACGGGTGTCCTGTTGAGACTGCGTGCCGACGTAGTAACCTCTTTGGGGGGTGTCATGGCGATTGTTCTGTGTGTTCGGACTGTTGCCGTTGATCTGCTGGCCGTATTGTCCATAGACGCTCCTGTGGGAGCTGTTGCTGTTTTGACTCTGTTGCGAGTTCGCCGAGTAGTCCCTTCTTATTCCGCCTCCTCTGGGTCCAGGATGTCTTCCTTCGGGACCTCTTGGTCCATTACCTCTGCCTCCAGGTCCTCTGGTTCCAGGAACTCTCGTCCGAGACGGCTTCGGGTGTCTCCCTGTAGGGCGATTGTATGGCTCATAGCCGCCATCGCCAGATTGCCTAACACCAGGTTGGCCTTGTGAAGGGGCTGGATAGCCGTGGCCGTCTGAACCATAGATCCGACGACTGCTACTGCTATTACTTTGGCTGCTTCGGCTCTCGTTGTTCTCATAGTACTCTTGGTGTCCGCCGTGGCGATTTACAGGATATTGAGGCACAGGCGTAGGACCTTGTTGAGGCTGAGGTTGTTGGGTGGGAGCTGGTCTTTGAACAAGGACTCTTCGAGTCGGCGCTGGTTGGATTTGAACCGGACGGCCTCGGGTACTGAGCCGATTGTTTGGGATAGGAGTCGGAGGAGTGGTGACATAGAGAGCGTCGCCAGTGGAAACGACAGGTCCTTGCGGAGGGGCGCCGTCAGAGCAGAAAGGTCTGACTTGCGCCTGGTTGACGGTAGTCTTGATGTATTCACGCATCCATTCCTCCTCGTTCGTCTCGCAGTCTTCGCTCCAGGTCTCGTGGTCGTACTTGGAGTTGTAGTAGTCGTTGAGCTCTTGCTCGGTCAGCCGAACCTGTTGGTTGAACCGAGGCGGTCGCTGATTGTAGCATTTTGCTTGGAACACTGGCAGGAGAACCAGAAGTACCAGGGCTGCTGAGCCCAACACGCGCATTTCCCTGAAATCGACCACTTTTTTTTTGATTCATTATAGGTTTACTATTAAAGAAAAATATCGCTTGCTTTTTTTGTACCGGTTCGGTCATCATTTTGTACATTTTTTGTTTGCGAACTGTTCAAAAAAAGCTTTCAGGCGTGTTAGGAATTGTTTAGAACCAGAAAAAAGGTTTCCAAGTAAAAATAAAGCATATGGCTCTACATTCCATCTATCCTTCATTCAATCATCAATTTTCTTTAAATTCTTAGAAACTACACCGGTGGCTGATAAATAACCTCAATTTCCCTGTTTTTTAGTTTCAAATGTCTCGGAGAATAGAAAAAGAAGGTTTTTAACATATCGAAAAATACGTTAAATGTAGAAAAATTCGATACTTGAGTTTTTTGGAAAAATTCTTTTTGGCTGAAATTTCCATCGTTTCCCGCAGCAAGCTAAAACGAAAATTGAAAAATTAAAAAATCCTAGAAAAAAAAATGTAAAACCCCACGAAATCAAACTTGTTTAAATATGTCATTTCATGGGAACTAACATGAATAATTTAGAACTTTTTCTCATTGTTCTAATTAAAATTCAATACCAAATCAGCATATTGCGCCTTTTTCGTTTGGATCATGTAAACATTTTTTGAATAGATGAACGAACATCTGAGCTCCGTGCGATTATTTTCTGAGGCTGTGAAAGAAAATGGCGGCTGTAAGGATATTTACTCGCAAAAAAATCTTTTTAAAGTCAAAGGGCAAATTCTTGAAATTTCGATCCGGCTAGTGATTTTTTGTTCATCTGGTTAGGACAATATTCACAAGAAATTTTCGAAATAAAACATTTCATTCGAACACACCACAAAAACAATGAAAAATTGAGTTAGAGTTATTCGAGGAGCGAAGATTTTCCGACTTGATTGGACCTGAGAATGTTTTTGCGGAATTTGTCCACCATCTCGGCGACGGTCGCGTTTCCTTAATTTGTGAATAGTTGAATTGATTAGATCAAAAATGAAACCTTTATCTTTCTGCATGGTCACGTGTCCGTTGTCCCACTGCAGGCCTCTGTCAGCGACAAGAGCCTGTTTCCGATTTCCGAAAAGGTTCCCGAAAGAAGCGCGCTGAAGTGATCCCTTCTCGTACTGCTTCGAGTGCAGAAGCCCTTTTTCCTCATTGCCGGACTGCTCCGAGTGCTGCTCGGCGCCGAGCTCCTGCGAATCTCCAGATACGACGCCGTTATCGTTGACGTTGACGGAAGAGGAGCCTTTGATGGAGGAGTCCTCGACGAGGTGAACGTCGCCGTCGGCGTCGGCGTCCAGGGTCGAAGACGACTGCGAGGAGGAGCCGGTCTGTGCGGAGACTTGCTTCGATCCGTCGCTGGCCATCATGCTCGACGACGACTGGGAACTGCTAACCGAGTACATCTGCGGCCCGTCCGCCGCAGAAGCTCCGGCGAAGAGTAGTGTCGAGATTAGTAGAGGTAGAAGGTCGGGTGACATCTCTGGAACGAGTGCGGCTTTGGAAAAGAATGGATAAAAGCTCGTAAAGAACAGCGTAGGTGGTATTTCAAGCTTCATGTTTGAAAGAATGAGAAGAAAGAAGGGTAATGAAGATTACCTACAAGGTTTACTTTCTCTTTTTAGTCTAACTTTGGTTTTGAAAAAGTCAACGGAAAAAAATGAATTTAAGTGGCTATTGCTATGTAGAAAAAAATCACGAATTTAATGATTATTCCGGAATCAGCTCAAAATTTTGTTGAAATTGAAAAAGGCTCATAACGGTTTTCGAATATATCCAAAAACCTTCCCGATCGGAATAAGTTCAAAATTCCAACCTTTATGGACTTTTTTTGCGGATCACGAATTTTTCACTAGTTCCTATACTGGTTCCTTTTTTACGGGCTTTATTCAAAGTTTTTCTGTGAAATAGACAAAAATCAGAAAATAATGTCATCTTTTTTCAAAACGTCTTTTTTCATGTTTCTTCCAAAGCATTAAAGGAAAACGTTTACGATCGAGCCGTTGAAAAGTTTTATCGGTTTCCTTTTTCTTTTTCTTTGATTTCCTGGATTCAATTTAAAACTTGTCAACAATAGTTTTTTGAAGAGAGGGACTTTATTTTTGAGAAATTTATTAGGTTTATCAAAGTATTTACAAACAACTTCAAAGAAGGAAGGAAAAAGATTATGAAGATTTTTGTCGGAAATAATGTTCCCGGCAGACTGTCGCGATTTCTTCTGGAGTCATTCCATCTTTTTCTCGCTTTCGAACGTCCGACTGTACTTGGAGCAGAGATATCGTCTGCAGAGGGGGAACCTGGAAACCGTAAACAAAAATTAAATTGAAGAAAAAAGTTTTTTGACTTTATTTTTGTTTTCCTTGACTCACATCAACTTGATAGGAAAATCGTGGGTGATTCTAATTATATCAAAGCACGAAAACTTTCTTTCGAACTTTCGCTGAAATTTTCTCTAAATTACCTCAATTCCTACTTGGGATTGTTGTTTCGCTTCATTGGCCTTGTAGTCAAGTTTCGATTGCTCAAAAACGCCAAAAACAGGTTTTTTTTTCAATGTGATAGTGTTTTTCGAATTCAAAGCTCCACAATATAACCGAGATGGAAAAAGAGTGCACTTCTTTAAATCAAGAAAGACGTTTCAACTGAAATTAAACAACTTCTTTGAAATTTAATATTTTTAAATTGCATTTTTAGAGGAAATCGTTAAGTGTGTTTTTTAAAGCTGTAGCCGTTGGAGTGTAGCTTCAAATTGTTTTGGAAAAAAAAAATATTATTTCGATAGAGTTCAAAATAACGCGAAGTTTTCCTAAGTATCGAAAGAATTTTTCTTATCTGTTTCTTTTTCACAATAACTGAAATAATCCATTTTTCCATAAATAAGACTGAAATTCTTGAAATATTTCTGACTCTTCATACTAAAATAATTTCTTTGCGTTGGAACCAATTGTCGCTACTGGAAAATAAAAATGACCACTTTTTTGAATCATGTCTCAGATAAGTTTCAGATCGTCTATATAGATAACTTATTTTGAACTGAAAGTTGATCTGCTGTCAACTTTTGAGACATTGATAACAAAAAATTTTATAATCGGAGCGAAGAAAAGGTCGCTGCGGAAAAAGAACCCTTAAACGTAAAAAAAAAACAACATCGGGCGCTTCGCCAAGTTTGTTCCATGAATATAGTCCGTTCAGATTTTGAATGTCAAGTATAATGACGTAATTCGAAAAAGCTCTGTGGGTGGCTCGCTCTCTGATTGGTTTATCGCGTTATTAGGGAGAGGAGCTTGAGCGAGGACTTGACATTCAAAATCGGAACATGCTATAGTTTGAACTCGAAAAAATCTCAAAAGTGCTTTGATATTTTTTAGTCTTTTTCAATAAACGGTTAGAACAAAGGTGAAATATTAGAGTACCTGCAAGTAAACGACAGTGATGACCCTCAAGCCGACAAAGACGAAAACGTCGCGATTGTGCTTCGGGTAGAACATGAGCTCGCTTTCTTCGCTGATCCTGTTCGTCGACAAATGTCTCCAGATTACTTTGCGATTCTCCTCGTCTGCGATATTATTTATTGTGAAAATTTTTGGAGAAAAAAAAATCATCTTTCAACTGAAATTAAGAGAACAAAATTTTAAAAAATGCTATGACTTATTGAGAAATTCTAACACGTCGAGGCGTAGCGCAACAAGTTGTGTGCCTTTCTATGGCTCACAGGGTCACAAGTTCGAGCCTTGGCGCGGCCCGACGAAGGGGTTTGAGGGATGTTGGTAGTGGGAAACCATGGCTCCATGATTCTCAGCCATCAGAGACAAGGACGGATATATCACTGGAGTCAGTCTGATTATCACTGATATCAGGATAGGACCTCACATAATCGACTTGGGGCGGCGCTCAAGTGGTAACAAAGGCGTAACAAGAAGAAGAAGATTTTGAAAGAATCTCACCTAATTTGGCCTCATAAAAGTAGTGAAGAGCTCTGCAACGTTGACGCACGAGACAGCGGTCGTCGTCCGCGTCTTCGTGGAACGACAACGGCGATTCCACGGCTCCCACCCTTTGTCCTGAGAATTTATCGAGTATTCTTAGCACTGGCATTGCTTTTTGACAATGGAGCAACTTTACTGCAGAGCGTGCTTTTGTTAAATTTTTCTCAACATTTTTGTTCTTCATCTTTTAACTGATTAATTTTCTCCTAAACTAGGGCTTTCTGTACATTCTCACGAATTCCGTTCGGCACGCAATCAAAAGCTCTGGCAAAAGTTGACACAATCATCATTTTTTGAATACTCATATGATTGTGAAATTTAAATTTATTTTTTTGAAAAATTTAAAAAAATTAAATTTTTTTATTTTTTTATGTCAGGGGTGTCACAACCTCGTAAAAATAACTTCACGAATTCTCAAGCGTTATTTTTGCTTTTTAAAAAAATCATCATTTTTCCGGTTTATTTCTGAAAAAAATATTGTGTTTTCAAAAACAGCTGCTCAATTTATGGTCAACCAGGTTAATTTGAAAAATTGGAAAGATTGTTTTTCCTGGAATTGATCCATGTCATTTTTTTGGAAGGATGGTTTTAAAAAAAATGTATACCCATCGTTTCTCCTCGAGTCATCAGATGAGAACGAACGCTTATTGAAGAACCAGCTCCTGGACCGTTTTTATGAGATAGGTCAAACTGAAATTTTTCCATTTTTTCTTTCAAGCTTGGAAAAGTTTGTGCGAATCGTTTTTGTCAGGTTAATTTTGAAATTTCGGATGGAAAGAGCCAAGAGAAGTTTTTTCTATCAAATTGGCTGAGGTAGAAAAAAGTAATCCTTCTTTTTTAGCTTGGCTATTATAAGAATTATTAATTTTTCAGACTTTCTGAAATATTTCACAGTTTCAGGACAATTATGAGTTTCAAATGTGAAAGTTTCTTTTTTAGTCGATTTAGGCGTTGCTCTTATCATTAACTTATATGAAGCCTCGTTTATTTTTCTCTAGACTTTGGCTCTTTTCCGGTTTATTTCAAAATCAGATTATCAACTTTAAATACTCGAAGTTTATTCCAAGCGCACCTGAGGGGGACAGTTGCCATCAGCCTTGATTTCGTACTCTTCCCAGTTCTCAGCTTCTGGATTGAATACCAAAAGCCGGTCGTCGTCTTTGAGCCGACCGAAAACGCGTCTGGCGCCGTCGAAGGCGATCGTGAAACGAGATCCGGGATCTGTGACCTCTTCTGGAGGTACGTTCCAAGGTTCTATTGAGAACATGTCCTGAAAGTTCAACTTTTGACTTTTTTAGGGACATTCTTCCAAACTACAGATAGACCCACTTCTACAAGTTTCCGGAGCGGAAGGAACTTTTTCTATTCTCAGAGGTAGAATCTATTTTAAAGTAGTCTATCGTCTGCTAGACTCTTCAGATGCCCTAGAAATGAGTCTCCGGCGGAAGCAAAAAAAAAGAGAAAAGAGGTCAACAAATAATTTGTTTTTGTGGGCACTTCGGCTTTGAAATAATTTATAACAACTTTTTTACGACTAATTAAATTTATTTCAAAAACTAAAATAAATCAAAAAATCAAAATGTTTTATTTCTCACACACAAGTACTAAATTTCACGAAATAGATGTAGGGAGAGTTTGGGAACATATGTGTCGGAACTTGTGGTGATGGAGGGAAGAGGACTCGCGGTCGTGTTAACCCCCCACTTGAGTAAATTGGAATAACCATGAAGTTATTCTTTTTAGATGTCGATTATGTAGCTTTCATATTTTTGTTTTCTATCTACTTCGGTCTCTTTTTTTAGATCGTTTAAAAAAATTAGTTTTTCTTTCAAATTTAATAAACTTAATTTTCGAATAGCATCCAACATGGTATGTTTCAGAGATATGATAAACCAGAATAATTATTTTTAAAAATTTATTTGAACGAGAAATGGAAGCTTTAATATTTTTAGTTTCAGGTGATCTTAGCGGTTTCAGGGCTCTTAAGTGGTTACTCTGGATGCTCAGAAACGTCTCAAAGTCGTCCGGTTTGTGATACCGAGTTATCAGTTTGAATGTGAAATTCTCAAAATCATCTGCGTATTTCTATTTCAGAGGGATGATTTTTCAAGTTCTGTAAGTACTGAAAACTTCCATGTAAAAACAAAAACGTTCCAACTAACTTTCTTATCCTCCAAGGGCTCAATGTCGTAGTAAGGCAGAGGCCCCGACGTGATAGTCCGATCATAAAGGTACAGACTTCCGTCGGACCGACTTCCCATGGAAAGCATCTCCAGCGGGAGTCGGTACAGCTGCTGGTTGTCCTCTACGCTGCCATCAACTCTTTCAAGCTTTATAATAGTCTGATCACTCACAAATAGGTCTTCAGACGCTTCTTTTCAATATTATACGCGAAGAGGGCGATGGTCCCGTCGATTCGTCCGTCGTTGGATGGATTCTGAAAGATATCTTGTCCTAAGTTAATTTATGAGTGGTTAGACCTTTTTTGAGTCTATTCAACGCTATTTTAGCAAAAAAAAAATAGTAAAGATATGCCTATTTTTGCTCATCTTTCAAGGATAAAACAATAGCAAGTTTTTGGAAATGAATATGTAGCATAGATTCGAATTAAACCCGCATGAAGCCGGCGAAGAAGATGAAGACTGTATTTTTGTGCTTGGGACAACTGGAAAACGTGTACATGCAGCCCTCGACGTCCACCGAAAACTCCAAGTTGTATTTGGTCGGGTGCAACGTGTCGAACGACCAAAGTTCCACTTTGTCTTCATCGCGGGGCTCAAATTTTATCATTTCATTCATTGAGTCTTTGAGAAATCAGTACAGTTACTTCAAAATCTTCTGTCAACTTCATTCTTAAAAAAGCAGCGACTTAATTGTACCTGAAGATAGAGAACTGAGCCGCGAATAGCCACACATTTCAGCCTTCGACCTTTGAACCTCTCATCGATTGGATAACTTGACTGCATTCCAACTATAAGTTCACTTTCTTTCCTGGAAATGATAGCTTGGGAAATTACTCCGCCTACGATAGCTATCAAAAGCTTTAGAGCTGATGGAAGGGTCGATTAGAGCGCAAATTAGACGGCTAAAAGATTTTTAAGTTTTTATCAAAAATTTCGGCCTGATAATGAAAAAATAATTTTTATCAAAAATTTTTCTTATTAAGCACGAATTTGAGCTGTATTTTGAGACAAAATTGAAAATAAAAGAAAAGAAAAGACGCTGCAGGTCAAGAGGAGCGCCGCTCATCGAGCAGCATTATTGATTGATTTTCGTTCGTGCCAACTTTCAAAAATGTTCAATCTTGACTTTTCATCGTACTTTTTAAACGTTAACTCGGCTCTTTTCATTTTAGAATCGAGCCAGCCTTTTTGAATAGATTTGAATCTACTTTGCTTCGTTCTACCCTTCAATTCAACGATACTGACTCCATTAAAATAAAAGTAACTTGGAAATAGAACAGCGAATTTGCATCGGTCCCCCGTAATTCAATAATCCGATAAGAGTGCCGGTCCGAATTGGGCCAGACGATCTGCCAGCGGCACAGTTGCGTACCTGATGCAGACACAGCAAATATCACCTGTGCAGTCGTCTGGCGATGTTTGATCGCCCGCCCGCCCGACGGACGCCTGTTTATGACCCGACTGCCGTCACTTCAAACCGCAAATCCGTCGCGTCAAACTACATTATTCACCTCGCGAATTTGGGTTGAAACCTCGTCGTTTTCTGACAGAGACTCGTTCCTTAATAATCATCTGATTTTTGGCTGTTTCAGGCACAAAATTGTGAATGAGAACAGAAAATGTACCCAAAGAAGGTCATTTTGAATAAATATTGAGAAACCTGAGAATTGAAAAAACGACTAGTATCAAACTAGTTTCAGAAAAAAATTCTCTTTGACTCAAAAATCGTCCTTTTTCTCAAGATTCCTCCAGATTTCACAAGTCTGAGCCCGCAAATATCTGATATGAACCCCCCACTTTTAAAAAGCCACTTTTTGGAAGATAATTTTTTTTTTTGAAGAATTCATTTTCAAATACTGAGAAAATAGCAGGTTCAGACTTGCAGAATCTCATCAAGTACCTCAGGAAGTATTCTGGACGAGTTTCAAAGAATTCTGAAGTCATGGGTGAAATGACCTCTCTTGTCAGAAGGAAAATTGCCACCTCAACCGAAGAAGAGATCAATTTTGAGATCAAACTACATTCAGAAAACTTGAGTTGAGCTTTCTGCTCAAGATTAGCATCTTTAAACTTTTCTCGGTTCGCCTTGATTATAACAAAAATGCCTTAAAAAATCGTGTATGTAGTTTGATACTCAACATTGACTTCCTCTTTTTTTGTTGCCTGAGAATTTTTTTGGTCTTCTGATCTCAGCTAAAGATAATCCGACACAACCAAGCGAATTGAATAAGTAATGTGGAACAATTCTTTAGTGGATAAAAATTCTCTCTGAAGCCTTTCTGAACACTCTTTCGATCCGCCTTGATTATGTGGGATCATTTCCGGCGATTATCAGTGTGTCAGTATAATAAGTACAAGACATGGAAGTTGACGACTTCATTTTTTAACATCAGACTACTTATAAGAGGCTTAAATTCGTTTGATTATCTGTTCATTTCCGCAATTTTCCTGATTGTAGAATTTATGTAAGAGAAAATTTGAGCATCGGAACATAGAAAAAGGTCCAAAAGCGGAAATAACTAAAAACGCTTCTTTTAGCTCGAATAAGCAACATCCGTTTTCAGTAGTATAGTCTGTGTGCCACGACTTGACATTTCACCGAACGACGTTCCGCTGCGTACGGTCGCGAAGCGTCTTTGCCTTTGCGAATCTAGGTCGCCTTTTCAAACTATTTTTATTGCTGATAGATGGATTTTTCCACTGCGAGTAATTGAATGAAAGAAAACATTGAAACCGCGACCGAGATTCGCAAAGGCGCCCGGCGGAACAGCGGAATGTCGTTCGCTGAAATTTCAAGTCGTGGCACACAGACTATATCAATATACTTATTATATTATTTCCTTATTTTCGAAACTAATTCTTTGTAAAAGAAGTATTTTCTTCAGAACCATCCAAATTTTGAGGCATTTCCCAATTTTTTTCCAATCTCTGCAGTGAATCTGTTAGATGACAAATTTTTCTACACTTGCGAAGTTTTCAATTAAAAAAAAAGAAAATTAAGCCGCTGTACCATATTTTAATCGTAGGAAGTTTCTCTCTTTTTTTCAGTTCTATTTGAATTCAAAAAGGCCTAAAGAATGATCCATAATATTTTCGTGGCCGGTTGACCATTTTTACTTCATTTTCTGAACATATAAAAAGCACAAGAAAATTTATTCTGACAGTTTTAAAATACTCGTTGACAAGAAAAAGCAAAAAAGAAACACAGCGGAATCGCAGATACACTCGGACAACTGATAACTTCAACGTAGAACGAAAAAAAAATAACACGAAAAAAAAGAAAACTGAAAGAAAAGAAAAGAAGTAGAAAAACTTTAAGAGGTTCATTAAAAAATAATTACATGAAAAACCGAAATTCGTTGCATTTAACAAAATTGTTACAACTTTATACAAGAACTGAAAGAAGGGAATAATGTGAAGAAGAAAAAAACCTGAAAAAAGTTCCAAATGTGATCAACTAGGAATGGTTTAGGACAAGTAAAGGGCAACTATAAGGCTTCGGGGAGAAGAAGAAAGTAATAATTATTAAAAATTCTAGGATCAGATGAGAAAAAAGAAGAAATAGTTTATGACATCGAGGTCGACATAGAGTTCATCGGGGAGTTAGCCGTAGAGTCGAGGTAGCCTGCAAAAAAATGTGTTGTTTTTCAAATATTATTTTGAAATATATGCAGATTGAACTTCAAAAAAGTTAAGCTCCCGAATATTTTTCTCGATGAAAATGAAGATTTTCAAATTTCAGAACTTTTTAAAGCTTGGAATTATTATTTATTGTGAGAAAAAAACTTGAATCGAAGGAACTTTCTGGAAATTGAGAAGAGCTTTCGATTTTATAAATGGATAAAAAAAGCGTGCAAAACGGCCGAATTTTAAAAAAATTTGAAATGTAAAGGCTTTTTGAAAAGAAGATTGGACTGCTTTAAATATAAGAAAAAAATTTTTTTAATCTTAAATTTAAAAAAATGTTTTTTTGAAGGAAAAGATTGACCATTGTGAAGAAAAAAAGGATTTTTTTGATAAAAATTTTTCTCTGATAAGCCTGTGATAATGAAAAAAATGGTTTCTTCGTTTCTTTTCAAATTTGAAACACTACTAAGAATGTAATTAATTTTTTTCCAAAGCTATGACTACGGCTTCTTCTGAATCCGACAAGGGAGACTAGTTTTTTTTCTTTCTTTTTTTATTAATAGTAGTATTTTTTTGAAAACTACAAATGAGATAATTTCTTAAACAAACAATGACTCTTAGGGACCGCAAAGCCACGCCCCTTTTTCGCGATAGAAAAAAAGTGGCTTTTTTTTGGTTTTAAACTTTCATTTTGTTGTAGTTGTAAAATATGTGGAACTGGCGAATAAAATTTGACACACATGTACAGAAAAGCTTCCTCTTTCGTTTAAAAAATATTTCACGTTTTTTTGATGCGTTCGCGCGGAATGTCGTACAAAAACGTGAATGGAACTAAAAAATTTTGTCGTTTTTTGCTTTTTCATGTGTTTTCAGGTCGAACGCACTCTTTCTTTTTTTATAAAATGATTTTGATCCAAGTAACGGTAATTTTAAAACAATAAAATAAAAAAATTCGTCTTTGCCAAAAAAATTTTTAGGGAGTGCCGAAAGTCATAATTCAAAAATATCGTTAATAAGCGAATATAATCGAGTTTTTTTGTTTTTTTCAAAAATTTAGATCATGAGCTTACTTAAATATTTCTCTACAGCATCTTTGCTTGAAAAAAAGTTGTTTAATACGCAAAAAAATGCTCTTGAAAAATAGAGAATAAAATTAGCGGCGTTTATCACACAGAAAGCGGTCGAACGCAGGTTTCTCAAACGATTATATACATTTATTAGTAAAAAAATCTTTCAATTAAAAAGAATAAAAATAAAAAAATTCGTCTTTGCCAAAAAAATTTACGGGGCCGTTTTAATGCAGCGATCGTTAAACGAGGCAAAAAAAGCACTAAAAAAACAGTTTTTTTCGAAGTGAATTTCCACGAAAAGTTTGAGTAAAGATTTGCGAACATATTCTGATAAAAAAATAGCTAAATTACTTCAAATTTTTTTATTTTTTTGAAATAGGCAATCTGTGCTATCCAAAACGGCTCAAGGGTATGGCGGATGGAAGCTCCCCGCGTTGGACCTAACAGCTTGGCGCAACGCGTGCGCTGCGATTGTTCATTTTGAGGTCGCGAGTTCGATGCCCGCAAGCGGCAGTTTTTGTTTTCTGGAAAATACCGAATTTTTCGGCAAACTAGCAAATTTGCATCATTTTAGCACTCTATTATGATTTGTTACATCATAATAGACCAGTATCAAAACTTGTTCTAGAAGAAAAATCGAGAAAAATGTCAAAAATGGATAATACCAAAATTTCAGTACTAAAAAAATGGTGCGCGGCGCGCCACATTTTCCGTCATAACTTTTTTCATCCTCAATCTTTTTTGAAAAACTAAACGGTTCTGAGTTTTGAATCGAAACAGCTATCAAACCATACAAAGCTCAATGCTGAAAAAAAATTTTTGAAAATTCGTCTGCGGTCCCTAGTCAATGACTCTTACCGCGGTTGACGTAGTGTTCCTTTGGAGCTTTCTGATAATGATGACGTTGAGCCACGGATTTTTGTGCCGTTTCCGGTTCGGCCGGACGACAGCCGCACGCGTGACCGTGGATCGCGTCGCAAGTTACTGGTTTCTGCTGAAAATCACCATATTTAGTAGTTCCCTTTCTTTTTTCTTTCGATCAGCTCAGAAAAACGTTAAAAACAGAGAAAATGCTTCATGCAACATGCTTTTAAGGCGATAATGATACATTTTTTCTTGATTTCCAGAAATATTCCTTGGTTTTATCATGCTAGATTCATCACAAAGCGCTATTCTGCAGCCTAATTTAAAATATTAAAAAAACAGAATTTAATTCGATATTTCTGTGGAGCGTAAAGTCTTGACATCAGCAAGGCTACTTTTTCCAGGCTTTTTGTCTCATTTATACACGGAACGAACAAATAAAAAGGCAAAAACCGAGTTTCAAAGCTATAAAGTACTGTTTCCTGAGCTTGGAAAATGTTATCCATGGAGCGCAAAGCTCAGAAGCCATTGAAGCTAACTTTCTGATTTTTCGAACTTTCCCGGCTCAATTTTCAACTCAATCTTCCACACAATTGAATGTACTTTCATTCCAACAATTTTACAAAAGCGAAGAATTGTTGCCAGAGGATGTTTTTATGTAGCTTGAGGTTGTTAGTAAGAAGAATGAAGCTGCTACAAAACTAGGGGGAAACGTGCACTTCCGTCGAAAACTCACGGAAGGTTCGAGACGGGTCAGGACTCGGCCCTCGAAACACTGCGGACAGAGCCGCCCCTGAAACCTTTGCCCAAAATCCTTGCAAGTGAGTGACACCGTGCCCAGAGGAGATAGTAGTGAGAACAAAAATTAGAAATGATTGGAACAAAAAAGGAATGTGAAAGAAGAGCCGTGGAAATGGAGTGAAAACACTCTTCATGGTATTTGATAACTAGGCGAAAATAATATCGAAGCTGTAGTGGCTCTAACTTCTAGAGATTTTGTGCTCCATGGATAAATCTCGACTTTTTCGTGGATTCTGTTCATTTTTCTCGTTTCCAGTGTTAGGATGAAGATGAAAATATAGTCGAAATGCACGAAAGTTCTAATTTCTGCGCTCCAAGGTTAATTTTCGTTTTTTCTTAGCTACTATACTACAGCTTAGTATGGAAAAGTTTGGATTAGGCCCCAAATCAACTAAATGATTCAAACTCCGTAAAAATGGCGCCTTTTCCGCGGCTATTTTTTCACATATCGAAGTGTAACAATTATATGAGAGTTTTAGTCAGGTTAAAGATTGAGATTTTCTGTTTGATCTAGAGGAAATTCCTCGAATTCCCTCGACGAAAAACGCGTGAATAGATTATAAGTGTTCCTTCGCCTTAAGGACACTTCGAAGAGAAACATGCTCCGCTCGACCCGTGAAGAACGCAAAACCAAGGATTTTTCTCACCACAACATCACAGAATATGGTTTTTCGAGTAACACACCTGAGACAGGTGAACCGCCTGGCAATGACAATGGAGAAGGCCGTGGGAGCAGGGGAAAACGCGAACTTTGGGCACCCGGTGCATGCAAACCGCGCACGTCGGCTCGTTCATGTAGGCTCGGCTCCGTCGTTCGTTCTGCAAGAAACAAATCATAAGAAGGGTTGAAATCTCTGTTTTGAGAAGGGATGTTCAGAACCCATAAATAGCCTGGAAAAAGAGCTAATGATGGCCATCAACGTTTTGCAATTTTCAAGGAGGGAAATGTTCTTTCAATTTGATAATTTTCGAAAATTGCTCGAATTTCATCCCAAATCTTGAATTTTTATCAAATTATCATCGATTCTCCCAATATACAGCATCCCACAGACCTATTTTATCACATATTTGATAGAAAACGATCCGATGTGACCCAAAAATTGATTCATGAGAAATAGTCTCCTTTCTCCAAAAAAATTTAAATCTCCTAGTTTTCGAAAAAAAAAATCTTTTTCCAGTATGAAACTCATCCAAGTCAAAACATCTACAGAATTAGAATTCTCTAGAGCCTCGGAACTTGAAGTGTCCATGGAGCGCATTATGACACATTTGGAGAACCCCCTTTTCCGTCGAAAATTCGCCGAAACGCTTCGGGTTTCCGGACTTTGCACATTTGATCTTTTGATCCAGGGAAAAATTTGGATTTTCTTCCGTCTTCCTTTCAAAAAAAAAACTTTTGTCACTGAAAGGTAATTTTTCCAGTTTTACAATATTCTTTACGGCCATTCTTTTTCCTAAACGTTTCAGCGTTGGTTTCTGAACATTGTACATTTGATTTGCGCTATTGAAAAGAGAGAGAAAGATGATCAAAGCCGGGGAAAGAAAGCTACGAATAGCGTTTTTTTGATCAAAAAGAACAAAGAGAAGGATGATCTTTCAGAATATTTTGGCCCATGCTTCGATGCAAATTCAAAGTTTTTTTTTGACAATTTTCTGTTTTTTTCGATTTTATGCTCAATTGAGAATGCTATTTTTGAAAATAAAAAATTTGAAATTTTTTTTTTACATGAAGGATTGTCCATAAAGTACAATTAAACGCTACCTTTGAGCTTCATATGCTAATTTTTTTTTCTTTAAATTGAGGTATATGACTCGTTTCGATAAGCTTTTATAGTTTTATTTAATTATAAGTATCCATGGAGCACATATATTGCAATATTAGAGCCTTCTACTTTCCGAATGTTTACATTGACAAAAAAGCTCCCATAAAAGGAAAAAAAAACTTCATAATGTCCATTATAAGGGAAATTATCCATAGAGCACTCTCGGGGGCAATTTTTGAGCCTCCCCCAGCTAAAAGCTTTCGATATACGAGCGAACACGCTGTGTTTAAACTGCCGTGGAGGAACCGACATAATCGGTTCAAGTGGAACCATTTGTCTGCGTCGGCGGCTTCTCTGAAAACAACAGACAGAGAACGAATGTTTTGCACCTGGACTCAGGGCCGTTCGTCTAGACTTTGTTGTTCGCCGTCGATGCAACTCGTTTCACTCAAAATAGGGAGGAAAAAGGAGCGGAAACGAGCAATTTGAACTGAAGAGAGCTGTTTTTTAAGCCCTCTGAGCCATTTCGTCTGCCTTTTTTCCACAAAGAACGCGATTCAATCTGCAAAAAAGCGCCTGAGACAGCAATAAGAGTCCAACGGACGTCTATCCGAGGACAAATCGCCCTCGGCAATCCGTCTGTCTGGCCCGAGAAACCTACACTTTGAGCTTTGATTTTCACGGCGCAGACAGAGGAAATTCGTCCTTTCCCGCGGATAAACGGGGGGAGTTGGTTTAGATTGAAGGTTTCAGAATATTTATCAGAACTATCACTTCGGTGGTCTGAACTTCGAAAAACGACTTATTTTTGAAAGTTCCGAGAAAAACGAATGGAAGCTCAATGGCCGATTTTGGGTCGAAAGATTTTTTTCATTTTTCAGCTTTTTGGCACTTTTTATTCGGATATTTTCATTGGAAAGTATATTCAAAAGCACGTAAGATACGGGAAAAACGATTCTCGACATCATTATAACCATTTTGATGTCTGAAAACGGGCCTTTTTAAATCAAAAAATTTTTTCCCCATTTGAAACACTCCAAGGCCGGAAAATAGTCTCTAATAAAAAAAATGGTAGCTTGCTAAACTTGTAAACGTGAATAGACAACGTGTCCGATAGAAAAAAACTGACGGACGCCCAAAAAAAGGAAAAAAAATCCTTTTTGTTTGCCCCTAGTATAGTAAACTTGTCCTATAAGAAATTTGAGAAATATTTTTTGTTTTCAACTTTTTCCAATGTGGTTTTCTTGACTAAAATGATCAAAACTTCGAAAAAAAATTCCAAAAAACTCAAAACTATGGTTCTTTAGAGCCACGGAACTGTTGTTTATTCACCGAAAAAAGAGCGGAGACCAAAGATTTTAGCATAAATTCCTTGTTCCGTTGGTCTTCCCCAGTCAATTTCCACTCAAAGATCGTTGAAAATCCTTTGTGAAACGACGTCGGCGAAACGTTTGCAGGTTGAAGTTTGTGTTGAAAAAGGCCGACGGGCCACCATTTGCGGAAGAAATAGGGGCAAACAAAAAGGATTTTTTTCCTTTTTCTGGGCCTCCGTCAGTTTCTTTTTCGGACACGTTGTCTATTCACGTTGATGGGACGACGGAGCCCAAAAAATCAAATTCTTCACGATTTTTACAACTTTTTTATGTCTGTGAAAATTCTCAGACGTGACGCGGAAGCTTGAATTTCTTTTTCTCAGGAAGTTTTGAAAAGTTTGCAGACTTTTTTGCTCTAAAAAATCTCTGATTCGTAGAACAAAAGGAGAAAAAGCAGTCGTCATCAGAAAAAAAAATTGCAACTTGTAATGACGACATTATTGTTTGCAAAGTGATTAATTGAAGCAAAAACTCTGCAATTATCAATAGTTATCTTTTATTTATGATTACTCTTTCAAAAAGACAAGTTAAAAAGAAATTATCAGAAAATAGGCAGTGGTGTTTTTCGGCATCTTGTAAAATAATTATCTCATAACCAGATATTTCTCCGCAATTTTGATTTTCGAATAAAATGTTTCAAAAATCTTAAAAATTAAATAAAAAAATTTCTAAAAACAAGTTTTTTTGGCCAATCTTTGATAATTTATTTTTTTGCGAACATTAATTATCTCATAACCAGATAAAAATCTCGAAAAACCGAAAAATTAAATTGAATATTCTCTTTTTTTTGGCTATATTTCACTAAAAAGTTTCATTTTCCTACCAAAAAAAGTATTTGTTCAGTATAAAATGATTTCATAATGTAACTCTTTCTTTTTTGTTCTTCTGGTCAAATCGTTGTGCCGAATTCGTGGATTCTAGTTTTTCGTATGATTAGAAAGTCTAGACAGAAAGTTTTAGTGTCGAAAATTTCGTTGCTGAACGCCTTGATAATCAATTTTTCTCGTGCGCAGACAGGTGATAAGTCGGCGAGCAACAAACATTGCTCTTTTGATAACAATTCTCGGTTGAGACCGAAACCGGAGACCGTTTACGCCATGGTTTTCGTTTTAGACAAGGAAAGGCCTATTTTTCGGTTTATCTTGCAAGGAAAGGAGAAAAGAAGGGATTTATTTTCGATTTTAGAACAGAGAAAAGTTTAAAAAGAATTGGTTTCGAGGATGTATTCAGAAGAAATACAAAAGTCTCTCATGACAAGATCAAGTGTTAAATTTGTTGAAAAATGGTTCGTGACTAATTTTTCATAACGATGGACAGAACTTTGTTCTACAGAAAAATGAAAAATTTTAAAATATTGATTTTTCAACTATCGATTCGCATCTTCACCAGTGCAAAAACTTCGAGTACCTTCAAAAAATCCTCTGATTTTTTTTTGGACTTTGTACTCATTTACAATATCAAATTTACAGACCGTAAATATTTATGCAGACGGCCTCAGACCTTGAGAGCCCAAATATTGACAAGAAACTTTTTGGCGCGCTTTTCCTTAGTTTTCTTGTAGGAAACGGACCAAGGAAAGCACTTACAATAGAAGTTTAAGAAAATTTTGAGAATTTTAAGAAAACTATGTAAAAAAAAAATATATGAAAAATTTGAACTACCCTCCGCTGAGCACGGTTCCTGAGGGAAAAATCATCAAAAAAATATTTCCAGCCTTTTTCGGGCAATTTTCGTGGCTCTAAACTCCTTTCCAACTTTATTGGAACCCAAAAACTTTAAAAAAAGCTTAAAAAGTACCTTGTGCTGAAGCATCTTGTAGCGGAGGTAGATCTCCTGCGTCAACTTGTCCTTCTCGTTGATCTCCCTCTGCGGGTCGGCCTCGGGTTGGCTGTTCTCGGAAGCCTCCGGCTCGGAGATCTTGCGCGGTTGGCTCTGCGGCGTCGTTCGAACGACGCAAGACTTGCTGCGGCCTCGGCTGCTCGACGTCGAGGTCGTCTTGGCCGCGGGCTCGGAGGGCAGCGAGACGGTCTGTTCCTCGCGCAGGACGTCGTGCTCCAGTCGAGATTTGATCCGGTTGATGCCGCCGCCGACAAAGTCGCGGAACGGTGACAGGATCCCCAGAGGCATCGTCCCAAGTGGATGGCTGCAAGAAAATCGCGTAAGAAATGGAAAAAGTGGTGAAAATTCAAAAGAAAAACGAAGAAAAAGCTGAGAAAAAAATAAGCAGCTGTACCGCCTACTGATAAAAAATAAGTGAAAAGTAATTCGCCATTAGCCTTCAAGAAATGGTTTGTTTGAAAATTAAAATATTTGAATAAAAAAAGGAACTTTTCGAATGAAACGGACATGATGAGAACCTTTGAAAAAAGCTGGATTTACATAAGAAAGATCCGGGATAAAAAAGAAAAAAAAACACTAAAAGAAGAATTATCATTTTTACATTGAAAGATTTACAACTGCGAACTTTTCACAGTTCAGGAAAATCCAAAAAATTTTCATAAAAGACTAACTTTTCAAGAGAAATTAGCAAAACTTTATCGTGAAACTCGCTTATTTTTTTCCGAAATTAAAACCAAAACAAGCCCTTCAAGGAACTGATTATCATTATAAAAAAAATCTTAACTTTTTTTGGAAAAAGTTTAAAGCAAAAAACAACTTTCGAACTCTTCCCAACTCCTGGAAGCAACTATACGAAAAAGGCGCAAAAAGTTGCGTTCAAAAGAGGAAAAAAGGCTGCAAAGGTGAACAAAAAAGAGAGAAAATGTCATCGTAACATTCAAGAGAGAGAAAGAGGAAACGTTGCAACAGTGAATCATTCCGTGGGCTCCAGGCGAGACAAACGCCGCCGAAAAAAATATAGAGACGTGAGACCAGAAAAAGGCGGAGTCTAGAGAAGTTTCGACAGAAGATTGGGGGCGTGGCTGTCGCTCAGACTAAACACATTCCGGAGGGTCGTCTAGACTTGGCTTTGAATGGACCATTTGGGCGGGATCCGGTCACTTGTTCCACGGCCCGCCGAGAAGGGGCGTGGCCTCGTCGACTTTAAATATTCGTTTGATATTTTGGTCCCGCAAAAGATATTTATAGGCCGTTCACAGCAATTTTTTAGATATTTTAAAGAATGAAAGGTGAAATTTTGAGAATATATACCGAGGCTTCTAGCAGTGTTAATTCGACTCTTCAGCCTTGAAAAAAGCAAAAAAAAACGCCAATTTTGAAAGGTGTGCAAAAAATGCATTTTTCGATTGTTTTCTCCCCTTGAAAATGAAAAAACCTCGAAATTTTAAAACGCCGAGGATCCCACGAAACTGCCACCAAACTCTACACAAATTGAAAAAGAATCTTGAAAATATTTTGAAAGCTGCGGATCGATCAAAAAAAAAAAAGAATTCAAACAATATTTTGATTCAATCTCACTTGGACTGGGCACAAACCTCACAAATTCACTCTGAAACCAGAACTCAGAAAAACGTGACAAAAAAACGTTACTATTTTCCAGTTTCACTCCAATTAATTAAAAAGACGAAGCAATCAGAAAAATGATAAACATATGATAAGCCGGAAGTCCAAAAAAGGAAGATTTCATACAAAAAAGTTAGGAAAATGAGGATTTTGTATTTTTCAAAAAGCAGTTTTTAAAAACCGTGCTAAAAAAAACCGACTACTTTTTAAAAAAAAACCGTGCAAAATCTCAATAGAGTTCATCGAAAAAAGCCAAAAAATCGCTCCAAAATAAACAAATGTACTGTTTCGGAGCAACTTTGCCGCTAAATGAACACTTTTTTTCAATTTTAAGCATGTTCCTTTAAACAAGCCACAATGATCGACTATTTATCCAGCTGCAGTCCAGAATGTTTCCAAAATGGACATTTTCTCTCGAAAAAGATTGAAAAACCAAGTTTTAGCACATGACCAATGCTTTTTCTTCCTTCTCAGAAGCCAAAAAGGTCGAAATACAACTCGAACTTGTAGTACACGAAAAACAAAGAAACAACAAATCAGAAAGACTTGTTTGTCGGCAGCTGAAGCGTATTTTTGCAACAATGAGAGAAGAAAGATTCGCCGACGCACAGTTGAGATAAAAGGCAAAGGAAAGAAGAAGAAGAAGAAGAAGAAGCAGAAAAAAAGGAACACGAATAATGTGAACGGCTGCAGGGAATGCGAGAGGGCGTCAGAGAAATTTAGTGCGCCGCCTTTTCTCACGATTTTCTCTCTGCTGACGTCCTCCTCCAGACGGCTTTCCTGGCATAATTAGTCGCTCTAATTGCTGTTTTGTTGGTTCCAATTTCCGTACAGTCCACTAATGACCCCTTGCAGAGGTGATTAAAGGATCAGGTGCCGCGATACCTTTATTAATCTCGCCAGAGCACCTTTGAAAATTGCAGCGAGGGGTTGAGAGTCAAGTCGAGTGAGTTATATGAATTGCTGGATTGTTTCAAGGGCATTTTCGAGAAGATTCCAAGGCTGGGATCGATTTGAAGTTTTATCTTACTAGATCTCTGATCCTTCAAACTTATCAGCTTTTTTAAAAGAAGCATACAATCACTATTAAAAAGAGCGGCCAAAAAACGCTCGAACTTTTTTTTTTGCGACAATTGGAAAAAATTTTTAGTGACTACTTGAGGGTTTCAAAGTGGTAGTGGCCACCATAGGGTCGACCACGTCGAGGGATCCCAGTGGAAAACGATTATTCTTTATCATTTGATAAACCTTGATTGTTTTGTACATTTTTGTTGAGTTTGAACAGTTTGTTAGTAATTTCGATTGTTACTGCGAAAAACTTCCGTAACCACTTCAGGGCTTTGAAGTTGTAGTGGCCACTATAGTAGTCGAATCAGTGGCCACTTAGGTGGCTAAAAATCAGTGGCTCTTTCAGAATTCTGAGTGGTTATACTAGACCAATAAAACTTCTATAGTGGGCACTAAGAAACAAATCGGTGGCTTCTATAAAGGTGGTTTTAGTGGCCACTTTAATTTCCTCTCCAGATTTTTTGAAGAAGCTCTAAAGTGGCTACTATAGTGTTCCCAGAATGTAGTCAGTTAAAAAAATATTGCGGGTGGTTTAAAGGCTCAAACATTTCGAATGATCTATGAAAAGTCTAAAACGGTATTTCGCAGCGATATATTCATGAAACTAACTTCAACTTTTTTTTTCGAAAACTTATGAAAAAATTATCTGATCATGCTACACACCTGTATCAACAAATATGCATATTAAAGTAACATTCAAAACAGAAAAAGAAACATGTTTTTAGAATTTTGAAACTTCTCAAGCATTTTTATCTGTCAGAGACTCCATTTGTTTATTTTATTGTCCCTTTTTCGCTTATCGAACTATATCGTACTTTCAAACCGCTTGAAAGGGCTTTTAAGAGCCTTGTTTGGAAAAAAAATTATCTAAACTCCGAGGCTGGACATTGTCTGTTAAGAAAATATTTTTCCTCAAAATAACCTTTTCTACTTTAATTGATAAGGTTCTTTGAAAACTTTCAAAAAATGCCAGAAATCATGTCGGAAAAGGCAAAAAAAAACCATTAATTATGAAGTTTAATGGTAACTTTCTATGGTTCATTCACAGAGTAGTTCCCAACAACTTACCAGAAAACCAACAAAAAATGGGTTAGGAAATTGAAAATGAGAAAAAAAAAGGTCAGTTCAATGCCACCCACTCACGTAAGAGAGAAAAAAAGGCGTTGACGCGAAAAGTGGAAAATAGCACGCGAAACGTGGAGAGTCGACGAAAATTAGTCTCTCGTCACTTTAAAATAGGCGGTTCGCGCCGTATCGGTGTCTACTTTGAACGCAAAGGACTTTCAAATTTTCAAAAAAGTTTTGAATTGAAAAACAAAAGCAAACTGTGTTTGCGTAATCTACGGAAAATTAGACTACAGTACATCAAACGAAAATTAATTTTTTTTATTTTTGCTGCAAAACAAAACTTTGAAAATGGCTGAATGAAAGTTGGATTATAATTTTGGAATACAGTATTTTTTCTTTCAAAAAAAAAATTATCAAAACTCAATTTTCGGATGCTTTTCAAGATTTTCTGCTGGTCATCATGAGAAAGATACTAGAAAAATAGTAAGGTCTTTGGATAATTGCTAGTTCGTCAAATCATTCTGAAAAGAGATCAACAACTACAAAATAAATAAACAGAGATTTGTAGTGCACGCTAATGAAAAGACAAGTACAAATGTACTCGTTGCAAGCTCAATGTTTTGAGGCAATAATTAAAAATTGCTTATATTAAAGCCTGAAAGCCGTCGAAATTTCTCGAAGCAATAAAAAGTCGCCTCTTAGACTACACATGAAAATCGTATTAATGTCACCCAGACGGAAAGACTTGATCTTTTGGGAGTGCGTGAGATAGTCGTTTTTTAGGGTTCACCGAAACAATAAAATTGTTCCCGAATGGGAAAAGATAGGGCTAAATGCTGTGGATAAGTCAGCCAGAAAGGGCGAAAAAAAGGGAAAAGGCTAAATTTTAGCCCTTGAAAATTTTCAAAACAATAAAAAATTGCCTCTGACAAAAAACTATGCCAGGTTCAAATTTCAGTTTTAGTTCAAATCTGTGGCATATTTTCCTAGGTATGAATATTCAAAAACGAGAATAATTATCTGCTTAGCGCCCTAGGGGACTAAAAAAGAGCCCGTCAAAAAGGTACAGGAAAAGCTCAAAAACTGATTTTCTTTGTTTTTCGAGGAAACATTTTTTTCTGGTGTTGCTTACAATATAGTTCCTAGCAGTCGTTTAAGATACTTAAATTCCAAAGAAACCAAGTTTTTGAGCTTCTCCGAACATTTTTGCTATTCTTTTCAGTACCCTACGGCGCTTAGCGTAATTCTTTTCGTTTTCAAATACTCACACCTGAGAATACCTACCCCTAAATTTGAACAATATCGTTCACCTCAATAAATTCCCTCATTAGACCACCTAAATTTCTCGTTAAAATCATAAATACTGACCCAAAAGGGCTTGGTCTTTCGAGACTGCGTGAGATATTCGTTTTTTCGGGTTCATCGGAACAAGAGAAAGAGTCCCGAATGGGAAGAGCTGGGACCAAATGGTGTGGGTAAGGCGTTAGTCAGCCAGAAAAGGCGGAAAAAAGAAAGCAAAAAAATTGGAC